GTGGGTAGAAGTCCTCGCCCGTCGCCGAGGTGACGTTGTTCCACTGGAAAGCACTCGACGCCGCCTCGGGACGACCAGAGAGGTAGCCCTCCAGCACCGAGTTCGACGTGTTCTTCTCCGCCGCGGTGCGCGACGCCTCCTGCGACAGCAGATGCATCCGCAGCACAATGTGGTCAAAGGTCAGCTGGCTGTTATTGGCAGCGGCCGTCACCTGCACCGGCAGTGGCCGCAACTGTGGAAACGCTGCCTGCACAATAAACCCCGACACAAGAAGCCCGTACAGCAGCAACAGGAACATGGAGATGGAGCGCAGCACCACACGCATCGTGCGGAACTTCGACCCGCTGAAGTAGCCGGGGCTCTGCAGCGACAGCAGCCGCGGCAGCGTGTAGGCGTAGAAGCCGTAGTCAAACAGGTAGCGGCGCAGGGCACCAGGCGGAAAAACGACTTGCCGCTTCAGTTGCACCTCTGCCCCACTGGCGTTGACGATGGTCATGCGTTGCATGTCGACGGACATGTCCAGACTCACCACATCCGGCGACTGATAGTTCTTCTCGTGCCCGTCCTCCAGCACCGTCGCCAAGGACGGCGACAGCAACAGGCCGGAGCTGGTGTACTTCCACAGCACGGAGCCGTTCACCGTGACGTCAAACTCGCGCACCAGGTCAATGGCCCGCGCAATGAGCAGCATGTCCACGCCGAAGAGCATCATGCACAGCTGAAGGTGGTGTCGGAAGAAGATCATCGCATTCACCAGCAGGAGTTGATACGGCATCACAAGCACAAGAAAGGGGAGGAGGGCGTCGAGGTGGCGATGCAGCCACGCGAAGGACCGCAGCGTGCGCGTGATGGCGCCGGACATGGAGAGCGTCGTGTGCGCAAACAGGTGTGGCAAGTTCAAATAGGACAGGATCAGTACACCCGACATGAGACCAAAGACAGGGCCCTGGGCGACGGCGAAGGCGACGGTGAAGAGTGCCACCATGACAAAGGCGATGTGCCGCATCGCGTGGATGTGGTGGCGCCACCAGTCATCCTCTACGTAGCACACAAACAACGCCGACATGGACGCGTTCGAGCCCTGCTGATACCCTGCGGCGTTGAGTAGCGGCGGTCGAGTCGCGCCGGCGGCGCGGCTGCCGCTATTCTCCCGCTGCGGCATCCCCGACTCGGGCGACAGCAACGGATTGGAGGGCGTGGAGACGGTGATGGAGTCACCGGACAGTGGGTCGGTGGTTGACGTGCGGTCCTTCGCCTTGCCGTCTGCATCGGAGGTAGTAGCCGCGATCGGCAAGACAGTTGACGCGCAGCCCGTGCGTGGATTCGAGACCGAGCTTGGCAACATCGCAACGAGCGGTTGAGTCGATGCCAGGGCCTCAACCTCCTTCGAGTTCACCGTGTTCACGTCGTCTTTGCTGTGCAGCTGCAGATTGCTCACGGAGGTATCGGTTCTGTGGTTCAACCGGTAAATGGCACGGCGGCGACGCAGCGGGGTGCTCTCCTCCGGGGCATCGCGCAACACCGTCGTCAGCACAAAGATGATCTGCACCGCAAACACCGTCCAGCTCGCCGTCGTCACCCACGGCTGTCGACCCGACCACTCCACAAACGCGTTGGTGTGGCACATCAGTAGCAGAACAATGGCGAGGACGACAGCCACCACTGCGCTTGTGGCAATGCGGGAGCCCTTGTTTAATGTGAAGCGCACACGGGCGCGCAGCAGCGGGTAGTCGAGATCGCGCTGCGTCGTATACGCGTCCACCATTGCCTCCGCCACGCAGTTCATCAGTTTGTGCCCTACGGTAGCGGCGGCGACGGCCAAGGTGACAAAAGGTACCATGCGAGACGCGATGGAGCTGAGGCCTGACACGAGCGTCCACACACTCGACGTACTGAACGGGCGCCGCTCCATCTCCTGTGCCACCGGCATCACTAACACCCACACAATGCGCTCAATAGCGGCATGGGTGAGGGCAAACACGATGAAAATAAATGGAATGTAGTAGACGCTGAAGAGGAGACGAACAAAGGTGTCCAGGTAGAAGGAAACCTCGTCCGGGAGGTAGAGCGAGCGCAGGGTGACATGGATGACGGCCATCAGCGAAACTGCTTGCTGCCGCAGTTGTGCGTACCGTCTCAACCCAAAGGACCACACACGGCGGAAGCTTCGCTGAACCGCCACTTTCGTGTTGCCTCGCTCTGAAGCCACCGGGGAGTTGGAGGTGTCACTGTCTCTACGATTCATGGGTGCGTAGGTGGCTTTGAGAAGAGTTTTTACTTTTTTGAAATGTTTTTTTTTTTGGTGAGAAAAGTGGTCAAAGTAGTATAAAGACGCGCTTATCTGTGTTTTCTTAAAAGAGGCTGTTGGTGAGAACCTTCGGCGTGGTACAGAGGGTGTATGAGCCGTTTGGGTGCGCGGACACACGTCGAGGAACTCGCAAATAAATAAAAAAAAAGGCAAAGAAAAGCAGGTGTTCAATTCAAAGAAGAGAAAAACAAGAAAGTATATGATGAGCGAGAGAGAGCTGGAGAGAGCCACTCGCTACTGTAAAAAATAATATTAATAATGACAACGCCTACAAGAGAGGCTTGCCGGAAAACGAACGAGTAAATGTGCCCACTTGATGCATCTGCCGTGAGAGACGTAAATGAGGTAAGGAATCTCCACACACACGGCCACGCGTTGGTGAACAGAGTGCGGATATATGTATGACAATCGGACTTCAGCTGCGGCGAAACAACACCAGCAGCAACAACAAAAGACGAAGCGAAAATACAGAGAAAAGGGAGCGTGATTGAAAAGAGAAAGATAATGGACATCACTGACCGTCTTCGTGCACCAAACAGGCAATGTAGCTTCAAAAGAGGCAGCACTCGATGCGCTCACCGAGGATGGCGCGACCTCTTTCTCACATTGCGTCGCAAAGAGAAACAATAATAAAAAGGTAAATTACGCGCCACTCCGATGCAGACGACGGCGACCGCAACATCTGGCGGTAACATCGTTGAGTTTACGTGGAAAACAACTACTCAACAATAGCACCTCCACCACAAGTACACACACACACACACACACACATAGCACAAGATCCGATCAGAGGGCTTTAAAAGAAGATCCAAAAGGAGGCAATCAACCACTAGACGACGAACGTAACAGGATTCGGTTTGCTGAAGAGGAGGCTGACCACCGCCTTTAATATTTGCTAGAAGAGATTAACAATTTAAAAGAGAAGAATTTAGCCAAAATAAATGTCTTTCAACTACGCCGCACACAAACCAGCACTCGCACCCGCCCGCACTGAAATAAACAACAACAAACTATAACGTTAGATTTTCGAGGGTTGAGTGAGCTGACGGTACACCTTCAGCACCCGCTCCCTCACCACATCCGCGTTCACCGCACCCTTTGCTTCCACGCCGGGGTACCAGAGGAACTTCTGTACCTGCGACGCCAACACATCCAGTCGCTCCAGCGCCTTTGCCTGACCAAGCTCACCCACCTTGTACGTCACAATGCCTTGGCTCGGTGGGCTCTTCTTCTTCGTATCGGTCGTCGCGGGTGGCGAGGGCGGTGGCGAAAAACGACCCAGCTGCAGCACGGAAAGCGAAACGAGACTCTCGTAATAGTGCTGCAGCGTTTCCTTGTTAGCGGTGACGGCGTAGTTGAGCTGATGCTCCTCGTACAAGGAGCGACACGCCTTCTGCGTGGTGCTGACGACGTCCGCAGCGCCAAGCGGCAGACCAGGGAATGCGTTTAACAAGGTCAGTGACGTGAGGAGCACGGCGTAGAGCGCCTCGATGTGTGGGCAGATGAGCTGCAGCAGAAAGTAATAGTACTCCGTGACAGGCAGACTAGTGAAAGGGCCGTGGCTGTCAGGCGGCGCTGCTTCTCCGGCAGAGGCAGATGCCCGCTGCGCTGCGGCTGCGACGGCGGCCGCCGATGGCTGATGACGCTGCAGACGACTCACCGTGCACTCCAGCCATGAGGCGAAGCTCACTGGCGAGCTCGCCGCGTAGTTGGGGAACTCGGTAGACAGCAGGCGCTGCAGGAGCTGCGAGTGATTCGCCAAAACATCGGACTTCACCGCGAGGGTGCCACACACCGTCGCGCGCTCCGCCGTGGGCGGGTGATGAGGCATCGTCGGCGTGCCGAAGGCTTGCGCGACCACCGCCACGAGCGCCTCGTCGATGCAGACATGGATGAGCTGATTCGTGCTGATGTTCAACCCGAGGCGGGTCACAACGTTGTCAGGCTGCTGGTAGGACACTGTTGACATGCTGTTCGTCAGGTGCGCGAAGGCGCAGAGGTTGCCCAGCGCCGTCTTCACCACACGGTCTGCGCTCCACGTAGCGGCCTCCACGCAGAGACGGGCGCCCCGCTCCAACAGAATTCCACGCAGCCACGTCACACCCTGCTCCATCACAGGTAGCGGAACACCAGCAGCTTCGCTTGACGACTGCGCTGCGTCGACGGTCGCGACGGAAGTGGAGGGAGAGGAAGAAGTCGTCGCCGTTGCCCCCGCCGAGACCGCGCCAGCGTCCTTCCCTCCCCCTTCAACTCTGGGCGTCCTTGTGTAGTAGTAAGGGCTGAGGCACTCGAGGAGCGCGGCGACCATGCTGGCGGGGGTGATGACAATGTTGCGCTGCAGCTGGTACGTCAGGTGCCACGCAACGCTGTTGAGGATGGACAGCGGCGTTGGCGAGTCCAGCTTGATGATGGTCGGTGTCGTGTGGAGCGGCAAAGACTCACGCGATGGCAGGTCGCCTGCACGCACCTCGGTGCCGGCCGTGGAGCGGGCAGCTGGTGTCGCGCCACCGGCACTTGGCACCTGGCCCACCTGCGTCGCGTCGATTGACTCAGTTTTGGGCTGGTACGGTAGCGGACACTGTCGCGGGTGCTCCTTCAGTGACCGCAGCGAAATCGCGTCCCCGAGGTGCAGGTGGATGCTCCCGTGCACGCGCTTCAGCGTACTGCTAGCCTTGAAAAAGTTTGCAAGGTTCTCCTTCGGCTTCGGGACGCCCAGCAGCTCCTTCGCGTACATGGTCGCCTCGAGCAGTTCGTCATACGAGAGACTCACGGGAATAAAAAGTACGTCGTCGAGTTCTCGCTGCGACGGATCGAAGAAGGTGTCGCAGACGAACTTCAAGATGCCCTTCTTTGGCGTCATTGTCTTGCCGGTGCGGCTGCGCGTGCCTTCAATGAAAAACTCCATCGGGCGATGACTCAGCATCAGCTGCCGAACATACTCTTTGAAGAGTGCCGTGTAGAGGGCGTCGCCGCGGAAAGTGCGACGGATGAAGAAGGCACCGCTGCCACGCATCAGCGTCGCAAGCGGACCCAAACTCAGAAATCCATCGCCAGCCACAATGTGGGGGAGGGGCGACTGCATCTCGGCCAACAACAAAGACAAGCTGAGAAAGTCCACGTACGACCGATGCAGCGGTACGTACACCATCGCCACACGCGGCATTTCCAGCTGCCGGTGCATACGCTCAAAGGCACCGTGGTTGACGCTCATGCGCTGGTACATGCACTTGAAGATCTCACGCACCGTCAGCCCCATCACACGACACTGTGGGTGGTTCAAGGTGTCACCAGCGACGAGAAGAATCCGTTTTGCCTGCGCCTCCACCTCCGCCTTGGTCGCGCCGTCTCTGGCCGCGAGGGCTGTCATAAGCCGTTGAAGATGCGGCTGCGCGAGAATGGCGGCCATCGTTTTGGGGGTCATACCGGGTGTTATGTCGGTACGCCAGCCGTTCGAGGTCAGTGCGGTGCGGTGCAGAAAAGTGGCGCAAGGGAAGTACCGCCGCGTGAGAGAGGGAAAGGGTGGGATGCGCTCCTCACCGCGGTAGATGAAGTCGTTTGTGAAGCTGCGCCGCGGCTCGGGAAAACCGAATGGCACCGTTGCGGCTGCATCGGAGGGTGGCTTTGCCAAAGCGCCCTCCACGACAGAGGCTGGTGCGGTGCTGTTGGGGTCTGCTACAACCGCCGTGGGCTTCACGCCTGCAATGCTTGCAATGTCGACCCCCGGCGCACCAGCGAGACGGCGAACCTGCGATGACGGCTCCTCCTGTGCGCGCTGCAAAACGGAGCTGGCGAGATGCACCAAGACGGATCTCGCGATGACGGAGATGTAGGCCTCCCAGTCTACCTCCGTCAACGCCACACACTGGTGGTAGGGCATGAGGGAGTAGTGCATCGTGAGGCGGCGCAGCATATACTGGTAAACGGGAACGTTGAAGTCGTCGAGGCAGTAAGGAGGCAAGGCAAAGGACGAAGACGAGGACGCACGCCGGCGGAGGGCAGTAGCTGCAATGACGGCCTTTTTCTGCGCAGCCGCGGCACGAGCAGCGCTGGTGATGCTGTTCAAGGTGTCGTCCAGCTGATGCACACACGCTTGCATCTTGCGTGTCATCTCTGCACCGTGGAAGTCGTCCGTGACACGCTGACGCTGCTGATAAGCACGCCATCCTTCCAGAAGGTAGGTCGGGCATCGCGGCTCGGGTCCGAAGTTCACGACGTCCTGCAGGCTAAATGGAAACTGCAAAATCGGAGCAGGTGTGACCACGCCAGCCACAGGGAAGGCCGCACAGATGTGCTTCGCAAAGCGTCCATAGTAGCCCATCAAATACTCGCCAAACATACCCCACACCAGCGACGCCTCTGCTGGTTTGTGAGATTCGGCGATAGCGAAAGACGCCATGTGATGACGCGTGGGTTGCGCCGACGTCCGTGTGCCGTGACCCTTTCCGGTTGTTGCCAAGTCAGAAAAGTCGTCGCTGCACTCGGGGAGTTCGCCGCACCGCAGAAAGATATGCCCCAGCAGCGCTGCATTGAGGGCAACATCGACAGGCGTGATGGTGGCTGGCTCACTGCGGCTGACAGGGAAGTGACGGAGCACCCCCAGCACGTTCGTCGCGCACAGCACCGGCAGCGCACCCCCGTGCGAGATTCCCGCGGGGCCCTCCACCGCGACTTCGGTGGCGCCGAACTCAAGCGCCGGCGGGTCCATGGCGTGTACGTAGGCGAGCTGCACAAACCACTCCACCGAGGTCGACACCTCCGCTGCGACAGTCTTGACCATGGCACACGCAGCCGCACGGTAGACTTCATCAGCAAGAACAACAAGACTGCCTTGCCGCTTCCGAGGAACGGAGTCGGGAGGTGAGGAAGAAGAAGGCGGGCGACGAGGTGCAGGAGCCGCAACAGTGAGGTGTGGGTTTACCCCCCACACCGCACGCAGGAATGTCTCATACGGCTGCAGCGCGGCTGCCGTGTCGGTGCCGAGAGACTGCGCGTTAAGCACTAGAACAAACACCGAGTCCTCCACCGCCAGTACACCCGCGGCGATTGCAGCGGGCACGTCTGTGCTCGGGTGGTGGCGCACGTCGATCCGTCGCATCATCGGTCCAATTTCTTCCACTTTGGGTGACACACCGCCGTAGAAGAACTGAGTCATGTGTGTCACGGTTGCTACCGGACGCGGCGCACGACGCTCGCGCATCTTCGCCGCAATTTGCGTCAGCGCCGTTGCGAACGCCGCCTGCCCCATACCCGTCGCAGCGCTCGCGCGATCGGAAGTTGGGGAGGGCGGCGCGGCGGCTGCAGCATCAGAAGGAACAGAGGAGCTCTCGTTGGAGTGCCCTTCCTGCATCGAATTCGGCGTTGCTGTCGGTGGGACATTCCACACCACCACACGGCAGTTCTGCGGCACCAGGGGGGAAGTGGCGAGTGCAGACACGTACGTGGCACTGACAGCGTCCACTGTCGTCAACAAGACCACCTGCGTGCACTGCTCGGGGAGCGTCAGGTGCGTTGTGGGGAATGCCATCGTGTTGCCTTTCATAGGAGAATAAATAAAAAAGGGATTTTGCTTGAAGAACAGAAAAGAGTCGATTTGCAAAAAAAAAATTCCGAAAAGGAAACGTACAAACGCCGATCGATCCTAAACGCCACTGGGCTGATACAGCTACGTGTTTTCGGATGTGAGAACCACCCTTCGTAGCCCAAAAGCTGTCGTTGATGTTTCTTTCTCCCCCCGTTTCAAACGATAATAATGAACACTGGCAAGTGCTACGCACGTGCGTGTGACTAGGAGCAAGAGAAAAGGTAACGATCAGCGCCGGGCTCAGCGGCGGGAGAGCTTTCAGTGCAATTCCCAGTTCTTGTCAGAACCCTTTGAATTGACTACCGCGACTCGGTATACGCCCGCTGAATGAGAGGCAAACGAGCGGCTCCTATAAGTGGGTGGAAGACGCGTACGAAAAAGAGCGCGAAAAAAAAAGAATAACTTTTTCCAACTTTGGAATTATTTTTGATGACAACACCGATAGTCTCCACAGCAACAGTATGGAAAAGAATAAAGAGAGCGAGAGAGAGAGAGAGACAGGGGGGTCTTTTCAACTAATGAGCGGTTTAAACACTTTATCAGAAAACCCATCGGAATGAGTTTCTCCTTCTCGAAAGAGAACAAGACACAACGCTTGCGCTTGCGCTTCATTGCGTTAGGCACCCGCCAACAACAACAGCCATAACTCACGTCAATATAATCCCCCCGAAACACGCAACGCAATGACTGTCTCCAATTACGATAACAGCCACAGAGCACAGAGAATAGCAACGCTAGAAGAAAACACAAGTGCGTCTTCACCGCTTTACATCCAGCGATTGCCAGTAAACCAGTTCATCTCAGTTCTTAGCTTCCGGTTAACTTTGATGTATGTCCGTTCGTACGAGAATGTCGAGAAAGTAAACTGGAGAAACAATCTACCAGAAACAATAGAAAAACATATATATTAGCGTCCGGCAATAATAATAATAGTAATAATAGTAGTAATAATAATAAAAGTAATAATCACAGTCGCAACAATAGGTCTTTAAACCTTCTCTGCTCCGCTTCTGCTGCGCAGCGCTGCGCTCACGGCTCGGTGCAGCCTTCACGCTCTACTTTGCGTGTGCCACACAAGCCCGCAGCAATCAGATAGCAATAACAGTAAAACACGACGAGCGCGGCGCCAACGGAGGCGAGCAGGCAGCACAGTGCAGGAGACGACAGAGAAGCACTCGGGGATGAATTGTGAACTGTGGAGGGGCGGCCATGCAACCAGCGCACGCCAAAACAAGAGAACAGAAGAATGAAATGACGGAAAGAACGAGGCTGGCGCCGAGCCGGGGGAGGTCCCCCCGAGCGTGCGCATATACGAACACAGAAAACAAAGAGAAGAGAAGACATAATAAAGAATGGGTCCCAACAAAGGGGGTGGGGTGAAGGTGAATAGGCGGAGCGAGCTCCATGAGAGCGCTATGCAAATCAGACCAGGGGAAGAGAAGGGCGAATCGCGTGAGGCACACCGGCACACCACGCCTCACTCCTGCGGCTTCTTCGGCTGCGGCGGCGGCTGCTGCTTCGCCGACTCCTCCGCCTTGTTGGGCGGGAACTCCTTGCGGCCGCCCATGTGCACCGCGTGGCGCGGCATGTCGCGGGGGTGCGCGTGGTCGCCGCTCTCCCACGGCCACCCGCCAAACTCCGTGCGGCGGTAGTCCGCGAAGCACTGCATGATCTCCTCGCGCGTGTTCATCACGAAAGGGCCGTGCTTCACCACCGGCTCACCAATCGGACGCCCCTGCAGCACCAGCACCTCCGCGGGCTCGTCCACAGCCCCCAGCACAAGCGGCACCTCCGCCGCCACGCGCGCACCGTTCATCGGGGCCACCACAGCCTCGCCACCGCCGATCTCCAGCTGGCCGCCCTTCACAAAGTACACCGCGCGCGTCGACGACGCACCGCCACGCGCAGCAGGCAGCGTCACCGCGGCGTTGGCGGGGATGTCCACCGTCCACACAGCGACGTCCGAGTCGGGTGCGGCAGCCCAGCTGTCCGGCGGCGGCGGCAGCGGCGTCACGCCCTCCAGCTCGCCCGCGATCACTTTCGACATGGCCTTCTCCGCAGGCGTCGCGGCGCCCGCGCGCAGCGGCAGCGTCGGCAGCTCCGCCATCGGCGTCTCCTCCTTCCAGAACATCGAGAAGTACGGCGTGCACATCTTGCTCTTGCGCGGCAGGTTCAGCCACACCTGGAACAGCTGCAGCGTGTTCGGCCGGTCCGGGTGCAGCAGCGGGAACATCTCCGCGTGCTGGATGCCGCCACCAGCGGTCAGCCACTGCGTGTCGCCCTCGCCGTAGCGCGCCGTGCACTTCACGCTGTCCGAGTGGTCCACCAGCCCGGTCCGCGTCACCGTGATCGTCTCGAAGCCGCGGTGCGGGTGCGCAGGGAAGCCAGGCACCGTTGTGCCGTGGTACATGCTCCACCCGCCCTCGTAGCTGAAGTCCGACCCGATGTCACGTGACCTGAGCAGCTTCGGGTCCGGCCCCAGCGTGTCCTTCGTGCTCGCAGGGTAGGTGTCGTTGTGGTACATGCAGAACAGAAAGGGGTCGAAGGTCTTGAAGGGCGAGCGGCCAAGCGCGAACACCTCGCGGATCACCTTCGTCGCCGGCGCAGTCGTCGAGGCGGGAGCGGCCATGTCTGCACGCGGGGGGAGTGACGTCGGCGTGCGGGGAGAGGAGGGGGTGGCGAGCAGCGAACCGTTCGCGGACGATGTTGTCACGGAGGCGAAGCGCGGGACAGCAGCGAGGAGGACGGCGAGGGTGAGCGACGCGAGAAGCACTGCCGCGAGGTGGGTGAAGGACGTCGTTGGGGGGTGGGGTGCGTCGACGGTGCGAAAGGCAGCCGTGACAAGCGAGGGGGAGCGAAAGAAAACTGTCGGCGTGCGCCGGGGGGTATGGAGAGGGGAAAGCAAAGGAGAGAGGAGGGAAACTAAAAATGAGGTAAATAGGGTGAAGTGGGGTGAATGGCTGGGAGCACAGTGAAGTGCGGGGATGGACAGACGAAGTGCGCAAGTCGAGAGATCTGCGGCGCCGCGGCAGTGCCCAGTCATCGGAAAGCAGCAGCAGAGAGGAAGAGCGAGGGTGTGGGAAGAGAGAGGGGACAGTGACGACGAGGAGACGCGGCCCGCGAGAGCAGGGGCCAATGAAAGGGGAGAGCGCCAAGCCCCCGGGGAAGCAAGCGCGGGGCGTGTGGGAGAAAAGGGTGACGCGGAAGGCGGCCTCCCGCCACTAACCCGTGACTGTTGTAGGTGTATTTGAGCTTCGCTGGTGATGTGTATCTGTTGACCACAATTCAGTTGTCTTGCTCACAATGTTGTTTAGAGGAGTGCGGCAGTGATGTGTGCCGCTCGCTTCTCGCAGCACTGACGTGGTTCGTAGGGGCAGCGGGGTAGAATGCCTTGGCACCATTGTTTGTCACCGGTAGCTGAGTGTAATACCAAACACTGCTCTCAACGAGCACTGCAGCGCGTGTAGGGCAAGTCGACATTCATCGATGTCGGCAAAGTTGATGAGGAAACCGCGTAAGGTGCGGTCGAACTCGACGTGCGTCGCGTGAAACAAACCCGTGAAGAGGCTTGTTACGAGAGGGGTTGCGATCATCACGTTCGGGCCGATGAGGAGTCTGGTGGTGCGAACACGCGGGTCGTGCGGAGCAAGCTTCGCGACGAGCTGAAACCGTGCGTCGGACACTCGAGTGACAAACGCCTCCCACCACAGATCTTCGTGCACGGCGCGTTGCTGCATTATTGTGTCGTTCTCCGTTGTGTTCTCTGGAGACATCCTTAGCAGATGGCTTCGTTGCTCTGTCCTCGTGGCGGCGCTTTCGTTTACGGAGTTGCGCTCGCCGGTTGATGTGGCTTGCTGTTCTGTGCTGCGCAATGTGCGTCTATAGCGCCAGTAGGACCGCACAAGGTTCTCCACAGAGAGCCCATCTGCCCAACGATAGAACAACCCGGCAGCTTCTGCGGTGGTGAACTGAACGCTGACAAACGTGTGAGCTGCCCTACCGGTGACGACGTTGCTGTGACGTGTTTCGATGCACTCCACTGCACCGAAGTGGTGCACGTGGGCGAAGATCAAGTCGTCCAACACCGTCGACAAGGCTGGAAATTTCATCGTGTCGGTATCATTGGGTTGGGCCGCGTTGTCATCGTCTAGTGACGATGACGATGACGAATACGAGGAATAGGATGAGTACGAGTACGAGTACGAAGAAACCGATGCAGCGCGAGAGCCGCTTCGGCGAGCGTCTTCAACTCTTTCATCCGCGCTGTTCAAAGCGGGTAGTGATGCCGACCGTGTGGAAGGTGCGAGTGGTGGGACGTCTTGCAACTTACGTGAACTACTGCTGTTGGATTTCGAGCTGCGTGTGTTGCTGCTGTCTTGATGTCCATTTTGACCTCTCCCACCATTGCTGTCGTCGCCGACGAACGTGGAAGGTTGCTGTAGAACGCCATCGACGCTGTCAGAGTGCAACGGCGTCACCACCGCCGTCGAAATTAAAGTGAGCAGCACGCGCCGGTAATCAGTGGAGGGTGCGTTCAAAAGCAAGGCTAAATCCTCCAACTCGTCTGCGCAGCACTGCGAGTAGGTCTCCCAGTAGGCGTTCCATTTTTGCGGAGAAAGCGGTACCGGTGGTTCATGGTCACTCGCCGACGAACTGCCATTAACACGTTGCCCGTTGGGATCTAGCCGTTGAATTACGGGTGCTCTTTCCGTGTCGGTGTGCGCCTCTACTGCACGGAGCAACTTCCACGGATTAGGGGATATGCAGGGTGTCTCAGTGGCCGTGGTCGACGTTGGGCAATTCCACGCAGCCTTCACAACATCCCGATTATTGGAACGCGGATGGTTCCCTAGTCGCGATTTTGGCGTGTCCTTGACAAAAGGCTTGTCATTAAATGGCAATCGCAGGCACCCTCGCCGCCATTGCGCGGCAGCAAACTTCTCTCTGGCGGCAATCCACTCCGCATCCTCGGCCGAGGGTGCTACGGGAAGGCTTGCAGAAGGTGCTGAGAACGCATCGGACGGCGTGGAGGAGCGTTGACGCTTTCGTGGGACAGGCGAAGGATTTGCCACGCTTGTGGGACTCATCTGAGGCGAAATGCTCTCTTCACACTCGCGCTGCGCAGAAGAGCTGCCTATCATCATCAAATGGCTCGATTACAATAATTTACGATTCATTCACGTTAATTGGATGTGAAGATGCTGGAACCCGTTGTCGGGCGAGTGCGCCTCTGCCAGCCGAAAATGAACGGATAACACCTTAAAAAAGAACGAAGCCAATCAAACACACGAAGAGGGAGCTGCTTCTCCGTGACGTGAAGTGGCAGCCACTCGAAACCTTTTCTCTCCCTGTACGATGAGGAAGAAGGAAATCAACGCGATAAAAACAACGACAAGGTAACAGGCGTCAAGAAGAGAGCAGAATGCAGCGAGCAGCGAGGTCGTGCTCGTTTGATCTCATCAGAGCAATAGCCCTCATCCTTAGAGCAACGCAAATCAAACAAGCAGAAAACAAAACACACCCGCTTTCGCGGCATGAAGGGTAATGAGGACACGGCAACGTAATGCACACTCCTCTTGTTTTACCACCACGTTGGATTTACTTTTTGCGAAAAGCGCATCTGAGTGGGGTGGGAAGAGGGGGTCACGAGAAACTGCGTGGAAGATCTCTTAAAGCCCAACAACTACCAACAAGCAAGCAATACCATTTCCGTCTGCTAAGGTGCATGTTGAGGTTTTTTGGTTTGCCTTTTTTCCTTTTAAAACAAGAGCCGGGCAACGGCGTCCGGTGACAAACACAGCGTAAACAAGACGTGAACAGTCCACGTAGCATTGGATGAAGTGAACGTTCATCCACGCGATTGCAGCGTCCAAAACATATATATACGTACTTGATGCTTCTTCACAATACAGTGGCAACACTTATTCTTATTGTTTTACGCCTGCTCGTCTTCTTCCTCTCCGTATTCGAAGTCCTCCTCATCGTTCCAGTTGTTCGCGTCGTTGGGCATTCCCTGTTGATGCTGCTTCTTCGCGCGCTGCTTTCGGTTTACCAAGAGCTCCTCATCGCTCTCGCTAAACTCCTCCTTCACTTCTGGCTCCTCCTTCTCCGGCACCGTAGCGGCGGCTTTCTTCTTCTTGTTTTTATTCTTGTTCTTCCCCTTTCGGCCGCCCTCATCCTCGTCCTCTTCCATTGGGGGAGGCGCAGAAGTGCCTTTCTTGGCTGCGCCACCAGCAGCATTCTTCTTGCTCCTCTTCCCCTTGCCACCACGACCACCTCCGCGACCGCCATCTTCGTCATCGCTGCCGTCGTCGACGCGCAGCTTCAGCAGCTCTGCCGTCAAATCATCCTTCGGCGCTGCTGCTACCGTTGCGGCGTCTCGTTCCGTGTGCTTGCGCGCCCTCTCCATCAGCGGCACCGCATCACCATCGCTGTCATCACTCTCATCGCTGCTGTGCCGGCCACCACGGTCTTTCTTGCCGCCTTTTCCGCCGCCTTCCTGCTTCCTGCGTCGGCCCCCACTTGCGGCCGCGTCGTCCACATTGCGGTGGTGGTTGTTGTTGCTCATGCTGGACGCTTGATCCGTGTCTTTCTCGTCACTGCTGGCGGCGACCTTTCGCGAGGCGCCCCGCACCCCTCCGGTGGCGGACGACGCCGACGTGGTCGTCGTGGTAGGAGCCGCATTTCCCCCAGACGCCTCGTCTCTGCCGTGGTGCGCGTTGGCCTTCGACACCGCATTCGCATCCAGCACGACGTCGTCGTCGCCTACCCCCGAGACGGCGGCGTCCACCATGTGCGTGGTGCTCCCCGGCGGTAACTTCTCCTTCACAAAGGTGTCCAAGTCACGAAACAGACTCGGCTGCATGACGAAGAGGAGAGAGTAGGCGCCGCCACCGCGACCGTCAGAGCCGGCTGCTGCCGCCAGATCCTTCTCGACCACCTCCGCGTCGTTCTCGCTGCACCACGCACGCAGCTTGTCCAGTGCCTCTGCTGATGTGGTGGTGCAGCGAATCTTCATGTTGGCGCGCGCAATCGGGATAATGTCGGCATCAATCAGAGAACGAATTAGCCCAAGTGCCTGTTTTTTGACGGGCTGGTCCAGCTTCACCGCGGCGCCGATCGAGCGCAGCGCCTGCTCAATGACCTGCGCAGGGAAAGGGTGCTGTGTTTTGGTGCTGACGCACTTCTGCGAAATGATAATGGCAATGTCCTTAAACATTTCATCCACCTCGGCGGTGCGCTCCTGCTGCGCCACCTGCAGCTCGCCGTGATCCAGCATAAACTTGATCGCCTCCTGCTCCGTCGTTTTTGGTCCAAAGACCGCCTCAACATCTTTTTCCGAGGCAAGGTGACCACGCGCGACGCTCGTGAAGATGCGCTCCACCTGGAGCACCTCATCAAGCCGCGTCTCTGTTCCACTGCGGTATGAGATGACCTTGTTCTTGTAACACGCAACTTCGAGCTTGACGCCGTTCTTTGAGTAGCGGACCACCGCAATGTTCGTGTGTCGCCGCTGCGACAGGGGAACCTGCATGCGTGCGCTCATATTGACCTTCTTTTTTTAACGCTCTCGTTACTACCTTTTTACGTTTATGGTGTTACTCGTTTACAAACGAGAAATCTCTAATAATCCAAAATAAAGGCTATTTGCTGTGGAACGGAACGGCAGCAGCATAACAGGAAGAAGGGGCACCGACATCCACGCAAATACGAGTCAAAGCACAAAGGAATATGACGAATCCTTGAGTACACGTCTCAATATCCTTTCGTTCAGTGCACCAACCCGCATGTGAGTCGAAGGGTGAAGGTCAGAGAGAACAAAAAGCGTTGGAAGAAGAAGAAGAGAGGAGGAAAAATGGGACGGGAATATGCAAAACGGCCGTTTTCGTTTTGCTGGAGGCATTCAAAAACAATATATATATATATATAAGGACATTTCTTTTTGTTTGGCAGATGAGGTAAAGTCAGCACACAAGAACGTTCTCGAAGGCAGTCCTTACGCAGCACAAGGGTCCGATGAAAGGTTTCTTCTTTGCGTGTGGGTGTGTGGACTGCTAACCAAAGCTGACGTCGCTGCAATGCACACTGGCCATTGGTGCAGCAGGAAACTAAGCTCTGATAAACCCCTCCTTCCTGCTTTTTCAAGTTGAAAGCGTCGGCTTTGAGGAACTGACGGGCGTAACAACAGAAAAAAGGGGAGAAAATAGCTCTCACAATGAGCTTCAGTGCGTTTCTCGCGCGCACGAGAAAGGGACCTCCGACAAGACGACCATTTGGCAAACAAACCACAAAACAGAACGGGGAAAACCACATGCATACAATCTAAAGGCACAGGTGGTAACCCCACGGAGATGATGAAAAAAAAAAGAGTAAAATGAAAAGTAAGAAATAAAGAACACCCACAAATCATCACACCATCAAGAAAAATCACAGTTTTTGAGAGAGGAAGTATCGCGGTCCTTTTTTGTAGTAACGCTCCACCGCAGCTGTCCATTGCGGATCGCGTCTGACCTCTGCAAAGGTGAAAACACGCAAAGCAGCAAAAACAAAGGAAAAAAAAACAGTCGACGAATGCAAAAGAAAACTCGGCTGACGGCACAAAAAGTGCACACAAATGTTGAAATACAAACACAGCACCATCGTTTCCCTTTTCGCCCTTCTTTTCAAATTCTTCATATCTTCGAAATACACACCTATAGCTACGCCGGCATGCGGCCGAATTTTTCGCGGTACTGCGTCAGCTTCTCGTCCTTCACTCGCACCAGTTCCTCTAGCTTCACAATCTTCTCCGACAGAATGGATACCGTTTCACGCAGTTCTTGAATGGTGTAGTCCTTTTCCCGTACTAGATGACTGAGGTTCTTCACCTCCTCGCTCGATCGTGCTGGCGGCGTTCCAGCGGAAGGCGGCGGCGGCGGCGCAGGAGGCGCCTGAGGAGCAGGAGCGGCGGCCGATGGGCCACGGCTTCCCCTCGCACTGCCATTCGCAGACGTGGGGTAGTCAATGAAGTGCGCCTGCTCATAGGTCTGCAGCTCATTCGCCGCACGCATCTCCTCACGCCGCTGCTTAATCTGGGCTATTTTCATGCGCAGCGCACGGAGAAAGCGCTCAATCGCGCCGGGCACCGCGGAGACGATGTCTTCCACCTCCTCTGCTGGCACCTCAAAGTACAGTTTGCGCAGCACCTTCGCGTTGAGGGTGTTCCAGTTGTCTAGCTTCTTCTCGTGCGACATGGCCGGCACGTAGTTGTGCAGGTCAACCAGTTTGGGGAAGAAAAACTTGAGAATCTCCGCAACGGAGCAGCCATCGGCAAAGTCGCGGGCGATGTTACGCTTCGACCGGGAGATCGGGATCTCGTCCACCCACGTGTAGAGCTCGTGCAGGTCTTCCTCGCTAAATGGAATGGCCGCCATTTCCTCCGGCCTGTAAAGGCGTCTCAGGCGTGCGATTTATGTAGTGGTCCGCAGAAGGCGGAGATGCGTGAGAGCGCAGAAACAACACTAGTTGGTGTTGATTTTTTCGTAGAGTACCTTGTGCTGTAAGAGGCGGCGAGCAGAATAAGAAGAGAGTAAGAGAGAGAGAGAGGAAGACGATGAAAGTGGCACTGATGGTGAAGCCGATGAAACCTTTCACTTTCTTGGCCCGATTACAAGAACAACAACAAAGAGGTCACCGGTGTGGAAGGGAGGCGCGCCAGCCTATTCGTCAGCTCACATAATTACGTCGAAAGACGGACATTCATTTCATTTTTTTATTATCTTTAATAAAAACACTGTTGGAGATTTAATATGATTTTCTAAAGGAAGAAATGAACAAGAGCAAAAGCACAACAAGTCTATCCTACGCAGCTAAGATTAGAAAACAAGCTGCAATGTGGTTTTTAAAGCCCTCTTAAGCTTCGTCACACACACACACAGTCTCACACACTTACACCTTGTATGCCAGAAGTGAAGGCAGTTAATGGAAACGATTGATACACGCTATCCGTGAAAAGGGCGGGAAAAGGAGGAGTAACTTGTTGTTTGTGGTTCTAGTGGGCACCACAACAATGTTAAAAATATGTATGTATAGAGAGAGCGTGGCAACGCAGGTCCACGAAATTCATACAGCAAACCATAAAACACAGAAGCTTGTCACCTTCACGAACGTGTCAACTACACCCCTTCTTTGTACTGCCGCAGAGCGCTGACAATCTCCTCCACGCCTTCTGCGAAGTCATGCGCGGTTAGCGCATCCGTCACGTTGTGCTCCGACACAATAGGGAGGGCTTTCGAGGCGGGAACGACACCGTCCCTCTTCTCGAAAGCTGCATTGGCGGTAGACGGCGCGTGCGTGCTGCCGTTCCGCGAGTCGCGCGGTAGCGACGGCGGCGGTGGTGGTGCGCCGTGACGAGGCTGCGTCTGTCCGCTCCCGCGCTCTTCCCAGTAGTCGGAGGAGTCGTCGCGATCCTGCGAGGGTGTCGACACCAAAATGTCATCCGCTTTTGTCGTGCGTGGGGCTTCCGTGCCCCGCCACTGTCTACGGTGGGACGGCGGTGGTCCTTCTGCACTGGGGGAACGACGACGTCCCGTCGAGCCGTACGCGTCCGCAGCGTTATCATTAAAATAGCTCCTCTTTGGAATATCATCGATGTCGTCGTAGTCCGCCGTGCGACTCGGGTACGACGGTTTGTAACGCGAGTTAGTGGAGGGTGACGGCCGAGAACGGAAGCTGTCCACGCCGGCCCGCGGACTCGCTGTGTCGCCTCCGCTGCTCCCCCGACGCTGCCCGTACGGCGTGTAGCGCGGCGATGCAGACGACGGAGAGCTGTAGCGGGAGGCGGTTGGTGCGTTGTTGTTGTTGCCACCTCGCGCGTTCGTTCGGTCACTGCGCTCCGCCTCACGAACGTAATCGTTCCAGCGCGTGAACGGTCTTGCCGCGCGACTTTCTGGGCGAGAACGGGGCGAGTACGCAGACCGCAGCCCTGGGGACGACCCGACATCATCGTCGACCTCGTAGGAGCGCGGTGGGGTACCGGTCCAGCGTGGAGTGGCGGAAGAAGCCGTGAACGCGCGGCGCGGTGCATGACGGGAGCTCGCGAGCCCATCACCCTGCGTACTGTTGTCGAGCCCGTTGCTGCGACTTCGGAAGTACGACGGACTAAATGACCGCGGGCTCTGCCCTTCACCTTCCGCAGCTCGGAAGGGGACGCGGGAAGGGTAGTCCGGCCGTGCATACGTAGACGGCAGCGCGCCCCTATAGCGAGACGTGCCGATCGGTTCGTAGGGCGGGGTGGAGTAGCGGCTTTCACCGGAAGGACGATCTGCACGATTTTGTGAGGGTGTGGCATCGCCGGGCCATGCGTCGTGTGCCTGTGATGGCGGTGGCGGTGGGAGGGGGAGCGGGTCTGCCTTCGACGCTGACTTGGAGCGTTGATGCGTGGACTTGTGTTTGTCGTCCTTCTTCGATTTTTTAGTCGCCGCAGATTGGGATCGGCGCCGTTTGTCGTGCTTCTTTCGCCTCTCCTTCTCCTTCTCGTCCTTCGTGTGATGTTTCTTCTTTGCCTCGCCGCTGCGAGCGCTGTTATCACCGCTGTTGCTGCTGCTGCCGCCGGTGGTGCTGCGTCGACGATGGTGACGGCTCTTTTTCCTCTTCTGTGCCGCCGCCTTCTCCCGCTTCCGCTCCGCCCTCTCTTGCATGTGCTGTAGTGAGCTCAACGCAAGGGACACATCCTTCTCGCGCTGCTGCTGCAGGCGGGAGAGTTGGAACTCCATCGAAGTGGCCAGGTCGCTGTCCACGTCGCTGTCGTCGTCGCCGCCGGGATTCCGGTGCGAAAAGTTGAAAACATCCGGAATGGAAAAGAGAGCTGTGGAGGACGCCTTGGACGACAAAGACGAGGAGGCGGTGGAGTTCGCACGGCGGTGCGGCTTGGCGTCGCGGCTGCCGTGCCGCTTTCCCTGTGAGGGTTTGCGCTTGCGCCTCCCTTCCTCCTTGTCCTTCTTGTCTCTCCTTGTCGGATGCGCATCCTCCTTCCTTCTCTTTCCGTCTTTCTTTGGCTTCCCGCTTGTGCGAGAAGACGCGGAAGACGCGCCGGCTGATGCGCCGCGGTCGTGCCTGTCCGCCGCGTGCGGGTCCGCGTGGCGAGCGTGCCCGGCGCTGACCTTCTCCTTCGGCTTCGATACTTCACTTTCGGGTTCGGCGACCGTGAACCCCCCTGTGGCAGGTTTACTGAGACTGCGCCGACTACCTGCGGCAGCCGCTGGCCGACGCGATGGCTTGGCATCCTTGTGCCGCGTGCTCTCTTTCGGTTTGATGGGATCGGCGGACGGCGACAGAATGGCGGCACCCTTCTGCTGCCCAGGCGAATGACGGAGATGCTCTGCGGATGGGCGCGGGGTCGACTGTTCCGACGCCGCGAAAGCCGAAGTGGGCGGGGCCAGATGGCGAGTAGCGCGCGGTCGAGGCTGCGGCAGCGGTTCCACCGCGTCGACCGCCTCCATCGGTTCGTCGTCGCTGCCGGCGCCGCTCCTGATTTCGCCCTCCGCATCGCTGCCCTCTACGAGATCATAGGCGTCCGCTTGCGGAAGAGAAGCGGGGCGGGTTTGCGGCTTTCCATTCGAGGCCACCGGCGCCGTTGGTTTGGCAGCGGCGGCGCTCTTCGGGGCCTTCGTCACTTTCACAGCCGATGCGGATTTTCGCTTTGGCGTGGCGGCAGATGCAGAAGCTTGTCGGGCCTGTTGCTGCTGCAGCTGCAGCTGTGGTGGTTGGCCGTAGTACTCGCTGGTCGGCAGACCGGCTTGCAGCTGCACCGGCCAGCGGCGCGGATCTCCCCCGTCTGCAGGCGCACCAACACCAATGCCGAACACATTGGCGGCCTGGTTCATGTTGTCTGCCGCGCCGGAGGCTGCGGCGCGCGGGTACGCACTGCTCAGCGTCGATGCCGCACCCGCTTCGGCGGACGCAATGAGAAACTGCTCCATGGCGTTCTGCTTCGCCCTGCCGGAGCGCTCGCGCAGCGTGGACTGCCAGTCTTGCGTGAGGTGGGAGACGTTATCCACCGTCAGCGGCGGCACAAAGAGCGGCACCGTCGTGGTCGCGGTCGCTGCTGGTGGTGGGAATGCACCGTTCGCATTGTTGTGGAACGGAGGAGCTGCCACTTGCAGCGAATACGGAGTAAAGAACGGCTTCTGTTGTGGCTGTCCAAAGGCCGGAAATGCACTCGAGGATGGGAAGGTGGAGTGGGTCGCCGGTATCGGCGCGTACGCAGTCGACGCAGGGGCACCAGCAAAACGCACGTTCTCCATGAAGCTCGCCGACTGCACAGGAGCCGCCGCATGCACCCCACTTTCAACAAGAACAGACGGACGAAGCACAGGCGTGGCGGCCACGAGAGGCATCCCGCTCTCCCCTCGCGCCTGTATCATTGTCGGACCAACGCGGTCTGTTTGCGTGGCGCTCGCCTGCATCAGCCGCCGTCGTCGGGAGCCGCCGCTATCGCGTGCGATTCGATCTCCGTCGTTCTCTCCAAGGCCATCGGCGCCGTCGGAGGCGGACCACGCACCGTCCCCTGCCTCGCCTCCGTCTGCTGCTAAGGTGAGCCGCGGCAAGAGGGGCATTGTTACGGTGGTGATGCCGATCCGTTGTGGTGCGGCATTCGTCTGCTCGAGCTGCGCTACCTCCTTCTCCAGCCCTGCGCCAAAGTAGTATTCATCATTCTGCGTCGGGCGATACGGGGCGTCGGGAAGGGATGGCGCCGGGTCTGACGCGGATTGCGGCGACCTCGACGGCTGAGGCTGTTGATGATGGCGGCTTTGTTCCACTGAAGCGCCGCGGTCACTTACGCTGTCGACGAATTTGGCGTCACTACCGGAGCGGTGCGGTTGGTTTGCCTTTGCGTCTGCATGCACCGAGTTGCGATGAGAGCCGGGATGCGGAGAGCGATGGTAGTGGTGGTGGCGACGTCGCGAGGGGGTCATGGTGGACTCGTCCCACCGACGTGTCTTGGCGCTCGCCACGTCTTTGTTTTCATCCGCCACGACGCTGCTGGGGGGCGCTGGTGTTGATCTGCGGTGCGGAACCGACGTCATAGATGAAGATCGTGAGCTTTTCTCCTTCACGACGGACGAGTGTACACTGATGTTGGTGCTGTCCTTGCGTGACGCCACCTTGTCTGCCGTGTCTTTGGCAGGACTGGTGTCATTGCGAGCTTGCTGCTTATCCTCTGGAAGAGGAGGAAGGCTCGACGAACGCCGCAGCGGCAGTGCGTTGCCCGACCGAGGACGACGCGAGTGCGCAGAGCGTGCGACAGAAGAGCGGCGACTCGCACTTCGTGACGACGCCGCTGATAAGGCGCGGCGAAATTGTCGGCGATCTTCTTCTGTCCTCTCATCCTCACTTCCTGCTCTGTTGCTGCCGTGAGCATCGGCGTCCTCCTCGCCTACACGACTCTCGCGAATGTGCGTATTTCGGCTGGAGTTTCGCGACGACACGGACGGCTTGCGTCCTGGTTGAATGTGATCAATGAGTCGCTCTAGCGGTGGCGCGCGCGCTGTCGTCGAAGCGGACACCGCACCGATGGCACTGCCACTGCCAGCCCGTGCATCTTCTCTACTCTCTGTGCTTCGGCTCGCTCGCGCAAGGCGTTCGCGCTGGCGCGCTTCCTGGCACTCCTCCGCGTGCCTCACCGCGGGCGAGCCTTCTCTGTAGGGCACCATGGACACCTGCATCACGGGATCGCTCTCCGACGGCGGCGCCCCGCTGCTCTTCCTGCGCACGACAATGACGAGTTTCTTGTGAAAGACCTTGTGGCCTCCGGTGGTTGTGGCGAGTCCTGCGGATGGGGACGTGGGAGACGCAGGTGGGGAGGCGCTGCTCGCACGGGAGGTCGGCGTGGGGGCGTCCCAGACCAAGTCCTCCGCCGGTACACCGCCGCTCGACCGCTTCGACGACACTGATGGAGCTTCCTTTGCTCCCTTCTCCGAAAACACAGCCCCAGTGGACGGCGGGCGTGCGGGGTCCGATTTCCTTTCGCGAGTGTCCCGTGGCTGGTGAAGAATCGGATGCGCCGTCGGTCTGTGTGTCTCCTTCGTACGCTTCGGTCCGCTGTCGGCCACAACGGACGACGCCCGTGAAGATTTCTTTGAAGGCAATGAAGAAGAAGACTTGGACCGTTTTGCCTCGGGAGTGTCGTGGCGAGCCATAATGTCACGCAGGCTTACCGGCTCGAAGACACCACCGCGCTCGTCGAGGCTTCCAGGTGAGACGGCGCGGCGTGTGGAGTGCCGCTTGTGTGGCCGCGGTGGCGCAACCGCCTCGGCTGATGGTGTTTGCTTGGTCAGGTACGTCGGCGACTGCTGCCGGGCGACATCGTGGCGGTGCTGACGCTCTCGCAGTAGCGGGTCCACGTACACTTGCGGCTCCTCCTTCTCCGCTTTGTGCTGTCGTTTTGGGACGCCCTCCACCGTCACAGGAGCCGCCGCCACTGAGGCGGGTGGTGCGGATGGACCCTTCTTCTTTGAGGGTGAGCTCCGTCTGCTGCTAGGTTGAGAGCTGTCCGCTGACGAGGCGTCCGCCGAAACTTCGCGGTGCGGAGGACCGCGTCGAGGATTGCTTTCGCGCCGTCCATGTCCTGCTTGAGGCTTCGACGAAGGGCCCTTCGTTATTGGTTGAGAGGGCGACGTGCGGGCCGCCGCGGAAGAGATGGGGTGCGGGGCTGCGACAGCGGCGGTCTCCTCTGTAAAGCTTTGCCCTGAGCTGCGACTTGTAATCGTGGATGGCGAGCGGCCATGGGAGCCCGAGTGGCTCGCTTCCCTCGGAGTGACGGGCGGTGCGACTTCTCCTCGTCTTTTCGCTCCCTTACTGTCCACTGGAGACGGTAGCGACGTGCTTTGGCTCAACGAAGGTGTAGCGCCTTCCTCGCGGCTTGGACTGCGGTGCTGCCGCATCCCGCGGTCAAGGCCCTCTGTCAGCGACGTGGGCGTCGAGGGGATGGGTCGCTCGCGACTGCCGCTGCTACTCCTACTGCCACTTGCGCGGCTTTCACTGGCGCCTTTGCTGGTGCGCCGCTCCGGCAGGCGGCCGCTCGGGGAGCGCGAGTGGCTCGGACTGGGGTTCCTGGTGCGATCCGGCATTCGGCCGCCGTCCCTGTGTGGGGACCGTGACGGGGAGGCGGCTTTGGGTGACGGCGTGCGTGCGCGATCGCTGGACCTGTGCCGTGACGGTGCCTCCTTCACCGGAGACTCGTAGTGAAAGGAAGGTTCGTTATCGCTGTGCGCATCGCTGGAGTAGTCGTCGTGGCTCGTATCACTGCTGCGGGTTGCGCTGCTTCCCATATCATCCTCGGGGTCGAGGCTTTCACGGGATCGGCCGGCGCCGTCGCGCTGAGAGCCACGCTGGGTTGTACTCACCTCGGTGGGGGGCTCGTCCACGTAAGCGTCGGAAGGCCACCGGTGCCGCGTCGGAGGGCGACGGCCAACCGGCGCCACCACCGCCGGTGCGTCACCCGTTTCGCTGTGCGATGGGCGGCGGCTTCTATTGTGCGGCTCCGTCAGAACGTCGTTGTCGCGCCCCGCAGAGCCGCCCCTGCCCGCCACCGCGTTGTTTGCGGTGCCGCGTCCAGCTCGGTCTGGGCTGCGCTGAGGATGTGGGGAAGGCGTAGGAGGAGCAGCCGGACGGCGCGGTGGCTGCTGCTGCCCGCGAGGTGGGGAGGCCCTGTCGAGTGTAACAACGTCATTCTCTTCTTCTGGTGGTGGTGGTGCAGAGGCGGTGACTGCCGTGCGAGCGGGTGTGGGTGGGTGGGCCTCTCCGCTGCCGCGCGGTGGTGTGCGTGTGGGCGAACGTCCTGCGCCAACAGGCCGCCCCGGCGAGGCAGAGGGAGACGCAGAGCGACGCTGCTGATGGCCATCGCGGTACGTGTCAGGACTGCGCTCGTGACGCAGTTTGTCGTTGTCAGCAGCAGTAGCAGGGACGGCGGTGTGGTGCCTGTCCGGTGATCGAGGAGGGGAAGAGGGTGGCATCCCGAGATCCGTTCGTTCACGTTGTCCGTCGTGAACGTCCTGTGATGTCGCCTCCGGGGTTGCAGCCGCGGGCGTGTCCGTCGCGTATCGCAGCATGGGCTCTGCAAACTCGTCCTCGTCGTCTTCGCCGCTCAAGCTTTCACGACGAGGTGGTGTGTTCTCAGGACTTGTGCTGTTGTTGCTGCTGCCCTCATGCAACGGAGAGAGATCGATAAAGCTGATTCGACGGTGTCCCGAGCAGGGCGATTGGGTGTCGCGCTCTCTGCCGGGGCGGCGTAAGATGGAGCGTGGTGTGTCGGCTGCCAAGGAGCTCGCGACACTGACCGGACTCACCGGGAAGTCCGTTATGGGAATCCCAGGGGACGCCGTGGCGGCGAGGAGGGGAATCGCGGAGAGCACCTCAGACCTGGAGGCACGGCGGTTCTGCGGCTCTCGCGTCACACGATCGGCGCTGTCTTGCGGAGTGTCGCCGGTGTTGTCACCGTCATCGCGCTCACTTGAAGTGTCGCCACTCAGCGCGGCTGATGCGAACACGGGGACTGGGTTGCGGTTGTCGTCGAGAGCTGGCGACGAGCCGCGCGGCTGAGCCGGTCCCAGCAAAACTTCACTCTTCACCTGCTCCTGCCACGATGGCGGAGCGGAGCTGGACGACGAGGCGGTGAGCGGGGGTGACGACGACGGCCGCCCTGGTCGCGGCGGTGACGGCGCCTGTTGCTGCGGCGTCGATGGTGCGGTGCCACCGCGCAGCGTGGCGAGGAGGTGCACCTGCTGCTGCGCGTACGGGACATCGTCGTCGTCGTAGCCGACGTCTATGTACGGCCGCTCGGGGGAGTTGGAGGCACGTGCGGGCTCAATGCGGGCGGAGGAACTCAGCGAGGACGGACCGGACGGCGTGGTGGACGTGGGCACGGGCTTCCGCATCGGTGGGCTTTTGTGGCCGCCCAACCGAGGAAGGCGCGGTTGGCTGGAGTTCATATTCCTTAGCATCTTTAAGCTGAAAACGAAAAAGGAGGAGAGAGAGAAAAGAAAGATCTAAATTCGGTGCGTCGCTCCCTCTACTGTGGCTCGATCACACGAGACGATGCAGCGCGCTGCCGTTTCACTCTATAAAAAAAAGTTCCGCCTCTTCGCAAAAGGGATAAAAAACGTTATTACAGTGTAGAAAGCATGAGGTACAGAATTGAGATGGAAACAGTCGATCTTGCTTGAGCTTCGAATTCAAGTGGTTGTATGAAAAAATAGTACCGCGGTCAGCGTCTAACCCTGAGATACACGCCCTGGGTCTCTTCCGCTTTTTTTTTTTGATGTAAGAAACACAAACAAAGGAGGTTGCCGCAGGTCAGCCGCGGCTCGGACTAGAGGGGAGGGGGAGGGGAGCGGGTCAGAACGCACGCTGAAGAAAAGGAGTTGATGCTAGTTGCAGTTGACAGCAAGATGCAACGCAGTGAAAGAGCAAGTTAGAGGCACACACACACACAAAAAAAAGAAGAGTGATGAATACCGAGAGAGAACGAGAGAGTACAGGAAGCAAGACATTATTATTATTATTATTGGTGTTGTTTCTCCGATCACACACGCACCTCTGCACAGGCTTCTTCGCGCGAATAACGGCAGGTGGCGTAGAAGCGGCATACTGATTCAATAAGACGCTTTTTTTTTGCTTTTTACAGTGTGACTACAAATGACCTTATTTTTCAACTCACCCTCCTTCGCGTGTACTTATCCAATGCGGAAGCCAGAGAAAAAAAAACCCGCGGCGTCATTCACAACCAATGTGACCCTCCTTCACGTAGACGCCGATCTCCTGCAAACAGCTCAGCACAGACAGGTTCGACCGCAGCAACGCCAGGTGGTTCCGCTCCGCAGGGGAGACGTACACGCGAGCCATGCGGAGGACGTGCTGCACGGTGGTGGGCACCGCCAAGTCCGTCCGAATCGCACAACGCACAAAGTCGGAGATGACTTCGCGCGGCGTTATCACTGCCTCCCACATGGCGGGGACGGTGTAACGGAACACCGTCGGCGAGGGAGGAGGAGGAGGGGCGACACCTCCACTGAGTACTGCGTGACGGGGTGCCCAGATGAACGACACCGGCCGAATGGGAGTAAATGGGGAAGAAGCGTTCTCCGTCATCGAGGTGCACCGTTCTTGCTCCCTCTCCGTTGGTTCCTCCCACCGCACACAGGATGCCCCAAACGTCACCTCCTGCTCCATCGCAGCGGCAGAGGGGGCGCGATAAAACGCAGCGGGGTTGTCAAGCAGCCCATTGGCGGACATGATGCCCCCACAGCCCGTACGCAGCGCCGCCTCCAACGCACTACTCACGTCCGTCACCCCTCCGTTCAACACCACGGGAATCGACAACGACTCGCGAATGTGCCGGACAGCGTCGAACTGCACCGCCGCACTTGGGTGGCAGTGTGGGGTGCGCCCGTGCACCGTCACCCACGCCGCCCCAGCCGCCTCGCACTGTCGCGCGAAGTCGACGCTGCGGCGAAGATCCTCCTGGACGCGAATCTTCACCACACACGGCAGCGCCGGAGTGTCGCCGTTGCCTTCCGGGGTGGCGTTGCGGATGGCGCGTACCATGTCCGCCACCAATTCCGGCTTCTCCAGCAACGCCGCTCCAATGCCCTCCTTCATGGCCCACCGTTGCGGACACCCGCAGTTCAAATCGACGGCATCACAGAAGGGCCGCACAATGCCTGCCGCCTGTGCCGCCACGGGACCGCTCTTGGCGGCGAGCTGCACAACAAGGCGGTCTTCGCCGTCGTACAACGCGAACTCCGCGTGGCGCGCGTGCGACGACTTGACGAAGCTCTCGGCGATGAGCATATGCGTGTAGCTGATGCGTGTGCCCCAGCGTCGGCAGACTTGCCGAAAGGCTGGACGGCTGCAGCGCACCATCGGCGCTTGAATGAGACAGAGAGAGCCGTAGAGCTTTGGCCAGTCGGCTACGCCGTCGTCGCCACTCCGATCGATCATCGACGTCTGCGACGCATCCTCTTCAGCACCGTGCGTTCCAGTTTCGGGAGCGGATTGACGTGCAAGGGAGGACGACAGCGCCGACGCCGAAGATGCTGCGTCGTTGAACGCACCAAGAGGATTTGAATTGGCCGAATGTGATGCGGTGGTGCCAACGACGCCTACGTATTCTTTCGTGAGAGACGCGATGACATCTGCGACGGCCTTATCAGCCTCCGCTATGAGTACTGGCAGCGGTGTTTGGCGCGGAACGGGTTTAAACTTAGCGGCCCATGCCTTTTCCAGCGCTCCCCAATCTCCCTCGTCCATCGTGTAGCAGCGATTTCCACTCTTATAGGTGTGGGCGTGTGTGTTCCTCGCTCAGAAGGCGACGAAAACATGCCAACGGTCCTGGAATCCGTCAATCCTGCAGCGTCTCCGCAGCAATTCAAAGGAGTCGTCGTCAGCTGCGGAAGAACCACACACAACAAAGAGAAAAAGAGAAGGGAAAAGAGGAAGCTGGAGAGAAAGACCGATGAGCGACGCTACGAAAAAAAAAAAAGAGAGCTCAACAGACGACTGCTACTGCCACTGCCACAACACAAAAACAAGCATTTCATCTTCGCAGCTTTCGCAGCTGACGTTCGGGAAAAGGAGGAATTTCACGTCGCTTCGACACACGTAAGGAAGCATTGCGTTGCACAAGGACTCGCTTTTCATGCATCACTTCTCCAGAGCAAAAGGCACATCACCAGCACCCTAAACACTCGTCCCAACAAGTCACTGGGTTATGAGCCGCAACGACGTTTCTATTTTTCGCGGGCATCAACGTATCAAAACACGGTCTTGCATCGCCTCCACGCCGAGCTCTGCTGAGTATACTTCTCCTTTTTGGCGTTGTTGCTGCCGAGCGCAGTACAGAAGAAACAAGTCTGACTCCGAAAGCGATGAAGAAGACAAGTGCGGAGAAGCGGAATAAAGAAGTAGAAGATGGTCAAAGCGAAAACATTTTATACTCGAGAGGGGAAAAAAAACTGAAGAAGCACCAAAGCAAATTTGCCGAAAACGCAAAGCAGCAACGTCGTTTCATATACATTCTTTTAACAAGAAACAAAGGAGGTAAGAAACAAATAACTCAAAGGAAAAAAAAACTTATGCACTTGACGAATGGTCTGCATCGCACTACCTCGGTCGGTTGGCAACGCAGTGCTCCTACTTCTCCTTTTTACATGGTGTTCTGCAATTACAAAAAGCGCCGCTTCTCATGCACGTGCGCATCAAAGACAAGCTCGCCTGAGGTGAAGTCCGTAAACGTCTCCATGCTGGATGTCTGATAACTCGTCTTCAGAATAAACTCTAATACCTGATGCATCTGCGCTGCGTCGTTCACCATGATGAAGTCGTGCGCTGCGCTGCCGCCATCCACGCCCAGTTCTCTCGAGTCCCGCGACGCAAAACCAGCCCCTGCGCTCGACGCCGCAGCAGAGGTGAAGGTGGGGCTTTGCGAGCGAGGCCGCATCATCATCCGCTCATTGGAAGTGCGAATAATCGGGAAGCGCCACTCCACCAGCGGCCGCTCATGCGTAATGCGCCACCGCGTTACCTCCTTCGACGACAGTCGCACCGAGAGCACCAAGCCGACCTCATCGAGACTGGGCACAAGTTCGTCGACGCGACCCCCACTGCTGTTAGAGCTGTTCGTGTTGTTGTTGATATGACTGTCGCTGCCACGACTTCCGGTGGCCACCGCTGCAGCACCGGCGGCGGCGGCAGCCGTCAAGTTCGACGTGGGACTGCCGACGCGCATAATGAACCGCGAGGAAGATGTTGGTGAGGCGGGTGATACTAGCGGCTGCACCCTTCCGCTGTTACCCCCCGCAGCTGCAGATGGTGATGTACACGCGTAGCACTCCATCGTGTTTTCCTCCTTCGCGGATGCGCTATCGTTGACGGCGTCGCTGTTGTGCATGAGTGCCGACGCACTCGGCGAAGCGCTCGATACCGCCGCCCCGGGATGACTAGAAAAAGAGGCGGAGTGCAGCGACATCCGCTCCAGCCGCTGCTGATGTTCCGCGACGAGCATCTCGACTTCCTCCATCGCGCGCGCGTACGCCGTGGTGATAGTGGGGTTGTGTGTCTCGCGTACGGTGATGTGCACGCCACCGAGTTTCTGCAAGACTTGGGTGACGGGGACAACGAAGGGCTGCTCATGTTGGCGCTGCAGTGCCGCCAGCTCCGCCTCCTCCACCACAGTCAACGTTCGAGGAGGAGACAGGGAAGCCGTTTGGTTAGCACCAGAGCCGGCGAGGACGGACTCGCCTACTCCGCAGAAGGCAGACAACGATCCTTGTTGCTGCTGCTGGGATGGTGTGGTGCCTGTGGTCGCTGCGTTGGTGGCTGTGCGTCCCCAGAAGCTCGACATGACAGACACCGCGGAGGTGAGCAGCGCCGTGGCGGAAGGGGCAGCTGCACCACCGCGGCCGCCACCGCCACCACTGACACGGCCGGGGCTGCGGCCGGCAGAGGGGTCGCGAAGGGTTGGGGGTCGAGGCCCAACCGGGGATTGGAACTCGATAGAGTACAGAATGGCGTAGAGCAGCGGCGACAGGGCGGACGGCGTGACACGGATCGGACGCGGCTGCGGATCAGCTGCGGCCGCGGACGTGCTCGGCATATAACTGAATACCTGGTAGTTCATCTTGCGCTACGCAAACGGTCAATCTGGACCACGGTTTGGTTTGGGAAAAGAACAGAGGAAGCGGGAAGACAGTTGACGCAGCATACGCTCTGCAGAGTGGCAAGATAACGCCACTAAACCAAAAATAGCAAGAGAATCCCCCCGACTGTGTACTTATAAAATCAGCAAGAGGAGATAAACAAATGGAAGGTAATCCGTTTCTTTTTTTTTGTAAGAAAAAGAGAGGAGGAAATAAATGTAGCAGCAATCAAGAACAAAAGCAGAAGAAGACGTTTCGACAGCAGCACAGGTAACGCACGAGGCGGCAACTCTACCAATCAACGGTCAGTCGATTAGTCCGTCGCCGTTCGACGGCCAGTATAATGGAAGCTGTAAAATAATAATAATAAAAGAAACGCGTAATCGACTTCAGGTACGCGGTACACAGTTTCTGTAGAAAAGCGGTAATCAAAAAAGGATGAAGAAAGAGAGAAGAGGAATAGAGGAGGAAAGATGTCGATGAAGAGCATCAGATGTGAAGAAGCAGCTGATTGTATTTTTTCTTTTAGACAAGACGCTATAGGCGTAAAAGTCGAAGACATCCGCAATCACGAAAGATTGGGAAACCCATAAAAACCATATATATATATACACTGAAGAGGGAGAATTCGCAAGGCTCGCAAAAGAGGGAGTAACGTGGTAGGTCCATTCTACAGCACATCCGTTTCTTTCAGCGTTAGCAACCATAACGTTCATAATTCAGTGTGGTCGCCATCGAAGTATATAACTCAAAATAATAGTAATTACGAAGGCAACGAGCAGACACTCCGAGAACGGGAAACGCGACATGTTGACGTCTTTTGTTCTCCAGTCACACACACACACACACACACACGAAAAAAAAAAACAGAAAATCCAACAAGAATGCGAGCAACGCCGGGGCAATAAGACGTTAGAGGCCTCGCCTCCATCGTTTCGTTGAACCCAACCAAATTCACATTCAAAACAGGGAGAACCAGAGAAGCTAACCCACATCATGCATGCGACGCTTTCTCCAGAATGGCAAGGAGCTGCGCCCGCGTGCCGGGAAACAACGCGAGCACCGTTTTCTCTCGTGACGTTCCGCCACGCACCAGGGTCACATCAACGCGTGCAGGAAAAACCTCGCCTGGTGGATGCACTGCCGGAGCGGATGCCTTACCCCCACTAGATTTGATTTTTTGGCCGTTGGAGGCACTAGAAATAGCGTCCCTCCCCTTTCCTTTTCGCTGTGATTTCTTGTCACCCCTCTCGACTGAATCGCTCGTGCAGAGTTGCGTCTCTGCGGCGGCGGACTCGGCAGCCACCACCTGTGCGTACGACGTACCTTCCACGAAACCTGTCGAGTCCCTCTGCAGCTCGCGCAGTCCTTGTTCGACGACCTCCTCGAAAAATCGAACCAGCTCGGCGTTCGCCTGACCCTCCACCGGCGGTGCTGCGATGCGCAAGTCGACCTCGGTGTGGTGAAGTGCGAGGGGAGCAGCGAAGGCAGAGACCCGCGCGCCGGGCTTGGCGTGCACGCGGATAAGAAAGCCGCCAGGCTGCTGCTCGGTGAGAAAAGGAAACATCCTGGCAAGGCAGACGATAGTGCCTCGGTGCATTAGCCTACGTGTCCTTGATTCGTTGTACCGGATGTCCTTTCAAAAGCAACAGAAGAACCATATTTATTACTATATTAATAATGAAAAACAAGAGTGAGAACGACGTTAAGAGACTGCATTGGTAGCAGAAAGGTGACAGCGCATGTGCCTCAACCATGACAAATCTTTTTATTTCCCTCCGCACAAACGTTCATCGCTGCCACAGGCGATAACCCACTGTTGTGCAACGGCGCATTAAGAGTCTTTTTGACCTCGGTCTCTCTGGCAGGCGATGTTCTCTATTTGCTAACGCAGGTGCGGACACGCTACAGAACCCTTCACAATATTTTTTCTACTGTTGCGTTCCATCGTTGGCATCAACGGACAACATAAAGAATGTAAGAAGCGGCGCGGCCGCCGAGAGACAAACACTTCAATGCGCGCACATACACACGCATGCGTCCCACATTACGCTGGCTCGGATGTAGCTGCAAAACCCCCGACAACTCGAAACCCGACTCTGCGCCGCTGCCTGGCTGCCCTCTCTCCGTTACGAAGAGAGAAAAAGGGGGGAGGAAAATACGAATCGACAGCAGTACCAACTTACTGCAGTGCCGTATTGCAGCGTACGTATCTTTGTCGCTGATGTCGTTGTGCTTGTCACGCGTTGTCCATCACGAGCAAAGGCATCCGAAAAGAAAAAAACCTCGCACGTCTGTGAGTACCTCACTTCATCTGTGAGAAGACATTTGGTACTTTGTGTCCCATATGGTCCCGGCGCAGCGGAATCAAGCCTTCGTCGTTCTCTCGCCCCTCCTGGAACTTGTAATCGGGAACCGGGTAGGCCGTCTTGCCCTCCTGCACCACGCGCCTCGTTTGCGGATAGGGCACCGAGTTGTACACCATGTCCATCTCGTTCGCCTCCTCCAGCAACGCGGGTTTCTCCGCCTCCAGTACCGTGGCCTGCTCCTCCGGCGTGGCAGGCCGCTCATCGAACACCGCGCGCACCCCGTAAGGGAAGTCCTTCTCGTACGAGAAGCGGCGTACGTACTTGGAGGAGCGGTCCTCTTCCGTCGTCTCGGGGTGCTGCATGTCACCGGGGAGGAGCACCGTGGAGACCTTCGCCTGGCCATGGTGGTACAGCTCCGGCCGCACCGTGCGCACCGCGTCGCGGTTCGTCTTCTTCAGCACATCCGCGTAGGTCGGGCATTCGTTGTGCAGCTCCGACAGCGCGATTACGTTTGGCGTCGGCATGTTCATCACGCCTGCGTTGAACCGCGCCATCGCCTCCATTGGCGACACCCACACCAGCCGTTCCCCTGTGACAGAGATGGTGTACTGCACTTCAGGGATCTTGTGCAGCGGGAGGAGGAAGCTCGTGTTCTCGAAGCGAAACGTCTCCGTCGTCGGGGTGACGATGTTGCGGAACGGGATGAGCTGGCTCAGCGACGACTCCATCGGCAGCTCCAGCACATCCACCAAGTGGCGCATCGCCTTGGGCTGTGAGTAGCAGATCATGTGCCACCGCCGCGGGCCGGGCGGGCCCTCCACCTCCGCTATTCCGCCGCCTTCTTTCGGAATCAGCAACAGGTTGAACTGCGTAAAGAGCGCACGCATCGCGGTGAGGCGGTGGTGCTGGTCGGGCCAATGCGTTGTTAACCCCCGACGGCGCAGCACCTTCACCCAGTCCTCCGAGACGTCCTCGAGCGACATGGGCGATGACGGCAGGAGAAACTGGTCCTTCAGAAACTGGCCTTTGCCCTCGCGGAACATCATCAGCACCTTGTAGTCGTTGTCTTCGCCGGTCTCGACCTTCGCCGGGTCGATGTGGCGGTTGTGACCGACCAGGATGACTGTCGCCGCCCGCCGTGTCGGGATCGGCTCGCCGAGCTTCGGCTTCTCGCCGTACTCGCGATCTGAAAATGGCACCGGGGTCGACCAGTAGTCCTTAAACTGCTCCTTGTACGGGCTCTGCTGCACGTCGAGCAGCAAGTTGCGAATACCGGGCTTCGCGCGAAAGTCAGGACTCTCACCCGAGACGTTCAGCAGCCGTCGAATGATGGTTCGACGCATGGTTGACTAGGGTTCCTTCCGTCTCTAAGAGGAAAAAAAAAACGATACCAGAGGCTTAACGCAGAGGAAGAGGAAGAGCCTTGAGTTAATAGAAAAAGGAGAAGACTTCTCAAACAATATGAAAGATCAAGTGAGAGGGAACGGAGACCGGCTTGATCAGCGTGTCATACGTGAACAGCAACAATGATTACCGAAGAAAGAATCCTTTTCAGGCTAGGGAACGAAGTTGTAACGTGCGCACAAACGGACGGATGCGTTTGCTGCCTTACCTGTTACTAACCTCTACAGACAACAACCACGGCAAATGATAATAATAATAGTGGTAGTAGTAGAAAAGTGTGAAGCAAGGGAGCCACGTAGAAAGAGGAGAAAACAAGAAAACATGAGTGAAGTTAGTGCCCCACAAAACAAGCGTAGCAACACGGATGGCAACGTAACTGAGCTGCCCTTTCTCCGCGCTGCCGCTAATTGGACACGTGAAGCGCTCGAGTTGAAGCTTCGACTGGTCCGTGGCGCACGACCACCGTTGAGAAGCATCCGTTGCGGCCAAGCAAAGCAGACACCTAGAGAGAAACAGAAGACAAAGGAAGAAGGCAAAAGATTCTGCTGGACCTTCAGCCAAGAAAGAAAAATGCACTCCTGACAGTCGTCTGGTGCTGAAGCCATCTCCCTGTCACTGCACAGGAGATGCCCTGCACCGCAGCCCTATCGGCAGGCATATTATCGTCTCTTTCATTCTGTTGCGATTCAAAACAGAGTAGCTCAAAAGAAAAAAAAAACTTCTTTCTTTCTAAGCTTTTCTTGCATCTTGAATGTTATTATGTACTCGAGTTGCCAGGCTGCTCAAGACGCGCACATCGTGGTTATAAAAACGGAAAACGGAAACAGAGACGAAGAGCTCTTCCCGACTACTACAACAGAAAAGACTGTCTACCAAAAAAGAAGACAGGGAAGAAAGGCCTTCCAGTTAACTGAGAGCCAGCCAACTCGCAGCGAGCGCGACGTGTTTTTGTTTTCCACCCCACGCATGATCGTCTCGTTGCAGAAAGAGGAGAGGGAGGAGATTGCCCAACGAAGCATTCACGACTTCGCAGAAAAACACAAAGAAAAAACAGTCACCACACACGCCTCCTTCAATTGTCTATGACCTCTTTCCATGACCACAGAATGACGGAAAAAGAAAAAGAGCTCATGCGTCGTACCTCATTTCTAGATTTCCCAAAAATGCTTTCCCCGCAACTTGAGAAAAAAAGCAAACTCCAAGGAAGAGATAGAAAGGCAGTTTAGTTGTCGCGATCAAAGCGCGAGCGCGACAGGGCGGAGCGGCGTCCACGGCTGCGCTGCCGGTCGTTGCGCTCCGCATCGGAGATGCGGCCGCGGCGCGGGCCCGACTTGGCACCGCGACGGCCGCGGTCATCACGGCGATCGTCACGGCGGTCGTCACGGTTGCGGGCGCCTCCGCGGGTGGGAGGACGGGAGCCATCGCGGCCTACGAGGCGGCGGCGGTTGCCTCCGTCCACTGCGCTGCCGCCGCGACGGCGTCCGCCATCCGTGCGGAAGCGACGGCGGCCACCCTCGACGCGGCCACCATTGTTGTTGGGGTTGCGGTTGCTCTCACCACCACGGCGAGAGCCGCCGTCGCCGCCGCTGCGGTTGCGTCCGTTCCTGCCGTTGCTGCCGCCGGTGTTGCTGCCGCCGGTTTTGCTGCGGCTGTTGCTCTTCTCGCCGCTGTTCTTGGCGCCGCTGCCCTCGGTGCGGTTGCCACGGCGACGACGGTGGAGCTCCTTGTCGATCTTCTGCTCCTTGATGATCTCAGACAGCGGGCGGTCAGCGATTTCCATGATGATGATGAAAAAAGAAGTGGGGGAAGAAAAACAGTTGAACTTACAACAGCTTGGGTTTTCTTTAGCTTGAAAGAGGGAGAGAGCACAAGTAAACTCGAAGAAGTGGTCGCAACACACCGCAGGTAGAGCTCTAGATGCACTAGCGAGAAGAAGATTTCACAAAGGGAGAGAAGGAGAGGAAGTACGCACGATGGCCGAAGTAGCGTGGAGGGAGAAAAAAATAATAGAAGAAGAAGCGTTTCGCTCTCTTGCTGACCAACATACTGCATTGTGCATCAGTGACAAAGACTTCCACGGCGTTTCCAGAGAGACAATTGATCGGTTCACCACTCTGCGAGCAAGCCCGTGCAGACCAGGGCAGGGGGGGGGGGGAAGGTGGATCGCAGAGAACCCTCAACAACATTTCTCCACTTACCAAACACACACCCATATTCTTACCACCCCCAACTCCCCTCAAGAGGGCGGCGATTGCGTACGTGGAGTGCGTCGTACAAGCACTGCTGACACTTTCTCCCACCTCCTTTTTCTTTCCTCTGTTTTTTTCTCTCCTTTTCGGAACGGATGACAACAACAACAGCAAAAAAAGAAGACGCAAACATGAAAGTACTCGAAAGAAAAGCAAGAACGAATGCCGACGCAAAAGGGAAAGGGAAACGAAAGAAAAATAGTAATAAAGCGAGATACCAACAAAGAGTAACCGCAAAAAACTCGTCGATGGCTTGACCCGTCCTGTCAATCTTCTTTCGCAACGAAAGAAGAAGACGCTCGGAAGGAGTTGCAGACAGCACGCAGTCAAAACTACCGTTCCCATTTTGTTGTTGCTGCTGTTTGCCTGACGAGTCGTGCCCTGCAGCGGAGCAACAGCAGCCATTCTAGCGCCTGGTAAGGGAAACAACGCAAAAAGAAAAGCTCGGAGTACCACTTTGTTGACGATGACTTCACAAACTACGCGGTTCACAGCAACGTGTGGGTGTGCGCAAAGCAGACTAGAACTATGATGAAGAAAACAAGGAAAGAGACGAAAAGGCAGATCACATCAAACGCCAAAAAACACTTATTTCTCCAACGAAGCAGCAAGGTAAGCAACATCGCGTATAAGAGAGGTGAGGTTCCATCCACATCTTTCTAGTTCAGCTTCAACACCGCCTCGCAGATCTCGCACTTGTGGTTGCCGTAGCGCTGCTTGTACGTACACGCAGGGCAGTGTACCATCACGTTTCGATTCGGATCTGGGCTTGCACCAGCACCAGTTGCACACCCGCTAAAAGCGTGTTGTGGTTGTGGCTGGTGCTGCTGCGGATCGATATGTCCTCCTGGAAGCTGCGTGTACAGTGGCTGGGCATGCAGTTCCGTTGACCGCGAAGGTGTGTTGGACCAGAGATCACCGCCGAAGTGGTGAGGGGGTCGTCGTTGTGGCGGTGGTGTTTGCTGGAGGGAGGGGGGGGCCGCGTTGGGCCCGGGGAGTGGGGGATTGGCCCCTACGGCGGTCTGCCTGTCCGTGGCATGCGAGTACGCCGGCTCGGATACCGTATTGGTCTGCTCCGAGGGCGGGTTGCGCTGCGAGGTAGCCGCAGGAGGGGCAGGCATGGTGACCGGCACTGCGCCGTAGTTGTGTGTCGGCAGAGCAGCTGGAGGAGCCCCCGCCTCTCGGGGAGAAGGCATCGTACCGGATTGGCTGTTGCTGCGATCGCGGTGGAAGCCCTCCATCGCCAGCTGCTGCAACTGCTTCATCAGAGACGCGTTTTCGTCCTTGATGCGCTTCAGCTCCCGGCGCAGCGCGCGCTCCCGCTCCTCGGCCTCCATGTCCTTCACTAACAGCATCGTGCGGTTCTCCTGATCCTGCTCCTCTTGATAGTCTAGCATTTCTTGGAGCAACAACTCGATGTCCTTCTTGTTCACCTCCGAGCCGGAGAGCAGCTCCGCCACTCGACGCTGCATGCTATGGCGGGCTTCGTTGCGGCGGGTGCGTATGTCGACGCGTTCCTTCATAACTGTGACCTCGTGGTTGGACATGCCCTTCGACTTCATCATGTCCTCGCTTTCTTGCTGGATGAGCGCCATCCGAGAGAGCAAAGACGTGTTCTGCTCTACCTGCTCGCGCAGACGCCGCTGAATGCCCTCTGTTGCGTTCTGCACGGCCTTCTCCACGTGTGCCTTCACCTCGGGGCAGTACAAATCCACAAGTTTGCAGGCGTTGGCCACAGCGGAGGAGGCGACTGCTTGCTGCTGCTGCTGCTGCAGCCTGCGCTGAAGGTCCGCCTGAGTCTCCCTCAACTGGGAGCACTCCGTCCGCAGCATCTCCATTCTGGCCTGCAGCTCGACAACCTGCCGTTGCGAGCTCGCCTCCCGCTCCCGACACGCCGCCATGTCCTGCTCCTGCGAGGTCATGCGCTGGCCCTTCACCGCTGACTTGGTGGCTGCGTCTGCTTTCAGTGCCAGCAACTCCGACTGCGCCGCCGTCAAGTCTTTCTGCAGGCCCGCCGCCTCTTCTTCTGAGGCGCGCCGAAGCGTCTCCACTTCTGTGCTGAGCTGCGCCACCTGTTCCCGCAGCGCGTTCGCTTCAGCCGCTTGTGTGTTCTGCTGGGCGGTGTCCGCAGAGGCCGCCGTCAGCTGCGTGCGCGCTTCTTTCAACTCCGTCTCCGAGTGATTCAGCAGCCCCGTGAGCTCCGCAATGCGTGCGTCTTTCTCCCGCGTCAGATCCTTCATTCCTGCTAACTCCGTCCGCTGGGTTCGAATCTGCGTCAGCAGCTCGTGCAGCGATTCGTCAATGTTCGAGAAGCGGTCGTCGGAGGACGTGTAGCGCTCCAGCTGCGCCGTCTTCTCGTCCAGCTGCACCTGAAGCTTTGCCCCCTCACTGCGCAGGTTCTCGTTTTCGTGGCGCAGATTCTCCAGCTTGAGCAAGCCGGTGCTCTGCAACTTCTCCTGCAGCGTCTCGATCTGGATTTTGAGGGACTCATTCTCGTAGATTACCTGCGACATCCGCGCGACATCGCTCTCGTCCCGGTTGAGGATCGAATTGGTAGGCGTGGGAAAGGACATGGTAAGGAGGAGGTGCTTTTCCACAGTTCGGAATAATAATAAAGGTTAGATGTACTTGAATTCCCATGCGAAACAAACACAGTTCATCGCGGGGCAAGAGCAACGGAGAAGGAAACGAGTAGGAAAGGAAAGTATAAACGAGATAATCAGGTGAAGCACGTTACACTGCTCACGAGCGGAGAAGCGATGCACACGTGTGTGTGTGTGTGTGCGACATACGGATATGTATACAAGAGCAGCTTCCGGGAAAGCGAACAACTGTGTATTCGTCACCATCAGAAGAAACAGCCATCGCCGTTGCTCCGTTGCCACCAACTTTCCTCCTTGAAGTTCTCGATCGCCGCACGCAAAAAAAAAAAGAGGTGGAGAAAAACATCCACTTTCAAAGATGCAGAGCAGCAGCGGTGGAAGTGCAATTTGCCCCGTTTCGTCTAGTGGAAATGCTTCATAATTTTCACCTTCCGGTGTTGATCCTTCACTCACTCTCATTCCGAAAAGAGAAAGGAAAGATGTTGCAAAGGGGGAGCAGAAAGTCCAAACAATATATGTAGCACCACTGAAAAGACGGAAAGAGAGCTTTCGGGAAGTACCACGAAAGCACGCACGGCAACAACAACACGACAGGCAAATAACGGTGAATGATGTGGACATATATATATAATAATAATAAAGAGCCGAAAACGTTCACATCGCAGCCATTCATTAGAGCCCCGATAAACAATACGCACGACGTAAACGGGTTCTGTAAAGCGCTGAACACAACAGGGAAACAAAACGCAGCAGCTTGATACATTGGAGAGATTATACATACGTATATATATATCCGATTGTTTGAAAAAAGAGAAGGCTATTCTCCGGAGACACAACAAACAATCAGGGAGAAGAAAGGAGAAGACAGCCACAGGTGTCACTGTTTTTCTTTTTTCGACTTTTGCGGTTAGCCTTTGCAGCTTCTCAGCCACCACTCCGATGCCCGACGCTTACGGGGGTGTAATCGCTGACTCTATCGTAGGGAAGCGCAACCAGTAAGGCTCTTCTCCTACTTTACCGCGAAGGGCGCTCCCAGTAGCGAAAACCCCTTCATTGGGAAGTCATCGCTGCTTCGCTAAAGGCGCTTAAACTGCTTTCCCCACCCTCCGCTGTGCGTCCTATGCTGCCTCCGGCTGGTGACAGCACCGCGTTCTCCTCTGCGGGCGAGGGGGCTGCGTTCGTGAAATCAGTGGACACGTAACCACGGAACAAGTTATCTGGCAGCGGTCGCGTGGACGGGCAGGTCACGGCAGGCCCCCGTCGTGGCATCAGCGAGCCAGTCGGCTTCTCGTACCCGTCACACCACCAACAGCCCTGAAACAGCATGCCATAAAGGATGCCGACGATGCAGATGCCAAAAACAAGGCATATCAGAGTCAAGCAGGCAATCATCCAGCCTGGACAGCAGCCGCACACACCGATGTTACGCCCCCACGGATCGAGACTCCTTTTGCACGTCGTGGAGAGGTCGCAGTTGCAGCGGTACTGCGCAGGAGCCGTGTCCGCGCAGAAATACTGGCCGTCCGTGAAGTAGGATTCGCCTCCGCTGTCAAAGAGGAACTTGTTGACGCCGTAGTTGAAGAGGTCGGACAGCTCTGCACAGGTCCGGGTCTTTGCGGCAGCCTCGGCTAGCAGAACGCCGCCAAAGCCGAGAATGCGGTTCGGTGAGAAGGGAAGAACGGCAAAACTGACTACCAAAAGAAGTGCCGCCGTCACGCCAGAATAACGAGAAGCACGCGATCGCATCCCTTCTTCTTCCTTTCGCGTGTGTGTGTCTGAGAGCAGAAGTGTGGATGCTAGAGTGTGCAATTCAAGAGAGCTACAGCAGTAATACCAACAAGAAAGATCTCGTGAAAGCGGCAAGAAAAAAAAAGGGAAAAAGGGAAAGAGGGGGAGAGAAAGTAGCGAGTCTGTTTCAGTACCGAAGTGGAGTGCACTTACCTCAGTGAACGCGTTCTCCACCGACGAGTAAAACAGGAGGGGAGATACTTGTTAGTACGCCGCCGTGCGGTACAACGTAGTAAAATCTCACCCTGTGTGCAAGAAGCCCACGTTTTCTACAAGAGAGTCAGTGTCACTGCCCGTAATGTCTTTTTGTAATGCTCCAGCCGTTCTTCTTCTCTTTTTTTACTTCCATGATTTTCGCCTTTCCGGACTAGTAAAGCTGCCACACGTCTTCTCGTCTGCATTCCTTCTCCTCTCGATGGGAGTCGGGGCACAACAAAGTGGCACATACACATACACACACACGCAAGATCATAGTTGCGTCCTCAAGTCCTCCAGCGTGCCGGCACCTTCAACACCATCGTGCAATCGGCCAGCAAACGCACCCGTGAGCGTCTCTCTCGCAGCAGCTACATCAGCAGCGTGCACATTGCCGGAGAGGTGTCCACCACGGTGCCAACGCAAGGCAGCGCTTCGATTTACCACCGTCACCGTAAGCTGCCACACCACCGTACTCACCGATGGTGCCTCTCTTGTGAACGTTGAGAAGGCTTGTGTAGCGCTGTTGTCTCCGGTGTCCTGTAGTGAGAGGAGGCGGTAGGTCAGCTCTGACCTCCACTCATGCTGCGGTGAGCGGCGCACTTCAGTAAGGTGTGGTAAGCAGGTAACACAGATCGCCACGGAGGAAACGCTGTGGGCAGCTTCGGGTGCCGAACTCGATGCTGCGAGTTTCGCAGTGAGCGCTTTGACTACCGTTTCGTGTACAGTCAAGCACCAGCAGTGATGGACGAGGAAGGAGAGAAAAAGAAACGCATTCGTTTTCAAGAACGCCCTGTGCGCGCCTCGGCGACTCTCCTCCGTCGTGGCATCCTTCGACGACGCCGGCAACGTCGCAGCTGCATTCGCATCTCCACCAGGCGCACCCAAGTTTGTGGATAGAGTCGCAGGAAAGGTGAAGAGACGACGAAGCACCCCGCGTGTCAGCCACTCGCTCTCGTCATCGTACACTGTAGTGTCCGCAGCGCTCCGCACCACTTCCGCAGCCTGGTGCGCCGTGCCGCGAGTAGACTCGTGTAAGGTGTGAAATGCTTCCTCGGTCATCGCAGAATACCTCAGCGGAAACGATGAAGAGGTTGAAGACGGACCAGATAATCGAGTGCAGCACATTGCACCTGGCAGTATCGCTTGTACCGCTGCTGCCGCCCCTACAGGTCCAGCTGTCTCTGCGCAAGGCTCAGCCCGCCTGTGTTTTTTTCCCGCAGTTGCGTCGCCATCGCCGGGGGCGCAGCTGCAGTGTGGTGTAACGTTGTAGAGCACCGCCGCCTCCTCCGCAAGAGGGAAGTCAAGCACCTGAGCTTCCTGCAGTGGCGACGGGTGCTTCGAACCGGCAAGTCTATCTGCCACCACCTGCGGCAGAACAGAAAAGACCAGCGCATCTCGTAAAACCGCACTCTCGACTCTTGTGAGCAAGGATGGATTTCGATGCACTGCGCGCACCCACGCAGGCAGCGGCTCCCCTCGGTAGTGCGCCAGCGCAAATTGGGCGGCGGATTGCTGCCGGGCGGCCTGCATCGTGAGCACCATCTGCGCCACCGCCCGCATCACCACAGCGGAGGGAAAGAAGGATATCAACGACGGCTTTGAAGCCTGGGGTAGAGGTGGAGTGGTGGTTTTGCCTTCTCGCACAGTTGCGTCAACCGCAGCGCGCGGCTCCTGCACGACCGGGCCGTCCGCTACGCTTTCGCCGCTGTGGCGGTGCTTTGCAGAGGACTTGTTCACCGGGTAATCGGACTGAAACGTGGACGTTGCCAAGCCGGTGCCACTCGGCACCAGTTGTCTTGAAAACCGAGTCTGTACCGACGAGGAAGAAGGTGCTGTGGAGGACACGGGCCACAACGATAACGACGCCTGACTCCGTTGCAGCAGCTGCAGCTGTTGCCGTTCCTCTTCTGCTTTTCCGGCTTCCTCAAACCAGCGAATCGAGGGAAAGGGTGGGAAAGGAGGGGCAACCGTAGACAGGTGCGGTGCCGCGTCCTGACCGCCGTCCGCGTTGATCATGACGGACGACTCGTCAGGAAAGTTGTGTGCCGGAATCTGTACTGTTGGTTGCTGCAACGGGGACGGCGTGTGAAACCGCAGCTGCTCCGCGCCACGGGTGTATACGCTTTGCTCGGAGAGAAACGCATGGCTGTGCGGTTGACTGCCAATATGGTAGAGGAGATCACACTGCGTGGAGAGCGAGACATAAGGAGACGCTGCGGCCGAACTCAGCACTGCGGCTTGACCTGCGCTTCGATCGGTCAGCTTCTGCGGCGACTGCATTGTACGCCAGTACAGTTTCTTTATCCTTTCAAATTGCTGGACAGAGTAGTGTACACACAAAAAAAAAACCAAACAGGGGCCAATAAAGCGGGAAAGAACGAGATGCAGGAAAGGCGCCGGTACGAGTGCAAACATATATATACGCACAGGAGAAGAAAAGACAGCCCCAAAAGGGTAAGACGCCGCCGCCTCCATTTACACGGCCTTGCGTGCTGCCTATCGTATCGTTTCTTCCACCATGGTGGAGCGCTTTCCGCCCCTTTGAGGGAGCGGCCACCCGCAGCTGGGCACATCTCGCCTCTTCTTTTTTTTTGTCCTGTCCATCGCGCATTGTCGCAATAGCTTCGTCGTTCGCCGTGCCAAGTACTGTTATTTACGCATTAGCGGGAAGTAAGAACAAGAACTAACGAGAAGCCGCAAATCTAGAGCAAAGGGTCCTCGCTGAGCTTCTGGGCGGCAGAGGAAAAAAAACACAAAGCAAAAACAAGACTGGAATCATCGCCGTTAAGAAAAGAATGGATAACTCCCTGCTCTCTGTCAAACCAAAGGTCGCGAGTTATTCCACCGTTGCCTTCAAAAACATCAATAACAAGTGTGAACCGGACGTATTACCTCCTCCGTTCACTTCTAGAAGACTACGCCTTCCTCCTCTTCCTCCTCTAGACCAGAATCGTCAGACGCGTCAGCGCCATCGTCCACGCCCAGAATCGCGAACCCGTTTGCGCTCGCTGTGTCAGCGCCGCGAGAGTTGTGTCGCACAAGCGCAAGCGGATCCACAATTGAACCGGTATCCACAAGCCGCGACGCCCGCGTGGCAGCTGACGTCTCGTCGCTTGACTGTTCTGTTTCATCCTCCGTTGCGGTGGCGGAAAGCTCCAGCACTGGTGCCTTCAACACCGCCTGACACATCTCCGTCACGCTGCGCAAGGCGGTGTTGTTCTGTTCATCCCTCGGGTGGTGATACTTGTCGCGCAGGCACGTGTACAGGGCTTGCCGCAGCTCCGTGACAATGCGGTACGTCGCGTTGTCAATGTGCACCGCAATCCAGCCGTCAATGATGCAGAGCGACAGATCGGAATAGTACTGCACCGTCGACTCCGATGCTCCAAAGAGCAGCAGCGCCCACAGACTGACGGAGGACAGCGTCGTAAGAAACTCCTGACGCGACTCCCGCACGCTGAAGACGTCCTGGAACACGTAAAACATGGCGGGGGCCGTTGCGGACGGTGGAGACGACGACGGCGATCCGCCTCCTGCTCCGCCGCCTGCATCCTTGCTGAGCTCCGAAAGCAACTCGGTGCAGTTCGGTTTGGCCTGCTCCCGCGGTCCACCGACGCGCCGGCACGCACTTTCCTTCGAGGGTTTGATGCTCGTGAAGTGCTTCGTGCGCAGCTCCACTTTTTCCGCCTGTCTTTTCCGCCGCAGCGACGATCCGGCGTTGAGGGGAGGCGGGCGGAGCACCGCCACGTTGGGGAACAGCGCCGCACACACGCACGCCTTCACGAGTGCCACGTCGCAGCTGTTGCACGACTGCTGGCTTGTGTCGACACAGAGTTCACCCGTGTAGCACCGCGTGGGCTCCGCAGCGGTCGTTGATGCGGCCCCTGGATTGATTGGATTGCGCGCCGGCATCGTTGCGCCCGTTTCCTCTGCTGCGGTCACATCGCCACTATCTAACAGGACATCATCATCGTCATCCTCTTCCAGGTCGACATCGGTGCCTCCAACGCCCCCCAGCACAGCGGTGTGCGCACCCCCTGCGCCGTACAACACATCTTGCTCTGAAATGAGACCAGCGTGCAGCAAGATGTCGCGGTATTGCGCCTTGTACTTCGAAATGATGCGGATGTTGCCCAGTTGCAGGAGATTGAAGCGGGCAAAGTCGTCCCTCTCGCCATTGGCGCAGTACGCATTGAACGCGTTCAGAAAGCTGATGTGGTCACTCTGTGAGCTGCGCGCGAAAAGGTACCGCTTCTTGCGCGCCGCCGCCGCCTGCTCGCGACTCGTCACGTACGGCGAGACATCGGCGCAGGCAGCCACCGTCAACACCGAGTCGAGGCACCGCAGCACGGCACCCACGATGATCATCTTGCCAATGCGCGGATCGCACGGCAGCTTAGCCAAATACTCGCCCAATGGTGTAAGTTGATCCGCTTCATCGACAGCCCCGATATCGCGCAGCAGCCGCATGGACACCTCCACGTTGGTCGGTGACGGCGGCTCCAGGAAAGTTTGCAGCGTCTCCCTTGGGTGTGCGTAGCCCAGCGAAAGCAGCTTTAGTAGGATCTGTGTCAGCGGAACACGATGAATGTCGGCCTCCGGAAACGCCGGTAACGCATCCCATAAACTTTTGGTATAGAGGCGGTAGCACACGCCATGCTGCGTGCGTCCGGCGCGTCCTTTACGCTGCGTCCCATTTGCCTGACTGGCGTACCCGAGCGTCAGCTGGGTGGAAAAGACAGGCGAGGGGGTGGTCGCTCCCTTCAACGCGCCGGGGCTATCTGTGCTGGTCGGATTTGGATTCGAATTTAGCGGCACAAACAGAGATGTGTTTGGCGAAGGACGCCCCGCCCACGTCGTCGTCTTGATGAGGCCGGTGTCGATCACCACCGCGGCGTCGTCAATTGTGATGCCGCTCTCGGCGATGTTCGTGGCGAGGACGACTTTCACCATCCCCGCCGGCGCCGGTACGAAGCACTCCCGCTGCTTCGCGCTGTCCACCGTGGAATGCAGAAGAATGAGATGAAAGCGCATGTTAAAGGAGGTGATCGCGTACGGTCCGCCGTAGTGCTCGATGGCCGCCTTGGCCGACACCATTTCCTTCCAGCCGGGGAGGAATACGAGAATAGACTTGCCGGTCGTTTGATTTTGGAGGTCCACCTGCACAGCTCGGTGGACAAGGTATGCGATGAGGTTGTAGTCTGTCTTTGGCGGCTTGCGCATTAGTGCCCGCGGTGAAGTAATGTGCTGGTTTGCCTGCTCTCCCTTTTCTGGATCTTGCGCCAGAGGAACAATGTCGAAGTTAGGCGAGTAGAAGCGTACCGACGCCGCCTCCACAGCGATGTCCTCCAAGTAACGCACCGACACCGGATACACGGCGCCTTCGACCTGGATCACGGGAGTGTCCTCGCCAAAGTACTTCGCAAACATTTCCGACTGCATCGTTGCGCTCATCAGCACCACACGAAGACGCGGATTGCGTGTAAGAAGTCCCTTCACAAGGGCCAAAACAACGTCACAGTTGATGTCACGCTCGTGTACCTCGTCGATGATGAGGTGCGAGACGTGCTCCAGTTCGGGGTGCGTGGAGAAAATCTGTAGCAGCACGCCGGTGGTGCAGATGGTGATGTGCCTCCCCGGTCGCGCGTCGAGCCGCACGGCGTACCCGACGTCCTTGCCGACGACACTCAGTCGCTCATGGGCAATGCGTTCTGCCACGCTGAAGCTGCTGAGGCGGCGAGGCTGGGTGACAAGGATGTTGCAGCTGCCCCCGCGGCCCTGCTCAATTTCGTGGTCCAGAAGGTACTGCGGCACCTGCGTTGTTTTACCGCACCCGGTCGTGCCGCAGACCACCGTGACGCGGTGATGCTGTACGGCATCGAGGACTTGTTGCCGCACCTGCGCCATCGCCAAGGTTGACCGGCGGGGGTGGAACTTTACAAGGTAGGTTGGGTGTTGACGAAGGGAGAGGAGGGCGTCCAGCATTTGGGCGTTGTAAAAGGGGTCGGTGGCAAAGGCCCGCTCACTGATCCGCACCAGCGCCTGCTCTTCTCGAATGAAATTTCTGCTGTCGTCCTCTTCCATCTCCACCTCGTCGGGTGCACGAGCTCCAGTGCGCTTCGTTTCTTTCGCAGCAAGCTGGCGCTGCGCAACAGGCTGCAGCTGCTGTCGCAGTCGCTCGACAAGGGCACGCGGCAACGCGGCGGATGGGATGAGCTCCGGGGTGATGGCGGGGTAGGTGTCTATGAAGGACTGGAGGGTCTGCAGCCGCGTGTCGTAGAGCAGCAGTTCCGTGACGCCGCCATCCATGGCGCTCCTCTGTGCCTCAAAACGATTCACCCCCTTCCCTGAGCACGTGATGTCTCCCAGCGTTAGCTGACAGTGATACAAAACAGTGCCATTGGTGGTCGTCTCCCGTGTAAAGGTTGTTGTGGGAGACAACTCGTTGTTGTCAAACAGTAAGTTGAAGAAGCGCAACAGCTTCCCGTGTGAGGGCCGCAGATGCTGAAGAACGGCGTCGAGCGTGGCACCGGGCAGGGTGGCATCCTCGCCGACCTCCTCCTTCTTGCCTTTGTTACTTCTTTTTGGCAACGCACCCCTTGCGCCGCCGGCAGCCGGTACCGCAAGAGGCGACCCCTGTGGAAGGCCTTCCGCCTCCTGCTGGAGAAGCTGCAGGATGCACAGCGCGTGCCCGGCGCACTCGCGCCTCGCGTCTTTGCTGCTCTTCGCTACGCCTGTCGCCGTCAGCCCCGTCGTCGGGTCCAGCTTCAGCGTCGCCACGAACACCTTCGACGCGAGGTGCGCCGTACGGATCAGCCGCGACCCATCGCTCATGCTCTCGTTGAGTTCGCCCAGCACCTGTGGGTGGCAGAATTGCTGCCGATGGCGCCGCATCAGCACCGCCGCACGATCGGCGATCGGGTGACCGCTGAGAGGGATTTGCCCCCGCGCCAGCACGTCCGCCCGCGCCTTGTCGGCGGTGTCGTGCACGTACCTCTCGCTCGCGTCCACGTAGGCGTCCCAGGAGTGGAAGTCGCGCTCCTTCGGTGCGGCCGCCACGCCGGTCACTTTCTTCTCCTCCAACGGAGGCGGCCACGACGTGGACGATGGAGGAGGAGTTGGTTCTACGCTGGGCTCCTCTGTGGTGTCGACACTCGCAAAGAAGTCGAGCAGGTTTTCAGCGTGCATGAAGCACAGGGCACGGGCGATCTTTGCCTTGGTGGATTGTCCAATGGCAAGTACGTCCTGCGAGACTCCTGGAATGCGCAATGGCAGGACACACCGCTTGAGAGTGGAGTGCGGCACGTTGAACAGCTCCGCTTCAGGGACGCGAAGAACGCAGTCAGGGTTGGCACGCCGCTGGTCGCTCTTCAACATGACCAGCACCCGACCCTCCGCATTGATGTCCACCGTCAATGCCGAGACCGCGCACACGTTGGAGAGGTCTCCGCCGGGTACGTTGATGCTGTTGCGTGTCCGCGGGACAGAAATCGTATTTGGAGGAGCTTGTTTTTTGGTCTTTTGTCGCTGCTGCTGCTGCAAATTCTGTCCTGCCCGAATAGGCGGTGGGTCACTGTTGTTGACACGTATGAAGCGCTGCGCGGCTACGCCGTGAATTGACTGCACACCACGATGATCGCGTCCCTTTCCGCCACCTGGCTGAGCATTACCATCATATCCGTCGTTTTCATTTACTGCCTCAAACTTATCTCTACAAGAGAAGACCATTTTCAGTGGTGGTGTTGACTCGGCATCTCCGTCTGGTGAGGCTCCGCTCGGGACCCTGCTCGTCGCCGACTTGGGAGGCATAGGAAATGCACGGTATGGAGAGTCTGCACTTCCTCTACGAAGAGTGACGTGACGGGCCGTGCGGTGGGGTCTCGTAGGCCGTGGAGGGTCTCCGCTTACCGTTGAAGTGGTACTTGCGTTCCTCGAATCACGAAGGTCAGGTGAGGAGGCTGCGAAAGAAGACACCGCGCCGTCACTGCGGTGAGCGTTCACGATTTTTTGACTCTGGTAAACTGGGGCGGCACGCGACTCAGAGAAATCACCTGTGTGCAAGCGGCGAACACCACCGAGGCACAGACATCTTTTGTCTGACGTGGACCGAACTTCTGCTGCTGCGCCGCCCCCGGTGTAGGAGTAGCCTGTACGGTGCTGCAGACAACACAGCGCGGCTCTATCGTGTGCGCCGAACAGCCGTCGACTGGCTATGAAGGGGACACTGCAGGTGCAATTCCGAAGTGTACCTGAAGGAGCAGGAAAAGAGCTGTGCAACGACGCTCGATGAAAGCGGCGCATGAGCGAAAGCCGCAGAAAACAAACACGGTGGGTGAGGAAAAAGGCAAACACAGAAACATGAACTCAGCACACTTCCTCCGCGGCTGTTGTTAATAATATATAGAGAGAGAGAAGATAAAGAGCGAATAATTCTGTGAAGAGAAAAGCAGGTGGGGAAGTAATAAGAAACAAAAAGATGTGTAGTACGCTCTTCTCAGCACTGCAATTCGCCTTAAAACAGCTGACTTAGAAAAAAGCAAAGAAAACAGCAGCAAAGATGGTGATGATTAACACTTACCAGGGCACTCACACGTATTGGGTGTGACAGTTACTACCTACGAAGATGGGAGTGCGCTTGGTACCAAAAGCGGAAAAAAACAACAGGTGGGTGACTCCGCTCTGCTTGGGTTTTCCCACAGTTAGGATCGCGGCGGTTGACGTAGCCAGGTGAAAGACGTTTGCGAAGGGCGCACGTTGCAAAGAGAAAAGAGGAAAAAAAGGAAAGACAAAGCGATAGAGAGGGGGGAAGCGGAGGGAAATGAGAACGAGAAAAAAGAAGCGTGTTGTAACACAACATCTGCGCACGTGCAAGAAGAAGACGAATGGGAAATGAGCACGGGAAGCTGTGTTCATCTTCATCGGACAATCCTGTGAGTACAGCCACCTTTGGGGGGAGTGGGGGGGGGGGGGGGTAAGGTGGCTGAGCGAGTGAGCGCCACGACGCGAAGAGAAGAGCGGTAGACACAGCAACATTGCTTTCGAAGCACCGTTTCATTTGCCAGAAAAAAAACGAAAAAGAAAGGCACACGAAATCCATTAAAGTGGACGGGAGGCGGCCGACCTTCCCTTCGCCAGCAACACTACCTTTCCCTCTTCTTTTAATAACTGCACGGTTCTTTTCACACTTCAAGATGTCAGCCGATCCATGTGAGAACACGACAAGACACGAGAGAGAAGTCTCTCTCTAAAAAAAAAAAGGTTGCATCATATATCCCAGCAACTACAAAAGCCAACAAATGGAAGCGGAAAGCTTGCTTCGTTTCTGCAGCTTCCTTCTAACACACGCGGGATAAGACACAACAATGTGCGCCAAACCTCGCACATATATGAGTCAAGCGAGGAGGGGAGAAAGAGGGATGTCTGGGCGTCGCCTTTACTCATGTTGAGAGGCGTATTCCTTGTCCCTTTGACGCAGCTCTTCCAATTTGTCATCCCCTGACAGGAGCCTCCACCGCTGCTCCCGCACCGCTTGCACGCGACTGCCAATCATCTTCAACGGCTTCTCCACGTACGTCCAATCCGGGTTGATGATGTAGCGGTAGTATAAGTAGGCGCACGTGGCGAAGGTGGTGAAGACCATGAGAAATATTTTTACGTTGCGCAGCCGCTCCGCGCTCATCGTGTGGTAGAGTGTGCTGCGCTGTGAGTAGAGCCCCACGGAAATCGTATCGAAGGTGTGCACGTTACTGTTCTGTTCGTAGTACATGCCACGGTCCTCCTGGTCTTTGAGGACACGCGCTTGATTCTGCTCCACGCGCAGCATGCTGAGCTCGTGCTGTCGCTTGAGTTCAAAGATGACTTTGTCACGCGAGATGATTTCTTGTATGATGGCTTCACGTGCGGCCCGTCGCTTTGCGGCTGCGGCTTCCGAGTCGAGCGGCGGCTCCTGAGGGTCGACGCCGCTGGCTGTCGCAGTGCCCTCTGCCTCTTTTGGACTGGCGGGGTCCTCTTTTTTCTCTTTTGCCGCCGCATTGTTGTCCTGCACATCTTCGGTAGAAGAAGACGCGTATCGGCGCGGCTCCGAAACATCACGGCTACAAACGCTTGTGTTCCGTTTAAAGAAAGGGCTTCTGGCCCTGCCTCCGCTGAAAAGGCACCCGGCGGAAGTTCGATAGGAGGAGCAGCTGCATGCGACACCTCGCCGCCGCAGTGCATGCGCTTGAACACGTAGCGCCTGCATCATCAAACAGGAGTGGATAAAGCAAAATCTAATCTCTTCTCTTTTTGGAAGATTGGGTCAAAGAGAGGAGAATCGGAGAAAAGGGAAAATACGCGCTGATTAATAAGCGCAACAACAACAACAGCGCCTGTATTCAGAAAAAACAGGCACTCTAGCGTGCAGCGCTGCAAATGAAAGAACAAGGTAGTCGTTCACCGACCCGTACATCTAACTCCTGTTTCGTTCTTACTACTGTTTGAAACAGATTTTTCCCACTTGCGGCAATGAAAAAAACCTCTCGTTTGTTTGTTTCTCCCCTCCCTGATCCCCGCTCCGATGTGGAGTGTAACTGTGCCGAAAGAGATGAGCGACGGAGCTTGTAAGTAATTCACACGCGGGCGGATGCACATCGCATACATCAAGGCAGAAAAAAATAGTGCCAAAATACAAATGCTCAAGCCGAATGCAGAAAGACTGTTTTCCCTTTCGTGTTTTTCTTTTTGGTGTCTGTTCTTTTATGATCAACATCGCAAGGGCGTTACATCCACGACTGCACCACCTGGCCATCCGTCATCGCTTCCACTCGACGGACAAAGCCGGAGACACGCAGGAGCGCTGGCGTCTGCTTTGCCGAAGGACGCCCACCACTGTCGCCGCTGGGTTGGAGATTGCTCGTTGTGCTGGGCACCGCCGCCCGCAGCTCTTGCGACCTCAAGTAACAGCGCACATTGCCGTACTCCTCGTTCACCGGACACACCTGTTGGAAGGCACGCCACCGCTTTCCGGCGTCACGTGCGACGGCGGACGGAGCGGGATGGCTGCCTTCAACAGAGGGAGCTGCGCTCTCAACGGACGCGCATGTCTCCATCGCCCGTAGGACGAGTTCCAGGGTGGCAAAGTCCTCCACGCCGCGACGAAACACAAAGGGGATGCCTCCCACGTTTTCATCATCGCCTGCACTTGCACCTGCACCGGTGGTGATCGCAGTGGTGATGCTGCCGTTCAGCACCAACCGCGCCACGCGGCGCTCGAACTGCGCCAATTGGGCAGCGTTGATGAGAGGTGACGCTGCCGTCTCCTCCAGTGAGCCGTTCGCAGGCCTTAACGTCGCTGCACCGCCGACCGCACCGGGAGAGAGAAACGCCTGCCACTGCTGCAGCTGCGCCTCTTGCTGACGGAGCGAATCCTCTTGCAGGCCCAGCTTACACTCGCACAACCGCTTTGTTTCCTCCAGCGCCTCAATTTCGGTGCGCAGTTTCGCACAAAGCTGTGCTGACGTGGATCCTTTGGCCGCGGCAAACGACCCTTCCGCGACACCGTCACCACGCCCACACTCCATCGTCCGTTGCTGCTTGAGCCAGTACGGCAGAGTGGCACCAGATGCGTCCGTTGCGGCGGTCTGCGCTCCGCCAGTTGCGATGGTGCGATCCACGTCCACGTTCTGCGCGTACACGTCCTCGGCACGCACCCGCAGTCGCTCCTCCATGCGGGCGATCTCCTTTTCATAGAATTCCTCCTCGGCATGCCGCGCGTGTGCCTGCTGTTCTACAGCGCGGCGCAGCTCATCCCGCGAAACAGAGACGTTGGCGATGGGGATGCGACGGCGCAGGGCGGCATCAGCCCACAGCGTGTGGCCCTGTTGCTCCACAATGACGTTCATGCGCACAGAGACGCGGCAGAGCACGCCGAGCGCTTTGAGATCGCAAAACGCAAAGCAACGCAGCATGAGCTGAGGCGGCAGCTGCAAGAAGCGCGAAGGGCCACCTCCTGTCCTCCTGCGCGAGGGAGGAAGAGGTGAGGAAACGGAGGACAGAGCCGCAGCTGCCTTGGGGGAAGCGTCCACAGTCACCTTAGCTTGATTGGTAGAAGAAACTGCATTTTGGTGTGCGGAGCTGGTGGCGCGGCTGCTACTGTCGTTTTTGCGAATAGGTTTCGTTCTGGAAAACACTGCCGGAGAGGGAGAGTCGGCGGGGGCGGAGGACGTGGCTGCGTCGTCGTCAAGCCCTGCAAAGGCCGCTCCCAGTTCCCGCAGCGCCGCCTTCAGATCGCTCGAATCGTGGTAAGTGTTCAGTCGAATGGATGCGAACCCGGCATTCGATCCTCCCGCCGCCGCGCCATTTGCGGTTGAGGAGCGCAGCACAGTAGTGCTCCTCAGCGGCGGCGTGGTTTTGTCGCTGGGAGACGCCGGAGACGTTGTATTTTCATTCATTTTCGTTTACTTCCTCTTCTGTGTTGTATCAGGTGAAGTTGATGCCCAAGGAAGAGATGGAGAAGGAGAAAGGGGCAGGTTGGTGCAAAGAGTAATAAGCCAGAGCGATGGCAAAGCCACTTTTCTTCGCTGCTCCCATAACCGGAGAACACAGAATAAGAAGGATAGGAAGTCAAGAGTCGAAGTGATTGCACGGCATTTAGGGAAATACATAACTAGCGAGTACCTGGCATCAATGTCCCCATCAAGGCTACTCATTGTTTCTTCACTATCTAGTATCTGCCCCAATTCCGTTCTTCTTTATCTGTCGTGTTTGTCGTCGGACTTTTTCTCAGAGAGTATCGCTTTACGAAGTGCAAGGAAAACAAAAATCATGGATCTTTTTAAGGATCCCATGGGTCCCTGTCGTGGGAGGGACCGGGGGTGGGCGGGTGGATTTCAGCGAAAAACCGGAGTTTCTCTCGATGCTGAAAACAACTGTGCCAGGCAAACCAGAATACGGAAGAACCAGGATTCAGGAGGTAATAGAAAAGGAGAAGATAGTTTAGAGCATTACCCTAAATGACCGAGATCCGCCAATCTCTCCGCTGCCAATCACATTCAACTCATTTTTTCCGTCCCTTCCATTCCCCTCGCAGGCTCACAGAAAAAAAACACCCTCGACGCACAGTTCTAGGTTCTACGAGAAGTAGACAAGGAAAAAGGTGAGAGGTAAGCAAACGTTGTCCTTCTTACGCCAAACTCAACTCCCAGCATTCGGGCCCTGTTATATGTCCAACAATACACGATCTTACAGTTGCTTTGGATTTTTTTTTAGACACACACACACACAATCTCGCCGGAGTTGTGCGCTTCATAAAAGTGCCGATTAGGCAAAAACGTCCTATTCACACATTGAATGAAAAGGGGCTACATGAAGCGCAGCTACACACATACATGAACAGATCGGTGTGGGCAGACGCAGGCATGTACAGACACAGTTTTACTGGTATGGAAAGCACTATCCTGAAGGAAGAAGCGATACCTTTAGAAAAAAAAGAAAAAGAAAAGGACTAACACTGCAGAGACGCCACCATTCGTCTATGCACTTCCATTAGGCAAGCAGGGACACATACATGCTCTCTCTCTCTCTCACACACACAGAGGAAAAAATAATCGCCAAGCGTCATCGAGTGTTTTACCTAGGCACAAGAGCTGCAAAAAGGGAATGACGTTACGTGGAGAAAATAGTCTATGCAGATGCAATCGTGTGACGCCACTTTACCGTTCGCATTGTACGCACTCTCAATCATCTATTACCTGACGGACGCTCTCCACAATTTCGTTGACGGTGGACGGTTCCAAGGCGACGACCTTCACCTCAAACCGCGCCCGCACCGGACGATGGTCAGACTGCCGCAACGCCGGCACGTGCGTGTACTCGAGCGCGTTGATGTGATTCGTCACCATCGGAAAGCGCACCGCAAAGGGGTTCGATGACGGCTCCGCACCGCGTGGTCGACGCACCGCACAAAACGTCGGCGCGGTGCGCTTGTGTTCCCACACTGGGTGCGAGGCGGCGCGGGACAGCAGCGTGGGCGAGGCAGCCTTTTTGTGCAGCAGCGACAGCGGGGAGTCGAATCCGTTCTGCGCCGCCACGGCAACCATTGCCGCGGCGCGCTGCTCGGAATGGAGAAGCGAGCCTTTCGAGCGATCATCGTCGTCACACGCGTACTCAGAGGAGGCAGAGCTGGACAGGCTGCCGACTTCCGCCTCTACCGGCTGTGAAAGAGCGCTGCGCTGCAGATCCTCCAGAGAGACCCAATCACCACCCGGACTGGCCGCGCGGGAGCTGTGCACTGCGCCTCCGCCGGCGTTGGAGGAGTGCGACCCCGACGAGCGGCGACGCGACGTTGGCGAGCTGCCGTTGCTGCCGTTATTCCTCCCGTCCCCTTGCCTGGCATCAAGATCGTTGCTGCGTTCTCCCTCCTCCCTCAACGTGGCCGCTTCCCTGTTTTCTGACACGCGAAAGAGCACACGATCGCACCACGCCGGGTCGCGGTGCTTGCGGCTTGTGTCGTAGGCATCGGTGCCACGGTCAAACTTGTAGGTGGGAGGAAACGTGATCCACTGCTCCTGGAAGCCGTCAAAAGCCTCGCCGGAGACCATGACCTGGCGCAGCTCGTCGTGGCACAGTAAGTAGTCGTACTCGACGTTCTCCACGGACTCCCGGATCTCTAACCCTGGCAGCGCATGCAGGCGCGAGTTCAGGTCGCCAAAAAAAAAGACGTAGTCGTGGTCATCCAGCACACGCGTCTCCGCTGCCGTGGAGAAGCTCGGTGGAAAGGCGGTGTTGCGGAAACGAAACAACGGGTCCCACGAACTGCTGTCGATCATGGAGGAGTTCTCCATCGTCTGGTCCGACGCCTTCGCGGCGTTCATGAAGGTCTGCAGCACCTCACTCTCGTCGTCCGACCACGCCGGCATGTTAAAGCGAATGTCTTTCAGCGCCGACTGGTAGTTGCCGGTGCGCTTCTTTTCGTTGTACGTGTGTGCGACGAAGTGGGCGGAGATAAAGAGGAAGCGTTTGCCGTAGATGGTGGCGCGCATGGCGACGGAGCCTTTGTTGCCTAGCATCGACAACGCCCCTGTCCGCGTGAGGGAGAGGCGGACGTGCGAGACGTAGTCGACGTGCTTTGCCTGCACGAGAACGATCAAGACGAGCCCTACCAGCTGCACCACCTGCAGTTTTCTGTATTCAATGGCGCGATCCGAGGCAGCCAAGAGAGTTTCGATGATGGCGTCCGTCCACTCCCAACGCCGCTGCGTCGATTCTCGCACAAGGGCCGTCCCGGTCATCTCCACCTCCTGCAGGCTGACGAGAAGCAAATCGGGAAATTTCCCTTCAAGCCACTGCCACTCCGTTTGCAGCGGATCATTGCTCTCTTGGTCCTCAGAGACAGCCGGAGACAGGGAGGCTTGTAGGGCAGATGTCGAATTGTTGCCAGTGCCAGCCGCCGCCGCAAACATCTTGCGCGCCCGCATGGTGGAAGTCGCGTTGGGCGAAGACACCGTAGGCACCGTCCCACCATTCGCCATCACGCATCGCTTGTGCTCCTGGTAGTGCTTCAGCTCTTCTGTGAGTTCGTGGCCCAGCAACCACACCATAAACGCCTCCTCGTGCACTGGTGGGGGCTGCTGATCCACGTTCCACGTACACGCGTTCACCAAAAACGGAGCCTCAAGCTCCTCCAGCGAGACGTCATGTAGGAAGCTGCGAATGCGCGCGTTGACCTGCAGGCGTGTCTTGAGTGTCTCCTCGTACGCGGTGGCAGTGCGCGGAGTGAGTACGTTGGCGCTGTCGACGCCGGTGTCCTGAGAGAACTCCGTCTCAATGCGCAGCAGTGGTTGGGCGAGGCGACATGCAGCGCCCATGCCGGACCGGAGGGCACCTTTGATGCCTTTCTCCGCTTTGTCACGCTCATGCCACTGAGGCGAGTAGCCCAGCGCGCGTTCGAGCACTGGGATGCATTTCACGAAACCCAGGGAGAGTGCCCACACGAGCACCTCCACGACGATCACGATAACGCGGGCCCACAACGGGGCCTTGTGCGTCGAGGTCCCTTCCGTCTTCATGGTGGCAACGAGGGGCGCCGGCTTCTGCTGCTGCAGCTTCGTCGGCATTGTGTACAATCTGCCTGCTGTTACTCTTGCTCTTTAGAAGAGGGGCAAATTCAGGCCGGCTGAGGCGTGAAAGTCAAAGGATGACCAGAGAGGCCGCAACCTCCGCTAGAGTTCAGCGCTGCTTTCCCTGGGAAAGAGAGGGGGAGGATGATAATAACTACCGTTCGACGCAGCGTCCGTATTACAACAACACGTAATCTTTTAGGGGGGGGGGTAGAAGTTCAGAGAACACAACCGTTTCTCTTCTTCTAAATTACAACGACCGCACGGTCCAACGTTGGCAATAATATCGCTTCAACAAGAGCAGCCCCATGTACTGAGAAAAGGTCAAGACACGCACAGAAGAGATAAAATGCTTCGTGGAAAAAAGAGAAAGGAGAGAAGGAGAAAAAAAGACCCGATAAAGTCTCAGCTGAGTGGCGGTCGCGGAAGCTGAATAACGGACAAGCACTGAGTCGAATGCAAGCGCTAGCAAAGGGAGAAAAAGAAGGGAGCTAAAGAAACCAAACTGGCAAAGGCGCCGCCGAATTGTGGAAAACAAAAAAAAAATGCGAACAAAACTGTCCGTCAGCTTTTTCTTTCTCCCAACGCACCGCTTTGAACTCGTGTGGAGCACGAGGAGAGAGAGAGAGAAAAGAATGCAAGAATGAAGACAGTAAATGCACTTACTGGAACAGCCGCAGAAAGAGAGGGAAAAGGTTCATCTTGAACGTGGCAACAACGTGACATACTGCAAAGCAAATGCTGGAGCTTATTGAGAAAAGCAGCAGGTAACTTCTTGCCTCCTCTGTCCAGGATGCAGTGTTTGCGACTCGCTGCTATGGTGGCGTCGCTCAAGCCTCGTAAGTGGACAGGCGCTTCAAGAGTTTTGACAATCGCGGTGGCAACGACTTGTATGTTCACCCTTCGTGATTGACAACTGAATTCCACATGATGCGCGGTGCAATACAATAGGCTTCGGATTTTTGTGTGTTCCATATCAATTTGCGGAAGGAATGAATCTCTGTAGAGCTCAACGCTCAAAAGAGGCGATGTGAAAGCATCAGTAAAAGAAAACGAGAAACATCTCCAAAAAGAAGTAGGAAAGATACTATGCACCGGTAATTTACAGCTGAAAACAATATGCGTATATGCATATATACATAGTGGTTGTTTACAAGACGAAAGAGAACATAAATATACAGATAAATACATGTGCATGCGTTTGGAACAAAAATAGAAAGAAGGGTGCAAAAAAAAAAGGAACCTCAAGTTTCTAGTTCTGCCTTTTAATGACGCCGAGTGTTGGGTCTTGCGGAGAACGGCTTCGGCTTCGACGGTGGTGCGGCAGGGATCGCCGCCAGTCGGCTTACATCCGGGCCAGACGGCTGGATCAGCGAGCGACACGCGTCATCGATGTAGTCCAGCGCACTTTGAAACGGCTTCTCGCGGTTCACTGTGAACCCTTTCGTTGAAGCGTCGGCTGCTTTACTGTTCACAGATTGTTGATTGCTTCCAGCAGAGGACGGAGCAATCCCTACCGCTTTGCCTCCCAGCCGTCCCGGCGCGTTCGGCACCGGCGGGAGAGGAAGCCCACTGTTCTGGGCGTTCTTGGAGCGTCCGCTGGGGAGAGTGCTACCACCACGGCCATCTTTGGACGAACCGTTGCTCCCCGCCCCTTGCGATGCCCAGGATCTGCTACCGGTGGCCTCGTCGCCTGCGCCCGACGCCGGCAGTGGCAGTTGCGGTGGGGTCCGCTGGTCTGTGCCGATCTCCAACGCATTCACGAGCATGGAAATGATGTACCGCGAGAAATCCAGAAAACGAGTGTATTGACCGATGGCCGAATTTGACGCGCCAGTGCGACGCGCCGCTGCGGTGCCAGCCGTGCTGCGTTTTCCGCTAGCGCCGAGTTTCGAAGCAGCTAACCCTGCAGACTCTTCTTTGGAGGAGCGGCGGTGCTGCGTGCCAGTGCGAAGATCAGGAAATGGTTTGGGAAACCTGCCGTCTGCTCGTGTCCCACACGACTCGTCGCCGTCGCCGCCGTCGCCCTCGGAGACCAACGCTAGCGGGGTGGTGATACTCGCCAACGTGGGGAGCTCGCTCACCGAACCCTCCGAGACACGGTCCAAGGAGAGCGACAGCGAGCGTCGCCGCATCGACGGAAAGAGTTTCAAGACGGATTGCATGACTTTTTGAAACTGCTTGGCTTCGTTGTACACGCTCGCGGCAATCAAGCACGCAGACGCCTGCTCTTCGTCGGAGCACCAGTTCGTTGCCGACGCCGTAGGCAGCGGGTTCGAGGACTCTCGAGGGTCTTTGATCCAGCTGTTCTGGGGAGAAACTGTGGAAATCAGCGGGGTCGCCTTCGACAACGCGGACGATGCCTTCCCCACCGCGGAACTTGTGCCACCCGTTGCGATAGACTGGATGACCTGCTCCTCCGGAACGTCAACGGCGGCTTGGCCAGACTTTGTCCTGCCTTTCGTATTCGGCGCCAAACTCGACGTACGCGTGATCGCGTTGCTGCCTCCTCGATTGCCGGCTATATTCCCGCTGTTCGCTGGAGGGGACACCTCCTCTGCGGGCTTGAAGACGCTTGCAGATCCTTCGGACGTTCCCGGCGGCAGCATGAGTGCTAATCGTCCATGCAACCGCCGCGGAACAGAGGCGACACACTCTTCGGAGAACATGTTTGTCTGCACCACTTTTGACTTGTCCGCTTTCTCCGTCGTCGCCCCTTCCGCGGAGCTCACGCGTGTCGCGGCGGCATCTTCGGCCGGTCGGATTACACTCGGCGCCACCACAACCTCCATCGACAGCTGCTCCAAAAGCAGCTTCCCGCTTGGGTGCTTGCCCACCGCCTCCAGCAGCGGGCGACTGAGTCGAATCTCCCCTCCGTGTGCGTGACGACCGAGAATGAAAGCCTCGTCGACACCAACGCCACTGATGTGCACCGCGGAGAGGTCCGACCCCACGAAGTTAGTGGTGGAGCTGTCAGACGCACCGGCGCAGGAGTCGCTCTTGTTGCTGCCGCCGGAGGAGAGAAGTGGCCGCCATGTGTACTGGTTTGAGACATGGACCGCCATCTGCGCACGCGGGCCGTTGAAGAGAACCGTGTTCGTCTTGGGGTCCTTCACCTGCAGAGTGGCCTCATTGGGCTTCAGTTCCGCGGGCCAGAACGTTTGCACGAGTTCCAGCTGTATCTGTCGCGCCGCCTCCAGGGCAATTCCGGCGTCTTCAAAAACCACGAGGTATGCCGTGACAGAGTTCGTCTTGGCGACATAACCGTAGTAGGAGCGGAGGCAGCTCTGAACAATGTAGTTGTAGTGCTCCCATACACGCTTCAGCAGCGCCGGCTTCACGGAGCGGGTGATGGTGTTGAGATTGGCCACATCGATGTACAAGAAGGCCAGAGTGGCAGTGGGACGCGTTGCGTGCATGAGATCCGCTTCGAGCTCCTCGGTGGTCTTGAATCGCACGAGGGTGCGGCGCGTAGCGGAGGCGTTGCCGGTTTGCTCCTCGGCTTGCGGCTGACAGAGCAGTAGCCATGGATTCCGCAGGGGTGCGGCGTTGCCACTGCCCACTTCGCAGTGCTGGTCATATTCGTCCTCTGCGTTCATCCGCGCAGCCTCCGCGTGCTCGAGCCGCTGCTGCTGCTGCTGCATCATGTCGAGCACGCTCTGGCGCGGCAGCTCGTCTTGGTGCAACATGAGCGCTGCGAGGGCGGACCGGTACGGCAGGTGGATCTTCTCGCGCTGCATCGGGCCGCGCCCGGAGATGCGCAGCTGTGGGCGCCGGTAGGCAAACGGCTTTGGCAAGATCGAGTGCACCACAGCCGGCGCGTCCGAGGATCCAACGAACTGGGCGCCTTGCTTGACAATGTTGTACTGCGAGTCTAACAGGTTCTCGTTCTTGGAGTAGAAGGTGCGAATAACGTCCTCCATCGCCAAAATCTCTCCGCTTTCGGCCAGGTCGCACAGGGTACCGGAAAGACGAATTGCTGGGCCGGTGCACTTGAGTACGCCGTTCTCGAGATTGCGGTAGATGGTGCTCATGGGGCCGCACGCGACGCCGGCGCGGAAGAGGAATATATCACGCCCTTTGCCAAGCGATGTGTGCGCGTACTTCGTACCAGTGCGGTTGACTTTGATGTAAATTTCTGCAACAAAGGCGAGTGCTTGTTCCGCTTCACGAAAGACATACGTAAACACGTCGGAGTAGTTGCCGTTCATTAGAAAGCCGAAGTGGACCTTGGCTGCGGTGTGGATGTGTGCGCGGATGGTGCTCCGAATCGACTCAAACTGTTCATCGGAGATGCTCTTTAGCAAGATGCGCTTCCAAATATCGTCATCGCCAGTATCAATCGTGCAGACATACGCAGTCTCCGACGCATCGAGCGTCTTGTGCTTGCTGATCTCGAACCGGTCTTCCGACTCCATCATGTCACGCTCCAGAGCCGCAAAAGCCTTTTCTGTTCTTCTGTACAGCATGATCACGTTCTGCTTCTCCTGCTGTAACGAGAACAGCTCAAGCAGTTGTGCAGCGCTCTCCGAGAATTCGACCTTCTTTTCAGTACCCACCATCTGCTCAGGTGATTTCAGCACTGCTTTCTGCAGGACACTGGCACGGCGCCGCATCTGCTGCATGATGAGACCGCCTCCGTTGATCCCTTTGCCAGCGTCCTCCGGTCGTTCGACGGTTTGGGACAGCGCACCTTTCATGGCCTTCACGATCATGCGGGCGTCCTCTATGCTGTCTTTCAATTCGAGAGACGGATACTTGCGACTAGGGTGTAGAACGTTCGGCTGCACGCCGCGACGACTCTTCAGCTGCACGGGAAGAAGGGAAGCAACGATGTGGTGCGCTCCAGGAAGACTCACCACATCCCACTGCGGACCTAACGACTCCCGCAAGTCTGCCGTGTCGCCTTGCGCAGGTATCTCTCTATCTTCGCGCATTCTTGACTGCTTACAGATGAGTTGAGCCCACTTTTCGTTGACTGCGATTTCGCCGATCGGTGCTTGCTCAATGGCCGCCTGCGCAGCTTCGAGCACCTCTGGACCGAAAAACGAGTACTTTCCGGAAACGGGATCCACGTACGACTCTGGCGAGCAGGCATAGATGCAGGTGTGAATCCGTGGGCCCTTGAAGAGCACCGTGTTGCTTTCGATGATGCTCGCGAAGTACGGAACGCTCTCCGCGCGAGATGGCCACGAAAGCCCTACCAACTGCTCATGTGATTCCTTCGCGAAAAGCAGCGCATCTGAGGGCGACTGAAATGCAAACACATCCATTCCCTTGTAGAAGCCGACGCGATAGCCGTGGCAGCACGATGAGCTGTGAAACAGAAATTGTTGATACACGCTCACAATGAATTCCTCAACGCCATTGAGAGGGAACTGGATGCCAGAGACGTTGTGGAAAACAAACGAGACGTCTCGCTGCGGCAGGAACAAAGCATCCCAGCGTTGGACGTGATAGATGTCGTCGTGGGCCTCCATCAATGAAGCTTCAGCAGCCTCAAGCCGTTGGAGCCCTGCTGCGCGAACTCGTGCCGCAATGCGAGCCCGCTCAAACGCCATTTCGATTCGGTTTGTCTGACGCTGACGCAGCACGTCATCTCCAACGCGAGATTTAAGTGAATCATTTTCGGTGAGCAGACGCTCGTTTTCCTCGTGTAGTTGGTTCACCTTGTCGGTGAGCGTAACGACCTGTGCTTTGGAGTCTGCCTCTAGACAAATCAACGCGTTCTGTAGCTTTTCAACGGTGCGGATGAGCTCTTCGTTCCATGTAGAAATCTCCGTCATACGCGCATTCTGTGCAGCGGTGCGTTCTTTGGAATGACTTGGCTGGGTAGCATTATCCGCGTCCCATAGCGCCTGAGACGCTGCCGCTTGCTGAAGCTTCACGCGAAGGTCCGACACTTCTGCCTGGAGAAACTCAATTCGTTTCTCGGCGTCGCGCTTCTGAAGAATAAGAGCAGTCAGGTGCGCCTCCTTGTCCGCAGCGAACTCGCCCGCCGCTATTTCGCGTGATGCATATGAACTCGACATTGGGAGACGATTTCTTTTTCTCCCAAATAACAAAGAGACTTACAAATATAAAACAAGAAAAACAAGCCACATACTGTCGTATATCATAATGGGTATAACGTGCATTTCAAATCAAGAGAAAAGTCACGATCCGGGAAACAGAAAAGAATAGTAGAAAGACCAAGAAAAGTGTATTTACAACAAGAAAAAGAGTAATCCACGGCAAAATCATTACCAAACGGAACCAACAACTGCATCCAATACAGCGATAGAAAAGATGTCATCGATAAAATGAGCACGGCGTCAAAAACCTGTAATTTGAAGACAGCGTCCAAATGGACTGTGTTTTTCACAGCTTCCTTTTTTGCTTACTGTTTCTTACAATATATATTAAATAGCATCCAATGCACATTGTAGAGGGAAAATGCAACCAAAAGTTCTAATAAGCTGTTTGAGAAAAACAAAACGTCGTACAAATGTGTTTCTGTCCGCCATCAGCTTCTTAAGCTTCAAATTCATGAACAGTGTCTGTTTCAGTGACGAGTTCAGAACCATCTTCTTGTGACAAGCCACTACGCGCGCGGTACGCCTTCCAATCCTCGAAACTCATACGATTACTTTCTTTCTCAACCATGCCGCATACCTGAAAGCAGTAGCCGTGCCATCGCTGGGTAAACGCTTTAGCCTTCTCTACATCGTCGCCTATTAAAATGCTCATGCTCCACTTCGATCGCACATCCCCTGGCACGATTCGTTCAAGCCGTTTCAAAAACTCGGAGCTGAGCTCCAGTGGGTCGCCAATGACAAAATCAGGGTGGAAATCCCGGAAGTAAGTCTTTTCCCAGTGCTCACAAATATAATTCTTAAGCTCCTCTTGGCGATGCTCGGGTATCTTCTGTAGCTTTACCTCGTCGGACAGCAGACGCGCGTACGCAATGCACTTGGCCACCGCGTTGATGTTCAGTGAATCTTTGCTTGACAAAGCGGCTTCCTCATAACATTTCTTCATTTCTTCATCATAGTAGTGCCTCAAGACGGAGTTACACTGACCACAAAGTGGTACATAGTCATCGTCTCTCGGGATCTTGTAAGGCAGTGGAAGGTACTTGCGAAAAGACGGCGGCGTTATCGCGTGTCGAAGCAGTCCCTTGGTCCCGAGGCAGCAGGCACAGCTCGGCTCTGAGGAGGTTAACATAGCTCTCGCCTCAGGCTGAAGCTCGTCAATCCCGTGCGCAAAAGGACAGTGGTCCTGCAACTCACAGGCGCCAAGTGAGTTGTACATACAAAGGCGAGTTTTCACTTTTGGGTCGAATAGGAACTGGATCTCCGTCGCCTTGCGCGAATTGCCGTTCACGTGCTTTGTAATCCTAGCAAGTCCCTTCTCCATCACGTAGAATTTCGCTCTTCCTGGGGAGCACTCAAAAAGAAAGTTGCCTGTTTTGTCCAAAACTGCTACTCTTGCCCCGTTACCCAGCTGAGCTGCAAGTGTAGTACTATTGTGATCTGTGGTCGCCACGCGCGCCTCCTTTTTCAGTAGATCATGTGCCTCTTTTGCTTTCTCCCGCTGTTTCCGCTTGAAAACCTGCGCTGCAATGCTCGTGCTGCTCGTTAGCCACGCGGAGATGCTGAAGTTGGGATGATCCATGTGGTTCACCTCGTACGCTTTGCGCATAATTGCCTCGCCTACAAGAAAAGAGGCAAGTGCATCTTCTGCGGCGTAGTTGATTTGACTTGGTACAAGTGAAAGCTCCCAGTTGCTTCGAGTGATGAACTTGTTTTTCTCGATATGCAGATTTGCCACACTGGCGGCAAGTACTTTGAGGTTCACTTGACGCGCGTCGTGCAGACCAAGAGCGACGCTGTAGTGTGCCACGTCGAGCACGCTTTGCACGATTAGATTCTGTTCCTTTTGAAGGCGTGTCACGTCCCCGCTGACACCAACGCCGCATTTGATTATCGAAGGGTCGCTGAGTGCTTCTTTTACAGAATTGGGTAGGCGGCGATCAGTAAAGTAACTGAGGTGCAATACAAAGCAGTGGCTAGATGTGGCAAGCTGCACAACAGCCAAAGGAGAGTTGCGGAACCACTCTGAGTCAACCCCCATTAATCGCAAATGCGCCGGTTGCTTGTCCAGCAGGGTCATCATATCAGACCACTCCTTCTCACCGTATGTGCCCCACGCCGCGCTGCTGTTCACGAAGACACCGCACATCCGCGATGTAACAGCGAGAGAGGAAATCGATTTCATGTGATTATTATTTTGGGGCGACTAGGTATTATCAAGGCCTACCGCAAGAAAAAAAAAGAAGCAATTGACAAGTAAACTCGAGGTGAAGCAGATCGTGAGGATAGTTTTAGAAAGCAATAAGGACTTCGAAATAGCGTTCGTATTGAACAAATACGGAGGCAAACAATAGTAAGATCATATTATTATTGTTATTATTATTATTATTAGCATCAGTGTTTTTTTTTTTCAAAGATGCACTTTGTGCACATCCGCTGTTCAATAGTAACAAGGAAGGTGCTTGTTTCGAGCAACATATAATACCAAAAAAAGGCAACGAGGAAATGAATAGTTAAGTGCACTCTCAATGCTATGGTTTATTTGCTTTCTTCTGTAGATGAGCAATACTCTGTTGCGACTGGTGCCGGAAAAGTCACATGTCCGATGTGAACCGACGGGACATCCAAATGTCGCGCAGACGCCTCTAAGCTGGTCTTCTGTTGTTCGAGCAATAGGAGCTGCATCTCTGAGCGGAAGAGACGCGCTTCAACGTCGTCCTTTTGCGTTACCATCGTTTCCATTATTACAGCACGCTGGTCCTCGAGAGCAGCGCGCATTGCTTGCAGTTCCGTGGTTTCCGGCGAAAGCTCTGCGTGGTCGCTCATAGCATCGTATGTTTCCATTAAAAGGCTCTCTATGCTTTGGTAGAAAAGTTTTGTGTTTTCCTCGGCTGCGGCGAGGGATTCTTGGGCGTCTTCAATCGAGCGCCGCAGGTTGAGTATATCCTCAGAAATGGTGCGGAGCTCCGCCATGGAGACGGCCACGGTGTCGTCGTGCTCCTCTACCTCGTCGCCGAAAACGGTTTCCCAAAGCCATGAAAACATTTTGCTGCGGCGTTGAATCAAAAAGAATGAGATGAGGCGGTGGCCGAGGTGCGGAAACGGTGCAAGGAGCAAAGGGGGGGGGGGACAGAAAGAGAACAGTGATGGTGGGAAGGGGTGTGTGTGCCGGTCTTGCGTTCGGGTGTTGCTCTTCGCTTTTGGGTTTGGTTGGGTTGGCGGTGGGGGGGGGGGGGGGGGGGGGCTTGGCGTTCGCGCAGGGCCTCGCTGGGCTGGGCCGCCTCCCCACGCGGGGCCCTGGCCCCGGCCAGAGGGGGGGATGGCCGGCCCACGTTTCGCCCCCGGAAAGCGCGGCGATTGCCTTTTCCAAAGTGTTGCGCGCGGTGTGGCTGTGCAACAGCTTTGGTTGGTTTTGCACACGAAGACAAACAACAAAAGTCCTCCCTTTTCCCTTTTACACACGGCGAAAAGCTTCTCGCAGCAGTTTCAGCGATCGGCAACTCCCTGCCATGCGGCTTCGCTCGTCCAGAGTGGCGTGCTCGTGGTGGGAGGCGCTTTCCAGCGACCGCTTCAGCTCCTCAAGACTCGACTCGATGGGGTCGACGCCCTCAATGTAATCGGCAAGAGCGTTGAGAAGCTCCGAGTCGACCGCACCATCGCTTCCCGGACCCGCTTGCGAGTCTAAAAATACCGCCAACTCGTCAATAAAGTTGCTCACCTCTTGCGCGTTCATTTTGGCTCTTCGCATGACATGACATGGAAGAACGGGAGGGGAGGAGGAGGAGCGAATAAGACATCGAAGAAAGTACCGATCTGAAAAGAGAGCTGTTTTTCGTCTTGTTCCAAAAGGGAGCAAAAAAATATTATCCACACGGAACAGGAAAGGCACAACATGTGCGAAGAGCGTCGTGCTGCGTGTCTCTCTAGAAAAAGCGATCGCCAGCGAGGCGTGGCCAGTGACGGTTGGGTTCACGCTGGGGCGTCTTTGTCAGCAAAGAGCACGCACACCCACGCACAGCAATTGTTCTTCTATTTCAAGTATTACTAGTACGTCCACAAAAACACCTCTGCTTATCAGACTGTGACTCTCGGCGTCAAATCGCTGTGTGAACACAATATAAATACCTGCACTGAGGGAGAAGAACCGCAACAAAAGAGAACTACAACCTGGACGGCACGGGCCGGGAGCGGTGCGCGTGCATCTCCGCCTTGGCGGACTCTGTGAAGCCGGTGTTCATCGCCACGTTCTTCGGCGGCGGAATGGCGGTGGCGCTGCGCTCCGGCAGTGTGACGCCCAAAATGTTCCGCCGCACGCTGGAGCGGTGGTTCATCGTAGCCATGAAGTCGTCGCACTGGACGTAATCGGGCGCGCGCCAGTGGTCCAGCTCCTTCGTCACGTCCTCGCCCGTCTTCACCTGCGCCACGGCGCGCAGCACGGGCAGCACTTCCAGCAGACTGCGGTCCTGCTCCAACCGCGCAATCTCCTGCTGACCTAGCTGAATGCACTCGATCATCGCCGGCTCCAAATTCTCCGGCTTCTCCGTCTGTAGACGGCGCATCGCGAACATGTAGCGCTGCAGTATGCCGTCGTCCGGTTCAAAGCTGGCGATGCGGATGCCGTTGCGGGGGGTGAGCGGGAAGCTGCGCACGTTATCGTCGAGCATCACCACTCCGCTCATCTTTCGCCCCAGCATCGGCAGGTATTTCATGTACCCCTGCTTCTCCAGCGTTTGTGTGCGTGACAGGGCGTAGAAGTTGGTGTGGTTCGTGCTGCTGTTCTTCTGGTGTATTTCGCGCGCCAGCTCAATGTGGCTGTTGAAGGAGCGCTGTAGGCCCATCACTTGCTGCTCAAGCGCGTCCAGCACCGCGCAGCAGTACGACGCCGTTCCAGCAGTCCAGAAAACCACTTCGAAAAGCTGATGCACCTCGTCAAGGAACTCTTTCAGGTGCGGACGCAGCATCACGTAGTAGTCCACCAAGGGTATCCCATTCACGGCCGGGTCGGGTGACGTGTCTTTGGAGCTGTCATGCTTGCTCATCCCGTACGTGTGGATGAGCGTCTCGTCGATGTCCAACACGAGAGTATGCTTGCCCTTGTTCATGGGAAGTGGTGCAGGGAGCGGCACCGGCCAATGCGGCTCGAACTCTTGGCGGAGTCCAATGGCCACCACAGAGCGTAACGACTGCTCGGCCGCCGCCGCGGCTCTCTGCCCTAAACACCTTGACGTGCGCATTTCTTGACCAAAAAAAATAATATCAACAATAAAAGAGAGTATGCAAGAGAACGAGACAATAGCAACGCGGATAATTAAATGATTCACCTGAATAGTTTGTTGACGTCAGCCTTTTTTGGCGTGCTATATCTCTATGTTTATGTCGGTACGTATACCGTTGATGGTGCGATGTGTCACCTCTTAATTGTGTATATTGATGGCTTCAATGCCCACCTATTCTTGTTGTTCTTTTTTTTCCATTGGTAAACGGAAGAACGCAGCCAAAAAAGAGGTCAGGAGAAGTGTTTGTAGTGGGGTTTCTGTCAAGCAGCTTGTTGGGAAAAACAACGGAGGCGAAACAAGCAAACAAAGGAAAACTCGCCAAACAGCGCCAGAAAATCGTTTCAAGAGACAAAAAGGCCGCTACCGCAAGAGAAACGGGGTGGTCAATCAATAAAGGCCACTCAGAGACGCAGCAAACGCTCTACACCAATGATACATGTGATGGTAACACGTGAACTTTCAGAGAAAAAAAAGGAGAAGATCATACAAGCAGTACGAAAAATAGCAGCAGTGTGTACGCACAATCGAGTGGCTAGCCGTCAACGCCAAGCCCCAGATCGTGCTCTACGGACCATTCTCTGAGCTCTCCAAGCGAGGGTCCGAATTGGACTGTCACGCTCAGCGGTACGAGTAGGTGCATTGCATGCGACATGGCTGAGGAAATAATCGGAACTAACGTGGGGAGTAGCTCCTTGCGCAGCGTAAAAACCATCTCGTCGTGGATCTGAGAGATAAGACGGACGTCATCGCGACTGTACCGCTGCAGCACCTCCTTCGCAACGGCGAGCATAGCCATCTTCATCACGTCCGCCGCGCTGCCTTGCACCACGCTGTTGAAGGCCTGTCGCTCGGCGTAGGAGCGACGCGACATCACGGTACTCTGAATATCGGGCAGGTAGCGCAGTCGACCGCTGATGGTCCGCACAAACCCATTCGCGCGGCTCTCTTCAATAACGCGGCGGTGGTACGTCTCGATGCCCGGAAAGGCGTTGGTGAGGAGCGAGGTGATGTGCAGCGCACGCTCCACGCTCACGCCCATGTGGGCGGCAAGGGTCTTGGGCCCTGCCCCGTAGAGGGTGCCGAAGACGACGCGCTTCGCCAGCGTGCGCTCCTCGGACGAGACTGGCTTCTTCTTGAAAACGACCTCCGCAATGGCCCGATGAATGTCGGTGGATTGGGTGAGGGAAGCAATGAGGGCTTTATCCCCACACAGGTGGGCAAGGACGCGGAGTTCAATCTGCTGGTAGTCGACCGAGAGCAACGCGGACCCTTCTGGCGCGATAAAGCACCGCCGGAAGCCGAGCAAGTCTTCGTCTCCTTCCTCCTCGTCTGTTGCAGTGGTGGTAACGGGCATGCTCGTCCCACCGTTCCGTGGTAGGTTCTGGAGATTTGGCTCTACACACGACAGGCGGCCAGTGTCGGTGCCTTCTTGGAGAAAATTCGGGTGAATCGTGGCGTAGCCGCGGCCGGGCAGCGTGAGATGATCGCTGATGGCGGTCACACTCGCCTCCTCGTCGGCGCTCAGTCGTGAGCTGGGGTTGTCCGGAGACGTAGCTCCTGGGGAAAAGCGACCGCCAGTACAGTGATTGGCTTCAACTCCCGCGTTCAGCTGGCGGTCCACAAAAGGGTTGCCTGCGTCGTTCGCATCGACCGTCTCGCCTAGCAGCTGCGGCTCCACCTGAGCCATTGAGTTCTCCCTTGAGACAAGCCGCACCGGGGAGCCTGCTTTCAACGCCGCTGCCGCCGCCCCTGCCATGGAAGCACCGGTGGAACTCGTGCTCGTCGTCTCCGGGCGAACAATGGCGTAACCCATCATTCCTTCGACGTACGTTTGCATCAGCTTCGATGCCTTGCGGTACTTCAGCAGACATGCGGGAAATTCGTGGTGCGGGGCGAGGGCACGCAAGGTGTCTTCCGCCGTGGAGAGACGGCCGCCTTTAGTGATGGTGATTCCCGACCCTGCCGCGGCGTCTCCACCGCCCGGCATCTTCGCCGTCAAGAACTTGCCAAGCTGGAGGACCTCGTAAAGCGCACGGCGACACTGGTCGTGGCTCTGGATGTTGAAATCGTCGCCCATCTCCGGCACCAGCGTCGCTGCAAGGTGGCGCTGACGGGCCATTTCGGCCTCGCAGGCTTTCTGATAGCGGTGTACCTCGGGCAAGTCCACACCGATGCCGTTGTACCGCATCAGCGCTAGCAAGAGGGCAATACGCTTCTCCTGGCGCAAGAAGGCCTGCAGGAGACCTTTGCTGCCCAGGAGACCGTAGAGGCTGCGGTACACGGTGGCGAGATAGTACACCTGCTGCGCGAGCAGTCGTTGCGCCGGCGTCAGCGGAGGGGCGGGGGCCTCGGCATTCGACGACGGTGGCGCAGCGAAGGGGTGCGCTGCGTGTATGGAGCTGTTGGCGCTGCAGGAGTCTGTGTCACTCGTCTTCTCCAGCATCACCGACGGCGGCGGCTTGCCAGCCGACACGCGCAGCAGCAGCTGATCGTAGTCATAGAGCACGTTCATGTCCGCATCCCCTCCTCCATCGGCGGCCGCCGCGGTGGTGGTGCTGACAGGTGGGGGTGCGAACGCAGAGCGCTGCGACTGGGTGGAGGTGCAGCCGATGTGCAGCTGCGCCATCCACGCCATCACGCGGACGTCGCTAACGCAGTGCGACCACAGCGTGCCTTTGCAGTGCGCCACGAGAGCCACCAGCACCGCCTGCGCGTTGAAGGTGATGACCTCGACGCCGGGTAGCTCCGTCAGCACCCTGCACAGAAACGGAAATCCAACCGTGTGGGCGGGCAGCGCGTACACGGCGTCCTTCCAGCGCGCCATGACAAGCTCGACGTGGTGATGGCTGTAGACGGGGTCGATGGAGGCAAAGCAGCTCGACGCCCGCCCCTTCACCGTCTTGGAGGCGTTGCGGTGATAGGTAAAATTGGTGCGACATTCCACAAGCGGCGCGCCACCACCGCCGTCGTTGGCCAGGGTTGAGATGCCCACAAACAGCGGCGGGGCCTGAATGCGGTCTGGATCGTTGAGAGTGCGACGGACATCGAAGAAGAGGTCCTCGGTGCTGGATTGCAAGTAAAAGAAAGGGACGGACACTGTGGCTGCAGCCGTCGGTGCGCCTTGGAGGCCCGCCAACGCCCTCCCGACGTCCCCTGCTGCGGCGCTGGTGGAAAAGGAGAAAAGGGTGCGCGGCACAGTGGAGCTGCCATCACGCGAATCCGTCGCCGCCACAGCACGCTTACCCTTGCCTCCTTTTTTGGCTGCAGCATCGACGGAGGCGCCGCTGCCGGTGGCCGCTCTGCCGCGCTTGCGGGCCCCTTTCCCGTTCCTACCGTTGCCTGAATCGCTTGCCAGAGTCGCGCCTTCGCTGCCGTCGTCGTCGTCGCACAGATCGGCTTTATCCTTGGTCCCCGTCTTGTTGCCCGTTGCGCTGCCCCGTTTCTTAGAGGCCCACGCCGGCTTCCCCCTTCCCCCGCCCCCGCCGCTGCACTTCGGTGGTCCACAGCGCTGCTCTTCGGTGCTGTGCTGCACCTTCTCCGAGAGTTGCGCAAGACTGATCTGAAGGCGACGCACCGCTTCGGCGCTGGCCGTTTCTTTACGATCGGCAGCGGGGGCGGTGGACGACTCCGACGGTGTCACGGGGGCCGCCGGTGTGGGACTGGAGGGCGGCCGATCGTGCAGTGCCGCGAGCGTGCGATGGTCACCATCCTCCACGTCGACGACTTCTACGACAGTTAACCCCTTCGCACGCGAGTAGCGTACCGGCGAGGGACTGCGGAGCTCAATGCTTTCTTTCACGGTGCCGCGTGGAACAGGGGGAGAGCCGCACGCATGTGAATGGTGTACAGCGACAGCGCCGGCGCTGCTCGCCGAAGCTTCCATTTCTTTTTCTGTACGGCGACGGTGCGACGTCGGTGCTACTTGGCCACCTTGCCAGTTTCCTCTCAACAGTTGTTGATTGGATGAGGACGGTGCTGATGAGTCGGAAAGAGATGGCGGCAGTTCTGGCGGTGCCATACGAAGGCCAAATTGGAGCCACTTGCGCACGTTGTCGACGCTGCCGCCGCTGTCCGCTTCAGTGCCGGCGTGTAGCTCGGCGCGATTCAAGACAGTGGAGCCGCAGCGAAGGGGACCAGTGACCGACGCCTGTGAAGGTGCGTGTCGTGCTTCTCTTATGGAAGCCGACATTCCGTTTTCTGCGGGTGTGGCTAGATGTGTCATGGGCACCACACGGAAGGCGTGTGGGCCATGGGAGGAGTACTGGAAAGGATCCATTACCAGAAAAACAAAAGCTGAAGAGAGTTGCCGTGAAGTTTCTGTTGCTTTCCTCGTGGCTCAAATGCTCAGCTCCGGAGAACACAGGAATGTGTAAAGCGAGAGGAAAAGGCGAGGAAAGTTTTCCTGTTATCCTTTTTAAATATACCAGCAGTAAGTTGCGCGCTATGTTGCTGCGCCGTACGAGTTCCATGCAGAATCACACACCTGAGGAGTAAATTCTTGCGTTTGCTGCAACACACACGATATAAATGAAGGAAGGAAAGCGCGCGCGCGCGAGAGAGAGGGGGATGGAATGGTGAGGAATGGCGACGAACAACTTTGACACGATAAGCAGAAATGAAAAAAAGAAGAAGAGAGAAGCAAACATATCCGGCTGCATCAAGATGGCACTTCTGTGCCCCCTCATGTGGGCTTTTTCGCAGGCAGCTGTTGCACCTTTCATGTTCTCTTCCCCCCCCCCCTCCTTCTCCTGAAAGCCTGTAGCGACTTCTTTGCAGAAGCTAGAGAAGGAAAACAAAAAGGAAAGAAGTTTTGTTCCCGCCAAAACTGACTCGTATGGCGTAGAACGTCTGCACTTGTTTCCCTTTTCTTTTACAGCAGGGCGTCACAGCATCCTTCTCTTGGTTTAACGTTGGATTTCGTCTCGGTACGAACTCAGGAAAATGCCAAACCACAATTACAAAAAAGAAAAAACAAGAAAGACTCGGAGCGAAGGAGGCGAAGACAAAAACACACACGAAAAAGGTCCCATCAGCGTACGGTGGAAGCACGGGGCGCGTGGGGAGCATAAAACAGAAGCATTTCCTGAACAGTTAGAAAAAAAAAGAAGAGCTTTAAACAGTGTGAGGTAGCAGGACAAGCGCGCGTCGGCGAAGAGCGATGTCCTGCGAGGGAAAGAAAAAGAAGGAGAGGGGAGGGGAAAGAAGAATCACAAAGAACAGAAATAAGGTATACAAAAAAAAAAGCGGCGAGGTGCAAAAGAGAAATAATAATAATAAAATCCAACAACTGAAAAACACTCAGACAGTTAATGCCGCAAGTCAAAAGGGCGTTTGGTCACCGCGTACAGGTCTTCCCGGTACTCCTCTCTAGCGTAGTCGTCGGCGCGGCGCCCACCCAGTGCCAATAACCTCTCTGGTGATCGGAGCAGGTCTAGCAGTTCGAGAAAGAGCATCTGCTCCAGATACATGTCACCGACATCTCCATTGGACGCACAAGAACGCGCCAGGTAAATGTACCGCAGCAGCTCTGCCACCGGTTCGGGATTAGCGAGTTGCAGAAGAACAACGCGGTGTGCATCGCCGGCGAAGAAGCCACGGATGTAGTTGCTCACCACCAGCACGAAACTGGTGTAGAGGGCGATGACGCCCATGTTCGGGATAAGTGAGAGACTGCTTTGCACCGTGGTGACATCCGTGGACGCGATCAGGTAGACGAGCGTGTGCTCGGGTGCTTCAACGGGGCCACCATTCGAGGCAGAGGCCGTCGGCCAGCGAGAGGAGCTGGAAGTCTGCGTCGCGTTCGGCGTCCAGGATTGGCTTGCTGCAACTGCTTCAGATGCGGACGAGGCACACTCTAAGCACGTGAAACCTCTGTACTGACCCACACGATGAAGCGTCAACGCGCAATCCACTTTCGCAAGCCCAGCCCTCACCATGGACGCAACACTGGAACCGGAGCTCACCACATACGGGGTGTAGAAGGACGGAAGCGGGACCGCGAAAGGGGGGAGAACCGCACTGGTGGCATTGGAGTCTGCAACCTGCCACGACTCCAGTACACGGAGAAATGTAAGTACAGTAGGCACAGGCAGCGTGTACGACTCTTCGAAACTGCACGTCGTGTAGCTCGCCTCGATAGCGCGATTGCGTGTCACACGGTTGCGCACGACTAATTTCGCCCGCCGGTTCTGCCGTTGTTGTGCCTCTGACCGAAGCTCGTGAAGAAGATGTGTCAGCGCTGCAGGTGTGTAGGACCACATCTGACTGCTGCACTGCGGTGGCTGTGCCAGCTGCCACGTGTCACTCGCCGAGGCAATGCGAAGGAGATCGGACGGATTCGGTGCTGCGTCGCCGATGGTCGTCGCCGCGGCCGTGCGGAAAGGTACCTGCGAGAGTTGTGCATCCGCACTGTACAGGGGCAAGGCAGAGAGACTGCCAAATGCCACGTCACTCGTCCACGCCGTGACCCGGCTGGCGTGCACCTGCGGCCCAAAGGTGGAGTACCAGAAAAGAGGGAAAAACAGCACCAGCAGAATCGCGGCGAAGCTTAGCATGCCCTGGTAGACACGCACGTAGTAGGGGAAGCGGCGGCCCTGGTGGCGACTCGTCCAATGCAGGTCGTGCATGTCCACATACCGGCGGTACACGTTGTGGTGGATGTCCTCGAGGAGCATCCAGTGCTGCACCTTCAGCGTCGTCGCACTGAAGGACCAGTCAAGCAGCACACGCAGCTCCAACAGGAAAGGCACGACGCGAAACACCATGTGCCCAAACCAGTGCACGGCGTCCGTCCTCATCGTGAATGGATCGTGGGCGCGGTGCAGCGGGTAGCCGTGGCGCAGCTGCAGTGCCCCGCACCACAGCGAGGCGAGCTTGGCGGCCATCAAGAGAGAAACAGACGTGACGGACAGGCCGCTGCTCGCATCACGCATCGTGTACCACGCAAGGTACAGCGCGTGGTACGTGAGCGCGAGGAGAACGTGCAGCATGCATTTGGCGACGAGGGCGTGCAGGACGTAGATGACGCGCTCGGCGAATAGCACGACCACCAAGCCCAGCGTGGTGGCCACGAAGACTCCCGGAAGGCGGTTATGCTGCACAGCGTAGAAGAGGTTGTCCTGCGACGGTGCGGTGTCGTCCGGGGCGATGGCGTAATACGCCCAACAGAAGAGCACAAGGGACAAAAAGTCAAAGAAAAGCTGCATGGAATAGTAGTCCGCACCAGCGCCGCGCCGACGCCGATTCCAACGCGTTAGACGCCCTGTGCAGTTGTGGTCTGACGGGTGCAGCGCAGCCTCAGCGCTTTGCACGGTCGCGTCAGAATGAGGAGTGTTGCGTGTCGGTGAGGGGGACCGAGAGAGCAGCGCGGGGAGACGACCCTCCTCAACGATGCTGTTGCGGCCATCACTACCACCAGCACCGCAGCCCAGCACGCATTGATCAGAGTACACCAACGACCACTGCACCACAGCGGCACACAAAACGGCAACCCCCATCGTGATGTCGAACCACGGCTCCCAGCCGGTGAACGAAACCGTAACGGCCGACGAGGAGGAGAGCACTGACCGAGGAGAGCTGCTGACCCGACCGCTGAGGAGGAGCGCGCTCAGGCAGCGCGCAGCGGTCGATGAGAGAGTGGGAACAGCACCGCTTACGAGGGTGGCTCGCACCAGGCACTTGCAAAACACGCTCGCAGCCGCGAAAAGTACTCCCGATCGTACATAGCACCTCGGCGGCCAGGGATGTGGGAGCACGGCGTACACGAGGCTCGCCAACGACGGCACCAAGTTGACCGCTGTGCCGGAAACGGTGTAATGGAGTAGGGAGAGCAGCGCACACACCCACACCCAGTGCTGCGCAGCGTAGCGCATTAATAAATACAGTAAGGAGCTGTCGTCCGGCGGATCGGCGACCGCGGTCGCGCTCGTGGTGCGGGCAGCATCGCCGCTCCCGCTGATCCGTTGTGGCACATTCGCGTCGCGTGGCTTTACCTTTCCGACGACGATAAGCGTGTGCGCGCATAGGTATGTCTTCAACTCCTTGTGCAGCCCTTTAAAAGCTCTGCTGGCGGCTCGCGGAAGACAGCAGGTGCGAAAGGGCTCCCCTTCCTGATCTTCTCCGTCTGCTTCGCTGCATTCCGCATGCGGTGCGGTTGGGGTTGCGACCGCGGCCTTCTTCTTTGCCCTGTGAGAGTTTGCTGCGTGCGCCGGTGGTTCAACTGTTGCGACCGGCATCGTCGCGGTTGTGTCCACCACAGGAGGGCCATCCAAGGAAAGCTTGTCCATGTCACCTTCAGGGAGCGAGCCGCCCGCTATCATCCCGTTGGCAACGCTGTGAAAAGGCGAGAAGTCACGAGGGGCATCGTACGCGCTGCGACGCACAACATTCCGTCGATGCTCGCGAAAGCAAAAGTACTCAGAGGACACAGAAACGTCACGCAGGCATAGAATTGGCACGGTGGAGGCTGTGCTCAGGAGCGGAGGCGTCGCTAAGGCTGATGGTGGTGGTGCTGCTGCTGGCTGCCTGTTCGGGGACGCGAAAGGAGAGGCAAAAGGGCTCGTGTTCAGCAACTCCGAATAATGATCGACGTTCTCGCCATCCTCACCGTCCTCACCGTCCTCGCCGGCCGGATGCCCAGGACTCGTTGTATGTTCGCGAGGCCGCAGACGTGATGCACTAGGCGGCGCGCTCTCCTTATCCCTGCTTTCCTGCGAATAACGAGCCACCACGGCGCTTGCCGCGAGTGTGACGGTGGCGGCGGCGGCGGCGGAGGGGCCCAAAGGACCCCCTCCCTTTTCCGTACGGCTACCGCCATCGCATAAGTAGATACCAGTGCGGTTATTCAGACGGTTCCACGTTGACTGTTGCCTGAGCTGCTCTTTGAAAGGTGGTGTAGGAGTGAGCAGCGGAGCGTGCAGGTTAATCTGGCTCTCTATCTCACAAGGACTGTGGGCAGTGGAGTTTACGAAGGAGGCCCGCGCCGAACCGCAGCTATCACGAGTCCGCACCACCATCGCGCTCAATTCACCCTTCCTTCCGCGCACCACCTGCGTGGAGTGTGCCGTTAAGTTGCTGTCGTCTGTCGAGCAGCGGTGGCTTCCACGGCTTCCACAGCTGCCAAACGGCGCGTACCGTCGGCGGTGAGCGTGCCCGTCCCCATGAAGGATGTCGTTTCCAGCCCTGCCGTTCGGGTTGTTCAGCGGAGGTTCCATACCAGTATTCGCGGTTGCCGCGCAACCCCTGCCGCGGCGTCCGCCGTTCACGTTCGCTGTCCTTCGTTCCCGCTGGAGACGGAGCTCTGTCACTTTGCGCTGCGCTACCCGCCGCTGCTTCAGCGCACACGCCAGCTGCTTCCCCTCCTTGACAGCCAGCGCCTGTTTATACCGGGCGCGATGCTGCGCCACTACGTAGACGGGTGCCCACCGCGAGGCGGCCAGCAGCGTGACATAGCTGCTGGTATGAAGACAGAAGCACTCCACGCCAGCCCACCACAGCCCGATCGCACCCACTACCTGCCAACGCGAAGCTGTCGTGTTTGCTGCCGTCGCGCCTAGCAGTCCCCCCCACACCGTAAGAAGATGGCGGCGGGCGGGCGAGCGCGTTGCCGTGTACCCTTCCAAGGATTCGCGAAGCCACGGTAGACGGAAGCACGCTTGCACAGTCCACAGAAGCAGTAAGACCGCGGAGTAGACAAGCCAACAGCGCCGACGCCACGACAACACGCAGCGCGGGTAGTGGAGTAGCATCAGCACGGCGAGCAGCACGTAGATGCACCCAAAGAGAGTCCCCTGGCCGATGCCAGCCGCACAGATCCACAGCAGCGAAAGAGGCGCGAAGGTAAAGCTCCTCATAAGCCAGGCACCGACGCGTTTTGAAATTTTCTCTAATTGAAAGGTAGCAGGTGCTCTTGTACGTGAACGACACCGCAACAGCGTTGCACACACCGCTTGCCCGACACTGAGAGCGCCCACGGTGGAGAATGAAGCGATGGTGACGAAGAAGTGCCGCTGAGAAACGCCACCCTCTTCAACACGAATACCAGCAAAGAGAGTAAGCAAGATACGCAGCGGCGCACGATAAGCCCACGAGGGTGCGGTGCAACCGGTATCTTGTAGGTCCTGAGACGAGCACTTCGCCACAAACAGCAACAAGGCGGTCGAGAGGCAAACGGAGAAAAGCGACACCACGGCTGTGGCCCACACCCATCCTGCGTGCACCACAGAGGCGCGACCTGCGTGCTCGTACGGGTGGTCGTGCGCGACGTCCACTGCTGCTTCGTCATTGGCCCTTGCGGCGGTGCTGCTTCCTTCCAACGCGTCAGGGCAATAAACACTGGAAACTTCTTTCGTCCGTAAGACCACCGCCGCCTCCTCCTCTGCTTCTCCCGTTGTCGAATAGGGCGGTGTGAGAGAGAGCTCGTTTTCGCGAGAGGCGCCTCCGCGTGAGTTGAACGCTGTGCCGCGCGGTGACATCAGGGCGTGCGCAGAGAGTGGCAAGGCATAGAAGCGCCGGGTTCTCGCTGTGATGGACGTTCGCGCCTCCAGCTCTCTTCCTTGACGCTGTTCACGCCCCCATGGTGATGAGGAAAACAGTTCTTCGCCGGGGCTGTCACGGTATGGGTGCGCATTTCCCACGCGAGGAGGTGAGGGCACGCTTTGCGTGGGTTGAGGCAGCGACGAGAGCGGTTTCCTCAGAGCAGGAAAGGGCAGCGTGGCGAAGAACGAGATCAGTAGACCGAGTGCTGCGATGTGCTGTTCAAACAGCACGAGAAAGAAGAGAAAGTGCAGTATGGCGAGGAGGTACACGCCACTAATCAGTGTACTAAGAGCACACATGACCGCTGTGAGAACAACGAAGATTTCAATAGGGGGAGGGGGGAGGAAGAAAACACGCACGGTCTTGCTTTCGAGATTGAAGATTCGTTCGTGGCCTGCACCACGTGGCACGGAAAGGCGCGTGTTATGAGTAATGACTTTTTTGATGTGAGAAGTAAATACATGAAAAGGAAAACAACGGAAAAAGATGGAGGCCGCTGCTAGGAAGTCGGGATACCAACAGCAGCAGCGCCAAGTAAGGAAATAGCAAAAAAAAAGGAATTAGACGAAAGAAAAAGCGAATTAAAAAAACAACGGCTGTCGTTAAACAGCTTCACCAGCGAGACAGAAGCCAGTGCCTGACAAAGCAGAAAGGGTTGAATGAGAAGAGAACAAAGGGTGAGTAGATAGAGAGAGAGGGGGGGTCGATGCGGCGACAGTGGCATTGATCTGCTGAGAAGGGAGAAGGGGACAGAAACGTCGGAGTTAGTGCTACACAATTCACGGTAAAGTGGTGTTGAAAAAGTAGTTTTTTTGTTACCGTGAAAACGAAACGTGTGTGTGTGTGTGCTGTGAAGGAGGAAACTGTCTTTCACCTCTTTATTTTTACGGTGAGGAAACAACAAGCTACGAGTCGCAAGCCGGGAGAGGCAAGGCCAGTGGGGAGTAACCGCCACGCACACGCTTCCAAATTTTTTTTTTTTTGGGAGGGTACTGAAAGAAAAAAAAGGACAAGGAAAACAAATGGCCGAGGAGAGCTGGGCAAGAGAGACGTCCTCTGCAAGTGCCCTAGAGAATTTCGGCAGAATCGCCGCTTTCCAGCAGAGTCACGTGCGGCCGAAAAGAGGACCGTTGCGCAAGTGCATCCATTGGCAGGGGAACATCCGCCACGTGCTGCCACACCGCATTGTCCACCCAATTCGTTGCACCACTGACAACAGAACCAGCAGCCTGAACATCGACAGTCAGAACAGGCGGATGCGGCTCAGCGGCTGCCTCGGTGCTGGGAAGCGACTTAAAGCGTAAACGCACCGCACTGCTGTACGACTGAAGCGGTGGGCTTGCTGCGCCTTCTGCGGTTGCTGCAGCAGCAACCTCAGCGATTTCCTTGGGCTTTGTCTGCACCTCCAGGCACCTGTCGGCGATCCTCTTGCCGAAGAGCTCCCAGTGGTCACTCCAGAGAAACATCCCCCGCGTTGTGCACTCCACGGAGAGCGCGTAGGCCTCTTCCCAGATAAGCGGCGTGTCCAAAAGACGGTGGTTGTAGTGCTCCTGCTCCTGCGACGACGGGGCGGCCGGAAGACTGGCCAGCGTCTCCGCGTCCGGCGCACTCATCTCCCCGGTGGGCGAGCACAGCAGAGGGAAGTAGGCGGGGGCAACACTCAGCAAAACGTGCGGCTCCTCTGCAGTGGTGGAGCGCAGACGAAACGCGATGGTCCAGTTTTGATACGCCGCCCACGCCTCCTCAGCCCAGCTGGGCCGGCTTCGCTGAGGCGGGGGAGACTCTGCCGTTGCGTCACGACTGTTTCCATTACTCTTGCCTTTTTCAGCAGGTTTGACGAGCGCGCATCGACCGCTAAAGGCGTGGTGAGTGCGCCACGTGGTGGCGTCCTGCATATCGCTTGCCGTGAGCGGTTTACCGGAAACGTCGAAGAGGTCGTTGTTCCTACTCGTCTTGTGCAGCTCTCGCGGCGGCTCCACAGAGATCTTCGACTCCGCGCCGGCCGTGGTCTCCAGTCCTTCCGAATACGCTTCAAATCCCCACATTGGTGACGCGAGAAAGGGAGAAAGGAGTTGCAATGCTTCAATACGATGTAACTGATAAAGAAGACAAAAAAAAAGTGTTAGAACGCTATACGTACCTAATTAAGCGTTTAACCAACGTGAAGACGCCTGAGCGGAGTGGCGAGTAAGTGAGAGTAATACACAACAGCAACAAAAGCGGTAGCGGTAAGGGGAAATATATATATATATATATGTATGTGTGTTGTATAAGAAAAACAAAAGTGGATGGTGAGCGCAGGACAACAGTTTCCGCTGCGTTCGAAGGATGAGAGAGCGTTGCGGAGCACTTCAGCACAGCGATCCAGAAAGCAAAGTATGGTCACCTTTGAGAAAGAGAGATCGCGAACAGCAGATGTGCAAAAAAAAGGAGAAGAGTGAAGCGGAGAAAGACCCCGTGAAAACCGACGTGGTCGAAGCGAAAGGTAAGGCGTGCACATTTGACAAAACGCCCGAGAAGCATTTGAAAAAAAAACCAACTCGTTTGCAACCACACGGCAGCGCAGCACTCGACAATTTACTTTGCAAAACTCACAGTGCACTTTTCTGTTACTCGGATTCTTCTTATCCTCGGCGAGCACCAATAATAATAATAGTAAATTCGCGTGAAAAAAAGTTGCAGGTAGACGCAGATGAACATGCGAGAAAAGCGGGAAAAGAAGAAGAATAGCGACAACAACGCAGGTAGGAAAAGGTCAACGCAATGAAGATGAGGAAGAAAAGTCTGTAAAATCGGAATGGTACAAATCGGGTGAAAATAAAAAAAAAAGTTGAGAATAATAATAAAAACAGTTACTTCTACGCACACAAGAAGAGACGAGAGATAACAAAATTCTTTTTTCTTTGAAACCAACCCGCATCGACACGTCGTTTTCTCATAGTTTTATATTTTCAAGGACGTATTCTTCCGGTGAAAATAAATAAATATCCAACAACAGAAAATAATCGAGGACAAAACAAAGTTTTAGTCAATAATAATAATGCTTGTAAAGGAAATAAACGCGTGTCTGCACGATGCTGCCTGCACGCACTGTTTCACCGTCTCTTCCTAATTCCCATTAACTTCCTTAAAACTTGACCTCGCATGCAAGGTAAAAAAAAGGAGTTCGAAGTAACAGACACCCGCTTCTTTTTTTTTTTGAAAGGGTTAGGAAAAAGACACACTGCGTAGATGCGCGCAGCGACTCGTTTTAATGCAATAGAGCAGAAAAAGACCAGAGCCAAAAATACGTAGGTAAACAAACCACAATAACGTTAATGATACACAACGCGCGTAATAAAGAACTGTTTTCCTTGAACCCTTCGGGCGTTCACACGATGCCACAACACGCTGTTTTTTACGAGCAGCTTTCATCCCCGAATCTAATTGGGTCGCGCCTTCCGTGCGGAGGGCATCTGGGAGGAGTAAGGCAACGTCGGCGTGTCATCCGTCCTCTCGGCAGTTGAAATTTCCGGAAGGCTCTCAGAGTTCGTGAAGCGCAACGTCTTGCTCCGCTGCGAGACGGTGCTCTTACCAACAGCCCCCTCAACAGAGACTGCCACTTGCGACGGCGAAGCCGTACTCAGCACACTACGCGACTCCCCGTCCACCGCCGTTTTGGCGGTGCCAGCTTTCAGGTTCAGTGCGGTGTTGCCCAGCGACATCGCGGGAGGTCGTTCTGCGTTCGTGTTCTCCGCTGCGTTCGCGGTGCCGTGGGTGCCGTTGGGCCGCGGCGGGTGATGAGGGATGGGTGGCGGGGGCGATGAAGGGCTGAACAGGATGTTGCCGTTGGTGTTGCGCGTCGTCGAGACTCGCTCCGTCGGCGTCCGCGAGAACGACTCGGAGCGGTCGGACAGCGAGGTGCTGTCGGGGAAGAAGTTCGCGCTCGACCCGCTGACTCGTATGGCGGAGCTGCGCACACTCGACACGGCTGAGGGCCCGACGCCGTTGCCGACACCGCCGAAGTCGCGATTCGCCGCCAGGAAGTCTTCCAGCTTCATCTTCAGAGCGTCGTTGCCCGCCGTGGTGTACCACACCTCTGACAACGTCTTGTTCCTGCTACGCTCAATGCACGCGCAGAGCTCCTCAACATCGTCGGTCGTGATGTTCACACCGAGCATGACGAGCTGCACCAGGGAGCGATTTTGATGGAGACTCCGAATGATGGGCAACAGCGGGTGCTGACGCTCCTCCCGGGACGGCATCTCTGAGCTGCCGCTGCTCATCTCCAGCCGTGCCATATCCGCGGCTGAGTGCGCGGTGCTGGCGCTGCTAGTGTAAGAAAAGTGCCGCTTCGAGGAGTTGCGCATCTCGGCTAGGTATGCCGGGTGGGCGATGGTGTTGGACTGATAGGAGACGTCCAGCATGCGCAGTGCGCGATTGCTCGCGAGGGCATCGCCAATGTAAGCCAGTGCCTTGCCCGACATGTCACAGCACCGCAAGCTCAAGTTGGAGAGGTGCGGTGCGCCGCCGAGGCCCTTGGTGAGAACCTGCACGGCGTCGTCGCTCAGGGGGAAGCGGAGGACCAACGTGGAGAGCTGTGTGGCGGGAACGCAGAGGGCGTCGGGAAGAGACTGAAACGACTGCAGGAGGTGTTCCGGCGACCACGACTCATCGGGCTCGTTCGGGGCGGGCGGGGAGGCTGCGACGTTCGCCTTCCCACGCGGGGCCTGCACCGTCACTGGGCCGATGAGGGCGGGCCTCGTGCTGAAGCAGTCCTGCAGGTACAGTTCCCGCAACGCGCTATGACCTACTACGATGTCCGCGAACATGGCAAACCCATCGGGCGAGAAGCCGCTGCGGGCGTAGTAGTTGCCGGTGCCCTTATACAGAAACGTAGAAAGCGACGGGGTGCGTTGGATGTAGGTGGAGATGGCCTTCACATCTTTCAGGCTGAGCGTGTCGCGCACATCGTCCACGTCCTCGCCGCCGCCGCTCTGGCCACGGCCCACCTCCAGCTGCTCCAAGGAGCAAAAGAGCGGTGCGATGGACGCGAGGTCGGCGATGCCGCTCGAGGTGATGAAGTTGTCCGTTAACCCGATGAACTTGAGCTGACACGGCAGCTCCGCCCTCGCAGCCGCCGCAGCGGTGGCCCCTTTGCGCAAGTCGATCTGTTTCATAAGTCGGTGCACCCCCTCGTCGGTGATCTCGTTTCCGGCGAAGATAACATTTTCCACGAGTGTGTCATCCAGCAGCGTATTCATCATTTCAACGAAGCCGTCGTCACCGGTGCGCAGAGCGCGGAGGTCGAGTGTGTGAATGTCGTGTTTCCCTCGCCGGGGTCTTGAGGTGGGCGCTGCTGCTGCTGATGATGATGACGATGTTGTTGCGACTCCGGTTGCTGCGGCTCCTGACTTGCTTTGGATGTAGTTCACAATTGTAAAGATCACCGCCGGCCCGATAGCGTTTGTCTTGAGGTACTGCCGACGCCATTGAGGGCTAGGGATGACGGACTCCCCGTGCTGGAGGGATTCAACGAGGGCTTGAAGGGCACGACGCCGCGCACGCGCCTTCAGATCTTCCGCAGACGCCACCGCTGCCGTGGCTGCTGCTGCTGCCCGGCTGCCGATGTGAGGTTCCGCCGCTCCGGAACACTTCGCTGGTGCCTTTGGCGAGACGGTGCTCTTGCTGGTGTCGGCGTTTGCGCCACTGCTCGAACAACAGCCGCCCATGCTACTAACGATAGAAAACGAAAGCTGTCGCTTTAATAATAAGGAAATAAGAGAGCGTGACGCTAGAAGAGGGGATGCAGCTCCGTAAGCGTTAAGGCTTGTACAGTAACAGTGGAGAAGACAGCTGCTGACTACTCCTTCACACCGTCCGGGGGACAGAGGCAGATGCAGGAAAAATAGAGAAGTAGAAACAAATTATTGACGAAGGGAGAAGCGTGCGTCGCACACGGCCCCTTTCTTTTGTTCTCAGAGCTGCAATGGTAGCGCTCTTTTCGACAAGGAAACTAAATACGATGGATAGCAACTATGATGATGATGGCGATGATCAGAAGAAGGAAGGGAGGAAGAAGAGAGGACAACAATAAAACGAGCAAACAAAACAACGTCGACGTGCTATAATGTACATACAAGAAAAAGCTCGACCGCTCCGCCTAAACGTGGGATTCAGCAATGCTCTGCGACGCACCCCATCAACTAACCGTTTTGGAAACAAGAATTGTGGAAAGCACTGTGGTTTTGAACAAAGAGAATAGGTCAAAAGATGAGGGGGACTGCAGAGTAAACGGCAAAGACTATGAAAGGCCTTCAAGTGCACATGAACAGACGGTTTTCCGATTGGAAAGAAGTCACAGCACAGGACAACATCAGGGAGTTCCGGCAACGTTTCATTTCAAGAACCTGCAGCGACGACGACTCTCGTACTGTCCCGCGCGGTAAATCATGCCGGGGTTTCCTTTTCCCATTTTTTCTCTTTTCGCCGTTAACAGCAATCAAATGTGATGAAACGAAAAGAGCGGATACGAACGTGAGCAACGAACAACGAAATATCATACAAGAGGTGATCCACGCAGAGCAGATAAGGCAAAAGTAGAACACGCGCGCAACAGCCAAAAGGCTTGGCAATAAAGTTCCCCTTCAAGATTGGGGCTTTGATGTGTCCTGTGTGCTTTTCGGCGGTTCTGGTGTCACAGGAGATGAAGAAGACGTCTGCGTGGCAGCGACGTCGTGCCGGCTTTGAGGCGCCTTGGAATTGTCCGAATCGCTGACGGACGAGTTGAGAGCCTCCTTGGACGCCATCCCCTCACTGTCGGTGTCGCCTTTACTGCCCAAACCGTTTTGTTCACGGTCAGCCGCCGTGTCCTTCTTCGCGTTTACACCGGGCAGGTGAAACACGTCGTCGCCAGCGCCACGATTTGCGCTGCGCGACGATGACGAGTAAACACGACGTGAGCCGGGCATTCCGATTGGAATGGCCGTATCCGCCGCAGCCGCACTCGGAGACGCAGCGGCTCTCTTCTCTTCCCACTCCACCTGCCGTGCTGCGCGGTCTATTTCGCCCTGCATCGCATGCGCGTTCAGCGCGTCGCGCGCGCTTGGCCGTCCCTGCCGCCACTCAATGTGCATGCTATGTGCGACCGGGCAGGCCTTGTGCAGCTTCTCCGCAAACGCCATCACCTCCTCACGCGACGCGTTCGGCGCATCGATGTAACCAACAACGACGTTTTCGTAGCCCACCGAGTTCGCCGCGGCGGCCTTCTCCAACACCATCTGCACATCTTTCACGTCGATTCCCTGCTCGAGCGCGACTTCCGCCGCGTGGGAGGCAGTACAGTGCTGCAGCACGGCCATAACGCCTGCCTTGGTGCATGTCATCTGCTGCAGCGCCTCTTTGGCTTCTTGCAAGCGCAGCGCCAGTCGTTGCCTCCATGGGAGCTGTGCCAGCGCCTGCTGGGCCTTCGCCTTCTCCTGTGCCGCGTTGATGGCCTGCTCTTTCAGGATGGCTTGGTACATTTTCTTGTGCTGGCGGCGCTTCTCCCGCATCTCAGGACTCTCCGAGGGGTCCTCGCCTTTGAGGAACTCTAGAGTCTGGGAGGCGGACTCCACGTACGCCTTGGCCCCCTCCTGCGTCTTATGCGAGAAGTAGGCGGGGACCTTTTTGAGTTCCTCCACCAAGACGGAGAAGACGCCGAGTTTGGCGAGGGAGCGGTGATACATGGTGTTGGTAAAGTGCCAAAAAGCCTAATATGCCCAAAACTATCCTTTCTAGTTCGCAGGTTTTCTTTTCTTCACGTGCAAGCATCTTCAAGGTCGATCAGGAAAGGTGAGCAATGAAGATGGAAGGTTCAGAGTTCGTTAAAAAAAGGAAGAAGAGTAAAACATGGTCAACAGGTGATCCCAGCTTTCAGTGAAGGTAACGGTAACCTTCACAGCTGTCATTTGCTGCTTCTCTGGCGGCGAAATACGAACCACACAATAATCTCTTTCACCGTCAAGAAGTGCGGAGGACGGCTGCATGCGAAGCGTCGCGGATCTGAAAGAACAATAATAATAACAGTCATAGCAACACGTTTCCTTTTTCTTTGATTTCGCTTTCGTTTGAGTTGCGTATTGCGCTTCGTCGGGAGTCAAATAATAGTAGTAATAATAGATAGATAGATAGAAGTAAACAAGTTTCAAAAGGAAACACGAACAGTTCATTGAAGTTAACATAGCTGATTTACATAAAATCACGTCACACATACACGCAGAGAAGTAGTGGCGCTCAACAGGATACCCCTTCCCTCCCCCTCCCCCACCCACACATGGAGGAAAAACGGACTTGTGTAAATGTCAAATGAGTTGCTTGAACACTTCGCGTTGGCGCTCGATGAATTGACGCTCACCATCGCGGTACGGCAGCACACGGCTTTTTGGCCGCTTCCCCGAGAGGAATTGTACGGCCGCTTCTTCACGATGGTCAGCGTTCTCGGCATTCTCGGCGTAGGTGGCAAGAATGTATGACGCGAGCCCAGAACGCGGCGGCACTGGCGGCGGCGGCGGCGTAGTCGACTCGCACGTCAACGTAGTGGCCCCAATCGCCGTGTGACGCCGAGGACGCAGCGCAGACGGCGGCGGCATTGTTGCCGGACCGGCGGTAATGGCGCGTGGGGGAGAGGGCACCAGCTCCTGTTTCGGGCGGATGTGTGGGGTGGTGCGGTCGAGGTAGTTTACGATTTGACCGATGTCGACGGAGTTCGCCGGATTCGTTGTGCTTAAGTCGCCGGCTGCCGTGACGAGTTCGCGCTGCCGCTGCTGCGCCTCCCGCTGTTTACCCTCCCAGAGCTGCAGGTACGGGAGTGACACCGAGGAGTCCGTGTAGGTGTCGGGCGCACACGTTTTGGTGGCCGACGCCGCGGCGTCGGTCGTCGGGGCCGCTGCTTTTCTACTCACCGACTTGACTGGTGCGGCGGGTGTCGAGGTGGCCGCGCTCTTCAGCCCCGGGACGGGGGTACGAGAATCGAAGAAGGCGAACTGACTGGGCGACTGCTCGCGGCGCACCACATCTGCCTGCCGCACCAACGCCCGCGCGTATTGCTCGTTGAAGTCGACGTAGGCGTCGTACTGCGTAACGAGACGGGTGACGCGCTCCGACAGCGGCAACGTCGTCTGACGCTCGTTCGAGCGCAGGTAGCCCTCGGCGTCTAGCTTCTCCAGCAGTTGCTGCGTGGACACAGTACGCAAATGGGCCTCACGCGCGGCAGCGGCCTCCACGGGATGCAGCGTGGCACGGGCTTGCTGCTCATCCAAAACGCGTACCGCGAGTGCGGCGACTTCGGTGCTGTGCTGGGAAATCCTCTCCGCGAGTTCCAGCAAGGAGGATCGGTCGCTCTGCCGGAGCACCTCTTGATACTGGGGAGGGAAGAGATTCCTATTTTCGATACTTGTGTTTGGAACGGCGAAGCTGCTGCTGTCCGCTTTCCCAGTTTCGTTGGGTGCCGCAGACTGCGTTTGCTGATGCTGCTGAAGCTGTGCCGGTGTATGTACGCGTCTCCAAAGGTGCGTGACGGTATCTTGTGCCTGCCGCAGCACGTCCGCCTGTTCCACCACCTCTCGCTCCATCCGAGACATGTACGCGTACAGGCAGTTTTCGCGGTTGAGTGTGAGGGCGGCGTGGTCGTGCAGCGCCCCATTCGCCACACACACCTCTGCACTCTCCTTAATGAGTGTGTCCAATGCGGCCTGCATCGCGACTTCACTTGCGACCATGCGGCGGTGCAGCTTTAGCGACAACTTTTGCACCTCCACCACTGCGCTGCCCGCCTCTACCTCGCCTTGGGCGATGGTGCCACGCAACAGGTCATCCGCCAGCTTTGTGCGCGTCGCCGCATCATCCAGGGCCTCACGCTGGGCCGCGATCTTGGCTTGGTACTGCTGGTGCCGCACCTCGACCCGCTTCACGAGGGTCACGAAAGCTTCACCGACGCGGTCCAGTTCATGATGGAGTTCGTTTACCTGGCGAAGACGTTCTGCGTCCGCAACGGTGCTGCTGGAAAGCACGTCCTCTGTTGTCTTGGCGCATTCTGTGTGCGGTGTATCTGCTTCATGCGCTGCCTCGGACTCGGGAAACACCATGGTGTTCTGCAGCGTTCCATCGTCCTCTCTGGCTGGTTTGTTGGAGGAAAAAGAGAGCGAGGCGTCAGCGCCGTTCCCGTGCTGCTTCCGCGCTGCGATGCTCGCCACGGCGCGCTCGAATATCTTCTTCACTCGCGTAACTTCCTCTTGGTCTGCCTCGCCGAAGCGAAACGCTGGGGGATGCGGGAGCGGTTGGCTCGGGTCGTAGTCGCGCACCTCCTCGTGCGGTATCCCCTGTTCCTTCTCATTCGGCTCATTCGTGGCAGCCTTCGCAACTCCATCAGCACTCGTTGCCAGGACTGGGTCTGGATCCCCCGATAGCACCTGCGTCTGCGCGCTGATGCTCATGCCGGACTCGGTCATGCGCGTCAACAGCCCCTCAATGCCGCTCATGACACAGCTTGTGATGGCGTTGGCGTGCTGCAGGCGCTGCTGATAGTGCAGTTCGGTCTGCTGAACTTTGTCCATCAGTCGCTGAATTTCACGGCTCTGCGGGGCGTAGGAGGAGTGCATGTAGTTGTTCCACAGTGCGTCATGCGCCTCTTTCCACTCTTCGTCGATGTGCTGCGCTCCCATGTTGTGAGCGGCAAGAAAATCTTTCATCATGCGCGCCCGGCGTTGCCGCGCAGTCAGTGACCTTTGCTTGAACGCGGCGTAGTTGATCGATGCGAGCGCGTCTATGGTGACCTGAGCGGGCGCTGGCACAGCCGCCGCAGCGAGGCGTCGGCGTTCTTCTTTTGTCAGCGTGCGGCTTGACCTGGTGGACTGCTTCTGCGTTGTCACGGAGGACCGTGCGGCAGACGAGCTTCGCTGCGGCGGTTCACGTGACGCTGTTTTCCTGGTCTCTTTGGGAGACTCGCCACTTTTGAGGGGAGCGCGGGCATTGCGGCTTTTGTCCTTTTGATCCATGATTTCTCTTCCTTCTCTGCTACTCCTTTGTTAAACGTGAAGACTCCGTCGTCCGACCGACTTTGGTTTCCTCCTCCTTCCGTTCGTTGAGCGACCACGCGGCTTCTCTGCGTCTTGAGCGGGAAAACGTTTTGCGCTGCTGCGACGGTGTGCAAGAATGGAAAGAGGGAGAGTGTGTGAGAATGAGCGAGTGAGAGCGGAAAGGCGGGAAAAAGGAAGTGTTGAAAGGTATGTGCGTGACCACGTAATACATACATATACATGTACATGTTATTACGGCAGCAAAGCACAATTCGGGGGAGGAGCGGTGAGTTGCGCGGCATTCCACATCTCTTACACATCGCCACGTCCTTAGCCTGATGGTTCATCCAATAACGTACATCACCTAGCACGCCGCACCAAGCACGCCGCGTGTGAGTGTTGACGATACTGCTGGGATGATGAGGTAGTAGAGGTAGTAGAGGTAGCACCGTGGACTTGAATTCAAAGAGAGTTGTAAACGATAGACAAAGAGAAAACACAGCCTTTTTGCCGTCCTCGCCCTTGAGGCATCGTAAGGTGCAAAGGCATGGAAGACACGTTCGCATAATGAGTGTACCTATACAGCGCGCGGAATAAAGAAACGCGGAGGAGATGCAATAATAATAATAATAATAATAATAATAAAAGCCAATAAGCGGCAAGAAAACCGTTCCAGTGGCCCCATCGAAACAGCAGGTGTGCGGTAGAGTGTTGACACCGTTAATAACAAGCCACTCCTTTTGAAACGTTTCAGTCAACAACAGCACCAGAATATTACTGAATGCCAACTTGTTCTCGTTAGGCTTTTTAAAATATACCTCACACCAAGCAATCCTGCACGCGCTCCTCGTACAGCGTCTTTTGATTTCTTTCGGTTAATTCTCAACAAAGTAAAACAAAAAATGCACCGAATATGGAAACGTCCACGTTCTTTAGAAAAAAAAAAAGCAAAAGAAAGGTGTCACACCGCCGACCTGCCCAGCCACCGCAGAAAGAGAAAGGTAGAGTTAAGGAGTTTAACAACATAGAAAAGAAGTGCAGCATGCCCATCACACGCGGCTTACGAGTACAAAAACGTGTTCCGACGGTGCACCGTTACACACAGGTGCACAAAGAAAAAATATATATATATGGTGCACGATCGACACGAAACGTAAGTACTTAAACGATCTCTTTGAAATTAGAAAAGCAGGGCACTACAGCAATACACCTCGCGAACACGTTGCAGTTGTGAACTGTCCTTTTTCTTCCTCCCTTCGCTTCATCACCACCACCACCACCGCCAAACCTCCTGAACAACAAAACACAAATGGTCCGGGAGAAGAAGCAAAAGAAGAAAAAAAAAACACCGACGCGAAAGCAGCGGCAGCGGAGAGCGCTAGGAGGGGTACACCACGAGGGGAAAAACATAAAAGAAATCATCGAAGAATGCGAAGAGGCCTTCAGCATTGAGCATCGATAATGCGGAGGAAAGAAAAGCTGTGAAGCCGCACTACCGCCTCGACTGTTCCACCAAGAAGTAGCACCACACACACTCACACACACACACACGAACTTGTATATGTTATACGCACCCGGGTGGGGGAAAACCTTAGGAAACTTAGAAGAAAAAAAAAACACAGGTACAGCTGCTTCGCTTCTCCGGAAATGGAAGCAACAACGTAACCACAAAGAGACGTTACCGTGAGGGTCATTCTATGTTGAAAAAAAGGCACAATTGTGATTCTATAGCAGAGAGGAGGGAAATTAAAAGAAAAAAGCGGATCTTCTGGGAAAAATCATTTCATACAACGCAGTACCATTTTCAATACTCCCCTGCGTCTTGCACGAGACAATACAGCTGCAACGGCCGCTTCGCTCTGGCTCGGCCACTTTGCCCCTCCGCCGCGTCTGCCGCGCCGCCTCCCGCCACATCCACCCCTCCACCGCGCACCGACACGTCCGAGTGCATGTCAAAGGCGGATGCGGACGACGCTCTTGCTGCTGCCGCTGCTGCAACGGGCTTGCGCGTCGTGCTGATCTCCGCCAGGGAGACCAAGTCCGCGGGGTCCATCTCGTCGTGCTCCAGCATAATCGTGATGCGCGTTGAGAAGCGCGGCACGGTCGGTAGGGGTCGCACGGCGTACACGCTCTCCGCTTCCAGCGTCGCGGCCGACGGCTTCGGCGAACACGTGCCGATCCACGCCTCGCGCCGCGGCACGCAGCTCGCGCAGACCGTCAGCAGCGGCTTGACCGCGTAGGGCGAGGAGACAAACGCAGGCTGCTCCGGCTCCGGTATGTCCGCCGCCGCCTCAGTAACGACCTCGGCATTCGTCTCGTCCGGGTCCGGCATCGGAAAAGGCGGAAGGCCGCCGTCGCCGTCCTCGTCCTCCTCTTCGCCAGCCAGCCACTCTCCGCTGCTGCCGACGCCATCTTCTCGGTGCGTGTTACGCACAATGGCGCGAAGGACGGAGTCGGTGCTCTTGTTCAGGCCGCCGCCCATCGCCACGGTGAGATCGGTCTGGTGCGGGTCGTGAAAACGCACGCGTGTGATGGTGTGGAAGTGGGCAGGGATTGGGTGACGCGCCTGCGTTTCTTTCGCACGACAGACGGCGGTCTTCTTCCACATCTGCAACGCCAGGAGACGTTCGACAGGGGAGAGGACAGGCAACGGCGGCACCGGCACCGCGGACGCGGAAGAAGCGGTGGAGTTATGCGCGCGGCTACGGCGACCGCGACGCCCACGCGTCTTGCCACCAGGGACATGTCGACCGGGGGTGCTGCTGCTGCTGCTACTATTTTGGCCCTGTGCATCGTCGTCCGCCGTGGTGGAATTGCGCTTCGTGTCATCGACAACCCCTTCGTTAATGGTGGGTGGCTGCAGATGGAGCGGCGGTACCAGCTGCTCCATCTCGCGAACGTGGATGAACACAGTATTTGTGGAATACTGCTCCGCGCAAAGACGCTGGCGGAGCTCGTGGAACTGCTTCGACGTCAAGGATGGCGAAATCGTGGTCATCGCACTCTCTGCAGATGGCAAGGCTGCGGCGGTGGCTGCGGCCGCGTTGGGGACCTGCACCCGATTCATGTCCTGCACGTACATCTTCAGCTGACCTTCGGTGCGAGGCAGCGCCGTAAACAGGAAAGACACCGAAGCAGAGACCATGATCAGCTTCGTAATACTGCACCGCTCCGCCATGCGCTGCTCCTCCGTTCGTGGAGTCGTGTCCTGCATGTAGTGTGTGTAGTACACCGGTGGCGCGGAGCCCAAGGACGGCGGCGGGGGTGACAGCGGCTGCGACGCTCCCGTTGAATTCGTTCGTGGTTCACCCGCCGCAGCTGAAGCGGTGGGGTCCGCCGTTTTGGCGTTCGTGGTGCGCGGCTTGCCACGCGTGTTTCTCACACCTTTCCCACGAGCCGAGGTGCTGGCGCAGCTCGCAAGCGTCGCATCTTCCGCCACATCCGTGCTCATCGCCATCGGCGGCTCAACAGGCGGCAGCGCCACGGCGACGTCGGGCTGTCTCTTGCGAGCACCGGTAGCGGCGGTGGGCGTCACGCTGGACGTGCCAGAGCGCAGACTCGCCGATCCTTCCTGCTTTCGCCGTCCGCGCTTCGATGCCTTCACGCGCGAAATCGTAGTTGCTTTGCCTGTCCTGTGGGACGCTGATACCGATTCGACGGCCGCGTTTCGGCTCACAGTGGCGTCGACAGTGGTCGGTGCGGCTTCCAACTCCGGCTCGACTGCCACGGCAGCGGAACCAGCACCTCCCGAAGCGACGGCGGTGGATTGCTTGCGGCTGCGGTTGTTTCTCACTGCGTTGGGCGTTGGTCCTCCGGCTGCCGCGGAGGACGAGCCCGCGCTCGTGGGCAGTTGTTTGTGGAGGACCGTGGTGGTGCTGTAACACCGCCGGTCGTTCTCTATCGTAGCACAGCAACAAAGAAGACCTGTGAAGCCTCCTGTGAATGCTGGGGTGGGGGTGAATCTATGAAAGGAAGAGCTGCATCGCAGCCTTGCAGCGGCGCTTGCCCGCTGCCGGACTAAAGACCGCATTATGGACGAGTCGCTTGGTGTGTTGGTAAAAGCGAAATAGTAAATGCTACGCTGTCAAGCAAGGAGAAACAAACTATAAGTAGGCAAAACACCTTCGTTCTAAATAGAAAAGACAACTCAAGCAGCTAGGAGAGAAAACAACAAGAGAACGGCGTCGTTACTGGCTATACTGCGCTGAACCACAGCTCTCGCAGAAAATGAAATAATAACACTAATAACTGAAAGTAAGGAGAAAACAGAGCACTACTTCAAAAACGATGCCAGTGGCGTTGAACACTGCAGCTGGGAGGGGGAGGGGGACAAATAATCACAAGCAAGACACAACAGAACGCGGGGGAAAAAAAAAGGCAGTGCTACGGAAAGCAAAAAGGAAGAAGGCACGAGAAAGAGAAGGTGTTTCTGTCTCTACTGCTATATACGTGTTGACGAGTCCTTTTTTATATATATACCTCAAAGCTAGCGGTGTGTGTGTGTGTGTGATATTCACTGTATACGAACGCCGTGCCCACGTCGAGTGAAGTGGACCCAGGAGGGGAAGCAAAATAGCGTGTGAAAAGCTTGCGTATTGTTCTATGACGTAGAACCGAAGAGGGGAAAAGAAGATAAGTAAAACTTATTTGGCGACGTCACCTGAGACCAACCATTTACTCCTGGCTCAAATGTATATAAAAGAAAATATAGAGGCACTTTACTACTTCACACGCTTTCAATCGAAAAGAGTTCAGCGGCAATAATAGGAACAGCGGGTTTCTACTTTTTTAAACGCCCGCGCACGCGTTGTGTATTTTTTTCCCTTTGCCCAACCTTCTCAATTTGCTGAATGGAAAACAAAAGAGGAGTGCCGTATATGTTGGGCAATAAGGAGCGGGTGTGCGTGCAACACAGAAAGAGACGAGAGAGAAAAAAGGTAAAAAAAAACACAACGAAACAGAGTCAAGAGACGAACGAAGAGCGATGGAGGGGGAAAGTTCTGATAACATTGTTAGGAGAAACACACGCGTATTAACGAAAAATAAACCCTGTAGAGCCTGGACCGAGGCAGATCAGGATTCTTATGGAAGGAAAACTGAACGAGAACCCACGCAGGTGCGGACAAGTCTCTTTGTTCCCCTTCCCTCCACACGCACAATGCAGGCAGAAGCGAATCGGTGGATCACGTGGAAGACAGCGGAGACGAAAGAGCTGTCATCCATTCAACGTAGCGAGAAAACAAAGAATCTTCCAACAGCAAAGCGTTCAACTAACCTTGTCTTCTCTGATTTTTTTATTACTCTGAAAGGAAACCAAAATCGGAGCGAACTGTGAAGAAGACACGTGCGGGAAACACACACACACACACACATACAGACAGAAACGGAAAGGCAGACAAAGCACCACTGCCGGTACAACAGCAAACAACACTGACATGACGCGCGCCACTTCGATGGTGCTCGACACCTACCATGACACTTCCTCCACTACACACAGAAAGTAAGAGGGTCATTCAAAGTCCAAGAGAGGAGCACGCGGCAGAGCCTGCATTTTCTTCTTCTTCTCGCGCATCTGCTGCATACTCTCGTCAAAAGCGAGGTTGCTCTCAATGAAGGCAGGCAACGCGCGTGTCGCTGCGACTGGGTCGTCGCGGTAGTAAAACAGGTGCGACTGCAGTTGGGCGGCACTGATTCGGTGCGGCGGCACTGCACTGCCAAACTCGGCCACCAATGCGTCCGGCGCGGTGGGGTAGAACTTGCGAAACATCCGCGCTGATTGGTCGACGTCCAACAGGCCCACCTCGATCTTCACATCGGCTCGCCCTGGACGAATAAGGGCGGGGTCGAGCATTTCCACGTGGTTTGTCGTCATGAAGACGAGGCGACCTTCTTGCGCACCGACGCCGTCGAGTGCATTCAGCAGGCCGCTCATGGTCACGTTGCACTCGTTGCTGAAGGCGCGGTCGATGTCCTCGAGAAGAACGATGGAGTCCATGTGCGCGTTGTTCAGCAGCGACGTCAGCGACTCGTCGTTTAGGTTTCGGTTCGACAGGTTGAGCAACGAGATGGAGAGTCGTAGCTCACCGGCGAGGGCCATGACGTAACTCGTCTTGCCGCAGCCCGGCGGCCCGTGTAAGAGGTACCCGCGCCGGTACGGCACACCGAGTTGCTTGTAGAAGGCGGCGGAATCCAGAAACCTATGGACGTCTTTGAGAATGAAGTCGGACGTGTCGCCGGACAGCACCACGGACTGAAGCGAGCGACGAGAGCGGGGGCGCGTCTGACGGGTCCAGTTGCTCCCCCCGTTCATGTACACGACGGTGTGATTGCTGTCTTCCATCTCCGCATGCAACTGAGCGGCCTTCATGATGTTCTGCAGAAAGACCGGACTCGTACCGACCGTGGTAAACTCCAGCGTTTCGAAGATCTCACCGTCGTAGCTGGGCCCCACGTTGTCACGGCGGCGCCGCGTCAGTGTCAGCGGGCGACCTTCGTAGAAGAAGAAGTGCCTCAGATTCGGACACGGGCCGAAGAGGCACTCGGTGCGCTGCCGGTCGTTGGAGGAGTAGTCGAACGCAGTCGTGCGGGTCAGGACGGACATCTGCTGGACCTTGAAGGAGCGCTGACTCGCCAGCCAGCGCAGCATCCACTCGTACCCGCTGTCCCGGTTCGACACCTCCAACGACACCACGAACTTGCGTCGCATGAGGGTGCTGAGCATCACGGAGGCCTGTCGGCTCAGCATTCCGCCTACCGTCAGCACCCAAAGGCCCGCACCGGCGCTGAAGTACGGGTTGCTCAGCAGCGCGCCAGCCGTACGCGCCATCACACTGTTCGAGTTCTCCCACCCCTCAGGAAGGAGGGCACCGAGATCGATGGGAGGCTGCGATGCGGAGGTGGCGTTGGCGGCGGGGGTGGCTGCGGTGTCAGCGGCGGGCACAACAGTGGCCGCGTTGTCGGCGCCGTTGGAGCTGCTACGAGTGAACATTAATGGGAGGCGAAAAGAAAGCAAGTTAGAAATGCACCTGCTTAAGAGAAAAACGAGATCCTAGTGAGGTCGGCGGGTCGAACCACAACCCAAGACTAAAACTCCCTACTGTACGTGGAAACGCAGCACGACGTCCTCCCAGGAGCGATGTTGTTTTTTCTTTCTTTAAAGGGCGTCGCTGCATTCCAAAACGACGACGGCGACGAAGAAAGAAAAAGAGGTGGTAGACGCGGGCGGAATAGGAAAAGAGAAAACCAAAACGAGAGAGAAGTGGGCAAAGGTGGTTACGGGCACACGATTGTGGTAAGCGGTCTTCTTTCTTTTTTCTTTAAACAATCCCTCGATCGCATCTTCATTTCTTCATAGTCGCTGTGCTGTACGTTCACGACGGGAGGGAGATTCAGACTTCACACTGGGGTAGAACCCAAACAACGACGATTCTCAATCACAACGCAGTGCCCCGCTCCTCCTTTCCTTCCTTCTTCTTTAGAGGCGCGTATCCGCAATGGATAACCGTGAAGGAAAAGACTGTCTGCCATGGCATTAAAAGAAAAAAAAAACTGCTTTAGTAGTCTCTGTTTTCTTCAATTGAGTCATCATCAGATGGTGAAAAGACGGTGAAATGCACGGTCGTCAATCATCGCTGCACCGTTCCACGCTGCGCTGTCGGGGGCGATCGATACTCCGCTTCAATGCCGCGGACTCGTTTCAGCAGCAGCTCCATTTGACTCAGCAAGCGATTCGCTGACGTGTGGGGAACAAATCGTGACCTCTGCTCGCTTTCGAGATGGGGCTCATCCCCCTCCCTTGTTGCGTTGAGCTGCCGAGGCGGGTGCTGCGGAGGGGACTCGACCAAGTCGCTCGCTGAGTACAGCGTCCGTAGCGGCGCCGTTGACGAACTACTGCGCGTCGTCTTCCGCGAAAAAAGAGGAGTGGCGGTGTGTGAGCGAATGGGGAGCTCACCATCCACATCACTGACCGCATCGCTGCTATTGACGATAGGAGAGGTATTGGGTGGTGGCGAAAGCGTAGAGGACGACCGATACCGCGGTTTGCCGCTTGCGCCGTCTGTCGCAGAGCGAACAACAGAATGTAAGTAGACACTTGGAGTCGAGGGAGAAGGCTTCCGGGGATGGAAGGCGGTGGCCGCGCTGACGGACCCCGACAGGGAACGCACGGTCGCACTCGACGCAGGAAGCCGTTCCACCGACGTGGCAGGAAAGCAAACACCAAAACCGGAAAGAGAAAGGTGCCGCTGAGCAGCAAGGAGTTTTCGCTCTAGGGCAAGCGTGCGTCTCCCGCGAAGGGTAGCAGTCTCGGGCGTGACCACGACCACCGCCGGCGATCTTCCTGCCAGAACGGAATGCGGAGCAGCCGTCTGAGGGCTGACAACGCTTACCGAATCCTCTTTTTTAGGTCGCACGTGCCCGTGCGCTGCGGCACCGCTGCTGTGACTGTCCGCATCCGCGTCTACTGTAGCGGGCGTGACGCGGCGTCGCGGCGGTGACCGCCTTGACGAGTGCCGTGATGCTTTGGGCGATGCAGCTGCCGCCGCTGCCATGCGACGTGCGGCGCGCGGTGAAACACGCGCTGAGGGATTCCGTGACGCCGCAGAGGAGGCGGCGGAGCGAGACGACGACGGAGGAGGTGGTGGCGGCGGCAGCGGAGTCGTGGTGGGAGAGAGTTCCATCTCTTCAACTTTCTTCTCCTTCACCTGCGCCACGCCGCGCACACCGCTGGAGACGTTTTCGCCAATCGCCGCAACGAGCAGCGGTGGGACTGCTGTTGCGTAGGGCCGAGAACGTCTTGCCCGTTCCGTGTCTGGGAAACACCGTCGGCGATCAACAAGATAGCGGCGCAGAAGAAACCCGCGCGTGCGCCAGTGATAAAAAGTGCGGGCGAGACGGCTCAGTCGTGCCAGATGGTGCGCCGCGTCGTCGATTTCCATCGCACGAGCCGCCATCCGCGCTGCCGCGTGTGCTACGGCGCGTCGGCGCCACACACGTAGCACCTTCCTGCGCTTCAGCTGCTCCCCAACCCTCCACGCGAGTTCCTCCTGTCCGTGACGAACCACGCCGCGCACCTCCGCTCGCACACGCCACGTTTCAAAGGAGGGTTTCAAAAGCAAGGAACGCCGATGCCGCCCCACGAAGCCCCGAACTCGTGCCTCGAGCTGATAGCGTGACACCCACGTGTGGAAACAGCGCTGTAGCGTCTGCCGGGAGTAAAGCCGACGGACTTCTTCTTCGTAGCGGCGGCTTCGCTCGCGCTGCAACGTGCGCCGGCGCCAGCATGCCCACAGGCGTTGTCGCAGCTTTTCCTCGCTCTTCACGGAGTGCGCGAAAGAGCACAGCTCACTTGCGCGTGAGCGCCGTGTCGTCCAGGCGCGCCACACCTGCGCCATTAAAGCACCGTTATACAGAGCCGCCGCCACACGCAGCGCCTGCAGCTGCTTGCATCGACGCTGCATCGCGGCAAGGGTCCGCTTCAGAAGATAGTGGCCTCTCCGCTGATCTGCCACTACGTCCATGCGTCGATCACACCAGCGCTGCCACAGCTCACGCTTTGTGCGGAGCGCACCGATTAAAGGTTGCCTCGCTGCCCGTTGGTACTGCGCCAGTCGCATCTCGCACCGCCACCGGCACACGACTCGACTCCCCACCGTGCGCAGTTGGAACTGGCGAGCCAGCGCGGCACGGCGCCACGCCTGCAGTAGCCTGCGAAAATACACTACGGCTTTCCGCTCGGTCACCATGTCGCTTAATGCGTCATCGCGCGCCTCCTTTCGCCGCTGAGAGGCTGCGGCACACCGATGCTTCCACATACGCCAGCACTGCCGCGTGACACCGGTGGAGTGTTGGCCGTGGACGTAGCGCATCGCCATGGACTCGTACAAGCGCCGATCACGCCACAAGAAGAAAGCGCTGCGAAGGCTCGTGATACGGTGGCATTGTTCAGCTTGTACGATGCACTGCACCTCTCGCGCGTGTATGGCCCTTTCAGACAGTTCAGGCAACATTTCTTCGCTATTACTGGGATTCGTTTCTTCCCCGATCGGTGCACTGCGTGTCGCTGAAGTGTAAGGAGGAGGAGCCGTAGAGGCAGAAGACGACAAAGGAGGGGTGGTATTGTCGAACGGCGGCTGCTCTACTCGAGACACAGAAAACTGGGGATTGGGGCCATGAAAGACTGCAGCGTCGTTGCTATGATCTTCATCGGAAAGCTTGCGGTGATCTTTCTTGGGGGTATGTTGTGCGTTGCCGTTGTGCTGTTGCAAGACCCGGTCCAGAAGCGAGACCTCGTACGTTGCGTTCATACTTTTCGTCTGCGCGTGAGGTGGATCGCTGGGGGTCACAGCAGGCACAGAAGAGAAGTCCGTCTGCTGCTTCGCTTCGTCGTGCGCAAATGGTGCTGCGGCGGTGACCGTCGTGTCGATAGCAAAGGTGCCGGGTACTTGATGAGGCTGGGCAAGTTGCTTGCTTTTTTCCTCTTCATTCCGCGGTATCGCCGCTGTTGGCTGACGCGCGAGAGACTCGCTCTGTGTCTCGACCGTTTGGCACTCAGCTGCACAGCGCTCAGCGGAAGGCGAGGCGGTGGGCGACGTCTCCGTTGTTGGAGGGTGGCTTTTCTCCTGGCCATGGGTCTCGGAGGTTCCGCCGCTTAAGTCGCCTTTCATATCGTCCAGCGCGTCAGTTTGGTGCTCGGTAGCGCGAGACAGGTAGGTCATGACACGCAAGCCGCGGCGCGTGCGCCAACGTAGTACCGCACTGCGCAGCACTCGGTGGCGGTACCACGCTGTCGCTTGCCGATGCAAGGCGACGCGCGCGCACCACTGAGGGAGGTCCTCCAGGCACCAACGGTGGTCACACGGGCCGTTTTCCATTTCCTGATTTAAGCTATCCGAGCTAGCCGCGCGCGAGGCACGTAACCAGGGGAAGAGGAAAGGCAGCGAGTCAAGAACAACCACCTCCTCGGTATAGAGATTGCGCTGGCTTGGAGAGGCTTCAGCGTCGGCGTCAGCAGGAGAAAGAAGCCACCTTGCGCGGTGGCTGCTTCCGTAAGGTAGCAGCGCAGGCGGTACCCCAGCCGTGTTGTGTGTTGAAGAGTCAAGCCGCTCGTACTCGGTCAGAGACAGCGCCCGCGCGAGATCGTCTCGCACGTTGGGCGAAACATTTTCACGCAGGAGCCACTCCGTAAATCGCACCAACGCCGTCGCACACCATCCCGGCTCCCGCGTGCGCAAGAGCTCCACTGCACATGCCTGCCTTAGCAGAGTTCGAGAGGCTGCAGAAGATGGGAAGGGAGGCGTTAAAGCGGGTATCTCGTCCTTGCCGTCTTCCTCAGATGTCGTTCCAACGACCAGCGAAGCAGCCGTCCATGCATTGCAGCGAAGAAAGTGCGCAGCAGTGCACAGGGTAATCGGCGAAGCGCGTTCAATGCAGCTACGTGCTGCTGCGGAAGTGGCAAAGAACGTCTCTGCCGCTGAACCTAATCTACAATCGTTTCTTTTTTCGAACAGAGAGGAAGGCCCATTACCGTCCTCTGCGTGAGCGTCATTTCGACGATGAAGCGGCGACAACTGTTTTTCAACCAGAGATGGAACGACCTCAGCACCTTCGTCCTTTGGCGCTGTCAGCCGATTGAAAGATGTCGTTGCACGCGTCCTCGGTGACGCATCTACGCAGTGGCAGCGCTGCAGCTCCTCCGCGAGGTCGTCCACTCCGTCGCGCGAGAGGAAACGAAGGGCAAAAATGACGCGAATGGCCTCTGCGCACACGGCGCGGTGCACCATCGCGCACGGCCCTCGGAGCGCATTTGTCGTCACTGCCGTAGTCGACGTGCCCTCTGCGTGGGAGTGCATGGCGCTCTGAAAAACAAAAATAATAATAAAAAAAACAGCTTTCAGTCAACAGGCAAATATGGCCGCAACCATCGCTTTTTGGTTTATCTTTAGCGCAAGAGGTCGAACTCTAATGTTTCTACATGTGCGTGCGTGATTGTGAATATCTATGTGAAGGACCTGTGTGCTGTTTAAAGAAGGGCCTTGCATGTGCTTGGTGAGAGAAAGACAGAAAAAGGACGCAATTAGAATAACAGTAGGAGCATGAGCGGCGAAGCAGCCGTTCATCCCACCGCTCGGCGTCGGGGAAGCGCGAAGCGGAACTTTTCAGTGAGACATGCGCACACGTCGCACACGCACGGTGAACGACCGTATCTACTAGTACAATATTGTGTACCACCCTTTCTTTCAAAAACAAATACATGGATAAATAAATAAAGAAGATGCAGAGCACAATCAGGCGGAGGACAGAAAGAAGACGCAACCGATGTATCACGGAAGTGCCATCCGTGGTGGTATTCACAGTAGAGAAACAAAACGAAAAAGAAGAGCCACAGTTGATGAAACATCAACAGTAGTCACAAAAAACAAATACAGCAGAAAGCAAGCGTAGAAACATAATAAAGTAGTCGTTCTCAGCGAAAAAGCGCGTCCTTACGAAGATAGACTTTGATGACGTGCTAGGTAATAAAGATTCCTGTCGTTGCATCCAGCGCGCCCTCCGCCTCGGCAACGAGTTGTGAGATCACCTCACCGGTGGCACGAGCTCGCGGTGCGGTGCCCTCAGGTCCGGCTGACTCGTCCGTGCTGAGACCGGTTTCCACGCAGTAAAACCTCGTCGGCCGCTTAAGAAATAAAACGTCCTCGCTCCATACTTTGTCCGCTAGCAGCATTTCTTCAGCCGTCAAGAAGGTGTCGGTCGTCAAGGTCCGCAGCAGCTCAGCTTTGCGCTTCTTTGTTTCAGCTGCGAGCGCCTCTGCCACTTCCACTCCACGTTGGACCTCGGCGGAAGCGTCCGGCACTCCGGTGTCGTCCTCAGCCCACCGCTGCAGTCCGTACACGAGAAGATCCTCAATGACGTTCATCATGACGCTGTCGAAAACCGGGTCACCTGACTGCGTATGCAGGTGCTGCCGAGGGATGTGCGCGATCCGGCTGAGCACACACGTCTTGTACTGCTCCAAGAGCGTGCGATGGGCGCTCTCTGCGTCAGAGTTCGTAGTTGGCGACTGCGGAGCAGACACGAGCCCGACGCTCTGTTCCAGTGTTCGCTCCAGCACCATGCGATCCATGTAGTCGTCTTTTAGGAACATCGCTGCGCTGATCACCCGCGCCACCAAGTCAGGCATTGCGGCGGTAGCAGCCGAAGGCGACGACGTACCAGCAGCAGCAGCAGCAGCAGCAGCGGCGGAAGCACCGTTTTCCTCCACAGCTGCACTACTTCCTCTGCGGTGAGTTGGGGGGACAGAAGGGCTCTGCCCGTCTCGTTGCTGTGGAGGACGCGCAGATGGCGGCAGGGCGGTGAAGGATTCGGAAGCACCAGGGACGGTCTGGCCAGCAGGCGAGCCGGCTTGGCGGGTCGGCGTTGCGCTTGCGCTGCCTGGACGCGCGGGGGCCGAGGAAGGAGGCAGCTGAATCGGCGACTTTGGCGCCACGCCACCACCGCTGAGATCGCGTGGGCGGGGCGGGGGCATCACCAGCGGCGAGGCCATCGGCGTAGGCGCGCCGGCGTGCAGCCCAGCCGTTGGGCTGTGCACCCCGTTCGTCGCTGGGGCGGCAGCAGCAGAGGTGGACGCTGCGTGGGCTACAGCGGCATCACCGTACGTTCGCTCGCGGCGCAGCGCAACAAGTCGCGGAAACCACTGCACCGGCAGCCCGTAGGACCGGGCCACGTGGTCAGCGATGGCGAGGCGGTCGGTGGCGATGAGGTACTCGACCATCTCCGCGCGGAGGCGCAGCTGCTGTTGCGTGAACCGCAGGTTTTCTGGCTGGAGGAGGTGGGGTATAGAAGGCGGGCAGACCTCGCGAAGAAGACGGGCAGCATCCTCTTGCGCGGGCAGCGTTGACGGGTTTGCTTCACCGACTGCACTGCGAGTAGAGCTGCGCGCGGCTGCAGGGGTGAGACCTGCTCCGGTGTCTTGGCCTGCGTCGGTGGCCGCCTTGGCCTCGAAAGCCTCCTCGCCCATGGCCAACAGCGGCGTTTGCTGCAAGAAGGCTGGCACTTCGTCCGCGACAAGTTGCTGCAAGCGCGCCAGAAAGGGCTCGTATTTGTGCTTCACTGCGGCAAGTCGCGCCGCCACTTTGTGCAGCGACGCCCCCGCCGCGGCCGGGTTGGGCGTCTCGGACTCGCGCTTCTGCAGCGCGGCGACGGCGGAGCGCACCGGCTGCAGCTCCTTCTGCAGTTTCTGCACTTCACGGAGTAAATCCGCCATCTCCTGTGAGGCGGCCGTCATGGTGAAGTAACAAACACGAACAGCGCCAGCGACAACAGAAAAAGGACAGCGGTGTTGACTAAAGAAGACTGAAACGAAAAATGAGAAAAACCAAAGAAGAAACTCCGAGAAAAAAGAAGGACGTGCTCGATGCGAAATGCGCAGACCGCAGCGAGTGTTTTATTCCTTTGCACGGCTGGAAGTGTGACACCTTGAATGCGCTGTATTTTCTTTTCTTGATAACAGCAATAATATGGAGAGATGGAGAAGAGGAAGAGGAGGAAAATAAGAGAGAGAGCTTCGTTTGTAGATGAAAGTAAAACTGCATATGCACCAAAAGGGGTTTGAAGTCAACGCGGTGCTTGCTGTAAGGCGTCGATCATCGCGGCTTCCACCTTGTTGAGAAACCTGTACTTGCAGCTGCGGAAAGCAGCAGCATCAAACGCTAACTTCTCGCAGTGGATCACCAGTCTTGCAAAAGTGTTTCGCTTCGGTGCTCTGCAGCACACACCCGCACAAAACAATTCCGATTCTCTGATCACCTCCGCAGAGTTTCCCCTCATCCCAAATGCGCGGGTTTGCCCACGAAGCAATTTCTCTGTGGTGTGCCGTTTGCCGATTACAATAAGTAAAGTTAGCGCATCTCTGAGTGACTTACGCAAAGAAAAACAACAGAGCTATCTTGCTTAATACCACCACCGGTGGAGGACAAAAGAGGCCGACACGAAACATCAAAACCAAAAAAAGGAGTTTGAATTAACAAACCTCAAGAAGTAAACAAAATGGATGCTTCCGTCACACGGCTCTAGAAGAAGAACACCTTTACGAGCCGACATCAACGATACCGTTGCACTGTGCGGCGAGCTACGTACTTCGACGCATTCTATGCGATAAACAACATCATTACAAAAACACCAACAGCAACAAAAAGTGGTTCGCCACGGCTACTGCATCTTGCGCACGGCTCCAATTGCTCCCTTCGTCGCGCGCAACGCGTTCGCGATCGCCACTTTAATCTGGCGAACTTCATTCTCGAGGTTTAACACGTTCGCCCATTGCTGTGAAGGTTCGCGACTGCCCGCCAGGTCCAGGTCGCTTGCAAGTGCGCCGTTGTTCTGGAAGGAATCGTAGATGCGCGTCCACTCGTCGCCACCGGCGGTCTGCGGCGGTAGCAGCTCCCACAGCGTGCTGTCCGGGCGGACCTTCTCGCCATCCTCCATGACGGGCAGCACCGAGTTCGTCTCTGCACTCCAGCCATCAGCTCCCTCCGCACCAGATGAACCAGCTGCGCCAAAGGCGTGCAAGCCGCGTCGTTGGTTGCCGGAGAGACTGTGCACCACCGTGGAATTGGGGTCGCGACTGTGGCCTGCCGCCGCCGTTGTAGCGGTGGACGGCGGCACACCCGCGGCGCCAGCAGACGGCGCACCCTGTCGGTGGTGAATTCCGTCGCCTGGGGGTGACGCGTTCGCTGGCGCACCAGGCGAGTGCGGTGCACGCGCTTGCCAACTTGGCGAGCCCAGCCCACTCCGGCGTGCTTCTGCGGCCGGGAGCAGCCCCGGGGTGGACGGCACACTGAAGGCATCCGCGTTAGGTGCCGCAGGCGTCGACTTGGGCGTCGAGAGGGGCGGCGCGGGAAGGGAGTGCGGGCCTTCGCCGTCCGAGCTGGAGGGCCGCATCCCGTTGCTCAACGAACGCGCCGGCGCGTCGTCGCTGCTCGCCGCGTCGTCCGCGTCGACTCCCGCGGCCCCCGGACGGCGCGCGCCGAGTCGGTGCACGCGCATCCCACCGCGGTAGTCGGTGTTGAACCGTTTCAGCTGGTACACCGCATCGTGCGACTGCTGTAGCACGTCTACGATTTCCTGCAGTGGGAGCTGCTTCAGATACCGCATGAAGTCCTCTTGTGTTTGATGTGGTGGGGCGCCCTGTGCCAGCGGGAGCACAAAAGAGTGCAGAAGGCAGAGCAGCGCGTGGAGGGCGTAGAGGTAGCACTCCAGTCGGAACTCGTGCCCGTTCGCGCTTGCGATCTCGGCCAGCGAGTGGGCGACGTGACGGATAATTTGAATGCAAAGGTTGCGCTTGCTGGCGGAAAAGCGCAGCATCAGGGTCGCAGTACTGCTGGTGTCGATGCCCATAAGTTCCACCTCCTTTCCGCGAAGGCCGTATTCCGAGTTCAGCAACAAGTGCGACAAGTTACGCACCGTCAACGCCACCACGTCGCGGCCACGCTCCATCATCGACAGGGCAGCCGCGGCGCTGCCGACACGCTTCACGAGCGCCACACCAGCGCTGCTGCTCCGATCGTTCTCGACGGCAGCGGCGTCGTACCGCGCGTCTGTTCCTGCTGCTGCTGTCGTTGCCGCGAGTCCCCCACTGCCGCTGTAAGAAGAGACCCCGGCTGCCACGCCGTTCTCGCCATCCATGTCGGTGAAGTCGTATACGTCTGTGGGACCGCGACGCCAGACCTCCTCGCTGCTCAGCATGTTCAGCAGATCCGGCAGTGCCATGCTCTCCACTAGCGAGCGGCAGTCCACCGCCAAGACGGAGCTCGACAGCGCACGCAGACACTCCGACAGCTCGGCACACAGCGTCAGGTGCGACCCGCTCAGCCGCGCAGACCCGGGCAGCGTGCTGCTCACCGCGGCGGGCGAGATGAAAACGTAATCTACGAGCGAGCGGTTTTCGCGGATAAACTTTTGCACCTCGTATAGCAGCGGCGTGGCGTCGCCGAGGAAGGAGAGCAGGAGATTCACCCAGCGCGTGGCGCCCAGCAGCAGCCGACGCAGCACTTCCTTGTTCTGCTCCACCAGCGGCTTGTTGACGATCTGCGCATGCGAAATGGAGGACTGCGAATAGCCCAACACCACCTGCGTGCTGTACTTCCAGGCCTGCATCGAAAAGCACACCCGCAGCAGGTCACTGTGCAACACCTGAGAGACGTGACCCAGCGAGATGACGGAGAGCAGGTCAAATGTGCTGCGTATATGCCACAACAGAGAGCCGATGGGGACGCCGTTGTTCGCGAAGAAGCTGCAGACGGCGTTGTCAACGCTCTGGAGCAGCGCCGTGGAGCAGCGCAGGGCCCACGTGCTCATCCCGTCTCCGCTGCCGGCGCTTGGAGTGCAGAAGTCGTCGCGGATGGCGGCGGAGGACTGCAGAAGCGCCACGAGAAGCGCCACGGCGTGCTGCAGCTTTGTTGAGAGGGTCCCGGTGGCTGCGCTGGCGTTGACTCTTGCAGCGCTGCCCCCGTTTTCGATGCTCTGCAGCACGCCCAGCCCACCACCAGCGGGGGCGCTCACCGCGGCAACAGCCGCGGCGGCAGCGGGGTTGGCCGCGCAGCCGCTGCAAATATCCGCACAAATCACATTGAGCAGCGTCTTCTGCGAACGCCAAAGCACCACGTCATCGAGATTGATCCCTGGCGTCTCGGCAAGGCAGAGAAGACTCATATACAGATCGGCGCGAATGGTGGGGATGCGGGCGCCCCACTGCACGAGGGCGCGGATCAGCGGCTGCAGGACGGCGGCGTTCGCTGCCACCGCGTCCACCGCCATCACTCGCTCGGCCTGACGACGCTGCAGCAATGTCTGGGCCAGTTGAGAGCGGCGCGTGGCGCTGTAGAAGTTGCCCGCCTCGCCCGCCTGCGTCACGAATGGGTTGTTGCTGCTCCTGCTGCGGATAGGGCGCCCGGCCGCGCCGTCGTCGCGTGGACGCCGCATTCCGAGCCCGCTCACGTGCGCGGTGGCAGACACCAGCTGCGCCGCCGACTCACCTTCGTTTGACTGGCGCTGTCTAACAGTCCCCGTCGAGCCGTCCGACGAACCGCGCTGCTGCAGGTTCCCCCACGGGGCCCCCGTTGCCGCGAGTGACGCCGTCAACAACGGGCGTTCAGCCGCCATCAGCGTCGCTTTTCGGAGGTGCGCCATGACGGTGGACAGGCAGTGGCACAGCCGGGAGCAGATCTGCTCTTGCGCCGCGGCGGTCATGGCCGTCGTGGCGTCCAGCCCATGCAGAATGCATAAGGCAAAAGCACGCAGACGGGACATCGACAAGCCCTGCACGACGGTGCAAGAAACGTTCACGAGTTGACACCACCCCTCCACAAAGCTGACTCCAGAGGCGTACGAGAAGAAGCAGTCGTTTGCCACAATAAAGGGTTGCAGCTTCTCGCGCAGCTCTGCCATGGTCAGCGGTGGCTTGTTGGCGCGCACCTGTTCCAGCTGCAACGCTTCGTAGAGACTGGCCACGTTGTACTGCACCACACCGTCCGCAGCGCACGGCACAAGATGGCTGCGGCCGCCGCTGATGGGTGGGAGTTTCTCGGGGAAGGTGGGCAGAACCTGCAGCGCCTGCGGCAGCCAGCTTGTGATATCCACCGCCGCGTCACGCGAGACGACGGTCACGGCGCCGGTGGAGCGTCGGCCCGCATTGTGCGTATCCTCTGCGTTGTCATCGCCGTCCCCACGTTCTTCATTCGTGTTGGAGTGATCCCCGCCTTCTATGAAGCTGCCGGCGGCAAACCTGCTGCTTCGCGTGGCGACGCCTGTGCCCGCAGCGGGTTCGTGTGCGTTGGTCGAATTCGCCTGCTCCCCAAAGGCGTGCAGGAGGGACAGGAGCACCTCGATGGAGATGGACGGGATGGACGTGCTCTGTGCCAGTCGCAGGTCCTCCGGGGAGGTGCGGTAGGTGTAGCACGCCTCCAGGGCGAGCAGTTTCAGCACGTAGGCGTACTTGCTGAGCGCGACGGGGCTGCACCGGCTCGCGCGGAAGTGCTGCAGGCGCAGAAAGAGCGTCTGGCAGACGGACTCGAGAAACGGGCGTACGACAAGCGCGCCGTACAGGCGGTTGGCACGCAGCAGATAGAGCACCTTCACGCACTTGACGGCGAGGGCAGGGTGCGCACGCTCGACCTCGCCGCTGCACGCGCCCTCCACCACCGACGCGAGCAGGGTGGAGCCCCACCAGCTCGACTCTCCGGCGTCGCTCTCTTGCGCATCGGCAGCGGCCGTGGCGTTCGCGGCGGCGCTCTCGTGCACGCGGCGATCTCGTGCGGTGTACTCTTCGTGATAAAACCCGCACATCCACGCCGTCAGGGAAGGCTCCGTGACATCCGCGTGCCGCATGAGCAGGTCCAACAAGAGGGACTTGGTGTCGATGAGAAGCGCAGAGGACCATCCCGGCACGAGCTCCCCGGGATCGAAGTCGAGCTGCGCGAGCTCCGGGGGCGCCTGCACGACGACCGGCACCGTGCAGAGTGGATGCAGCAGTTGCGTAAACGACTCGAGCACCGGCGCGTACTTGGCAGTGAGTCCCGACCAGTAGTGTGCGGCTTGGTTGGCTGTCTCGAACGGGAAAAGCAGCAGCAGCTGCAGCGTCGTCTTGGTCAGGAGCGTGTCCTGCAGAGAGCACAGACCCAATACTCGCACGAGGAGGTCCGTGTTGAGCGTGGTGCGGGTGTCAAAGAGCAGGAGCTCGATCTTCTGCTCTTGCACGGCCTGAATGGCGGTAATGAGGAGGCGCAGCGCCTGTCGCACCGCGGCACGGTGATGGCTGAGCAGCTCGTACGGCGCGTCACTCGCCTCCAGGATCAGCTTCACCACCTCACCCACGACATCGGCGGGTGCCTTGTTGATGGCCATGACGCTGGCGAATGGAAGCATGGCGGTCCGCCCGTTTTCGCCGTGGAAGCGGACGAGCAAGGCCTGCCGCAGCGCTGCCGCCGCGAGGGCGAACACAGTGTAGCGCTCAAGCTGGAATGTGAAAACGCGCTTCAAGACACCACGCAGGATTTCGTGTGAGACGAAGTTGATCACGGTGGTGTAGGCGCCGAGGGCGGCCATGGAAGGCTGATCGTTCTGGAAGAGCGCCGTGATGAGGTTCAAGAAGCCGATGGTGATGTCGTACGTGCCCTGCGTACACTCGTACTGGCAGTGGCCAACCAGAGAAAGCGTCTCCTCGTGTGTCGTCGGCTCACGGGAGGCAGCGGCGCCGCTAGCCCTGGTAGTCGCGGTGAAGCGGTCGTACAGGGCTGCGGTGCCGTCGACAGGACCGCTGCCACGCTGCGCTCGCATCGACGGCTGCTGCAGCAGGTGGCGCTGCTCGAGGAAGGTCCACACCAGCTGCGCGTCAGATGCGCTGGTGATGAGGGCGGAGATGAGCGAAAGAGTGCTGCCCAACATAACTTGACTCTGCTGCGGGGCGAAGAGAAAGGTGAGAGCCAGCTCCAGGTTGATGTAGGCGCCGACGATGGGACGCAGCGCTGGGTGGGCGAAGAGCTGACGAAGAAGCAAAAAGAAGCTGGAGATGAACTGCCGCTGACACTTGCGGGTGTACTGACGCGTGAACTGGCGATGGAAGGAGCGTGGCACCCCGTTGCTCATCGTAAGTGCGGACGAGGTTGCATACGCGTCCTCCACTTCCGTTCCTAGACCGTTTTGAAGGGCAGCGGGAGAAGAAGACGAAGGAGAGGAAGGGGAAGCGGTCTGCGCGGCGGCGGTGGCGGCCATCGTCGACAGTGGCATCCCGCTACCGCCACCGCTCATTCCGGGAACACTCAGCACGCCGCTGTTGAAACCGGCACACTCCAGCGCCTGGCCTACGAGGCTGTGCCACTGCAGCTCGCTGCACTCCGTTTGTGCATCCGTCAACAGCACCACCACACGCTGCGTGTACTGCGGATTGCGACCAATCATCGCGAGCACCTCCAAGAACTTCGTCATGAGCTTCAACGTGTAGTTTTCCCACACGGCCCAGGAAGAGGCGGAGGCGAGGGTGGCGCCACTGCTGCCTTCGCCGCTGCGCTGCGTCGCGAACACCTGCCGCATGTGCTTCACAAAGTTCTTGAAGATGAAGAAGGTCGCGGCACAGTCGCAGTCGAGATCGGGATTCAACACCTCCGGTGGGAGATGCTGCAGGCAAATGGCGAGGGCCTCGAGCAGGTGCGCCATTTCTGAGGTGAACGGCTCTCCCACGACTTCCCCGTACAATCCCACGCGGGTCATGCGCCGCAGCCAGCCCTCCTCGCCGTCACCTGTGCGCTGCAGAAAGCCGTTACTGTTGATGTTATTGTTGCCGCTGTTGCTTCCTCCACGAATGGCGGAGGAGATGCGGGGCAGGTCCTCCAGCTGCTCGATGTAGCGGCGGTGCGTCGCCACCTCCAGCTCCGACAGGTGGCGCAGCAGCGGCAGCATCTCGTCAAAAAGGTACGACATCATCTCATAGGGAGCGATGTACAACAGACCGACAGGGATGGAGAGGGTGCGGGGCACCGGTGCGAGTTCCACCATTCGCTTAGTCACCTTGCCACGGTGCACCGCCACGTTGCCGGGAGCGGCCGCGGACCCTGCAGACGACGGTGAGGACGTCGAGGACAGAGCCGTCGCGGCCCGTTCGCCGAGAAAAGCGTCCAGGGCCTTGTCATACCCTTGCTCGCTTCCCTTTGCCCGCAGCATGCATCCCTCCGCGAGAGTCAAGATGCTCAGGTAACTGTCCATGATTACCTGCCAGGTGTACACCGCGGGGGGCATAAGGGGGGAGGCTGACGCACGCGCCGACAAGCCCGCGCCGTGAAGGCCTCCAGCGTTGGCGCCGGAGACGGAGGTCTGCACCGACTCGCGGAGCCGCTTGCGCAGGCTGCTCACGGCCGCCTCAATCGACGATGCGACGTTCGAGTGAATCAATTCGTTCAGGCGCAGCTCGCCGGAGGCGCCGCGCAGTTTTTTCCACACGGCGGCCGCGTTCACGACGGAGAAGACGCACAGCCACGTCAGCGTGTTCAGGGCGCAGGTGTCGCTGTTCTCGCTGACGGTGGTGAGGGCAACAAGTCGACTGCGCAGGGAGTTCTTCAGTAGAAAGTAAAGAGCGTCCACCAAGTCCAGCGCCTCCTTCACCACACTCGCCGTCAGCTGAAAGTGGCGCGACAAGAGGTAAAGGCATTGCGCTGCGAGCAGCGTAGGGTCCTCGTTGGAGCGTTTTCGCCGGCTCTCCCCAAAGAGACCCGTCGCGGTGGCGGCCTCTCCGTCCAGCGCCTGCGTGTGCGCCACAACTGAGGCTTTCACAAAGGCGATGAGGTTGCTCGCGGCGGACGCGGCAACGGCGCCAACCGCGGCGTGTAGCCCTTTCACCGCCTCCTCGCCGGTTTCCATCCACTGCGACGACGCCGCGTTGTCGGCGGGTGGCGCCTCACTGTTGTTGTAGCCGCTGTCGCACATCAGCAGGATCTGCAGCAGGTTCTGCGCATTTTCCACCCGGAGCTGACGCTGCTGCTGCTGCTGCTGTGCCTCCGTGTTGCGTGCGAGAGTAGAGATGCCTGGTGCAGCCGCAGAGCCCATCGGAAGCGCGCCAGTCCGCGAAGCCTGTGGAGCCAGCGCACTCTTCCACTGAGCCCCCACTTGCTGTGCGGTCGCCAGAGCCTGCGTGACACCGGATGCCGGGACACCGGCACCATTCCCAGGTGCCATCCTGACTTCCATCGGAGCGCTAAATCGTCTTTTAATTTCCTGTGCGAAGGCGTCGCTCACAGTGCCGTCGCGGCACGCCTTATCGAAGAGTTTAGAATAGCTCAGCGGCGCGGGCGGGTCCACGGCAACAGTCGCGGCTGCTGCTGCTGCTGCTGCGGCGGCGGCGGCGGTTGCTGGTGGTGCAGCAGACTGTGCCGCGGAGGAGGCGCTGAGAGAAAAACCTGTCGGAGCCGGTGCAGAGGCCGTGCCGTTGACCGCACTCGCCGCGGGCGGCGATGAGGAAGCCGCCGAGCCAAACATGATGCAAAAAGAAAAGAGAAGAAAAGAAGTTTTACTTCGTTTTAGAAAACTGTGTAATGTGCAACAACGTCGAACGAACAGGCTCTTTTCCTTCTGAGGCCAGTAGCTTTCCCGCAGAAGAAAGCGTCTTCTATGATGACAAACCAACAGCGTACACCACAAAGATCCTTGTGCGCTCTTAATCCAGTACTTCCTCTCTTACGATTATAACGACAGGAGTTCCGCGAACCTTTGTCCCCCGTTAACGTTGCGATCTGCAACTGTGGCGCACGGCAAGCCTTTCTACAGCCGAAGAAGGACTTTCCTGTTTCTTAAAGTTACAACTCGGGCTAACGAACTGGACAAATATTCAAACCAGTTGCCCTTCTTTTGGCGAATGTATATATACCACCAACCACAACGACCAAATAAACAAGACTGCTTGACTTAAACAGGCGTTTTAACGCGTTACCCAACAGCGTCGTACAGGAAGAGAAGGAGCGAGGCGGATAAAAAAGAAAAAGGTGATGAGCGCGAGAACCTGACAACATGACCGACTTCAAAGAAACCGCTGACTTCCCCCCCCCCCCCCGATAAGCTGCAAAGGAGAAGAGAACAGACGATCAATACCCTTCGTGAAGCGTACGTTTTGGACTGGGGCTTTTTTTTGTTGTGTTGTCTTCTGTTGTACGCCTTCTCAGGACAACGAGCACTCACAAGAAAAGAAAGGCATGCCAAAGACCTACACAAAGGGGAGGCCACCCACGTTAACACTCGCTCCTGTCGACAACTTTTGCTTTTTGGTACCTTTATGTCTCGTAAGAAGATGGCTTCGTAGGAGAATATCTAGAGATCAGCAAGATGACAAGGAGATGACGAATAAATACAGAAGAAAAAAAAACCCGCAGTGTAATTGGCGTTCAGCAGCACAGAGAAATAAAAGCGCAGTACAAACAAATCTGAAGCGCCCCATCATATCAAAAGACAACCAAGCAGGACCGATACGCCGCTCAGGAGGGCATAACAGGGCATCAGGGAGAAAGAGGGAAACAAGCTACGCTTCACTCTTTCCGCCTGCGACGCAGCAAAGCCTTCCGCCGGGCAATCTCTTCCTCCAGGCTCTGGTTGTTGCGAGTGCGCTTTTCTAACTCACGCGCGGCGGCCTCGACGGAACGGCGAAACACCGCGACCTCCTCCTTGATCTTTTCCGCATTGTCCATCTGCTCCTGCTTCTTCGCCTCCAGTAGCGCCTTGCGCTTCGTGCACGCCTCCACTGCCTTCTCCGTGGCTTCGATGGTCGCCTCCACGTCTCCGATGGACGCCTCACGTTCGCTGCACTTCGACTGAAGTGTGGCCAGCGCAGCTTGCAATTTGCTCAACGCCTCACGCGCATCGCGTTCTGTGCTGAGTTGAGAAGCAAGAGCGCCATCGATGATGTCGTTCTGAATCTGCCGCTCCGTGGCGGTGACCTTCGCTTCCTCTCCCGCGTACAGCTGAGCAAGATCGCGTTCCTGTATGGCCGCCTCACGGTACAGCCGCATCAGTGCACTGTCGTAGTAGTAGCGAGTTTTGGAAGGAACAGCAGAGGGCGCTCGACCAGCGGCGGAGTCGTCGCCGCCGACTAATGGGCCGCTCAGCTCCGGGAAGAGTTTGATGACGTCGTCTGACAAGGCGGACGTTGACGGTGAGGATGCGTGTTGTTGCAGCAGCGGCTCATAACGAATGGTGTGCGTGTAGTAAAAATCTAAGATGCTTTCCTCCAGGCCGGCCAGCACCTCCACTTGTTGCCGCACGCGCTGCTGCAGGTTTTGTTTGTGCCTTTGAAGCTCTTTGTATCGCAGTTCATCGTTGCACGGACTACGACACCGCTTTGACCGACCTTCACCACCTTTGTGCTGGCGCGCAGGGGTTGCGGAGGCGGCGGAGCGGGGTCGTGGTCCCGCAGCGGGAGGGTGTGCTCTAAACATCATCGAATGTGGCGATGGTCTGAGCCCACTTCAATGCCTCCTAATTGAGCGCAACGAAGTAAAACAGAAAAAGAATTTAGTTCGCCGGCGTTCCACCGAGAACACAGACACGAAAAGACCATGGAAATGAGAAGGGAGGCGAATGCGAGGAGGAGGTCCACAAGCAGCAAAACAAGTAGAAGAGGAAGAAGGAAAAGGTGGAAGAAGAATGAAAAGTTCAGCATGAGCGTGGATTGGGCCGTTTTCTCGCTGAGTTCTTTTCGTGGAGCCTACGCTAAGCAGCCACGAACGTGTGTGATTTCCTCGCTGCTTCTGCTACCTTCATTGCCTTTCGTACAAATGCATAAAAGCTGCGACAGTGGCCAAAGTCCTCCAGAGACGGAGACGGACACACCCACCCGCCCACATCAGGAGAAGCACACTACAACAAAATGACTAGTAGAAAAAAGCTGGTATGAGTGAAGATGGAGTAAAAAAAAAACGAAAACAGAAACAAACAAACAGAGGAAGTAGAAAAAGGACCACAAGAGTCCGTAACATACCGTGCTGCTGTGTACATCTGCCAGACATGCATGGTTAACGAATACAATGATGAAAAAGGCGAATAGGGAAGCAAGAGTTTCTTTTAATAGTTATTATAACGGTGGAAAAGGGACAGATATGTTAACAAGAACAAAAAACACACATCAAGGGAAAAAAAAACTGTATTCAACCAAAACACACGTGGGACGCAGTATCCATGTATCCGATTTTTTGCATTTTCATTTCCTAGAAGCGGGAAATAAAAAAACCGGAAAGATCTTTGACAAGAAGGACCCCGAACACACACTTTTTATTCCGTGTGACCTCGTCGCGCACCTACAGAAAAAAGGAATTGAGGCACGGAGACTTTTCTTCTGCGTTGCTCTCGTAGCGTCGCACATACAACAAAGCAGAAAAAATAAGCAAAGTTAGTTTAGAAGGAGAACCGAAGAGAAGCAAAACAGAAGAAGTCGACGAAATAATAAAACGGTTGAGACGCTGATATATGTGTATATATGAAAAAAAAACTCTTTCGTAGGGTAGTAGTTGAGCTTGACAAGCAAGAGCCTCACGTGGATGTGCCACAGCTGTGCTGGACATGACGATGATACAGTTTACTACCACAGTCAAACGCGTCCAAGCACCTCCAATAAACCTTCTGAACGTCTAAAGAGGGATTACCCTTTAACGAAAAACAACAATAGCAATAATAGAAATACTGTAACAGAAACAGCAACAGAAAAAAAGAGAAAAAAATAAGCAAAGGTAGTTTAGAAGGGGACCCTTCGAGAAGCAAAATAGAAATAGAAAAACAACAACAACGCACGTACACTGCAGGTCTTTTCTTTACACATCTGCGTCTACAAGTGTGGAGTCGTGTTTGGGGTTTTCCTTTTAAGATGCGACAAGGCGCAAAACTCTGAAAGCTCCGCAGCGTGCATGTGCGTTCGAATAGAACTGCGCTATGGGGTCGCCGCAAAAAAAAAAAATCAACAATAACTAGAAAAAAAACCCTGATGCACGCAGCGGCCCACCCAAGCAGGGACAGAAAAAGCGCATAAAATGCACTCCCTCCCCTCCTCGTTGCATCAATCCAGGTGCAAGCAAGCCAGACACACCATCGTCGCGCGGTGCGTCTCTATCAGCGAAGCTTGTAGGCGACGCAGCGCACGCGTCGACTGAGTCGGTATCTTGGTTGGGTCAACGCGGTAATGCCGCTTTGCCTCCGGCACGTCCACGTCCGACTGCAAAAGGACACACAGAGTGCTAATAGTATCCATAATTCGTGCGCTAACGTCGCGCACGAGGGCGAGGGCATCGCGTGTCGTCGTCGCCGGCGCTTCCGCGCTTTCATTGCGGCCGAAGTCGTTTGCGTCGTCGTTGCGGGAGCGCGTGCCGGCCAGGAGAGGCGCAAGCGGTCCCACCGTAAAAATGTTCCACTGCGGATCGCGAGACGGCAACGGTGTAGTGGCGGCGCTGTCGCAGAGGCGTCCCTCGCTTGTGCCGTCGAGCGCTGTCACACTTGCTCTGGATGTCACCCGCGAGACACTCGCAAAGCGCGACAAAAAGTCTGTGATGTACTTGATGTATGTCGCGCCATCCGTGTGCTCGGCGGTCAGTTGCGCCTCAACCTCCTCCAACGATTTACGCTGCACCTGGACGTAGGCGGCCAGTTGAGCGTCGGACACCACCGCGTCTTTGCCAAGTGTGCGGTGCACGGAGGCCACCACACCAACCACAAAGATGCGTCGCAGGAGGAGCTGCAAGATGGTGACTCGCCTTGCCTTGCCTTCCTCCTCCGCTGAAATCAACGCGGCCTTCACCGACTCCAACGACTCCTCAACCTGCTGGAGCGTGATCTGACCCACGCTGACGGCACGCAAGGCGGCGCGGGCGTACGGATCTGGCGCGTCGGTGAACTGCCTGGCAACGTAGTCGAACAGATCCGTCTTGTCCTGCACGTGGAAGGTGCACTCCATCATTTGACCGAGGAGCACGTACCAGCGGCGCCAGCACTCGCCACCGCGAAACGACGAGAACGTCTCTGTCACCACTTTGTACGAGGGGAGGTGCGGACAAAAGACCTCGCGGAAGAGTCGCGTACCGGCTTCGTCTGCGTGCGTGATGTCGTCGCCTGTGACGTCACCCTTGTGACCTACTTGGGACGTACTACGCTGAAAGAGGAAGCTCCATTGCTTCAGCTGATCGTCCGTCCACGCCGACTCGATCGTGCGCAACGTGGCCGCCGTGCTGTCATGCACGCTGGATGCTGAGCTGCTACGATGCGTATTCCCGTCGTCAGTGGAATGAGCTTCACCGCTGCCCTTACTGCCGTCCGCGCAACGCAGCTGAGCGTGTAGCACACGCAAAAAAAGGTAGCGCAGCAGGTTGCGGTTGTACTTGGAGGTGAGCTGGAGCCACTTGCAGCCCAGCTCCTGGGCAAGGAGGTCGCTGTTCATAATCTCGTCAATGCGCTCTGTCGTGAGCGGCGCGGGGACGTGCACCACCACCGAGGCATCCCGACGGTTTGCAGGGACGGCAGTTATGGGGTTCGTTGTGGTCAATACTATTGGCGCGGCTGCTCCAGCGTCGTGCACCTCCATCGGCCTTGAGGCGACGACGCCATTCGTGGCTGCAAACTGACTCTCGCTTCGGTTGTAGGTCTTTTCGAGACTGCACAGGAGAGAGATGATCGCCCCACGGGCGAGCATACTGGTCAGCAGCAGAGGCTCCACAATATTACGGTCATGCTGGATGGCGGGAATGGTGTTGCGGAGTGTTTCCACGCAGCTCGCCACCCCCGATAAAACATCCGCGTGTAACTGCGTGTAGGTGAGTCCCTGCTCCGGCTTCGCCTCGTTTTCAGTTACCTCCTCCACCGCAGAGAGAGGGACGCTATGCGAAATTTCCACCGTTAGATGCAACAGGGCGCTCAAGGTGCAGCCGATCCAGTGCCGCACCGTATGCTCGTTCATGGACACGCGGCTGTCCACGTTCGCGATGTCGCTCCGCAGCAGACGCAGCACCTCGTGAAAGTCGCTGAGAGCCGCCACGAAGGTGGGCGCGGTCAACGGCGACGCCCCTGCGGACTGCCACGCTGAGAAGAGCATGGATGAGGCCTGGCAGACACCAATATTTGGCACGGGACTCAGCATTGATGTGCTGTGCTCCGACGGGCTGCGACGTGTCAAGCCGTCGCGCAGAGGTGCAAAGCCCTGCGCGCCCTGGTCGACCGGAGACGGCAAAAAAACGTGAGCATCAGTCACCCCCAGCGTACCATCCACCGTGTGCAGGGCAACCGCCGGCATGTTGGGCTGCGCTCTCTGCCGCCGCGAGTAGGTGTTCAGCGGCGTTGCCATTTGCAGGCCTCCGCCCGCATTCTTGCGCTCCCAAGGCGCCGCGCTCGTCGTCGCTGCCGCTGCGGTTGTTGCTTTGGAGTGCATCTCATTGGAAGCGAAGTTGGTACGGGACAGCAATTCCGCGGCAGCGTTGTGCGGTTCTGTGCTGTTCACGTCGATTGACTCGGTGAGGTTGATGCTTGTATCGTGCAGGCGCTTCATACCACTCCGTTCGTCGTCTTGCTGCTGCTGCTGCTGCTGCGCACCTTCGTGTGGGACGCCGTTGTGGGGCGGGACGGCGGTGCTTTCGGCGTAGGTAGACGGCAGTCCTTCAGGGGTGTCGCTGCAGCGCGAGTCGTCAACCAAGTCGCCTTCCTCCTCTTGTGGCGGACCGTGCTTCTGCACCACTCGGCGGCCATCACTCTCCTCATCCGACTGTTCGTTAGGGCGTGCCGTCAGCGGCTCTTGCAGCGGCGGACTCGTCGGGGACGTCTGCTCGAGCCTCCACCAATCCCTCAGTGTGCCGTCCGGTAATTTGGGTGGGTCGATGGCACCGCTGCCGGGACCAGAGAAGGCCCTGCTCATCAACCGTTGGGGGGTCTGGTGCGGTTGCCCAGCGACTTCCACCGTAAGCGGTGTAGTGCTCACGGACAACGTGGCTGCGTCAGCGAGACTTGTCGGCGTGCACTCGCGTGCCGCAGGGCGCGTGCTTTCAGCGTTGAGAACGGAGTACAGGTGGGCCAGCCCCTGTGTGTGCTGAGACAGTTCCAGCATCGTGTCTTGGTAAATGGAGTGTCCGCACGACATCGAGGTCTGCGTGCTCTGGGTGAAGACGTTCGACTGCGTGATGGAATCGCCAAAGCTGAAGTATGGGTGGTCGCTGTGGTAGGGTGGTGGCACCAGGGAAACCTGCAGCGGGGCGTCGAGGATGGCGGAGTGCACCATGCCCGTCGCACCGGGCGAAGCAAAGGCGGAGGCGCTGCCACCGATAAGGCTGCTTTCGCGGCCCAGCGTGGAAATGCTCAGCTGCATGGGGGAGCTGTCTTCGTTGCCGTTCAGCTGCTGGTGCTGGTGCTGCTGCTGCTGAAGGAGAGACTGCACAGAAAGGGACACATAACGAACGCCGTTGCCGTGCGCGGTGGGGGAATCGCACGGGTAGGGCGTTGGACTGGAGGGTACATTCCAATAGGAGGAGGTGGCTACTCCGGCCCCGCCGCCAGCGCGTGTCGGCGAGGGCAGCGGCTGCGTTGTCGGTAGCTGATAGCCGCCGGGCCACGGGGAGCTGAGCAGCTGCGCATCGAACGGACGCGGGGCGTGCATGCTGTTCGGTGCTTTTGACTTTTCCATTGGAATTGGGGTCAGCGCACCGCTGGAGGAGCGGCGCATCTGCGAACGATAACCCTGCGGCTTATTGGGATGCGTGGTCGGATTGCTAGAGCAGTGCATGCTGGCATTCGGCTCTCCTGATATATGCTGCGTACGAAGCGGCTGCTCACCATAGTGGGACTGGAGCGTCACGTGCGACGAACGGACAGCCTTGTGCGCAGCCGATGAGGAGCTGCCCGCCAGATTCAGCTCTTCCACGTGTGGGGTTGAATGCTGTGAGACGCTTTGCAGAGAGGCGCTGTCGTTGTCGTACCCCAGACGCAGTGGATCGCGTGTTGTTTGTTTGGGAGAAGGCTCCTTCTTTGCGGCGTCGCTAGAACTGTTGGCCCGCATGGATGTTCTCTGCCTGTGTCTGCTATTTGGAACGTACTGAAAAAGGGCAGCGAAAACAAAACAAAACAAGAGTCAGAGGCAGTTCGGCAAAGTCGATGCCTCTGAAAAGGAATGGAGAGAGGGGAGAAAGAAACAAAGCACAGCAGGGGAAAAGAGAAGTTAGATGCGCAGTCCGCAGGGTGGATGATGCGGGCAATGCGAGTATAACGGTACTACTCGACGAGCACCGCGAAGTGAAAGAGAGAGAGAACACACACACACACGCAAGAAAGAAATAATCGGTTTCAAAAAGTATACGAACAAGACGAATGGGAAGCGGGAGTGCAGAGACAAAAAAAAAGAGCTGCTAAAAAGAATTTAACGCTGCTGCAGTTCCCTATATAGTGTTGCAAAGCCACGTATGCCTACCAACTGCGAAAAAGACGATAGTAATGCTAACAATGGGAAAAGAAAACAAGATATCGGGCGTAATGACCGCGCGCAGACAAACAAAAACTCACGCGGTTGCCGCAGAGAAGAGTATATTTGCGAAACAGAAAGGATTAAAAAAAAAAGGACAGCAAAAAGTCAAGACTTCTCAAACATTAGGCGGCTATTTTGATCGCTGAGGAAGCAGCAGTCTTGGAAGATACAGGAGAAACGAAACCTGGAGAAACGTGTTGACGAGGTGATATATAGAAAAGAAGTGGTCAGTATAATTCTATAGAATGCGTTGCAACTAGTCAGCGGCTGCCGGAGAAGCAGCGAGAAAAGCACAAGAATGGGGAGAAGGGGGTGTGCGTATATCACGTGAAGGTGCCGATATACACAATTGGAGATAAAGCAAACAAGAAATCAGCAAGGAGAAGCGAAAGAGATGAAAACCTCCACTACACCAGGTAAACCGGTCAGCAAAAGGAAACCAAGAAAGCAAACCGAAATATGAGGTGAGTGAGTTTTACCCCCAAAAGGAAGGCGCGAACACGTTAGGAAACGAAGCGATCAAACAACAAAACAACAGCGTGGAAAAGCACCGCAGGGACAACGTCGCTGTTGGTGGAGATCGTCACTTCTATTTGGAAAGGACAAGACAAGTAGGAGGAGGGGGGAGGGAACCAACGCGGTCAACTACCGGTGGAAAACACAAACCGCAGAAAGAAAGCAAAGTGAAAGGCTTATGTGCGCTTGAGAGAAAACGTCCACAAAAACAAGCTGCAAAAAATTTGACACTTGAAAGGAAGAAGGCGAGGTTTACTCTGCGCGCCAAATCTGCTGGATGGCCGATGGGTGAAATAAAGCACAGGGCAATCTTCGTTCTCAAAAAAGAAAGAAAAACTCAAAACAAGCAATAGCGGTGAAGGAAACACGGACTACGGACGCCGATTAGTGCGCCCGAGAGGAGATCGGTGAGTAGTAAAGAAAGAGAATAGGGAGGAAAGAGAGAAATTAGTTGCACAGAAACATTCGAACAGTGCCATCGTTGCACAGATACTGCAAAGCACACCAGAGCATTGGCTTCAGTGACGCGCACCTTTGAGCAAATGCGATGCACCCAGTTCTTATCTCTTGCACTGGTGATGCTTTCGATGACGTAACGAACTCTACGAAGTGTCACATAGAAATGGAAGAAAAAATGTAGTGTGGAAGCAAAGCACACGCAGCCAGAGCGTAAAGTGATTTAAAAAAAAGCAGCAACAAAATATCTGCACCTTTCTGTTCTAGTTCAGTGTGATGATGCACACATTACTGGACGCCTCGGAAGCCGCAGCGTGAAGAAGTGGTGCGTACTTGCAAACCTCATCATCGCTGCACATGTCAAGAAACTCGTACCAATTGATGTGGTGCGCAAACTCTTCCCAGGTGAGCAAGCCATCGCGAATCGGGTGCGGTAGCGGCGTCGCAGCGCCGTCGTGCATGCGCTTCAAACGCAGTGCTTCGAGCTCGACGCAGCGGGTGCACTGTACCCGTGCCGCGCCTGCGCTCCTCTTGGCACCAACAACGACAATCTCCTGCGCACTCATTCTGCGACCACCGGCCCTATCGCTCACTGCTTGCGTGTACCGGGGTGTGGAGGCCATGTCCGCGACAGAGCGCGCAAGGGCCACTCCACCGAAGGCACGCAGCTCCGCCGCCTGTGCGACCGACATGAAGGCGTTCCAAGTGTAGCTGCGCGCCACCTCCGACACCGTTTCCGTGCGCTGCGCATTCACCTGCACCCGCCGATCCTTTGTCTGCTGCAGCCAGATCGTCGTGGCGCTCAAAGACTCCGTGTCTGCTGCAGCGTCTTGCGAGGGCGCGCCTGTTGGGCCGAGTCCGTAGCGGACAGCGGCGGCACCACCTCGACGGCCCTCGTGCGCGTGTTTGTCTTGGGGCTCATCGATGCCGAACTTGGCGCCGGGACGCAGCGGCACGCGCGGCTTTTGACGCCGCCCCTCAGCGCGGTTCCCGCCCCCGTCGCGCCGGTCTCGCGGGTCGTCGCTGTAGGCGTTCAGCAGATCCGACACAAAGTTGCGCATCGTGTCGAGGCCCATCACATTCACCAGGCTCATGTACTGCTTCTTCATCTGATCCTGGTAGGCGTTGCGGTGGACGAAGAAAAGGTGCCAGATGGTGTCGCACACGCGGCGGCGCTGCACGGCGTCCCATTGCAGTCGGGCGTCCTGCGTGGAGCCGACGAGGAGGCTGGCAGCGCCGGCGATCTTCCACAACGGGTCGTCGGCCGCACCGGGAGAGCGGTACAAGGACAGCGATACCAAGATGGGATCGATGTAGAGCTGATCGATGGCCACGACGCGGCTCCACAGAGGGGCGGACGCGTGACGAGAGCGGGAGCCATGCGCCGCGAGACCGCCACCGTTGTTGTCACCATCTGCCAGCTCCGTGTACGCGTGCCTTGCCAGCGTCAACGCCGTGTCCAGACTTGCCCTCCACGGTGGGCCGGAAACTTCTCCGGCTGTCGACAAGGCGGCACGCCAGTTTGCGGAGTGTCGCATCCACCCCGCGAAGTCCCACGTAGTGCGTATCACCTCTTGATAACTCATCATTGCCGTGATGAAGCCGTCCTCCACGTGCAACTCGAGAGGCGCCAGATGAAACGCGGCCGTTGAGCAGCACAAGATGGGCGTGGTGCGCAGCAGCTTCCGCTCCACCTGTAAGCCGCTCTCGCGATCGTCCACGAGCTGCGCGACGACGCACTCCTTTGCCGCAGGCCGCTCGTCGTCCACCTGAAAGCGGTGGAAGCGCAGTTGTAGGCGTTGCACGTCGGCGTCGGCGGCTTCTACGTCTGCTGCAGCTGCACTGCTGGCGCCATCCCGGCGGCGTCGCACCCCTTGCGCGAAGGTGCAGGTGAGCGGCTCTATGGCGCATGACAGCACACCCTGTGCGTCCTCACCGCAGAGCAACGCAAATACGCTCTCCACCTGCAACGCGAAGGACAGCTGGGGATAGGGGAGCGTGCGGTAGGCGTCGATGGTCGGCTCTGTGGTGATACTGACAGCGTAACTCATGCCATGAACGCCGCGGACGCGCACAAACAACATGGTCGAGGTGCCTCGAGCGGGATCCTCCACCTCGATCTCTTGTTGAAAGCCGTTCACGCTTCGGGACTGCTGGCTGATTAGCTGCGGGTCAAAGTTGAGCACGCACAACGTATGGGCCGACGCTGACAGCGCAGCCGTCGATCGCCTACTGCTCGAGACGCCCGTCGTCTTCTCCCCCGCACTGCTTGACGGGTCCTGCTCTCGCTCCAGCCACAGCTCCACGACGGCTGGTGTGCTCGGTCCGGACGGTGCCGCGTCCCACGTCCACGCTTTACGACACCGGGGAAAGACGGTCGACACACGGCGTACCCCGCGCTGCCGGAAGCGTACGGTGTACAGTGTGCGGTTCTCCACCACGATGGGCGGCCGCGGGGCCTCCTCGACTTCGACACACATCATGCATCCCTTGTACGCGTACGCCGTCGTGGTAAACACCTTCGTCTCCTCGCGGTCCACAAATAGCTCACCGTTGACTTCTTTGATGTCCTCCGGCTGCAGGAGAGGCAACCTGTCGGGAATTGTTTGCGGCGTAGCGCTCCCGCTGTTCGATGGATTCGCTGGACTTTGTGGCCAGTACTCGCGAATCGGGATGAGGCTGTGGTAGACGAGGTTCGTCGCATCGTCGTGGGCGACGTTGAGGGGCAGCGCGGAGCTCCAGCAACACTGCTGAACGTTGTGGTGCGCGTCGTCGCAGATGGAAAAGGAGAAGAGGGGGTTGAGGCAACCTCCCTGACCCGCGGTGGCCGCGTTCACGAGCGGCGGAACGACCGCCTCCGAGAAGGCTTTCACGCGAAGAAACACGGAGTTGCCGTCACTCCGTTGCACGTCACTGGGCAGACTTTGCGCGAAGCACAGCGTGTAAGGAGACTTGTTCATGAGCACCCAGCGCGGGCGGATGTAAACCACGTGCGTGTCGCTGTAGGCGTGCAAAAGCGTCCGACTGCCCAGCTCTACTCGACAGGAAAGCACCAACACCATCCCCCGCGTGCGACGACTGGCGCAGGTGACGACTTGCTCATCGGCCGCCTCGTGGACCGACAGCGACTGCTGCGACCAGTCGGAGAAAGTCGCGGGTTCGTTCGAGCCGGACGGGGCGGTCTCCCATACACGCACAAACAGTCCGTTGCCGTCTGCGTTGTTTTTGTTCTTGCTGCACGATTCAGCGCGAAGGCTGTTGTAGAGGTACACGGGAGAGTTGGCGTTTGATTCGTTCTCTACGTTGAGCAGCTCGTTGCTCTGCTGCGTCCTCCTTGCCTCGTCCCATGATGCCATGGTGCCGCTGCGTACCGTGCGGCCTCCTAGACCGGCGATGGGGTACGTGCATCGATCCGCCGCAGCCGCGTGTGGCAACGACGTGTCCGCCAACTGCAGTGTAAGCTGCGTCTCGTTGACGATCCAGTGAGGGCAGTACAAGGTAACCAGCCGCTTGGTGTACTTGATGTGCAGGACCAGCGTGGCGCCTGTTGCTGGGTCGGCCAGTACCAGGTGTCCGTCTCGCCGAGCACGATTCCCGGGGCAGTAGATGCAGGCGGGTGGGTAGTACGCCGTCGCGCTCGTACGCTCCGCTGCTCCACCGCGGTTCTCGACCACCTGTGAAGACCACTGCAGCAGCGGATTGCCGTTTGGCTGCTGCAACGCCACGCTCACGCACACGTCATCCAGCGGGTCCATCTCCGTTGCACCGTAGCTCGCATTCGCTTCCAGTGTGGCTGTGTGAACAACCGTGTAGGCCGCGGTGTCCGGCGCGGGGTCCAGAAGGCCCACCCGCATGCCGGGCTGCACGCGCCGCGTCAGCAGTGTCGCGATAAGAGGAAGACCCACGGCGTTGTGAATCGTCACGGCAGCTTCGGCAACGACCGTGACAACACGCAGGGGCGCGAGAGCGGGGTAGCGCCGGACATCCAGCGGCTGATTTGCGGCTGCAACCACCTGCAAGAGAAAGTGCCGTTTAGTCGCTTTGCCACCGAGAATGGTGAAGCCTTTGCCCTTGGCGAGGGGTGGCTGTGTTGCTGGTCCCCGAGTTACGTCATCATCAGCGGTGGCGGCAGTTACGCACAGGAAGGTGTGGTTTACGAGACACGGTAACGCGTCGTACGAGACGCCGAGGGTCACTAAAGAGTCGGGGCTGAGTGCGTAGGACTGTCCCTGGTGCTGCTGCTGCTGCTGCTCCGCCGTCGCCGCTGTCTCTGACAGTGCAAGGCACACCCGACGGCGAAGAGCGTCAACGGACACGTACTGCGCTGCGCCGGCTGCTACAACGCCCACGGCATCGTAGGTGCCTCGCTGGTTCATCGCCAGCTGCAAGACAGCTGAGCTGAGCCGGTTCTGAAATAGGACGGTTGAGTGGAGGTGAATGCGCTTCAATCCTTGCTGCTGTGGCGGCACGGCGACGTCGGCGACGACGTAGCGCCGCAGCGGCCCGGAGGTGCTGAGAGAGACGCGCTGAACGCCCACAGAAGCCACAGACACCACCGCACCGCGTGATTCGCCGTCAGCGGAGGGGTTTTGCGAATGGGTGGCATGCTGCTGAACGAGGATCTTCTGCTGCTCGCGAGGAAGCTCCTTGCCCTGCGAGCGAGGAAGGTTGAATGCCCACGACTCACCAGAGGCAAGAGCACGAGAGTCGTTGCCGCTGCTGCTGCTGTACTGGTGGAGTGCATCCGGGATGTATTGCGGCAGTCGAGCTGCCATCACCAACCCCGTCGTTTGAAGCAACGTAAAGGCGTGAAAAGACGAGGAAGAAGCGGTGGAAGGAGACCCCTCTTCTGTGGTAGGAGAAGGAGTGACTCTGCCGACTGTGACGTTGTGCTTGAACATCTCCACCCCCGCCTCCTCAAATTTGGCGCGCAGCAGCTGCAGTTGTCGCAGATTGCGCAGGAGCTCCAGTGTAGCGTACACTTTCACGCTGCCCGTCTGCACCGCGAGTCGGACGAAGCCCTGGCGGTTGTACACGTCCGAAATGCTCGTGTTTCGCCGCCAGTCCAGCGCAAGGTTGACCCTCAGCGGATCCACCACTGGTGCCCACTGCGATTTGGCCAGCCCGTAGGAATCGAGTTGCAGGGTGAATTGCAGCTCCGCCTTCACGTGCGGCGCCTCCAGCGTGAAGCTCGGGGTACGAACCTCATTCACGTAGAGGCAGAAGAGCGGGATGTGGGTGTTCTGGCTGTCGTCCACCGCAAAGAAGCTCAAGTACGGGATCTGCACGGCGAACGAGGTCTTGGACACTACGTCTGTCGACGACGCAGCGGCCGCGACGCTGCTCGCTGCTCCGCTGCTACTTGTAGTCCGGTTCCTCTCTCGCATGAGAGACTCATTAACCAGGTTGCCTTCGACTTCCTCTCCGTCCCAGCTCTGCGGTAGCGCTAACAAACTCGACCCCAAGTCACGCCGCATCGCGTCTTTCCATTTGGCAAACACCGCCTGCGCGTGTCGCGCCGCGCGCAACACAAAGAAGACGTCGCTATAGTGCACGCGCATCTCGACACCACTGCTCGCGTCGAGAGACACGTTGCGTAGGTGTTGCACACGGCGTGCAGCGGACGGGTGCGTCGTTTCACTGCTACCCACGCGACTGTCCGACCTAACATCACCACGGTCACCTTCGGCAAAACAGGTTTCTTCGGTGTACTGCACCGTCATGGCCCAGTCCGAGAGCAGGTCGGACGTGTCCACGGTGGCGCCGTGTGCGGTGAGAAACTCCGTGCGAACGCCCGCGTGAGCAAGGGAAAAGAAGCCGCTTACGTCTCGGATATCGTCGACTGTGGAGGCGGAATTAACAAGGGTAAGATGCATGTCGCTGTACAGCACAAGGGTGCGTTGAGCTTCTGTGGCGGTAGGGGAAGCAGCCGATGTTGCCATGAAGGGAGACGCGGCAGGCGATGCGGCGAATGCGGTGCGCGGCTCTGGCACACGAAGCTGCACCTGCACATCACCCTCAAAATCTGCCCATTTGGTGACGTTGCTTGCCTGCTGCGACGTGGTCAGGGGCGCTGGCACGGCTTTGGGCTGATTATCCGCTTGCCCCGCAGAGGTGAACAGATCCTCGCTGACTTGTCGGCCGGCTGCTGCAGCGTCGGAGGGTCGCATCACTGTGCACGTCTCACGATCAACAACGACGTAGGACCCGTTGCCGGCGCTGATGTACGCCTCAATCGATTCTGCTTCCATGCAGATGTTGGCGTGCATAATGCGCAGTGTCATGCCCTCGTCCAGCAAAATAAGCTGTCCTCGCCGCGCTGCGTTGAGGTAGATGGTGCGCCCGTTGCCGTAGAGGTACAACAGGCTGTATAGCTTGTTCACTGCACGCAGCGGCGCTCGCTCCGTCAGCACCAGATCTTCGCTCAGCCACAAATCGCGCTGCACGACGAGCTCTCTGGCGGTTTGGTAGTTCGGCAGAGCGACCTGGAGGTACGGCGCGTAGAGGAGGTCGACCCAGGCCATCACAGGAACCGCCTCCACGGTTACGGTGACTTGTCTCACAGACACCACGCCGCTCTTTGCGTTGGTCTCCTCGTTTTCCGTAATGTGCAACTCACAGGAAGGGGTAGAAGGTGCGGTAGAAGTACCTGTGTGCGACGAGGAAGGCAGCGCCGCGAGCGACAAGGTGGGGATGGCACCCTCCTTACCCACAAGACAGCTCTGCAGGCTTATCGCGATGCGCAACTGCCCATTCCATTTGCTCGCCGTCTGTCCTCTCTGCTGCTCTGCGGCATACACAGCTCCTTTTCCATGGAAGTACGTCGCGTCAAGCCGTTCCAGTTGAACGTACACCGCCGTCAACGCCCCTGAGTGCGCGACGGCTTCGCCGTCCTCGCTGTCTTCCTCCACCCGCAGGTTCAACGACGTGAGTTGTACACAGTAGCTTCGAAGTCTACACTTGCCTGGATGTGATGCTGACTGCTGTGGAGGATGGGCTGCATTTGTGGGGTTGCCGATTGTGTGCAGCAGCGGCTGCTCAATGCCCGACCCGTTCGCCTCTGCGATTTGCACGGCAGCTGCCAAACTGTGCGAGGCAGTCGACGCGGAGTTCATCAACATGGCCAGAAAAGACGCCTGCTGAAATGCGACACGGAGCAGCGCGGCGTAGTGGAATTGCGTGAGCGTCAGCTGAAGAGGTTCTAGCGACAGTTTCCACTCCTCCAACGGCGCGTTGGAGTCGCTCTGCTTGAGTTGTCTCGTGACGTCAATACTGAAGCGCTCCAGAAGAAGAGTGCAGTGTTGCTGTCCGCGCAATGCGCAGATGGATGTGTTGCGCAGCTGCAAGACGGTCTGGCAGCTGGAGCTGTGCTTCGCCGCAATGTCGGAGTTCCACTGAACGACGACGGCCTCGGTGGTCACAAGAAGCGCTTCGGAGTCCAGCGCGTGTTTGACGGCGTCTTCGACCTGCCGCGCCGTGCAGTACTGCAGACCCACCGTCACCTCCTCTTTCAACACGAACACAGCCACAGTGCCTACGCGTACATCCACCGCAAAGGAGCCGTCAGCTGCCGTCGTCATTGGTGACGCAGGTGATGCGCTGGCAACGCTTGTCTGCTGAAAGACAGCGGCTATGCTGCGCACTTGCCGAAGAACACCCGCGAGCAACAGCGACATGTGCGCCATGGACGGCGTGAGCACCCAGAACGGCTGCAGCACCGTGGTGAAGGTGGATTTGGCAGGGTTGTATGCAAACTCCACCACAAGACACTTCTCAGCGCCCGGTCTACTCAACGCGGGCTGGGACGCCTCCTGCACTTCTGGTTGCGCGGAGCGCGGCGGGGCGGGTGGCGCGGTGGACACCGGTGAAGGAAGTTCCCCAAAAAGCTCATCCAGCATGTTTTGCTGCGCCAGTTTCGAGGCATCCATGGTTTGAGCACTTCGGTTTGTCGGCGAGGGCGACGGCTGCGCTCGCCAGGGTGCACGCGGAGACGATGCAACTGGCTGTGACCAGCCAGCCGGTTGTTCCAACACCAGAGGAACGACTAAAGCGGCTGCCGCAGCTGTCTCTCGGTGATCGTGCAGAACGCAGCGCACGAGACGACCCACGTGCAGCATGCCTTTCCACCCTTCTATCTCCTTGCGCAATTGTATCAAAACCCTAGAGCACGAGGCGCAGAGTTGCAGGTCACATATAGAGGATGTGGAGGTGTGCTCAGCCTCGCAGGAAGGCACGCATGGCATGTGACAGTGCAGCTGTGGAAACTGCAACTTCACCGCTATCGTTGCCCAGCCTTGGGTGGTCTGTGCTGCGGAGGCGGAACTGCCAGGTGCAATGTACCGGTTCACGCTCTCGCACAACGCGGGACAGTGAACAAGCGACTGCACACTGCCGAGGGAAAGACCGTCCACTGTAACTGCTATGTCGTGCGTTGCATCGACGTCGATGTGCAGAGCACGCGCTGTGGTGCTTGCTGCGAGCCATCGCCAACCGTAACGAATGCGCAGCAAAGGCGACGTAGACGAGGAGGGAACACCACTTGAAAGTTTTGCCGGAAAGGAAAAGAGCGGTTCTACGTCACCCTGTTCGCTTGAGTTATTTATCTTCTCGCGTGAATACGGCGCGTCACTTCCAATCACAAAGTGGCGCGCCTCGAGCGCACAGCTCAGCTCTCCCGCCGCGTTGCGGTCCACTACCGCGTGGGCTCCACCGAGCTCTATCTCGCACGCCGAGTTCTGCGCATCCGTCAAGAGGAGGTGCGTTTGAAAGCGCGTCTCCACATCGAAAACCCACGTGCTTGTCTCCACTACGGGATGGAGCAGGGAAGCGGGGGACACATCCCTCTGGTATTCTTCCACGATTGTCGCCTCTGCGTTGGAGCTGCTAGCGGGGCTGTCGGCAACGTAGTTGGCGTGCACGAGATTCATCAGCACGGCGAGATCGGTGCTGGTGCCTCTCCACACCGCTCCACCATCTAGTTGGTCGTCCGGTCCACTTGCACTGCCGCGGTGAAAGCACACATGAAAGGTCTTGTGCCATGTCTCCTTTTCCTTCCAGATGGACGAGGTCTGGTACACCGGGAGCGTCATTGTCAAGGTCCAACGAGGAAGCGAGGCTGCGAACGCAGTCGACAGCGTTGCAGAGGCGTCGCACCGTCGCAGAGACATTTCATGGAACGCTATGGTGTGCACCTGCTCCACTGACGCCCACTCGCAGCGCTGCACCATCGCGACGGAGACCGCAGCGTCGCCGGAGCTCGCCTCCGGCGGAGGCGACGCCGCTGGGGAGACGGTCGGCGTGGCAGCAGACAGCGCACGAAGACAACCCGCATACGTAAGCGCGTCCACCGCAATTTCGCACGAACACGCGACGGGTGCGCCGTGGCTCGCCTTCTCTAACCACCGTGCGTCGTCTGGCACGCGCAGCACCGCGCGAAGCAGTGTGACAGACTTGCGGAGGTCGTCCCACGAGATCTCCGCCGACGGCGGCACACCGCGGTGCGGCCAGGTGAGCGGTGGGCAGTAAAGCACCCCGGCGTGAAACCAGCAGGGCTCGCGATGGACCAGCGTGGCGGCGCGGTGCAGGACGTCATCTCGAAACGCCAGTATTAGCTGCATCAGCAACGGGTGCCAATAGAGGAGTTTCACGCAACGCAGCTCCACCGCTACTTCCTGTCGATCACGGAAGCCCATAGGCGGGTGTGCTGCTCTTTCTTCAAGGCTTCTCGCTGAAATGGTACTGCTGCCGTTACAGAGCCAGTCCGATGTGGACAACATCGGCGGCGTCTTGTGGAGCTTCCAGTCAAGTGAAAGCCCGGCACCACTACTCGATGCAGGAGATCCAGCCGCTGCGATGGCTGCTTGCGAGTCCATCAGAACCACCCAGCTCGCAGCGGACTCGGTGCCGCTTGAGAGCGTAGGACACCGCCACTGCATCACCGGACGCTTCACGTCCACATGTACGTGATTGAGGGCCTCTGTCAGCCGCCACCGCAGAGAGACGTCACGGGCCGCAAATTGGAAAGCTACGCATTCCCCTGGCACACGAAGCGGTGGCGTGTCCGAGGACGGAACCGTTGCTGCTGCTGCTGGTGTCCGCAGCGCCACCTCCACCTCCACCGCCGCCACTGTCAGGTCCACCATCGTACTTATCGCGTTTCCCCCGTACTCATCGGCACTGCACCACGCCGCCTCCACCTCACGGGCCTTTCGGAAGGGCTCCGTCGGTGAGAGCGACCACCAAGGGTATCCTGCGATAACTTCCTCCGCAAAGAGACGATCCGTCCACAACCCAAAGCTGTCCCACCACGCCTCGACCCACTCGAACATCGCTGGCCCGACGTGGAGCTTCACCGCTGACGCAGGGTCGACATAAATGCCACAGCGCTTCATCGACGGGAGAGGCTGGGGACGGAAGTACATGATGAAGCGAAGGAAGAGGGAGGCAGCAGCAGCAGGAGCGGGTGCGTTTGGCGGCAGTGACGTCACAGCCGCACCAAACGGTTCAATTCTCAGCAAAGACTGCTTTGCCTGCGTGTCCTGTGCGTTGTCGGCGCTGGAGGCGTCGGAGGAGCGTGGGCTGCAGGCGTACATCTCTGTCTCGTTGGTGACGGTCAATTCAAAGCGCTGCTTCTCTGCAAAGCGATCGAAGCTTAAGCCAAACGGCGTAAAGGACAGAACAGCATCGCGTCGTGCGGTCTGTGCCGCTTTCTTGGTGTTGGGTAGGGAGTGCGGTAGCTCATCGCAGTACGCAGCCGGCTCTCGGCCTTCACATGTCAGCCGCAAAGAGGAAAAGTCCACCTGCACACTCCACAACGGCTGTTTGCGCAGCTGGGGCGCGACCACAGCAGCGTTGTACTGCACCTGAACCGCCGGTGTCAGCTCCAGCGAAGGGGTTGACGGGTCCACACAGCAGCGAAGAAGCGTCTTTTCCATTTGCTGCGCCTCCTCGGCAGTTGCGCATTGGAACGCCACGTAGCGGCACGGCATCAGGTGCGCTCTCTTCAGCGCCAACTCCAGTGCACTTCGAACTTGCTCGGCACTGGGGAGAGGACGAGCCGGCGGAGCACCACTTCCGTTGCCCTGTCTTGCATTCTCCTCTCGTGCCTGCCCTTGGTTGGCGATCCAGGCGAGCACGGCGCGCTCCAACCACACCGCGTTCTGCAACAGCGCCGGCGGTACGCCGACTGCGTCCACCAGCAGCTGCGCGGCCCCGTCGCACGCGTCGGTCAGGACCTGCTCTTGGTCCACCCCACCCTGCAACACGTAGAGGTGGAGGAGGTAGGCGACGGCGTTATCGCCCGGACGCTTTGTCTCCGTACGGCGTACTCGAATGCACCCACGCTGCAGGGAGAAGTACTCTGCGGGGAAGGAGGCCCGCTCCGGGTGGTAGAGCACGCATACGCCGGTGCGAATGTCCACCCGGCGCTTGGCCAACGGTGCCGCTCCGGCTGACGAAGTTATCCCCGTCGTGGCGGAGAGGCGCGACGCTGAAAAGGGATGCATTTGCTTGTAGAAAACCTCAGGGTTATCGAGGTGGTCGCAGGCGGTTGCGGATGCTTCACGGTTTCCGCTGTCGGCCGCCTCGGTGCCCCTCCAATACGCCATGCGGGTGCGGTGGGGGACGACCCCAACGTGAAAGGTGGCGGTGGAGTCGACTCCACCGGGTTCGGTTTCGGTCGAGATGGAGGCCGCGCCGCCGCGCTGCACGAGCGTCTCCGCGACCGCCGCCACGAGATCGACGAGTGTGCTGCACGAGGTGGTGAGAACCGACAGCGACGACCGCGACCACGACAGCTGCACGGCGGCGCTCGACGAGAGGCGCAGCTTGAACGGGGGCTTCTCGGGTAAGCACCGTCCCAGCAGACTTCTCTCCACCACAAGGGCAAACGGCGTCTCAGAGAGAACGACTCGTCGAACCACAAGTGGCGCCGGCGGCGCTAAAGTGGACGGACCGCATTCAACATCGGCTGGCGATGCAGCGGGAAGGAAAACGGAGATGCTGGCTGCGGCTGCCTCAACGTGTGTGTAGTCGAACCAGTCGGTTTCCTCGGACCCGAGCAGGGTTGTGTGCGCAGCCGCGCCTTCTGTTGCGCCGTTTCCGCCGCTTTTACTGCACTGCAAACGTTCCTGCCGCTGCAGCCGCTGCACAATGTCATTACGAAGCCCAAGTCTATCGATTGTCAGCTCGCACCCCTGCACATCCGGTATTTCGGACAATGATACCGTCACACTGTCCATGAGAACGTCCCACTCAATCGAATGCTGCCGCTCTACCTTACGGCGGAGAACGATGAGGCGGGCCTCCGTGTCTGTCGCGCACCGCTGCTCGACATGTGTGAGAGGTCGAGAGGTGGGCATGAGCAGAGCGGTCAGAAAGCTCTCTGTTGATGCCGGTAAAGTGGAGGTGGAATGAACGCCACCTTTAACTGGCGGTGAGGTGCTTTCGAGATTCGAATGGGCAGGCCCCACCGCTGAAGTGCTTGGCCACATGACGGTGAAGAAAAAGTCGACCAAGTGCCGCAAAGGAACGATGTCAAAAACGAGGTGAAGCGGTGCTAAGCGGACACACACGCGATGCACAACGGCCGCCCGTGAAGTGAGCTGCTGCGGCGACCGCTGCGTCCACTCGCACTGCCATGCAGCCCTACGACAGCATTCGTCCGACAAGATGGACCAGCAGGCTTCCAGCGGAGAGAACGCCCGTGTGCGTCGCGGTGCTGTGTCACCGACGGGCACGCCAGTTCGAAGCGGTGATGCTGCTGGTTGTGGCCGCCGCAGCATCACGATTGCCTGCTCGCCCTGCTGCTGCTGCGGCGTTTGGTTGTTCAGTTTCGCTGCGGTGACTGAGAGGAGTTCGACGCATCCCCAGTAGTAGGCGAGGGGAAGGGCAGCCTCCGCAGCGCCGCTACGACCGCTGGCGTCGCCCCACTCGGCCCCACTCTGCAGGTTGCCCAACAGCAGCTTCGCCAGCGTCTCCTGTGCGGGAGGAGCCGACGTGGAGGAGGAGGGTCTGTGCAGTGCCTGTTCCTCGGCCTTGCAGCTTCGCAATTCAAGAGACACGGAAATGGCACGGACAAACACAACCCACGCAGGAGCTGCGCAGCGGCGTTGACTCGCACTCGACCCACCCCCCACATCGTTATGATCCAGACCATCCGCTCCCCGCACCATTCCCGTGTTGCTGCCGTCTGTGCTATTGCAAAGGCTGGCGGTGGTGCTGGGCAGGGTCAGCTCCCTCGCCTCCTCGGCGGACATGCCAAACTCCTGTGCGATGACGGCGCGCTGTGCATCCGTCCACTTCGCCGCCGTCATCAGCTGAACCAGTTCCCGCAGTTCCGCACGCGCCTCATCGTCGAGGTTGTCGGCCGGCGCCCCACTTTGTTTCGAGCCGCCACTACCATCTGTTGGTCGTGGGACAGAGCGCCAGAAGGAAAACCAGCCGCCAGTTGAGCCTGACGTTTGCGCATTTGCATCCACTGCCGCCGCCGCCTCTGCCGTTGCTGATTTCGTGGAGGGTGAAGTTGCGGACGGCGAGGCAGCCAGCGACTCTTTTTTCTCGCGCAGCAGCTTTTCGTATTCGCCGCGTTCCACCGTTACTCTCTCCAGCGCCAGCCGCTTCGCCAGCTTTAGCACCTCAATCGTCAGCTCCTCCTCCAACGCGACCATCTCTACGTGTTCGTCTGCAGTGAGGGGTTCCAGCCAGCTTGCGGCGCCAAGCGCAACTCTCTGCCGGCGCAGGTAGAGGCGCATGTAGCGATCTCGCTTCGCTTTCGTCGTCGTGTACGTAAACCACGAAAACGGGGCCGGCGTGTGCGCGGAAGCCAGAGAGGCGCTTTTGTCATGGCGCACCTGCTGCCGCACCGCATCACTCACGTAGCGCCACCATAGCCGCGGTTGTGCGCTCGGTCGCGCACCGACGGGGCGCAGCCGCCGTAACGCCTGCCGTGCGCGGACGTACTGCACGTAGCGCAGCAGCTCATAGCACGTGGTGCAGCTCTCGCTGGTCACGACGCAGGCGCACGTCTCATCCATGTGCAGTGCCAACATGTACTGCGGCGTGGTGGGGTCCGTGACGACGGGTTGGTAGGCCAGCTCAAGGGAGATATCGAAGGGGTGGAGGAGGGGCACCTCAGTTTGCGCCGCTGCCCCGGTGCGCAGAGACACGGCGAGACCGCGAAAGGCGATGAGCTGGCGAGACATGCGCTTGCCTGGGGTCACAAACGCTGGCTCAAAGCGCTCGTTGCAGCCGCACGTTGTCATCTTTCTAATTTGGAAGGACAGAGAGGCCTGGAGGACGTCTTTGTTGGTCGAGAGGGACAGCGCGGCAGTGGGTGAGGCGGCGCCGTGGCTTTGCGCCGAGTAGCTGGTTGGACTCTGTGGTGCTGCTGAGGTCATGACACTGTCTTCCTCGTCGCCTTGTGAGCGCGTCGCGCGGGCGACGCTGGACGTGTAGTGAACGAAAAGCTGCTCTATGTCTACGCGGACATTGTTCAAAATAGTGGCCTTGAGACGAGCCGTAAAATTATTGTCGCTGCTTTCTGTGCTGGCGTCAGCAGAGAAGGCAGGGGAGGGATTTTGCTTTGCCAGTTGGGCTTCTTTGAAGGCCGTCAATAAAGCTGCGTCCGTCGCGTCAAGCTCGCGCGTTTTGCGTGCGTGCTCCTCGCGCTTCTCCTGATCTACATCGTAGGCGGCCGTTTCCTTGTCGGAAAGGATAAGCCGTGCGTTGCGTATCTGCACCACAACCGATTCCGAGCGAAGGTTCGTCCACGGAATGATCACCGTGAGCTCCTCAATGGCGCCCATGAGCACGCACACCGGCACGTCAAAGAAGCGCAGCGCATCTCGGCGCACCTTCAAATGGCGCAGATGCACTCGCCCATTCCAGATGGAGACTTTCACCTGTTCGCGATCGATGTTGTCGAAGTACTCACCCAGGTACGTTGTGAGAAGGTCCGCTACAAACTTATTGAACATCGCGGCGGCGACTTAGACAAGCAATACCCGTTACCAGCGAAGAGAAAAGCTAGAAATAGCATGAAGTAACAGGCAGTGGCAACAAAACAACGTTCGTTGCAACCGCAGAGGAAAGGTCTACTTGAACAAAAAATGGACAGGTGCTAAAACTGTTGTTGGCCTGTTACAGTGGCCAGACGTTAGAGTATGAGCAATGGCGAGGGAAATCAGCACACACACACACACCAAAGAAGACCGTGCCGTTCACCGCACAGTTCGATAAGATATGCTGTGTGTAGATCTTCTTTACATGAAGTTCTGACTTAGAATCGAAGAAGAAGATCCCAGTTGACTAGGAGGCGCAAAATACAATCGAGTGTGTCGACGTCGGGAACACAGAAATTCCTTTCGCTGTCAGAGGGTAGACAGCAAAGCCGAAGAATATGGATACAGTACAGGAAAAGGTGCGGATAATCGGCAAGAGGGACGATCCTTTTAGGCGAATATCGCCGCTTGTCTTTTCCTTTGTTGTTGCCGGAAGAATGCTTTGAGTTGAGAGTTTTTTTTGTTTGTGTAGCAAAAGAACGCAAAATCCCGTCTTCCATCCACCTGAGAGATAAAGGACTTTGATCGAGAATGACAGCAAAGAATGCTACCGTCGTGGAGCATTACAAACAAAGAAGAGAGCAGCAGAGCGGGAGGGGTGAAAAGATGCTCCTTTTGTTCAACAAAAACCTGATCGACTTTACGTCGACGCCGGAACAACAACAACAACAAAAACGAAGTTTCATTTAGCTACTCCCAGGATTCATGAAAACGCGACTTCAAACAGCATAATGAGAGAAGGAGAAAGGAGAGAACCGTACGTGGTGTGCCTTCGCTTTGGCCTTCCGCCCGAAACATGTTGCACGACGCTACGGAAAGTTCAAGCGGCTTGCCTTCCCAGTTTTTCTTCTTTTGGTGAGTCGTTAAGGTTTCAAGTGTGGCGCACAGAGAGACATCGCATGAAACTGACGAAAAATGCCGCTGAAAACGTCATTTAGAAAGATTTCTTTTTCTTTGACAATAAACTGTATAAAAATAATTAGCGAATAAGATCGATTATGTTGATAGTGCCACCGTAACGACGCCGAATACCGAAGATGAAGAGAGCAGCTGGTGCTCCATAGATTTATTTTTACTGAAGAGGCGTAGCGCTGACCAAACGCACTTTAACACGGAGCACCGCCCCCAAACCGCTGAGCGACTATATAAGTTTAAGATAGCGAAGGAGCGAATGATTATCGTGTTTCAGGTCGTCTCGGGGCCGGGATGAAAGTCGAACAGACGCAAAAGTACAGAAATACCGTTGTTTACAACAAGGAGGGGGAGGGGGGATATCACCGGGCCCTAGACGGGAAACAGAGGAGAACTTTTGTTGTGTAAGACTCGAAAAATAGTTTGTTCAAGCACTTAGTAGCCCAGCTTGGCATCCGCCAGGTAGGCGTTGAGTTTTCCTGTTGTCATGTACTCCTTCGCGTACTTCGTGAAAAGGCCGATAGTGTCACGGAACGATTTTTCCGTCAGGCATGCGTTGTGCGAGGTGAGCAGGATCTTGTCATCGTCAATATCCCACAGCGGCGAGGCCAGCGGGAGAGGTTCTTGCTGGAACACATCCAGTGACGCACCGGCAATCACGCCGGTCGAGATCGCCTCTGCCAGCTCGTTGTCAACCTGCGTAGCACCACGACCAATGTTGATGTAGATGGCGCTCCGCTTCATCGTCTTGAAGCGCTCCAGGTCGAACATCCCCTCGGTTTCCGGCGTTGCAGGGAGGATGTTGACCACGATGTCGCTTTCACGAATCACACGGTCACGTTCCTCGTCGCCGCTGACGAGCTTCGCGCCGTACTCATCCTCGGTCTCCGCGGATTGGTTCCGCTTCACGCCCGTCACATCCATGTACATGGGCTGCAACATCTTCGCCGTCTCGCGGCCGATCTCGCCGTAACCGAGGATGCCCACCTGCAGGCCACGGGTCTCCTCGAGCTCAAACGGGTCCCACTTCTTGGCCGCGCGGTTGCGCTGCTGGTGTGCCGTCTGGCGGGCGAAGTAAAGGATCGAGTATACGACGTGCTGAGCGAGCAGGGCGTTGTAGCCACCCTTGCCGGTGGTAATCGGAATCCCCTGAATTTCCTTCTGAAGCTCCCCAAAGCGGTACCAGTCGAGGCCCGCGGAGCAGCTGTGAATCCACTTCACGCGGCGCTCGCTCTGCGGCTTGTCGTAGTCGTCCGTGAGCAGCTTGATGCCGCTGTAGCCCAGAGGCCCAAGAACCACGAGGACAACGGGGCGACCTGACGCCTTTACCTCCGCGAACTCTGTGGCGGCATCTTTCGAGCACAGAAAGTGGTCGGGGAAGATGTCTGTGCCGATGATGTCAGAAATGATCTGAGTGCGGTTGAAGCTGGCGCAAATGCAGAGGGCAGGTACATTTTTCATGGTTAATGGTCACCTAAGTGATAGATTATCTACTATAATAATGATATATAAAACTGCAGAGTGACGTTAAAGACAGATGGACGGTTTTGTGTTAAGGCGAGGTACTCCTTCAATAGAGCGAATAACAGTACATATATTTCTGAAATACAACAAGGGTAATGAATATGTAGGGCTGAAGGAGAGAGAGAGCAAGTAAAAAGGAGGGGGGGGGGAGGAATAGAAGCATCCAGGAATTTATCGAACCGTTACGCTCCATCAGAGAATACCAATCGAAAAGAGGTTTCGTAGTAAACATGCAGACGGAGACTGTTGCTTCGCACAGCTCGAATCGCTTGCCGGCAGAGACGGCGGCCAGAAATGACACATCGCGCAAAACAAAAGAGAAAACGACAACAAAAACAAAAAGCCCGGTGGGTGAAGATCGGCCCTCTAAATTCTGCTCCAATACCACGACGCAACACAGTATTCACACAACAGAAAGAAAAAAAATACCTTCCTGCCTGTCGCATTCAGCTGCGTTGGAAGGGAAAAGAAGAACTTAGTCGACGACTCTCTATCAATAAAGGAGGGAAATAGGAAAGGAAAAAAAAACAAGTGTAAACAGATATCATTAGACCCCGTATATCGTTTTCTTTTTCCCTTTTCCAATTAAGGGTTGACACCGTTTTATGAACTGCTTTAGTAAATAACAGACTCTACGAAAAGGAGTTTGTTGCGGACTCCGATCGCCCGCATTTCCGCCTCGTGGGCTTCGGGAAAGGAGGCGAGACGGCGAAAAAAGACAGCAAACAACAAAACAAAAGACAGTCTTTCCGGAAGAGAGGTCGACGAGGGGGGAGAGAAGAGAAAGGGAGCGTACACAACACGTAGCTTTCGAATCATCTCCCGGCGCTTTTTCCTGGCACAGGCCTTCAAAAAAAAAAAAATCATTCACTCAACAATTAGAAGAGAGAAGACAGCCTGGGAAAACTTACAACGCGCACGCTGGCACGAGTGCATTCCGTCGTTTCTCCGACTGATCCACTCCTTTAACGTTATTGCTGTGTGTGTGTCCTTTCCGCACCGCGAACTCTTTTGAAACGTGCCCCGTTCACCTAGACAAAAAAAAAAACGAAACCTTTTTGAAGAGAGACGACAGTGAAACGAAATAAAGTAGAGGTGTTTTTTGGAAAATAAATAATCGGAGTGTGCTTCCGCTTTGAGAGACCGTAGCTTAATAGCCCTTCTCCAGATGCACCGTGTAAGCATCGCTCCTCCCGGACGTCGCGTAGTCCTTGTAGATTTCCGCAAAACGGGTTACGGTCAGCTCCATCAAACGATCTGTAAAGTCAGCACAGTGCGACGTTAGTAGCAGCTTGTCGTCCGGCACTGTCCAGAGAGGAGACTCTTTCGGCAGCGGCTCCGTCTCGAACACGTCAAGGGCCGCACCACGAATCACACCGTTATTCAGCGCACCCACGATGTCCTCCTCACACTGCGTCTGACCGCGGCCAATGTTGATGAAGACGGCGCTCGGCTTCATCTTGGCGAACACGTCCTTGTTGAAGAAGTGCTTCGTGTGTGACGTGCCGGGCAGCACGCCCACCACGAAGTCGGCCTCGCGGATCGCCTCGTCCAGCGCGTCGTTGCCGCGCACGGTCACGCCGTGCTCGTCCACCGTGTTGCCGCCGCTGCGGCGGATGCCCGTCACCTTCATGCCGAGTGCAGCCGCCTTCTGGCCACACTTCTGGCCGATGTCGCCGTAGCCAATAATGACGACCTTTTCGCCTCGCGCCTCAATCATGTTGAAGCGGTCCCACTTCTTCTCCCTCTTGGACTCCACAATGCGCCACGGAGAGCGGTTGAAGTACAGCATGCTGAAGACGACGTGCTCAGCAAGAATGTTGGAGTAGCAGCCCTGCGCATTGTGCATCGGCACGCCGTGGAGCTGTTTCGTGAAGTCGGGCAGGCGGTAGGAGTCGACGCCGGCGGACAGGCTGTAGATGAACTTCACGCGGCGCTCCTTCTTGTCGTGGTCGTCGCAGAGATCTTTGATCACGTCGACCCCCATGCCTCCCTCCACCAGGAGAGCGATCGGATGGCCGCTGGACTTGGCGGAGGCAAAGGCATCGGGTGTTGTCCCGTGCACAAACGTATTCATCGCAGGGGCCGCCAGAAGCTCGCCGAGGACCGACTTCACGACGGCGAGGTTGGCTGACGACACACAGGCACAAATAGTGAGCGACATGGTAGTGAAAAATGAGCGCTTTAGAAAGTAAAAAAAAGAAAAACAATGGTAACAAAAGGACAGGTAATAAATAAATATATATATAGAACAATATGAGATGCTTCTTACAATAAGCTTTAATAGAGGGAACCAGGAGATAGGGAGTGTAACGACGACTGACAAGGGACCAATTTGCGCCCCCAAAAAAGAAGGCAAAAAGAAGGAATCGTACAGAAGATGCACGGAAGCGGAAATAGGGAGACAAATAGAAACCTGGCTGACGGGCAAACTGGAAGTTGCACACGCACTCTACGTGATGGATCGATAAAGGATGCAATTTGTACTGTGAGATGTCACAGTTCTTTTCAAGTCCCCTTGAATGGCGTTAGTCCAACGCTACAGTTAGGAGAAAGCAGAAGAAGCCCTCAAGAGTTCAAGTACACCAGCCACCTTGCTGAAGGCGCAAAAAAAAGGGGGTTTTGTCGCCAACGGCAATTGTAACAAGAAGAGTGTTTGACCTCATCCAAGTTCGCGTCTCGATAAATGCCCACGGAAACATGCGTGACGAACATTCATTATGAGGCATTCAAAATTTGATCTCTGTCGTCAAAGGGGATCCCTATTAATCCCAACCGATTCAGCTGAAGGGCTGAAGAGACGCGTAAAAACGGCCACACAACATAAACAGAAACTATCTTAGAGTTAAATCGGTAAAAAGAAAAGATCAGGAGTAGAGGGTGAAAAGAAATACGGTCCTAAGATTTTTACACACATACCGGGCCTTTCACTCGCAAGGGGAGAGGAAACAAAAAACTCTGCAAGCGAAACTGAAATCGGAGCGTTATTGCAAAAACCGATCGCGTGTAGATGATTGGGCTTTAGAGAATGAAAGAAAAAAAGTATAGAGAATACGCGGACAAAACAGAGAAATCCACTTAGTATCCCTTGTGCAAGGAGACAGTGTAGGTGTCCGATTTACCGTGCATTACGTACTCGTTGAAGATTTCCGCAAAACGGTTCAATGGGCGCTCTGCAACGTCTTCGGTCCAGTCAGCACTGTGAGCCGTTAGTAGCAGCTTGTCGTCCGGCACTGTCCAGAGAGGAGACTCTTTCGGCAGCGGCTCCGTCTCGAACACGTCAAGGGCCGCACCACGAATCACACCGTTATTCAGCGCACCCACGATGTCCTCCTCACACTGCGTCTGACCGCGGCCAATGTTGATGAAGACGGCGCTCGGCTTCATCTTGGCGAACACGTCCTTGTTGAAGAAGTGCTTCGTGTGTGACGTGCCGGGCAGCACGCCCACCACGAAGTCGGCCTCACGGATCGCCTCGTCTAGCGCGTCGTTGCCGCGCACGGTCACGCCGTGCTCGTCCACCGTGTTGCCGCCGCTGCGGCGGATGCCCGTCACCTTCATGCCGAGTGCAGCCGCCTTCTGGCCACACTTCTGGCCGATGTCGCCGTAGCCAATAATGACGACCTTTTCGCCTAGCGCCTCAATCATGTTGAAGCGGTCCCACTTCTTCTCCCTCTTGGACTCCACAATGCGCCACGGAGAGCGGTTGAAGTACAGCATGCTGAAGACGACGTGCTCAGCAAGAATGTTGGAGTAGCAGCCCTGCGCATTGTGCATCGGCACGCCGTGGAGCTGTTTCGTGAAGTCGGGCAGGCGGTAGGAGTCGACGCCGGCGGACAGGCTGTAGATGAACTTCACGCGGCGCTCCTTCTTGTCGTGGTCGTCGCAGAGATCTTTGATCACGTCGTGCGCCTGTGGACCCAGCATCACCAGCACTATGCCCTCGTTGTTCGTCTTTGTCGCTGCAAACTCTTGCGGCGCAGTGCCGAAAACGACGTTTTTAAGGTGCGTGCCGACCCTTTGCTTCAACCCATCGTCGACGGACGGGCAAGTCACGCCGTCGACACCAACGCACACGGTCAGGTTCATTTCGACTTCAATAATAAGAATAACAACAACAATAAGCAGATCAGCCAGCGCAATGGAAATGTAAAGCAGATAGCGCGAACGTGGTTGGGGAGGGCGGAGGACACAAGAAGAAAAGCGCCAACTCACATTCTGAGCGGCGATATGTGAAGGAGCAGAAGGAGGAGAAAAGGCAGAAGTGTAGGTGTTGCGTCAAGAGGACAGGAGAAAACCAACAAAAAAAAGCCGCCAATGTGAGACGCGTTGCGTGTGAAGCTGGAAAAAAGAGTGCACAAAGCAAGGAAAGGAAGTGACGGATCGAGGGAAGTTCCCGTGCAAGGTCGCGCATTCTCATGCCGCACATCCACAACATATTAAAAAAGAATGGAAGAGCGACTTTCGCGCCCCACTTGTAGAGCACGGCAGAGAAATTAAGTACTAACGCGAAGTGCGGCGTAACTCAAGTCCCTCTCTTGTGCGTGCGTTGAACGGCGTCAGAAGTGAAGGAAACAACGAGCAGCGTCAGCCATTCGTTACGGGACGCCTCTTAGGCGCTGTTCCACTTCAATTTATATATATCTCGGCTCTTGTGACCACATACACGCAGAAAACGATCAGATCGAGCTGCGGAGGTGAAGAGTTTTAAGAACGTTAAAAACAAAAAAAAAACATAAACATCTAAGTATGGGAGCCGAAGATAAAAATAAAGTCCCCCAAAGAGGAACTCTGACTCGTGTTACATCCAATTTTGATTTACATAACCGTTCTCACCTTTTTGCTGCATAACCCTCACAGCAGTGGTGCGCGGACACACTGAGAGGCGCCTACTGCAATGCTTCTCTTCTCAGTAGTCGTCCTCCATGTAATGCACACGAAGGTTGGTCTTGTGCATCGGGTTATCGCACGATTTCACAAAGGCCCCAACGGACTCGCTACTCGTCAAAGGGTAAGACTCTAGGTTGTCAAACAGGTACGCACCGGTGGCGTCAATCGTGACGTTCTTCGTGGTGAGCAGCCGCTCCCGCTCCGCAGCGCGGCCCACCGGCAGCATACGCGGTGGCGCGTACGTGCTGTCGTTGCTTTCCTCACTTGTCGGACTTGCCTGCTGCTCTGCTCCACTGCCGTCGCGAGGCGACGAAGCCGTGTTATTAACGTTGCTGTTGTTGTAGCGCACGGTGCTCGCGAGGGACTGCGTGAAGTCTGCCTCACGCTGCAGCGCGGCCGAAGGCGCCTCATCCTCCGCGTCGTTGTGAGTGCCACCCCCTCCGCGTCCGCTGCGGCTGGCCCCGAAGCCACCAGTGGACCGCAGCAGCGCCGTTGTCCGCTGCCGCCGCGACGAGACCCCCGGCATGTCGAGCACCTCGTCGTTTGTGTACACCTCCTTCTTACGATCCGTGAGGGCCAGCTCGGCAGTGGCGTAGCCGTACTGCTCAATGTTACCGATGTCGCCGTGGTGGAAGAGAAGCATGCGTGGCCCCTCCGCCGCAAAGCAGCCGGGCGGCTTCGCGGCGGCCGTCTGCTCCGCCGTGGGCGGCTTGAAGGAAGTGGTGTACGTGGTGTGGAGATCTGGCTTGGCCCCGGTGATGGTGCTGTCGGCGGTGGTGAGGAGGGGCTGACCAAACTGCCGCCGCTCCTCATCCCAGTTGTCCAGCAGAGTGGAGCAGTGGTAGGCCGTCTTCACGCTGGCCTCGCCGTTGAGGCCCGTCACCGTCGTTGGTCCCTGCATGGTGTGCAACGAAGAAAGAGAGAGGGCTGGTGGTGGTGGTGGGGAAAGCGTCACTAAACGAGAAGATAATTGGCTATGAAAAGCGAAAAAGGAGGGAGGGAGGGAGAGATGGCGTGAAAGCAAACTTCCTAATAAGAACTGTTCTGCTCGCTGGAGGAGAGATACAAAAACTCTTTCCTTCGCCAAAGCAGACCTGCGAGTTAAAGGAACACGCTACAGCCTGAAAGGGCAGATGATCCAGCTCCTGACTAGCACCAAGTGTGGTGCTGTTGAACGGTACGGTGCGAACGGATTGCTAGCTTCACTGCCAAATAGGTTGAACAGCTTCGCATCTTTAGGGAAGTGTTACTTCAAAGTCTAAAGCAAGTACAGGTACACGCATGCAGCGATAAATAACAAGAACGAAATCGATATATATATATATATAAAAGCGAAGGTTCCCAGTCGTTCTTCCTTTTCTTTTTTAGGGAGGCAATCCTGCAGGACACCGCAACACAGTAGAGCAAGAATGTACGGGCCACACGAAAAACAAAGGTAAAGTTTGCGCGCATCGGAGGAGCGCTTCGATAATGCTGTAACAGAACGAAAGAGCAGCAATAACACCAACAAAGCCGGTCTACTAAGTTGCACACACACACACACACCTACTCAAATAACAGCAGTAATATCACCCCCGAAGAACGACCGCTATTCGCGCGCACTGGACTGCCGCCGCGCATCCTCCCACTGCAACTCGATCTCAAAGTTACCCGGGTAGCGCTCCTGCTTCGTGTCCTTCGATGGACCATCGAGCTCGTTGCGGTCTAGTCGAATTGTGGCGTTGTGCTCGAAGCCGGTGTGCAGCCAAAACTGCACCGGCGGCCGCAGCGGGTTCGGATTGTTCTTGTAAAAGAAGAATTTAAACGTCACGTCGCCATCTAGCACAGGGATGTCTTCCGTCGCCGTCAGCTCTAGCGTGTCCGCCGCCGTGCCGACAGCGCGGAAGGCACGGCGGTCCGGCACGTACCCCGTCACTGACGACTCCGCCGAGTCCATCTCGTTCGCCTCCATGTAGAGCACCTCCTCATCGTTGTGGAAGAGATCCTTCACCTGCCGTCGCCAGTCGTAGGTCGACGGGTCGGGCACCTGCGCGTTGAAGGTAACGGTGCGGTTTGAGAGGTACACCACGTTGCGCTCCGTGCACGGCCGCGTAATGACTGCCATCCACAAATGCTCCACACCGCGCTGCAGCCACAGCGGGGGGATGTGGTGCAGCACGAGCTTCTGCACCCGACGCGGCCGCGATGGGATGGCCATGCCCGGTTGCTCGTTGATGAGGCGGTCGAAGTAGTGGACGTAGCGCGCCTGCGACGGTGTCTGCACGCCTTGCAGCTTGGTGTAGCCGACGCGGCTGCGCATGAGGCTGAAGTGGCGCAGGGCGGCCTCTGCGCTGCGGCAGAGACCACAGTACATCAGGTAGGCGCAGATCATCGCCCCGGTGCGGCCCTTGCCACCCTTGCAGTGCACCGCCACCACACGATTGTAGGGGTCAGCCATAACGTAGTCCGCCACCTCGCAGCAGAAGGCAATCATGTGAGCCAGTTCGGCCGGGTTGTGATCGTCCACGCAGTAGACCGATTGCAGGGGAAATGGCGCCGTGCTGCGCTCGGAGCAGAGAGAGATCACGTGGTAGGACAGGCGGGCGTACTTGCGATGCAGGAAGCGCACCACCTCCTCCCACGGGTTGCGGTAGAAGGCCTCGGTGCCACGGGCGGGCCAGCCCATCGCCAGCACGTTACGTGTGATGTAGGCCAGGTCGAGCACCACACCCTCTGCGATGTAGCAGCGGCGGTCCGACGCGCAGAAGACGCGCAGCGCTCGCGACATCTGTAGCACCGTGAGACGGGCCATAAACATCCAATGAACGATGAGCAGCAGCCCACAGACAATGCTCGTCGGGTATGCCACGTAGATCGACACAACAACGATGCTCGCGCCCACCCACACAAGCTCCCACCAGAGTCCGGCCGCAAAGCGGGCACCGCGCTCGTAGGCCCAGATGGCCAACACCTCCAGGCCGATAAAAATCGTGTACACAAGCAGAAACACAGGGGAGCTCTCTGTGCGTACCGCGGAAAAGACTAGGAAGAGAAACGTCGGCACGAGAAGGGCACACTGTAGGTAGAGGTTTAAGAGCCCTGTGTACACCGTAGCGAAGATGCGGTCAGACGTGCTTTGGCCCGGGTTGATAAACGTCATGTCCTGCGGGTCGGAGATGGAGACGTAGTAGTTGTTGACCAGGGACAGATCGCTGGTGACCTGCGCGGGGATCTCGTTTTGTACGTGGAGATACTTGGTGCGATCCCGCAGGTAGTAGTGCAGCTTTTCATTCGCGGTGGTGGGAACGGTGGATGACACGCTGACAGCGACCGCCTTCCCTTCCTCCTTCGCCTCCTCGTCCGCCTCCAGCTCCTCCCGCGCCTGTGATGCCTGTCGCACGCCGGGATGTGCGCCGGTTACATGAATATCACCTTCACCGTCTAGCATCTTTTCTAACGAAACCGACAATCAAGAACAGTGCGAGGTATTCTAATCGCCGAACACGAACTTCGAATGCGGTAGAAAATCAATCGCAGAAGCGCCAGCAGGGGGAAAAGTACCGGCGACAAAAATAAGAAACCGACAGCAGAACACGACTACACCTTGTCAAGTTCCCGTTATTTGTCAAATGCCGCTGTGCTTTCTCTCGCAGCGCGGCACCGTTGCACCGTTGGAATACTTGCGTAGGATATGTGAGGCAGGAATCTGTTGGCACTCCGTGAAGGTGAGGGAACTACAAGCAGGGCGAGGAGGGAGGAGAGATGAAGGAATGACGCCATCTGTTGTGAACCGTGTGCGTATGAAAGAGAACAACACCTGAAACAAACAATAATCGAATAGAACCCTTGATTGGGTACCGTAGAAGTCCACTCATTACACAGCCGTTGCTCGAATGGAAGACACATCGAAGGAGTGCGCAAGGCGGGGGAAAGTCAGTTGAGACCTGCTTCACGCGGGAGACGCAGCAAACAGCAGCGAAAAAAAAAACACAAGAAAATAAAGTGCGATAGACCTCGCTGCTTCGCATTGCAGAACGGTTGACATTCGTGTTTTTCCCCGCGTATCATTTCATTTCTTGTTTTGGGTTCCACATCGCATGCAAAAAGCGCTACAGGAACGATCAGTGCGTCGCCGCCGGTAGCGTAACAGATATCACTGCACAATATGCGGACGGTGTCCTTCCTTCGTTCTATAGGTCACAAAAGAGAGGAGCACCAAGACGGAACAGAAACATCCTGCAGCCGCATCCGCCACAACATCATCAAAAGCGTGCACGTGAAGCGAGATGCGCTCAGATGAGAGACACGCTCACACGCACGTATCCGATCGTGTTCGCCTCCGTGTCCGCGTCCGTCTCATCGGTCGCGTTGGTCGGCGTGCGCTCACACACCACACGGTAATACCCGTTGATCATCGCCAAGTAGCGTAGCGGGCGGAGGTCCACGCGACACGTACCCATGTACGCGGCACACGACCAGAAGTGCTCTTCTTGCTTCCGTACGTTCGTACGGTTGGCTTTAACGACGGTGGAGGGTGCACTCGGCTGGGAGAGGTCGGAGTGCCACACATTCAACTGCAGCTCCTCCAGCACATCCACCGTGCCGCGAGAGGGCGGTCTCTCCACCGCCGATGCGTTTCGCGCCGCGAAAAAGGTAGTTTCGTCCACTGTTGACGGCACCGCCGCCGCCACCACCGCCGGCAATTGAAGGACCACTTCATAATCGTAATGCGGGTTGGTGCTGTGCTCCACGATGACGCTACGGTCGTAGTACCCACTGCGCGCCTCGTCCACAAACCAGTTCTCCATGGACTGCATGTGCGCGCGGCTCTTCGCCAACTCCTCTCCTTTCCTCTCGAGATGGGAGAGACTGTTCTGTAAGCCTTGAAAAACCTCTTCGACAGTCACAAAGGACGACGGCTCGGTGTAGCTCAGCGTGCTGGCGCTGCCAGCCTCAGGCAGTACACGGGGGTTGGAGGACACCAGCGGGTAACGCGCTGACGGTCGCCCATCCGGCTGCGCGAGGGCGACACGCGGCAGCTCCGCAGCACTGTGCACGACCACACGCAGACGTCGACGCTCGCTGGTTGACAGACGCGAGTTGCCAACCTGCAACTTCGGTGCTGTTGGGGGCGAGGTCGTACCTTGAAGCGCCACAGCGGAAGTGTGCGACAACCTTGAAGTGTCTGTGACCTCGAGAGGTTGGTGTTGCACTGTAACGTGAGGCACCAGTAACTTCGACGTACTCTGTTGCTTTGGTGGGGCGGACGGCAGAGCAGACGAGCCGGCAACGCTTCTGAGCGGGACGGCGCCGCTGGGGAGAGTCACGCACGGGCTCACTGCGGGACCGACAGACGTGTCCGCGTTGTCGGTGACCGAAGCCGGATGCATGCGAATGTCGAGCTGCGCAAAGACGTTCGAGCTGTCCAGCACCGGGTCTCGGAAGACGACCTCGCGTGACTGACGGTACAGGCCCACAATCGATAAGCCGAGCAGCTCCTCGCGGGCTACCTGTCGTGGACCCCGCATGTCCCACGCGTCCGCCTCGCCTTCCACTTCCGTTTCTGCAACCACCTTGTAGGCCTCCACGACAAGTCTGCTGCGATCTCCGGAGAAGCTGCACACTTCAAAGTGAAGGCAGATGGAGGGCTGTTGAAAGGGCACCGGATGCACATAAGAGGACAGAGGCCCAGGTGTGGGCTCGCTCGTCGTGATGTCGTTGGAAAGCCGCACGCTGAGGCGCAGCTGGCGGAGATCGGCCGTGGCTGGGGTTTGCGCAAAGGTGAAGTGCGAGAAGCAAAGCTCCACAGAGGCCGGTGCGTTTCCTGCTGAGATGCCCGCCGCGGAGATGACGGACTTTGTCACAGGTTGCGTATCCTGCCGCAGTTGCTGCTGTGGGGTAGCCACCGATTGTGGTTGCTTCTGCTGCTGCTGTGTCGCCCTGTTGTCGCGCGCCTCTGAATCGATCTGCATCTGCAAGGCGAAGTTTTCCTCGTGGCTTGCCTCGGAGGTGTACGTGCTGTCGTACGGGTCGACATCTCCGACGGCCGCGAGATCATCGCCACTGTCCTCAACAATTGCCACTGCGCTGGCACCTTCGACTCCCACGTGTTCGTCGCCGCTGTGCAGCGCGGTAGACGCTTCGTTGAAAAAATCAGCTGCTGCATCAACGTCCACGCCTCGCGCAGCGGCATCCATTTGCGCGCGCAGTTGCAGCCCTTGCTTCAAAAGCCTCTGCGTCACGGTGGGGAGGTCCTGCTCCAGCATCGACGCGGGCTGTGATGTACGACGCACGTGCAGACGATGGCTGTCGCGCACCGCGATCGGGTGCACACCGACGTCAACGTCCGAGGTAACGGATGTAGAGGCGGAGGACGAGGAAGAAAACACATCTTTTGTTCCAACGCGTCCGGAGTGTCGCGCGGAGCGCCGCGTCTTGGCCTGCGGCAGAGTTCCCTTCGTGCCACCGTCACCCGGCACTTCTACCTGTCGCCGCTGCTTGACAGAGTACTGCTGTGGTACTCTTTGCCCATCCTCTCCGCGCCGTGGGTGCGGTGCATGCCGAGTGGTGGGGTAATACTCAATCGACACACTCACCTTTACCTTCCCGATCGGAATCTCTTTCAACTCCGCCCCTCCATCTGCCGCCGAGGTAGCTAATGCGGCTGTGGCGCCTTCTTCCCCCGTCGACGTTGCTGTCCGCGAGCGGCGGTGCAACACGGGGTACCACCCTTGTATCGGATGGCCGGGATCTAACCGATCCAACGCCAGCCGCGCCTTCCCCACCACCACCGGCGGTCGTCCGCTGTAGCTGGGAGGGACGAAGACGTCCAGCTGCACGCCGCCCTGCGGAGATGCCGTCATACGCTGCAGATAGGCGCGGAACTGCTTCGGCTCTATTTTGATCGGATAGGCCATCGTAAACGGTCCACGGCGCGCCTGTGGGGTGGAGGGTTGCCCCTGCGCGGTGGGGCGCGTCTCGCCCCAAAAGATGGGGCCCACCGCACAGTAATCAACAGGGACTACGAAATGATTTGGACTCCGTGTTGGTGCAGGCGCCGCGCCGGCTGACAAGACAGCTCCATCAGCTGCGGCCCCGTCGCGAGGAGTTCTACTTGCCGACAACAGCGACGCATCCGTTTCGAAGAGCTGCACGAGAGGGTTGTGGTTGATAGCGTCGCCGTCCAAGAGAAGCTGGTCGACGCGGAGGCGCAGCTCGCCTTGTGTCGGCGCCACAAGACCCGGGGGAAGCGGCGCGCCATACAACACCTGCATGGCGTAGTCGACTTCAAAACACGGCGATTCCTCTATTTCTCCCTTCACCGTCAAACTGCAATGCACAGAAATAACCTTTCGTTGTTCTATAGCTCAATGAATCAGCATGGAGGCAGCAGCCAGCCAGGAAAAAAATGAGAAGACACAAAACAGAGATCAAACGTCGTCAAAAGTGCGGCGAGAAGAGAACACCTCCGTGTCCCCACGTCCTTGAACGCGATTCGTGAATGTCTGTGTGAAGTGGTGAGGGAGGCAGGAGGGAGAGGAAGGAATAATCGTAAATGTAAAAGAGAACACAAGACAAGAGAAGATAGCAAAAGAAAAACCCCTAGTACAACTTAATAGTACAGAAACCAAAGCCTGAAGGTATAAGAGACACGGCTAGGAAAAAAAAAAAAAAGAAACCAGAATGCTGAGCGCTCGGCGGTCCTCAGCAACCTCGCGAGTGTGAACGAGATCCGTTACTTTTGAAGTATGAAATGAGATACAACCGACCCCATTAAAAAAAAAGGAGGGGGAGGGCCACGATGGCCGCAGAAGAACAAAAAAGAACGTGAAGTCCGTAGAGGATTGAGAGAGAGGTTCCGAGATCAGAGAAGGTAACGCATCATCCAAGGAGCAAGACGCCTCAAAAGTGAAGGTGCAGCTCACTGTGATGTCGCTGTCAGCCTTTTGTGAAGTAGAAAACAACCAAAAGGATGTAGGCCGGCCAATGGACTCACAGATAAAGGCCCTACGGGAAGCACCTGGAACTCAAGAAGTCGTGCCACGGTGAAGTAGCCCATTTTATTTTTTTAAAAGAAAATTGAAAACACATTTTGTATTTCTCCGCAGCGAGGCGCCACACTCCAGCAAAAACAACGCCATGTACATAGTGTTCAACATTATAAGAAAATAATAAGAGGGGGAAACAAAGGAGCATCCTGCCAAATGGCGGCTGATGAGTTGCGTGCTAACGTTATTCAACTTGAGCGCGGCAACAGAAAATGAGGGGGGGGGGAACAAGCAAGCGGACGTTGGTCGAGCAGACAACATGATGAATGCGTACTCGAGAACGCGAACAGAAAGGTCGCAGAAATGCGGAGAACCAAAAGCAAAATAGTAAAATAAGAAGAGAGCAAACATTGTTCTGCGGTCATCAACATAGCAGAAATAGAAGAGAAGATGAATAAAACGGCAGTAACCATTCAAAACGAGAGAGAGAGAGAAAGAGAGATGACGAACGACAAGAGCAGCAGCAACAACACCTCAAAAAAAGCAGAGATGATCCCCGAGAAACTTCTTTTTTTTTCTTGGTTTACCGACGAGATGAGATTTCGTCTTGCGAAGCTTCGGGAGACGGCTCTGCGGCTGCTGTGCGCATCTTCTTCCGTTGTGTGGCCGTCAGCGGCGGTGTGGCGGGTGCCAGCACGGGTGTGACCGCCGCACTCAGCGCGTCTAACTGCTCCGAAGCAGACTCCTGCTGCTCGGCCGACAGCACCATGTGCAGCGTCGGCACGTAGAGCGGGAGCGGCCCGCCCACGGGAAGCTTGCCGTTCACCGTACAGAACACAGTCGGGTTATCGAGGAGCAGCTCCGACGTTGGCGGCGTCAAGGGAACAGCCACCGCCCCCGCACCCTCGCCGCCCGAACTCGTACGAGACATCGATGATGGGCCTAGCATCAACGGGGACATCACTTCATCTGGATCTGGCCGGCGGATGGACGAGGCCTCTCCGGCTCCCATCACGAGCGGCGGCGGCAACGCCGGATCCGCCGCGGGTGCGATCTGCGGCGTTGTCTGACACGAGAGGCTGTGCTTAGCTGGCAGATTGCGTCGATTGCGCTTCAGCACCATCAACAGCGGCACCTGGGGCGGGTTGACAGCCCGGACGCCGTGCCGGCGCGACTTGGGCAGCGACACGTACGTCAGCTTCACGCCGCTGCCGTCCATGACCGTGCGTGACTCCGACACAAGGAGGTAGTAGGCGGCCACGCCGTGACAAATCAAGCGGCCGTACCCGTCTTTAAAGTAAAAGACAAGCGACTCCGGCGTGGTGGAGTTGTCCTGGATGAAGTGGGTGAAGTGCACCTCCAAGTCATCGATTTGATGCGTCAAGAACTCGCTGTTCAAGGCGTGTTGCAGCTCACCGCGGAGGCGGGTGTTGAGGCCTTGCACGCGTCCCTCCGGCGAGTCCGGGTGCGGTGGTGGACGGACATTCCGCACCTGTGGCGCCACCGCATCCGGGTGCACGTGCAGCCGCTCGAACTCCATCAGCTGCTCCTCTCCCTCGAGATCGAAGGCGCGGATGACGGCCTTCGGCAAGTCCCTGAAGGATGGCGCCGTTGTGGTCACCGGCTCCTTTGGTCTACTCTTGCGGAACTCCTGCGCCTTCATCAGTATATCACGGGCGAGCTCGTGCGCAAAGTAGTCGTTCAACAGACGGTTGCGCACCTTGCGGTTCTTGGGAATGCGGATGCCAGGGTACTTCTTGTAGCGTGGGCGGCTGAGGTGGAGTTTGGCGTGGCCCTCCATCTCCTGATCCGTGAGGGGGCGGCGCGCGCGCGGGTCCAGCACCGTGGGCTCCGATATCTCCGTCCGTTTGCGTGTGAAGTTGTTGTCGACGTCGCTCGGCTCCGAGTAGTCCTCGCGAGTCATGACCAAATCACCGTCGCTGCTGTAGCCGACACTGCGGGTGTGGATCTGGTGCTTGCCGTGGCGGAAGACGTCGTAGGTGTGGAAGTGCACGTCTTGACTGTACTGCTGCGGACCGCTTTGGATCGTCATCTGCTCCGTCGTTTCCTGCCGCAGCGCACCGGGCGGCGTCTGCTGCTGCGGGAAGCTGTCCGTCACGTTCATGTGCCGATTTGCGCGACTTTTCTTTTGATAACGTGGGGTGATGAGGGGAACGACGGCGGTGCGGGGCGCCAGCGGCGGCGTGCTGACGACACCGGAGTGCGTGGACGACGATGACGACGGGGAGCGGCCGGCAGCAAACGGCGCTGAGGTGGGCCGCACCGTCGCCACCTTCGACGCGGGGAGGGTGGGGGATTGAAGGGGTGATGGAAGCAGTGCCGCGCCACCGGGTCTTGGTCCGACGAACGCGGCGGGGGCGACGGGTGGGGAGGAGGTACGGAAGGGCGGCGTCGCCTGCGAGAAGCTCGTGTGCGTGACCTGAAATCCTTTTGTCGCCGTGGTGGTGTTGGCGGCTACGGCGGTGGCGCTGAACGAGTTCTGCGACGGCGCATTAGAGGGTGAAGACGGCGAGGACGTGCGCATGGTGGACACTGGGAAACAAAAAAAACTTGTGGAAAATAAAAAGAAGACAAAGAGCAAAAGATGTATAACAACAGACAACGAACACGAGCTAAATGCGTGCAAGAGGGGTGCACAAACGCTGTCGAGCCCGGCAATGATATGTGTAAAAAACACGAAGGGACGCGCACAATTTAACGGGTGCTGCGAACACTGTGCCGACTCACAAAGACCTAGAGGTTACCAAAACGCGTCAAAAAATAAAAACAATTAGATGGAAGTACCTCTACGGCTAAAAGGGAAAAAAAAGATATTTCGTCTCTAGATAGCAGGTGGCTCTATCAAATGTATCCTGACAGGTGCAAGCAGCAGAAAGTCAGCTGTTGATATCTTTATGAAAAGAAAAAGATTTCAATTTCCTCGATTTCTATTTTTTGGTGTGTTGTGCCAGAAATGTGCAAAGGAGCAGTCGCGGAAATATGCTTGATTCTCTTTTTATGAGGCACAATGATGATCGCTGACAGCGGCTGTAGCGTCATCGAACCGAGAATACCGCTCGAGAAGACGAGGAAGGCGGGGAGGGCAATGCGAGCAATGAGTGAGTTCAGTGAAGAAGTTGGAGGGCATTCAAGCGCAGAGACCGGGTTGTAAAACGGCGTTGTTGCTGTTTTCCAAAGCGGAACAACACATGCTGAGGGAGTCGTTGAAACTTCGTTCTGCTGGTAGCGCACCTGTTCTTACTGGGATTCCTACCTTTCGTTGCTTCTTCGAGAACTGTAGTGCAGTTCAAGTCTGACCCCTCACGTTTGATATTTATATCTTCTTTTCCATGAGAGCAATCACGATTGGTGATTCCGGTCAGATTTGTGTTGAGTATCGTCGCAGCGTAAAGCTGCATAAATGTGAAGAGTATGTTTCACCACTGAAGGAAAACTCTGAAAAAAAAAAACCTGTCAACCAAGTCGTCCTCACCTCTCGCGTGGGCAGAACATTTTTGTGGTTCTACTTTCCTTCTTTAAATTATCACTGTTATCCGGCGTCCCCGGTTGAGTCGTACAGCGGCTTGCCACGGGCTCGCAGGGCTTCTTCGCGGCGCAGGTGCGCATCCGCCTCTGCCGGGATCTTCAGTTGTGCATCCAAGGACGAGCTGGCGTAGTCGTGCGGAAGCTTGCGGCTCAGCGACGCGACGGTCTTCAACTGCGTGGAGTTCATCAGCGCCTCGAACAACTCCGCCGTCAACGTCACCCCGTTCGCGCAGGCTTCCAAGAAGAGCATCATGGACGCATTGCGGGAGTCGGCCGCTTTGATGAGGAGTTCGTAAAGCACGCCGTCTGGCTGAACGGCCGGTTCGTCTGGCGGTGTGCGCAGGATATGCTGTAAAAACAAGTCCAACGCCGACGGGAAGTCGGATGGCTGCATGGTGGTGTACATCCGCATAACAATTTCGATCAGCTCTCGCTTCTCCGCCACGGAGAGGCGGAACTGGCGGCGAAGAAAGAGAAAGAGCGATTCGGCTTGGTCTTGCAGGTGCTCCCGGCAGCAGCGACGCAGCAAGGAGGCCCAAATGTAGAAGGGTATTTCCCGCCCGTTTTTCTTGTCGACGCCGCTGGCTTTCTTCTCCGCAGCCTCATCAGGAGCGCCGTCTGCGGCACCCTGCTCGTCTGTTGCGCAATCCGAGGTAACGAGAGAGCAACGCCGCAGCAGTTGCATGGCACTCGGCACAGACAGTCCAGAGAGTAAGTCGTTCAGCACCCCCCATGGAGCCGCGTACAACACCGCCGGGTCAACTTGCCGCTGCACGTCCCGCACCACCAATGCACGCAGTCCGCCGTCCAGCTTTACCGACTTGGTGCTCGCCATTAGCTTCACCAAGAGCGCCAGCTGCAACTCTTGCACGATGGCGCTGGTGGACTTGGCGGTTAAGCTGCCAGGACGACGGAAGCTATCAGCCAGCGTGAGGGGGAGGGTGGAGCCGGAGTTGGTGCTGGCGTGCAGCGTGACACCGCGCTGGTTTACCGCGTTGAAGTACTTTAAAGCGCGCTCTATGTCGCGTGACTGCGCACACCACGCCAAGACTGCATGCACTGCTTGATAGGGCAGAGGAGCGCTGGGTGCTGACACCACGCCGAGATCGCTTGTGCTAGTCGTTCTGCTTTCCACTGGATGATCCGATTGCTGTGCCGCTTGTTGATTGTCCGCCCACTCCAGAAACCGCGTCCACCAAAGGTCCATCAGCTTTGGCGCGGGCTGCGTGTTGGCGAAGGTGCAGAAGAAAACCTCCCACGTTTCTCTGCGCACCGCGGCGTGGTGCTGCGCCGAGAAACTCACCGGCTGAGCCAAGGCGTGACCCATGTAGTGGCAAGCGAGGTCGCCGGCGAGGTCACGTCGCAGTTGTTTGGCTTCACCGACGACGAGATCTGGCGATACGGACGAGAAAGAAGTGGTGTCGCGAGCTGTTGTCGACGCCGTCCTCGTCGCCTCTCCTACGGCTGGCGGTCGCTGCACATCCGTTAAGGTCCACGATGCAATGAATACGGATTCGTAAAAACTCGCACTGGGCTCGAGCAGCTCGCTGCTTTGCAACTCCTCCAGCACCAGTCCCACATCGCGTTCACGGGTAGGCAGGCCGGAACACAACAAGGCGGAATAAAAGGAGCGAATTTCTTCCAAGTGCGCGCCTTTCAACGCGGCGTCTTTGGGTGGTGTGGGCGATAGGCCTTTCAGCGTAAGCCACGCAGTCTTCATGCTTTGCAGCATCGCACGCGTCAACGGAGGAAATCCGTTTTGCGCGGCTGCGGAATTCCCCACGTGCCGTTGCAGCGCGAGGAAAACGTTTCTCAGTCCTTTTTGATAGCGGGTCACCGATTCTTGCAGGAGATGGTCGCGGTAGAGCACTCGCCGATCAAGTGGCAAGTTCACAAACTGAAGCAATAAACGGGATTGGAGTTGGTTGACCTGCTCAAGGGACTCCACGAGTTGTTTCGTATTTACCCCTCGTCGTGGCGTCTCCGTGGATGGATCGTGGGAGTTTGATTCCTCATCGAATGCTAACGACGCATCTTGGTTGAGCGTGTGACGGGTGCTGCCTGGCAGGGTGAAGCAAAAGCAGCGTCCTGTCCACGTGTCGGACAGAGCGGACGTCTTCAGCAAGGGTGCGAGCCTAACATGTGGTTGCCTGCGCAACGCGGCGACAGCGCTGCACGTTGGAAAGCGACGGAAGGCAATGAACCGCTTCCTTTCACCAGCGTGAAAGAGGGACAAACGTGGCATTTGTCCCTCGGCAGTAGGCGTTCGTTGTACTGGAGGAGCAAAGCGGAATTTACGCCTCCGGTTCACGTTGAAGGAAGAACACCACGTAGCGGCAAGCGGAGACGGTGACCTCGTAATGCTTGAGAGGCAACCCAAATAATTCCGTAGCGGCTTGAGAAGAAGAGAGGAGAGCGAGAGAAAGGAAGCGTGGGCACCCACATCTTAGAAAACACCGAGAAGAAGGAACAATGACCAGAGGAGCTGCCAAAAGGACTGCTAATGTGTCGAAGCAGTGCTGCAACTTCTACACCGGCAACCGCATCAACACACGTAACGCTTACGGAAGAGTTTTTTTTTAAAGGCGGCTGCGTTTCGCGGAGTCGTCGACACAGGCCGGAGCACCTCCGTTTTATTGCTGTGGTTCATCTAAGCACAGTAAACACCACAAAGAAGAACTGTAAAAAAAAGGAGTCTCACTGATGAAACGGCAGTTGGGTGGCAACGAGAAGAACCGAACGAAACAAAAAAAAAAACACTCCTCTGAAGCGAGATCATGCGTGAGAGGTGAGAGAGACGAACCAGTACAGGACGTCCTCCTTGTCCGCCTCCTCAGCCGTTCCGTTGTGCCGCCCCTTCCACACCTCCTTCCCTCCCTCCTCTGTGGCAGAAAACACCGCCTTGGGCTTCGCAGGGCTTCTCGATTTGACCGCCGCGTTGCCTGCGGTCGACTGCGGCTCCTCTACCCACACGGTCCCCTCCTGCACCATTCGCTTCAACGCCGCCCGCGCGCGGTGTGTCTCCCAGTGCAGCCCGCGCGCGACGTCGGCCTCACGCACTGCCACGCACTGCTGCGCGAAGGAGATGTGCACGTCCGCGTCGCGTGCGTCGCCGCCGCCTTCTCCGAAGCTAAACGGGTGGGCGCCGAGGGCGTAGGCTGCGCCGACTCCGCTGCGGGGACTAGCGGCCCCAGTTTTTGAGAGTGGAAGTGGTGACGACGTGAGAGGCGATGCGGTCGAGGTTGTTTGGTGCGTCGTTGCCTTCGCCACCTGCTCCTTTTGAAGGGTTAGCACGTAGTTGAGCAGCAGCACGTGATCGCCACCGCTGGCGCCATCGGGCGTGGTTTGAATGTAGGACACACCACCGAGTTTTACGACGTTGTAGCCCGCGCCGAGGACGGAGAGTTTGGACAGCGAGGTGAGAATGTCGGCCTCCGTGATGACGATTCGCTTTACTTCTTGCTCTTTCCCGCCACTGCCCGAGTGAGAGCTTACGTTGCTGCGGTGCTGCGCGTTACTGCTTGTGAGAGAGCTCGAGTCGTAGGCCTTCTGCACAAAGAACTGCACGCGCTGCAGTGGCACGTAGGCGCCACAGAACTTGCGTTCCTTCATGCACGCCTCAACAGCACGGCCAGCAAGTTGGTAGTAGAAGTCGCCGAGACCCAAAGCCCCGGCAAACACATTTTTCTTGGACGAAATCAAATCGACACCGAGAGAGTCAGCCAGTTGGCGAAAGCGTGCGCGCACCACGGGGTCTTCTTTAATATCTCTTTTGTGGTTGTGGGCAAGTTTTTGCAGCTGTGCTTGGAGCTCCTCGAGCTGATCTTCAATTTGGCCCACCCGCTCCGCCGTAATCTGGGCCCCGAGGTCGGCCATCTTCTGCTGCTGCTGGCGCTCCTGCAGCACATGACCAACACCCACGCGGCGTCGCATCTTTTCTGTAAACAGTACTTCTTTGTTTCTTTGCAAATGAACGCAACGGAGTGATCGGCACGGCAAGAAGGTTCGCACCGCTCTTATGAGATTGCTACGTGGAATACGAAAACAATAGAGAAAAGAGAGAGGGAAGGGAATGATGGCGTTTTGCGCTTCAACGGTGTACAGGGGAGAAGAACAAAACACATCAGCTACACCGCAAAAAACAGCTATCCAAAAGCGTGCAGATGACATCGTGGCGCTGTCAGCATAGGCGAGCTGTGGTGCCAACGCGCCCACACCGAGTAGTGCGAAATGAAAAAGTGAGGAGTAGAACTTGCTGGAGCCCTCAGACCTCATATCTTGTTCTTCCCGAATACGCAAATTTATGTGTATGTTGTTGTGCACTTCTATGGAGTCGTAGTAGTAGTAGTACGTCAAAAATCTACAGCACTTTCTAAAAGTTACGTGCCAGGCGGCTTCCGCGAAAAAAAAAACAGAACTGCAGTTTCAGCGTCCGGTAAACGGTCTGAAAAGGCGCTGACCCGTTGTAGCGTCGTGTGTGTCGGCGTGGTGCCGCATCCGGTACAGACGGCGCCTGCGCTCCTCTGCAAACGCGAGCAGGCGTTCCTCGACACGCTGCCGTTGCACAGAAGCACCAGCCGCCTCTTCTGCGATCGGGTCGGCCTCCGTGGAACTGTACAGGTCTACCCGCGGTAGTGGGCTTCCAGCTACCGGGGCATCCGCCGCGGTACTCTTACAAGGAAGAGAAGCAGGTAGAAGAATGGGTTGCAGACCCATGTTTTCCTTCTCAGCCGTGCGGCGACTCACTAACGGTGACTGGGTGTTCGCAGCGCATGACGGCTCTTTTAGTATCTGGTTCTGCGAACGTTGTTCTCCCGCTGGATGTATCGCAGGCACCGACGATGACACTGGAGTGGAGGTCGTTTGGTGGTGCTGCAGTGTAGTTTTCCGTTCCTGACGCGCTGCCTGTTCCTGTGCCTCCGTTTCACACTCGTACGCCTGCTTGCGCCGCTCCTGACGTTGCCTCCGCTGTGCCGCTTCTGCGTGCAGGCGATCTCCCACCCTTGTCGTTACGTTGTCAGATGGTGTGCCACGAGGCGACAGCTTCTGTTTTCCTTGCCGTGAAGAGAGACTGCCATCTATAAGGAGCGCTTTTTTGTTGCATTCGTTGTCGATTGTGTCCGGTGCGATGAGTGTGGGTGCGGCAGGCGTGGATTCTCTTTGCGGCTTCTGCGTTGTGTCATCATCGCTCTTTTCACCCGCTGCTTCAACTGTCAGTGCTCGCAGCTTCTCGCGGCAAATCCGCATGCTGTTCGGTGCCAACTCCGGATGAAACGTGGGATGCAACTCCTCTTCAAGTTCCGCCGCCTCTTGCGCTCTGCGCGCCGACGTGGCCTGCAACCGCAGGAGAGAAGTGCGCGTGTGGAGTGGCGGCGGCGCAGGCGAGGGATGAGCCGACTCGCTGCGCAAACGCGGACGTGCTCCTGGACGCTCTTCTGCGCTATCAGCACGCCCGCAACTACGGCTTCGTTGGAGTTTCTCCTCGCGTGTATCAGCCACCTCGCCGCTTTGCGTGAGAACGTTGTCGCAAATCTTCGTGGATGCGTTCCAGCGTGGCCCCTCCGCATGTGTCTGTTGTTGCGCCGTCTTCCCTGCACTATGAGTTGGCGAGTTCGAGTGCGCTGGTGCGCTGTGTGACATAGCCGAGGGGTAAAGACGAGCCACAACACTGCGTGGGCGACGCACAATGGGCGCTGCCGCCGTCGCCGGATCGCCGTGCATTACCTCAGGTGACACGACCGCGTACTGAGAAGACCGTTGGGTCGAAGGGTTCACGTCGGCCGACCGTCGTCGTCTGTTCTGTACGTCGGCAATTTCCTGCGTCGCATGTTTCGAGAAGACCTCGCTTCGCTCCGGTAGCATGGGCTGCGCACTTGCGGGAGTCGCCTCCGCAGGGAAAGCCCACTGCGGCCTCCGTGCCGAGAAGTCTTGGCGAGCGCGTAGGAGCGACTCCCGAGCCTCACCAGTGTCCGTCTGCGTGTTCTGTCGTCTACGGAGCGAAGAGAGGGCCGTAAAGGTTTGAAAGGGCACGGAAACGGTGCGACCGTGGCTATTCGCCGTTTCCAACGATGCCGCACGTGCGTATGGGGCTGCTGGAGACGGAGGGACCAACAGCGGCTGCGCCGAGTTTGGAGTGGCAGTGACGCCGCTGCCATGAACAACACTGCTTTGACCCGCTGCGCCGCTGCTTGGTGGCGAAGCCTCGGGGGAGGTCGAGCGCAGCTTCCAGGGAGAAAACGACGATGAAAGGACGGCAGTAGCTTGACGCGGCTGAGACGTCAAGTCGTGCTTTTCTTTCTGCGTGGCAGGAAATAACAGCTCTCTCTCCACCGTCGGCTGCTCCCCTACATTGGGGGACTCGCCTTCCGTTTTCGCTTGCATCGGCACCGCTTGAGGGGGGACGAACGTCTCTGACACTGATGTGTGAAGTGCCCCTTCCACGAGAGTCGGACGTGGAAGCGGCCTGCTGCTCTCTGCGGATCCAACGGCCGGCCGATTCACTGGTTTCTGATCCGGATGAATGTCCTCCGCGGCCTCGACCGCAGCGCACCGCGAGCCCTCATCATCAGACGCCGCCGTCTTCACGGCAGACGAGGCGGAGACGGATGAAACAAAAGAGCTGGAGGAGCTCGTCTCTTCCCACATCTGCGGCAGCACTGGGGAGTTGTCCATGGCAACGCCCACAACGCGGAGCCTTCCTGGTGTCACCGGCTGTTTGCTCCCGAAGTCGTTAACAGAACCAGCTGGATAGTGCACCACCGCAGCACCGTGAAGCGCGTAAGCATCATCGGTATCTGCGGCTAAGAACTCATCTAGATAACTGCGCGTCGGCACTGGACTGCGATGAGATGTCTCTGAGGAGGCAGATGCCGAGGAATGCGAAGCAGCAGGATCCGATGGCGAGGGGTGCTGTTGCTCTTCTCGGCTCCGGCGGCCACGCGGAGATGCGGTGGGGGAATGGGTCTGCCCATCATCGACAGAGTGGCGCGGCGACGGCGAGGTGCCAAGGTAGAAGTCTAACAAAGACCGCACGGGTGAGGGGGCAGGGCGAGACGGCGTTGCGATGGCCGTTGGCTGCAGCGGTGACACGGCAGACGGTCCATCACGATGCGCCTGGGCAGTCGGTGCTCGTGGAAGAGTTGTGAGGTTGGTACGCGCAAAGGTGGTGCGGGCGTGCAGAGGAGCCGCCGCCTTGATCGCTGAAACAGACATCGACTCGGAGGCAGTGGTGGAGTTGGGTAGCTGCGGGGAGGCTTCTTCGTCGGAGAAAACAGGTGAGGCGTTCCTTTCTGCTGTGGACGGCTGCACCTGCAGCGGCGGTGCTGCACGCAGTGGGGTGACGTCGACAGCGTACATTCTATTACACCGTCTGACGTGTGTTTCTATTCAAAAAAAAAGGAATATGAATATGAACGTCTATGGATGCAGTTTACGCGGCGTGTTTCTCACGGCTCACCGAACTATCTTCCAACTTTCCCTCTCACACACACACATACAAAAAGGGAAGAGTAGAAAGCAAACGCCGACACGATCTTCTAGCAAGATGAATTCAGCAAAAATAAATGAGCGTGGCCCATTGATACGGCTCCGTGTCACGTAGGTGAAGTTCGCATGGAGAGGTGTCCTTCGCTGTCAAAGTGTCGCAACCACGACCGGGGGTGGGGGGGGGGGGAGACGAAGGAAAAAACGAAAGAAAAGAAAAGGAAAAGAGCAGGGAGGGAACGCAGTAGAAATAGGCGCGCACATCATTGGTCTGCGGAGGCGGTGTTCAAGAATCGAACTTCTTCGCTGTCAGCTCCGTGAGGGACACCTCAAAGATAATTCTAAGTGAGAAAGTCACGGCGGCCGATGGTGCGGTACTTCACAAGCTGGCCGCCAAGACGCACGTCTCAGAAATACACACACGAGTTGCAGGTGCGTCAGAAAGCAAAAGCCGAACGGCTCTCCAGGTTTTGCACAAGCGCTTTTCAGAGCGGGAGTTTTTTCCTTTTAAAGAGGAAGTCAGAAGTCGGAATAGATACGCCAGGGTAGAAAAACAAAAGGTCCACGTACATCTGTTCACACAACAGACGAACACACGAAAACACACCCAAAGGAGCGTATCACGGCTCGCTCCCACGCTACACCGCACACAGAAAATTCCTTCCTATCGAGTCTCCTTCGTGGACAGCACAATCGCTTCACCACAACACCAAAAGAGAGTCACAGCCACATGCAGGGAAACGTCACTTGGGCAAACAAACCAAAAGAAGCGGCATTCACACATAGTATCAACACGTTGACAGCTGCAACGGCGGCGTGCAAGAAATAAGTCGAAGCCAATAGTAAAGAAAAGAAAAGCTCTAACATCGATCGTGCCCTTCCATCGCAGCGCGTGCGGCTTACTAAAGCAATAATAATACGGCGGCGTTGGACTCTGCTCTCGATCACGTTCGTTTCTCTGTTCCCATCATTCCTACAGACATGCGCTTTAAATAGTAAGTAGAAAAGCGAAACTGATAAACAGGGGGAGAAAAAGGTCAACACATAGTTTCACAGGGCGGAACGGTCGCCTCGAATCCCTGGAGATTCCTTCTTCTTGTTTTTACTTAATTCAATTCACCTCCTCAATTGTCCACGTACGTAGTTTGAAAAGAGCCGTAACGATAACAATTAAAAACGACACTGAAACGTCTAGAAGAATAGGGAGCACAGAGCATGAAGCACTGTCGCGGGGAAGAGCCATTATGCACCCACAAAACTCGCTCAGAGCGACTACAACAGCCACACAATCAGTGGCAACGAGGGAGAAGAAGGCCAAAACAAAAATCGGAAAAAAGAGAAAAACACACGTCCTAAGGAAGTCCTTAAGTAACCTCGTAAACTTGTCTTCTTCAACAGACAGTTGCGATCTTTTTGGTTCACGCATTTAAACGCCAATGAGCAGCGGAGTTCGATAAAGCGATAAGGAGAAGTAGAAAGAACTGTGGTCACGTAGCGGCCTTGCAGTTCTTGACCATCGCACCGCTCGTGCAGATGCCCAGTAGACGGCTGCTGTCCGCGTCCCCTGCCTCGAACCACATTTTCACCGTGTTAAAGACATCTGACGTCTTGGCATCAGCCGCGATGGAGTTGAGCTGCACGATTTCGCCTTTCGAGTAGGCTGCAATCAGCAGTGGGGCCGCCTTTGCGGCGTTGTCACCGTCGCTCGTCACGATCAGCAGCCACTGCTCGCTGGTGCTGCTCGAGCGTTTCGACAGCGCCAGCGCAATGCGACCCACCGTGGCGTCCAGCAAGTTCACCTCGCTGCGCTCCTGGGCAGAGGCCTCGAGGTCGTTGGCGGCTGCCTCGGCAATGCCGCTGCTCTGGAAGTACAGCACATCCGCAGAGAGGTTTATCGCCTTCTGGAAGGCGGTGGGGAGTTCATCTTGGTACAGCTGCGCGCGGTCGTCGCACGTGACGTACTTGCGCTCCGCGTTGCAGTACGCCGTTTCCTTCTCTTCCGGGCACGCGTCCGCCGAGCACTCGGTATCGAGCAGACCGATCTGGCCACAGGGGTTGGCGCCGGCCGTGCCGCGGGACCAGTAGGATGACGGCGCCGCCACAACAACTCTCTTTTTCGCGGCCTTCAGCCAGCCTAGGATAGACGTGGATCCCGATAAGGTGCTCTTTGTCTCTGCCGAGGAGCCGGTGAGCAGGTTCACCATGCGGTTTCCCGAGCCCGCATAGGAGGCATCGATCGAGCTGTAGGCGCCGCCGACCGCTTTGAGCAGCCGTGTGAAAGGCGCCTTGTTGCTTTTCATGGCGTGATCGACGGTGGAGGGCGAGAGGCCTTTCACCACGATGAGAACCATTTTTGGCTTACCGGTGGCGCTGACGGCGTCGCGGGAGGAGTTGGAGACGACGGCGAGGCAGGCCAGCAGCAAAAACACGACGGCGGTGATGAGAATGGTGCGACGCAGCGCGCGGGCGTGCAGTGCCTCCTTGACCTCCGCGTTGGTGTGCGTGCCGGGCTCCTTCGGCGGCGGTGGAATCTTCTTCTTGAGGGACGGCATTCTCGCCTTTTTCAAATTTGCAAATCAGATATTGTACTGTTCTTTTTTTAAAAGGGGCAGTCTTTGCTATTACTGTGGACGGAACGCAAGTGGGAGGGGGCGGATCCGAAAACAGCGAATGAAGAGCCACGTGATCAGTACCCGGTAAAGGGGTTTGTCGTGTATCACGGGTTCCTTCACGGGTGGTGGCCAACAAATTAGAGCGAGAAAGTCGCTCTCGTGTTTTCCTTCCGAGTAGAAGAGCGCGCAAGGGACAAAAAACCGGTGGAAAGAAAACAGAAGGATGAACGATACGACCAAGCAAGCTGTGTAGGAGAAACAGTTTATATATATATATATATTCCTCTTCTTCGCTCAAAGGTGAGAGGGATATTCTTTTTTCTTGTTTCCCTCCCCGTACTTCGCTGGCGCCTTGACTGACGAAACGGGTCTACTTCGCGACGAACAAGAAAGGACAAACACACCCAACAAGAAATAAAAGTGCTACCCAGACGCGGTACAGTACGAAATAAACGAGAAACATGAAGAATAGAAGTGGAAAGACGTGTGTGTGTGTGTGTGGAACGGGGCATGGAGGAGCAACGAGGACAAGAACAAACCAATGCATTACGACAGCTCGTGAATGCCATCCGTTTCACTGCGCAGTCTCGCAGAAGACTCAGCAGATAGAGAGGGAGAGAAGTCTTTTTCGTTTCCCGCACGTGTACTTCTGCTGCATCGTAGCTACACAAATTGTTACGCTAACCCACGGCAGTCCACAGCGCCATCACTGCCGCCGTTTCCAATGTGCACTCATGTAGGTGGCTTCAAAAGGAGTTTTGTTTTTTAATGCTCAGAAGGAGTTACACGGCTACGTTTCGTGTGTATGTATCCTGTTTACCAAACCGCCACGCGCTTCCATATATGCAGCGCCCCCTTGACCCTTTTTGTTGTTGTCGGCAGCCGTCAGAGCTTATCAAGGACGAAGACGAAGGGGAAAAGCCCACCCAAGTCCACCTGGAACGGCGACGTGACGAGGTGGAAGGGGCACTCATCTCGCAGCTGCTCCAGTGTTTCCACCATTAGCCGATGCTCGACCGTAAGCAGCACCGCACGACCGCCAACGCTACGTACGGGTGCGGTACATTTCCCCCCAGAGGAGCACCGCCACCACTCCACCGTGGCACACGTGTGGGCGTCGTGCACAACCGCTGTAGGGGGCTGCGGTGACGGAGATCGAAGGAGGCGGTGGCACTCGCGCAAGAAGGGAGGGTAAAGACGCACGTTCCCCTTGTGCGAGCCGCACCGCCGCCCAAAAGGCATATCCGATACCACGCACTCCACCGACCCCGCCCGCACCGGCACGCGCGTCGCATCACAGCGTAGCACCGCAAACGCGCTGCCACCACGTGGCACTGTCCTCTCACAGAGAATGGCGCTGGGCCGTGTCATGCGGTCCGCATCAATGGGTGAGGAAATAGCGCAGCTTAGCAGCTCGCGGAGGCCATCGGCGCCACAGGTAAGATAGCTGCCGCGACAGGCAACCTCCGCAACACGGTCTTCTACCGCGGCACGCCACACGTTGACCTTCTCCTCCATCACGGCCCACCACTGTGGTTTTTCTTCCGCCTGCCCTGCCTGCTGTACGGGGAAGTGGCCGTACAAGGCCGCCACCCAGGCGAGGTAGTCCTCACGCGTGTTCAACAACGTCCGCTGGACATCGGAGGCGACCAGCTCGCTGCCCATTACCACGCCACCACGATGCGTGTCGCCGCCTGGGGTGCGCTGAAGCAGGTGCATCCACCCCTCCAACAACGTCGTCCCGCTGCCACAGAAGGGGTCTAACAGAAGCACGGGACAGGCGGAGAAGTTTGCCGCGTCTTCCAGGCCAGCGTACACGCACAGCGCACTCGCAACGGTCGACCGCATCGCACACGCGCCTTTCGACCAGCGTATTTCCTGCCGATCGGCCGACGCGCGCGGCACGAGACCCTTCACTTGGTCCAGCGTGACCTCGCCACGTCGCAGGGCCACACCAATGCGCTGCCTCAACAGCTCCGCGGCGTACTGGAAGGTGACGTCGATGTCGTAGCCGCAGCGAGGCGGTGCAGGAGGACTTAACGTGACGGCACACGTCAGCCAGTGATCGTTGTCCTGCAAGATGAAAAACTCCACGTTGTAATACAGCATGCTGACCTCCCAGTGATGAGGAGGATTGTGCAGCTCCCAAAGAGAGTCGCCCGCGGCGGCGGCCAGCTCTACGGATTTCAGCGAGCCAGGACAGTCGTCCATCACGCGACGCTCGCAGTTTACACGAAAGGCGACGTCGGCATTGGTGAGAGGCTGAAAAAACTGTGGGCCCCACAGGAGCGCAGCCCGCGGCAGCAGAGAGCTTCCGGTGCGTCGCAACGCTCCCCAGCTCTCACGTACGTTGCTCATCACCTGCACGACGCAGTGGTTGGTATAGGCCGCCTTCGTTTCAATGGTGCGGTGCATCGCCGCCAGTGTGGCATCGTTGCTGTGCCCTGTGATGGGGATTGTCCACAGATGGAGACCCAATCGCTCAATCACACGCAACGTGCAGGCCGCTGCGAGGAACCCACACAGTTGCGCGGCCGCATCCGCACGAGCCTCGCAGAAACACTTGTCAGATACGTTTTCGTCGTCTGCCGTTTTGGCCTGTCGAAGTGTGAAGAGCAGGAGACCCCGTGGAGTGGCTGTCCTCGCGATCTCCGCTGGATCTGGCGCAGTACCGACAACAGACGATTCGGGGGGTACTCCGGCATCATCGTACTGGCAGGACTCTACCTTTAGGTGATACTGGATGGCGAGCCGAGTGACGGCCGCGAGCACGACATCCTCGATGCCAGATGGGAAAAAGGCGGCGTACACCCGCGAATAAACGTCGTCATCCAACGTCGCACCGCCAGCCATGCGTCTGCAGATAAAACCGCCTTGAGAGGCCAAGGTAGCGATGAGACCAGAAAGAAAAGATGGCACAAACACGAAGCCGTGGCGTCAGAGATTGCGTTACGAACAGGAGAAACAAAAAAATGTCTAGGAAAGAGAAGGAGATGGAGAGAGAGAGCGTCGCGGGAGAAGAAACTTGTGGTTGCGCATTTTGCCACAACAAACCGGCTTCGCTGTTCGCAACGTGGAAATGAACCAAAGAAGTACGTCGATGCGGGCACCAACGTGCGCCTTGTGTACGCAATCTTCAATGTCGTCGCGGCATATTCATCACAGCCACCGGCAATGAAAGATGCGTAGGCATCTTTGAGTGTGTCGTTCGTCTCCTTCTGCGCTGTTTATACGTTGCGCGTCCTCTTGTGAGCAGAAATAGCGGCCCCCACAAGCGAATTGAAAAGCAGAAAAAAGCAACACAGTGAGCTAAAAAAGGAAAAATATATACTAGCAAAAAAGAAAAGGGCAATACAACGGGACTCGTGAAGATACAGCTTCTGTCAGCTGTGAGTCTGTGAGAACCACCTTCACGTTCCTGTGCAGTATATATAGAAATAAACGATGGTAGCAGTCGTACCACATCGATTCCCACGCAAAGCATATCGTGACGAGTAATAATAATATCAATTAGAAAATATAACGGAAAGCTGAAAAAGAAAAAGAGAACACTTCAAACACGGAGTCTGATGTACAACGATTAGTACTACTGAAAGAAAAAGGAAAAAAAAAGGCAGACCCGCAATAGTAAACAAAAAAAAAACAAAGAAACTAATGAATGAATGAATGAATTGCGGCTCTGTAAAGCTCAGAGATTAGTTACTTATTGAACTTGATGGATTTATTTGCACCTGTGCGTTTGTGTCTCTGTGTGTTTATGCATCCAAATAGAAAGAGAAACTGCGCACTACTCAGCGAAAAGAAAAATCTACTGTTCCCTTTTTTTTTAAACGCTGTTCGCCGAACAGCGTACCTTGCTCTACGTCAAGGGGAGGAGGGAGGGACAATGGCTCAGGCTTATCGGGTGCAACTGCACAGAGAGCACAACGGTAAATTAGAAGCCCGCTCCAAAAGGAATAAGAATAATAATATGACGATGAACAGTGGAATAAAAAACTATATAAATCCAAAGCGTCCTATTTCGTTGAGAGTTCACCGTGGTTCAGTTCCGTGTTGCGCGTTGCAGTCATCGGACACACTCTTCGTGAATGGGGTGCATTTCTCGTCACGAGAGCTCGATCTCCGACTCTCCCTCTGTTGTGGTGCCAACTGTATCTCTCGCGTCTAGTTTGCTTTACGCTGCGCCTTTTCAGCCTGCTTCTGCTCCATCAACTCGTAAGAGGCGAGGTGCGCCTTGAAGTCAATCTTTGCATGCATAAAGTAGTGCGCGCTGTCGTACTGCTTGTGTAGGGCGTTCAGAATGGCCTCCGCGGCGTCACGACTTTCGTCCTGGTAGGCAATGTACGCCTTTTCGTACAACACAAACGCCTGCGCGTACGACAGCGTCCACTGCCGGTCCTTGTACTGCGGGGTATCGCGAACCGCCTGGATCACCTCTGACGCAGCTTCTCGATCTGCCTGGGACTCGCTGTTCGCCAAGAGAAGGGCCTTGCACACGCACAGAGACAAAACACGGTAATTGATTGGGAGAGCTGCGCTCTGCTTCGACGCGGCACGCTCGGGCTTCTGCGATGCATTGTCACCGCCCTTGCTGCTCGCCGTGTCCTCTGACGGCGTCCTTCTCATCCCGTCCACGTAATCCGCCAGCACCGTGTCCGCCTCCACTGGCTCCTTCAACAGGTAGCTGTTAATCCGCGTGAGCATCTGCTCTTTGCGCTTCGAGGGGATTTGATGGGCAATGCCAACGAGCAGAATCATTTCGTAGACCGGAAGCGGTACCGTGTTGCGTAGACGCAGGTCATCCGGCATCGGTTCGAGCGGGTCCTCGAGCTTCTTCTTGGCCGCATACTTGCCTGCATCAACGCCGTACAGGACCAGTATCTCCTCCATGCGCTTCGCCACGAACTGATCGTGGTGGTTGGGCTTCCCGCCGAGAGTCACCGGCTTGCGCTGCGCGGCACCCCAGTAGAGCTCCGCGATGGTGCGACTCATCTGCTCGCGTGACGAGATGTCGCAGAAGGTGATGCTGAGGTCCTTCACTTTGTCCGCTCCCACGATCCGGCGCAGTTCCTCCAGTTCAAAGTCGACCTCGCCCTCCGCGTTGCTGATCCCCGCTGCGCGCTCCTGCTCCAGCATCTCCAGACACGATGCCTGCGTGTACTGATAGAACCCGTTGGCCCACTTGGAGGTTTTGGACAGCACCTCCAGACAGCGACTGGCGCGCTTCCATTGATGCAGGACGGCGTAGTTGAACCACTGGTCGTACACGACGAAGTCGCGGAGCTGCGGCATGGTGGAGAGCAGCTGCGGGTTGCTCGCGACCTTCAGACACCGTTCCAACTTCGCCACGCTCAGCTCCACGTTGCGCGTCAGACGCTCGATGCGGCCGTCCAGCCAGACGTGCAGCAGCGACTCGCGCATGATCTCCGCCTTGAACACCTCCGCACGGACTTCGTGCGCCACCGGCAGGTACGTCTTTAACAAAAAGGCAGAGGCGGTGGGCAGGAAGCCGTAGAGGGACAACAGCACCGCGCTGGCGAAGGGAGAGAGCAGCGTGTTGCTCATGAGACACTGCCGGAGGAGACGCAGCCCGTACTGCCGGTTGCCCTCCACCCCGATAAAACGCAACATCGAGCGGGCTTGGCTCGGCAGAAGGGAGACGACCAGATTAATGGCACCGAGGCCAAACTCGACGCAGTGCACCGAGTTGCGGTCTACCCCTAGCGTCTCCAGTGCCGTACTCATCTCCAGCGACGCGTCTCTCTCCTTGAAGGTGTTGGGCGACGTCATGGGTGACACCGCCAAGTCGGGCGAGACCGCCTTGCTGCCGTACTTCTCCTTGTACCTCTGCTCCAACTCCGCGTACAGACTTTTATAGTTGCTGCTCGCCTTATTCAGCGCGATGCCGGCCTTGACAATGGAGGACACGGACTGCTGCAGGATGAGCACAAAACACCGCAGTGCTTGACTCTCCGCGTGAATTGTCTTGGCACGGAACTCCGACGGCGAAAGCCAGCTGTCCTTGGCGCTCCTGCGAAACTGTAACATGCGGGAAAAGGTATTTGACACAGTGCCTTTGTTGTTCGTCATGATCTGCACGGCCAGCGCACTGGACCTGGTCAGCAACTCCAGCGCAATATCCGCCTGGCCCTGCTCCATGGAGAGTGCACAGCGAATAAAAGCGATGAGGCCGGCGCCGGTGGCGGACAATGGATCTTCCGGCATGCGTGCGCGCAGTGCGGCCTCGCAGTCTTGAATGCGGTTTTGAAAGAAGGAGTTCACCGCGTACACAACGTCTTTGTCCATTTCGTTGATGTTTTCCAGCGTCAGGTGGCGCAGGTGGTCCACCTCCGCGTTGCTCAGACCCGACACTTTCGTTTCAACTTCGTCGTCGTCTTGCAACGCCACGTCTTCGCCGTCGTTTTGACCGGAGGATTCGACTTCCATCGGGTCAACGAACCGTGGCGAGGAGACGGCATCGGACGCGTGTTTCTTCTTCCTGGAATCGTGAGACATTTTCGTTCGGCGTGGGAGTCGTGTGCTACAATATATGTGTGTGTATATAAGGAGTATTATCGTGAGAATAAAAGCAGTCAAACGTAGAAGTTGCGGCGCAGGAATGACTTCGACGAGTATACATAAAAGGAAGAGAACAAGTACTACGCAACTGTGGTGCTTTCTGTCGGTGCGTGTGCGCCTGATTTGTGTGTGCGCGTGTGGATGCTGGAAAGCCGTCCACACCTTTCAAGTTGAGAGAAAAAGCTCAGAAAAAAAAAAAGGTCCAGATAACAAAAGAAGCTATCTCAAAGCTACGTCAACCAGCCAGAGTGGCGGAGGCGTCCGCAGACATGACCAGTTACTGCGTCCGCAGGCGATCAGAAGGTCGCTGCTCCCTTTTTCTTGACGGGATTCTCCACCTGTTCCTCTACTCAAAACAGGAGAGAAAAGCACAAGAGTCGCGCTTCCAGCCAACCCTACGCCGCTACTTCCTCTCGCGATATGCCGCCTTCCGGTTTCGTGGCACGAGGGCTTCAATGCGTGCTACGTCAAACGACGATAATTTCGTCAGAGTCGTTGTGGTAGAAAACACACACAGTGAACAAAGCCAACCTCAGAAAGATGACTCGACGAGCGACTCGATGCACGATCCAACAGTGACACCCTCCAGCGGAGCGACAAACTCATTCAGGAATAACAAAAAAAAAAAGAAGAAGAGAGAGAGAGAACGAAAACCCCTTTTCCAAACACAGCATCGAGGAACTCTATTCGGCACATTTTCCACTGGCCCCGGCTGCAAAGGAAAGGGACAGAGATGCGCTCGCTGGAGAGGGCAACCAACAACAAAATCAACTCAAAAGGTATAGCGGATTACGCTGATTAAATGAAAGCCGTTGCAGGAGAAGTGGGGAAGATAGAAGAAGCAAGGGACGACTCAACAAGAGGACCAACAACACCTAAAACGGAACCGATAATGCTTGGGAGAGCACGCGTCAGAGAATCGCAAGCAGCAAAGCAAACAAACAAACACATAAACATAGAAGAAGAAGGACCCCGTCCAACAAGAGAACGTATCGATACTAAAGCTTGATGCAAGAAGAACACCGTATTTACTGCGCACGGCTAGCAGATATCGTCTCAAACGAACAAAATAGAAAAAAAAGAGGCAGAAAAGTAGCGAACGCGTTTCTCCAGCTCACATACGCAACACCATTTGTTATGAACAAGAAACTGACACGAAAGAAACCTCAAACATTTCTGGGAAACGCGGAGGTCCCGCGAACACCAGTACCAACAACAGCAACCAATAACCAAAGAAACTATATAATGAAGCAGGTAGGCTAAAGGACAGAAGATGCCGTAGAGGCGAGAGGAGAACCTAAACAATGAAGCGTCGAAGACCATCGTAAAGGAATACGACAGAGAAGCCGGAAAGAGATGTAAGTACGAAGAAAACGATAGCACCAGCTCCGATGAAGAGCCACCGTGACCACGGTAGCAATGCTGCAGGAACACACAAAAAGTGGGTAGCACATCGTTTTCCGGCGCCAAGAAGCATCACACACAGACACAGACACAGACACACACACTTACGTGTTCACAGATTATGCGTTCACAAGGCGCGAACTAGGCAACTTCAGAATGGAACATTTTGGAGGAAGGTGGCGAGTTTCTTGTCCCCTTTCTGATCCCACCACGGCCATCACAACCAACAGCTGCAGAGGGCTGCGGCTACTGCTTCTTGAGCGCAGACAGCTCGGACTCAAGCAGTTGCACTGTGCTCTGGAGACGCTCAATCACGCTGCGCTGCTCGAGCACCTGTTGGCGCAACTGCGTCTGCTCACGCTGACTCTCCTGTACCAGCTTAAATAGCTCCCGCATGTGACCTGCCATAGCCCCGTTGTCGCCCATGTAATCTACGCCATCGTCCTCCGTCATGTTGAAGACGCTCTCGTTTTGACCTTCGCGAGAGTCGTCGGTGCTGCTCTTGCCGTGGATGGCGTCTTCCTCGTCCGCCTCGTCCACGTTGCCCACATCTTCTTCATCCACGTCCAGGGTGCTCGCCTCCACCTGCTCCGACACGGTGAACTGCTGACTCGGGAACTCGGCCCTGCCGGCACCGCGGCGCTCACTCTGCTCCGTCGCAGGAACTTCAACGAGGGTGCTGTGGAACGACATCCCTGCCGCGACGCTCGTGCTGCCCTCCTTCATCGCCCCTTCGTGTGACGGCTGCGTCGTGGCGCTCCGTGTTTCAATAAAACTCCGCAACAGACTGCCCCCACTCGTCCCGGCACCGAGCGGCTTCGAATGGTCTTCGGTCACCGGCGCCTCCACCGCCATGCTGGCGGATTTGTTGGAATTCGTCTGCGTCATGTCCCGCATCATGGACCCGAGCCCCGCCAGCACCTCCGGCCGCAGCGGGGTCTCCCCGCTCTCCAGCTGATGTCGCAGCTGCCGCAGGTTTTCCTTTGACAGGGCGTGCGGATTCTCGTCGGTGTTGGGGAGGGCGAAAAAGTTGCCGTCGCGGCCGAGGGTGGAGGCGGTGCTCCACATATCGTCCATCGTCTCCTCCACCGAGGACTGCTTCAGCGACCGGTTGTGCACCGGAGACATCGCCTCCGAGTAGGACTGCATGTCGACCTCGCTCGCGTCCACCGCGTTGCTGGCCACCGTCTCCTCGGGCGCTACGGCCACCGTCGAGACGTTGCGTTCGTGGGCGATGGCGGCGATGCTGGTCACGACGTTCTCCACAACGAGCGGCGCCGGTCCGCGGGTGAGGTTGTGGAGGTGCTGGTCCAAGTTCGCGGTGCTGAGGGGGTCGGCGTGGCGACGAGTGGGGCTGCCCGCCTGCGCATCGACGCTGGCTCGCTCGATGTTCCACGCGTTGGCCTCCAGCGAGGCCGCGGCGCCGTGCTGACTCGTGTTGCTCTCAAGCGTATTCGAATCCACAGCGTCGCTGCCGAGGTCTCCAGGATCCTGCGTGTCACCGGCTACGGTGAGCACCGACTCATCTGCCCGCCCCGCGCGCTCCTTCTTCTTGATGTCCGTCTCCGGGGCGTTCGCGGCGTAGTCGACGTACTCGTCGTCCGGCACGACGTCCGTCCGCAGCGCCAGCCTGCCAGTTTCCATGCCGGCGGTGAAGCCTTGCAGATTTTTATTACTGAGAGGGAGCTGCTTCGGCGGGTCGGCCGGCGTGCGGACGTCGCCACTCTCCAGCGACGGACTTGCGTTGGCGGAGTGGTGGCTTTTGGAGTCGGAGCGAGGCGAGCGGGGCTCCAAGCGGCCGAGTGGGCTGCTGGTGCAGATCGTGGCATTGCTGAACTCATCGCAGTCATCGTAGACGGAGTCGCCCTGGCGCCCAGCCAGGCCTTCGCGAGACCCCGAGATAGAGAGAGATAGCGCCTCCATCGCGGTACTTTGCTGTGTGTGTGGGTGTGGGAATAGGTGTTTAGTTTTATGGCGCTGTTGCAGTGCGACAGGCAATCCTCCTGACAACGGCGGAAAACACACGTTTCTTAGTGACAGCGATGAGGAGCTGTATGTGAGAAGACACTTCTGGCACCAAAGGAATCGCTCCTGGAAAGGAACAGAGCTGCACCTCGGAAGCACAGTCAAGGTAGCTTCTTCTGGTACGGCGTATGTGGCTGAAAGGAGAGAGAGAAAGAGAACCAAAAAAAAGACCGCCGGCTATATATCTGGCAAAGAAGGACAATAGTAGGTTAGGAAATACTCTAGAGAAGCGTGTTGCCGACGCGGTGGAAACTTGAAATGACGACAGTCACCGTGCGGTACCCGCGCAATCCACTACACAAAACTCCCACAGAAAGAAAACGAAGTTGCAGGACGACGGGTGCGAAGCGAGAGCCACAGCTTTGCGGAGAAGAGAAAAAGGTTGCGAACGCAAAAAAGGTTTCTAGGCGCCGAGTAAGCAGCGGTAAGAACGTGCCTTCCGCCTACAGAGCGGAGTAGCAACGGGAGCTCTTGGGAGCGAAAAGCTGTGCGAATAAATGGAAATGTGAAAAGGAGAGTAAAAAAGCAGAAGTTTTGGCACTATCTGGCAAACTATCTTACACATGTGGAGGCACAGGTATTCAAGGTTACGGTGCCGCGATGTTGTTTTTGCTGCATAGTTCACAAATTGTTGTGGCCCGGACATGAAAAGTCAACGTGTAACTTGAAGCAAGCTCTCTCACCCCCTATCTTCCTCCCGACTTACTCATCGGCATGAATGGTTTCATTTTCCCTTTTTTCTCGCTTGGACCACACGTTAACAACTATATATATGTAGATGTGTACTTCATCATACTTTCATTTTGACCGCTTCCAGAAAAAAGTGAACAGATGCAGATAGAACAGTGTTTTTTTTTTCTTTCGTTGCTTGGGGAAAAGTGAGAAAAAAATGGGGGAAAAAAGAAGAACAAGTCATTGCCTCTAATTACATCGCACTGTTCCCATCGTACGTCAGCGTCCTACGCTTCGTCTGCGAGAAGGCCCCGTTGGCTGCCCATTCACAGTTCCTTTGACAGAAGGATACCGCATGAATGAATGTCTCTAAGCTGTGCGGGAGCGTGGCGCTGAACGAAGGACGAGTGACCGACAGGTATTTTCGCTCGAGGGAGAGAAAAAAAAAAAGAAACGGCAGAAACGTTATTGAGGTACAGAAGGAAGAAGACAAAAAGATGTGCGGCAACAGCATCGGAAAAGAGAACCGTTGTGCAGCAACTTCGTTTAGCAAACAAGGAAACAGAAAAACCATGCAGATAGCTTCAGTCAGCTAAGGAGTTAGGTGTTCTTTGGCGCTCCGGTTCAAATCTGCTTCGCGGTGGTGCCACGGTTGTCCATGGTGGCTTGGCGGCGATCCACCACACCGGCCAGGGAGCCGGCGTTGCGGTCCACGTTCGTCGGCCCACCCTGCTTCGCCGCACCAGTGTAGCTGTTTTTGTCGTCGAAGAACCGCACCGCCTCTGTCTTCGTGCCGTGCGCCTTCGGGGCGCCGTTTGCGATCATCTCAGCAATTTCCTCGTTCGTCTTCTTCATCTTCGCCGCAATCGCAGGGATGGCCTTGTCCCGGAAGTCGGTGAAGGTAATCTTTCGAGCCTCCTTCGCCTTCACCTTGCTGAAGAGGAGGTCCGCATCGGTGGAGGTGAACACCTTGCCGATGATCTTGCACTCCTTCAGCATCTTCGAGAAGTGCGCGTTGTCCATCTCCTTCGACGGCGCCGTGCCGAAGGAGGCAAACGCCTCGAAGTTCTCCTGCAATTGCGAGTCGGACATGGTTGTGTGGCGGAGAGGACTTATTGGTAGTGAAAAGTCGTTAACGGAATCGTCGTGGTATGCTGCGGATCAATCAATTCTGATACGGTTGGGCGCCATTTTGTATTTAGTTTGCAAAAGCCAAGGGAAACGGAGAGAGGGAGGAGAAGAAAAAGCATCCCAGGGAAGCAAAATTCTATGATAAGACGACATTGGATCTGCGTCTGGGGTGCTGAACATTGCATTCTCGTAGTAGCATAAGCGAAGGAGCTACCTTTACCAGAAGCCGGCTTGCAGCAACGTAAAACGCAGTATCGAGCAGCGGAACCGGTCACACCTCCGTCAGCTATCGCTTACGCGAGACGAGTGAAATATTCTTCTTAACAAACTTTGCCGATAGAAAGACGGTCGATAAAGCAAAAAAAAAACCCCGAGAGGGGAAAAAAATACGCACGCTAAAGAAGTGTACTTAAACAAAATGAATAATAATAATAATAATAACTGTAACATTGCGAAAATAAGTACAGAGAACTAAAGCAACAATGAAGAAATAAAAACAGAAGTGTTCACGGCCCATGGAGACTCCGTTAACAGGTGTGCCCCCCAAAAAAGATGGTTCGAAGAAAGATAACGAGAGCTGCAACACAGGCGAGTGTGGTGCTCTCACGTTGCTGAACGCAAGCATTTCGTTGTCCGGGAGGGGTTCCACCAACTTCATCCCCCATTTGCAGATCAATGGTGGCGTCCAGACCCCTACTTTTCTAAAACATCTCACTTGAGACGTAGCACAAAGCTGCTTTCAGGGAGAGTGAGCGAGAACCGTGAGCTTCAGAGTAGGAAAGAGATGCAAGCGGTGCCTACAACGAAACCCGCACTGCTGAAATGAAGAAAGGGAAAAGACAAAAAAATATATATGAGTTTTTAGGCAGTTGCCGCACAGTGTACCCAAGAATGATGAATACCAAAGAAAACGAGCTTTCGTCTTTTGAGATAGAACAAAGAAGAAAAAAAAACTCAAATCTGCTTCGCGGTGGTGCCACGGTTGTCCATGGTGGCTTGGCGGCGATCCACCACACCGGCCAGGGAGCCGGCGTTGCGGTCCACGTTTGTCGGCCCACCCTGCTTCGCCACGCCGGTGTAGCTGTTTTTGTCGTCGAAGAACCGCACCGCCTCTGTCTTCGTGCCGTGCGCCTTCGGGGCGCCGTTTGCGATCATCTCAGCAATTTCCTCGTTCGTCTTCTTCATCTTCGCCGCAATCGCAGGGATGGCCTTGTCCCGGAAGTCGGTGAAGGTAATCTTTCGAGCCTCCTTCGCCTTCACCTTGCTGAAGAGGAGGTCCGCATCGGTGGAGGTGAACACCTTGCCGATGATCTTGCACTCCTTCAGCATCTTCGAGAAGTGCGCGTTGTCCATCTCCTTCGACGGCGCCGTGCCGAAGGAGGCAAACGCCTCGAAGTTCTCCTGCAGCTCAACGCAGTCCATCTGTGCAGAGCGATTGGGAGAGTGGGCAAAAGCAAAAGCAAAGAATACGAATAGCAATCGAATACGATGGTAATAGGGCAAAGAAGGAAGCAAGCAAACAACGGGTTTTTTTTTATTGGAGGGGGAGGGGGGCGGTTCTCTCACAACCACAGAGCGTCTCGTCGTTGTAGTGAAAGGAAAAGGGATGAAAGAGGGGGCAGAAAAGACAGCCAAACAAAAACAATTGAGCTGATTCCGAGAGTCCTCGTCTGCGTTGAATTCGTACTGTGCAAAGGGAGGGAGAGAAGGCACAAAGAGGAGAGGAAAGAACAACACCAAAGAAAGGAGAAGACACAGATCATTTTCGTAATAATGAGAGGGAGAGAGCGGGAGCGACATAGAGAACCGCCACAGGTTGCCATCGCCAATTTATTATCCGGTCGTCAGCAACTGTTAAAAAGCGGTGTTGAAAGTGATGGAGGTCGATGGATTGCTACTGTACAACCTCTCCCATGACGCACAAAAAAGCTGGTAGTGGTAATAGAGATGCTTTGTGCTAGTGTTGTTTGGCCTTGACGCTGACTGCCTGCAATGACACAAAGGTAGAAGCTGTGACTGGAAGGCAGAACAGGCATAAGAGAAGGGAAGAAGAGAGAAGCGCATTCGCTCTCGTATACATCTAGATATAAAACCCTTTAAACAGCTTTCATTCCAAGAAGAAACTGCACTCCTCGACACGACAAATGCTTTCTGACCACGTGTTTCTCAGGTGAGGGGAAAAGCGGTAAAACAAGAGATGGTTGCTCTGTTCTCTTCCATCTGCTTCTGTGTAGCTGCTGCTAAAGCTCCTCCTTGTGGAGGTACACCATTAGTTTCGTCATGTTGTCGGTGGAGGTCCTTGAGCCGCCGCCGCCGCTCCTTTTACCTCCATTTGCGGTGTTATACACGGCGGTGGGCGCACGCGCCGTGGCAGAGTTGGGCAGTGCCACCTGCTCCGACGAAGACCGTCGACTACCGCGCTCGTCCGTACTGCCCCGCCTGTCGACGCATGCGCTTCCACTGCAGCGTTCAGGCATCTGTGATGGCGGCAGCAAAGACGGCACCTCCTCCCGTTGGGATTCATTCCCCGAGTGGACATCCCGCACGGCTTGATGGACCTGCTGATATAGCGCTTGCTGACGCTGCTGCAACGCACGCAGACGCATCGCGCGGTCGTTGCGGTGCTGCTCAAACTCCGTCTTCTCCTCTTGTTGGCCACCAAAGGCTAAAGAGCCGAACAGGCCCGGGTGCAGCAGAGAGGACGGCACGTACTCAGGCACGACATTCTTTGGCAGCTTCGCCACCGTCGCCTTCATATCCTCGAGGGTGGCGGCGGCCTTGACAACCTCCGGTCCGGAGGCGCGAATGGGTAGCACGCCGGGCACCGCCCTCTCAGTGGCACCGCCTGTTCTGCGGGGCTGCAGGTAGTAGTCCTCGTAGGTCGCCGTCTTCTGTACGGTGCGGTAGTGCTGCTCGTACTCCTTGAGGCGTTGGGCCAAGACGCGATGCTTCTTCTTCTTGAGGGATTTCCTTCTCGGTCGGTGCCCTATTGGCCTCTCCTGGTTTACATCGTGCTTTCCCGCATGCGTGGACGACGCCGCTCGAGTTGGCCTGCGTGCCTCCCCGGTGGGCGAGACCGGTGTCACCGGCCCAAACGCAGGGGTACGCGTCGTGTCGCCATCCAAAACCACATGCGGCAGCACCTCTTTGGACGTGGAGGAGCCTACCGGACGTAGTTTGACGGTCTTCACGGAAGGTCGCGGAGGGGAACCCAAAGCGGCTGCACGCTTTGCAGGAGAATGCGAGGTGGGCGACGACGTGGACAAGGAAAGGGATGGCGCAGGCGGAGCCGTAGGAGAGGACGAAGGTGGAGCAGTGGACGACTTCTCACCTGGAGAACTGCCACGGCCGCCGCCGTTGGCCCGCAGCGACGCCGCCGCTTTCGCCGCCCGCCTCGCTGCTGCGAGTCCTTCTCGTGTTGTGGGTCCCGTCGAGGAGTCGTTCAGCGCTCCTCCCCCGTCCTCCTCTTCCATCATTGCATCGTCGCCGTTGTCGTCCTCCTCGTCGTTGTCCTGCAGCACGATCGACTCCAACACCGCCAATCGTTCCCGCAGTGCGAGGTTCTCGGCGTTGAGGTCCGCCTCGCGCCGTTCCGCGTCGTCTTGCGCGTCGCGCACCGCATCGTACGCGTCCCGCAACTCGGCATTCACGTGCATCATATTCTTCAACATGTCGCACGCGGCAATTAAGGAGTCCGCCAACTGGTTTGCTTCTCGTGTGGCCACTACCATTTCTCTGCTCACCTTGTTGGACGGTGGCGAATCCGCGGTAGCCAGATCCCCTCCGCAGCGACTGCACAGGTGCGCTTGCGCTGCCTGCGGCTGCCCCAATGACTCTGCCGCCAGCTGCCGGTAGTAGCCCAGCTCCGCCTTCAGCTGCGCAATCTCCTCCCGCAGCTGTCGGATAAGGGTCGTGGTGGCGTCTTCATTCACGTGCGGTGCGTTGCGGATGTTTTTGGCCCGACCCGCGTAGAGCAAGGTGGACGTCGTCTCCTCCACGTAACGGTCGGAGGGGCTGATGCAGGCGATCATCGTGGTGAGTGAGTTGCCACCCAGGGCGTGCTTCAGCAGCATTGTCAGCTTACTGTCACGGTACGGAACGTGGACCGCACCGGTGCCTGTCGTCGCATAACCGCGACCACGTGACCGGCTAGCAGCGAACGACGCGGCACCGCCAGCTTTTCTTTTTGGCTTTGTGCCGGCGCCTCCGCTGTTGCTGCTAAGTGCCATGATTACCTTCCCTAACGCGAGCAGGGAGGTGTTGATGTCGATCGACTCCTTCACCAGCTTGGCGGAAGGATTGTTGGACAGTAGTCCTATTTTCTCCGAACCGGCAAGGTCCACCAGCGACAGCTCCGCGTGGCTGCGCAGCTCTCCGTTCCTGCGTGCGCGACACTCCACGTAGATGGTAAAGACGCAATGAGATCGAGAAGACTGGTAGTTCATCATATTACTGCTCACCACCTTCTGCTGAATGCCGGTAAAAAGCACCTCTCGCATCTCCTCCGGCGAAGCGCAGGAGCACACAAACAAGTTCTCCACCTTAAATACATCTCCCTTTTGCCACCGCACACGCAATCCGCCATAATCGAAGCGCCGCTTTCCTCTGGCGCCTCCGTTGCGGCTTCCTGACTCGTCGGCAGAACCGTCGTTCCCATTCAAATTGGGCGAGCTGCCAGTGGTGCGCAGAAGGTCGGTAATCATCTCGTTGTAGATCTGATAGTAGCTGCAGCGGAAGGAGTACTCAACGCCATCGTCGGCACTGCGATCCGCCCCAGCTTCAGCATCTGCGAGCGCATCCTCTGCTTCTTCGCCGCTGGCGCGTTGACGGGCTCGTGCGCGATCGAACAGAAGTTGTATGATCCGTGGGATAATGCCGTGCTGCTCCACCGGCGTCCCCCCCGTGTCAGGCACCATCACTGTGGTGTTTCCTCTCGACCGGCCGCTGCTGCTCGCCACGTACCGCAGACCGTCCATGGTGAAGGTCTTGCCGCTGCCGGTCTGACCGTAGGCAAAGACCGTTGCGTGAAACCCGTCCAGCACGTGGTCCACGAGCGGTGCCACCTCCGCAAACGTCGTCACCTGGTCTGCCTCGGGGGACAAGACGCGATCAAAGCGGTAGGAGCGGCCCGCGCTCGGGTCGTTTCGTTCGCACACAACCACCTCGTCGCCGTGTGTGTGCACGAGGCTCTCCGTGTGGTCGCCCTCTGTCTCTCGATGGAAGGGGCGGCACCGTACGACGACCCGAATGCGGCCAAGGAAGGACTTGCCGCTCTGTGCTGTTGACATTGGGTCAAGGTGGGCGCCGCTGAGAGGGAGAGCCTGCGACGGCGGCGCCTGGCAGGGCCGCTGCTTCCATACAACCTGCCGCTCCTGTGGAGATGCAGAAAACGGTGCTGCTGCTGCTGCTGCTGCGAGCGCTGGAGAGTTGGCGTCGTCATCGTCTCGCAGCATGGATGACGTGAAGTAATACTATCTTTCGGATTAGATAGTTTATGTGTGCCAGTGTTGTTGCTTCTCGAATTATACGAGTTGTTGTTTGAGAAAGGAAAAAGATCGGCAGTGTGACGTTGAAAGGAACAGCATCTGCACTTTGTTTCGTGCGACTCCAACGTTAATCAGTGGTGTGGTACAGCGGACGAGACCCACAAAGAGAGGCGACACCGCAGGGGGAAGATATCGCTTCTCAACGTAGCACACGCCCGCTGTTACGCGACGTTTAGTGTTGTGTTCATTCGAATGAATTCATATCGGAATTGCGCAGCTGCATCGACCTGTGAAGAGTACGCTGAAACAGCGACAGAGAGACATATCATGGTAGCATTAAATAGTGAATTAGACAAGCGCCAAACTCGCGTCCCTGCGATGATGATTGAGCCACATTACCTTTTCCCTTCGAGGTGGTATTATTACTGGCTTTTCTTTGCAAAGGGATCGGGTGCGCGTTTGCTCGTTTTGAAGTCCATGTAGCGCTGCAGTTTCTGAGTCGGCTTCAGCTGAGCGTCGAGCATCCCTTTCTTCTGCATGTCCATCGCCAACGAGGGGTTCTGCTCCACATCGCGGGAAAGCTGCTTGGCGTGGTTGAAGCGCCGCTGCTTCACCGGGGCGGGGGTGTAGTCCTCCATCTGGAACTGTTTCACCGCCGGCTTCGAGAAAAACTCGCGCTTGCGGTACGCCATGTCTGGATTCTCCGTCTGCACCTCGTAGTGCTGCCGCACCACAAACTGTGGGTCCAGCCCGTAGAGTTCCGGCAGCTTTGTCTGCCGCTCCACGTCCCTGGCGGGCACCTCGTTCAGGTTCGCATCCACGACGTGGTGGCAGAAGTCGACGGATAGCGCCTCCGCTGCGTGACGAACCACCTTCGCTTCCAGCTTGTCACACACCGTGTAAACCCACCCGACGTTACCGAGGCGACCCGTGCGACCGCACATGTGCAGGTAGCGCTGCCACGTCGTAGGCGCAAAGGTGATGAAGACGTGCGAGACCAGCGGCAGATCCACCCCAAACGCTTCCGATTCCTTCAACAATACGAACTTCCAGTTGCCCTGGAAGCGCTGATCGCCGTAAATCTCCGAGAAGAGCTTCACGTCCATGCCAAGGCCGCGCAGACGTCGGCGAGCCGCGAGAACATCCTCGGTGTCGGAGAGAAAGATCACCGCCCGGCCTGGGATGGTGTCACGCGCGTTCCACACCAGGCGGGCCAGGTAGGCGAAGCGCTCTTCGCGGTGCGCCACGTAAAACGAGAAGAGACAGTGCACGGTGGAAGGCACGCGCACGGCGGACAAGACGGTGGTCTGCGCTACCGGCTTCATGCACAGCGCTTGCAGATAATCCTTCAGCTTCCCGTCCACGTCTGCAGACACCATGCCCAACTGCAGCACGGATCGAATGTGCGGCCCAGGCATCTGATGCAGCGTGCCAAGCAACAGCTCAGCCGCCAATGGATTGCGCAGTCGCTCCCGTGCCTCCGCGACGGGGGCAGACTCGTCGATCATCGGCACCTGCGCCCCCACATCATCAACGTAAACGCGCCGCAGGTAACCAAAGTCCTCAAACTCCATCTTCTTCTCAAACAGCAGCTCACACATCACATCAGCGGTCGTGATAAGGAGACGAGCTGGCCCATGGTTGCGGCGTAGTCCGCGTCGAAGTAGGCGATAGTACGTCTCGTAGTCCTCGCGGTAGGTGCCGAGCAGCATCCAAGAGTAGTCATCGGCTGGGCGGTCGACCAACGCCCCACCGCCAACGCGCTCGCAGAGCGCCTTCACGGTGGCGTGCATTCGCATCGCATTCATGGTGTTCGTCGCCACGAGAACGTTCATGCCGACTTCCTCGTTGCGAATGCCGTGCAGCATCGCCAGGAGCAGCGCCGATGTTTTGCCGCTGCCCGTCACGCCGTTAAAGAGAACGTCGTTGTGGTCCTCGTTTAGCAATGCCGGCACAAGTCGTGCCTGCAGCCGCGTCGGCGCTGCACCGAAGAGCTTCTCTGCAGCGCTGCTCACGCGCGGGTCTAGACTGAGCGCACTCCACGAGGAGCCGGCGGGGTCGGACGATGCTTGCGGCACCCGCAGCGGCAGCAGCGTATTTTCCGTCAAGTCCCGCTCGAGGATCAGCGCGGCACGTGTGCGGGCAGACTCCAACGTGGTTCCACGCGCATCTGCGTCGGTCATTATTTTGTTGTTGACCGACTGGTCCGCCCGCATCAAAGACTCCATAAAGTCAACATCGTCTTCCGTCGAACTGTGTACCTGAAGGACGGATTCATCATCATTATTGCTCGTGTACTCGTTTCCAGATTTCGCTTTGGAAGCATCTTGCTGATCCTGTTCCACTGCCTCGAGCAGCGCGGTGCCGCCACGCCCCTCGCACGCGAACACCTGCCGCGGCGCGTTGCGCTTTCCCAGCAAGGCAAGGGGCTGCCGCTCCACCGGGTGGTAGGTGATTTCGGTAAGGTTTTTTTCCAGGGCCTCCTGCGACGGCCACAGCTTCTGCCGCAGACGGTAGTAGTTGCCGTTGCGGTTTTGCTTCAGGCGCTGTGAAAGGTTGTAGTCCTCGTACTGGTCGAGGAGGCTGCGCAAGCCGCTACCGTTATTTGACTGCACAACACCTCTACAGGCGACCCACAAAGCGGCCGCCTGACCTCGGCTCGGCAGTGCCCGACGAATAGCGAGACTAGACACGGTGGGACGTGCGACCAGTTGCTTGCCAGACGTAGCAAGCGACATTGCAACACGGCAAATGTAAACAAAATCTTGCGTGAGAGGCCAGCAGCTACCGCCACAGCAGAAAAGAAACGGTGATGGAGAGAAGATCGTAGAAGAAAGAGGAAGGCTCGCGCCTACAGCAATTAGAAACGTGCGAGCGAACGAACAAATAAGCAGGAGCGGGAGGTGGAAAGAGGAGGAGGGGGGCGCGGAAGACATGAGAGGAGCGAAGCTGGGCAATGCTGCAGGGGAAAAACATGCTTGCCCGCAGCCGCGACCCCCCCCCCCCGGTCCGACTGTGGATTGCATTTCAGGCCGAGGAGTACGCACTAGAGAATGACAGCAGCGGTCCAGAACCCCCTCCCCACACACACACTCAACAATACGTACTGTATACGCAGGAAAACACGGTGATTGCCGGTTGTCACTTTATTCACCCTCTTCTCTTTTTTGAGTTCGCAAGACGACGTTGAGGTGCCTCACAACACGCTATAGACAGACATACACGGACAAAAATGATGAAGTACAAGGCGCGAAGGGTAACAAACAACGACAATAAATATATTGCTGCAACATGGCGACGAGAACTGTTGAGTCAACGCACACATATTCTCCTTTTCCCAGTCGCCTTCATCTGTGGCGCCGCTGCAGCGCAATTAGCACTCCGACAGAGAAAGAAGGAGCAAGGTCTTGAAGCTGGTGGACTGTCGTGGAATGGAAATCGGTGAACTCCCCCCCCCCCGGTGCGTTCCCTTACACACACGATTTAGCTCTTCGCGGTGGTGCGGACTCGATCCACCTCCTTCTTGAACTCGGCGGGCGTCTTGTTGGTCATCATCTCCGCGGCGACGTCGTTGAGAATGTCAAACTTTTTGAAGTCAACAAAAACCGACACGATGACCTTCTCCACAACCTCCACTACCGGGACGGTGGGCTTCCACTCAGCATTATCCAGCAACGCCTCACACACACCGCCCACGTCGGACACCATCGGATTAAAGATGGGTGTCAGCACGCGCACCTTTGGGGGCTTGAAGGGGTACTCGTCCGGAGAAAGAGTAAACAAAATAGCGTAGGTGGCGCCGGCGTAGATGCTACTCGCCGGTGGGTTGGCGACGACACGCCAGTGAAAGACATCGCCGTTCTTGACTTCGCCGTGCTCATCGGCGTTCTCCACTGACACGATGGTGGAGCTACTTTCCACTGCCTCCTGCAGGCGACCGAAGTCGAGGCCGGCGCGACGCAGCGTGCGGGTGGACATTACAAAGACAACAACAATAACAAAAAGAATCGGTGGGGATGTAAAAGGAGGCCTCCGCGGTAGGCGGCAATGCGTCCGTGCTCTGCTGAACCCAACGGAGAGAGAGAAACTGAAGCAAAGATTCGCAGCGACTCCTATACTGATATATATATTAAAAGTGGAATGAGGTTTTCCTGCGTAAAGATCTCTTTCTTGTGAGGGAATACGAATACTGATCAACTCGTATGCGTCTTCCAACCCAAAGCTACAGTGAAGTGATGACCTTTTTGGGGTGGAGCCGTGTGCCCCCAAAACGATAGCAGTTCAAGATGACCTTGAGGTTTGCGATGGTGAAGGCCGGAATGAAATGATCCGCAACAGAAGAGGAGGATTAAAAGAAGAAGGAAAGAGGAAGCAAAGGCCACAAATGCCACTAGAGCTATGGTGGTCACGATACACACGCTCACGAAACACTTCGTGTGACAAGCGCATCTCGAAAGCGCAGGCATTCACTAGGCACGAGAAAGACAACCGGCTTTGCCTTACGACGTTGCTCTCTCCGCAAGAAGTTCGATATTGCAAGGAGAAAAAGAAGGACCTTTTTTTGCCGGGGAGCCCGTTGTAGCTAGATGACGTTAGCGCCACGTTGATTCTCATTTTGAAGTTTCTTACGGAAACTGCAGCAAAACAGAATCGATTATTTTTCTTTTTGAGGAAAAGGAGGAGAGAGAGAAAAAGAAGAAGAACGTAAACCACACTAATAATAATGATCAGAATTAAACAAAAGAAACGAAAGAAACACTTTTGTTGAGTTAGTTAGAAGTATCCTTATCCTGGTAGAGCCAGGCGAGACGAGGAGCGGCTTTACCAATATAAATATTCTCTGATTAGTGCGAGGTGTGTTTGTTAACCCCCGTTCATCATATACAGCTGATGTGTAGTAATGAACTGAAGAACTCACAAAAAGACAAGAATCATCACGACCTTCATCGGTGCCGCCACGTTGCTTTTCTTCTTCGTTCTCTTCTTTGTTTTTGGTTTTTTGAACCTCACTCACCTTGGAAACTCCGCCGTCACCGGTGAGGAGGGGTAAACTTGCATCACGTTGTCTGCGTTCTCGTTGATCAGCTGCTGCTTTATAAAGTGCTGAAAGGCGGCCTCGTCGTGGATCAGCAACTTGTGGCCGGTCTCCTCGGTGCATTCAGCCATCACGGGAGGCAGCTCTCCCTTCTCCAAATTGACATACACGTTGTTGTTGTACAACGTCGTCTCGTCCATCATGGCGACGTAATCGGCGAAGTTCTCCGAGAACATTTTGAAGGAGCGCAGCTGCATCGAGATGGGCACGCCGCGGTTGGATGAGAACTTCCGCAGAAACCCGCGCGGCACGGCGATCTCCACGTCCACGGTGATGCCTAGGAGAATAATTTTGTACGGAAACGGCAGCACCGGCTGACGTTTCTTATCGGCGAGGAAGTACTGCTCCACCTTCGTCTTGGGATCACACCCGGGGCCTTGCTTAAAGAGGGTGAGATGCGCCGCGCGGATCATGTGTACCACCTGCTGCACAAACGGTTTCCACATCATCGTGCCATCCAGCACGATGCTACGTCCTTGATTCACCGCCTTCACCAGCAGATTCTCCGCTGCGCGGGTGCTGTGTCTGTGCGCCTCGGCCGATGCGAGCTCGCACTCCAGGGGCAGCTTGAACTCGTCCGCGTTCACCAACACACTTTGCTCCTTGTGATTCTGCCACCAGCTGCTCTTGGCGAGTGCGGCGACCGCGGTGGTCTTTCCCGCGGCCATGCCCCCGCCAAGGAAGATGAACAGCGGCTGCTCGGCCGCCTGCTGCGGCTGCTGCCCGGGCTTCCCGTCGCCCTTTGCCGCCTTCTTTCGTGAAGCCGGACTCGATCCTGCGCCGCCACCGCCGCCTCCGTTCCCGAAGAGGTCGCCCTCCCCTGGTCCCTGGCCTTGCAGCCGGCGCAGCGTCACAACGGCGGAGTGCAGCTCGCGGTAGCGCTTGAATTTCTCCTCTTTCCGAATCGACTTGAGACAGGTGGAGATGTCCTTCAGTTTGCTCAGCCGCGGCACGCTCGCCCCCCGTGAGCCGATCCACTCCACCAGCGCCGGCACCGTCAGGTCACCAAGGAGGGGATAGATGACGTGATAGTCGCGTTGCACAATGTCGAGCAGTGGCCGCTGCGGCCGCGGTCGGTGCTTCGTGAGTGGAAGTTGGGTCAGCGGCAACGCACCGTCGTCGACGCTACTGGGGAGGCTAAAATTCTCGACACTGCCAGTAATTGGATCGTGGTGTCGCGAAGGGGACTTGCTGGGCAGCACGGGGGTCGTGTCACCAACGCCAATCCCAAAGAGAAGCTCACTCGGCGTCGGGGCCGCCGGTGCGGTGGCCGTCAACGGGCCGCTGGGACCTGCAACAAAGGGGACGGTCGAGCTGTCCGGTTGACATTCCATGAAGAGGTTGTGATGCGTCGGCGTGGCTGCCGAAACTTCCGTCGCACGGACGAGGGTCGCGGCGTCGGCGGCCGCCACCGCTGCCGCGATTGTACTGGTGATCTCCGCATTTGACCCGCTTGCCGCCGCCGCACCTGCGTCGCCGCCCGGAGACTCCCACTTGATGCGATCTTCTTCCTCGTACTCGGCTGCGTCACTGCCCGTTGCTGGAGATACGGTGGCGCCTGCTGCGTTCAGTGTCAAATCTGGTAGTGATTCGCTGCCACTCAGTTGGCGCGACGACGTCGCTGGCGACAGCGTGCGGGTTCCGCCACTCTTTGTACTCCGTCGTTGTCGGTGGTGCGAGTGTGAGCGAGGGTGCTGACGATGACACGGCTTTAAGTGAAACTTACCGGCTGCGGACGGCTGTGTACGGCCGCCCTCCGAGTTGGGTTGGGTTTGCGATGAACTGTCACCCTTGATGCTTCGTTTGTGCTGCTGCTGGCAGGAGAGGGGTGGGGTGTAGACGATTGTGGGGAACCAGCTGACCTTGTAAAGGGTGGACAGCTCCGGCTCCGCGACGGCGTACACGACGGCGATGGTCGGCATCGGGTTAAGCAGGCGCTTCGCCATTATCATCTGGAAGGCATCAATCACCTCGTTGCTCCGTGCCGAGTACTTGGCGTGAAAGACGGTCACGAGGCCTCGCGTGTTGCGCCGGAGTGCGGCGCGGTAGGTGTTCAAGGAGAGGAAGCGAAGGCCGTAAACGGCGGCTGCATTGAAGACACCAGCCGACATTACATTCGGTGACATTCTCGGCACGCTGGCGGGTTGCATCGCATTGGGCGTCATCGCAGCAGATCTCCCAGTAGGTGTCGTAGCGACCGCAGCGGGCACCTGCGAAGCGCTCTTACCCAGCACATCCTTGCTGTACTCACCGCGGGAGGTCGGGCGTGCGAGAGCGAACCGCGGCAGCTGCGTGGCGACGGCGCCGGCGTGACGGTCGGCACTCTTGCGCCCCATGGGGCTGTTCGCGAAGTGCTTGTGGATCGTAGAGTAACCAAGGCCTTCGAGCTCAGACGAGGCTTTGCTAAGCCCGCCGCTAAGGGGCGTTGCCATGCCGGTGGATTTTGCGACGGAAGAACCTCCCTCGCTGTTTTGAGCCACGCCAAGACGACTCCCTGCAACACTTCCTTCTTTCACCGGCGGGAACTGGCCTGTGCCAGAGGTGGGTGTGTAAAAACCGGTGATGTTCTGCGTGGAGTCGAGGTACGTATGCGGAGTCAGCAGCCACGGCGTGTGCTCCTCATCATCGACGCCGTTTTCCGGCGCCAAGGCAGCGCACATGGGCAAGATGAACTCGCGAACGTAGACCTCGTATTCTCTGTTGATTTGGACAACATAATCGGCGCGATGCCAGTTCCACGAAAAGTACATGGGCACGAGGGTGTTCAGAATGGACAGCAGGTGCTCAACGGCCGTGTCGGGGTCGAAGCTGCGAATGCCACACAGCGGCTCCTCTTCGTTGTCGTCGTTGCGCTGCGTGTCTTTGCTGCTACTTTCGCCGTCGGTGATGTCATCCACCTCGTCGCTGTTTACTTTGTCCGACATCTCCATCTCCACGCTGGCGTCCGGTGAGATCACGCAGTAGGAGGCCCGTTTGCGAATGTAGCCGACGAGCTTGGCACGATCTTGCTGGAAGCGCAACGCCCACTTGCGGGACAGCTCCTGCAGCAACTCAGGGTTTTCGCGCGTGAGGAAGAGCATAATGCAACACGCAGCAAGCTTTGCCACGTACATGAACGGTGGGTGCTCGAGAGCCTTGAGGACGTACTCCACCACGGGCACGTAGGGAGGCGGTGACTGCAACATGTTGATTGAATCGGTTGCTGGTACGGTGATTTACTTGGCTTCGTTTTTCACACGAAGGTTCCCAACAGCAGGAGTGCAAAGTTTCCTGTCTCTCCTGATCAACAATAGTAATAGTAACAGTAGTAATAACGACAACAGAAGGTTTAGTGCTTTTTGATCTTCCTCCGGGTGTTGCCACCGTGTGGGGCAGTTTTCAATCTCGATTATCTACAATCAACGAAAGGAAGCAGCGTGGCCACCACCACAACAGTATGTACAAAACAACACCAATGAACAGCAACAAATGACAAGCCTCGTCGACGAGACGCGGAAAGGAACACAAAGAGAAAAGGAAAAGAGAACGAAGATCAACTGTTGACGGGAGCCCGTCTTCTGTGTTCCTCGTTTGACCTCCACCACGTGAACAGAGAGTCAGTGACTCCTGCGCTTAACGGTGGAAGAAACACTAACAACAAGGAAGGAAAACAAAAAGCGCACACAGACCAAGAAAAAAGTAAAATAATATTAACGAGTGATCTACTCTCCTGCGGAAGGGGGCAATGCGGAAATGCCAAGAGGGAGAAACAGTGCAACACTAAACACAGATTGCTTCGCCCTGCGCGACGGTCTTGAAAGAGGTGTGGGAAGACGGCTTGTATAGATCCGAAGCAGGGAAATGTAGGTAGGGGATATCGTCGCACCTGGACACGTTGAATCACAACGGAAAAGACAGAGATAAAAAAGATAAGAGAAGATGACTTGCAGCGGTTGTTTGATCTGCTCCACAGCGCGAGAAGAAAGAAAACAACAACAAAGAAATGTATTCAGAGGTCACTAGAGTTATCGTCAAGGTTTTCAGAGTGCACGCACGTCTTCCCGAGAAGAGAACCGTGTTGTTCAAAAAGGGAGCAACCCTGACAAACAGAAGAAAGAAAAAAAAACTTCTTCAGCGAAGAAAAGAAGTGGATTTTTGATTGATATAAGAGGGAATTACAAAAATCAGGAGAAGGTGTGTCAACAGAGAAGCAATACAACACACAGGCGAACGCAGAAGCGGAAGAAAACAAATAAACACTAACAATCAGTGAAAGAGAAATTCAATTCGTATCCGGTACGCGTCAAAACTCTTCGTTGGCGAAACGCAAAGAGGGAGAAGCGATGGAAGAGGACTACGAGATCTTTGCTTATCCTTTTGTCGTTGTTGGTAGCTGCAACGTGTCGGTGTCCGGTGGTGAAGCGAGCGGTGCAGAACTACCCTGTGCGAATGTCTTCTCTTTTCCCGCCCTCCCCTTCTTGACGAGTACGGGGTTAAACAATTAAAAGGGACCTTATTCACCAGCTGCGTCTGAAAAGAAGAAAAAAGACGGAAGGCGTTAATTAAATGTTTTGAATGTTGTGTGGTGTGATGGAAAAAGGGAAAAAAAAAAGGAGTCCAATCGAACCAGGAGTATCGAACTTCAATATCCAGCGTGGACAGCTTTGCAGCCCTCTTGACCAACACGTGCGGGTTTGACTGCCGGAAATATAGAGCTATCCACCGGTGCCACCGATTGATCGCCGCCGTAATAAGCAAAAGAAGAAAGAGAAAGAAGGAAGAAGTCGATTAGAAAATGGAGACGTGAGGGATTATAATAAAAGAAACAAATCCAAGGAACATAACGGAACGAGAGATGGAGAAGAGAAGGACGTACCGCCCTCATTTATTCGTCTCGCAGCGATACGTAAGGGAGACAGGGCCTACCGTGAAAACCCCAGAAAGGGAAATGTGTGTCCTCTCCTTCCTGGCACGCGGAACTGGTAGTGCGGATTGTGGGAGCTCCGTATGAAACGTTCCACACTTTCGTGCCCAATTTATTTTGCCTTTCCTCCGTAGAACACCGACGACGGTGGTGAAAGCAAAGAAACCAGTCGCGACAGAATTAGTTTTCTTTTCTGAACGTGAATGAACAACACCGGCACAAAATAATTTGTGGATAAATCTGGAACGAAACAATTAAAATGATTACGAAAAAAAAAACTTTACAAAAGAACGCACGGTAGATGATCAACCACGTTGGGCGGAACTCCTCTCCAACGATGAAATAAAAGTGGCGATGAGAAGACACGCTTTTTCCTTGGGGGAGAGAGAGAACCTCCACCTTTGCGAAGTGAACACAACGCGACACGAATACATAAATGAGTATTACGCTGCCGTCATCATGGTTAGCAGACCGTCCACAAACTTCTTCACCTCCTCCGACTGCGACATGACCGTTGGGTTGTAGGCGACAACGCGCTCCCCGTTCTCCTCCATCTTTCCCTTCGTCGGGTCCACGACGTGGATGAAGATGCCGTACACCGTATTCGGGTGCTTCTTCTGAAGACGCAGGGCACGGTACAAGGCGCAGTTGCACAGGTACCGCCCCGCATCGCGAGAGATGGACCAGTGCGGAGGCTGAAACGCCGGCATCACCATCTCGCCTTCCTTCGACTGATCCGCCGCGACCTCGTGCGGCAACGGCGTGGCGGCAGACGCGAAGCCAGCCGTCGACTTACTGGCCGTGTTGAGCTGTCCAATCAAACTCTCCAGGTCCTGCAACTGCGGCGTCCCCGCCTTGCCGAACCAGCTCTCCAACGTGACATCGATAGAGCCGTCGCTGGGCAGAATCGGGTCGTGGTTCAGCACCACGCCATCTACGTCCGGCAGGCTGGCGTACAGCTCATTGTAACCCTGCACCTCCGCACGAATGAGCCCGGTGGTGTCGGGGTGCACGCCGATGTGGCAGAGGAGAATTTTAACGTCGCTGCCGTGCTCAGCGATCGTCTTCTCAATTTCGCCCTCGAGTTGGTCAAAGTACGCGCCGACGGCTTTGATGCTCACCGCGAGGCTCAGCTCCGCGTGAACGGCCACAACGGCGGGGTGGCGCTCGAGGTCCTTGCCGACAAGTTTGGCAATGGAAGCACTGGGATTTACCTTCACCGTGCCAAAGGGCCCGTAGCCAGTGATGAACACCACAACACGACGGGACTTTTTTGCTTCTGCCATTGTGTCTGTGTTAGACGGAGGACCGCCGTGAGATGGGGTCTTGGGTGCGTGCGATCGATTCTTCCGTGAACAACAAGATCAACACCGAGAGAGGCTTCTTAAGGGACGTTTTGCAAGCTGCGAGAACAGCACCGAAAGAAGAAAAAAAGGGTATTAAAAAGCGCGAGACATTATGGGAAACCAGTAAATGTGAAAGGGCAACGACGGATGGCGATTCGATGCACTGCTTCCATCTCAGCGCCGAGTAGCATTGTCGCTCATCAGAGCGCAAACGGTTCGCTGCGCAACGAGGGAAGGGGGGGGGGGCCGTCTGGCAATTCACTTGGCAGCTGGAATATCCTTTCCTGCTGAGTGAAACAGGAAAACCGCGGAAGAGTAGACGTTACAGAAACCTTTTTAGATATACGAATATATGCGTTGTTATGGTAGAGCAGAATACTAAGAAGCGTAGAGCAGCATTCACAAACATGCACCCATCCATGTGTCAACACGACGTGGGCATTGAAGCAGAAGCGACATCAGATTCGATCGTACAGAGAAGTTTGTTCTTCAAAAAACGCTGACTACCATGAAGGCGGCACAACGTCAGAATATGAGCAAATCCTTTTCACTTGTCTCATCAAGTATCGCCCTCGTAGGTCGCATTTAGTCTAGAGACCACTCAAGTTCACTGCAGTCCAGCATCTCAAATATGAACGTTTGCCGCGAACGGACATCCTGGGGAATATGCCTACTCCACAACGTGTCTAATAGTTCCTTTTAGATGGCTCAATAAGTATTACCCCATTGAGATGTATGTGTGTGTGTGTGTGTGTGTGCGTTGAGAAGAATTATTGATGGAGGAGCGAAAGAAGGAAAAATACAAGGGAGGGGAAACAACAGAGACGGTAGCACTGCATCCAGCATTCAAAACAAAGAAGAGACAAATACGCAGCGAGCAGACCGTAGTCTTTTGCGTTACTAAGGACAGCGATGTCACGATAACAGGTATTGAAGAACGCATCGGTGTCAACTACTTGCGTTGTCTTACAGCAACCAATATATATATATATATATACTTAGGCCATTCAAGCCCCATAGAAGACGCGTGGAAAAACAGACGGGTCTCATTAACAACACGAGCAGCTCCGTTTTTCTCTTCATCTTCTGGTCGGTAGTTCAGGTAGTAGTCGCGGGTTTCTCTCGTTCTTGCGGCAAGTGTGAATCATGAGACCTCACGTCTGTGCAACAAACGTGTCGCATCCAACGGTGCTTTCTCTCCAACCCGGTGTCGCCCAGCAACGCAGCAACAACGACGACGACGATGACAATGTAAGCCGAGGCCATACAACAACGACGCCACTCCGCCACACACTAAGAAAAAAGGACATGTTTTGCGTACTTGAGAGAAAAAGGGTAGAAAGAGCTACAACAAACAATCACCAAAAAAATCTATCCACACACCTTTTACCCCTTCTTAGTAGTTAAGTCGGGACCACGGCTCATCCAGGAAGTACTTCACGTGCTCGGCAAAGAAGTAGCCGTATAAGGTCGTGCCGAAGGTGGCCATCACGCATAGGAAGCACAGCAGCTTCAGCCACATCCACTCCGGGTCGTCACGGCCAGCACCGAGCAACTCCGCCACGGCATCAGGGTGGCCCGCGTTGCTACGAGTGGAGTAGTATTCCGGTGCCATGTTGCCACGACGACCCTTTAAAAGAAACTTGGGTTGGTGGTGAAGGGGTGGGGGCTGGACGACGTCCTCTGCTAGATGGGCTGAAGGGGCATTACTTTCTTCCTTGGAGTGCTGCAGAGAACCCGTTTCCACGTGCTGTGCCGTGTTGCTGCCAGTCGCTGTGGGGTTCAAACCTGCCTTGGTGGGTTCCACAGCGGCGCCAGCTGTCGGAAGAGCAGACCGACGCACCAGCGTGGCACTCAGCAGCGCCGCACGCGTCAACCGTGAGCAACGCAGCATTCCGTTTTCTCTTTTGTTTGGTGTTGTGTGCGTGCGTGCGTGCGTGTGTCCGTGTGAGTTCAGTTGTTTGCCTGCGAAGGGATCTGCTTGTGGGGAAGCTGTGAACTCCTAAATTATTTTTGTTGTCTTGCTTTGAAGTGAGATTTACGAACAGATGGCGAGAACAAGAAGATTTCACCGACCGCTTTGGCGCGCACCACCACGGAAAAGCAGCAGGAGGACTGAAGAACAGAGCGGGAGAACGAAAGGTGAAACGTGAGAGAAAACGAATCTGAATGCAAGGTAAAATGAGAATAGAAACACAAAATTTTCCGCGAAGGAGTCATAACAACAGCGATTTTCATCACTCCAGTAAGACAACGACTGCAGAAGCGTTGCCGAAGTACTCTTTGGGAGATGAAGCACTAGCACCAAAGGGAAGAAAAAGAATCAGCGTCATAAGATGTGGGCATCCTTGTGTAGGTTTTTGCTGAGGGGAATTTAGCTCGGAAGTACAAGAAGAAATGACATGACAGAACAATCGTTAAATTAAGAATTGCAAGAAAGAGAAAACAAAAAGTCAACGTAGGGTTTTTGTTTGTGTGTGTTTGCGGGTGGCACACCGCCTTTTGTGAGCAACGCGAGAATAGAAAGAAAGAGAGAAGAACGACCCTTTGAAAAATCTATGCCAAAGTGCTGAGCAAAAGACACAATTACCCGAGATGAATCATTCCCCATCGACGCCCACGCCACACCATACATCTTCTCCGTTTCTCTCAACTCTACCAAACGCAAGCTTGACGATACGGCGACCGCAAGTGACATTAATCGCTGAAAATGAAAACTCACGATGAAAAACCCCCCAAACAAACAAACAAACAAAACCATCGGACGACGGAAGGTAACACCATCGCCGCCCCCTGTCGCAGTTCACCGTCTCCAACAATAAATGCAGTAGATTCGACCTCTGGACCTGGGTTGTTTTTTTTTTTGAGGGAAATGGTCTTCGTTCCGCGCTTCATGCCAACTGACGGTTTCCCAATTTACATGACCGCACAACACCCGCATTTCCCTTTTACTTTCTCGTTCTTTGGACCATCTATGTTCTCGTTGTGACGTAACCGCGGATTTCCTGCGCCGCGCTTTGGGAAAGCAGGAGCCTCATCCGCATCGTCGATCGGTTGGTGGTTTTCGTTCCCCAGAGTTGCGTCCACTCTTAGAGAACCAACACCGGCGTTGCCTCCCCTCCTTGCACCACCGCCGTCGCTGTCGGTGCCACCCGCTGCGTTGTTGTTCGCACTCCCGTTGTTGCTACCGGCCTTCGTCAAGCCGTCGCTCACATTCACGGTATTCTTGTTGGCGCCTGGGGAGTCGGATATGTTGATCACCGTCGCGTTCTGACTCACCGACGGGTTCCTCGCACGCATGCCGAAGCCGCTCAGGTTGGCGCTGTTTGCGCTTCGGGACGGCCCCGCGCCACTTCGATCCGTGCTCGGGTCAGCCGACGGCGTCGGCTCCTCTCCCTCCGGGCGGCGGAAACCACCGAAGTCCATCGTGTACGACTCTACACCATCCGCCAGCACCGCCACGGGTGTCGGCTCACACACCACCTTCTCCGTCGTATCCAAGCCGAGTTGCATGCTGTCGTTCAATCCGCACGTGAAGACAAGGCCGTTGTCGCAGTAGAACATGCTGCCCGCCGGGCCGGCCGCAATGCCGATGCAGCGCAGATCGCCGTTGCCCAACGGAATCGGCGTGAACTTCGCCACCTGCTTCACATCGCGGCCCAGCCCCAGCTGGCCGCTCTCGCTGCTCCCCGCACCGTAAACCCTGCCGTTGCTCGCTAACGCGAGCGAGTGGCAGTCACCCGCGGCGACCTGGACAATGAAGTGGTGCGACAGCTCCTCCACGAAGCACGGCTTGCGGCGCGCGTCTTGAATTTCGCCGTTGCCGAGTTGGCCTTTCTTGTTGCGCCCGAAGGTGTAGAGGTGGCCGTTTTGGTCGATGATGAGCAGAAAGCCCGTCCCGCTCGCCACGCGGGACACCGGTGTGCGGCAGAGCGTCATGACGCGGCGAGGCGTGCTGACCGCCCGCTTTGACGCCGTCGTTTTGTAGACGATGGAGTCGGTGCCCACCATGTAGTAATCCTCGCCGTAGCCCAGGTCCAAGAATCGGACGTGGCGAGCTGGAATGATGGAGCGAGTTGGGTTCGACAGCGCAGAGAGTGGCCGCACGGTGAACGCGCGCGTAACGATGGCGAGCCGCTGTCCGTGCCCGACCAGCATCAGCGTCTTGCCGGCAATGCCGGTCATCGCATCTTCAATGCCCAAGGCGGTAGGGCCGTCCACAGACGAGCTCGACACCTTCAAACCTCCCGACGCCCACACCTCATCTTGGCTCGACAAAATCGCGAAGAAGCCATCGCCGGCGACGCAGCCGCGACCGCGGAGGTGCTGTGGCACCTTCACGCCGTGCCCCGCACCAAAGGTGATGAGCTGCTTCGTCTGCCGATCAATAAAGCAGCTCGTGTTCCAGCTCATGGACATGGCGGGGATGTTGTAGCGCAGAGCGTAAATCGGGACAGCAAACATCATGACCTGCTGAAGCACACGCAACGTGCTGGAGGCAACGCCGTACTGCTGTGTATCCGGCGAGTTTTCCACAACGCTGAAAGCCTTGTTCGCCTCCAGAGGCTTACCGGAGTCTCTCAGCACCGCTTCCTTCTGCCGAGCCGACTGCTCCATTTCTCTCTTTTCTTCGTTGCCGTAGACGCGTCCGCTGGCCTCATCGCGGTGCTTCCGCCCCCACGATGTCAGCTTATACTCCTCCTTATCCGTTGTGGTGGAGTGCGCGTCGAGGGTACTTTGTCTCGCGTGAATTAAGGCGAGCATGCTCTTGAAAATGGTGTCCCCGCCGTTCATGCTGCGGCGCGTCTCCATCCAAAACTCGGCATCGGAGATCATTTTCACTAGGTTTACCAAAAAGGGAAAATAAAATCGTAAGAAGCGAAAATGTATGTACTTTCTAAGTTCACAAGGCTATTCTTGGTATGACTGTTGAAGTGCTTGCTACGTGCATGTATAGCATCACAAGGAACTTCGTTCAGCGGGAGTGGAGGGGCACAACGAATGGCTACCAGTATAAGAACTACAATCACGATATAACAACAGCTGAATTGCAAAAGAAAAAGGGAGGGAAAGCGCTTTGGCTTGTTTGGCGTCAATTGATGCTTTCCTTCGCCTCTAGACCCGTATTTGGTTGGACAAGGTGCAGCTGCGTCAACGCATCGGCGTGGTCACTCGGATGCGACACCCCACGCACGACAACAACAACAAAGAACGAAGGACTTTTGAAGTACAACAGATCCAGAAGGCAGAAAAAGCTGCGGTTGTGATGGTGGAGGTGAGGACGCAGCTGCGATATATATATATATATATATATATATATATATTTCTCCAGCTGTTGGGGGTTTTGACAATGCTAATCGGAGGCACTGACAATAAAAGCCGAGGGAGAAAAAAGCGTAGGGGAACAGAGGAGAGGGTAGTAGTAATGCGGCCGCAAAGTCCGTGTAAAAGCTGTTGTTATTGCTGTTATTATCCACTACCATTCCACTCTTTCAGACGAAACTGCGGAGTGTGAGGGATGGCATTTACAAAGCATCAGCGTGTTCACACGAGTTGCGGCCCACACTATTTAGCCCGCCTTTTTCCACGCTGGTCGTTACCTCCAGCATTTGAATGTTGTTATGAACCGATTGTGTTACCGTCAGCCAGGAGAAACACACACACAGAGAGACACAAACACGTACGCGTGTGTCAACGGTAATCATATAATACCCAAGAAGAATACATTCCAATCGGTACAGCAATTCCACATTTCTTTTATCATACATACAAACAAGAAGGAACAAATATATATACTCGTAAACGGAAGCACGGAGATGGCAGCAGGGGCGACAGTATCACTCCGCTTGTCGCCCTTGGTACTATTATACATTGTAAACGCCGCTATACAGGTAAAACACACACACACATTTTGTTGGTTTATCCCCCCCCCCCCTTTCCTCTCCCTCCCCCCAAGTGAGGAAAAGGGTTCTACTAGGAATAAAGTTCACCTCGCGAGCTCAAAAGCAAACTTATCTTGATTGTTGGGTGTTTTTTCTCCTTCGCCACAAGAACGAACATTGGTCCCCCAAACGTGAACTTCTTTAATCGATGCCGAGCGTTCGCCGGTGTTCTTCGTTGACGTACGGAACGTAATAGGGGTGCTCGTAGGTGGTGCCCACTCGAGCTTTACACTCTTCCGGTCCCTCCCGCAGATGCGCAGAGTTATGCGCGTGTGTGAGCGCCAGCAGCCGCTCATCACGATGGAGCCGCGACTCTTGCTCCCGTCGCTGCTGAGACCGGATGGCACGACTCAACACGGCAGGCTGCGAAAAGGTGAGTTCTCTTTGGTCTTGCTCCGCCGACGCAGGTGGATTCGAATTGTGGTCAACATCTGGTGCTGCGGCAGCAGCGGTGGCCAGGGCGGTAGCCGCCCGCTCCCGCTCTTCGCGCATCGGCAGAGTTGTATCACCGTAGAGCTCCACCGCACGGTCAAAGTCACGCTCTTGCTGCTTCCGCTCCACCGCGCGGCCTAGCTCTTGTTGTTGATAACGGCGCAAAGAGTACTGTAAGAGACGCGTGTCACGGCTATCGTCGTGCAGCATTGCGCGCCACAGCCGAAACGCGCGCTGAATTACTCGCGCCGACCGCGCGCGTACGAAGTTAGACTGCTCCGCGTCGATTTGCGCGTTGAACGCTGCGCGCCGTCGTAGCACGTCTGTAGGGAGTTGCCGGATCGCCTCCTGCCACGCCGTCCGCTCCTTCGCTGCCCTTGTCTCCACAAAGAGGGGAATGTGGAAGCGGTCTCGCTCCTCGTCAAGCAGATGCTGCACCGCACCGCCGCGGGCACGACATTGGGACTCGTACTCGTCTGCGCGCGCAGAGAGTGCAGCCGCGGAAGCGCAAGGCTGAGGCGCAACGCTTTCCTGCGTGAGAGCGTCCGTGTCCTCCGCAGCCGAGATACGGTGCTCGTCCGCACTCAAATCGCTTTCCAACCGCTGCTGCGTAGCGGGGGCCTCGCTTTGAGAAGCTGATTTCTCTTCTGTGTCGCCGCGCTCGATCGACAGTGCGTAGGGGTTCGCTTCATCTATCCGCTGCCGCAGCTCTCTCATGCGGAACCGAATGCGTCCTTCATAGCCGCGCCACACCCGCTGAATGTCCAGCGCAGCGGCGTGCTGTCTCCGCAGCGTCGGCGCATCGACCCCGCGTTGTCGCTGATCGGCCCACGTGCAACGAAGCCACTGCTGAATCCTCGTAGCAGGCGCGTTGTAGCGCTCCTCGTACAATCGCCGACGCGCCTGGCGGGCCGCATAGCGTCGAAAGGTGCACTGCACGATCATGGCAGCGTAGTCCCGGGCTTCTGCGTCTGCCCTCTGCGTGTTTTCGGATGCCTTCTTCTGCCTTGTCTGGTTGTCACGCAGACGTTGCAAGGCACCGCGCCACAGAGCTTGCAGTTGACAAATGCGCTTGTGCAGATCGGCTTCGTGCAGTTGCGGATCAACTGAACAGCCAGTGAGTCGCGCCGCACCGCGCACACACGCCGTGCGATCTTTCCACCTCCTCGCACATCGCACCACCACCGCCGGCACCACGTAGTTGGCAATTCGGCCGTGTTGCTGCGACGGCGGCGGCGGCACCGTGACGGTGTGATGCTTCGTCGTGATCTTCTTTCCCGTGGCAGCGGCGAAGGCGAGGCGGTCGCGGCGGCGGCGCTGAAGCTCCTGGAGGCGCCGCAACTGCACGTGGCGGCGCGGCTGCCCGACTGAGCTCCACCACTGCGTCCACGCCCGCTGAATGACGCCGGCGGCGCGGGTTTGCGTGCGCTCCTCCACCCGTTTCAGGCCCTGCTGGAAGGCGTTTGTCGCCGACGCCGCGGCCTCTTCCGCCTTCATCTTGCGCCGGTACGCCTCCTCTTCTGCCAGCGCTGCCTGCCGCTGGGCCGCTCTGTCCGGGCGTCGACTGCTGTTGCTGCTTTGGCCAAACAGGGTGTGCCGACCTGGCGGTTGCGTTTTCCGCCCGCTGTTGCTGCAGCTGTTGTTGGTGCTGCTCCTGGCGGACGCGGGCGTTTGCGGCGACCCCGTTGCGTATTCGGTTGCCGCTGATGGAACGGCAGGCGCCGTGGCGAAGAGAGACGTGCGCTCCTTCTCCCGCCTATCGGTGGAGTGCGGAGCTGGGGTGGTGCTGCTGCTGCCGCGCGCAGGACGGGGTGCGTGCGCGTCAACGGGAAGGGTCTGCGCAAACACGTTGGCATTGCGGGCCGAACCTTTTCCTTCCGTGGAAGGGGATTCGAAGAGGGCAGACGCCTGCGTTGTCGGTAGAACATGCGTCGTTGCGTTGGAAGCCGTGAGGGGCGACGGAGGAAGAGGGGCACTGAAGCGCAAAAAGGATGGGTACACCACGCTACCGTTTTCCTCCCTACCGCACAGCTCGCGTAACGTGGTAGCCCGATGCTGGTTGAGACTCAGAACGGAGGGGCGAAACGGCTCCTGCAGTACCGTTTCCAGGCCCTCGTCAGGGAGGCGGAGGTCAGCCGCGGAGAGGTGGGCGGAGTCGAGGCAGAGGGCATCGACGGAGGCGGCCACGTTGCTGTCGCGACGAGGTCCATCACCGTCATCGTCAGCCCCTTTCGAGCTTTGATGGGTTGACGCGTCAACGCCACACGACGCACAGTCGTCAGCCCGTTTCTCCACACACGTGGGAGTGAGTTGGCTCCCACCCGAAGCCGACAAGACATCTTTTTGCCCTGTTTTTTCCAACGACCCGCGAACGGTGCGGTCCGCTAGAGTCGGCGAAGAAGTCCGGCGTGCAACCTTTGCGGTGTCTTCGAGTTTAGTCGAAGTCGCGTCTACCGTAGCGTTGTCTACCGCAGCAGGTCGCGGCATGGCAATAGGTTGACCGAAATTCAAGGTGTACAGCGCAGCCCGTGCACGTTCCTGTGCCGAGGAGAACCCTGCCGGCGCCTGCTCCACTGGTGGCGGCGTCTGGGATGGCACCGTGGATGGCGCCTGATTGCTGCGCAGCGTCGATGACCCCTCCGGCTGTGAAGGCGTGACCGCGGCAGAAGAGTTGATCCACTGCGATGTAAGTCCGCACTTCTCTTTCAGCATTTTCGTCGTCGGGTGCTGCTCGCCGAGTGCTGCTTGCGCCTCTCGTAGCGCCTGCAACATCGTCGGCAGCGCTGCACTGCGGCTGCGCTCACTGGACTGCTGACCCAGCGCCACCGCTAAGTTGTGGAGGGCAGTGATGAAGAGCACTGGCTCCCCGTCCTGCGCCGCCGCCGCACACTCCGTCGCAATCTTCAACGCCTCCTTCACCTCCCCTTTACTCAGCAGCACCGCGGAGAGGTTCAGCATGGTGGAGCACGACGGCTTGCCGAACACCGTCGATTCCACCTCCTTCGCGAGCATAAACTGCTGCAGCGCACCGTCGCGTTGGCCGTCGCGGCGCAGTTGGCAGCCGTAGTTGTTTAAGGTCAACGCGTACACCAACCGCCACGACTGCACGACGACTTCGTCCGGCGCCGCCCGCGCATTGGACGACTCAACCTGTACGAGTCGGTTCCGCAGTTCGGGGAGGAGGGAGGTTAAGATGCGACGACTGGTGCCGCCGTCGCCGCTCCGCAGCGCTTGCATCGCCTCCTCATTCCTGCGAGTGAAGTCCGCCAGACTTGCGCTATCCATCTCGCGTGCAGCGGCGGATATCGACGCGGCTTTGACAGCCGGAGAAGCTGTCCGCTGGCGAGGAGAGGATTTGCGCCGCTTCTGCGGTCTGTTTTGCTTTGGTGGCGATCGGTGGGGCCTCGCGGAGGATGCTGCTGCTGGTACCGGAGCCCTGCCGGAGTGACTGCCGACCTGCATGTTTCGTGTGAGCGCCACTTTTCTTTTGGGGGGTCAAGAATACTAAGGAATGTGCAATAATGGCTTTTTGGTTTTATGCATGTGCTGGTCCCGGTAAACTGGAGCCCAAATGAAAGACCGGCTGATGCCTTTTATCCGTCAGGGTGTGTTCCGCTCAACTGCAGTACAAGGCTTCGCCACCGCTCTATCGTTCGCTCTTTAAATCTCCGGCAAAGAAATGGAATGTGAACGCCAGCACGAAAAGGAAACGCGAGGAGGGAGGGGGAAGGTAGAGAAAGGAAGCGTACAAAGATATACACTTGTCGTTGTTCCTGAAAACTGGATTCGTACGCCACACAGCACGGCTCTGCAGCGTTCATTCACCTGAAACTACTCCCTATGCGAGGTAAAACTCCGTTACGCACAATGGAGCCGCGAACACGGCTTCGAGGAGATGCATCTCCCTTTCCCTTCAGCAAAGCTGCACGGCGGAAGACGAGAAGACAACCACACGCGCATAAATCCGTCCAAACATTGCAGTCAAGGCACTGTGAGCCCAGTGGCTTGCTGTGTACCGTCCGAAGGAAGATGCTTTGCGTTGTCGTCGGGCATCTAATTTATGTTTTACGCTACTACCTATTCAGAAACAAGAAAGGGAGAAACATATCCGGATAATATGTAACTGAAGAGGACCACAAGGGAAAAATACAAAAGAGAGGCGTTTGAGCCAGAGCTCAGCCGTCTTTTGAGAAACGGAAAAAAAGTGAAGAGAACTCTTTTTACACAACGCTTAGTCAAAGCTGTTGCGTGTGTATGTCGGGGGGGGGGGGGCCGACACCCAAAAGCAGGTACTCTCTCATTTGACCAAAGAGGAAGGAAAGCATATATATATATTTCCAGATAGGACAATGCAGCTGCATGCAGTGATAAATCACACGAAACTACAGAGCAAGTTCCACGGGACGATGCAGCTTCTCTCCCAACAACAACCGCGACAGTAAAAAGGAAAGCTTGCTATTTAAAGAACACCATCCACTGTGAGAATCGTGGCAGCCACGATACGTTATCTATAACATAATTTTATAAACCGAAGAAGAGAGAAGAGAGCAAAAATCAACCTTAAAGTTAACAGCACTGGGGCGACGGGAGGAAACGGAAGAAGTGACGATCTAGCCCCCTCGCTCACGCACCAATAATCGTTCGGCCCCGGGGAGTAACGATGACAATTTTCATCAAAACAGAAAGGGGGTGAAGACGGGCAAAAGAGGGGGAAAAATATGAATATCCCAGCGAGTCTCGCGCTACCACGACAAATAACCTCCCAACTTGGCCGGGCTGCGTCCTCTTCAAAAGACCAAGAGGTAAAAGCAGCATCCACCGCAAAACAACGAGATACGGAAAAGAAGACTCTCCCACGTAAAACAAACAAAAAAGTGTACAACGCAGCTCGGACTCCTCTTTTCAGTTTCTTTGCATTCACAAAACAACCGCCTCGACGCGTAAACGGTGAAGGCGACCACACGCACGCACAAAGGCGATCACAAATGTCCCACGAACAAGCACACGTGTGCGTCTCTGCAACGTGGAGGACGTATCTTTCATTCGCCACCCTCGACCACCTTTATAGCGTTTTCTTTTTCCTTAATTCAAAAGCCACGGCAACACCAAATAGGAATAAAAAGATATAGCCGAGGAAAACAAAGGAGAGCAAGGTAAAGAGATCAATGATGACGTAATGTAAAGGAAGAAACAGGAACATATTTTTATGGACATTTTCATTTATTGAGCAAAGGCGTGACCACACAGTCCAAACTACTTACGAACAACGAAGCTGCAGAGTATAGAGCCGTACTTGTATTGTACGAGTGTGTGTCCACGATCACAGCATTGTCTCGCGTGGAGAGATGATGTTTGAAAGAAGATCGACAAGCAGAAGAACACAATTAATAAAATGAGAAAACAAAAAACGAAGCACCACCCAAGAGTAACGAACAGTGTTCCAACGGGGCGCAAACTGGGATCGGTATGGCAGAGATATATTTTATCGTTTAGTGGCGTAAAACACACACACACAAATGAACGCGTTTATTGACTATATAGCGTACCCATAGCTCTCTTTCATGCAAAAGCACGCTGCTCCACTTTGAGCGATATATGTATAAGTGGAGGATAGAAAAGAAAGGCGTGAAGGTGCGTAACGTCTGTCTCTCAGCATCATGGATTCAAAGAAAATGAAGGGAAAAAAGGGTCCCCTGGGGAGACACAGCAAGAGAAGCGGAGAAAACTCCGCAGCGCAGAACACACCTAAGTTGAGGGAGAGATTGCGAAAAACAATCTAGCAGATTCGGAAAATATATTTATATGTATGGAGCACTACAAGTGCCACTTCGCTACATAGATCCGCTAGGTTTATCGGTAGTGAACAAACACAACACCACAAAGGGACACACTCCCCAACACACACATACGTCTATCGCAAAAGAGAAAAAGAAAGAGCACGACAGTAACGTTGTGAAAACAACGACGAGAAGAATACGACTGTTTCGGTGTTACCTTTGATGCGCATAGTGTCCGATAACAATACAAAGAAAGGAAAAGTTGATGGCTCAGTTTGCGAGGTCACTACCGCATCAAGATGCAGTAAGTCCGTTGCGCTAACGCTTACCATGCTGAGTGAAGAGGAGTTCCAGTAGGGTTCGCACGTATATCCGCACAAACTAACCAGAAAAGACCGAGCAATGAAGCATGACTCCTTGATGATGTTGTTGATCCTTTAAAGAGGGAGAGAGAAACAATAAAACGGTCAACACGCAGCACCGCAATGGAGACGCAGACGCCAAAACCCAGTTCGTCACTCAGAGCAGCGTTTCTATTACCACACATTCAACACTAGCCTTTTTTACAGTAACATTAGAGGTACATTAAAAAGGCAGTTAGCGATTAATAAAAATAATAAAATAAGCTGCCGCTATTAACAAATTGAGATGTAGCTTCAAAGAAAAAGGAGACTCTTCATGAAAATAATAATAAGAAAGCAAAACAGGGAAGGCTCTTGGCCCATCACACAAGGACAGACCAAAAAATAATGGTTTTGGCACACACCCACAAACAAACAAGCAAAAAATACTATCGCGAGCACAAGGATCAGGTGTTCCGTACTCCACGATCGCGAGAGAACGAGGAAGAGCTAAGGGGTACGTGGAACGCTTGCTTCACCACTGGTGGAATCGGTGAAGAACACCAACAACTGCATGAGCGTGCTGCGAAGAACACCGTGCAAAGGATAATAGGGCGACTTCTCTGTTCACATAAATCACTGTACGTACCTGCAAACTGTCGCAGTTACATCAAACGCAGAAACCCAATATGTACAAAGAAAAGAAGAAAGAGCTCTTTTGAAGTCCGCTACAATTAGCAGCCATTTTTTCCTTTTATATCTGCTTCCGCCTTGAGTTCTACGAGCACGAAGTTGAGACACAACTGTACATGCAGTTTTTATTTTTCAAAAATAATATTTCCCTTTGAGGCGTTGCTGCGCAACGCGCATTTCTATCCGTTCAATTTTATTTTTTTCTCCGGCGTCAACTATTTTTGTTGGCTGGCCCGTTACGACAACGACGGCTTCAGCGGGTTTACAATGGGCCGAGAAAACGACAACAAAACATGAAAATGTTAGACTGCGCAAATGAAAGAAGAGAAGAACAAAAATGGGTGGCTGCACACAGAAGAAAATATTGTATGACGGCACTTTCCGATGATTGGCGTCGTTTACTTTGCTACTCTCCTGCGCGTGTTTGTTTTCCACCCTTCGCAATTGCGAAGCGGCGAAGGGGAAACCAAAAGTAATCTTTGAGAAAAAGAGACGGTAATGGAATAAAACAGAAACAACAGCTCACCATGCAAAATGACGCAATGGCTCACCCAGTCAACCTGATAAAATATCCTGTCACCCATTCGTAGCAACAGCTTTGGGAAAGGAAATGGTTTCAAACAAACAAAAAAAGAAACAAAACGTAAAGTACTTGCAAGAAAAAGAAAAGAAAACTATGTCAACAGCATCAACGCAAAAACAACAACAACAATCAGCAGGCAACAAACCTCAAGCACGCACGCGTGCACAGCTGCTATTTATGACGAGGCGGCAGATACGCCTCGCCTCGAAAAGCACTGCAGCGGTATGCTACTCGCTACCTTCCGTGGGCAGAGAACGCACAGCTGCGTGAGAATACGCAGCGGCAGACGCAGAAGAACGTGAACCAGTTGCCGCAAAACGCCGCTGAGGCGACGCCACCGCAGGCACTGCGCCTCGCTTTCCTGCTCTGCGGTCTCGCGCGTGAGAACGGCCAAAAACGCGTGCAGAAGCCGTTGCTGCATCACGGCATCACGTGCGTGATCTTGAGAGGCGCCCACATCGGGGGCCCAGATGTCCCTGCCGTCCTCGAGGTGCCACTGCGAGGAGCACCCAGGTGGTGGCAGAAGCCGCATGGAGGAGTGGTGGGATGGGCTGACGGAGGAGAGTCCCTGTGACTGCATCGAAGGAGCAGCGCGGGAGTCAAAGCGGAGAGGCGAGAAGACATTCACCTCCGCTGGGAGTGCGCTGCTGCTCAGGCTAGCGGCCGTCGTGTCATTCCATGGGCTTTGTCCCGGGCGCGGCGCAGAGTAGGGCGGGCTCACCACCGACGGCTGCTCCCCGGCGTTTCTTGCGCTGTCCAGCTTCATCGCCAGCCCTCGCGAGTTGCGCTTCTCACTCACTGCAGCGAAGAAGCTGAAGGAGGGCGAGTTAGGTGAACGAAGGCTCTTGGTGCTGTTGACGCTGGAGTTTCCCTCCTCGACGGCGAGTGACTCCGATGCGATGCACAGGAAAGGGTGCTTAGACGTGGGCGACGCAATGTTCGGCTCCGTCGGCGTCATGGAGAGGGATGAAGCCGTCGTCTTCGGCTCACTCGCGCTGCGGTCCTCGAGGTCGGGGAGGGGCGACTTCACTACGTGGAAATCAGCGTGACTGTCTTGCAGCACCAACGCGCAGTTGAGCTCACCGAACTGCGACGCCTTACGGCCATGACCACACCGGAACGGCGGGAGGGCGAGATGTACACGCGGCGACCCACAGAGGACGTCCACTTCGGCGAAGGCCGGCCCGGTGCAGCGACGGCAACGCGGCGATACAGCCATTTGACGTACCGCAGCCCGCACCGTCACAGGCGACGTCGCACCGCGCTGCTTGTGCGCTGCAGACACATCTTCTGCCGCTGCTCGCACAGGGGTGCAGTTCGAGGTGCGGACGTCGCACCGCGCGCTGGGCACGTCACGGCAGCGGCCGCGATCCGCGCAGCCAGCGGTGATGGCGGACAGCTCGGCGTCGGCGGTAGCGAAGGGGCTGCTGCGGCGAGTCGGGGTGGCAAAATGCGACACCCGCCGGTTGGAGAAGGGACTTTGGGTGTCAAAGGCGCTCATCTGGGCGGGAAGAACCACGAAGACAAACGAGCTGCCTCCACGGTGTTCCGGCGAAATCGGAAATTGAGATCTTCCGCGTCTACGAAGGAGAGCACTCCACCACAAATCAAAGCTGGACGAAACCGTCGGTATCACCCAAGAGAGAGAGAGAGATAAAATAAAATGAAGAGTTAAATCGAAACCTGCTCACTCCCACGTGCTCGTTACAATACAATAACAACACAAAGAGAAACGATAGTGTCTTTCACACACACACAGAAAGGAAAAAAAAACACCCTCGCTCACACACACGCATAGGAAAGGAAGGAAATCAATCTCACACGTCTTTCCCTGTGAAGTTACACACACTGCTCGCACCAGTTCAACCACCACGGTAACGTCAATCAGACGCGGTCTTAATCCCTTTCCTTTTAAACCCTCTTTTTTCCAAATTGCAGTGCGGAGACGAGTTTTGGCGCCTCAACGGACACGCACGTCCACCTAAACGATACTACTACTACTACTACTACTACGACGCAAAATAGTGGTTTCTCTTAGCCGCATAAAGCTCAACGTAGAAGTTGTACCAGATGAAAATAGAGAGCGGTAGAAAACGGTGATAGTTCACGGACAACAAAACGGCGCTGATCACAGTTGCGAGAACAAACACAAAGAAGAGAAGCGTGAAGAACAACAACAATAACAATAACAGTAGAAAGAACAATCGAAACGGCGAAGAAGAGAAAGCAGCTGCTGAGTCGTCCCAGTAATCAGCAAACTGGAAACTGGAAGCAAAAAAGAAGGAGGAGAAATAAGAAAAGGAATAACCTTCTAAGGACAGCTGGAAAAAAACGTCTTCTTTCGTTGAATTTGTAGTCGGTGACTAGTAAGGACGTGCAGACACAGCACCGTTTACAGTAAAGATGAGTAGCTGCTTCAAGGCTGGCAGCAAGAAGCGAGATCAGAAAAAAAAACCGCCAGCGAAACAAACAAAGACCGAATTTAATAGGTGTGGAAACCAAAGAAGAAAAAGGTAAAAACGAGAATCGATAGTTCATGTAAATCACCGCCAAACAGTCAGCGAAGCGCTTTCTCTCACTTCGGAGGATTCCAAAAGTTTCGAGAACGCTCGTTTGGACGAAACAAACAAAGAACAGTCTGTTGAGTTTTCAAGTAATAGTAATAAAAAGAAAAGAGGGAGAAGAAAAAGAGTTTAATAAATAATGGTTTGCGTCCGAGTGACACAAGAGCAAATTCTATTGTTTGTTTCGCTTGGAGCTGCGAGCAAAGACACACACACACGTACAGGGAAAAAAAAAATTGCCAGCTCGTAACGAGCTACTTCTCGCAAATTGAGAACTTTTTAAAAAGGAGGAGGAGAAAATATATATATATAAAGAAAGGTTTTTGTTTTATAGAAAGCGCAGCTGCCGCAATGAGAAAAGAACGTCGTATACAAGAAGTTGGAAGGGTATCAATGACGTTTACCACGATCTCAGCGTTACATGCGCGGCACCTAGAGCGTAGTTTAGTAAACAAGTGCGTCAGTCGGTGCGAACAGTACCTCGAAAAAAGAAAGAATACAGAAAATATGGCTGATACATATAGAGAAGTGTGTGGGAATAACGAGTAAACAAAGCAGCCAATATGGTGACTGCGTCTTCTAACGTCTGTGATACCTTTTGGATTTTTTGATATTTACTTATAAACAAATTTATCGTTATAGGAATATGTTATCCTAACTCCTTTGAGACTGTAAAAGACGAATATCAATAATAGTCCGTGTAGAGGGTAGTACGTTTGGAAGTTTTTACGCACGATAGCAGAGAAGAGCAGAGCGCATTAGGGAACAGAAAATAATAGTGAAACATGGGAATTCAGCAGAAGAGAGATGACAATAGGCCAGCAACAAAGAACACCAGCAGAAAGAAAAACAACAACAAAACAGCGGGCAAGCATAAACGCCGTTAGCGAAAACTCCCATCATCACCGTCTTTCAAGCATTTTTCAACGTCAAACTCCTCACACCAGGAGACGGATGGCAGCAAACACACCCCCCCACCCACACACACACACACACATCGCGGAGACCCTGTTAGCTCCGTATTTTAAGAGGCCATAATGAAGCTTCTTGAATGTATCGTTACATTGTTCCAAACTAATCGTTCGTTGCATTCATTTTCTTTCTGTTCCTGCTACTCCTCCAGTCACGCACGTGCGAAGGAGTTTCACGGTGCTTCAACTAAAACAAACATCAGCAGGAGAATCATACACAGAGGAATGAATAAGGTTCGCCTCAAGTGGGGGTTACTCGAGTAAGAGTCCTTCGCTATAACGAGACCCTCACACAGCATCACCGCCGGGAGACGTTTTGTAAAAGAGAATCCACATGTGACTCGAGCCGCGAGAGCGTGCGTTCGAGGTGACCGATGCCCACCACTCCTCCGGTCACCTCACGCTCCGTCGCGAAGGCCACCATCTCACGAAGCTCGCGGCGCGCCTGCTGCTGCGGGGTCCGCGAAACGTCCGCTTGCGTCTCTGCCATGTGCTTCCACCACTCCTTGAAGAAGGACTCACCGCCGCAGCTGACAAAGACGTCGGGTTGGATGACGTCGCACCAGTCAAAGAAGTTGATGTGCCGCTGGGCAACGTTGATGTCGCGCAGCTCCTCGTATACCTCACGAAGTGCGTCTGAGGTGCGTCGCACTGGATTGTGAAAGTTAGGCGAGCTCCGGCGGTGAGACAGTGGAGCCGATTTACTCCTGTTGGACGCAGCTGCGCGTCGAAAGTGAAAAGGCGACGCAGAAGGCAGCGGGGACTGCGTCTCCTCTGCTGAAAACGCAAGAGCCGCTAAACGTCGCGCATGTGCAGCGTTCTCCGCACCGGTCGATGCCGCGGAAGAGGTCGCGTGCTCTGTTGCCGCGCGGAGGCGTGCAGAAAACCGTGTCGCTTGCTTTGCGTTGCTGCCCACGTGCGACACCGCAACGGATGCCGCGTCGCTCTGGCCAACAGACTGGCCCTCCACGATGTCATCCGACGTGCGCAGTCGCTTTGTGTTGTCGTCACTGAAGCTCATCGGGCTCATGGAAGAGCTTGTCGAGATGAAGTTTGGCACCGCGACGTGCCTGCCGTCGTCTTCCCCTGCGCCAGACAAGAAGGAGTTGGAGCTCGTTTCCCTTCGTCCAGACAAAGTTGTACTACCACCCCAACTACTACTTCTGTGCCGCAGCGGTGTATGGGATTCATCAGCGTACACAACCCCGCGGCGCTCCCAGCCTCGCACATCGCCAGCGCGGTACGCCGCATTCATGCTTTGCAACACGCGGAAGAGGTATTCGTTTTCGGGATACAGCAGCGCCATCTTCCGAAGAAAGCGCTTTATGCGAGGCCATGTGCAGCACTCCCAAAACGCCTCCAAACGCCGCCGGCTCCACGGCTCGTCGTAGGTGACGCCGTACACGGCTCGAACGCGGGCGAAGGAGTGCGATACCACGGCGATGTAAAGCGCCACAGTGACGCTGAGCACCCCAACCGTCAACGACCAAAAGAAGAAACTCGTGAACTGCCTCGCCACGTCCTCCTCTGGTGCGACGAAGAGGGGGACGGCGTACCAGTAGGACAGCACCGCGTACAGGGCCTCGCCGAAGTTGGTGAACCACTCCCCGATGGGCCCAAACACGGCATGCCCGACCAGCGCGTAGCCAATCACCATAACCATGTAGAGAACGGCAATAGACAACATCGCTGGTATGCTGAGGTCCAACGCCGTCACCAAGGTCGTGAACGGGCGAAAGAGAGCGCGGCAGAAGAAAAGGCGCGCGAAGCACACGATGACGCTCAAGGCGTTGGTCGTGTTGAACTGGTCGTGCAAGCGCTGCACCGAGTCCAAATACGAAGGATACGAACTCGACACCATTGGGATGGCCAGATTCGCATAGATTCTCCTTGACACGCGGGACCATGCGTAGAAGTAGGCAACGGAGAGAACAACGGACGTCACCACGATGAGATCCATCCAAGCGCTCCAGTCCTGCAGCACCGCAACCCACCCGAACCGTCGCACCTGCCACCGAAGTCGGCTCAGCAAGCACGCAAAGTAAAAGACGGTATACGCGCAGGTGAAGGAGACGTACACAAGCTCCCCCGTCCGCGCCGGCGTCCACACGCGGAAGCTGCGATAGACAGCGTCGGTGTGGTAGCTTCCACCGGCCAGCACCTCCGTATACAGCTTTACCGAATGGAAGGTGTCGTGGTCTGGCGTGTAGGTGTAAAACTCGATGGCGATGAGACGCGTCGCCCAGTTGTCCACGAAGAAGCACGAGACGTTGCGCACGGCCTGTCGGTACTGCATGGCGACCCACGTGGACGAGCGAAATGGCACATCAAAGGTGTAGCCACCACAATGGTAGGTCCCGAAGCGCCTGAATGTGGGCACGCAGTACGGATCGTTCGCCGCTGGGGCGCGGTAGATGTACAGAGGCGCGGAGGCGTTCGTGAGTGGGTGCGTCAAAGTGATGGAGGGGCATCGCACAGGCGTTGTTTCCTCGTCCTCGCGGTTGTGATGGAGACTCCACGCATCCGATGGAAAGCGCTGCGAATCGCGGGGGTACAGCCGGCGCTGCAGCTTCGCCGTGTGAGGCTTCATGCGTATCGTGCGCACCCGCATCGCACCGAGGTAGATGCTCTGTGCAGGCCCTACCAGTACCGTCTTGTCGTAGAGGTAGTTCTCCGCAAAGCGGCGTCTTCCGCTTCCGATGCCCGAGTTGCTGCCGCCGCCGCGGCTGTCGTCATCAGGGTTCACGTTGCTGTGGGAAGGAAAGGGTGCATCAAGGCTTGGTTCGCTAAAGCCCGCATGCGACGCAGCGGGCCATGTTGACGCTTGTGGTTCCTTCGCGGCGGTCGGCAACGACTTCACATTGTCGTCTTCCCGGTCCCCGTTTGCGAGGGAGTCAACGCACCCAGGCCTGTCGAACCAAAACCGATCCCCAGCAAAACAGCCGTCGCCGTCGTTCGCGCTGCTCTGTTGATTGGGTCCGACATCGCCACGGGCATCGAGTTTCGTCTCGGGATGCAGCAGCATCGCGACACCTTGAAAAATGCCCGGCATCACGACATCGGCAAAAAAATCGATCCAGTCTGCCTGCGTGTGCATCTCCACAAAGAGACTGTCGGTCCGCACACTCACCGGTACATCGAGATTCTTCTGTTGCCGGAACTGCTCGAGTGCAGTCACCGCTGAAGGAAAGGGAGTGCGCGTGAAGAGCTGTCGCTGCGACTCCGTGACCAACAAGTCCGCTTGAATCGCCTTCGTGTTGTAGGCGGCGAGGAAGCCTACAAAGAAGAGGAGGGGAATGAGCAGCAGAAACTGCCGCGTCGTGTCGTTCCACTCGATGCGCTTCCGCACCTCTGTCATAACGAGGCGCACCTCAAAAGGTTGCGTATAGGGCCACACGTGGTCCTGCACGGAGCGAGAAGGAGAATAACTGGCATCGTCTCCGCTACTGGGGGCCGGCAACGAAGACGGGAGCCCTGCTTTCTGCCAGTCCGCTTCGTCCACACGTGGGGCAGCACCAGGCGCGTCACCGCCTCGCCTTGACGGCGGTCGCAGCTGCCCGCCCGATTCACTTCCATCGCTCATCGCAAGTGCAGAGCGGCGCTGCCGGGACGATGATGGAGACGTGACCACCGCCATAGGGGACGACGTCGACGCGCGATCGGAGAACTCGCCCGAGAAGATCGACGCCCGCGCCGAAGTGGTCGCAATCATCGAGGGCAGCATGAGAGGCTGTGAAGTGCGTCTGCTTCTCTGCGACGGACCCGTACTCACCACTTGGGCACCGCCGGCGCCTTCGCCGCGGCCACCACCACCACCAAAATCGTCCGCATCATAATGGCTGCTTCGGGACGCAGAAAAACGACGCTGCCCCAGTCGAAGAGGTCGTGAGGTGTTGGCGGAGGGCGAGACAGCGTCGCACGTGTTGTCCACGGCGCTTTGCATGGAAAAGGCCGGTCCTTTGCGGGGGGAAACGCGCTGGTGGGAGTACAAGTCAAAGGAGCCACTGCGGCGGTCAGTCGTAAAGAAACCCGAGCCGTGCTCGCTGCGAAAAGTGGATGAACGGAACGACGCCGCTTTGGTCGAGGCCTCCTTCTGGTGGCGCTTTGCCTCTCGATAGGCCTCTCCCTCCCCCTCCTCGTCGTCGCGCCTTTCGCCGTCTTTCTCGTCCTGCTCATAGCGATCGTCATCGGTGGAGTCAACATAACGTCTACGGTGCCAGCCGGGTCGGCTCTCGCGGGCGGTACGGTCGGCCTCATCATCCTCAGATGTGTGCAAGACGGCTCGCGAGAGGGTGCTCAATTCACTGTACAAGAAGTCACTGCCGTCGGAGGCGGTGGAGTAGGGAAGCAAGGAAGTGCTGTGTGAGTGAACGCTGCCGCGACGCGCATCGTTGAGTGCCGATGAGCTCGTCCTGCTTGTTGATCGATCGCACAGTCGAGAAGAGCTGTGCACTCCTTCCATTTTCGATCTGTCTTGATACAGTTATACGTATATACGTATAGATATACCAATAGCCCCTCAAAAGCTAAGATCGGTAGGGTACAAGAGGGCTGTGCAGCGCTACTCGTCTCTCTCTGTAAATGAAGTGTGTTGAGGACTGCGCAACAGGCAAGCCATTCTACCGGCGATGCTGGTGAAGTCAAGAAGTGGGGAGGGCATCAAGAGCGAGAGAGAAACAGTAGAACGGTAAGCACACGGACCTTTCCACAGGGGAAAAAGTGTCTATACACTTCATAGATATTAAAATACAATGCACTTTCAAGCCAATTCTTTTTCAACCGATCGAAAGTGGTCTATGGGAAAAAAAGGCGCATGTGCACACAAACGTCTCGCGAGGTGTCTCTGACACATCAGAGCACGGCCGTGGTTTTGCGCTTCAGATCAAAAGAACATCACTTCTTCTTTTTTTTTGTAGAAGTGATGCTCATTTCTTTTAGCGGAGAATCGGCGAATATCGGCTTATTAACGGGCGCGCACCGGGGTAGAAGAGAAAAACAAAAACCAATCACACCGAAGCAACCCTGCATTCGTTACTTTACTATTAAAGGGTTCAGCATTAATCGAACAAAGAAAGTATTGCGAGATTAAATTATGTTGGGCGACGTAGACTTCTGTTCTGCGATTGTGGTTACCGCCAAGAGGTTAATAGCGAGGCACCGAGGACACCTTGCACCCACCGTGCCAAGTTGACACAGGGCTTACTTCTTTTTCTTACCACCGCCGCTTTGCTTCTTGCGTGCAAGCCGGCTCCTCTCCTTTTCCGCCTTCCGTTTCAGCACGGCCATCTCTTCAAACGAACGCACGTGGCCGTCCTTCGGCAGGCGCTTCTGCTTGCGACCAATGCGCAGTTTCTTGCCTTGGTTCGGGTTGCTAATGTCCACGTAGTCGCTGTCGCCCTCGCCTTCCCCTTCCTGCGGCAGCATCGACTGCGCTGCCGCCTTGGCACGCTTCAGCGGCACCAAGTCCTCCTCCTCGCCCACGTCCTGGATGCGCATGTTGCTCTTCTTCACCCATTTGGAGTAAGCGTCCAGCTTGTTTTTGTAGTTGATCGCTTTACCTGCCTCGTTCTTCACGCCTTTCAGCAGTGCCTTGGCATCGTTGACGTGCATCTTGACGTAGCGGTTCTTCTTCTTACTCCACGCGAACACCTGCCGCTGCTGCGCCGCCTCCTCAGCCGTCTCAGCCGTGATATCCATCGTCGCGTCCTTCACGGAGTAGTGCGCGTTCTCGAGCGTCTCGATGCGCTCCACGTTCATGAAGAAGCTCTCATCTCGGTACGCGCCCGTCTCCAGCGTGTCCGCGTCGCGTCCGCCCAGCGCCGCCTGACGCGGGTGGGTGACCAGGCTCATGACGGCGTCGTCGCTGTTCGCTGCGTTGCTGCCGTCGCGCTCGCGCTTCTTGCGCTCCTGTGCGCGCTGCAACATGCGCTCCGCAAACGACAGTTTCTTCTCCGGCACTGAGGCAGCTGCTGCGCCAACGGCGGCGGACGACGAGGAGCTGCGCTGTTGATGGCTGCCTACGTTGTGCGCGTCCTCCTCGACCTTGGCGGCGCGCGAGAGCGACTGCATGGTTTCCGGGTTGCGAATCTGAAACAGCTTTTCCTTAGTGCCCATCTCGAGAAAGAGTTCCTTTGGCTTGAAGCGCTTCAGGTCAAAGCGAGCCGCATCAGCGCGGACGCGGGTGCTGCCCACCCGCTCCAACAGCAGCGGATGCAGAGGCGTCTGATCGAACGCGTATTGCGGCTTACGTGCCTCCTGAATACCCTCGTGCGTCGGCTTCTTCTTGGTGCGGTTGAACTTCTTGTGCGCGTTCTCAACAACTTTCGCCATGTTGCGCACCTCCACGTCATTTGCGTGCAGACGCTTCAGGAAGTCCAGCTCCAACTGAATATCCTCCTCCGGCAGCCGGCCGTAGCAGCCGTCGTCGGGGGTGAAAAGAAGATCGCCGGACATCGCCGCAGACTGCAGTGGTCGCCCAATGAACTGCATGAGATCGACGTAGTACGGGAAGTCCTCGAAGGTCATGATGGAGTAGGCCGTACCGGACCGGCCGGCGCGGGCGACACGACCGACGCGGTGCACAAAAAGCTTCGGATTGAAGGGGAAGGAGAAGTTGACGACGTTGTCCAGCAGCGGCAGGTCCAACCCCCGTGCGGCAACATCCGTCACCACCATCACGCTCGTCTCCCGCTTCGCAAAGCTGCGCACGGCGAGGCGGCGCGCCTCCTGGTCCATCTGCCCGTGCACCGCGCTGGCGGGGATGTCGTACGAGTTTAGGATCATCTGCAGAAACTCCACGTGAAAGCGCGACTCCACAAAGATGAGCGCCTGCGCGTTGTTCGACGATGCCTCGCCGACGTGCAAGATGCGCTTCAGCAGCACAATCAGCGCCGCGATCTTCTCATCGTTGCGCACGAGGAACGCGCTCTGCTTCAGTTGATCGCTCAATTTCATCTCCGCATCCAGGCGGATAATGACGGGGTTGTGCAGGCCAGCGCTGGTGAACTCGGCCAACACGCTTGGCATCGTGGCCGAGAAGAGGGCCCGCTGGCAGGACTCTGGAATTTTCTGCATAATCGCACCAATCTGCGGCTGCAGCCCCAGCTCAAAAAGACGATCGGCCTCGTCGAGGATGATGCAGCGCACCGCGGTGAGGTGCAACGAGGCCTCCTCCATAATATGCAGCAGACGCCCGGGTGTGGCCACCACCAGATCTGGATTCGACGCGAGCAGCTCAAACTGCTGATCCAGCGAGTCACCGCCGACGAGGGCGGCAAAGCGGAGGTCCATAAACTTGTTCAGTGCAAAGGCGTTGTGCAGCGTCTGCAGACTCAGCTCGCGGGTGGGCGACAGCACGAGGCAGCGAATGCCGACCATCTTCGCGTGCGTCTTGAGAAGGTGAAGCGCGGGGATGAGGAAGGCAGCCGTCTTGCCGGAGCCGGTGCGGGCCATGGCGACCACGTCGTTGCCCTGCAGCATGGGCGGAATAGCCTTTCGCTGGATGGGCGTGGGAACGGTGAAGCCCTGTTTCAGGATGGCATCCAGAAGAGGCTTGTCAAGACCGAAGGTCTGGAAGCCTCCACCCTTCTTCTTCTTCGCGTCCGCCGCCGACTCCACCGCGGCGTCCCAGGAGCCGTGACCGTTCATGATGACAGGATCAAAGCGGATTCGTGCGGTTGTAGCTATTCGAGAAGGAACAAGGAAGAGTAATGTGAAGTGGGCAAAGGGTGAATTCGAGCGTGCAAAGGAGGCGAAGAGCAGAGGGCGTCCTCCGCGACGGTAACCATGACGATGTCGGCCAGCAACAGCAAACGAGCAGGAACCCCTTAAGTGTGTGGTGATGCAAGAAGTTTCAATGTCGCATTTTTCCCCTTCTTTTTCTGGAAACCTACAGAGAAGCATCGGAGCGTGGAGTATGTAGTCTGGCATTTAGGCCAGGAAAACGGTCGCTGAGGCTAAATACGTAACGCACTGCTAACATCGGTTCTTTTCTTTTTCATTTCTCCCTCATGGAACTAAAGGGAAGCCTGCTCTGTCTCTCTCGGCTAGCTCGACCATCACAAAACCGCCGCAGCACTCACAAGACACAGCACAACTTCCAACGTCACACGCCAAATATCTTCAGATGTTCCTCGTTTGTAAGAGGGACAGCAAGGGAGGCGTTTCTCGGGTTTGCTACCGAGACGTACGGCATCTCTGCCCGCCCACCAAACGCGTAGCTGTCGAGGTAGCTGGTGTACGGGCCACCTTCGCCGACGAAGCCCAACGTCTTGTACGGTGCCACCGCGGCACTCGTCGGCGAGGATGTCGATCCAGCCGTGCTGCGAAACAGCGTGTGTTTGCCGTCGCTCACCGGGTCACGCGCTGCGCGATACGGCGAGTATTGCGAAGCGGGGTACACCGTGCGCCTCAGCAGGCCAGGGGCCTCCACTGGGTTGTACTCCCGCTTTCCGTTCACGACAGACGGCGGCTCAGCCGTCAAGAGCTCCGCGGCACCCAACTCCACCAACTGACGCATCGTTTCCTCGATGCCGGGAATGCCGCGGATATTCGCTGCCAGCGGGCCCGCCAGGCGTACCGTTGACTCATCCATCTCCGGCGCATTTGCGTTCACCAGGTCGTACACAACGGCGTACGAGTTCTCCGCTTCCTCATCGTCGCTCACGTACTCGCTGTCTTCGTTGGTGTTAGTGCTGTTCGTGCCCGCACCCATGCCAGACGCATCCGCCGACGCAGCGAGCGCAGCGGTGGCATCTTCGGTCTTGATAACCACGTCTGCCACCTCCGTAAGGGGCGGGAGAGGCTCAAACGGCAGCGTTGCCACGATCCGACCGGTAGTGCGTTGTCGCACATGCATGCCGCTCTCCCACGGCGTGCCGAACGACTCGCACAAGTCCTCCAATGTCACGGCGGCGGGGTCCTCTAACTCGATGAAGTTGTCGCCCATGAAGACGGCGCCTTTCCTTCCCGAAAGGGGCTTCGGCGCTACCGGAGCCTCGGACATGAATTGCCGCAGAATTCACTGATTGGTAAAAGTAGGCTGTGGAAGATCGACACTGCCCGTGGAATCTTTTGCGAGGCAGTGGTAAGCCCAGTTGTGGTGAAGAACACAAACTTTGATTTTCACCGTTTGGCCTGTGCAGCGGGAGCAAATACACGTGGATGTCCACACTTCCTCTTGTTTGTTCAGCAGTAAAACGACAGCACTAACATCAGTTGTACTTTAAGGTCGATGCGAAAAGAGAGGGGAAGAGAGGAAACGAAATCAAAAGCAGGGTGTTCGCTGGGAAAAGCAGGTGTTACGCGATACCTTAAGCAACTACTTCCGTTCGCGGCGACGTTTCAACTGCTTTGTGCGCGCAGTTGTAAAGTGTCGAACAACACACTCAGCGTACGGATCCTTTTTGTTGCTATTTGGCGAGCGCATACAGATCTTTTTTCTTCGTTGTTTGCTATCAGTTGGGCTTTTCAGCGCATCGAGGCTTAGGAGTTCGCTATCCGCGAATCGTCCGGAATCAACCTCCACCAGCGATAACAGCAGCAGATGGCGTTGGAAAAACGAGAAAAGTTGAGAGATGCGCTTAAAAGAATCAAAAAAAAGGGCCGTTCAGGGCATGCAACTTTTTGATTCTCTTCTCTGTTCCACCCTGCGTTGAAAACCGCGGTACAGTGATGTGAAAGCGCTCCCGTCAGAAACGCGGCGTTATTCTGGTCCGCCAATACCCCCCCCACACACACACACAAAAAAAAAAAAGACCGGCGTTGTGACAGTCCGCATAATAGGCAAGTAGTCTAAGCACTTCGCGACATCAGACAGTGAAGCAAAAGGAGTTAAGAGAGAAAGAGAGAGAAAGGAAGGGTTTTTAAAAAGAGTGTTAGCCACTACAAAAGGGAAGCAAACATACCGACAAGAAAAAAAGCTAGCGTGAGTATCAAAGGAAAAAAAACTGCTGTCGCGGAGGTCACCAAATGATGAACATAACACTAAAAAAAGCTTTTCATGCGACAGCGCAGGCTAGCATTGCTAGTCGTTGGCATCCATGTCACCCGCCAAAATGACCTGAAGAGAAGAACGAAAGAAAAAGAGAGAAAAAGAGAGAAATCAAAAACACCGCCGCGGTATAACGTACAAGACTGTGTATGTATATAAAAAAAGGTCCGTCTGTGTACCGGCGAAGTCGGACTTCTAAAATCGTATGCTGCTTTTCCTCGTTGGGGAATGGGGTTGGGGGAAGGGAGGGGCTGACATGAAGAAGGTACAACTACGGAGCACAGCGTTGAGGTAAAGAATTACATGGTTCTGCGAAGCTTGAGTGTCGCAGCATCACGAGTTAAACACGACGGCCGTGGAGAGAGAGATTTTCTGCAGAAAAAAAAATCAGTACGCCATCACCTTAAAACATCTTCTTCACACACACACAAAGGGAAAAAAAAAAGGCCCTAAGCCACAAACTGAATATGAGAGAAACCCCCAAAAACCAAAAGAAACACATGAAAAGCGAGAATACAGAACAATTAGGAAACAAAAAAAAAGACTAGAAGAAGAGTGAGGCGATCTGCAGCTAGTCGTCGTGCTGGTAACCTTTTAGCCGTGCAGGAGACGGATTCTGTTTGTTTACACTGAAAAAAAAAAGCGAAGAGAGAGAGAGAGAGACGCTGTCACGCTGGACTTTCACGTCAAGAAATCAAAACAACAAAACCAAAGGAAAGAGGAGAAAGAGAAGCAAAGAAGAAAGAGAAACGTATCGCTTCAGGTAGAAACAAACACACACAAACAACAACAACCAACAAAAAAGAAACAGAGGAATATGAGACAAGAGCAGCAGAAAAGGGTAAAAAGCAGTAACAGCGGAGCACAAACTCGCCAGGGGAAAAACGAACAAACCCGGACGTTCTCTTTTCCTTTTTCCCCTCATCTACGCGATGGAGCGGCGCAGAATGTGAGTGACTGATGGCAGCCCGAGTAGGTAGGCAACAGGGCTAATGCTTGATGCCAGCGCTGACACGAAGCCAACGGCGACCACAATGCACAGCTGGATGTATGGAAAAGGAAAGGGGAAAGATATTTGCGCAAAAAGGATTTGTTGCAGCAGCATCGTGTAGGCGACAACGACACCGATGATGAGGCCCACGGAGCCAGCGGACACCACCAGAATGAAGGCCTCCCAGACGTACACCCGGTACACCTGAAACCGCGTCATGCCCATGCACAGCAGCACGCCGATCTCCTTCGACGAGTTCAACACGTTCGTGGTCATGCTGCTCATCAAGGAGAAGAAGCAAATGAGGAGGATCATCAACTCCGCCATGATGAAGAAGATGCTCAAGATCTTGTCTGCCGTTTCCATGTCCTTTAGCTTGTCCTCGATGGTGGTAATCGTGGGGGTGCGGCCCACGAACGACAGGATGGATATCATCGTGTCGCCAACTGCCTGGTAGCGTCTCGCATCCTTCACGCGCAGGCAGATGGACACGACGTTGCCATCCATCACGCTGTTGTACGGGACGTCGATTTGGTGGAGCACGCCCGGAATCGACACCATTAACGGCGTAGAATCGGAGGAGAACTTCGACATGCTTTTAACGGGAGACAGATCCATTGTCGCCATTGGGCGGGCGGGGACCATGAAGTCAGCCTTACTCTTCGCTGTCTCGTTGACCGCCCGTGAGGCGGTGTAGAGCAACACGCCCTTTGCGTTGCCGACACCGAGGAACTTCGCAGCGCCGGAGGACAAGATACCCCGGTACATTCCCTCTGCCGAATAGAGGGATTGTACTAACCCGTACTGCCCCACCAGCTTATCCACCGCACTCACGAGCAAAAACGATGTGCCCAAGACGTCGTAGTAATTCGGTGGCAGCTGGACCACGGTGGCGGTCGAGCTGCGGTAGCGACCAAGCGAGTTGAGGTGGTGGTCTCTGATAGAGGAGAGCGCGTTTACGGTGTACTCGTAGGTGTACTTGGACACCTGGCCGCTCTCTATGAGGTCTTGGAGGTACTCCTCCACGATCCAGTACTCATGCATGGTCATCCCGCCGGTGAAAACGCTCACTTCACAGCCCAATTCCTGCCGGGCCGTGTACGTGAAAGAGCTCAGCTCGATCTGGACGGCTACCGTGATGAAAATCACAAAGGCGAGGGACAAGGAGTACATGAGCGTCGTCTTGCGGTTACGAACGCGATGCGCGCTCAAGCTCTTTTGCATGAAAGAGAAGACGGCCTTGCTTTCCGCAAAGAGCAGCAGGTAGGAGATGCAAACCTGACACACCCGCTCAAAGTTCAGCGCCAGCAACACGAACCCCGCCAGCAGCCCAATAAGGACGGCGAAGAAGATGTAAAAGATGAGACTCAGATTCATGACAATCAACCCAGTGGGAAACAGGAAATAAACGAGGAAGCCGAAAACAAAGAGAAGAACACCGAGGCCAAACATGGTGCCGTTGAGCTCCGAAGAGTCGTTGCGGCGAATTTTGAATATGACACCGACGCTGCGACTGCGTGACGTGTTCAGCGCATCCGGCAGCTTCTGCGTAACGAGCGCTAGAATGGGGAAAAATGACGCGACAATCGGGATGCCGAGACCAGCTAGCGTGGCCCAGCCAATCGCCGCCCCCGTCACACCGAGCGGGAGAGTCACCGCGATGAGGTTGATGAAGATCTGCCGCACACCGATGTACACCGCTTGCCCGGCCGCGAGCCCAATGATCCACGCGGGGATCGTGAACGCGTACGCGTTGACCAGCACCAGCACGACCAAGTTTTCATTCGTAAAGCCGACCATGCGCTGGATGCCCAGTTCGTACGTCTTCGTCTCTATCCCGACAGTCAGCAGCGTGTAGATGAGCACGATGCTGAGGAAGGCGAGGGCTAAGAGAATGACGGAGATGATGAGACCGAGGAAGACGCTCATCATACGCGTTGACCACAAGCCCCCAAGCTGCGGCGTTACCCGACCAATCTGCATAAAGCCCAACGGAGAGAGAACGCCAGAGGCCCAGGCCACAACGTTTCGGCGAATGGTGTTGTAGCTGGTGGAGCGGTACGCGCGCAACCGTGTGTAGGGTTCCATGATGAAGTACACAAACGATGCGCAGTTGTTGGGATCGGCACCAGCAATGGTAGCCACAACGTCGCTCGGCGTGTCGGGTCGCAGGCCCTTCGCCACGTCTTTTAGAATCGTGCTGTACGAAGTAACGGCGAAGGACTGCAGCGAAGGAAACTTGTGATCGTCGGCCTCCATGACGGCGATGACCTTCAAGACCGTAATCACATCGGAGGAGAGCGGCGAAGGAAAGTCGCGGAACGCCTCGGGGTAGTTGCCCTCCGCATTCCCGTAGAAGGCGACAAGGTCCCCCTTCTGGACGTCCCCCATCAAGAGGGCGACGTGGTGCGACAGGATCACTTCCCCTTCACGCGGAGTGGGCTGGGAGTACTGCGTGCCGAAGCCCATGCGCTTCTCCGCTGCCGCGTCAATGGCGATCACGCTCACCGCTGCCGAATCCACCGAGGAGCACTCGGACATGCACACCGAGGGGTCGCCGCAAAGTGTGCCATCCAGCTTATACCACAGCGAGGACGAGTTCTTGCCACGGCAGGTGCGCAAGTTCTGTGCATTGAACTGCGCGATGATGCGCGGGGCGTGAAGGCCATATGTCTTATCGGAGTAGGGAAAAAGCTCCTTGATGATCGTGTAGTTGAGCGAGGAGGCGGCAGTCATCACACCGCCAGGACGGATGCGCAGATCGTACTCACCCCGCACTGCCTCCGACAAGCGCAGAAAGAGAATTGGCATGTTCGTCAGCAGGGAGATCATCAGCACGCAAAGCAGCACGACGACGAGAACGGAGAAGAAGCCAAGGCAGTAGCTGCACGTGCGGCACTTGATGTCCGTCCAGGCGAGACTGAGGAAGAGGCGCACCATCTTGAACGAGTTCCAGATGTTTCGCAGAACTCGCTTCGTGCGAGCCCACATCGACGACGACTTGTCATCGTACACGAGGTCGACGGCGAGGCGACGGTTGCGCTGCACGCCCACCTTTTGCATCCCTACCGGGGTGCTGCCGACCGACGGCCGCGAGAACTCGTCCTCGAGCACCCTGCCGCCTCGTATCATCGTCTGGCGCCGTTTGCCCGAGGACTCGGTGTCCGGAGTGCTCTCAAAGAAGTCATTGCGCAAGGGATCATGGGACGGGCAGCTGCCGTCCACGATGCCAACCAGATCGTTGATCATGACAGGTTCGGCAGCGGGTGAATGACCCGAGGAGAGAAACGGAGAGCAAGCATCTCTAGAGTCGTCTCGTGGGGTTCTCTTCGGCATACTTTTTTTTTTTTAAGGGAGAGCACGCGTGCGTCGGTGTGTGTGTGTGTGTGTGTGTGTGTGTCCTGGGGGAGGAGGGGGAGAGGGGTTAGGAAGAGAAAAGAACAAAGGATACACGATGAAGCAGCGGGCCTATTATATATGTGTGTTCACGAAGAGAAGAGCAAACGACAACAAAAAAGGTTCTTGGGAAATAGAACTCACAAGTACAGCCAAAACTATATCAACGGTGTTTTAAAACCTCCACGAAGGAGCGAGAACGACTGTTAAGTCATACAGCCCAAGAGAGAAATTCGTGACACGAGAGTTACCAAAGTCAGAAAAAAAAAATTATTCAAGACAGCGAAACTCTGAAGAGAGGCCGTTTTTGGTGCAATTGAGCAAGAAGAATAAAAGGAGACCGACTGCGATTTGTCTTGAGCCTCCACTGAGAGGTATAACACGAACAATCACAGAAGAAAGAAGGCAATAATTGATGCTAATAAAATGTCTTACAACTGTACCCCACTTGCGAGATAGTGCTCAAGAGAGTTAGGTGTTCTGAGGAAAAAGAAGGGTTGAAGTAAAAAAGAGGAGAGGTGATTAAAAAAAGCAAATTGAGGTATGACGGCGAGACGCACCACACATCACGTGCGCCGTTTACCGACGTCCTCACTGCACGTTCGAAGTATTCTGTACGCATTCACCTTCACACCCGACAGCAGCACTTGCATGCGTCTGTAGTGCTAAACACGGAGTTGAGTAAGAGGAATAATAGCCCATTTTCTTTTTAAAGAATTTCAAATAGATGTGAGCGCATTCGTAGAAGTGCCTGCGCGTCGACAGCGGTACTGTACTTAAGCCTCTTCGTCCTTCATGCAACATCGCAAGGGATCCACCATCACAAGTCAGCCACCGTCTCTTCTCCCTCTGCACCATCAAGGCGTCGATTCCATTTTTTTTTAAGGGGGAAAACAGCCTCCACCTCCCCTCTCCTCCTCCCCTCTCTCTCTCTCTCTCACACACAGACGAACTACATCACCCTGCGCAAGATGTGTGTGATGGAGGGCAGGTTTAGCAGATACGTGACGGGGCTGACGCTTGCCGCGAGCGCCGAGCCGAAGCCAATGATGAAAATAAGACAGAGCTGAATATAGGGGAAGGGGAACGGGATGGACAGCTGCGTAAAGAGGGAGCTCTGCAGCAGCATGGTCTCCGCCAACGCCACGCCGACAAGTAAGCCGAGAAAGCCAGAGGACACCACCAGGGTGAAAGCCTCCCAGACGTACACGCGGTACACCTGCAGGCGCGTCATGCCGAGGCACAGGAGCACGCCAATCTCCTTCGACGAGTCCAACACGTTCGCCGTCATGCTGCTCATTAGAGAGAAGAAGCAAATCAGCATTATAACAACCTGAATAACAACAAAGAACACCGTGAAGATGGTGTCGATGGTCTCGACATCTTCCAACGCGGTCGTCATGTCGGCAATGCTGTAGCTCACCTCTCTTTTCGAGAGCCAGCAGCGCAGAAAAGCTTTCACCTCTGCGTAGTGCGCCGGTGAGGAAACGCGCAGGAAGACCGCGGTCAGAGGCAGCACGTTGCAGCTTAAGTATGGGGTGCCGGTGAGGCGCACTGCCGACGGCAGCGACAGCAACACCTCGCCCATGTTATTGGGGTACTTGGTCATGAGGAATACCGCGGAGCTGTCCATCACGGCTAGAGCCCGGCCTGCACTAAGCTGCACTTTAGACTGCGGCGGCCTCAGCGCGGCATCGGAGTTGTTGACGCCGCGAGAAAACGCAGCAACGTGCGTTTCGAACAGAAACGCATCGCTGAAGCTACGCAGTGCAAAAACGCGATTGGTGGTGGTGGCGATCACCGCCGCGTTAGTGGCCGACTCCGCGTACAGGCCGCCCGTGAGTCCATAGCGGCCCACCTCCGTCTCGTACTTGTTCACCTTGATGTAGTTCTGGTTCATCACGTCGAAGAAGTTGGGGGGAACGGGGCACAGACTGAGAACGTGGTTTTCCGTTTGCCCCAACGTCTTCATGCGTATTTGCTGCACCGGATACAGGTTCCCGCCGGTCGGTGCAGCCACGCGATACGTCATGGCGCGCACCACCTCTTTTCCCAGTGCTTCATAGACGTCGCGCTCCAGCTGCGCGTACGCTGCGAAGGACAAGCCTATGCCGTCGCCCACCATCCCAAGCAAATTCTCCGGATGCAGCGACGTCGCTTCGTACGCGTACGTGGTGCCATCGGGCAGCGGCGTGACAGCGTCGACGAAGGCCGGGGTGCGGCCCAGCTTTGGACGCCTCGCCCTGCGCAGGTGCAGCGTCACGTCTGAGCCGTGGCTGCGCTCCGTGGAGTACTTCAACGAGGTGACCTCGATGTCGAAGGCAACGGTGATGAAGACGAGAAAGCCCACGGACAGCGCGTACATGACGGTGGTCTGCCGATTGCGGAGCACGTGCGCGGAGAGGCTCTTCGTCACCATCGACCGGACAGCACGGTGCTCCCATGACATGAAAACAAGCCGCACCATCGTCTCCATCACCCGCTCGAAGTTGGTCGCCAGCATCACGAGCCCGCCCAGCATCCCCAGCAACACGAGAAAAAAGATGTAGAACATGAGAGAGAAGTTCTGCGTGATAACGCTGGTGGGGAAGAAGACGTACGCGGCGAACCCACCCACAGCACCTAGGAAGCCGAGGCTGAAGATGAACACGTCCGTCTCGCGCGACCGGCCCCGTTGGATGCGGTAGACAACACCCACACCTCGCCCGCGCGATGTGTCGAGGGCGGTAGGCAGTGCCGTCGAAATCAGCGAGCGAATTGGTAGCAAGGCCGCGACAAACGGGACACCGAGTCCCGCCAGCGTGGCCCAGCCGACTGCGGAGCCGGACACGGCAATCCCCAACGGCACAGCGGCGTAATGCAGCATGACGGCTCGCACAATCCAGTATCCTATTTGACCTGTGATGAGGCCCAGCACCCACGCGGGCAGGGTGAAGAAGTACGTGTTGGTGAAGACTAACAGGGCTAGGTGAGAGCAAGAAAACCCGAGCATGCGGTGAATGCCCAACTCGTACGTCTTCGTCTTAATCCCTATTGAGAGCAACGTGCAAATCAGAACACTACTGATGAAGCTGAGGGCAAGGACCACGATGGAGATGATAAGCCCCACAAAAGAGCTGAAGAACTGCATGGTGTAGAGAAAGGACAGGAGAGGCGTGGCCATGGTGATCTGATTCGCACCGATTTTCTCCGTGAAGAGTGCACCCCAGTCGCGCACGCGAGCGCGAATTTGGCCAAAATCGGAGTGCAGGTACGCGTCCTTGCGCTCCTTCGCGGGCATCTGAAACACGATGCGGGTTGCGTACTCAGCGGGCTTCGCCAACCGAGCAGCGGCACGCGCCTCGGCTGATACTGTCGGTGCCATCGCATCCACCACAAGAGCCGTGAAATGCGCGGGATTCATCAACACAAAGAAGTCCTCCGCGGCATCTGGGAAGTACGCGTCCGCGATGACAGCGCCGACTTTCACAGAGAGTAAGATGTGCGGATTGGCTTCCCCGTAGCGTGTTACCTGATTGAAAACGTGACGCAGATCTGGGTCCATGGCCGCGTTGACCAGCACCTCGTCCCCCGTCGTCACCTTCAGTGCGCCGGCTAAGGACTCGGATACCATCACGCCGCTGTATGGGAGGAGTTCCAAGGTTTTGCCAACGTGAGCTGCGGCGTCTGCGGTGAAGGCAGGGTCGGTGGAGGGGTCCACGACGACGACGGCAACCGTCTCCACGTTGCCCTCGCAGTAATCCGATACGCAGGTTTCTTGACACAAGACGCGCGTCGTGTTCGACGCTGTCGCCGCTCTTCCCTCCGTCGGCTTAAACCAGAGCGACTGCACCGTGCCATCTTGCAGCCTGCACGACGACTGCCTTCTTGCCTTGCCGGTAAGGTCGACACGGTAGGAGTGTACGTGGTGCGCCGACGATAGCGTCAGCAAACGATCTGACACGTGTGTGTAGTTGAGCGAAGAAGCCGACGCAGCGAGGCCACCTGTTGTCATAACCAAATCCACCGCACCGTAGGAGGCCTCGGCGAGGCGCAGCCCGACAACAGCGAAGCTAGAGAGGATGGTGAGCATGATGACACACACACAGACCACACAACACACAGAGCAGAAGCTCAACGCGTAGGATCCTTTGCGGGACACGGCGTCCGTCATGGTCATGTCCAGCATCAACCGGAACCGCGAGGTAGAGCTGAAACCTTCGGTAACGCTCTCCTTTACCTCGTGCAGCCACGTCTTCCATGTGATTTCCTCGTCTGTGATGAAGTCGATTTGCGTGCGGCGATGAACAGGGAGGGTCCGGCGCACCACAGAAACTTCAACCGCCTCGGTATCGCGGTCGCACACCGTCACCTCTGTCGCGGCGGCAAAGCCATTTGTCGGTGCTACTTCGACGACATCATTCCACTGGGAGAACCGGTGCGTGCCCTTAGGGTACTTGTTGGGTCGTAGCATAAATCCCTCGGAGAGCACCGCTGTTGCTCGCATCGCGAGACTATCTGTCAATGCAGCTAGTCAATCGTAATAATCGCGTTGTAACAGCTGCTAAACTCACCCTTTAAACGCAAAAAAAAAGCAGTTCGTTAACACACAAGCATGATGTTTTGTGCTGCACAAGAGTGAGAGGAGCGTGATGTCACCGTTGTACTCGTTGAAGGGGAGTTAGGCAACGGCCAGGGGAAGAAAAGAAAAAGAACGTACTGAAAGAACGATAAACGAGCCGACTCGAACGTTTACCGTTTATCGCCGTACTCTGCGTCGAACATGAGGAGAACAGAAACCGTAAAATGGATTTGGCTCTTTCAGTGTCCGTTGCGATCCGTGAATGAAACTTTGTATTTCGTGTGTGTTGATGTGAGAGAGCAGAAGATGAAAAAAGAAAGAGTGTGAAATCGTGGAGCAACCAAACTACGGATTCACCGGACGCTGCGTGCTTGGCCTGAAAGGGAGGAAAATGAGCATGCCACCCCTGCGTATTTATACCGCAAAAGAAAAAGAAGAAGAGCGCTTTCCACTGTGAAGTTTAGCAGCGAGAGGGAGAGAAAACAATGACAGCAGGAAAGACCAATAGTGGAGGTAACACTGCGATGATAACAATAATAGCAATAATAATAATAAGAAAAGCTGTGAGGCACACCCACACGCCAGTACTCAAGTATCAGAGCGCCACCAATGATAGCAGGTGGCCGTTGATTAACAGAATTGTCGTTGCTGTAGGTGCAGAACAGGTATGCTGCACGTGTACGCGCGTGAAACCGAAGAAGAAGACTTGAAGAAAGAATAACGATAAGGAAATCCGCATTCGCAGGAGAACAGCAAAACAAACACAAAAAAGAGAGAGAGGAAAGAGAGATGAGGAAATGAAAAATGCTACGTTGGGCAAGAGCCTTATATACGGCTTTCGTCTGCGTTTGCGCAATCCGCTTCGTCTGTGCTCTACGTGCTGCTACACGGCAACAGTGCGAAGGAAGAAAAAAAGAAAGTGAAGCAGAGAACACCAGCTTTTCCTGAGACAGAGAGATGGAGAAAGAGCCAAAGGTCTGGACTTCAAACGCAACCGCTGTGGATGAGCACGCGCCACGCTACGACACACATAACAATAACAAAGATAGAGGACACCCCACGGGAAACGCCGTCGGAGTACCGCACTTTTTCCATTGCTGCTTGCTACGCAGTCAACTCGAGACCTCAGAGCAGTACACCGCTTCTCGACTGAGGCATCAAACGGGAAAAAAAAATTGAGTTGCGTTATACGATGTCGATGAAAAAACAATCATGTTCCACGGTGCCGCGGAGCGCTTTGATACAGACGTTGAAAGCATGTATATGTGTCTAAGAAGCGAAACAGATAACAAGATCGGTCTACTAGCCTTTCCCAAGGGAAAAGCAGAAAAGGAAAGACATCTCTACCGGAGCAAGTTGCATTGACGCAACGCACAGGTGTTCATGCACCCTGCATCCCGCAGTTCATTTCCGTCTTCGCGTCATAGGTGAGGAAGCGCGCCCCTTTGCTTCTGTGGCATCACGACTTTTCGTTGCCGCTGAGGAGGGACACCAAGTCTGGTCCCAGCGGGAGGCTGACGCGGCGGATTTCGAGAAGCCGAGGAGGACTGCGCCAACGCCGGCTGAGCAGCGGAAACATGCGTGTGCGCGAGTTGTTGCTTTTCCTTGTCGTATACGTACATGGCTCGGCCATCTTGCCGGCATCGGCGGCAGAGGAAAGGGAGCTGTTTGCGCAGCTCCGCGGAGTCGCCCAGCAAGGAGAGACCATCCGATGCCTGTGTCGCCGCCTCCACCTCACTTCGAACATTTTCAGCAGTTCGACTAGAGAAGCTCGTTAGCAGCGCTGCATCAAAGGAAGGACTCTTCGCCAAGAGCGACTGGAGGGAACGCGACGTTTGAGGTGGAATGAACGGCGCGGCGTTTGCATCCAGAGACAGTGGAGATGGGTCGACGCGCGCAGAGGACGACGGTGGCTGACCCGCTTCATGGAGAGTGTCGGGTGCACGGCCGCCGCGTTTCTCGACATCATGTACGCACAACAAGACACGCCATAAGGTGTCCGCTACCCCGTAGAGTGTCGCACCTAGTTGCCCAAGGCGAGTAGATAGTACCCGCACTTGCCGTTCTCTTTTCACTTTGTTGAGGATGTGGTGGGTGTAGTTGATGGGGTGCACGGTGCACAGCTGCGTCGCCACGTCCTTCCTTTCCGACGGAGAAGGCGAGTTCGTCCATTCCGCCACGCCTGGTGACGCCGGCGTCTCACAAGTCTCGTGTGCTATCTCGTTGAGTGACTGCAAGCAGCGGCGAATGTCGTCTGATGAAACGGAGTCGGCGTCCGCCAGCATCCCCAGCTGTGCCTTCCACGCGTCCCACATGTCTCGTTTAACATGAATCATCATCATGAGTAGGCAATTTGTCTTCGGGGTGAGGGGGGGGGGGATACGTACGGTTCTCAGTTACCACACGGCGGGCACGCCAACGGCAAACGAGAGGCACTTGAAAAGGTGTCTGTGTGTGTGTGTCTGTGTTTTTTTGGACGTTCAGAGGAACCGTTGATAAGATGAAGAGTGGAGGTGAAAGGAGGGAAAAAAACCATCTACCTTGCTGTCATCCATCTCTCAATGCAACGGAGAGGACCATGTGCTCGACCCCCACGTGACAAGCTCATCTCATGCGATCGCCTGCATCAACGGACACGAATGGAGATCCTGAAAGCAAAAAAAAAACGGTGGGTGCTCCATTGACCAAAACCAGAAAAAGGAAAATGAGCGAGGAGCAGTCATCCACGTTTTCATTGAGCAGTAGGAGAAATACGGTCTCGTTGCCAAAATATATAAATGAAGAACTTTGTTGTCACATTGCTACGTGAAGCCCAGCGAAGACTAGCTATTTACAGACAAAGGAATGAAAACAATCAATAATCAATAAACATCACAGAGTCATCACAGTTCTGAGGTGAACACAAACCGAGCAAAAAACAGGACCAGTAAGCCGGTGGAAATACCGTCGAAGTGGAAACAGCCACCCCGTCACGCATCGCCGCGAGACTAAAAACCAAGAAACAACGAAAGAGAGGGAAAGAGAGGGAAAGAAAAATATATACACACTGGTCGTAGAGTAATTTACATGCACGAGGTTTAACCATGGAGGTGTGTAATCCTAAAAAAAAAAAACGTAAATAAGACCGAGACAATTCATACAATGCTCAGAGCCGCACAGGCAGCGTAGAGCTTCGAAACGTCCAACACCGCACTCGCAGAGCCGGTGTGTGCGGCAGTCGCCTCGGACTCTCGCGTCTCCTCTGCAAAAACGGGACGCCACATCAGCGCATAAGCTCCCTGAGAGCCACGTCTGGCCGGCCCGTCGCGGCCGTTGCTAGCCATGGACCGACGATCATCGTCCAGCCCCTGACTTCCGTAAGCGTCTTTCACGAACGCAACGGATCGCATACGCGTCCTGACAGGCGTGGTGACCAGCGGCCCGAGTGAGCCTTCCGGATCCACGCTGGGCAGCGCACTGGTGCGAAGCAGCTCAACCGTCGTTGTCCCCCCTTCTTCCCTTGTCTGCGTCTGCGAAGGCGTCTCATGCAGCGCTTCGCCTTGCGCTGCAATTCCATGGACTTCCTGTGGATTCAGCTTGATAAGACGGGCAATGCGCATCGCGAAGGTCTGCAGTTGAGTCGACAACGCACGTGTGTACTCCTCTTGCACCTCGGTAGACAGTCTGCCAGACTCAACACCCACGACCTTCTTGCCGGCAGACTTCTTAGCGGCCTTTTTGGCCGCAGCTTTCTTTGACGAAGCCGCTGTGCCGCCCGTGTGGCTGCCGGCAGGGCCAGCGGTGGGCACCGCCACCGGAGAGGCGAAGCCGAGAGCGCGAGTGAGACTAAGCAACCCGAAGTCTGGCGGCAGCAGCACACTCTTCCCTCTTTCCTCGGATAGAGCAGAGATCGAGGAGGAGTGTTTTGACAAGGTGGGCGAGGTGTGCGAGATAGACGCTCTGGCCCCGTCCTTTCTTTTGCTCCTTTCGCTGTTTGTCGCCGCTGTCCCTCTCTCACCCTCCACCCTGGACGCCGACGGAAGAGTCGCCTCCGCAGAGTTAAACGCGCGCGCCATGTCCGGATAGAGCGACTGAGCTTTGTCAGTTGTCGTGCCGTCGCCTCCGGCAACCGAAGCACCAGCGGCACCAGCAGCTCCCCGCGACACCTTTCCTGCCGTATCCCCCCCGCCCCCACCGCTGGGGAGCATGGAAGTGATGCCCAGCGCCTGCATGTATTCACCTCGCAGTGTGCGACGCAGTGGATTGTCATCCCCGTTGTGGCCATCGCGCAGCCGCGCGAGTGTTCGACGGTACCGTTGATGCACCTGTCGTTCAAAGATGTCCCACTCCGGGAGTTCCACCACGCTCAGCGCAGTGCTGCTCGCCTGCGTGGGATCGACTTGCGAGCGAGACGTCGGGACGGCACGCTGCACCACACGTTGCACCATCGCCGCGGCGGTGTCGGCGCACATGCGGCCCCACACAATGTACGTCATCCGCACCGCGAACGCAATGTGCAACAGCGAGCAGCTTTCCGCTTCCTCGCGCAGGTTGAACTCCGCAAATTCGATCTCCTCCACCACCGAACCCCGTCGAGGGCCGGTGGGAGGCACCGCGTCATCGGAGTGGCAAGAGCTGCGGTTACGGTTCGCGTTGGTGTCGTGACGGTAGAAGCTCGTCGCCCCCGACATACTCAGCACCCCCGTCGGTTCTGCGGGAACGTTCAACAGCAGCGGCGCATCCGCGAACTGCTCCAGTTTCACTTCATCTTCCAGTCGCAGCAGCTCGTCGTACTCCACAAAGTGGTTGACAAGCGCCGCTGCATGCTGCGTGCTGCCCTGCACGGCGGCCATGGCCTTTGTGACGCCTTTCCGGAGAAAGGCAATCGGTATCTGCCCATCGCAGTCTTCCGCGCCTTCCGCGGCATATCTTTCGTGCCGCTCGGCACAACTCGACAGGACGCATTGCATCAAGAAGGACTGCTGCTGCTGAAAGAGGTCGAGTGTCAGCGTGAGGTAGGTGTTGTAAAGGTGCGTGTTCGCCTTGGTGACCGGGTCCACAGTGAAGAGCGTGGCAGCATTCACCACGTGACTCGGCTGGTCCAGCGACAAAGCAAACCGCAGGCGTTGCAGATGCAAACCGGTCGGTGGCATGTACCCAACGACGGAGAGGGGCTGCAGGAGCGTCGTCGCGGTCGCCGTCTCGCCTGTCGCGGACCCGCCGAAGCGGCCGCTGCCCATGGGATTTCCCTTCATCAGCGCATCTGTCAGCGAGAAGCGCGGCGTACCGCAACACGATAGCGCGTAGGTGGAGAAGCAGTGTCCCTGCAGCAGGGCGAGGATGTCGTTCAACGTGAGCAGGCCCCGAGTGGCGCTGAGACACTTGGCGACCTCGTGGCGCGTTTTGCGGTCGTTGCGCTTGCGGCGTAGGTAGCTGCGTTCTTCTCTCCCACTTGTCGGCACGGCCGAGGTGGCGCTGCCACGTGAGGCCATGGAGGTGCAAGAGGCGATCGCAGCCGCGTCCGTCGTCTTGGCGCCGACGCGGTCGCGGTAGGCATCAAGAAGAGCCGTGTGCGGGGCAAGGGTCCGCATCACTGCGTCCTCCAGCGTCATCCACTCCGGCGGTGCGTCGCCAAAGGCGAAGGCGGATAAGTTGTCCGTCGTCGGTGCGACGCCGCCGCCGCTACGTGCCAAATCCCCTCTGTCCAATTCCAGGGAAACGCCCAGCGGACCCTCACCCTCGAACACAGCAGTCTTGTTGATGTCATCCGCGTTGTCTCCATCCTGCTGCATCGAGGGCCGTCGCTCCTTTAAGTAGGCACGAATGTTGTGCAGCAGTTGTAGCTCTCTAGACCGCCGCTGCGTCGTTCGTGAAGACGAGTCCGAGTCTCTCCTCCCGGCGTCGCTGCGGTCGTCGTCGGCGGTGAGCGACACCGGTGCGGACAGCATCCCCGCCTGGGCAGTGTTGCTCATGCTGTGTACGTGCGCCTTCGGGCGATACGGTAGAATGCTCCCGTACCCCTCGCCGTCGCTGTCCGGTTCAATTTCCTCGTCCTGCCCGTCGAGTGGCGCGTCGTCAATAAGCTGCACGACCCGCGACAGGGAGGTGAGGGGGTCGTCCACCAGATATGACGTCTCCGTCGCCTCGGAGTCGAACACCGTCTTGGTGGGGTTCTCCGTCTCGCCGACGAGGTATTGGATTCGCTTCTCCAGCAGCGCAACGCAGTCGGCCTGAAACGCTTCGAGACTCGCAAAGAAGTTAACGGCCACCATCTCGGGAATGAGTTGGTGGGACACCAAATAGAACAGTCGGAAGTCAGGGTCCTGTGACTTGTACTCCATCGTGTAGTAGTACAGCGCCGCCAGCAGCTCACGCACGTCCTCAGCGAGCGCTGCAACTTCCGTATCGCAACCGTCCTCCACCGGGTTCAATTTCGGTGTGTCCGCCGTGCCGGTGACAATGGTGTTGGCGGCCGGTGCCGCTGCGTTCTCGTCGCTGGCGGGGTTGTGAAGGAGGACGGTGGCAAAGAAGACACGGCCGCAGTCCCACGGCGCAGTGTCGGACGAAGAGGAAGGGAAAGATGCTGATGCCGCACCTCCCGCTATTTTGCTGGCGGTGCTGCCGACCCAGGCGGAGCCGCCACGCGCGAGCACGCCGCGAACGCGCAGAAGAGTGGACTTGTTGGGCACCGGCGACGATTCAGAGGATGCGGCGGCGGTGGCCTCCTCGTCCACAACTCCTGGTGGGATGCCACCGGGAACGCCTCCGGCGGCGGCGGACAGCTTCGTAAAACGGGTCGAAAAGTCCACCAACGCGGTAAGAAACGTGGAAATTTCAGGCGCGGCTTCAGTGAACTCGTCGTCGTCGTCGTCGTCGTCGTCTTCCGGCACAGCTGCTGTTCCTCCTCTGCCATCACCTTTACCACCGCGTCGTACTTCGTCTGCCTTGCGCCGTGTGAAAGGGGCGTCGCCTCCCGCCGAATTGCCGCTGGTGGAGAAGTTCGGGTTGCGATGCCGTCGTGTGTTGCGCTGCGCCAGTCGTTGCCGCCTCTCTTGGATCGCTCTCAGGCGGGTTCTCATCTGTCGCGCAAAGGCGTTCAGCCGCTCCTTCCAGAAGCATCGCAGCACAAAGCGAACAGTGGCCTCGTCGTACCGGTGCACGTTCGGGATAGTCGCATTCGCTGTCGCCGCAGACGCTGCCGTCTCTTTCGGTGGTGGCTCGCTGCTATTCGCAGTCGGTGCAGCAGCAGCAGTAGAGATCTTCCTTTCACTCTCAATAAGGGCACCGAGTTGGTTGCGCAGAGGCAGCAGCACCGACGCTAACGTGAGCACCGGCACAAACTTGCGATTCAATTCGCCGCTATCGGGGAAGCTGTCCTGACCGCCGAGGTAGTCGATGGCAAAGCGTTCACCCCAGCGAAGGACGCGGCAGGCAACGGAGCCGTGCAGATTGGTGCGCAGCTGCTTCGCACGCCCACGACGCGTGGCCTCCGCCGTCACCTCGCTCACTATCAAACGCAGGACCAGTGTGGGGTCGAAGTACGCGCCGGGGTAGCAGCCGCCGTGTGGTGTGCGAGCGAACAGCAGCCACGACTGCTGATCCGCAGCCTCGGCCACCGCGCTGCCTCTCTTGCCGGAAGCCTCGTTGATCTCGGAAAGCGGCGCGGCCATGATCGCCATGCTGCGCTTCCACTCACCTTGGTCCTCCGTCATCATATAATCGCCGCGGTGTTCAACGAGGCACAGAAACTGATACACCGACCACAACGGACGCGTCGTCAACAGGTAGTCCACGTAGGAGTAGCGCCCCTCGACCGCGCTCAGCTCCTCGTAGCCCCACATGAGCTTCTCATACTTCTCTTCCAGTGACCGGTGACGCCGCTCACACAACTGCACGTACGCGTCTCGCCGTGCCACCCGTCGCTCAAGTCGCTCCAGATAATGAAAGGCGTCTGCCAAGTGATTGTGCGCCGCGTTGGCCTCCTTCTCCGTGTTCTCAAAAGCGCGTCGCGACTCCTGCAACGCCCGTTCCGTCTCACGCCATAGCTGACTTAAACGTGCCGCCTCCTGCTTGGCGTCGTTGATCTGATTACTCGCTAGCTGCTTTGCGTGTTGCGTCCGCTGTTTACTTTGCTGTGTCGCCGCTGAAAGGGCGTCGGTCGCGCGATCCTTCCACCCGTCCAGCTCCCTTCGCAGCGATTCCACTTTGCCTTCCATGGCGTGATGCTCCGCGGACCAGCGGGCGGCGGCCTCCTCCGACGTCTTCATCTGCTCCGCAAACAGTTTGTTCTCGCTCTCCAACTCGTGCAGCCGCACACACTTGGCGTTGAAGGCCGCCTCCAGCTGCTGCAACTGCGTGCGGAGATAGGTCACCTCGTACCCATGCTGGTCCAGCACGACGGCGCTGCCGTCCGCCGCCCACAGCATGTCGCGACGCGACGGCGGCAGTGTGACATTGTGACTCGGCTCATCCACCTGGCGAAACAAACGCGCATCGTCGGGGTGCTGCATGTCCGTGTACGGGTACTCAAGTGAGAAGTCTCGAGATGACGGGACCATGTTGGTGAGTGCTCTGTTCGTTTCGTGCAACACGACTTCATCCGTGTCGTCCGTGAGTGTTTGTCCCGCTGCAGTCGGTGCGGGACCATCATCAATGGTGGTCTCAGCGTCTGCAGCATTGGCCTCAGCGGTGGCGGGTCTCGCAGAGGAGGAAGGCGGTAGCGTGCCATTCCATTGGATTGGTTCGTCTAGCGGTAGGGTGCCGGTCAACAGCGGAAGATGGACGGGGCTGTTGGATTCATCCTTCGCGGACACCATCTTCATTCGCCCGCTCGTCGCGTGGGCTCGTGTGTCTCGTAACAGTGCGCTAAAGCCGGCAGAGCTAGGCGGCAGGAACGATACACTTCCGTAGCCGAAAAGGTCCCCAGCTGGCACGCAGCCATTGCAGGCGCCCACCGCCGCAGCAGCAGGAGATGAAAGGGAAGAGGTAGGTGGAAAAGATGCCGCGGCGGGGTTGCTCGTAGTGGAGATGGACGGTAAGGCTTTGGGACTCGCAAAGGAGCGCGGTGACTGCAGAATCGAGGTGCTGTCGAGCGGGTCCACTAGCAGTGGCCGCTGTCCCCGAATCAGCGCCACCTCCGACGCCTTTAGGCGCACCACGTGCATTACCTCCCGGTCCAGAAGCCCGCGTACGTCGTCGCCGTAGATCTCGGGGTGGCTGCACACGTACTGGAGGCACTGTCGTAACGCGGCGAGCGGGTCCATGACGGTGGTGGGGCGGTCTTTCAAGCCTCTATCCTCGACAAACTCCGAGTTCCGCATGGGGCTCCACATCGGAGGGAGGGGCGAGCGTGCCGTTGAGGCGGTCAGTCGGGCTGGCGACGTGTTCGCCGCGGCGGCCGTCCGCGTCGACTTATGGAGCGGGGTGAGATAGCCCGAGGAGGCGGCTGCGTCTGCGCCACTGCTGTTCTTGAACCACCGTTTCTTTTGATGGGGGTCGTTGGTGTACATGATTCCACACACAGAACTCAAAGTGAGAAAAGGAAGCGGTTCAATTACAAATATATATGTATTTACAAAGCACTGCGGAAAAGAAAAGAAAAGCAAGCCGTTCACACCCGTTTCTACGAGGTCACAACGTGGGATAATATATAATGAAAGAAAGAGAGAACGATGAAAAGGAAGGCAAGAGTGGGAAGATGCAGTCGAGGGGGCGGGAAATAGCTTTCTTTCGCTACATATGCCAATGCATTGGAAAGAAAAAGTCTCCTTGTTGGTGTTGAAGCGACAGTGGAGGTGTCTATGTGCATCGATACCCGACAAGAGACGATTCGGCTACCTGCAATACAAATCTTCTGTCTCACCGGAGAGGACCACTTCACAGTTGCACTTCGTAATCACGGAAGATCGACCCATGTGAGTTCACATCGTGTACGCGCCATCCGCCAACAGCTTTGTCTTCTTCACATCACAAAAAAAAGAAAGAATGTGAAGAGACGACATCGACACTCCAACAACGTCGGTGGACAGCACAAAACGGAAGAAAAATACGCTTGCCAGCTTGGAAGGAGAAACACTGTAAAGAAGAAGAAAGGGAAGCTCTCTGAGCGAGCTTCGATGTGACACTCTCACGGCACACATACAACGAAACGGTAAGAGACACGCTTTCCGTTTTTTTTTTTGAGCCATCAAGGTCCGCCCCTTTCATTATATTCAGGAGATCAATATCAAACAGCACCGATGGAGATGCGGGTTCCACGCAGGCAACCCCACCCACTCACACGCGGAAGCTCTTGGACACATATTCAAAAGAAGTAAAAAAAGAAAAGAAAAGAAAAGAAACTGAAGAGTCGAAGAAATAGCGGGGCAGCACCCAACGGCAAGGTCTGACGGATCTACGACTCAACAGACACCACGTAAACAGGAGGGAAGAAAACCGAAAGCAATGGGAAAACGCTATAATAGCAATACAGGTGGAAGAAAACAAAACGAAGAGCTGATTGAAGAGGAAGGAGGGAGATAGCGGCAGCAAGAGACGTCATCTCCAAAGCTAAAGTGCACTCGAAACACATGGAGTCAAAACAGAGGGGAGACGAGAGGAGCAAAAAGCTAGAAAAAAAAAAATGTTTTCTTCCTGCGCGAGTGTTCGACAACTTGGCTGGTGTGTCTCCCATTTGTTTTTTTCTTTATATCCTCTGATGAAGCGTGTGAAACCAACACCTCCTGTGGTGGGATGATGCTGGAGGGTAGAAGAGGCAGATAAATAACAGCAAAAAAACAAACATTACGATTCCCCGTTCTAGGGGGAGAACTCCCTTGTACTACCATCCTTAGGCAGCAACTCACGCGTCCCGCTCGGGGTGAGAATCTCACTCGCCGTTACGTGAAAGGAGTCGTCCTCGTGGTACTGACGATTGCGATCGCCAAAGGAAGCTAATAACTTCACCAACGCCTCCTTGCCGTGCTCCTCGCAGTGCACAATCCACGGACTCTTCAGCAGGTCCACCGCCGTACCGCGGTCATCAGGGTTTTGGCGCAGGCACGAGTCGATAAAATCTTGTGCCTCCTGGCTGCACCCAGTCGTTTCCATAATGGGGTATTTCTCTACACTATTGATCTCGCGCAGCAGGGCCATAAAGCCGTTCTGCACCGAGGAGAACGGGTAGCGGCCGAGCATGATCTGAGCCACTACTACGCCCACACTCCAGATATCACTCGGGGTGCTATACCGGCGCCCCTGGATGCGCTCTGGACTCATGTAGGTTGCCGTACCCACAAACGAGGTGACGCCGATCGTCTCAGCGCTCGTCGCGATGCCGAAGTCTGCCAGCTTCACACATCCGTTTGAGGAAAGGAGGACGTTGGCGGGTTTGATGTCGCGGTGAATCTGCCGGAGCGACTTGTGCTGGTTCGGCTCCGTCACAATGTTCGACTTGGTGTGCAGAATCTCTAGTGCGTGCAGCATCTGAGATGCGATGTACCCCGCCACCTCCTCCGGCAGCTTCACCTTCTCCGCGATCAGCTCATCAATGTTGCCCCAGTCCATGTACTCCATCACGAGCCGAAGGGCCCCGTTGCGGTAAAAGGCGTTGTACAGCGTCACCGTGTAGTCGTTCGACTGCGCCGTGAAGATGTAGCGAAGTTCTGCCGCAACGGTTTGCCGCGTGCGGTTGTCCACCGTGCTCGGAATCGTAATCTTCTTCACGGCGAAGACGGACCGGTCCGGCGTGACGTACATGGAGACATTGCCCTGCGTTCCCTGACCTAGGTGGCGGACTCGCTTAAGGTTGTCGATGTTCAAATCGGGGCGGCGCACCTGCAAATCGCCGCCGCCGATGAATTCCACCCCACGCGGGCCCACGCGAATGTTGCCCACCTCAAACTCGTCACTCTCCTCCGGCGGCTCCGGCGGGGCCGTCTTCTTCGGCGGCAAGCGCTTCAACAACTTCGGTGGCATGACTCAACTGACTCAACAAACACAGAGAGCCAAGCAACGCAGGAGCGAAAAGGAAAAGGGGAATTACAGTGACAACTATATTTAAATGGTGTTTGATGTGTACGGGATTCTGTGTCTTCAATGAGATCTAAGGCTGAGTTGGCCGGGGGGAGGGGGGGGGGGGAAGAACGCGTGAGTTGTGTTTCCAGATGCACGTCGATTGTCAAGACGATGCTCGAGGTACGTCCCTAAACGTAGCGACGGGATACCAAAATACACCAGGAGAGAAAAGGCGCACTGAAAACAACGAGTGCAAAGACAACAAACAAATGCAGGGGGAAAAAACAAAAACAATCGTTGCGCATAAATCGAAGTCAGAACGTACAACAGAAGCGTATCATGCAATACGGTAGATTCTCAACTCGTGTGTCAGCCGCCGTACCTTGCCGCTTTGGCTTGATAGACGCGCAGTCAACGACTTGGTGTCAAATCAAAAATAGACTCAGTCAGCTAGGAGACGAAAACGAAAAGGTGAAAGCGCCTTGGAAGAGGGGAGGAGAAAACCTTCAAAAGAACACCAGAGAAGCACACAGCTCAAAGAACGAACAAAAAAAAATACCACGACAACGATGCGAATAGGCTGAGGACCAAAAGATGTTGTCCTGCGTTGTTGATATCAACAACGCAGGACAACACGGGAAGACGAAAAAAAAAAGGATAGAAGAGACAGTTTTGAGAAAAGAAAAGGAGAAAGAAGAACATTTTTTGTAAGTGTAGCGTGTTGAGTAACATGCAAAACGACTGGGTATGCTGATTGGAGTGGAAGGTACTTCACAAGGGAGACGGACGTACCTTAATACGGAAAGTGTTAGCCTTTCACTTTCAATCTTTCAAAATGAAATTTAAAAAGATGCGCTTCTCTTCGCACCACATTGTGGGACGCAAATAGTGAGCCCATCTATCACTTCAAAAACAAAAACCTAGAGGGGGATTAGGGAGGCGTTTGAACTCATTGTCATTCGATTTCCATCATTAATTAATCCTTTCTTTTTTGTTTTACTCTGCACCTTTACCAAGGAGGACAAAAACAGCAACGCAGTTGGAAACCATCACTGACTGCAAAGAATTACCTAGGTCGGGGGAAGTACGAGCGGCAGCAATACACCGCAACTGCTTGCTTCCATTTCCCTTCTCAGTTGTACAACACGAGCGAGAGCGAAAACCGTGCGTGGCAGCAAAGAAAAAAAAAGGAAAGGCGAATGGGCGTCCTGGATAACCAAACGTTACGCGAACATCGGCAGCCCGCACACGTTCCCTTTCTTTTTAAGTTTTTGTCGTTGTTTCTTTGCTTTTCCATTCGCGCTTCCATCATCGTCTCCACGGCACGCTTCGCTATTTGCGGAACTTAATCACGCTGGTTTCTCTTTTGCCGATCGTCTGCACTTCTTTTTGAAAGTACTGCGGATAGGCATCGACAGCGCGGCTCAGCGAGCCGTAGTGGTCGCACAGCGTGTCCACCGCAGGGGCGGAGAGGTGCATGTAACGCAGCGCACGTAGAGTCACCCCATCTGGACCGATCGGCAGCTGCAGCATCTCAGCTATCGCGTCCTCGACGCTCATGGGTGTCGCTGCACTGGCCAGCGTACTGGGTCTCGCGCTATCCGACCGTCGTCGCAGCATGACCGTCCCGCGCTCGGTGAAGTAGTCCAGAAACTTACTGGCACGAAAATTCGCTTTGTGCGGCAACGCCGCGCGCATCACCGGTGGCAGCCGTCGCATGACCTGTGAGACGCGCACCGGGTAGTTGGGCAGTAAGTTGGCGATCTCCTCGTGTAGCACCTCTGGAAAGACGATAGGGTTATTCGGATCCAGCACGAGGAGATGGCGTCGGCACGTCGGCACGTGTCCTTCTCCGATGTTGCGCGAAAACATCACACGTTCGTTTTCACCGACCTGCGACGCCGACTGTTCCTCGTTGTCGTCGAAGGAGCGCGGCAGCACCACCCGCTCACCGGTGTTGAAGCGACGCTCCATGAAAGGGATAGGCGCCAACTGGCCCTCGGGGTCGTGGGCAATGACGTACAGCAGATCAGCACTCATCTGGAAGAGCTTGCCGTGGTAGCGCAGAAAATTCACGAGCCCTTTGTACTCGCGGCGCAGGTAGTGTCGCTGCTCGACAGTGTAGCCGTGGTACACCCGCTCCACCGACACCCACCGCCATATCCGCAACGGTGGGGCACCGGGGTTGTACTGTGATGCAGCCTTCGAAAAAAAGTTCTCGTAGCTGCAGCCGCGCGCGACCGACGGCGGCGGGGCCAAAAAACGAGCGGCCAAGGCCGCCAGCTCAGCGTCGGGGCTCGTCGTTTCGTCCCAGTCGCTGAGGCTGCGCGGTGCGACGTCGGGTGGGAGGCGGCGAACGTAAATGTCTTCTAACGGTAGCCCAAATACGGTGATGTCGTCCAAAGACGCGCCTTGCGGCAGCGGCGCTCGAAATCCGCGTGGGGCAAACGAGCTTCCCTCATACCCCTCAGCGCCGCGGTGCTTGTGGTTGCTGAACCCGGCCCCACGCGAATCCTCCTCTTCGCCGCGGGCGTCAAAACGAGCATCTTCACCTTCGCCGCCGTCTTCGTCGTCCCCCAACGAACACGGACGATTGTCGTCGTCTGTGAAGGTCGTGTTGTTGTCGGCACGAGCGCCGCCTGCTGGGCCACCACTCTCCTCGGCTGGCGATCGTAGCGCTGCCGCTGCTTCCACGGCCGTTGCATCCGTATGTGCCCCTGTAAGAATGCCTTCCACGTCGATCAAATCATCCTTTATCGCCTGCTGGAAGCGAGCGGAGCGTTCGGCCAGTTCCGCCGCGGACACAGCGGATGTTCCAAATCGGTTCCCATCTGTCGTCTTCGTCGTCATCATCTGGGTTGGCATCGCCTCGACCACCGCGGGTTTGCTCAGCTGGTCGTCGCTGTCCCAACCCTCTGCGGACGTGACGTCGCCGTCGTGTTCGTCCTCGTCCATCTCGTCTCCGTCTCGTGTGCTACATCTCTCTCGCACCACCGAGTCTGTCGCCGCTGCCCTTTGCTCGCGCGCCACACGCAAGACGGCTCCATCGACAAACACGTTGGGATCACTCTCCGTTAGACTTACGAGCTGAAAGACATTGACGTACTGACACAGCACTCGCAGCACCGTCTGCTCCGGCACGCTGGACAGCAATTTCGCGTCCTCTGGCGGAAAAGAATTGATCCACTTCATCAAGTTAAACGGCGCATAACGGTTCCTTACGTATGGACGAGTCTTGGTCGCTGCAAACGTCGCAGCCGCACCATCTGCAGTGTCGGACGGCGGAGTCGGAAAGCGCGGTAGGTGGCGGACGAGTGCGTGAAAGATCTGCACGAAGACCGGTATGCGCTCCTCGAATCGCCCGGCAGCCGCAGAGCCGGACCTCGGCGTAACCGCGGTTCCGGCTACAGAACCCGATCCGTCGGTCTCCATCGGCGCCAGCGCCAACGGAGTCGTCTGAGAGCCGGACGGCAAGGTGGCGGCATCCAAATCTGGTACACCCGTGGGCTTGTGGAGACGCTCCTTGCGCATCGCGTGGTCGGCCTTGCCATAGCTTGGGTGCTGACGCACAAACCAGTAGTTCGAGTTCAGCTGGATGGTGGACCTAGAGTAGCGACTGTACGTGTACTTGAACAACATCGGGTAGCGAGCAAACGCGACGATCGAAAACTGGGCGGGGCCCCACTGCTGATATATCCGGCGTACAAGGGACTGTGGCAACGCTTGCATAACGGCCCGACTATCGACTGGAAACGTCGGGACGTACGGGAAAAACGCTTCGGCCACCTCAGAAGCGGTGTACATACCGGACTGACGATACATCTTATCCAACTTATGCATATCGTCTCCTAGGTAGGTAACCATAGCATCCATGGGTAGAAGGTTTGCCTCGCGCTGCTGCTCAACTCGACGACGCACCGCTATCCCTTTCATAAAGGTGTACGACTCCAGTCGCCATCTTTCCACTTCTTCGCGACGCAGCGGAGGCACTGCCGTGTCGATGACAAAGGTGCGAAGCATGCCCTTGATCGTCACTTTCGTCGACGTTTTTCCTTCTTCTGCGTCTGCGCCGTCGGTGCTGTTCGCCAGAACAGCGCTGTTCCCGGCATCGCCTCCCCCTCTTCCTACGCTGCGCGGGGTCTTTCCGACGGCGTTGCTTTCCACAGCGGCGCTGGGCGTCAGAAAACGTTTTTCCTCCTCCTCACTGAAGTAATAATCGGCGCCGGGAGTCCAATCGCACGCTGGTGTTTCGGGCACCGAAGAGGGATGCTTCGTCGCAGCAGTCGACGACGACGCTGACGTAGCGCTGACCCTCCGTGCCGAGGGTGCGGGCCTCGAAAACCGCCTTGCGTGACCATAGATTACGCAGTAGAAACACCCGTGCCGCTGCATCCCATCAAGGAGGTATAGTTGCGGCCCCGCAGTCCTCAGACGTGGAAACATCGCTCCCTTTTGCTTTTTAGCGGCCTGACCACCCCCCCCCCCTTTTTTTTTGCGTTGGGTGAAACTCGATAAAAGTGATAAAGCGGGAGCAATTGCAAAAACAGGCTGTGCGTGGAACACGTGTTACACATGAGCAGGAAGGAAGAAAACGGCGAGGAGAGCTTTGGAAAGTTAACTTCGGTAATGCAGGCTTTATTCCTCGGAGACGGGCTTTTATTTTTGAGTTTCAAGCCAGGATATTGTAGGTCAGGAGACGTGTTACGAGTCTTTGGCAAGGAGCCGGTGTCGAGTGAAAACCGAAAGGCGCACGCTTTCGTCCCCCCGGGGAAAAAGAATCCGCCCAACCGACCCGCTTCTAAAAAGGGAGTTCGTGCACAAAAACGGGGATGTAGCAAGATGCAGTAGAAGAGAGAACAGAAAAAAAAAACCAGTTGTTGCACTCGACATCTGCGTTCTTTCCTTTTGCAAGGTGCGCGGCGTAGAAGTGCGCTTGTGTGCCGTTGAGACGAATGCTCCTTGATCGCCATCACGTGGCGTTTCTTTTTCCCTTTAAAGCATTACTGTCTCATCAGCGACTGTACGTGCAAAAACGGAGATGAAAGAAAGAAAGAAGAAAAAAAAAACGAGAAAACAGCAAACACGAGAGGAGGGGATCGCTACATGGTGCCGCGCGGTGCGAGTGCTACTTTCGTGGGACGCCGGGCCTATCCACTACATCCTCGTTCGAGAAGGAGCGGAAAGCGATGCGGTCAAGCAGAAAGACGCACTTGTAGAACAGCCAAGATGTGAAGCGCAGCCATCGGGAGCGCTGCTGGTGATCCTCCAGTCGTACCTCGACGCTCTCCGCCAAATCCTTCAGAAATTGCATCTCCATCTCTCTCGCCACTGCCAGGTCGAGGTGGCACAGGCACACCTCCAAGTTGCGATTGCTCATCAAATCCCAATTGTAGCTGCCGATAGAGCTCCACATGCTGTCGACGACGACGGTTTTGGCGTGCATGATCTGCTCCCCCTTAAACTCGTAGATCTTTACCCCCGCCGTGAGAAGCCGCTCCGTTATGTAGTTGGACGCGTGCCACATGAACCACGGGTCCGTTGTCTGGTTGCTCCCGGCAAGAAGGCGCACATCCACTCCCCGCCTCGCCGCCTGCATCAGCGCGGCGAACAGCTTCCGCGTGGGCAGGTAGTACGGGGTGGTGATCCAGATTCTGCGGTGGCACTTGCGGGTGACCTGCCACAGCGCGTACTGGATGGAGTAATCGCGATAGCGCGGGTTGCACGAGAGGATTTGCGTTGTCGGTCGACGGCGCAGCAGGTACATCTCCGCTTCCGGGACCGGCTCCTCATCCAGGAGTGGCATGCGGCGCAGCATATCCGTGAAGGCCCGCTTGTGGGGCAGATCCGTAGCGCGATAGAGCGCCGCTCGTCGCGCAGCCATCAGCTTGCGGCGCATCGCGGATGTCTTCGGTCCTGGCGGCTTCAACTCGTTCGCCGCCGGCTCCGTTACGTTGTTGTCTTGCGGTGCAGCGGCCACCACTCGGCCGGTCTGTTTCGATTGCAGGCTTTCTCGCATGGTGTCAATGTCGGTGATAGTCAATGTGGGCTTCTTCGTTGCATTCGCCGTGCCGTCCGTCGCGGTGCGGCGCTCCTGCTCCTTCAGCATCTGCAACGCGATCTCCGTCGCCTCCATGTCGAAGTCGGCATCTGTCGTCCCTGCCTTGTTCCACTGCATCAAGGTGCGCAGCTGATTCTTCTGCTTCTGCCAGCGCAGTCGCATCACCTTGACCGAGGCAGAAGGAATATCCTGCAGTCGCCGCCCGCTTCGCCATCGCTCCGCCTGAAAGGCCCGGTAGAACTCGTTGCGCGCCATACGTGCGCGGCCCTCCTCCACCCGACGCGTAATCTGCTGCGACGCGATCTGCCGCCATCGACGCCAGCCGTACTTCCACGGGTGCGGCTGCTTCGTGTCGCGGTAGACCTCCGCCAGGTGCGCCGCCGCCGGTCCCGTGACACCGCACTGGGTGTCACGGAACTTGCCGGTGCCGCCGACAGCCGTTCCGCAGTATTCGTTGCCGATGTTCAACCCGCCGCAGAAGCCCTGCTCCGAGTCGACCAATAAAATCTTTCGATGGTTGCGGAGACCGGGACTGCGCTTCCAGTCCAGACCCTTCACAAAGTACCGCAACACACTGCGGAAGAAAGGGCGATACGGGATCACCTTCGCACCGCACTGCGTCAGCTCCTCCGTGAGTCGGCTTCGCCCAGAAATGTTGCCACCGCAGTCGTAGAGCAGCTCCGTGTCGCAGCCACGCTGGTGGGCTTGCACGAGTTTGTGCACGGTGGTCTGCCCAACAAAGTCATCCTTGCAGATGTACGTCTGCCAGTGCACCCGCTGCTTTGCGGTATCGACGGCGGCCCACATGCTCTCGAAAGCCTTCGCGCTGTCGTGGTACGGAGTCACCGTGTTGCCTGCGGACACCTTGCCCAGCACCGCCAGGGAGCTGAGAATGTCATCCCACCGCTTGTCAAACGGGACGGCGCTGTAGTAGCGCTTCGCGTCGTGGAAGGTGGACTGCATTTTGTCGAAGTAAAACGACGCGGCGGCAGCGGCGTCTGCGGCCCGGTGACTGTCATGACGTGAGTCGTTCTTGGCTTGGTCGCCATGGCGTGTGTTTGTGTACCGATTTTCAAAAGGAGAAGAAGAGCTCACTGTCAACGGAGCCCCAGAAGAAGACTCCAGCGTGCGTGCGGCAGAGGCGGAAAGCTGCTCGTAGGCGCTCACGGCGGTATGAAACGCCTGCTGCAGTTTTTCCCGCACATTTGCGGTCGTTTGAAACTGCACGCGCCGCTGCTGCAGGCGCTCCAGCAACGAAAGTGTGTTGCCGCCCTCGGTGGCGTTGCCTTTGCCGTTCCATGGATGCAGTCCGAGCATTGACACCAAAGGACTGTGATCAGAGGCGGTGGAAAACGCGCTCGAGGTTGCTGCGTTGCTGTCGTGCGCATTTGCCTTCGTGTTGTTCACGTACGATGATGATGATGATGATGATGATGATGGTGGTGGGGATTCTTGTTCTGCTGTGTCGCTCCTACCCGCCGACTGGCGAGCCGTTTGCGCGACATGCTGAATGCGATTCTTCGGTGAGTTCTTGACTTTGTTTACGCCGAAATTTTGAATTAAAGCACGGAAGTTTTGTTTCGGTGCCATTATCTTCCCACTTGCTGAACTCGAAAGAATCTCAAAAAAAAAAAGAGAGAATAGCGCGTGCGTGAAACACGAAGAGCAAATATTAATAATAATGTGGATAAGTTCAGTAATACTTAGAATGGCGACCTCCAAAGCGGTATAACGAACAACAGGAGAACAAATTACCTACACACGTGAGGGGAAAAAAACCTCGCTCTCTAGATATGAATAAACAAAAGCGGCCGCACTTGAAGTATAGGATAACAGTGCCGCTGCAACGGAAGAGCTTATTTCCTTCGCCAGAGCGTGTAGATACACAAACGCGCGCCACAGAAAGCTCTACGCCACACAAATAAGTTCGAGAAATGAACTGAGATGCATGTTATCGGCTTATACAAAGAAACAAACGTTAGTAGTATATGCCCGCCAATGTGAATAAAAGTGAAGAACTATTCCCTTCCAATCCCACGGTGGCGCTAATGTGTATGTTAATTATTATTTTTTTTTCAATCGAATACGATCTCGGCTGACACAGTTGACACTTTCGTGTTCTGTTGTCGCGGATATTCGTCTTCTTCTTTCGTCGGGAAACTGAGTACTTTTGTTGGTCTTTGTGCTCGCGTAGAAGTTCTTTTGCCCCCCTCGTTTCTTTGGTGTTAGTCGAGTACTCTATTCGGCCTCATAGCACGAGTGGCTGCGTGGTGGATAGCGTGGGGAAAAAACAAAAGCGGGAGGGAAAGTAACAGAAGAGCCCGTAAGAAGAAGAGCAACCTCTTTCCGACGCTGCACATCGAATGACGCGCAGCTATCGTCAATTTGTAGCGCGAAACATCACGAGAATGTCTTCAAATTCTGCGTCTGACAGTCAATGGCTAAGTTTCACATTTGTAAAGGAAGGCCACACGCTGAGCGTGGAGCTGTTGATTCCACCGTTTAAAAAAACAAACCCTATCAGATGATCTGTGTTTCTACCAATTTATCACATTTCGTTGTGATGACGAATGAAACAAACGACGCGCGTCTCTGCCAGACAGTCGTTAGCGTCCTCATTGAACCGTCCTACGCAGCAAGCAAGGACGAGAGGCACAAACCAGCGTAAACGGCGGAAAAACATCAGAGGACCCCCAAAAATATTAGGACAAGGACAAGTCTGACGATTGTCTCCTCTTCCTTAATGTGTCATTCGTGTTCTTTTTTCTTACCTTTCATAGCTGCAACAGTGCAATCGACTGTGGTTGACGACGCAACAACAGTTTGTGGAATTGGCATTTTCCTTTCCTTTTCTTCCTCAACGATCGCGGTACTGCTTGGCACGGTTCTTGCGCTTCAACAGCCCAGCGTCTTCCGTTTCCAGAAACACCACCTTGCGTCGCTCCACCTCCTCGTCACGCTGCCGCTCTAACAACATTTGTTCTTCCTCCGTCTGCGTCGGGAACTTCAGCGGCCACCAGTCAGGGAAGTTTACCCAATCGTACACCTCCGGCGTCATGTTGCTCATAAACGTCCGCGCATCCAAGCGGGTGTCATCGGCGGAGCGAGAGAGCGTGACCGCCTCGCGCGTGCGCTTGTCCTCCTCCTCCATCGGACGATAGTCATACAAGAAGGCACGGTACATGGGCTGCAGCTCGGGTGACACCTTGTGAATGGGAACCTGATTCATCTGCTGCTCGTGCAGGAAAGTTCGTAGTCGGCGACGGTGGTAATAGTTCATGCCGTAGCAGCCCAGGCCGTACAACACACCTACGAAACTGCCCGCAAACACGCCTTGCCCGAACGAGCCCATCTGCGAGACGAGCGTCAACACCACGGCGCCTGCCGTACCCGCAACGATGGGGTAGTAAAATTTGTCGTGGTACTGATTGCGCATCACCAACAGCTGATGAAAGGCGCTCGTGAGCAGACCCACCGCGGCAAAGGTGGAGGTGTAGCGCCACATAATTCGATAGCGGCCAATGTAGCGCCCTTCGACGCGTGACTGACGGAAGCCAACGCAAAAGCCTGCGAGGGCGCCGTAGCAGGCGACAGGAAACACGCTCTGCAGAAAGCCGCGCCTCCACCGCCACTCAAGGTAGTTGTTCACCTCGATGCCGTAACGGTGAGGCGGGAGACCGCCGTGGCGTACCGCCGCGTAAATGTCTTCCTTATCGGAGGCGGCCCTGCTGCTGCTTTGGAAGCGGTCATCGTTGCCGGTTCGAAACGGCCAGAGCGACATCGAGAACGCCGGAGAGATGCATAACTGCGAGAAGGCTAGGAGTTGCCACGCTGTCAGGCGGGAAAATGAAAGAAGTCCCCAAAGACTTCTCACTCAGTAGCTATGCGAGCCAGCCGGTTGGCGAAGCCCCACAGCTATCCACACTCCTGCTCTCTCGCGTCCACCAGAAGAAAGAAACAGTACCGACACGAATAAGGGCACCTGCTCCGTGCGTGCAAAGCCCCTCGATATGACGCAACCGTTATACGAGACTGGAGCAGAAACGAATAGCGTAGAGACGCGCCCGAGAGGAAATCCGAAGAAAAACACGGGAGACAAATAGGGAGAGGAAGAAAAAGGTATCATCCGGCAGAGGACAAGAAATCAGCACCACAATCTTTCCTTCCGTATTCGCGTCAAAACAAAGGAAAGAAGAGAAAAGAGGTGCATGCGGGATGAACGTGCAAAAATTGTGTTGCGAACGCAAGCTGGCAGGGTTGCACGGTGAGCAGACGGCGAAACGGTGCGAGTTGAGGTTCGCTGCTAGCAAGGATCGATCCAATCGTAGTCCAAAGAGGAGAAAAACCCCTAGATTGACTAAATGTCAAATACTTCTGTTCCTTCTTTGTTAGTTTCATTTTTTGACAATTTCAATCATTATTCACAGAGGAATCAAACGCTGCCCGCTTTAAAACTGCGAAGAACGACAGCAAAAAGGGGGAAAAAACGAAGTAATAAAACTTGGAGAACCGGCCATCAACGCGTCGAGACCTCTTCCTTTCTGCTGAACTGCCATTCTAGTACTCTTCCTCTCTGTGTGCTTAACAGCCCGCACGAAGAGCCAGCACCATGTTGATGGTCACACCAGCGTGGATGTTACACTCCTCCAGGGTCGCGTTGTCCTCCAACTTACGGCCACCGTGCAAGAACATGATCATCTTCTGCGGGATGCCTTCCGTCTCCTCCAGCTTGGCTTTGATATCACCGACAGTGTTGTCGGGGCCGAGAACGGAGATGGAGATGCGCTGACCTGTGGTTGAGATGACGCTAAAGGTGAAGGTCATGGTAGACTAATAAGATGAATAGAAGAGAAGAAAACACGAGAAAAAGAAAAACTGAGGAGAAAGCAAACGACTGCTTTGGACAATGTGCGCAATGGACGATGCAGGCACTGAAGAGCTTTTTGCAAAGAAGTGGGACGTTTGTGTGTGCGTATTCAACTGAGAGAGCAATGTCGATGAATAGAACGACACGACCAAAACAGAAGTGGAAAGAGAAGAGCACAGAAACCTGCACAGGGTAGCAATTTAAGAGAATAGAAACACACTGAAACGTGGGGACGGAGAGTAATAGAGGACGTCTGAATAAGGTAACGCGTGTCAGAGAAGCCGACCAGATGGGAGCTTGACGAAAAGCACAACATTCACTTCTTGAACGTCCTGCGTTGTGTGACGCAGGGACGAAGGAGGGGGGGGGGAGGGAGAAGAGAGCGAACGACCGGCGTCGTTGCTTTCGCGCAAAGAAGTGGCATATGCCTTGCCTGCGTCAAGGTGGTGCGCGCAGGAGAGCAAATACTTCGTTTCATCGTGCTGTAAATCAAAGACGCAACGACGCCTTTGTGTGATGATTGGGCCCGGTTTGATTTGAGGTCTTCTTGTAGGGAGAGATTACCAAAAAGGAAGAGAAGCGCTTCTACTGTGTTTCACATGCAGCACATTCGACGAGAAAGAGTAATAGCATTTGGCTGTCCCGAAGGTGATGATGTGGATGATCAGAAGAACGACAAAATTGTCCTCGCAAGGAAAGAAATATACATTTAAAAAAAAGTGTATAGACCGACTTCTCGCTCACGCCGCATAGAACAGGTTGGCACAGCTCATGATATATTTTGCGCTTGTTGGACAACCTAAAACTGCGCTGTCACAGGTATTTTTTCTATGTAGATCGTGCAGCAGCGGAGAGTGCCCTTGGCAGTCGCCCCCAACGGCAAACAGACGTTGCTTCATCGATCCTTTACCCACGCCACAACCATACAAAACACTCTTTCCCGCACACACCTTATTCCGTCTTCTTCTTGACATCCTGATTCGGAGATCTCGCGTTCATGTAACGCCGGCTGCGGTGGCCGCTGCCCGACACGAAGAGCAGCGCACCGATGAGCGCAACGTTCTTCAAGACGTGCTGTGCGTTCTCCTCCGACGTACTTGCCGGAGCATCGAGATCCACGTGGAAGGCGATGGTGATAACGACGGTGCCAATGGCCAGGAGGAACGAAAAGAAACTGCGGCCCACGCCAAGCAGAATAAAGAGCGAGAAAGACACAAAGATGGCTCCCGTAGCGCGAATCAGGTTAAGGTACTGCGAGGGCGACAGAGACAGGCCGACCCACGAGAGCATGCGAGGAAAGTTGCTCTTGGACAGCAGGGCCGCACCAATAGACGGGGCGGCAAGTTTCTGCACGCCGCTGGCGATGAAGATCAGAACGATCAGCGCCAGGCCGGTGTAACGGATAAGGTTGCGCAGCATGGTGTTGGAGAAAACGAGGTTTCGCTTCTGCTGCTCGTGCGTGACGGATATAAATAACGCTATTGCAAAGGGAAAAAAGAATGTGTAACGACCGCTACCGCTAGAGCGTTTTTGTGCGTCGAGAGGTTGTTGCTGTGAAAAGGGGGTTCCTTTGTTTTCGCGATGAACTGAAGAACTGGAGAAGGAAAAAGCCAGGAGCGTTCGTTTGATGCAGCAGAAGACGAGATGAAAAGCAGGAGGGGGGCGGGGGGAAGAGAGGAGGAAATAATTAAAACGGAAAGAAAAAAAAAAGACACAATGGAAAAGCATTCACGCACATGCTACCTTCCCTCGTCATTTGGTCACTCGAGAACACGTTCACCACAGCATTTCTTCGCTTACGCAGTTGTCATGTGGGAAGACACACACATACAAGCAAGAGATCTGCGGTGAACGGTGTAAACAATGACAGTGTTACTATTTGATGGTCGCCGCTGATGGCGGTATGCCGTGTCTGGGAACATAAAAAAGCAGTAAAAAATGAACGGAAGAATCATCGAGAAACACAAAGACACGCCTTCCGCATGGCAACGAGAAGTGAACCTAACCACCACAAAAAAGAAAACGCTAAGGGTGCTAAAGCTTAGACTGCTCCTCAAGCACTGTCCGCACCCACGCCGGCACAATCTCGCCCGCTTTCCCGTAGCGGGACTTCTGAAAAAGAGTGTTGTTTGAGCCTTCTTGTAAGTTCAACTCCAAGGTCTGCGCGCCGTAGAACTCCGCCCGCTGCACGAATCCCGCTGCGGGGTAGACATTGCCGGACGTCCCAATGGATACAAAAAGATCCGTCTCCGCCAGGGCGGCGTCGATGTCGTCCATGAAGAGCGGCATTTCGCCGAACCAGACAATGTGCGGCCGCAACGTATAAAGCGCATTACAGTCTGGACAGCGATCCACTTCGCGATCGATGTCTTTCAGCCAGGGAAAAACGGCACCCGTTTTGGTGCAGCGCACCTTCAGCAGTTCCCCGTGCATGTGCAGCACGTTCTCCGATCCGGCGCGCTCGTGCAGGTTGTCGATGTTTTGCGTCACTACCACGACCTTGGTTTTCCCCTTTAGTTCCTTCTCCAGCGTGGCGAGTGCTTTGTGTGCCTTGTTCGGCTGGACAGAGTCAGCAAGCAGGTTGCTCCGGCGTTCGTTGTAAAAGCGCTGCACCAGCGCCGGGTTGGTGAGAAAGGCATCCGGGCAGGCAACGTCCTCGACGCGGTGAGAGCACCAAAGTCCGTTGCTGTCGCGAAAGGTAGGGATGCCGGACTCGGCTGAGATGCCGGCCCCGGTGAGAATCGTGATGCACCGATATGGCCGCATCCTTCATTCTTTTTTTGGGGGGAGGGTGCTCTTCAAAACACTACAAATGTACAACCGCAAAAGCGAAAGGGGGGGGGAGAGAAAAGTGACAAGAGAAAAAGATAGCAGCGGAGTGAGTGTGGTCCGCCCTCTCACGAGAATCAGCGACTGGAGATGCGCGAAGAACGGGTAACGGGGCGATCAGAAAAATGGGAAATCGGCATTGAAAAGCATTGAAGAGCCATTCCCGTTTGTGTCGCAGCTCCCAGGAAAAACGGCTGGCAGTTCCAGCTCCCATCACCTGTGCTGCCGTTGCCGTGTCTTCTTTTCAACCTCATGTGAACAACTCGAGTGAGGGGAAAAAAAAGAAAAGAAACGTAGCTGTCGGCTGCCCGTTAAAGCACGGCCGCGTCCTTCATGTCCTCTAGACGCATCCTATTTCGACGTGATCGTCACACCCACCGTTTATTTATTTCAGGCGCGAATGAATACCGAGCAACGAGGAGAACATGCGGTGCGCACACACACATATACAGGCAATAAACATAGACGGCACTAGGTACAGACGATGGAAAAGAGAGGGAAGACCAGCACCATCGTTCCGCCGCCAAGAAGAAAAGGTAAATAACTGAAACATAACCACCAACTTCCAGCCACAAGCGAACGGAGGCGCCAAAGCACGATCGCTGTTACTCGCGCTGTGAAAGCATCGAGAAGCAACCAGTCAATAGCTATAATAATAATAACAATAATATAGTGGCTCCCAGGTTCGTATTCTTCTTTTTTTCTGTGGTGCAACGTGTGCACTTCGTATAATGCCGCACACCAGCTTTAAGAAATATATATGTAGCGAGAGTTCTATATTTATTTGTAAGCAGTGAAGCAGTGACGTACAGCAATACAGTCCGCTGCCGTTTTCCTCGAAACAAGCACACAACAAAAGTTTTTCACGTCCACTACAACAACAAGAAGAAGAAACGACAAACACGGGTGAGGACGGAGGTCAGCACTCCTTTTCATTCAAAAACAAATTGAATCGCAAAAGCACACACACACAAAAAAAAAAAACACTTTTCCTCAGCTCAACAGTTGCCCGCTGCAAATCACACAAAATCAGAAAGAGGAGCCAAAGTCACTACGCGTTGGAGGTGCGTTCATTTTCATTTCTCTCAACTCGACGCAGCATCATAACAACAGCGTCTCGGCTCATCTGTCATATGTTCTGTCACTTTTAAGCACCCTTTACTTCTTCTCATGGTTGTTGTTGGTTTTCTGTCCCAAAGCCATTTTTGTCAGTCAGGAGGTGATATGGTTCGGTCCTGTAGATCGCGCTTCAATATACTGGAAAGGTCCGCATCGCCCACGTACGTCACGGGCGTTGTCGGAGGGCCATAGGGATCCGTCACGATCAGCTCCGCCGGCGATGCCGACGACGCGCCGCCTCGCGATGGTGTTTCAGGGCTGGACGTACTCGCCGTCGCCGCTGCTGCCGCCTCCGCACCAGGGCTGGAGTTGATCGAGGCGTAGCGGCGGTCGTGGTACGAGTTGCGGTGCTTCGCGAAACTGGCAGAGTGCGCCGACAACGTCGAACTTTGACGTGCAAAATGATTCTGCTGAGGTGGCTGCGACTGCGGTGTGGAGGCGGCGAAGGGAGGAGGCGAAGGGGTGGCAGCGTCTGCTCCCCGCCACTCGGGCAGCGGTCGCGCGTGTGCGTCTGTCTGGTCCGTGCTCGGAAACGCATACGGCAGCGGCGTGTGCGTCACCGGAGAGCCGGCAGCTGACCTGGGGGGGAGAACGTGCGCTGTGGCGGGTTTTCGCGAAGCGGAAGAGGCTGTGGTTGAGGTGTGTTGTAGAGGCGAGCTATCCTCGCTAGGGACGCCGACGGTTGTCACGCCCGTGCTGTCAGAGGCACCATTTGTCGTGGGCGTGTGGTGTGTCTGCGCGTTCGATTCACCGACTGGTGGCGCCAGCTGTGACGGTCCCACCGTTTCCGCAGGAGAGTGCGGCACGTTCTCCGCGTCCTGCTCGCTGTCCTCCAGGGTGACGATGAGACGCATGAGCTGCCGCTGCACCTTGCGCAGCGATGGGCGTTGCTGCGGCTCCGCGGCCAGCAGCGGTTTAATAATCTGCACCTCCTCGGCGAAGTCACGCTCGATCTCCTCCGGCAGCACCCCCTGGTGCGCATCGGTCAGGATTCGGATGCGCTCGTGCAATGTTGCGAAGGTGCAGAACATCTCGACGGCGATGACACCGAAGGAGAATATGTCGGCGGGCTTGTTGACCGGGTCGCCGCGGGTCTGCTCGGGGCTGCAGTAGAGGGGGCTGCCACCCACCACAGAACGCTCCTGCTGCTGTCCAACGACGTTCGAGGTGAGGTCGCTGTTGCTGCTGCTCGTTGTCGGAATGCGGCGCTTCGCCAAACCAAAGTCGCCAATCTTCAGCACGTTTGAATTAGACACAAAGATGTTCGTCGGCTTCAAGTCACGATGCACCACGTCTTGGTTGTGCAGGTACGCGAGTCCATCGGCAATGTTCTGCATGTACCGCAGCACTTCGAGACGGTAGAAGCCCTTACGACTTCGCAACCAATCCGCCAGCGTGCCACGAGGGAAGAACTCCATTTGGATAAACAGCATGTGATAGCTGTCCCCGATCGTTGAATCATCCCCGTCATAATCGGTCAGTGTATCGTCTACTGGGGAGGATGTGGGAAGGGAGGCGTCGCTGCCGCCCATCGACATGGTGTCGAGTGCATCTTCGTTGAGGTTGCACAGCTGCAGGCGATCTGCGATGGACACGGCGATATCCTCAATCCAGCAAAAGTAGAAGCGGACGACGTTCGCATTATCAAAGGAGCTGTGCAAGACGGCCTCCTGCACCACTCGCTTTTCGTCCCGCTCGTGGATGAGAATCGCCTTGATGGCGTACCGCGCGTGCGTGACACGATGTTCGACGCAAAAAACACTCCCCTCCCCGCCGAAGCCGATCTTTTCAAGCACCTTGAAGTGCAACTGGAAAAGCTTTCCTTCCTCCTCGGTGCCCTCGTGCTCAGGGGAGAAGCGGACACTGCTCGTTTTATCAGAAACTGTCTCATCCAGCGTGGCGATGCTCGGCAGCCGTGGCCGGTGCTGCGCGCGGACCCACCACCGCTCACCCATGTCGATCTCCTCGGAGTCGTCATCGCTGCTGCCGCCGCTGCTGTTCTGGCGCACACAGGCGCGATCGGGTGTGTTCTGCGCAGCGGTGTGTGCTGTGTTGTTTGTCATCACAGACGGCGACTGATCGGGGGGACTGTGGCGGGACTGCTGCGTTGTGTGCGATGAGGTCAGAACATTTCCATCTGCCGCAGAGGTCGTTGTGCTGTTCACCCCCGCAAGAGGGGTGAACCTTTCGTCGCCTTCCTCATGCATCATCCTGTAGAGCTCCTCCGGCGTGCGGTCGTCCCACTTATGTGACGTGGCGGTGTTCTGATCGCCTGCCATTTCATCCGTAGCCCCCGCTTCCTTTGTGCTATCAACTTCCTCTTCGCTCTCGTCGAGGCGGGCGGGTGACGGACTTCTCGTGCGCATCGCAGCGTCCACGACAGCCTGCGCCGGCGAATCCATCAAGAAGCCGTCCACCACCGGACTGAAAGGAGATCGGACACCCCCGCTGCCCCCGCCACCGCTCAGCAAATCCTGCGGCACCAGCTGCGTCGACTGCGGGCGGGAAACGGAGTTGTGCGACAAGCGGTCTCGATTGCGGTCCGCCTGGGCCCACGCCCGCTGCAGCTGGTTGCGCGGCGGCACCCCGGCACAGAGGAACGCGATGGAGCCGGCGAGGCACAGCACGTGAAACGAGATGATACCCGCCGTGTGCCACGCCAGCCCGGTGCGCACGACATCCCCCGAGTTGCTGAAGCCCATAAGCAGGTTGTCCACATTTTGAGTCCCCGCCGAGGAAGAGGAGGTGAAGCCCTGCGATTCCCACCAGCTCCGTTCGTGGTAGTACCGATCGAGCTCCGCGCCCTCTCGCTCATCGCCCTCAACGTCCAACGCCATGAACGCGTGACTCATATCCGCGCTGTCGGAGCGATGCAGGAAGGGCACGAGCTGCAAGCCACCCAGCGTACCTTGAGTTGGCATCACCGCACCCGCAAAGCTGGCCGAGGTGAGCCTCAGCCGCCCTTGTGCGTCGTCTGTGGCCTCGGGTGGGCTCTCCACGTACACACCTTCCTCGCCCGACTTTTCAGGAGCCGTAACGCTGAGGTCAGCCGAGCGCTGCACCGGGATGCGGAAGATCTGATCTGCCCCGCCGACCCAGACGTAAGATGCCACCGCTTGCGCGCTCGCGAGGGAGCTCGGCGGCGACGTTGATTCTTCCCTGCCCTCACCGTCGCCACTCCCTGTCCCAAAAGAAGAAGATGCAGCACGCGACAGCGACGGGAGAGTAGCGGTCCACGTCGTGGTGCTCTCTAACAAGTTGAGCAGCCCAATGTGGCTGTTGTTAAACTGCTGCATGCTCATGACCCGACTCACATACTCGGACATCTGCTTGCGGCGTCGCTCAAGAGTCGCGATCATCGCAGCAGCGGTCACCTCTGGCGGTAGCTCCGTCGCGTCTTCGCTGAGATTTGAGTCCTTTGACGAGTACTGTTGAGTCGAATGCACCGGGTTGCTGCTACTTCTGCCGGAGTGCTCCGCATCGTAGTCAAAGAGCTTACGCATAAGGTGCGAGAAGAAGCGTGGGTTCGCCTCACCATTATACTCCTTCAATTCTGCCGTTTTGGTTGCTGTTGATGTCGCCGCCGCGCGCCGGTACATAGCGGACAAGGAGGTGCGGGGTGAGAGCTGGAGCTGTGCGAGCGTGATGGACCAGCTGTACTCCTCCGCCTTCACGACGTGCAGCACGATGTTGTACCGCACCACGTGCAGCACGGGAAAAAGCTCGTTATGCACAGATGACGACGCCGACGACGATACGTTGCTTCGTTGTCCCACGTGTGTGTGGGAGGGCATAGAGTGCTTGCCGACTCTCCTTCCGCCACGATGTTGTTGATTGATGTGGTGGCCCGTGCTGCTGTCCAGGTCAGCCACCTCGACAGAGGTCGTAACGAAGATGTCTGTTCCGCCAAAGAACACCGTCTGTCGCCGCAGCAGGGTGGAGATGTTCATAAAGAAATGCGGTCGTAAGAGGTCCGGCAAGTTGCCTAGCAGCTCCACTGTGTTTAGATTCGAAGAGGGAGCCGGGTTGTAGGTGTAAAACGGAATGCGGGTGAAGAGACTGTTGCCGCGCACGAGGAAAGGCAGCGCGAGAGGATCGCGTAGGATGGTGTCGCGTGAGGGCGGCATGTCCACCTCGACCGAGATCATATCGCCCCCCACATCCGTTGACCACGCCAGGTCGCCGCTATCCTGGTGATAGGCGTGCAGAAACCCATTTTCCGATAGCACGAGCACGAGATTGCCCACACCGAACGTGTACCGCAGCGCCAACTCATTCCCGAAGGTTGGGATAAAAGCATCGGACAGCGCAGATGAAGGAGAAAGGTGTGCGTTGTGTGTTAAGACGCTGCACTGGGCACCGTCACTGCCTTGCGCAGACGTCAGCACGGGCGAAGTCAAGCAGGCTAGGAGCAGAAGCAGCAGCACCACTACTACGAAAGGGTGGCGCACCAAGCGTGCGTAGCGCCATTGCACGTGGCCCGCCTTGGGCCCGGCGTTGAAGACACGAAAGTGGGCCGTGTTGCAGGTGACATCTCGGGGCATGCAAGGCACAAGTTGGTAAGGTTCCTAACTCCCGTCCACGACGATGTGGAGCGCTGAAACAGTTTAGAGTGGTGCACTATCCTCGACCACGCTACCGTCTGTTTCTTCTTTTGCTTTTCAAGTACTACGCCAAAACAAAACAAAACACCTCAACGCCTGCATCACCACAAACAGTTTGAAGCAAAACGATCTACCAAAGAGGGATAACGTCAACAGTGGTTCCTCCGCATTCAGCAACACATTCTCTCAGGTTATACACGTATAGAAAAAAGAAAGCAGCAATGAATGATAACACACGACAACTGACTCTTCCAAGGGCTGAGCAGTTGCTTTAGATCTGAATGAAAAGAATTCCTGCGGTTGGCCGAGCCAATTGCCGAAAACAGTTTGAGGAAAAAAATTTAAAAAGGCAGTTGCGAAACGAGAGTAACGTCTTGTGTGGTTTAATGAATTACGAGTGCGTTATACTTTAAAAAAAGGAATCCGAAAGGTGTGTTTTGAACTAGACAATTCACAAAAACAATCAGGAAGAGGGTTTGAACAGAGGAAATCCGACTTGAATCGAGGCGACACAGGCGTCGACAACGAAGATAGAGAAGCCACAGAAAGAAAGAAAGAAAGAGAGCGAGAGAGAGTTGAGCGGGGGAAACAAACAAGCATACACACACAGAGAGAAAAAAAGAAACCGTAGAACAGCCATACGGAGGGGAACGTGGCATACGCGGCAAAGCATCAACTGCAACAACAGAATTGTGCGTGCGTTGTGTTGCTGCGCAACGCATTCATCTCGTCGGAAGAACTCGCAGCAGCAAAACCTCAGAAACGGAGAACTGCAGAAAAAAACGTACTCGCGGTCGCCGATGAGGCTGACACTTCCTTTTCCAACTTCTCGTAGTATGGTCGTCTACGCAACGTGCCTTCAACGGAAGTCTCCATCGCCCGCGACAAACAATCATGTGAGATGAAAAAAAGGACGTTCGCAGCCCAAATATCTATCTATTTTTTTTTCCCGGCGTCTAGGCTTTTCGTGGAACTCGCACCATCGTCTTCCACGCATGCCCGGAAATAGTAGGGGGTGTGCTCTCCCCCACTGCCAGCCGAGCCGCTGCAACGGCGCGATCCACGTCGCTGCACGGCACCTGTCGCAGCAGCTCCTCACTGGTTGCCGGGCCGCCCAACAGAAACTGCACGATCTTTCGCTGCAACGCCACTCGTCTCGCCTGCAGGTGTTTCAGCTCCGCCACATTCACAAAGGTAAAGCGGGGGCTGAGGAGGTGTCGCATGGGCTGCAGCACTTCGTCCAACGGAATACGGCTCAATGACTGCGACGTCGCCCAGTCAGCGGGCAGGGCACTAAAGTCCTGCGCGGCGAGCACCGTGCAACGGGCGCCGAAGCAACGAGCGTCGATGCTGGCTTTGCAGATGCTCTGCTTCTCCCACCGACGGTACCGCCGTGCAAGCGCGTCGCGTGGCAGGGTCTGCAACTCCATCACCGCCCGCAGCTCGCTCCAGTCGCTGCGGTCAAACTCAGCGGCGTACACCACGCACCCGAGCACGTGAGCGGCGGCGCTCTCCTCTGACACGTTCGTCGATGCGAGGGCCTCCAGTGCATCGACGGAGCGTCCAGCCAGTCGCTGACAGGCACGTGCCAGCAGCAGATCAACATTCGTGTGGTTCACGACATCGCCTTTACCGGCGGCATGCTGCGCTAACGTCGTTTCGTTGCTGCTGCGCATTGTGATGCTGCGCGATGAAGTGTTGTGGGCAGCGACAGAGAGGGTGGAGGACGACGCATACGATACGCCGACCGCAGCGGAGGCACACGAAGGGGATGAGCTACTACCTGAGGCCCAGAGGGTCCGCACGGCTGGCGGAAACTCAAAGTTGTCGACAACACTCTCCATTAGCCTCCCCAGGTCGATGTCCTTCACGGCCTTCTTCATCTTTTCCAGCTGTAATAGCTTTCCGCGCAATGAGTAACAGTCCAGCTCTTCGATTTTGGCTTTGAGGAGATCAACGCGGTGATCAACCGCAGCGACGTCGGCCTCGAGCGAGCCTTCGGCGTTAGAAAGGCACCGCGTTGACGCGCCATCAGAGAAGTCCTCTCGCATCTCACTCTCCGCCGGCTGTCTCGGCGAACGCACAGCGCTCCATTGCCCCGTCGCAGTGCTAGCTGCACGGGAGTGCGTACGTGAAGTTTGGATCCGTTTATCTCCCCACGGCTGAGACGGTGGGTGCTCATCGCGCCGCAGCGCGTTGCCGCGAAGACGCTCCTTCTGGGACAGGGCAATCATCGCCTGACCGGCGTGCATGCGCCGTTGTCGCCCCAGCAGGACCGCCAGTTCATCTTCGAGGCGATCCATCAGCTCGTCGTTGATGGAAAACTCAACGATGGCGGCCTCGACATCATCCACGGCACAGCAGAGGGCATCGGTGTGCACCTCGAGGGAAAGGGCAAGGAAGCGCAGTAAGTCCAGCGCAGCCGTTGGTTCAGCAGTCATAGTGAATGCGCGATGAGCTGCGCAGTACTCAGACCTCAGCAAACAAAGAAGACAAGGAAGAGACCGTGAATGCCGATGCGGAAGAGAGCGCCGCAGCGTTCAAGGGCATCTAAAACAGAAAGAAAAGGCAGAAACATTCCTATTTTGGTTCAAACTCGCAATCATCTTAAACCCTGTACGGGAGCCCCGGTGCTGTGGGGCTCATCCTTTACGTTTATCACTTTATGTGATGCAACACAAAAGCTCCCTTACGAAGTGCTTCAGCTTGGAATCGCGTGCGTACGGATCCTTAACGGCAAATTTTGATCCGTGTTGCTATGTGCGCACGTGTTTGCTGAGGTATTCTGATATACTGTAGAACATAACTATGTAAAAGTAGATTTAAAAAAAATCCAAAACAGAAAGACATATAAAGACTGAAGAAGAAAAGCAAAGGTTGTATAACAGCATCATTGCAAAAGCAAGCACAGAATGCGCCATCGATAGCGAGAAACAGAGATGAATACAAAAACATTCGCTAGAGAGAGAGAAGACGTTTCCTCGAACAGAAACCCAAATTACTTAAAAACGAAAAAAAACGAACTAAAGATTTGCAGCAGACTCAAGAAAGCGGACAACACAAGTACGCTAAAAGAGAGATTCTACATCAAAACAGCCGTCATCGTCGCTCTCACCATCCAGATGGTATAGCGTGTTAAGAAGTGCGGTAGCCAGAGAGGGGATCGAGCCAACACGCGTCCCATCCATGCTTTTCCATGAGTAGTTGGGCGAACACTGTATAAATGGCCAGCGGGCTCCACTGCTTCTTCATGAGGCCATACGGTGGTCGGCTGTCGATCCAGTGGAAAAAGTCAACGTACGCTGGATGCCGAGTCACCGCGAAGGACATAATATAGCAATCTGACGAGTAGATCTTGCCGCCGTAGACGCCCAGATCGTCAGACAACCACGACAGCGCGCGTTCCAGCTCGTCCTGTGAAAAGTATAACCCGGCAGAATGCTCATTCCAGTCAAGCATTGTCCTCCACAGATCGGACACACGCTTGTGGGTGAGGTAGGAGAGCTGGTGATAGGCCACTGCACAGGTGTGGTTCACGACGTCCGCCAGCACGTCTCTTGCGAGCGGCTTGGTCAAGTGCGACTGGCTGCCGAGATACCAGAAGTAGTCATACGACTGCAGGCTGGACAGCATAGAGAGCGGCCCAGCCCAGAAGCGACGCAGCTCCCAGCGCTCGCGCAGCGCCTGGAGAGTGCCGTCCGCATCATCGTAGGGGCCCACGTCATTGTTGTGGTTTCCCCCTGCCGGTGTGTTGGTGGCCTCGGTGAAGCCTCCACCGTTGTTGCCGCCCCCAGCTCCGCCACCCGCGCCAACCCCAGTGCCGGGGACCACGACCGGTGTTAGCATCTCCCCTCCGCCGCCAACAAGCCCAGCTCCAGTTGTTGTCTCCTCCGTCGGCGGTGGCGTCTCGGGAGGGGCAGTGGACATGGGTGGAAAGGTGGAAAACCGCCTCCGATAGTACAGGTCCGCGCCGATTTCCTTCAGCCACGGCTCCAGCACCATCGAGCTCGTGAGCGTCACCTTCTCCGCCAGCACGCCGGAGATGTCCTCAATCGTGATGCGCGAGGCGGAGGCTAAAACCGTGATGATGTACTGCACCACCTCGCTCGGCATGATGCCCCGGTGCAGAATGTGGACCGGATAGGGGTACCGACTCAGGTACTCCGTCTCCAGCGTGGGCAGGAGTTTTTCTAAGAACTGCTGACACCGGCGGCAGCGCCACGGTGTGGCAGAGGTCGTGGTCGTCTCCGTCGGCGCTCCCGTCCCAGGTGGTGGTACAGGCTGTGCGAAGTCGTTCGTGAAGCCCTGCGGTGACGTCGTGTCGACCTGCACCGAGGTCGGCACCGTCTCGCTCGAGAAGGTCGGGCTCATGAGAAGAATAACCGCGTTGACACTCTTTGGCGCATCATGCTTCATTGCCGCCGGCGTGGCCGCCTCCGTCTGCATCGTCGGCTGCTGCGTTTGGCGGACGGTGGAAGGAAAATTGGAAGACAGCGAGGAGGGCACCAGCGGTCCTTCCACATGAACTGCAGTGGGGATTGGCGCTGCATCCGGCACCGTCGTCGTCACGAGCGTGGTCGTGCGGGGTGAAGTCATCAGCGAACTGGCCAGACGCTCCGTCTGCACCCGCCAGGGTATTGTGTTGGGCGATGCCCGCAAGACGGAGGCCTCTTTCAGAATGATGGAGCTGCGCAGACGAATAGCCTCCAGCGGGGTGGTGCGAGGCGGCGATGAGGGGAGAGGGCTCGACGAGGCATTCTTGTTGTTGTGAAGCTGCACCGCAGCTGGGCCGCCGACCTTGTCGGATTGCGGGTAGAAGGACAGGGTGACGCAGCTGTGCTTGCCATCCCCTGCAAGGAATAACTGTTGTCGCGCCACGAAGCTGTACAGATCCTCTGAGAAAGGGTTAAAGCGGTTGCGACTCTCAACTACACTTGCGACTCTACCTGATAGAATTGCTTCATGAAGGATGCGGTATTCGACGGTGGCGGCAGACAGTATGATCAGGATAACAAGCAAGACCACGTTGCAGAGAACTTTCTTACTTGGGGGTTGCATCTTCGACGAAGGAACCCTTAGAGGCCCAATCCGCGGAGCAGCCAGCAACAACGACAGTAAGGTAGCTACTCCAAATACAACCAACAATACAAAAAGAAAACGACCAGTTTCAGATGTGTTTCTGTAGATTTTGGAACGTTCAGGTTGGCTGGGAAGAGCTCCCTGGCCGAGACTTTAGAAGGGCAGTAAAGAGAACAACAGAAATGCAGAAAGAGAGAAAGAACGGAATAGTGACAACATGAGCAGAGGAGAATTTCTCAGCTGGGAGTTCGTGTCTAGTGATGCACGCCACTGCACTCAAAGCAGACAAGCGCAAAACCCCGAAAAGGCAGATTACGTTAAAGATGTTTGAAATGCACAGAAAAGAAAAATGTCTCCGCCGACGAATTGCCCTTCGTTAGGATAGTTTAGAGAGGCGGTGCGTCTGTATTCACGTGTGAAGATAGGGGGAAGGGGAGGGAGGGGAGGGGGGGGGAGATACCTACGTGCCATTTTCTTTGGCGCAGCGGAGTCACCCTTGAAAAACACACTCGGTAACATGTGCGAACGTTTAAGGAGCACGCAAACAACAGCAGCGGAAGGTAAGCCGCAGCCCGTATCCGTCCGTACAGCACAAACTCCTGCGAGACGAGAACAAAACTCACTTTCGCATGCGATAGTAAAAGAGGACGCTATGTGCCCACCCGGCATGAGGGCCAAAGAGCTCCATAAAGCCTTGCTGTATAGCGTCGTGATGTCGCGCATAAAGGGGCGGCACAGGCAACTTCGCCGCTTCCGCAGCCTCTTGGTCGGAGGGCTCCAGGCTGTTCGCTTTCTTCCTGGTACTCTTGCTTGTCTTCACCGGAGTCGTTTTGGCGGCTTTTATCTTCAGCCGCTTTGCCTTCTCACCCCACAACAGCAACTCCTTCTGCCACGAAATGGCTCTGCTTTTTCCGTTGAAATGCTCCCCCTTCTCCACTCCTGTTGCTTCGTCTCCGTGCCGAAAGCGCTTTCGGGAGCTGTTCTTCGGCTGCGGTAGCACGTGCGCTGCGGTGGCGAGGTACTCCACGGCAACCTGTGCCATGTGGGTATCGACCGGCACCAAGTTCGAGTGCGCGAGAGAAAAGAGCAGTACGCAATCCGCGACTTTTCGCCCAACTCCGCAGAGCAGCTGCAGTTGTGCACGCTGGTACGCGAGATTGCCGTGGTGCGCGAGGAGGTCCGCGTAAAACGGAGTTTGAAGGCAGGTCTGGTGCTGCTTCTGAGGAAGTGTCGGAATCGCGGTGATCATTTGACCTGCCGGGGAAGTTGGTAAGGAGAAGGCTGAGATGGTCTTCGCAGCTTCGACAACGTACCTACCGCGATAGCCAAAGCCCATGCGGCGCAGTTCTTCCTCGGAGGCCGTTGCAAGCTGTTGAAGGGAGGGGAAGCTGTACACACTGAGCCACTCCGTTTCCGCTGCTTGCTCGTTCGACTGTTTCGAGGGAGAAGAAGGAGGCCGCACCGCTTGATGCTTGGCTTCGCCAAACGTCCCTCCAGCTCCTATCTTCCGTCTGGAGTCCCCTCTCACGCTGTCCGAAACGTTGTGCGCCGAGGGCGGTCGGACAGCACCGGTGGCAAGCTGCACATCACAGAGGTGGTCGCCGTAGTGCCGACTGAGGGTGTAAATCATACCTGTGATGCGCGCCACGTTGTTGTTCTGAGAGCAGAGGAAAGAGAACAGGCAGGAATGGACATCTTGGCGAACGTGACGAATGGGGGTGTACATCGCCGCCGGTGCACCGGCGTCGTGCTGACACTCCTGTAGCAACGCACTGCTTTTCCTCGCATCGTCCGTGATGCGTGCGGCACCCTCGGAGCTGCGAATGAGATGGGTGACGAGGGGGTGCTGCCGCGTCGTTGGCGCATCCGTCCAGCGCAGCCACAACGCCGTGAGGTCGACGTCGAGAGAAAGATACCGCGTCAGAACTTCCTCGTCTGTCTCTGTGGGTAGAGATGCGGACGGCGAAGATGACTGCTGCCGCGCTGCAGGTGCGCTTTGGGCGGAGGAACTCTCCGTCGAACCTTGTGGCCACAGTTTTCTGTACTCGATCCAGCAGCATACCGCATCTGAATCGTCCACCGTCGCGGTAGCGCTGTCCGCACCCTGCTTTCTAGGGCACCTTCTCCGGACCTCTTTCGCGGAGCAGTGCACCTCCCGCAGCTCGAAAACGCAGTGATCGATCGCGCCAAGAAACGTACGTCGCGGTGTGTGGTGCCAGTGGAAGCACTGGCCGCCGCAGAGAGTCATGCGCAGGTGTATTTTGGATTGAATGGACGGCGACAACACCCGCCACGAAACGGGTGAAGCGATATGCGGTACATGCGCCATGTCGAATACGTGTGATGCGCCCACAAGTCGACCCGCTGTCTACTGTGGATCGGACTGTACTGACAATGGTAGGAAACAGGTTTAAAAAGGGATTGAGATTGAGATTGAAAAGAACGGCAGAGGAAGAAAGTACTTGGATGGTGACAGCAAGGAACAGCCAAGATGATAGCACGAGCAGGTCTGCGTATGCCATTGCCCCGTGCCAGCCTTACATTCGACAGGCTTTTTGCCTTCTCCCAGGTGAGCAACTTATCGAAGTGCGTACACGATGAGTCATTAAACGCCGAATCCAAGACCATGGTAATAATAATAATAATAATAATAAGAGACGATTCATTAATACCACGCTGCTACCAGGAATCACGTGGACACCACACCGGCTGTCGAATACGCCTTCTCCAGCATGCGCAGCACCTCTTCGGCCAACATTCGCGTGGGGCGGTCGTCGTGAATTAAAGCGATGAACTCCAACGCTGAGGTAGCGCCTTGCAGCGCACCCCCACCCGCTGCCGCTGCCGTCCTCACCACCGTCGCCCCTTTTCCCTCCTGCTGCTGGCTGCCGACTTCAAGAAAGATTTCCGGCGCAGCAACCAGCAGGGAGGACAGCAACCGCACGCCCATGGTTTGCACCGCAGGAGATGCGGCAAAGCGCGTGCAGCCAACCGCGAAGCTCACGAGTGCGTCCTTCTCTTCCCACGCAAGGCGACAGAGGGTGGGAGCCACGGGAGACGCAGAGGATGATGCGCCGTCGGTTGCCGCACCGTCGTCCATCTTGCGAGCCGTCAACACTGCGTGAAACACCGCACCACACGCGTCCGCCGCGGCGCGGCACCCATGCTCGGTCCGTCCAACAACACTTTTGCACGCTGCATTCCCCAGATCAATGAAAAAGCGGAGGTAGTGGCGAAACCACAGCAGCAGCAGCGGTTTTGACTCACGAGGGTGCACCGTGATGGCGCGCAGAAGACTTGCATGCATGCGGAGACACAGCTGAAAGCGGATGAGCAGCACCGTCCATGGCGTCTCTGACGCCACTGGCACGCCTGCACCCGTATCGCTGTTGCTCGACTCTTTCTCCGCTTCCGTTGCGCGATACGCGAGGGTGAGGTTGTGAAGGGCGGCTCGCAAGAGCTCATCGGATGCCGACTCTAAATCCTGTTTCAGAATATCCAATTCAACGGACGAAGCGTCGCCTGAGTTCACACGCGTCCGCACAGGATAGGTGAGGGCAACGACACCGAGAATGCCACCAGCATCCACGGCAGCCATGCACAGACGCTGCTTGGCGGCTTCAAGACTCGCCTCTGCCGATGCATCTGCACGAGTCGTCATTCCACGATCTTCAATCAACCACGTTGGGAGCACCGTGGACAGCACATATACGAGTGTGCGTCGGTGCTGAAGAACGACATCCAGACTCGTCGGCGTCGACTGTGCGAACTGCGTTGAGCTCTCACTAGCTAAGCTGGCGGCAAGGTACGCAGACACGCCGTAGACGTAAACGCGGTACACAAAGAGCGCCTTTGCCGAAACAGTATCAGTAGGCGGAGGAGGAGAGGCATCGCTGTCGGTGTTGCTGCCGTCTGCATCTGCAACACTTGCCCTCTTCCAGCGTTGCCACTGCGTAAAGAACACGGTAGCAGGAAAGCGGCAGAGCACCTCCAGCACAACGCGTTGAATATCCGGGTAGAGGGCAAAGAAGGCGCCTGTTGCCTCAGTGCGTGTCAACGCCGACCACAAACTCTGCCATATCGATGAAACGACCTGATCGTAGACGCCCTCCACCATCACTGACGCGTTGTTCTCCTTGAGAGCGTCTTCAACTTCCTTCGCAGCCATTATCGCTTCAGTTTGTGCCTCGTTGCCGGTGTTAGTAGACGAGGAAAGAAGGGCGTCGTCCAGTAAACGGGATCTCGCGAACGTATGCGGCGCACAGCTGCGCAAGCACAGCAGCGGGAGCAACGCGGCGTGCATGCGTGCCTTTGCCTGCGCGCTTTCTTGGGTCACGCTGCTGAGTTGCGGTGCGTCACACTCGACTGCACCGCGCCACGTTGCTGCTCCTGCGTTCGCACTCGACGCCTCCGCTGATGCCGCGAAAAAAGTATTCCAAATGGCAAGAAGATGGCTGACTCGCGCCGCCACGAGTTCTGCCGCACGATCGCGCGCGTCTGTGATTCCTGCTCCGGTGATGGCTGAGGTGGTGCGAAGGATGTACTTCAAAAAAAACTGCACCCGATCCTCCGCGTCCGCCGCTTCTAAAGACGCTGCAGCAGTAGCAGCGGAAGAGGCGTTGCAGAAGGCTTGCTGGACGAGGCACTGCAGGAGAGGGAGGGAGTGTGTCGCCTGAGTCCACTTAGGCAGTGCGGCGTTCACCCACCTGTCTGTTACGGTGCGCAACGCGTTGCTGAGGTGAGCTTCTCTGCGACGTGCATTCGTGGAAGAGGAAGTCGTGCTCGACGACTGCGTCCCCCCATCCGACAGCATCGCATCCTTTGGACCTGCTGCGTCTTCATCCTCACGGGCATCATCTGCGTCATCGGCAGCGGCAGAGTAGAGAAGCGACTGAGAAAGAATATCACCGGGAGTTTGCGGAACCGGGCGGCTCACGGGGGAGTTCTCAGATAGTAGCTCCGCGGGCTGTGTGAGATCCGACTTCCGCAATGGAAGTAGAGTTGCATCTGTCGACGTCGCCTTCATGGCGCTGTGGCACTGATAGCCGCTATGCAGCAGCAGCACGTACGCCGCCGCATTGTCGGTGCGCGCGGTAAGAACGCTGGTGAGGGCAGCGAGAGCGGCGCTCTGCCTCCTGCCGCTGGTGTCGCGCTGCACACACAAATTTATGAGGGGCTGAAGGACGTCGGCGGGGTGCACCTTCGCGAAGAGAGAAGAGCTCAGCATCCGCACACACAGCTCCTCATCCTGCAGCTGAAGCAGCAAGTTTTCCGCGAGCAGGCGAAGAACGTCGCGGCGACGATCTGCCGCTGAGCGCGCCGTCGATGCGGCCTCCGACGAGAAGGTGCTCCCCGCGTCGCCGCAGAGCGAATCGGGCAGACTGCTCAGCACCTGTAGAACGTGACGACGCGTGGCTACGCTGCCGTGTTGCAGAAGGCGAAACAGCGCCGGCACTAGGCGATAAGGATGCTGAAGGATCGCCACACTTAGCAGCTCACCGACGCAGCGCGACGCAGCATCGTCGCCGCTCTCCAGTAGCTCCAACAGCTGGTCGGCTGATTCCGTCGCGAACCCGGCAAGGGCGCCGTTATGCACCGCCGCGTCGAGGACGGCGCGTGAAAGCAGCGAGGCGAGCTTCAGCACTCGATCATTGCGGTAGCGCAACGCACGCTGCACGAGCAGGGCGTGCACCTGCTGCGTCACGCTGGTGTCGCTGGCCCACAACTCGGACTGCAGCCTTGGCGTAGGGGCGGCAGAGACCAACGTGAGAAGCGCACACAGCGCGGCATCCAATGCGAGAAATACCTCCCGCTCTTCCTCCTGCTTTGTCTCGACCGCGGGGATGCGCACGAGCGCGCTGACCATAAACATCAGCACATCCCGGTAGCCCGGTAGCACCTGGCCGGGACACAGGACAGGGTAACCGAGTCCGCCGTGCACACTCGCCCAGGCTCCGGTGACGTTGCGCAGCAGGAAACACATCTGCAATGTGTGCGCCCACGTCATCTCCGTCAGCGAGTGCACGTCGCGCGTCGCCACGTTTTTGAACTCACGCGAGGCGTTCAAGAGCGCATTGTGCAAATACTCCTGCCTCTTTAGTAGGTCCGTGACGCAGCCACTCAGCTGCTGAGAAACCTCAGCTAGGAGGGCGACGGACGGAGTGCGTGAGGTCTGGTCATTCCTCTCCGTACCCAAATGGACCGTTCCTCCGTCTCCCACCGCCTCCTCTGCCACCCAGTTCAACGCACGACGAAGGGCATTGCGCACGAGCGTCACGCAGTCCCACACGCACGCCGGTTGATCGCGGTCAACCACGCGAGGACGTCTCCGTGCTCTCTTCTTCATTCCCTGCTCGCCGACTTGCTTCTCTTGCACCGCATCGTCGACTGCGTCCATGTGTGCCGAGAGGACATCCGTTGTGAGCCAGTGACAACCGTGGAGGACGAAATGATTCAACTCGACGGAGAGGCGGCTCGGTGGCTGAGTGGACGTCACAGGGACAGACGGTGCCGTTTGCTCCGGGTCCCGCAGCGACTCCTCCGCATAACGGGCAACGTGGGGCAACACCACCGTCGCAACGCCGTTGAAAAGCTTGGGATAGTTGCTGCAGAGGTGCTGCCCCTCCACCTGTCCGGTGGCGACCACCCGCAGTGTATTCGCCAAGATCAGCAGAAAGCCCAGCTGATAACGGTGACTTGACTGCACAAGATGACAGAAGCGCGCATCAGGACTGTCCTGTGGCGCCGCAGACTCGTCCGACGGCAGACCGTGAAGGAGCGCGCACGTCCACTCCGCCGTGCAGCACGGTCGCTCATTGCCCTCGCCATGAGCCGAGGCCGGGTCGCACAAAATGCGAACGCTGAGAAACACCGCACACTCCAAGTCCTCGGCGGACCGCACCGCTGCCTGGGATAGCCTGTACAGCACAGCCTGCCACCCACGCACGGCACACGTGTTGATGTCATCCCTGCTGGTCTTTCCTTCCACCAAGGGAGAAGAGGAAACACTGCCGTTGCTCTTTGCGACTCTTGTATGGGAAGCTGAGGCACCGACGGCAGACGCAGAGGAGGACGTTGCGCTGTTGCCAGTGGTGCTCAGCCCCTTGAGGGAGAGCGTGCCTGCACGAACCGCGTATAGCAGTCCGCGATACGCTTGTTGCACGCCGTAGCCAGAGAGCTGCTCGTCGGTGCGAATTTTTTCGTATACGAGCCGTTGCAGCGCCGCCTCAAAGGGCACCACATCCGTCAACGTCGACGATGATGGGGAGGACCTCGGCGGTGCCACCTCGCGATGGTTGGACGGCGACGGTGTCAGGAACAGCGAGGGGTAGCTCATCTTTTTCTTTTTCTCACGTCTGATTTTCGCTGACGTGCGACGTTGGGATCCTGGACCTCTAGGAACTAGTTGTGAAGAACGTATGTGAATAGGTATTTGAGAAATACAAACTATAAGCGAGCGTTGTCCGATGGTAGGGAGCGGGGCAAGAGCAGCGTCACGACGACGAGCAGACGAACTGTGAAACTCGATTCATGAACCACTGAAAACAAAAAAAAACAATTGTGTGTCAAGACTGAGCCTCAGAGAAGTCGACAGAGATCAGTTCGTCGCACCGTAAAAAGAAAAGCGCGGAATGCGAGACTTATGGAGCAAGAGACGCAGCGTTGCTATCTCTCGAAGAACGCCTTGTATGCGTCACAAGTACTTGAGAACGATGCAAGACTCAGCGGAAACTAACCTGTTATTCTGCGTTCGTGTTTACTTTTTCTTTTTCCCTCCTTTGCGAGTTTTTTTCGTGGATCCCTACCCGTGACACACGTTCCACAACCAATGAAAACGACAGAGAGTCGACTGCAGCCAACAACAGATAGATTATATTTCAGAAAAACAAAAAAGGGTTACAATGGAGAATAGAGCAGAGGAAACACAGCCGCAGTAACGTATGCACAGATGTGTGTTCAACAAACGAAAAGAGAAATAAAGAAATGCGCAGACCAAGAAGAAGCCGGTGTTGAAAGAGAAGAAGAGCGTCGAGAATTTGGAAGGACAGCGTTCAACCTACTCGAATTTGCATGGTGCGTGCCTTCGAGGAAGGAGAAGTGTATACTGTAATGCAATAAAGCGACAGCAACCGGTTGCAGAGCGAGTATCACCGTTACAACCGCCCAGCGGCTACCGTAACACTTGCTGGAGTTTATTTATTTCTCGCTTTTTAACAGTCTACCAATGTACTGGGTTCGTTGCCGGAGTGGCTCAGTAACACATACGGTATCCTCACAGCGAGAAGAATCGAAAGTATCCTTTCTTGTTCCGTTGTTTTTGTTTTTAACTTCGTTCACCACACGGATATCCATCTAGCAAGCGTAATAGAAAAAACAAAACCGACTATAGTTCGCAGTAGTAAAAAGGTGCTATTTGATTTTTGTTTTCTTGGGGGGTAGCAGAAAAGATGCATAGTAAAGCAACCTCATGAAGAACAACAATCAACGAAATGCGCATGCTCCTCTTGTTGACAGCCTAACGTGTTAAGATACAAAATATATATAAATCATGCGCGGTCTTCCATACATTCGAGAAAGTATGTATCTCGCAAAAGCACACACATGTAGTGCGAGAAACAACTCTACCCAAAACAGAGGAAGAAGGGAGTACAATCCGTCAAGCGAGGGAGAAACAGAAACGCGGCGCCACATCGGCTCCTTGCTCTCTGCGGTATTTCTTTCCTTTTCAAATAAACGGATTCTTCTTGGGAAGAGGTAGCGGCACTTTCCCAACACTTCACGATACATCTAAGTATATCCGCCTTTCTTCCGCCATGCTGCTTTTCCCTTTTTTCGATTCAACGCGTCCTCGTTCACCTGCTAATTGTTGTACTGCATGTTGCAATATAAAGCTCATGGCACCAGTTGAACTGCTTCGGCTACCGCCGATCCATTGTTTGCAGAATAGGGATGACGAAAAACAAAAAGCGAAGATGCCGACAAAAGAACTCTGAAACACGAAACCGGTGTTGTGAACAAGTACAACTGGAAAAACAAAACAAAAAGAAACCAACACCGCTGCTTGAGCGCGCAGCCGCGTTGAGGCACGTAATACGCAACCTTCTCGTTCAGAAAAAAAAAACAAGTAGCAAAGGATACAGATCAAGGAAGCAAAAAGAGGGATTATAATTCATGTGCAAAGACAATAAGACATATAGAGTTACAGCAAACACAACAGAAGATTCACCATCTGCTTGCAAAGCCTCCCTCACTCCCTGGAAAAAAAAACGTCTTGAGAAGATACAAGGAACACGCACCTCAAAAGAGAGAAAAAAAAAACCTTTGCGATCTCTTCTCATGCGATGCAGTCGCCTGCATCGAGGTCAGCCGAATTTCTTCTCCATAAATCGTCGAAGTAGAAGGTTTAACGAGTTTCTTTGGTTTGGGAAAAAAAAAGAACATCCCGTCGCAGAAGAACGGTGTGAGAAATACCACACGACTTTCTAGAAAGAAAGTCAACTTGCCACCTTTAAGCACACCAATGAGACCAAAAGGAGAAAAATAAGAGGAGGAAGCTCTTTACATCTACAAAGCAACGCAGAAGCAGCTCGCCATTCTCGCTCGCCCCCTCCCCCTTTTCTCTATCTTTCATCGAAGACATGAAGAGTGTATATACAACGAATCAAAATCAGGAGAAACGTTCGAAACGGGTAGCCCATCGGAGACACCCAAATTCGTCCTGTCAAAATGAAAGACTTACATGATGCGGAACAACAAGAAAAAAAAATACCGTTCTTTACTTCCTCCTTAGCAGAGTGCGTACCGTTGCAAACAGTAGAAAAGAAAATCACTGAGTACAAAAGGTCGAGCAACGGGAGAGAGAGAAGCACAAAAAATTAGGAAAGAAAGAAACGGCGTGAATTGAAGAATGCGGAAAACGAGATAAAACAAACAAAAAAGAAATCAAAGCGGAGGGTGAAATCAAACACAACACGAAAAAAGAAGAGAGAAGTGAAGAAAGCTTCACAGCCGTGAAGTCAAAAAAAAACAAAAAAATGTGTGAGAAATCGCGACGTTGCGTTGTGCGAGACGAGCGAGGACATTGTTTTTCTTTTGTTGTTTTGTTTGCTTTCACATAGCAGATATGACACTCAATGGAGGAAAGAGACAAGAGACATAATTGTGTCTCGTAAAGGAATAATAATAATAATAATAATAAAATAAAATCGCTTAACCGGCTGGCCTTCCTAGAGACTCAATATCGAGCGGACGCGTCGCATCCGGGAATAACTCGTGATCCAGCTCCACCAGCTGATCGAAGAAACCCTTGTTCGGCAAAATTGCAGGCCGCCCTTTCTTCGCTACCAGGTACGCCTCATCTAACCGCATGTTCTTTCTCATCATAAGGTACGCAATCACAGTGGTGGCAGAGCGCGAGAGGCCCGCGAAGCAGTGCACCAGACAGCCGCTCTTCTTCTGCTGACTCTCCTCAATGAAACCAACCGCCTCACGGAAGGAAGTGCGAATGTCTGCACCGGGAATGTCGTCCACCACGATGACCTTGTGAGTGCCGCCCTCCGGTGGGACGGGCACGAGCTGCCGGCCAACGGTTAGGAGGTAGGAGATGTTCAGTTTCCGGTACACCATCTGCGACTGCGCGGAGCGCAGACTACCACAAAACAAATAGGGAATGATCTCGTCGGGGTAAATCTTGTTCCAATTTATGGTGATGTTCGGCAGCACGGTGTCGAGGTTGTTGTCGTAGTAGTACTTGTACAGCGACGGCTCGTTGTCCACGGCAATCGTCAGGTCGTCAAAGCGCTCCAGCAAACGCTTTTCGGGAAAGGTGGTGATGCGGTCATTCGCCGCAAGATAGATCACCTTCAGCTTCGGCGACAGGAACGTTGTCTTGGTCACGCTCCCGCTGCCGTTCGTTGCCGACGACGCGGCCAGATTTGCGACGGAGCTGGTGAGGCGCTGCATGCCGGTCTGGGTGTTGCCCGTGACGCCGCCGCTACAAGACTCCGTGCTGGTCTGTGGCGCCGTGACCATCAACGGCGTCGCCATAATCTCCAGCAGACTCTCGGGGATCTGCGCAAAGTTGTTGTAGTCGAGCGCGGCCGAGGTGAGAGAGCTAAGATAGATGAAGGTCTGCGGCAGCTCCTCGATGGCGTTGTGGCTCGCATCAAAGGACTCCAACTCGTTCAGGTTGCCTAGGCTGTCTGGCAGGTCCGTCAGCTTGTTGTACGACACGACCAGCTTGCGCAGTCGTATCAGAAAACTCAGCTCGTGTGGAAGAGAGGTAAGACTGTTCTGCGACAGGTCCAGCACAACGACCTGCAACAGCGGTGGGTTGTACACCTCCACCGGCACACTTTCCAGGCCATAGCTATACAAGAGCAACTCATTCGAGTTGGTGGTACGACACCGTTCCAGCTCCTGCTGCCAGTCGTCGTCCTCGATTTCCTCTGCTTTCGGTAACGCCAACTTCTTGGTCTCCTTGCCTTTCATAAGCGAGAACTTCGGTGCCAGTGGCAGACACAGCGAACCAGCGTCTTGCGGCGTGATGAAGTCCGCGCGATTAAAGTTGATGCCGACGGAGCTGCTCGCAATGCTCGCACCGGGAGGAACCATACCGCTGGTTACGCCACCACCACCACCGGTGGGCACGACGCCCCACCCGCGCAGGCTCATGGAACTCCGACCGTTGATGGTCGTGGAGATGCTCTGTTCGTTTACATCATCTGGGAGGTGCACGACGCTCTCCATGTCAGTAAACACGTTCTTCGTGATGCTCGTCCCACCGCCGCTGCGCAGCGCAATCGAGCGCTCCGCCGCACGCAGCGCCGTGAGCTGCGTGGTGAGGGACCCGACAGGGAAGTTTGCCGTCATCTCCAGCGTCTCCAGCGCGTGCACGTCCGGCACATCGGAGGGGTGGACAAGTACGGCTTTGTTCCCGCCCTCCGGGCTGTGCTCGATGGTGTAGACGACGTACGGAACAAGTTGGTGGTCGACCTTGTGGTGGTCGCCGACGGAGCACTTTCCACAGCGGACGTAGTCCACGCAGTCGGGGCACTGGTACAGCGCCACGGTGAGCTCCGCGCCGCACTGCCCGCACGACAAGATGTCTCCGGTGAACGTCAACACCTCGAAGCGGTCGGGGTTGATGCCGGCGCTGACAGACGCGTCGTTGCCCGACTCGGTGTTCAGCCCACCGCCGTCGGTCACGGAGGTCAGCATCTGACTTTCCTGGAAGGGGTCCTGCGCCAGCGCGTCCATCATGGGCGTCTCGTCGCGCGTCTCCGGCTTTGAGTGCACGGCGCCGCGAATCTCGTCGTTCGTCACGTCGATGATCCGCTTTGGTTGGTTCTGCGCCGCTTCCATGTTTTTAAAGTACAGATGCTGCAGCGCCGCACGGGCGTCGAGCAGTTTGCCTAACAACGCGTCCTCAATAAACGCGATCAGCGTCTCCGGAAGGCGTGAGAGGGGGTCCCGCACGGCCGCGAGCACCGCCTCCACAGAGAAGCTATCGTCGTGGTACGTCTCACGCAACTCGTTCCACACGTGATTGTACACCTCCGGCAGCACCGACGCAGCGAGGAGACCGACGCAAAAGACGTCGACATGGGTGCCGTTGATGGGAGATTCCTTCCGCAGCCACTCCGGGAGCGTGTAGAGCGGCGTCCCGGCGGCGATGGACGCGGTGAGGGCATCGACAGTCACGAACAACGGGCCGAAATCCGCAAGGCGGTAGTGAAACGTGTCCTCCGAGAAGAAAATGTTTGAGGGAGAGAGGCACAGGTGCACGACACCGTTGTCGTGCAGGTGCACGAGGCCGGACAGCACGTCCACTAAGAACTCCTGCAGCGTCGGGAACGAGTCGCCGTTCTCGACGGCCGGGACGGAGCGAATGGAGCCGGCCTGCACGTACTCCTGTACCACAAAGCAGTCCACCTTCCTGTCCTCGACGATGTCAATGAAGTGCATGATGTTCGGGTGGTTCACCTTGCGACAGATAACAAGCTGGCGACGCAGTCCGTTTGCCCACGCCTCGCGGTCTGGCGCGCGCAGCTGCTTCAGGATCGACTTGTAGATGATCTTGAAGGCGAACTGTTTTGAGGGGTTGCGGCGCAGGTGCACGAGCAGTGTCTCGGAGAAGCGGCCCTCGCCGAGAAAGGCGTCTACCTGGAATCCGTTGCGCTGCTGAGACCGCGTTGTCGGCATCGAGACGTTACTCAAGGACGCCCCGCGCAGGTTCTGGTTGCTCAGCGTGCGGTCGCCAAGGCTGCTCGACTGGTACGCGCCGCCAAACGCAAAGCTGCCGGTCATGGAGATGCAGCGCGGAGCCATGACGCTGCCCATCAGCCCATCTTTGAAAAATGGATGCCGCAGCAGTCGCAGGATGCTCGGCCGGTGCGCCGCCTTCTTCTGCAGACACCACTGGATTGCCTCCTCCAGGTCCCCTGCGAAGCTCCACTGCGGCTGGGCCGGGAAGGTCAACTCAAAGTTCAGCACCCGCTCCCGCACCTGCTCGTAGGAGCGCTCGGCGATCTCGACCGGCTCGGCGCCGTATGCGAGTCGGTACATGAGGATACCGAAGCCCCAAATGTCCACGGCCGCCGCCCCGTCCACGCCCGCCTGCGACACGGCGTCGATGTCGCCCGTGGCGTACGGCCCGCTCGGGTCGAACACCTCCGGCGGAAGCGAGGCCAGCTCGCCGTTGAAGACGAGGTCCTCGGGGCACTGCGAGGCGAAGAGGCGCCAGAACCCGGCGTCGGCAATGCAGAAGTGCCCGTCCGCGTTTTCGAGCACGTTGTCCAGTTTCAAATTGTTGTGGTACACCTTGTGGGAGTGAAGGATGCGCAGCCCCACCGCCATCTCCGTCAGGATGCGGCGCAGTTTGTCACCGTCGCCGGCAAGTTTGCCGGCGTAGCAGCCGATATTGCCCTTGGGCTGGTAGTTTGTGATGACGATCATGTTCTCCCCTGCCTCGTCGTTGAGGACGTCGCAGAGGCGCAGGACGTTTTCGTGCAGCACGTTCACCAAGACCCGCTGCTCTGCCGTGACGGCGTCCATGAGAGAGCGCCGCAGGACAAAGCTGACGACTTTCAAGACGCGAAACATCGATTCCGTCGCGGCGTCGTCGGCTGTGCCGCCGCCGCTGTGCCCGGTGGAGAGGGACGCGCTCGAGCTCGACGTCAGGTCGCGCGTGGCGAAATAACTGCGTCCGATCGTGCCCGCGTTGTAGGCCGCGCGGAGGCGGTAGCCGTTGATCACCTCATCTTGATAAAAGTCCGGGATGCAGATGACGCTCGACCGGTTCGACAGCGAGACCTCCGGGTGGCTAAGAAAGAGCGGGCCGACGGCGCTGTTGCGTAGCGCCGCAAAGACTTCGTACATGCCCCGTTCCTCGACGGTGGGTGGGGTCGGGTCGAGGTCCTCGCACCTGCGCACGATGGTGTCGACACGTGCTACAATACGCATGGCGCGGAGCGACAACTTCATCAAAGAGGCTGATTGAGTATTCGTCGGTGGTTGCTGCGGTTGTGGTTGCGGTTGCTGCTGTGGGGCATGAGAAACGCCAGTGTCGACCTCCGCCGCTGCTCGCTGCGCCGGCGAGCCCGCTGCGCCACCGCTGTGCTGTCCCGCGCTGTTCACATCTGCGGTGTTGCCGTGACTCCCTCGTCTGCGCAGTGCGACGCCTCTATCAAGATCTTTGACGCTGCTGCTGTTGCTGCTGTTGCCCTTTTGTCCTTCCTCGGCGACGCCTCTTCTGACTTCTACGGCACAGTTCGCACGCGGGTCAGTAGCCGCAGCGTGGCTGCCCGCGATTCTTTTCGGCGACGTCATCACCGCCCCGTCGGCACCGGCCGGCAACTGCGCAGTGCTGCCGGAGTCCGTGTTGCTCATAACGTGCGCCGCGCTCGGCTTTAGCTGGCCTAGTGGCTCATCAGAATCTACACGTCCCCCTGAGCTGTTGTCATCTACGTTGCCGAAGCCGGTGGGGTCACACGTGCCCGTTGGGTGGAGTGCTGCGCCAGCCTTTCCTCGCTCCGTGGGCCGCTTCAGTGCTACCCCCATTGGTGACAATCCGACAACACTAAAAAAAAGGGATTAGAAAAACAAAAGAGAGAAAACAAAGAAAGGTTTTCCTGCTTCTGCTCTTGAAACCATCCAGCAGCACGAATTGCGACGCACCGTGGCGGAAGCCGTCAGCTCTGAAAGAAGGGGGGACAAAGTGTTATGGTGCTGGCTCTTCTTTGACGTGGGAAGATGCAACCAACCGTTTCTGAACAAAAAGAACAGGACTGACGCGAAGCGAGAACAGAAAGGACCTTCTTCTGTAACGAAAGAAGAGAACAACAAGAACACCTATATACCTTTTTGTGACGCTCGCGCGCGTTAATCGGCAAGCGCAGTAAAAAGTTTTGTTTTCTTCGCCAATTAGAAGGCAGAAAAAAGAAAAGAAACGTGCGGTGAAGAGAGAGAGAAACGTGTTTGAATGACCTCGAAATCGCAAAGCTTGTGTACTTCTCTCACTTTCTGAATATGACGCACTTGCTTTTGAGACGTAAAGAGAAACAGGAAAAACAAATACGGGAGGGAAATCGATATGGGCAGGAGAACGACAAGAGAAGGCGAAGATCAAACGCAGATACACAGCATTGGCGAAATAGCCCGAGGGGTTTTACTTTTTTTTTTTTGAAACTGCGAGAAAAATAGCTTCAGCGCTATATGATGACAGGTAATTTGCAAAACAGCTCCCGCTGTGACGGATGCTGTGTCCTTCGGGTCATCCTTAAACGGCATTTCAGAGAAACTAGCATAGCCAATTGCACGAGGCGACGTGGCTCTCCACTGATCATCACGTTATATCACTGGATTGGGCGCTTTCTCCTCCTTTCCTTCATGTCATTGTTGTGCTGCGCCTCAACAGTTTTACCCGATGAGCAATACACCAACGCCTCATCTAATGGGAAAAAAGAAGAAGAAAAACAACCGGTGAATGAAATAAATAAAGAGAAAAACCGATGACGATGAAAACAACTACCACCACAAGAACAATAATATGATGTTTAAATAAAAAGGAACAAGGCGACAGACGCGGCCCTTTTAACGTGAAAGCACACCACCACCACCACCACCACCACCAAAAACCGAGAAGAAGAAAAAAAAAACCCATTCGTTATCTTCCCCACGGAATCGATTCCGTTCACTCCAGCGTAGTTTGTACGGGTAAAAGTGATGGTCGTTGAAGGAGTGTAGATTGCGAATACTTCCACCTACTGAAATCATCAACTAGTCTGCAATCGGACACTCCGTCACAATGCGGCTTCGTCCCTTCTTTTGTTCTTCGCCACAATGAAAAACGCGGCCTGCGCTGATGCTATCAGTGCGCTGTACTTGGCGAACGAAGATACGAGAAGAGCACCGCCATTTCTTGGTTTCTTTCAAATGCTTCGTGGACGCGCTAACTGGTACTCTGCCAGGCTGAAGAAGAACACCACAAGTATCAGGCACACATACATCTTCAGGTGGCGATGAGTTTTTTCGTGTGCGTACGAAGACAAAGTAAAAAAAAAGAGCTTTAGGCATAGTTTGTGTATGTGCGTGAGCGCACCAGCAGAAAAGGTTTGTTAGTAGGCGTAACGCCGTTTGAAGAAAACAACTCGGGGAGAACAAAAAGACAAGAGTCCAGTAGATAACGAAATATACGTGCGGTTCGCGTGAGACAAGATCCGTAAATGAATTCGTCCCTCACACATTACTCCTGAAAACACACAGACACCTGCAGCCACCAAACGGCAAAAACTCAAGTTTAAGCAAAAGAACATGAAAGCACATCGAAAGCTCGTGGGCACATATTACCCAGCAAAAGTAAAAACAAATTGTAGAAGAGAAAGAGGTGAGAGAAACTCTAAAAAGGCAGGCACATGAAACCGCAAGAGAAAACAAAGGGTGTTTGTATAATGGATTTTCAAGCACGTTCAAACGCGCATCCGTCTCTGCTTGGCCGTCTATCCGAGACGCAACTCCTGAAGAAGAACAACAAAAAGACCGGGGCAAAGAAAAACAAAACCGTAAGTATTTTGTGGGGGTTGAAGACTATACGGGGAGTCAGAGGTGCCACGAAACATCTGCGCTCGCGTGTACGCTTGCTGCACCCAACGGTAGTCTCAAACCCCGAGAGAAGGGGAAAAAAGCAGACGCGCGGCGATGAAAGGGGAGAGAGCGATCCACAGTGGGAAACGACTCGACCAAACCTGCAGCAGAAAAAAAGAAGGGAAAAGAGGGAATGTGTCGCAACGGCCAGCAAGGGTCACATCAACGAAAAAGGCGTAAGTAAACACCTACACAAAACGAGAGGCATTTTTTTTTCCTTCTTTTCCTTGGAACGATCACAGTCGGAAACAAGACATCTCCAAACTCAGCAGTACACAATAAGAATAAAGGAAAGCTTCTCCTGACTTCAATTTCTTTTACCGGAAGAAAAAGGGTTCGTAACCGGAACGCGAGAAAGTCGAAAGCCGCATCTGTCGAAGACGCACACAACAACATCAAAAATCAAAACGCGGGTACACACATACAAAGATGTACACATCAACCACATCAGGGAAAATAAACCTTTCAAGAATCAATTAGTACCGGTTTAAAAGAGAGGAAGCAAAGTCGAAATACTAAGGCACAAAACAACGTAGCAAAGCAAGGGAAAAGAAAAAAAGAAGAGAGAAGAGAGAAGCGCATACGCACAGCAGCTGCGCTGTTAACAAGGCCCTGTGAGCCAATACGCACCGAAAACGAAGACAAGAAGCAGTAATAGTGGGAACAAACCTCAACAATAAATACAAAACTCCCGTGAATACCAAAAGAGAAAGAAGAAAAAGAGAGGCGCCATTTTCTCGTATCGAACAACATCCATATTTTATGCTCTCGTGATCAGTGTTGTGCAGCGTGAGAACGAAAAACGCCTCATTAACGGTGAAGCGTAAGAAACACAAACACATCATTGAATCCGCTGTGATGATGGTCCACAAGAATGAGAGGGGGTAACACACACACACACACACGAGGAAACACAATGAGGAGGAGAACGATCGGGACGCAAAAGAAAAAAGAACACCAAAAAAGCGTTAAAATAAGACAAAAAACGTTTGTAAATAATAATAAAAACGCGTTAGCTCAAAAGATAACGGACTCGATCAATACGTTATCTTCTGTGAAGAGACTTTTGAGAAAGGAGTGAGAGAGGAAAACAGTAAGCAAAGGATGGTCATTGTTTACAGCGTTCCTATTGAACTGCTTAAGATGCCAAAGAGAAGAACAGACGGAAAACATTTTTTGCGATAAAAACGTTTACCGTTTCAGTGTCAAATGTTGAAAAAAAAAATCAAAACAGGAGCATTGACAGTCTTGACAACACTTTTTTGTTGGGTACACAGGGTACCAAGGATGGAGATCCACCTGAACAATTTAAAATACGATTCTCCCTTTTCATATAATAAATAAATATATATAGCTCGGAAACAACAACAACAACAAAATATTCGAAATCTACTTCACACTCGAACTAAGTCTTTGCTGGGAGCAGGAAAACAGAAAGAGTCAAAGGAGGAAAATGAAAGAAATACACGTATTAGGATAAAACAATGATAAATTTTCTTTTGAGGGTAAATGGTGCACACGTCCTCAAAGAGAACGCAAGTTCGCAAGTGCGGATGAGACAACACAGGAAAGGAAAAGTTTCCGTCTTTATTTAACAAATAATAATAATAATGACGAGCAACATTTCTAGCAAACTTATCTTACAAAACAAAACAAAACGAGCGTCACTGTTATCAAACGAAGCAAGAGACGGCGTCAACACTGAATAGCACAAAGCCAACAAAGAAACAACAACCCACAAAGAAATCTCCGGAAGTAGTTTTCCACATGTACGCACGCACAAGCAAAAATAGGATCAATAAAAAAGACAGTACCGCGAGCAGCCTGTCATGCTAGAAAAAAAAAGGGGGATTCGAAGCATGCCTCGTTACGGGAAACTGCGTCACCATATTTACGTTACATCGCATCGGAGGACAGCGAGGATGCGCTACACGCCCACCAAAACAACCGAAAAGCACGTCGTCCACAGCCTCGTAGAGCCCTATAAGAGCGGAATTTGTTAACCTGCACTGTAAGTTGGAAACACACCAGCCTTGCATCATTGCTACAAAAGGGTCCAGCTGTTGTTGTTATTGTTGTTTGCTTCCCGTTGATGAAGTCAATGGTTGCTAGCCTTTCCGTGCGCGTGCGCGCTCGTGGACGACTGTTTGGCAGTCTGTGCCTTCGCATTCCCGACAGAGTGTATCAGCCGCGACAGCGTGTCCTCATTGCCGCTCTTCTTCGTCCCTCGCGACTCCCGCATGGCCTCGAGGCGCTGCTTCTCCGTGAGTCGCGCCTCGAGGGCCTTCACGTACGCTTGCAGCTCCTTTTCCTTTTTCATCGGCCCTAGTGAATCGTCGGTTTGCGTCCCGTCCGACACGGTGATGCGGCGCTCCGTGCTCATGAATGTGTTGCCTCGGCTGCGAAGCGTCGTCCCTTGACCGCTCTCGGTGCTGACGAGCTCGCCGAAGGTGGAGATGGGAAAGGTAACGACCGTGCCGTTCGGGTACTTGTACACCGTGGAGCCGAAGTCCAGCGCGCCTTCGCTGCACTCGCGCGGTGGGTAAGCGATGCGGGGCCCAGGGTTCGGCTTGTGCAGATCAATGGCACCGCAGCTGCCATCCGAGCCGACCGAGTTCGGGGAATCGAGAAAGTTGCCGTCGCCCGCGTTGGAACGGACGGTCGTCATCAGCTGCTGCGTCGAGACCATCGGCCCGAAGGTGCCGAGCAACTGCACCCCGCCAGCGGCGGCGTCAAAGGACGGCGCTGCGAGCAGCTTCTCCTGCGCAGACGGGATGGAAATGGAGGGCTGCGAGGGAGGGCGCCCATCGGACACGCCGAGTAGGCAGCGGTCCGCTGCGGACGCGACGGCGTAGGCGGTGGTGAGACGGCGCAGCTGCGAGCACAGCTCCTCCGCGATGTCCTCCAGCGGTCGCTTGCTCAGCTTGAACGGGTCCACGTGCGTCTGCTGCGGCGGCTGTACCGCGGCGCTTTCCGCCTTGTCCGCCTGACTCCCTGTCACAGCGGCGGTGTGCGACATCATGAGAAAGCGCAGCCGCTCCAGCGCCACCACCGCGTCCTCCAGCGAAAGACGCGTTAGGTAGCTGCGAGAGGATTCGACAATGCCCGCCTCGCTTTCCTCACTATCGCTGGGAGAAATGTCGTGGGAGGTCGTGGCGCGATGCAGCGGGAGGGCAGGCGGCTCGCTGCGCTGCCCCGCCCTTTCCGTTGCCATGGACGAAGAGGAGCTGCCGATGTTGCGGTTGCTGAGATTGTTGCCAGCGGCGTCAAGCGGTGGCGTCGAGCGCGCCTTGCGAGACGGCAGTTTGGCTGGGGCAGAGGACCGGATAGCGGGCGGAATCGCCTGCGGTACCACGGCGCGCGGCCTGGTGGAAAACACTTCAACGCCCTCTAACCGCGCGCTGCCGGCCTTGTCGCTCGCTTTCACGGGGCGGTGGGAGTTCAGCCGCGGGGCGGCCTCCATAGTCGGGATCAAGACGGCGGCGGTCGCGGAGCCTTTGCGCGAAGGTGAGGCGTTCGCCTTGTTGGTCGCCTTCGCCGCGGACAACGATTTCGGTGATGGCATCATTGCGGCTACGATTGGTTCTGCGTATGCGAGTGCGTGTGGCTTTCCCTCTCTGCGAGGTGTTCGCGGGAATAAAGAAAAGAGGGGAGATGTTAAATTAAGAGGCTGATGCAGGAAACCGGACGCTGCGGGCGGGTCCGTCTGCTTTCAAGCAAGAACAGAAAAATGAGATATGCCGAGAGAGAGAGAGCGGCGAAAACAAAAAGCGGTCTCTACAAACAAGCACACAGACAAATAATAATAACAATAATCAAAAAAAAAATTAATTATCGGCACGAGGGAGATGCGTTGTAGATTTTACTCCCGTGCTGGCTAAATCGCCTTCTTGCACGGCTCTACGCAGCGTCGCCAAGGGGAAAAAAGAGAGAAAAAAAATACGGGAAAACAAAGACAAACACGGCCAATAATAATAATAGTAATAATAATGATAAATTTTCTTCCCTTTGCAGCACAACAAGGAAAGAGAAAGGCTATGCGGGACCACTGCGCAGTGAAGCAAACAAATGCAAACAAAGACCTGTAATCCAGCTACATATACGTAAACAGGTAGAGAAAGATACTGCGTTGCAAAGTGTGAGCCAGTCGCAACGGCAAAGTGAACGGGTTAGCTCAGTAAATCAACAAACAAGATCCTGAAGCGATTTGAAAAAAAAAACTGTGAGAGAAGATGCTTCGTAGAAGAAGAATAAGCGAAAGAAAGAAAAGAATATTGGTGTGTGTCTCCTCACCCTTGCGCAAGTGCACCGCGGATTTGACAGGTATGGTTTTTCACGAGTGAGCCTGTCACGGTGAACCTGCTTTTTTCCTGTTCCCGCTTCTCAGGGAAGCTAGAGCGACACCAATGGAAATGGGTACACAACGGTGCGTCAGAACTGTACAGAAGAACAGCAAAAAGTTGTTCTGTGACGCGTCGCAGATGCCTCGAGCACAACTTAACAGCAGTACTGGTACGAGCTGGAAGTAAAACTCTCAACGAGGAATTCTATTCGCGGTTGCGATCAGGTTTGACGGATTGTGCATATATATATATATATATATATATCATGAACAGAGCAGTCATGTTTGAAAGAGTGTGTGATGAGAAGTTATGGAAAACGCACGATACGACGAAAAGAAGAGGAGAGATAGAGGAGGAGGAGGAAAAGAGGAATAAACGGAAGGCAGTGCGTAGATAAAGGACATGAAGGTGGCCGACGAACTCAGATCCTGTGCCGGTAACGACGATGATTTGCTCGCTCAGCCGCATCAATCACGTTGCATCTAGCCCTAGGGCAACGTAGAAACGTACGGCACCCCAATGCATATGAGTTCGAAAGGTGCGCCATCCTCTTAACAGGTAAAACATTACTTCGGCTCCTGGATCTTTACTGCTTCTCTCAACGCGGCTGTTTTTGTTCTCAAAGACGCTGCTCCCATTCACCAGCTACAACGTCAATAATAATAATAATGAAAAGAGAAGCTTCATCCGTCGAGCACACATCAAGAGGTCTTGTTTCTGGAGAACACCAACAGCGGCATGGGACACACGCACGCACACGCACAAAGAAATTAAAACGAAAGGAGGGGGGGGGGGGAACGGCAAACCCGCTATTCGTCTTGTCACCGTGGCCAACATGCTGGAGAGCGACAACGGAGACAGTAATTTACACCAACTAAACAAACACAGACACACAGCAAGAAAGCCCATTTGTGTGTGAGTGTGTGTGTGTCAGACGTGAGAGGCAAGAACAACCACCAAACAAAAGAAACACGAAAGGACGACATTTTCACACCGGCACGAAAGACCGCATTTTCACAACGGCATGCAAGCAGAAAGAGGCACAAGATAGCCCAACATGCAATGAAACTCAAGCCAAAAGGGCGTGGTGAGGAATCAACCGCTGGTAAACGCACCATGCCCTCCCTGAAGCGATGTGCTCACTGAGTTCCTTCACTTTATTATTCTCTTTTTTTTAAGGCCATAAAGTTAAGGGATCAACCGACGTGGCTGCCGCTTTTACTTCTCCTGAACACGCTCGCCTTCGACGTGCGTCGTGTCGAGACGAAGCTCGCCGTTCAACACCTTCTGAAGCTTCTGCTGAAGGTCGCTGTTTGAGCTGATGTTCTCCAGAAGAATATGGCGCATCCTGGTGGGCTGCCCGTGACGCAGCAGCACCACAGCTCCCGAGTCCGTCGTGGCGTCTGTGGAAAGCGTGACGCCAAAGGTTGCCTGGAATTGCTGAACAACGTCTGTCCTGTGCTTCGCCGCGTGAAAGAAGAGCAACGGGTCGCTTTGAAACTGCCGTTGTACATCAGCCAAATTGACGCGCTCCGTCAGACTGATGACGCAGAGCGGCGAGTGGCCGCGCATCTTGACTGCCCGCGGCGAGCAGAAGTTCTCCATCGTCTCGGCTGTAAACTCCACCGCCTCCACCGGCAGCGCCATGGCAGGATGCTTCGGGTGGTGCTCGTGAGAACGGTCGTGACGCTGGCGATGCAGGTGCGCGTGCGGCCTATCTTCTCCCTCCCCCTCCTCCTCTAGCCCTTCTACACTGGCGGTGATGGCGCTGTCCTTTCCACTCCCGCACTCCCGCTCCACGCAGTTCAGAAAGAACTGTGCGACGGGCTCGTAGGCGATGGCATTTTTGGAATAAGGTACGAGCTCAAACGTTCCCTCACCGGCTCCGTCCGCTGCTGCAGGAGGGGTGTACCGCAGCACCCCGAGTGTCGGTAGCTGCGTCACGTCGAAGCTCAGCGCAACACCCTTATCGAGTGTGCACCCCCCGACAAAGGTCAGCGGAAAACTCTTCAGTTTCGGCGACAGCGCCATCACGGAGAGCATCGGCGGCACCTTCTCCTTCGCGGAAAACAGCACCCCTATCCTTCCCTGCGGAGCCTCGCGGGCGGCGTGCTTCAGCTGCTCCGTCGTCGACACCGTCTTCACCTGGGCCGCCGTGATGTCGGCCACCATGAAGCCTTGCAATGCGGCGGCGGTACGCTGACCTTGGTAGTCCTGCGGCGATGCAATGGACTTGGTGCCCATTTTCCAGTACTTGATGGTAGGAAAGCCACGCACGCCGTACTGCTGCCCGACACTGGAGTGCTGGTCAGCGTCGATCGCGCCAACGCGTATCGTGCCCTTCACTGACTCCGCAAACCGCTCGAACTCGGGGTGGAAGTGCTTGCAGTGCCCGCACCATGGCGCGTAAAAGAGAATCACGACCGGTTTGTGGGTATTGACGAAGCCGGGCAACGTACCCGGGGTCAGCTCGGTCACGGCAGACGACTTGCCGTACGGGAATGCCGCAGCGGGACATGACACAAGCAAGCAAAGGACAACAAGGCCCATCAGCCCGCCTCGAAGAGAGAAGGCAGTCACCGGGTTCTGCGATGACATTATTAATGCGTATTCCGCCGACAAAACACCAACAACAACGTGTCAAGATTCACTACCACAGAGGATCGGCCAAGAACACTTCGATTTTGTGCACCAACACCGATTCGCTGTGGGTGTGATAATGGTAGTAGCAGCCTAAAAGAATCTCGACTATCACCGAATTGAATGATTGGAAAAGCGATGTATCGGAAACCCACTGTGTGTGCATGTGTGTGTGTGTGTGTCGCGCACCGCCGTGTTTCACGCAAGAGGCAGAAGGAGAGAACAGGACCAAGAAGGAGAATGGGACACGTATGAGCTTGGCAAGGAAGTCGAAGGAAGCGAACTCGTCGTGGCAACCTCCCACCGCAGAAACTGTAAGCGGCACTTGAGACGGTCGAGACAAAGCAAACCCACCTAAAAAGAAACTATCTATGCTCTTTCCTTTATAGTACCGAGCAGAGGACAAAAAAAAAGAGTCAAAATGAAATACAGCATTTCGTTACTACAATCCGTCGGTGTAAATCCAACTGCCTCGTCGAGAAGCGAAGGCGACAAATACATTTTGGGCCGTTGTACAGCCGCAAAGAAGAGATTCAGCAACACGTAAAAACAACAGAAAAGACGGCCTCGGCATAGGTGAAGAATCGGGCTGCGGCGAGTATTAACGCAGGTTGCGGCGAATCCAGCGCAGCGTCAAGACGGCGGTGGTCGCCAACAGACCAAAAGCAGCGTACATCGCACTCTTGCTTTCACTGACCGCGGCGGGTGTGATAACTTCCGAGCTGCAGCACGTGCAGATGAAATCCAAGGGAATAAAAAACGTGTTAAAGCTGGTCAGCAGACGCAGATGCTGCTCCGTCTGGTTCATCGCGACGGAGAACTGTAAGAAAAGAAGGGACTCGGACTGTTCTGCTAAGTGGGCTGAGATGGACAACACACTGTCCACGTAGAGCATCTCATTTTGGTCCGCGAGGTTGAACGGATGATCGAGCGCCCCCTTCAGTTTCTGATACGCCACTTTCGACTCGCGTAGAATGGAATTGTGGCTCGTCGTCTCGCGCGATAGTAGATGCAGCTCGGCCATGAGACGGGTCATGGAATAAAGGTGATGTGCAGAGTGCTGGGGGGCATCGAAGATCTCCGTCTCCATCACCTCCAGCCGCCGTGTGTTGCGGTACGCCGACTCCTGCAGCGTACGTGAGGCGCCGTGATAGAGCAGTCGTACGAGGTCCTCCCAGCCCTCCACGCGGTCAATCACCGTGTTGTGCACACCATCGTAGACGCCATCATTGTCCTCCTCCTCGTCTTCCTCTTCCATCATCGACCCCGACCGCGCAGCTCGTCGCAGCGCCTGCCGGACAATTTCTTCTGTGTCCAGTGGTCCGCGGCTGTTCGTAGGGACGGAGCGCACGGTTCGCGTGGATCGTCCGCCGTGGGAGGTCAGCTTGTTCCATTGGGACTGCATGTCGCTTATGAAGGCGATGGGGGCGCGATGCACCGTGACGACACGCCACCGCACTTCGTAATGCGTTGGCGCCGTCTCTCCCTCTTTCGCTGAAGCTGATGGGTTAGTAGTCTTGTATGCGGAGTCGTCAGCTTTCGTTGCCATCTCCTCTCTCTCGTCATGGTCCTTTCCCGAGCGTCTCGCCGCGCGCTTGCGCTGCGCACTGCGCGACAGCGCGAGCGCCTCATTCGCCGCTGTCGTCGCCGCCTCCGTCTTGGGCGCGTCGGGGTCTGTCTCTACCGGATGCAGCTCCTTCCCCACAAAGATGGTGAGACGATCGCTGAAGTCGGACATCGTAAGGGAGGGGCGGCGGCGGGACGAGGAGCGGTGGCGGTGGTGGTGGCGCAGTGCCGCTGCCGTCCCAGCCGCGGCCGATGACGTCTTTGACGCGGTGGGCGGCTTCGCGAAACCCGCTTTGGCGGCTCGTCTGGCGGATTGTCGACGGCGCAGATGCCGCTCCAAATCCTGGACCCACTGCTGCGACGTCTTCACCCTCCGGGGGTAGAAGTCCATCGTGGCCACGTCGTAGACGCAGTCCTCGTCGCCGTTGTCTGCGGCGGCGGCGTTGTCGACGTCGCCATCCGCAGGGGGGTGGTCGTGCCACTGCTTTGCGAGCGACCACCACCGCCGGCGATGGTGCTGCGAAGAGCGACCACTGCCGGCACCGAGAACGCCGCCGAGCTCGTCCGTTTGCTGGTGCACTTCCTTGGCGAAACGAAGAATGAGACAAGCCCAATTCTCATTCACGTATGTCACTGGTAGCGTCGCCCCACTCGCCACATTAGCGTACACGCCAATTGGGAAGCGGCTGCCAAAGAGCTTACGCATGACGGAGAAGTCAAGCTGACCTTCTGGAATGTGCGCCAGCAACGGGTCCTTGAAGAACCCCGGAGAGGTGGACACGTCCAGCCAGCGAAGGCCTTTCATGGTGCTCACCTCCGTCGTGTTGAAGAGCTGCTGAGCCTCATCCCCCGCAACGATCTCCTCGAAGAGAATATTCTTTTCTGCGTCGAGCAGGCGCTCTCTTTTCATTCGCGCCTCCGGCGTCGAGGCGTCGGCGGTGCTGGGCGGCTCCGCCTTCTTGTCCTTTGCAACCTCGTCCATTTTCAATAGTGGGTCCGCCTTCGCAGAGCTCTTGCCATCTTTCTCTGCCGTCTTGTTCGCTTCCTTCGCTGGCTCTTTTGTGTCTGCGACGCTTGGATTGTTCTCCGTTGCACTGTCTGTGAGTTCCGCCGCCACTGTGTCGGCTTTCCCGCTGTTGGTTGTGTTCGGCTTCTCAGCTCCGCTCCTTTCACCCGAGACCGCTTTTTGATCTGCGGACTCCGTCGTACCGGAGTGCGTGATAAGATTCCAGAGATTCGATGAGCTGGTGAAGGCACGTCCAGACGAAGCGAGGGAGAACGTGCCGCTGCCGCCACGTGTGCGCAGTGCAGTGCTGTGAAAGCACCTCACCGTGGAAAGGTGGGTAGACAAGGCTTGCGGGCTGACATGGCATGTTAGAAAGCAAAGCGAACACATCGGTCCTTTCGTTTGCAGTGAAGGGCAAAAGCACGACCAAAGGGCCGACCTGCACAATCGCCGCATTGGCGCATGGGGAACACAGCGCATCAAACGGCAGCTACTACACATTATCCCACGAATGAAACAAAGAAAGCAAGGGAAACAACAACAAGAAGAAAAGCAATGCTAATGAAAGAGTAAGCGGCGAGAAGCACACTAAACTACTCCGGGCGTCAAGTCCAACGTCAAACTTGCTTGATGATCCAGCCAGCAAAAAAGGGACGCTGTAACACTAGGAAACGTAAAAGGAAAAAATCAGCGGTAGCGCAGTTAAAGAGAGAAAACAAAAACAGGAGAAAGAAGAATATGCAGCTACGACAACGTTTACGTTACGTTGCCTGACTACCTAAAGCTGCAGACTGCCATGTGCGTCTGTGCGTATGTGTGTGTGTGTGTGTATTGTTTTTTGAAAGGACGAAAACGGAGTTAAATATATGTTTTGAAGGTGTTTGTTGGTGGGTGTGGGTATAAATGTGTTGGGGGAAAAGTGATCATAATAATAATAATAATGATGACTACTACAAAGCTGCATTAATGCTGTTGATGCGTGGCATCCATTAATGCACCTCCCACGTGCTCATCACGAAGCAGATGGAAAATGCTGACCACGAGAGTAACTGTAGCGGTGAAGCAAGAAAACATATATAGAGAGAGAAGAAAGGAGAAAGATTCACGAATCAACGCGGCAGGACCGAATCATAGCAAGAAACCAAAAAGCAAGGTGCTCCTCCCTTCCTGATACATGCGCCGACGGCTTCATGCCCACCGTGCTTGCTCAACCCGCTTGGTGCATTTCGATTCCTTCACAAGCATCGAAACCCAACTACAGGAAAAAAAAAAGATTCTGTTCACCGTATGAAACACACGAGAGTAGTTACCTGAAAGCTGCTGCTTCCAAGTAGCGCAACATGCTCCACTTCGGTATTCCTTTTTTTTTTTTGGAGGAATCGTCGTAGAAAACACAGAGAAATGAAAAACGAAAAGAACGAGCATCCAGCGGGAGTGTAACGGGGCAAAGTGGAGTAGGTAGCGCCGCGGTACGTGAGACAAAGCGTAGACCACCGTAGCGGCAACCAGTCCAGATACGTAGCGGAGGTCAAACAAGCGAACACAAACCCACACACCCCAAAAAGAAAAAATGAAAGAACCGAAGCTCTTTTGCTACGGTCTCTTTCGGCACGACGAATCATAGCCACGAATCGATAAAACGCGTGGAGGACAAGGACTTCGCAGCGACAGAGTGTCGACTACTCCAGTGGTGCCCTTCCTCTTCCTTGCTTCGGCAGCCGCCTTCGGTGAGCGACGAGAGGCCAAGTCGTTGATAGCGGTGAGATACCGCTACGGAATTCCACGAGTGTGAGGAGGACTGCGGCTGGCCGTCCAGCGAGAACGAGAGAGGATTTTTGCTCATGAAAGTGCTTTTTTGCAGCTCCGACACCAGCGGCGCTTCGTGAGAGCGCGTACGAGTCGACGACGCTTTCCGTGGCACGTCAGGCCGGTCCTTCACAGAGCTATCGAAGTGTGCGGAGGTTGTACCATCTGCAGCGCAGCTCGTCTGTGTACCGTGATTCTCTCGAAGAGCCGCCGTGTGCCTGTCCACGGCGCAGGACTCCGCCTCAAACGGCGGTGACAGGATGGGACTGTATTTGCGGTGCCTGAGTTTCACAACGGAAGTGTTTGGAGTACCAAGAGTGGTGCCGTCTTCGGCATCGTTGTTTGCATTTTGGTTCACGTCGTCCTCACCGAGCGCGGGGGATATGAGCGGTGCGTGCGGTGGCAACGTCCGCTTCCGTGCTCGTTGGTCCACGTGCAGTCCGTCCAAGCGAAGCAACAGTTGGTCGGTCGCGCTGTTGTCGCTCTGGAGCGATGATCCAGTGTTTGCCTGCGGCTTCTTCTCCAGTCCTAGTTCGCCTGTCGTTTTGGACGGTTGTGTGGAGGAACGCATCCCGGGAATCGGCAAGGCCTGTATGTACGGCGTGGCAGCCCGTGACAGCAGAAAGGAGCAACTTTCATTCATCGCCTGCGCGGGGGAGTGAATCATTGATACGGACGGTGTGCCCAGGTTGAGCGTGTCCGTGAAAAGACGTGGACTGATTCGCCCGGTCAACGCCGGCTCCATTGGCTTGTGCGCCGCGACAGTATAGCCTCCAAGCTCATCAGGGCTGAGAGCGGAGCGACGAAGGGCGATGCATTGAGAGAGTTGGCGTGACAACTGTGTGGCTGACGTCGTCGCGCACTCTCCTGAGAACAACTGCGGTGGGGAGAGTCGCAGCGGCGTTTCCGTTTGCCTCGCCGTTTCTGCAGTGCTCTCACGCACATCGACCTCGCTTCTATTGCTCGAGTACTGCTGAGACGTGGAGGAAGCAGTCCAGTGCGCAGCCGCACTCGAATCGGCGTGACTGGATTGCCCTACCAGTTCAGGCGAAACAGAAGGGAGGTGTGCGTGGCTGATTGGACGTGCGTGGGCCACCGCGAGACGCGCTGCTCCGTCATGGGAGAAACTGACGCAGGAGGCAGATGAGAGGGGACGGAGATGCACCGGCGAGTCATCACCCGGCTGCGGCATCCAAACACGCGTCGTCTGATCGGCGCGAGCGCGTATGGGTGACACCGAACACTCGGAGCTGGTGCTGTGCGGCACGCGGCAGGAAGCGTCTGGCTGCGCCGTGCCCTTTTCGTCTTGTATCGCGCTCTTTGCGGTGTGCTCAGCCACGGTGGGACAGGCAATCGTGGCCTCTTCCTTCGCTGCACCGTTCTTGATGGACAGGGAGCACGGCTGCACCGCCTCTGCATCAGCCTCTGCCTCACTCTTTCTATCGGAGCTGAGCGCAGCCAGCGGGGCAAGGGTTACCAAATGATCCTCGCTGCTAATAGAGGAAAGCGTCGGGGAGGGCGGCGGTCTAGGCGGTGTGCAGGGCGGCACAGCCGGTTGCTGTGGCTCCGCTACGCCTCTCGCGCGAGTGGTGGACGCGGTTAACTCCGCGTACAAGGCATAGGCCTTTGTGGGAATGGGGGAGAGCTTCACGGGCGTGGGGAAGCCTGTGATCTGTGCGTGGCCCTCCCAGCTCGGGGTGCTGGACCCAAGTCTGCGAGACGGATGCGGCGTAGGCGTCTGAGTAGAGGCACCCGCCGCCGGCGCTGCAAAGGACGGAGACGCCGTGCGCGGGGTATGGAGGGTGGCCGAGGCGGCCTGCGTCAGCAAGTGACACAGCAGATCGCGCCGGATCGGCGTGGGCATCGGAGTTTTTTCGCCACATCCAGTTACCGTCGGTGTCGCCGCGTGGAGTTGCACGTCAGCGGGTAGAAGTTTAACGGTGCTGTCGGAAGGAGTACGTTCGTCTTCGCTGGCACATGATGTCCCCGTCGTCTTCCCTGTCGCTGTCCGGTGAGCAGATGCACCTCCGTTGGTTTCGTTAACACGATTGCGTACGTTTGCGATGCACCTCGACTCCGCCACTGTGGCGGACAGCACGGAGCTATTGGTTGACACTGTTAAAGCGGAATTCGAAGGTACCGCAAAATGCCGCTTGAGAGATACATTGTGTGAAAGGCTGTTGTGCTGCTTGTTCGTGTTACTAGAACTGAGAGGATCTGGTGCACGAGTGCAGTTGAGCGTAGTGCTGCTGCCGTCGCCGCCTCTAGTGCTAATATCCGATGGGAGCAGGGATGCGTTCATGCTCTTTTCTGGTTCTGCCCGAACCTCAGCCGACGAGGGACGCTGCGGTGTGTGCGCCAGGATAGTTTCGACGGCAACACCCGATGACGTTAGAGACGTTGGTTGATGCAACGTCTCATTGGAAAGCCGCAGCAGGCTTTCTACACGCTTCTCCCCTACAATGCTGCTCACCTCCCCTTCTTCCTCCTCCGTCTCCGCGTCGTCGTCGATGTCGTTTTCTTGAAAGAGAGCACGCTCAGCCACACCGACCTCTCCAGGGCGACGCGACACGGGCCGTTGCAGCTGTCTGTCGCCCTCTCTCACGCTGCTCACGTCGGCTGAGGAAGAGTTTGCAATCACTCGTGCTTCCTCCCTCATCCCCTCCATCTGTTCACCGGTGGGCATACCACTTTGCGAAGTAGGCGTTGTGGCGTGATGGATCTGCTGCTCAGATTCAATGAAGGTGAATCGAGCAGCCTTGTCCTCCGCAGCCAAACTGGAGACGCAGCTGTCATCGCGTGCTATCGAGACCGGAGGAGACGGAAAAGAAGAAACAGGTCGGCTCAGGCGAGGCACAACCTTTTCTGCGTTTCCACCGAGCTCGTCTTCCGCATCTGCCGCGGTTGTCGCGCCTCTCGCAAACGAATTGACCCGCCAGGACAGCGGAGCATCCGACAGCGTCGACGGGGCGATGGCCGAGGTGAGACCGCTGTTGGGGAGCGTCACCAGCGGGCTCTGGCTGATTCCGTGAGAGCTGCAAATACCAATGCCGGAGGCGAAGGCGCTGCGTAGTCGTGACTTGCGTCCGTCGCTGCCGAGCGTCTCAGATCTCCCAAATGGCATATCGCACGAGCATTGATGCAAGCCGGCAAATTGTCCTGACGGAGGACGAGGAGGGGGAGAGATGATGGTGTGCTCCGCAGCGCTTCCAGAGGTGGGGGCACTTTCAGACGAGCTAGCGGCCGCAAAACCTAAGAAGGAGTTTGCTGAGGTCGCCAAAGCAGTGCCGCACGAATCAGCATGAATACACGACGAAGCGTCTGCAGGCGTCGGAGTGTGACGCGACACAATCAAGGAAGACCCATGCGGTGGCGAACTGCTCAGCCTCGTCTCGCTCATCCTTACCACCGTGCGCGTACCGTTTTGGTAAACGTGCAGTTGCCGCTCTGAACCATGCATTTAGCGGGGCCTTCCTTGTCGTTGTTATGGCGAATCGAGATGTATATATGAATAGAGAAAGAGAGAGTGAGTGCTGGTTATCTTTCATTGAACGTAAAGCAGGTTTGCATCTAGAACCGAGAAAAACAAAAAAAATTCCAAGCAAACGCAAGGAGCGTGGAGCCGTTCTTCTGCGTTACAAAAGGACGCTGACACGGGCTGTCTATGCTGTGATCTATGCGATGTATCGACAATACATAAAGAACAGGTGTGCGTGCAGTTCTGGTTTTATATCGATCACACGCAACTGTTTTGTGTCTAGTAGGTTGCAAAGCGTACCGGTGTGATGGTGTGTGCTTCGTCTTGTGTGGGTGGGTGTGGGTGTGTCATCTAACTATAATTGACACTATCGGAGATGCGCAGGAAGAAGGGAAGAGAGAGATAGAAGAGTGCGTGTGTGTGTGTGTGTGTGTACAACAGGTCAACGAAGAGGGCAAGCAGAGAGCCTCTCACGATGGTCTCGCGGATGACACTTGATGATGGCGATTTCCTAAAGCAACAATTGCCATACACGTTTCTCGAACGGTATGAAGTAACGATTTATATTATATATATATGTTCAGTGGTATTCTTGTACTTTCATCACCTGATGCATCCGACGCCTCCTTTTCTCTCTATCCTGCTAACACTTTACGGTTACCACCTGTGAAGGATCGTCACCAACAGCTACCCAGCCCAATACATACGCCAAAGAATGGCAGAAAGCCGCAAAAACTGGTTCTGACGGAGTCAAGCAACGTCTGGCAAACGCTTGAAAACACGACGACACAGTCATACCAGGAAAAGCACACATTAGAAGCCGCTGTATCTTACCACTTCTATACGAAGATCCACCCCACCCCTCCTTCCTTATTGCTTGAATGAAAGGTCGGCGATCAAGGCGACGTGGTCGGAGGGGAACTTCTTATTCGGTAGAGCAAAGTTCTCTGTTAACTCCGACTCAGGAGGAATCGGCACTGTTCGCAGCACCTCGATCGAGCCAGACGAGAAGAACACGTAGTCAATCACCTCACGGAATGTCAGCGTGAAGTTCGTCCACGGCAGCGAGGGATCGGTGCGTTGGTACGCGTCTTGCAGGTGAAGCGGCGGGGTGTGAAGGGCCTCCCGAAAAACCTCTGTGACAACGTGATCGTCACCGCGTGCGGGTGTCGATGTTGCATCGGGCCCCGCCGCTTCATTCGGCTGCCCCGTCGGACTAACAGACTCGCCTGGAGCTCTCTTCTCTCGCTTGAAATCCTTGCGTGCAACGGTCGCCTGCGGCAGGACTGTCTCCTCGCCCAAAAGCTCCCCCAGTCGTTCAGCATCGTAGCCCAGCAAGCGGGAGCAGCCCCACCAGAACAGCTTGCCCTTCTCCCACGAGTGGTGCTCGGCCTCCACCTGACCGGTTGTAAGCAGACGATACGCGCCGGTGGGGTGTGTGCAGTTGAAGTCGCCGCATAGCACAACAGGACGCATCGGTAGTGCGCTACTCGCCGCACCCGCCGACGCCTTATCATCTTCGCCGCCAAGAGGAACAGCAGAAGAGGGAGAAGAAGTAGACTCCATGTTTGCTGTTTCCCGCGTCACGGTTGCGATGTGCAGCCAGTGCATCAGCATGTAAGCTTGAAGAATGCGGATGTGACACGCGTTTGCATGGTAGAAGAGATGCGTGTTGCCCACCACCATTTCCGTGTTGCTCGCCACATCCCGCAGCACCAGGCGAGCGCCGATGGTGGTGAGCGCCGACAGCGACTCTTTCAACTCCGGGCAGGCACCGACTCGTTCGGCGAGATCAACGTGGCGCGCGGCAAGCGTGGCGTAGTTCAGGGGAATGGAGTCGGCGTGCACCAGCTCGTACCGCGACTGGCGGAACAGAAACGCACAGCCCTCCTTCACCGTGCCACATTTGTTCATGTACACGCCATCGTAGCCAGCGGCCCTCATCACCGGCAGCAGGAAAGACTGAAAGACGTCGCGGCCGCATTCCTGCAGACACACGAGATCGGCGTGGTAGGCAAGGAGCTCCTGCGCAATGCGCACCTTTCGATTCTCCAGGTCCAAAATGTCGTCCGTCGCAAAGGGGTATATCTTCGCCTTGGAGCTGCTGGAGGTGCAGAAGTCGTCGTACAAGACGTTGTACGTCACAACGCGAAAAGCAGGCGGGGCAACGGGTGTTGTTGTCTCCTGCCAGCGCGCGACGGGCGGTGGCAGCGGCCGCACCGCATCCGGCAGCCGCAGCTCCGTCCACAGACCCGTCGAAGAGTCTAGTGAGACGCGCAGCATCATGTGCTGGCCGATTAGATCAGGCGGGGGCGTGAAGGTGGACGCGGTGCCCACCACACGTGCCGTCGCCGCCGCCGCCGCCGCTGCCGTTGTTTCTTGCGTCTTGTCAGCTCTGTTTGAGGCAGAGCCCTCCCCGACGACGCACCACTCGTAGCACACGTCCTCCTCTTTAGCGAAGAGAACAGAGACGCTAGCGCACGCCAGCGGCAAGCCGACGTACGGCACGCCCGGCGTCGCGATCGCGGTGATGGTGGGCACGTTGAAAAATATGCGCACCGTCGTGCTCTCATTGAGCACCAGGACGTGTGCGTACTTCCAAAAGATGCGGTTAGGAAGTCCGCTGTTCAACTCGCGATACAACACCTCCCCTTCCTTGTCCCCCTCTGGACCGGGTGCCATTTTCACGTCTGCGGACCCTGGTGCGGCCAGTTCGCCGGCGTCTTCTTCCGCTGCTGCGTTCACTTCGGATGCCCGGCAGTACACCCGCACGGATGGGCACCCGGCAAGCAACTCCTCGCGTGACTGCCGCTTCGACGCCTGACCCTTGGGCCGCGGCGGAGCGAAGAGCAGGCGCATCCGGTCCAGCGTCTTCACGGCAGGCTCCTGTTCGTCCCGAGCCATGCTCTTTACGATCGACGACGTCGCCGCTGTGGCATTGGGAGCCACCATGGGTGCCTCAATGGAAAGATCGAGGGTCACGACATGACTGTCGTGGGGATATAGCACAGCAATTCTATTTTTTCCGTGCATCTTGCGCTGCAGTGGGTACTGCTGATGATGGGAAGGAGTAACCGCAGACGATCGCGACGACGCGGCTGAATTTGAGCGATTCGCTGTGGGTTTGCCGGTGCTGCGGGGAGAAGTGGCACTGGCGTTTCGAGCACCTTGGCTTGTCTTACGGAGATCTTGTTTGCTCCAGCGACGCAGTGAGCTGTCGAATTTGTGGTCTGCTAGAAACGACGCGGAGGACGCGCCGGCAGTGGGTTTTCCGTGGTTCACCTTGCTTGATGCGTGTTGCGGTTTCTGAATCTGCTGATGTTGCGGATGGAGGAGGCGGTCAGCGCCCCGAGTGAAAAAGCGTCCAGGCACGCACAGCGTCAACGTCGGGAGTGCTGATAGGCCTGTGGTTCGGAAAGTATGGGAGGCGCGGGAGCAAAGCAGACGAAAACGACTTTGGAGGATCATTCATAGAGTGCACTTCTACATAATGCACAGAGGCAGTTATCAATGAAGAGAGGAACGCACAAAATGACCGCGACAGAATTAGAAAGCAGCCCACCGCTGTAAAAGGTGAACAGCTGTTTAACGGCAGGAGAACTTAAAGCGTGAACAATAGCAATACCGATGTAAATTGTTCGTCGACCGCAAGTGCGCCCCTTTGACAAGTGCGCGAGTCGATACGTGTGTTTTTTGAGTGGATTAGCGACGCCAAAGGCGACTGAGGTTGGTAAACCTGTCGTACTAAATTCGGTGTCGTGTACTCTATCGGCGAGATCTGCGAGGTAGCTGTGCACGTCCACAACGAAGTATGTTCAGTTGGTGTTGTGGCGGCGAATCATTTACGATCACGCTCATCCAATTTGTGGAAGGAGGAGATGGGGAGGGGAGGCGGCGGGAAGGGGGGCGGGAACGAGGATGTTCAGCTTAGCGATAATTGCTCTTCATTGTAAACTCATACGAGATAAAACTCGAGGGTTTAACGAACCACCACTCATTCTCGTCGTTACAGTAGCTCAACAGAGGAGGCGAAAAAAATGGATACAAAAGAGGGCCTCTGTGAGCAATAAGAAGTGGCCTTCGCGTATTAAAAGGAGAATAACACTCCTATTTGTTGTTGTTGTTTTTTGCTAGTCATGTTCTTTTTCTTTCGTTAAGCATCCGGTTCGGGTGAGGGAGCCACTTTGCCTCTGAAGTCCTCTGCGCCGTCCCAGCACTTTGGCTTCACCGTGTTCAGCGTGAGCGCGACCATTGGTGACACGCAGGCCTGCATCCCGTCACACGCAAGCTGGACAACAAAACTAACACTTAAGAGCACCGCCAGGGTTCCTACGACGCTCATCGTGATGGAGGCGCTCACAAAGGCCTCGTACGAGGTTGGCACGGCGACTTGGTTTCCTTTGACCGCCACACCTTGCGGCAGCGCCGCGCGTGTTGCCTTGGTGAGGTAAAGATGCATCTCCTTGTCCGCTACGACGTACACGAGCACCAGCGTGACGACAAACAGGAGCGCGCCGCTCATGCACACCAACACGGCAACATCCTTGAAGAATGGAAGATACGGCAGCTGCAGAGTGGCCAACGAGAAGAACGAGAACCACTGCAGCAGGGTTGCGGTGCCGGTCATGTTTTTTTTTTTCCTTCTTCTACAGCGCGCTCACTGACGCACTGAGGCACCAGAGAAACGCGACAAGTACAATTGATTGTACAACAACACAACGGCCTTGTAGAACGGACAGTTGAACACACAGAAAGGCTCTCGACGGTCCTGGAAGCGTAAAGGGAAGAGACCCCATATGCGAGAAAGGAAGTACAAAAAGAAGGTTGTTGTGCAAGGAAGAGGCAAAGGAGTATGAAAGAACATCGCAGAGGCTCGTCGATACGTGTGCAACGCAACGCAGTCCCTTCAAGCACGTCGCGTAAGGGAGAAAAATGCAACGCGAAGAGCGCGTTATGCTCACACAAACAACCTATTTGAGAGAGTGTGAAATAGATCATTGCGCAACCTCAAACGCACGCACGCACCCAGATGCTGCGTAGTTGAAGCATCACCACTTCAAAGCGTAAACACGGCGAGGAAAAAAAAGTATACAAACATACTCTAATTAGATTTCGTTACTAAGAAGTAGATGAAAAAGAAAGTCCTCATCGGGGGGACTCTCCATCGTCGTCGATGTTAAACAGGTCAGGTAAATCACAGCAACAAAAGGAAAATCCAAACGCGGGTAAATGCAGAAGAGCCGCACAAACAGCGCTCAGTGAGAGTTCAGTCAGCAGGAAGCGAATGGTAGCCTACATCAAAGAAACACCCGTAACAATAACAATAATACGCTAGCAAAAAAAAAAAGGGGAAAGAGCGTGTCCACTCATACATAGACACCGACACGCACATGCGCATGAACCGATGCTGCAAAAAAGAACGCCATTACGAGAACAAGAGAAACGTAAAGGAAAAGGCTATAAAGCAACAATCCGCTACGTCGCAACTTGAAAAGCACCCCGCAACGTCAAAGCCACAGAGAGAGTGAGAGAGCGATTATAGAAACGAGACGGAATTCAACAGACAGAACCCAAAAAACTCAAACTACGGAGGGAGGGGGGAGGCGAGCAGAATCTGCGAACTGAAAAACAAAAGTAAGAGAAGCGAATACTGAGTAAACGGAGCAGCGCACAGCACTATAGATGACTTACACCGACGCTCTTTTCTGTAGTTGCTAGTACGCTGCAGGGGAAAAGTGGGGGATCGTGTCGTTGGGGGTGGGGGGCAGGGTTGTTGTCATGGTGATGTTCTATGGTTCATCCCCACGCTCCTTTTTCTCTTTCGGTGAACAAGTGAAAGGAGAAAGGCGCTTCAGCAGAAACGAAGAAGTGACAACCACACACAACGAAACTACTTCTCGGTTGGTTTCTTCTCTCCCGAAAGCTGCCAACCACAAATGTAAAATTAGAAGAAAAACTGGAACGTTTCTACAGAAAAGGCCGCTCAACTTCGCCGTTAAGTTCGTTTGATAGAAGGCGTGCCACCTCCAAAAGAAAAAGGTTGAGGGAGTTTTAGAGTGAGGCTTTTTGCAAAGCAATGCGTGCCTCTGCAAACGAATGCTCGAAGCGTTTACACGTTTTTGCGGCCGTCCACGATGTCCTCCACTTCATCTACGGAGGAGGGAACGTGGGCGAGAGCAATCCGGCACACTACCGGATTGTCGCGCCTGCCCGCCTGCACCTGCTGCGGCGTCAAGACGGGGTACGGGTTCACCGCGACACGGCTGCTGACAAAGGGATCCTCGATGTCGAGGAACATGCGGAACTTCGCCAACTCCTCCGCGTTGTAGCAGCGATCGAGGTGGTGGCTAATGACGAGGCAGTGACTGGGGTTCACATGTATCTTCTCCGCCGCGCGCAGGTAGAGATCCAAATGTGGCTGACCCTTGATCTTGCGGTCGTGGGCTTCCTCACCGTCGATGGAGGCGACGAACAAGCGCGCCATCTGGGGGTTGGACGACAGGAGACCCTTCAGACTCCGCGTGTACGACACCACGGCGAGCGCGACGCCGTTGTCGACGAAGTCCTTCAGCAGGCGGAACAGACTCGGCACCGCCGGTGGCGGCGAGCGAAGCACCATCTCCGCCATCTCCGCCACCTTCGCGTTCGCCAGGCCGTACCGCGTCTCCACTATTTCGGCGTCTTCAGGGGTGCCGAGCTCCAGGTAAATGCCGCGGCTCTGCAGGATCTGATGAATGCCGCTGAAGGCAATCTCCCCATCCTCCTTCTGGTACACGACCTTCTCAATGAACTCCTCCGGGTTCAGCGGGGGAATTGGCCGGTTGTGCAGCACGCGGTAGGTGTCAAACAGCGTCTCCAGCGTCTTGTACCACGACCGGTAGCTGTACTCCAGCACGTTGTGGAAGAGGCAGTCCGACAGCAGCACCACCCCGTCGATCTGCGCCACCTGGCTGTGACTTGTGCGCGGGATGGACCAGCGCAGGTTCGCAGGGGTGTTGCCAAAGCCAGTGTGCAGGTGCGCCCGCACCCCTGGCATGCCGTGTACGAAGCGCAGGCTCGAGCCGGAGATGAGCTCGTAGGTGATCTGCTCCTGGTCCACCGACACCCGCAGCGTCGCACCCCGCCACTTCACCGTGAAGTGGTAGCGCTCCATACCGGCGGGTAAGATCGGGTTCACCTCGAGCCCTTTGTGCGAGCACCGCACGCCGCCGCAGCCGAAGATGAGGCCTTGCGAGGTGGCCGCGATGGCGCCGAAGTGAAGTCCGCCCTCCGCCGAGTAGACGATGTTGTCGAGGTCAATGTTGGCGAGTGATTTCAGCAGTGGTATGGGCTGCGCGAAGCTGAGCCGCGCGCGGCACAGGGCGTGCATCATGACCAGAAGCGACACAGGGGAGTCGAAGGTGCAGAGTGGGTAGTAGTACTCAAAGTTGTTGGCGAAGTCGCGCTGGTCGAACTCGTCGGGGTAGAGCAGCATGCCAAGCAACACCTCCGGCACGTCGATCAACTTCCGACGGTAAATGTGGATCGGGTGATAGTTGAGGTGCAGCGGGTGCAAGGCGCGCTCATCGCCCCAGTCGGTGAGGTTGCCGAAGTTGTCGTGCACCATGTACACCTGCAGCCGCTCGTGCCGCTGCGGCACCACGATACCGGCAGCCACGGCGCGCATCTCGTTTAACTCGCTCTGCGTCATGCCGAGCGAGCTTAGAGCGGTGCTGATCTCCTCCTTCGTCAAGTGGGCCCGCTGCCGCTCGAGAAAAGCGAGGGCGGCGGTGATGTGACGACGGGCGGAGATGTTGACGTAGAAGTTGCCGGCGGCGTTGCTGTTGTACTGGTCGGTGCCCGCGATGTTGTCCAGACGGAAGACGGTGTGGGCGTCCTGCCACTCCCCACACAGAGGCCAAATACGGGCCGACTCCATCATCAGCTCCAACAAAAGGAGGCGGTCCTCAGCGGATATCGACTCCGCGGCCTCGTCGTACAGGGCGATCAAATAGCCAATCTCCGCGTTGACGTGGAAGCGCGCGTTGCTGACGTTGGCGAAGTGGGTGGTGTGGACGCCGTTGATGGTTGTCAGCGGAAAGACGGCGCCGCGGTCCATAGCCAGCGTACGGGCGTACTTGCGCGACTGCGGCACCATGTGGTAGACGCTCTTCAGCAGACGCAGGCACGCGTCGGGCTGGGTGATGATGTAGTACATGCCGTAATAGATGTACTCGGAGAGGTTAAACTGCAGGCCGTCTCCCGCGGCGGAGAGGCCAGAGCGGGAAAGACCGCCCTCCACGCCGTGGCTTACGTTAAACATGCGAAAGGCGTTGTAGATGAGGGGCAACTTGCTGCGGTTTTGGATCATCTCGTCCTGCAGCGTCACGTCGCAGTCGTTCGTCTTCCAGAACGGCTCCAACGCGGCGCGCTGGTCCTCGATCAATTCTCTTACGGTGGGGAAGGTGCGGGGAGAGGGTTCCCCGTTTCCGCGGCGGTGGCAGGCGCGGAACGTCACGACGATGCTGTTCGGCAACGTCTCCGGTGTCAGCGGCATCATGAAGCGCTTTTTGATGCTGTACGACTTCTGCGCCTTGTTGGCGTTGCGGAAGGCGCTGTAGTTCCACTGGTTGGGCCGCAAAAAGGTTGCCGGGGTGGAGTACTCCTTGCCCTCTGCGTTGCCGCAGCTGCTGCCGCCGCCGTCGCGGCCCATGCCGCTGTTGCTGTACCGGTCGCGGTTGTACATGTGCGACGACTCGCCGTCGGTGTTCTGCTTGTACGGGGTGCTCTCCACCTCTGCCTGAAGAACGCGATAGGTGCTGCCGTAGTTCACGACGCAGTCCACCTCCGTGAAGGTGGTCACGTCGACGCCGGAGGAGAGCGAGCACTGGTTCACGTGGTCCATCTGCATGTGCGACACCTCCCACGCGTCTTGGTCTATCGCGAGCAGCACCACGAGCTCCACACGGTAGTTCAGGTCGTTCTGCGTGCGGTGCAGCATGCGCTGCTGGTGGGCGTCGAGGCCGCCCTCCGACGTGCTGTCCGCGATGTGGTTTGTGGTGCCGTAGGAGCCCATGAAGCCGGTGTTAGGCCCGTTCGAGTCGCTCTTGGCTGACATCGGCGAGTCCATCGCCCCAAAGCGGAAGTTGCTGTAGCACACCTGCGAGCCCCACATGCTCAGATCACTGCGACCCACCGTACGGATGTAGTGCGTATCGAAGATGAGACCCCCGTCGGAGCTCATGACGTCGATGCACTCGCTGCGGTAGGCGCCGTCGTCGAGGTTCAGCCGGCGTTCCGGCATGGTGGATAGCGTGCCCGACTCGCCATCGAGCAGGAAATCCATATCTACCGTACACAGGCTGGCACCGAGCTGATTTGTTTTGGGGATTCCCTTGAAGCCGGGGCCGTCGACGACTTCTTCGTGGTACACACCGTTCATGATCACCTCCGTCTCGAAGCCGACAGTTTCTACTTCACTCAGGTGGCGCAATCCAATGTTGCCGTTGGTACTGTAAAGAACGTTGTCGGTGACACTGTTTGAGACAAACGCAGACGCCTCCGTGCTTTGCATGATGTCGCGTCCGTCCAGGAGGAAAATTGGCTTCTTAGGGACTTCATAGTCCCGCGCAAGCAAAGAGTTCATCATTCACCTGTAACGGATTTTCCCCAAACTATACAGTATTCCCGTTCTATCACAAACGGACGTGAGCTGCACAAGACGGCACGGGCTGGTTTGACAAAAGTGAATTCGAGGATTAATGTGCTGCGCACCAAACCAAAAAAAAGGGCACCACGAGCAACCGATCAGCGCAAGGAAGAGCAACGCACTGATCAGTGCTGTTTTCTCCTTTGAAACGATGTCTTTTTTCTGTTGTTAGTAAAAGCTACAACGTTTCAGCGCGCTACGAAAGCCCAAAGAAAAAAAGCTGTCAACAAGAAATAATACGAAAGCCACAGCCACCTCACAACGTCGATAAAGAGATCCCCGCCTTAAGACGCGAGTAGCCACGTCAACACAATTGGAAGAAAAAAAGAGAGCGCAATCCACTCCTTATCGCTGGCATATATATGTGTTTTTTTCCGATAGGGGAAAAATCATACACAAATTACAAGTAGCAATGAAAGCGAAAAGGAAAGGAACGCGACAGCACTTTGTGGAGAAGATACAAAACAAAAGGAAATAGAAGAGACGCTTACAAGTATTTAGGAACCAAAGAGAAAATAAATCGCTCTCAGGGAAAAAAAGGAAGACAAACCGGAGAGAGAGAGAGAGGGGAAGAGAAAAACAAAAAAAAAAGAAGAAAGGCGTCCTTCAGAACGCGTCTGTAAGTGTGAAGCGCAGGCAACGTGTGCGGTATATGAATTGCAGACCTTCGTTCCTCCGAAATAACAAGAGGTTTGGCAGAACCGAAATCGAAAGGAGGATTAAGAAAAGGAAGAAAAACAAAGAGATGGTTTTGTTTTGGAGTAATAATTAAAGAAAAAAAATGTCGAGGATCCGGCCGCGATGCGACGCTTCAGTATACCCTGCTGGTTCCCTCTGTCCTCGATCGTTATTATTCTTTTGAATAAAGCACACCTAACATGTAGAACTTATCCAACGTTGTTCTAGTAGAATGGAGGTCGAAACACACAGTGCAAAGAGAAGCAGTAGAGCTTTGGGGCGACCTTCTAACGGGGGGAAAAACACACACAAAAGGAAACTCCGGCGATGTCGAGAGACCACGAGGACGTGATACAGTCCACGTGTGAGTCATTACGGTCATCCAAAACGCATAGGAAGAGTGCAGAGATCAAGTGAGAAGTGAGAAGTGGAGTGAAGGTGTCGGACTTGGATGCGCTGTCGTGGTGCAACAGCAATGCACAGCGGAGCAGCAACACCTGACAGCAAAGCGTGCGCTTCAGCACGACGGCCGTTGCATGTGCAGTCAGAAGATGCCTGTGAAACCGAATCACTAGCCGCATCTACTGAGACCACGACACAACGCAGTTTGCTGCAAAATGCTCTTTTTCCTTTTTACGAGAGCGTTAAAAAAAGATGAAGTTGTGGAGACTCAATGACACTATTTTCTTTTTTTAGCTGTTCACCCTGTTTCTATATCTGCGCAGAACTTGTTCAACCAACGCCGTTTTTTGAACCGTTAGGGAGCAACCTTGAAGCACAGAGCTCCACATACACACACACACACACACACAAAAAGGATCATCTATACCAGTGCCACGAAGCGAACAACAATCTACGAACGCAACGGAGTCCCACCGCCGTAAAAATATAGTTTTGGAAGAGAACCAAACCAAGAAGGAAATAACTGTTGCTGCTTCGTTTGATTCTTAATGCATCGGCCCCATGGCAGTGAACAAAAAAATCTCGAGAAATCAGAAAAAAAAGGAGAACAAATACATCATCACGTCGCACAGCATTGGCTCACCGCTCGCGTTGCTGCGGCTTCGAGCGCAGCCGCTCTCGCGCTTGCATGAGCTGCAGCTCCCCGGGCGTGTAGAAGCGCTTCGAGTTTGGCCCGTCCTTCCGCACCGGCCGCGCCGTCTGCGCTTTCCGTGCCTGCGACGCCGTGGTAGAGCGGTAGCTCTCCCCACCGCGACGCGATGCTGAGGGCTGCGGCGCCGTGGCGAGCTCCGCGTTCACCCGCTGCGAACCCAGCACACTCCCCACCGGCGGCGACACTCCCACGCGCCCGCTGCCCAACGCCGGTGCAACGGTGATGTACGGCGGTCCACTGACGACGGCGTCGCCTGGGGCAACCCGATTTTCCGCCGGCCGGCCAAAGTAGAAGTAGTCGTCATCCACATCTGCCCAGTCATGCCGCGCTCCCACACTCACACCGCTGTTGTAGGGGTCTAAGGCGTTGACACGTGCGTCGGATGCGTCGCTATTTAAGAGGGCAGCAGGAATGGTCTGCGGAGCAACGCGATGGAGGTATTCCGTGTTGACCGCAAAGTTGCCACCGGAGATGCTCGTCATCGGCTCACGCGCGACAACGCCCATGCCTGAATCCAGACCGTTGCCGACCCCATCACTGCCACCGGCACCAACAGGAAAAGCCGAGTGAGGCAGCTGGGTCAGTTCTTCTATGGTGGAGCGGCGGCGCTGCTGCTGTTTCTGTTTAGGCGAGACAACTATGCCACCGTTTCGCTCATACAACCGGTTGCCTCCACCACTGTTTTGGTCGTTCCTATTCGCGTCCGTTGACAGCGACGGCATGACCACTTTTGGCACCACACTCAACGACACCGCCGCAGGTTGTTGTTTCGGCGAGACGGTAGCGGCAAACGGGCCACTGGCGGCGGAGTGCGGCGGACGTCCGGCGGGTGCCAGACTCCATGGGTCCTCGCTAAATCCGTCAAGATGCACGGCGCGTGTTGCGGGCGCGAACGCCGCGTCGGTATTCGGCACAGTACGTACGTTTTGGAAGACAGTCTGAATACTAAATCGTTCTTCCGCTGCTACGTTAGGCGAAGAGGCGCCGTCAAGACGCACGTCGCGCACCAACGCGTCGGCGGGCACAAGAGGCACGGCGGCTGCCGCACCTTTCGTCGCGCCACTGCCGCTCTCCCCCAGAGGGACAGTCGCCCACCAATCACCATCATCCGCTTTTTGAGGAAGCGGCTTCAACCGCAGCGGCTCGCCCGCGTCAGGCACACCGCTACTCTCCGCACGAAGCTGTGACCCACGCATGGTGCTTCTTGCGGATGTCGAAAATCCAAAATCCCCACCACCACCGCGCTGTGCGTCTTTCTTGGTGGACGAGGCGAGAGACTGCGCCAGCTGCGGAGGAGGGGCAGGGGAGCCTCGAAGACCCGGTTTGGCAGGGGGAGCAGACGCGCTCCGCGACGACCTCTTTGCACCCTGCGATTTAGCACGCGGGGGCGGAGCCACGACGGATGTGGAGGCTGGATGCGACCGCGGCGGACGCGCGCCGGCCTTGGACAAGAAGCTCGCCGTCACACTCTGCGCCACCGCCGTGAGGCACTTTTCGAGGCGGCGGTACAGCTCCTCCATCTCCACGTCCTGCGGTGCCCCGGCGAGGTCGTTGCCGTCCCACTCATTCTTGCGGATACGCGAGACTTTATCTTTACAGGCCAGGAGCGCGTCCTTGGCCGCCAACAGCGGTCGCAGCGAGCTGAGGCGCAGCGCGTGCCCCGCAGGAGCTGCAGGAACAGAGGCAGCGGCGGTGGCAGCTGCTTCAGCCTTCGGTTTCTTCTCCGAGTGTGGCACTTCCTTCTCGATTTCATGAGACGAAAAAGCCCTCCCACTTGGTTGAGGAACACCTGTTTGATCGGGCAAGCTGATGCCAGCGGTGGCAGGAGGCGGTGGCAGCAGCGGAAGCCCCAAATCAGGGGGAGCGGGCATCTGTGGCTCTACGGCATTCTGCGTCGGTGCCGCTGCTGCTGCAGCGAGAGGTGACGACGACGAAGCTGACGATCGCGAGGTGGCTGTGGAGGAAGAGGAGCTGCGTGAGCTGCCGGGGGAGGCCCTCGCTGCGTTGCTCCGCCGTAGTGTCGCCGCCGCCGTCGCTGGGGGTGGTGGCGGCAGCTGCGGCGGAGGAAGCTTTCCACTGGAGATGACCTGGAGAGACTGCAGTGCGTGTTCGCTCGTCGGCTGGCCGGCATGTTGCGAGACGGAAGTCGAGGAAGAGCCGGAGCGCGGCTCTGCTGCTCTCTCTTTGTCCGCATCCTGCTGCATGAGCGTGGTGTAGAAGATGGCGGCTGCACTACCAACCTCCTCTGCCGCTGTGGCGATCTTGGCGCGCAGCTCGTTCGAGTGCTGAATCATAATATCCCGCGGTCGCGCCGTGCCCACTTCTGCCGCTGCCGCTGTTGGTACGATGGCCGCTGTGGGCGGCAGGACGGCGAGGGCGGGTGCCCCATACGGCGCAAGAGGCGTAGGGACTGGCAGACCGGTTTGTGCAGGATGTACCTGCGGCACGGTCAACTGCGGTGGCGGGAGGAGCGGCTGGGGCGACGCTGCGGGAGGAGCTGCTCCGGTTTGTGGTGGTTGGAGGGAAAGAGTGCCATTGCTCGGCATCATCAATGGGACACCGGCCGTTGTTGTAGTCATTGCTGTTATCGTGCCTGCAGTTGCTGTGGTAGATATGCCGTCTCGGCAGTACCGCTGCAGTCGGGTGGCACACTTCTCCACAGCCTGCGTGCGGGCCAGCAACTTCGACCACTCCTTGTCCATGAGGTACACAACGGCTTTTGATTCATCTGCGTGGTAGCCGCCACCTAGCGAACGACTGCGAGAGCCGCGTGGGCGTGTGGCCGCTGTGCTTGAGGCGCTCCGTTTTTGACTCTTCGGACGCCCCTTCGACGCTGCCGGCACGGCCGACGACGCCGTTCGTGTGTTCGCCGCCTGTGCACGGTGGGTCTCGTGCCGCTGCTCGTCGCGCGACTCCTCCACACCCCAGATCTTGTCGTGTCGGTTTTTTTCCACCACTTGCGTCAGCAGCCGCATGACCTCCTTGTGCTTATCAACGCCCTTCACGAGCGAGTCCACGCGGTGCTGAATGTACTTGCGCATGACACCGTTGATGGCGCGCGAGACGGCGTGCACGGTGTTCTGCATGTCATCCACGGCTTCAAGAAAGCCCGCCTTCTCTTCCCAATCCACCGTGCGCAGTGCCTTGTTCAGGCGATGCATCCGTGCCAGGTGCGTGTTGATGCTTTCAATCAGGTGCATCACCACGACACGTCTGAAGGGCTTAGCGGCGGAGTAGTCCTCGAATTTTCGTCCTGTCCGTTTGCGATGGGTCTTGGACTTGACAGCGGTGACGCCCGGTGCGGAGCCCTTCATGGACTTCAGCACATCCCGCACCTGCCGACTCTCCGAGATGCACTCCTCCATCAAGTGCAATCGCTCCTCACGGTCCGGCACGTTGCTGGGCAGCGATTCCATCGGGTAGCGCTGTGCGAACGCGACGCAGCAGTCCTCGCTCTTCTGTAGAAGGAGTTCGATTTCATCGGCGGTCAAATACAGCGTCGGCTCCATGCTCTCCTGTTCCTCCACTGTGACTTTACGCATCGTGTCCGCAGCGGCCGCGTCCTTCTTCTTGACAAAGTCCTCTTGCCGTCGCACAAACGTTTTGAAGTGCTCCGGCAGCTCATTCGGGTCCACCGCCACACCCAAGGCGTTCACCACCGGCTCGTCCTCCGTGTGTTTCTTGCGCTGCTGTCGGATAGGAAAGGTGAAGACCAACCCGTCATCGAAGGGGACAAGTCGGCCCAGCAGCCCTTTGTGCCTTGCATCTCTATCGGTGCCGGCAGCGGTGTGCTTTGCCTGCGTGCCGTCAAGCCCATCCTCCTGCGGTGCATCGTCTTCCTCCTCTGCGCTATCGTCGGCGCTATGCCCCTCTCGCGCACGCCGCTTCGCTGACTCAGTACGCCTCCCGCCGGACTTTGAGCGGCCACGTCGGGGCAGCTGTGTCGCACCACCAAACAAGATCAGCGAGTGATCTTCACCGCACGGGGCGCAGCGGGTAAACGCGAGCGGCGGCAGCGCAGGACGCAGCTTCACCGCACTCCGCCACAGGTGTTCGCCCTGCGACGTCGGCACGAGGTTTAACTGCATCACCGTCGTCGCCGGCGCCGCGGCATTGGTGCCTGCCTCCTCCAGCGAGCACTCAAAGCCGCCCACCACCATCATTCGGCAGCCCACCACACAGCACTCATGTCCGGCCCGCGCGGCGGCCTCACCACGGCACCGCAGTCGCTCCCACCGCTCATTCACCATATCGAAGGCCCAGCAATCGCCCTGTGCCTCGTTGTGCGCGTTGTAACCGCCATAGACGATCATGTACGGGCCGTAACGGACGGCGGTGTGCAAGAAGCGCGGGCCGGGTCCTGCCAGCTCCTCCTCCGCGGTGGTGGTAGTGGCGGTGGTGGCGGCCGTCTCGCTGCCTTCTGTCCTGCTCCTTGTTGATCCGCTGCGGTCGCGTCGTGATCGGGCGAGCCCTGCCGCACTCGCCGTCGTGATGAGCCGCACCGCGTAGGTGTCGGGGTTGATGGCGAGCAGTTGCCCCGACACGCGCAGCTCCTCCGTCAACCCACCGAAGACGAAAATCTCCTTTTCAAAGTGCACCGCCGTGTGGTAGGCGAGGGGGAAGGGCTGCGCGGGCTGAATGGCACGCCATGCAAGGTCGCTCAGGTTCATGTCGAACAATAGCGAGACGAAGCCGACGGTGGGTGTGACGGCACCGTGCGTCGAGGCGGGGTGGGCCGCCGGTCCACGAGTCGCAGCGGCCACCCCGCCGACAAGCCCACTGCCACGCCGAAGCAAGGGGCAAAGAAAGTTGTAGCGCGGTGCCCGCATCGGATCTCCCGTCCACGCCTTCGTCACCTCCTTTGACGCCGCCACCCCACCCGGGCCGATGCCACCCACGACGACAACGCGATCCAGCGGCTCCACGACAGTCAAGGTGTGGCCGTAGTGACCCGCTGGGACGAGCTGCCGGCCCTCTATGCGGCGCCAGTTCCCGGTGAGGACGGAGAACTCGTAGAGCTCGTGCTCTACCTTGCGTGCCCCAAAGGAGAGGCCGCCGTACACGAGAAGGCGCTGCCCGCGATCCTTGCGACTGAGGTACGAGGCGGCGGCGTGGAAGGCCAGGGCGGTGGGGCGGAAGCGGCGATAGTCCAACGCGCTCATGTAGGAGACGTACCGCAGCACGTTATAGTTGTGCGACACCGTGTCCTTCGGCGGGGCGAGGGAAGCCCAAACATCATGCCGGGACGCACCCGGCGGGAGCGCGGCAGAGGAAGCGCGGTCCCCGGCAATCGACTTTGTCTCCATGCTGGTCGCACTCGCAAAGCGCTTCAGCGGTGTCGAGGTGCTTTGCAGGCTGTTTGGATGGCGCTTCACGAGCCGGCCCTCTCCTTCCTGCGGGGTGCGACGACTCGCCTCCACCTCCGCCGCCGTGCGCTCCACGTCCTGCTGCTCCCTCCGTAGCGCGTCCAGCACGTCGTACCAGTCATTTGTCGCACGTGTGCCCGGCGGGGCTCCGATGCGTCCGCCGCTGCTCGCGGTCCGTCTCTTCTCCGGTTTGCCTTCGCCCAGCTCCTCCGCATCGCTACCATCACCATTGTTGCTGCTTCGGGACGACGACAACGACGTGTCAGCATCCTCGTTGTCCTCGTCGTCGCTGTAGTCCTGCTGTGCGTTCAGCTCCTCTAGACGAAGTGCGATGCCGTCGCCCACGTCGAGGGTGTGATCGTGCTGCTGTAGAAGGTCCTCCACGCGGACAGTGCGGGTGGCGACGGGATGACCCTCCGACGTCACCACCTCCACCTGCACGTCGCTACTGCCCACTGGAGGCACCTGAGGCGCGGGGTCCATTACGCAACGGCTGCGAAGCAACCCGGAAGCCAAAAAAAAAAAGGGATCTACAAACAGCTGCAACGTTGACGAGGAGATTGGGTGTTCAACGCTTCTTCGAGAGAACAAGGAGGGAGGGGAGGAGGGCACTATCGTTGTCCCTTGCTCCCCCTCTATTTATTGGTCTATTCTGGTAGGTATTCTTGTATGAGTATTCGTTCGTGGGTAAACTGGAAAAGCAAATATCCGTGAATTCGATGGCCAGCCGGCCTTCGAACACAGAGAAAGAAAAAGCGTGCGTTTATGATGTTTGTGTTGTATCTGTATCATGCAGCGGTGTAGGAAAAACACCGCTGTCCAAGCTGTTCTCGGACACCGCAGAATCCCTTAATTAGCGAGCGCAGGGAACCGGGTGTATTGGGGTGTTTCTATGACGCAGAGACGACGGCAACTCTCTTCGAAGGGCTACGCCGTCGAGTGGGGAAATTATTAGAAACAAGAGTTGTGCAGAGGAAACGAAAAGAAAGGAGTCCAGACACAACAAAAAAGTGCATAGGTCATCAAAGGAGCGATGGACGTGATGCATCCAGTGCATCGAAGACACTGAAGAAGAAGGGAGAAAAGAGGCACTCAGAATTTTGGTTCCTTGTGGCACAAATGCGGTACCATGGACAGGTGCCACAGGAAGTACCAAAGTATCTAAGGTAGCTTTGCATTACTTGCTAATGTACGCTGGTATGTTTAGGTTCAGTTACTCGAATACGCAAAAAGGGTTAAGGATGGCGCACGTCATCGGCACGCTTAGGTGAAGATAAGACATTGGAAGCTCTACGTGACTCGCTGCGCATAGCAAGAAGAGAGAAGCACGTGTGATGCACCGGGCAACGTCATACATCGGCAACCATACCACACAAAACACTCGTCTAGGGCCTCGAAGGCACCCGGCTGCCTTACGCGGCGCCACGCTCCCTTCTCTCCTGCGCACGCCGCAGCGCCTGCGCCACCTCGCCATCGGGGATCTCCGCCACATCGGTAAAGAAGTCGCTCACCTCGAGCAGCCAATCCACCTCCACGGCCGATGCCGTGCGCACAAGCGTGCCTGCATCGCCCTGCACCTCGAGACGGTCAAACACCATCCAAGTCGGAAGGGCACGGGTGCCGTGCGTCAGGGCAGATTGCCGGTGTAGACACACGTGGAGCGCGTCCCGCACGGTGCGAAAGAGGCGGGTGGTCGGGTCACGCCCTGTCACCTTCGATGCCGCTAGTGGGACCAGGTACGCCACCTGCGTAAAGAATCCCTCCAGCACCGCTTTGCGAAGAGCCACCGTGTCTACAACATTGCTCTCGGCGCGGTAGGTAGACTGCACCGGCACGTCCAGCTGCGTCATGAGACGGCGTAGTTGGTTGTACACCTGCACCGCTTGCTGCAGCGCTTGATGGCGCAGATAGTGCTCGTAGCAGTACCGCGCACCGTTTGCCTGGTTCTTGAAGAAACCGTGAAAGATGTGAAAGAGGGTGACGTGGTCGCTGTCGGGACAGTCGAAACGCGCGTGCGCCGTCGACGCCTCCGCCGCGCGAGAGGGCGGCCGGCTGAAGACGTTGCCCACCTCCAACATCGCCGCCACCACCGCCGCGTCCGCCGCACAGCCGTGCTTTGGCGCCATGAGCAGCATCCGCGCCAGACAGGCGTCGACCGGCAGCTCCGCCATGCGTCGGCCAAAGTCGGTCAGCTCCAGTCCATCGTCCACCGCACCGAAGTAGAGGAGCTGGTAGAAGGCGTCGCTGAGTCCTTGATCCGACGGTGGGTCGATGAAGGGGAAGTCACACGGGTTTGCGACACCCAGCTTGAGCAAGAGCAGCACGGTATTCACAATATTGGTGCGTAAGATCTCCGGGTGCGTCTGCGCGGGAAAGCTGGCGAAGTCGGCCTCCGTGAAGAGGCGAAAACACTTGCCGGGGCACGTACGACCCGCACGGCCCTTGCGCTGCTCGGCGGACGCTTTGCTGATCACAGCAGGGAGGAGAAAATCCACACGTGCCTCGGCGTTGTAGAGGCTCTGCTTTTGATAGCCGCAGTCTACCACGTACACGACGCCGTCAATGGTGACCGAGGTCTCGGCGATGTTGGTGGCCAGCACAATCTTGCGTGTGTCAGGCGGATAGGTTTCGAACACTTTTTGCTGATCTTTGAGGCTGAGAGAACCGTAGAGAGGTAGCACGACGGCACGTGTGGGTCGGGCACGAGACGTCGAACAAGCGCACATGCTTGTCGTAGCGGCATCTTCGCTTGCACTAGAGCCGGGCGACCGGCCGGAGAGATCGTTCTTCTTTTCGTTCAACGAGTCGCTACGGACCTGGAGCGCGTTCCCAAGTTGACTGGCAGCCTTTTCAATCTCTGCTTCACCTGTGAGAAAACACAGAATATCACCGGCCGGCTCGCGCTCGTGCAGCTGCCGCGCACACGCCACCGTCGCCTCCACGTAGTCCTTCACCGACTGCGGCGTGTAGAAGAGCTCCACGTTGTACATGCGGCCCGACACGTGCAGCAGCGGCGCAGTGGGGAAGTAGGAGCGGATCTTCTCCACATCCAGCGTCGCCGACATCACAACCAGACGAAACGACGGACGTCGCAGGAGAAGTCGCTTCAGCAAGCCCAGCACCACATCCGTGTCTATCGTGCGCTCGTGCGCTTCGTCCACGACGACTACGCTGAACTTATGCAGATCGGGATCGGAGAACGCCTCCCGCAGCAGCATACCGTCCGTCATGTAGAGCACCCGCGTTGCGTCAGACTGGCGTGAGTCGAAGCGGACGTGGTAGCCCACCTGCGCACCGAGCAGCACATCCATCTCGTCTGCGACGCGGGTGGCGACGGAGACGGCGGCGACTCGGCGCGGCTGCGTACACGCGACGAGCCCGGTGAACTCGTCTTGCAGCTCAGCGATGAAGTGCGGTACCTGCGTTGTTTTGCCGCTGCCGGTCTCACCGACGAGAAGTGTCACGGGGTGATCGCGCACCGTCTCCTGGATGGCCGTGCGCTTGCCGTAGACGGGCAGTTTTTGTCGGGTGGAGAGCAGGCGGTAGTAGCGTGAGGAAAACGGTTGTTTTGTGAAAGGGTTTACTTCCTGTTTCGACTCGGATGAGTCCACGGCTTTGGAGGCCGGGAGGGAAGAGGACACAGAGCAACCGTCACGCGCCACAACGGCCGGAGAAGTGTCACACATACCCTCCCCCGCAGGTAAGTCCTCACGGGGTCTCTTGTGCGCCATGCAGTTCTTCGAGTTAAGGAGGTGGCGAGGCAAAAAGAGATTGAAACACATGAGACAGGGAGAGAGAGGGAATTGGATGAAGACAGACGTGATGGCGACTTTTGGTGTCTTTTTCAAGGAAGGGGGAGCTACATTTGTTCGTCTTCAATGGATCAGCACGACGAGTGGTTGCCCACCGCTTGAGCTACTTACCCCCACGTACGTACCATGACATTCTTCCACCAGCAATGAGATTACAGAAGCTGCTTAAAACTAGAGAAAGACGCATATGCCCGGTCTCCATTGTTCGTAGCGGCGAAAGACAGCCCAATCGAAACAAATGTGCAGGAGCTAGGGAACTGCTTGGATGTCTTTTTCTTCTTCTTCTTTCATCTTGGAGTGATTGTGCCAAATCCGTATAGCGCAAGAAACCTACAGAAGAACTAAAACAGCGAAAAAAAAGTCGGTCAAATCACTTCCACACACACACACACACAGTCGCCCTCACAAACACGGCAGTGGACGTCCTTTTGCACACCGCAACGCCGTGAAGAGGAGCACAGCAATGGAGACCTTCTGCGGATCCGCAGCGCTGCTCAGGAAATCGAGGAGACGGCGGTAGGAGCAGACCACATTGCCTACCTGCCTTCAATTCTTTCTCATTGGCCTTGTGCGTGTTATTCCTGGGATTGTTGCTGCAACTGTTGTTGTTGCTGCTGCATCATAGCCAGCATCTGCTGCATCATAGCTTGCATATTGTCGGATGGCGCCGCAGCCGAAGCCGCAGCAGGGACAGGAGACGAGCGAGCGTTATTGGAATTCGAGCTCTGATTCGGTGAAGCGCTGGCACTCGCAGAGCCAGCGTTGTTGTGTGCTTGCTGCTGCGGCTGCTGCTGCATGTTCATCATCATCTGCTGCATCATCGACATCATCTGAGCCTGGGGGTCGGGTGATGCTGCTGCTGCTGCTACCGGTGCAGGGGAAGCGCTGCCGGTGTTTATCGAAGGCGCAGCGGGTTCGTCGTTGTTCCCGCCTAGGCTCGTCTCCACGACAGGCGGGAAGCTAACACGACGTTGAATGTACTTGCGCTGCAACAATATCGCACCACGTCGCTCCTTTGGATCGCCCATCACGTGATCTTTGATGGGCTGCAGAAGCCGTGGAAGCTCCAGATCGATGCTGCTCTTCAAGAGTCGAATCCAACCTCGCTTTTCCAGCTTCTCCATGTCCGGGAAGTCCTTCGAGTCCACCTTTGTCAAAAAGTTGCGTATTTCCGCGCACGATGGAAAGTTGTTCTCGCTCACGTGATAACGACTCGCCAGCTCTTTGCAGATGACGCTGTACTCCTCGTAGAAACGCTCCTTCGCCTTGGATTTGCCGAAGACAGACGGTAAGCGAGTTCGATAGGTGGCGCAGACGAGCGCAAACAAGAGCACGTCACTGGCGCGCCGCATCATAGACGTCACGCGGCGGTCAAGGGACTGCAGCGGAATGGTGACGATGAGCTCGTAGAGCAGATCCTCCTTTTCCTTTTCAAACAACGCGTGATCGGTGCCGTCGCGATACGGCTTGTCCCAAAAACTCGAGACGTAGAGTCGCGGCGGCTCCGTGCTGCGAAGTAGATTCGACAGATTCCAGTAGAGCGACCCGTACACCCGCATCAGCTCCTGCGGCCGCACCGAGTCTGCCTTGTTCATCACAATCCGAATCTTACTCTCGTGGTCCTTCAGCGACTGGCCAAAGACCTGCCGCAGCTCCGGCCCGGCGTCGAGTTTCGTCGGGTCAAAGAGGAAGAAGACGAGATCACTCTTCTCCACAAACCACCGGCACACCTCTGCGTAGTTGTAGCGACGGGCGTGGGCGTCACCGGCGGCCTCGAGGATGCCAGGCGTGTCCACAAAGGACACCGAGCGGAGAATGGGGTGCGGCGCCACGGCTCCGGCGAAACACTCGGAAAAGGCGTCACCGAACTGGGAAAGACCGCGAAAGGGCTGCCGCGCGTCGGCCATGAGCACTCGACCCGGAATCTGCTGCGGCTTCTCGCCGTACATAACCACCGTGAACTTGTCCGTCACGGGCTGCGGACCGGTGAGGAGGTAGTCGCCCTGGAGGAGGTAATTGATGAAGGAGGACTTGCCCGCCGAGAAGGGGCCGAGGAAGGTGACGAACGGCTTCTTTTGCTTGATGGACTCTGAGAACCAGGTGGGGCGGAAGACGTTGTACAGGTACCGCGTCTCCACCGGCTCGATGCGGTTGAGGTACGCTTGGGAGAGTTGCACTAAAATAGACTCGATGTGACGATCCCACGCGTCCTCCCGCTGCACCGCTTCGGGGACGGCATCGTCTGCGGCTTTGGGAGGCATCAGATTTGTTTTTCTTTTCCTTTTTAACACTCACAGAGGTTAATGCCCTGCAAGTGGTGTAGCAAGCAATCAGCGTGTATAGATGTACAGCGGAGAGGAAAACAAAAACTGCCGAAATTATTTCATCTACTGCGCTAACGACCAGTAACACACCAGGATCGTGCGCGCTATCTTTTGTTGTTGATGTTGACGGTTTTATTTTGTGTGTGTGCGTGTTGTGCGTCGATAGAGAAGAAAACGAAGAGAACGAAGAGGCGCAAGCAGGATCGGTAAGCAGCAGTCGAAAGAAGACCCGCCTTTCCCCACAAACCTGGAGCGGCAGGTGCACCGCCCCTTTTTTGGTGCTTCCGTCAAACATTGAATTTGCGTAATTGTAAATAGAGATGCTCAGCTTTTGCGATGTCGAACACGCACCGCCCCTGCAAAAGAGAAAGGCGACTGCCTGCTCCTCTTTCATTCCGTGGCAACACAACGAAATCAAATAGCTTGGGTCAGAGAATGCAAACAGAAAAGAAAGCCAGCAGCATCCCGCAAACGCCGACACCGGCAACGATAAACAACTTCGCTGTGCAAACGAATAGGCTCGGTGTGCAACAGCACCAGAGATAAATCGAGCACCTCTCACTTCTCAGAATACGATAGCAAGACTTCCAGTCGATTTCATTCCTGCTACAAGCCGTTACAGTGCTTCAGCGAATTCACCAAAAGCGTAGTGTATGAGTGCCTCCAAACCCATCGTCTCGCGCTGCCGCTCTCGCTGGAAGGCCGCATCACCGTAGCCGCCATTCTCCGGGCCGTCACCAAAGCCACTCCGCGACGCCCTCGGTAGCGACGACGCCGTGAAGCTGTCGTGCGAGAATTCGACCTCCTCCTGTAGGTTCTCCTCCAACCCGGACGCCATCGCAGCCCCAGCGCCGCGTCCGGCGTAGCTGCCGGCACCACGCCGATCCCGACTGCCGCTGTTACTGCTATTCAACTTGTTATGCTCAGCACCGCGGCGGTTCAATTGATCTTTAATAAAGTACTCCTCGGACAGCGGAAGAAAGGCGCGGATGGCCAACGGAGTGTTGAAGGTGACGGGTGGGCCACGAAACACACTCGTGGGCGAGGAAGCGGCGGACTGCAGCGGAGACGATGCCGCAGAGACGGAAGCAGGGGATGGCGATGCAGCTGCCGCCGTCACTGCTGTTGGGCTTGCAGCCACTGAGCTGGTGGAGGCACCACCGCCACCTGCGGCTGCTGCTGCTGCTTGACTTACGTACAACACCCCGACCGCACGCGGACACATGTGTGTGCCGGCGGTGTCGACCGACCCTCCACCCAGCTGCAGCCACGCGGAAGATCCCTGCCAGCAGCGGGCGCGGCGGGTGCCGGCGGTTTCGAGAAGCTCACGCGTGACTCCGTTGCGCAGCTGCCGCAGCACCTCCATCGACATCGCTTGTCCCGCAAAAAACGCAGCGGCGGGGGAGGAGGGCGGAGCGGATGTTTGCGTCCCGGCATTTGTGGCGTCCGATGACGGGTATTGGGGTAGCCGTGCGCCCTCTAGCACGGCGACGGAGAACATATCCGCATCCCACGCGTAGGCGAGCTGCAACGCGTCCTCCACCACCGTCTGCGCAGCTGCCGACGACGAGGTTGGCCAGCCAGCGCGGGGCTCCTGCGACGGGTTCCACAACAGCACCACGTTGGCACCCCATAACCGAGTGGTGAAGAGCACGCGCAACACCGGATGATGCGGCAGAGGTCGAAAGCGCTCACGGCAGGTGTGCGTGGCACCGAGCAGCAGCTCTGGTGCTTTGCAGGTGGCCATTACCTCAAGGGCGGCGGCCTCTGTCCCGATGAGCAACAGCACGGAGTGACGAGTGTGCGCAAGACGTAGCAAGTGCTCCTCCGCCGCATTGGACACGGACGACGAGACGGCGCCCGGCTGCGTGCCGGAGCAACACGTGAGACAGCGCGTCAACCCGGAGAGGGGAGAAACATCGAGAATAATCGGCTGCAACGTGACGTCGTTGGCCCGTTTGCGGGTGGGGGAGCTGGCCAAGTTGGCCGACACGCTGCCAACTTCGTTGTCCAGCTTGATGGTGCGCACGGGCACGAGGCACAACGGGGAAAACGGAGCCACAGCAGCGGTGTTTTGGTGTTGGTGGCGCGGCGCAACCTTGCGAATTTCAGCGAAACGACTGACGTCAACTTCGGCACGGTACAGACCATCGGCGCCGACGCCGTTGCCGCTGCCGTTGGGGTTACCTGTCATCCAGTCCAACGCGTCCACCCTCCGATTTGCCGCCGCCATCGCATCCGGGGCGGAGGTGTGGAGAAAGATAAAGAGGGTTTGCTGCAGCTGCACCTCCAGCTGCCGCTCCGCCGCACCGCACTGGCGCTCGAGGCGGTCCAGCTCTTGCTCCTGCTGGTGCACCACGCGCTCCGTCACTGTGGAGTCGACGATCATGTCCGAGGCGGTGTGGCTGTCGGCCACCTCCAGCAGGGAGGCGAGTTGCTGCTGATGCCGCTCGCGAAGGTTGTTCATCACCCCTTCGTTGACCTCCAGCAGCGATGCAAATTGCGCGTTAAACTGAAGAACGAGGTGCGCCACTGCACGCAGGAGCTCCATGTTGCGGCTCACGAGAGTCAAGAGCCACAGGAGAGACGGGGCGGCATCAGTGGAAGATGCGGAGGGGGACGTCAATGCCTGGCCTTCGCCTTCGTCGAGGAGAGAGAGAGGAGAGAGTGCATCGCTGAGAAAGGTGCGTGAGGTGAGTGAAGTAGATGGTGTGAAGAAGGCGGCCTCGCCGGCGTTCTGGGCTGGGCCGCTATAGCTAACTTGCTTCCTTGCGCCGCTCGGTTCGACAAGAAAGGTGTCCCACGACTCTACCAGAGCCACCATGGGATCTTCGTCGCCGGACATCAGCGTGGTTGCGTGTGGGCGTCCGTGGTTTCGAGTGAGAGAAGACAATGTGTTCGACAAGTGGTGCGCTCCACTCGCCGTAATTGACCAAAAGAAAGAAACAATTTCAGGTGGTTTCTGCGCAGAGAAAAAAAAAAGGTATTGATGACGATGATGTGTGTGTGTGTGTGCGCGCGCGTTTGTTGTGCTTTGCACGAAGCCACTGTCATGAAGACAGAGAAAGAAAACGAGTTAAGAGTTATAAATACTTTCCATTGCAAAACAGAAAGGTTTGTGCGCATCAAGTGGCTGCGCGCGACGAAACAGCGCTATTACCTTTCCGTTTTATCGGCGCTACGAAGTCGAACGCTCAACAACAGCTTGTACTTTTGAAATAACAAGCCAATACAACCTTTTGCAGTCGAAGAAACAGGCAACGCATGCAGCTTCAAGTGCATGTAGTTTCGGCGCTAAAAGCTGCTGTTTTTATTTTCACACGAATGCTTTTCTTTTTCTGCCAACAGCGCTGTGTCATCCATCACAACGAATTGTTCGGCGTTAAACCCTCTTGCCTCTCGCTCTCTCACAGAATCGGCTGTGCACATGAGCCACGTTGATCCAAACAACAAAACAACGAAGGAAAGAATTTCGTCTCCCTCACTGACTGAAAGAAAGACAGAAAAAACGATGAAGAGGAAAAGGGGAGAGAAGGAAAAGGCGATGCGAATAGAAACAGAACAAATATGTCTCTGTGTCCAGATGATGTTATTTCACCCTTCCTCCGCAGCTTGTCAGCAACGCGTGCGCATCTTCCGGCTATTTCAACCGTTGCGGTGTCTTGCGTCCATTGCGTTGTCTGCTGACATGAAGAAGAAGAAAAAGAAAACGATAGACTGTCAAATCAGCATGCGATGACCCTTTGCTGCACCCGCCACAGGAGGGCGAGGACGGTCATGCTGCGAGGCGGCTGAGGCACCACCAGCGTTGAACGGCACAAAGGCGCTCTTCACGTCCTCCACGAGTGTTTCGCGGGTGTCGGTCTCCACCTTCTGCGCAAACTTGATCTCGTGCCGCGATGCCTGCTCACGAAAGGCGGCAGCGGACGACGCGTACTGGATCTTCACCTTTGGACTGCACGACGGTGGGCATACGTACACCATCACGTACTCCGCCCGCGACGTCTTGGGTGACGGGTAACGGACGAGCACAAAGCGCGGCTCCGCCTCCGGCAGCACGTCCTTGACGTTCTCCAAATCTCCGTTGAGTTTCCTCACGGTCGTGTCCAGCTGCAGTTGTTCTGACACAATCTTGAAGGTCACAACCTCCACCGTGCCCTTCGCAAATTGCGACAACATCTCGTCCGCCTCCGCCGTCATTTTGATGGCCACGCCCGGGAGTGCGACGGGCTGCGGGGCCACCTCCATCCGTGCAATCGCGGCCTGATTACGCTCACTCTCCGTCATCAAGTCCTCGCGGATCTTTTTGGACTCCGCCTCAAACAGCGAGGGCAGCAGCTCGCTCACAGACGAAATTTGGATCGTGCGCTTCTGCGCGTGTGGCGTAGCCCCGACGACGCGGGACGTGCCGGTGGAGAACAGCATGCGGTCCTTCGCGCTGGCGGCGTTGTCGACGTAGATGACAACGTACTGCGAGCTCGGCGAGGTGCGCACAATCACGTAGGCGCCACTGGGGTTCTTTGTCTCAAGCAGTTTGCGCGTTGCCTTGAGGTCGTCCTCGAGTCCGCCTCCGCTGGACGTCACGGGAGGAGCGAGCAGCTTCAGCATCTCCTTTTCGATCACGATGAGAATGGCGAACGCCGTGGAGCTGCGCTTCCCCGACTCCTCCAGCGCCGACTGCGCATCGGCGGCAATTGAGAAATCGATGCGCAGCATTGTGACTGGGTTCTTCTACAGAAGTGTTCGATGATGCTGAAGGTAGAAATCGGTGAAAAGGAAGAAGAGTGTTGATGACCGCGACTTCCTGGATCGGGAGAGAAAGAGAAATCTAGGCGCACGGCCAAGGAATAAGACACATGAGGAAATCCGCTCGTACGCGAGATAAAGAGTGCTTTTTCGAAAGAGAGAAGTGGGAGGCTAAGAAAAGTTCCGAAAAGATAAATCGTGTACGTTGAGGAATGTTGTCTTTTTGTAGTAATCGAAGAAAGCAAGAACACAGATCATTGCGTGTAGTGACGTCAACAGTATTGCACGCGCCATGGATCAACATCGGATGCTTGAACAACTATATATGTGCTCATTGCTAATCCAAGAGGTGATTTCTTTTTTTTTTTAATTCCTCGGATTGATCTTACGATCACTGCGCAACAAAAGGGGGAGGGGAAGGCACTCATTGGGAAGAAACGTCTTTCGGTCTTTATGCGGCACGAGTTACAGAAAGGAAGCTCGAAACAAGACAAGGCGTGCATGTTCGTACAGCAGCAAACGCTTTTCAACGTATTACCTCAACGCCACCTGCGACAGCGGGAATAGCTGCGCTCGAACACACGGCACGCTTCTGCACGCACAGACACACGTGCTGCTCTCACGATATGGCAGCATTTACAGAAGACCTTCGGCGCGAGCTACATCTACGAGCTGCTGACGCACGTTTGTGATGACGTCGCTAAAAGGGTGTGTAGGTCCGTACTTGTGCACGCAGCTGTCCACCATGCGCTCCAGCACCCGACACAGCGCGCGGTAGGCCTCACGGCGCGACTTGGGCGCGAAGGACGGGCTCATCACCCAGTACCGGACACTGGTGAAGTCCACATTCACAAGGTCAAACGCCGGGACAGCAAACCAGCCTTTTGCGTCCACCGCTTGCAGTTTTGTGACGACACGCAAGGCGATGTGCTGCACCTCCGCCAGTGCACTGCCCAACGACGCGTGCCGGCGCAGCAGCGCACACGCGTTCAGGTCGGCATCACCACCGTATTTGCACCGGCTGTCACGGACGGCGCCGGTTTCTTTCAATGAAGGGGCACCACCCGTCACCTTCATCATGAAGCCCTGAAAAAGACGTTGCACCGTCCACTGCCACTGGCACCACAGCTCATAGATCTCCTGCCGTGTCGCGTGGCTGCTGGCGGGCGGAGCTGCCGTCGTGACACGAGCCACATACTGATAAAAGAGCGCCTGCATCTCAAAACACAGGCGGCGCAGACCGAGCAGGCTGTAACCGTGATTCCACGCCCGCACCAAGATGTCCTTGAACTCCAGCTGCTCGATGTCCAGCGCGGGACGAGCCGGTGGAGCCGCGTTCCACACATCGTTCAGCGTACGACCCTGTGAAGCGTTTTCCAGCTTCTCGAGTGCGGCCAGGCGGCTGATCGGAGAGGCGGCGGCCACACCGAAAATGTTCCACACATCAGCTTTGCTAATGTCCAGCAGGCTTTGCAGCGCGAGGGACGTGGTAGCACCTCCCACCTGTGCGCGGTAGGCGGCAGCTGAAGGAAAGGGAATCACCTCGGTGTGTCCCGCCGTGTCGGACGCTGACGCACGCACCACACTTCCACCCGACAACAGTGCGGCAGCAACGCTTCCAGGTGACGGCGGTTGCTGCTCGTGTTGCAGCCGGGGCGGTGCGGAGGAGGAAGACGCGGTGGGTGGCAGCTTGTTGGCCTCCGTCTCACAGATAAAGCGAGCAGGCCACTGCTCCAAGTGAAAAACACCTGGAAGGTCACGCAGAATGCCCGCCACGTACGCTAAGGAAGGGGCAGCGGCAGTACCCGCATTCATTTTGGTGCCGTTGCCCGCAGACGCCCCGCGGATGGCACCATCTTCCTTCGCCTGTCGCGGGTCCTCTATGTGAAGAAGCATCTCGATCAGTGTCGCCTCCAGCGAGTTCACCCCGTCCTCGATGCAGCGCACCGTTTCTTCGACATCGGCACGCGCGCGCTGCGTGAGGGCCTCTGGCACACCGTCTGCCTGTGTGACGGACTGCGCACGCAGCACGACGTCCTCGAACTCTAACTCCAGCGCCTGGAATCGGCAGTACAACTCCAATGTCGTGACGCGCACCGTTGGCGCCGCTGCTCCTTCGAGAGAGGCAGCGAATGGTGCACCGGAGAGGGCTTCTGCCGTCGAAGCGGGCTGCAGGTAAAACGAAGCCGTGTCAAGGCGAATGACGCGGCACAAGAGGGACAGCGTCTGCTGCAGGGCCGCAGAGCACCACTGATAGGGAAGGGGCACCGACAAGCGCGACACCGCCGTACCGCTCGTGAAAACTTGCGCTGGCGTGGACCGGTGCCCTGTGGTCCTCTGAAAAAATTCTACAGCGGTCATGGGCTGATCGCCATACTCGATGAACCGCCTGAGGGCTTTGCAATCTTCTTGCGTCAGAGGAGACGGGGCGGTGGCGTCCGTAGATTCCTCTTCCTGTGAAAGACTGCGGTGGCGCTTTCTGGTCGACGCAAGACCCTCACTAGAAAGGAGATGCACGTCACTCGGCAGTGGAAAGCTTATGAGGGGCTTTGGAGACTGACTCGCTGCCTCGTCAGCAAATATCTGCTGCATTTTTTTTTCTATTTTGTCTGCTTCTTCCGGTAGATTACATACAAAACACTACAAATAATAATGAATAATAGCGCTGATGAACTCTCCGCCGGTTTACTGCGCTCGCCGCGTATTTTGCACTGTTTGAATTGCACATCAGAAATCGTCGACAAAGCGAGAGAAGGGCAGAAGATTAGCTAAAAAAGAAAAAGCCTTTATACTTTTCTCGAGTTGCTTTTACAAAGTTCGCAGCTGTGAAGAGCGACAAGCTTTTTCCAACGGAAGGCTCCCCACCCTCACCGCAGAAAGGGGGCGCTTTCCACATATATATAACAACCAAAGCATACGTTGCTGACAACCGCCGAACGGTGTTGCAGCATTATTATTATTATTTTGCTCTCATGGCGCAGGTTACACTGCTCTGCGTCAAGATCTACTGCGCGCGAGAGAAAATGAAAGCTATCCAGAGATGTCCGCTAAAAAAGTGTCTCGGACATATTGCGACACATCTTTAGAACTTTCGACACATCTGCCGCTGCACATCTTTCTGGTATTGATTTTCGTTTTTGGTATTACGTGCAGATCGAGAAAGATGTGAAACCGAACGTCATCAAAACAAGCCAAGGCATCAACGCACGCACGCACATCAACGCTCAAAAACCAAGAGTTTTGCAAACCATTATAGTTCGCAAAATGCGGTGTTCTGACGAAGATGTCACGGTGAGGTGTATCGTGCCCGACAACAGCGAAGTAATAAGAGGCGCAGACAACAAAGGGAAACTGAACAGTTCACGCAAGAACCGCCCATCAACGCCAAACACCAAACACCACACGAAACGGTACAGGACGAGACTCCATCAGGAGAGAACTGCCTCCGTTCCCTACGGCTTTATCTGGCGACATTCTTCTCGCCGACACCACTCTCCCTGCCTCTTCGGCTCTGCACACAACGGGCAGTAGTACCACTCCTCTAGTTTTAAGTAGCGCTCCTTAAAATGCAGCCCATACGTCTTGCGGCGCAGCTGCATCGGATTCTTCTTCCGCTTTGGCGTACCACCCTTGTTGCCTAGAAGGACTGGCGTAGCCTGGCCAATAAGGCCGCTGTAGTAACACGTCAGCGATCGCCTCAGCATCCTCCACTTGACCTCTGAGAGGACGACGGGGAGCGTATATCCAAAAGAGGAAAGGAAAACAGAAGACGTGTACCTGCGTGAGAATTGTGTCGAGAGCGGGAATGACGACCGTATACAGTCGTTTTTTAGTGATCAGAGAAATGAAAAGAAGAATAACATGAAGGAGGAGAGCCGATGAAAAAAATCAAAAGAAGATCCCGCTGCATCGCTCTTCGGCACTGATAAGAGAAGTGCGGAAAAATCATCGGGAACGAAAAGGCCGTGTTGGCATCAGCAACGTGCATCCGTCAACGCTCTACAACGGGACAGCTTTGAAATCCCCTGCACGTACAATACAGATCGGAATGCAGTAAATCGTTGTACACTTGACAGTCGGCCGTTGCTTGGAAGTGTTTTCGCCCAGCATTCACACTTCTCACCAAGCATTACCCTTGTTGCGAACGACGAGAGACGATGCCGGCACCGTCGCCCGCGTTGTCTACCGCACCAGCACACACCGAAAAATTCCGAACGAGATTCATCTTCTTTTCGGGGGATACAATTAAATGAGATTTCTTTAATACTTACGGCAGGAATAACGGAGGAACCGCGTCTCCTACGGGGAACGGAAAAAGAGAGACAAACAAACCAGCTACGAGAAACAAACATGAAGCAAAACGTCACCGTGGAAAAACACCACACTGCGTGTAAATGAAGAAGAAAAAAACCCGGCTGTCAGTGCAATGGCGTGGTCGTCGTGAACTACAAAAAGGGAATTCACAACGTAAGACACCTTTTCAGAGCCTGATTTAGGGTAACGCTGCTACGCGTTCTCGTACGCTCACGACTCTCGTGACCGAGAAGGTCAAACATGACACACCGCCTCCAAATACGTGCTCGTTTCCATCTCCCCCATTCCGCGCCCCTTCGTCGCACTCTCGCATCTCGACCTTCACCCTCCATCACACCAACGAATGCACCCGTACGAAATACGCATTGTTTCTCTTCTACGTGGCTATCACGCCTCAGCCATCTTAGTCCGACTTCTTCTGTGCCATGGGTTTCTGGCTTTCATCCAGCTCATCCTTCCTGCACGCGACGGTGCCGCGGTGGTTGAAGTGGACGAAGCCAACGCCGGTGTTCAGCTGGTGGTCATAGCGCATGTACCTCGTCACATCCGACAAGCGCGCCTTGTGGAGTTTATTGCGCTGCACAAACCCGACGATGCCCATCACGGTACCAGCCAGCACCTCTACGGTAATGGGAATCATCATCGTGGTCACCGGCAAGCTAAGGCCCCCGAAGTTTACTGCGGGGACGTAGCTACGACCGTGGTGCAGTGATTGGAGCTGCTCCCGAATCGAGTACGCCATGTACACTGCGTGCACGAGCATGAGCACCCCCAGGTAAAAGATCACACTACCGGCGGTCATCAGTGAGATGTATAAATATTTTTTAAAGATTCTTCCTGACTTTAAGAGGGTAAGAAACAGATCCAGATTGCTGAAATTTTTGGTTGTTGTTGACAGGAAACAGTGCGTCAACACGAGTTAGCCGTGCTAGGAGTCTCACAACGGGAAGAGGGAGGAAAGTGCGAGGAATGCCCAGTGGCGAGAAGCACGTACGTCACCTGGTGCCTTTGTTAGGCGCAAGACACGTTAAACAGTGTCTCTGTTCAGGCGAAGACGATGTAACGCACAGCGCTTCCCACTGACTTGATGAAACAAGATGCCAACGGCTCGTCAGTGGAAATCTACTCCACCGTGAATCACAGCGGCATCGTTGACAAGACGATATAAAAGAGCAGTTCGAGAGGCAATGCGAGCCAGAACCCAGCACCCATAACGCGCTGATCTCATCTCAGGAAGAGTGCTCCTGCTTCTCCTCGTCCGTTCTGTAAAGATTCTCTGTTGTCTCGGCACACAGGCCACGAAAGAGAAGCAATGAAAGCAAGATCAAGTGAGAAAAGAAAAGCTAACGGGGCTCTCGATAGAAAGATAAAAGGCAGAATCCACTGCCTCCCCCCTCCCTCCCTGAGCCAAACAAAACAGATAAAAAGGCGTACAGCAGTGACTCGAACACCAAGAAGTTCTTCGCCGTCTTTTCTCCTTTTCCATCCCACGCCTCATTTGCTGGAAATCTCCAGCTCCTGTAGACGCTGGAGGATGACGGGACGCGACACTTCCTGAATCTCGCCCCCGGTGATCATCTCGTCAATGATCATGAACACCTTGTGGAAGTTGAAGACGAGGTCCAGCTCACAGACGTCCTTGAAGAACATATCCAGCACTTCCACCAGAAGATGAATAAGCTCGACGTATACGAGGTCGTTGTCCTCCTGGTCCAGTCCCAACGTAAAAAAGAGACCGGCGTAGCGGCGATACACGAGTTTGATGTTCTCATACGAGACGAAGTTGGTGGAGCGGGAATCGCGGGTGTTGACGATCGCGTGTACCTCACGCTTGATTCGCTCCTGACCTGCGTCATCTACGGGGATGTAGAACTTCGCGAGGCGAGTCTTGCCCATCCGGTTCTGAAGAAGAACAAAGTGAATCATTGTTGATCCGCTCCTTAAAACAATTTCTGTTTTCTTTTCTTTTTGGTGATGCTCACAAGCAGGCAACAGACGCTAGAAATCAAAATGAAAAGGCCCAGCGCCTAGGCAGATTCAAAGATACGAGAAGGTAAGTGATGAAGTGGCATGGACTGAAGGAGAATAGCTGCCGCTTTCTCAGGAATCTTCGCAAGCACAAGAGAGACAAGAAAAGCAGCGGAGTATATAGGCACAAAGCGCACAGCGGTGAAATGGCTTCTCTCTCGCCTTTCTCCAATTGATACGACACCAGCGCCATGCATTCTTTTAAAACAACGGCCTCGCGTATGAAGGCATCCACAGCGTTGCGGGATCCTTTTTCTTTGAAGTTCCGTTGTTTAACTTTATGATTCCTCAATATATATGTTTAAGTTCAACTGCTGCGAACATAAATTAAAAATCATCGAATAATTGGCAAAAACAAAAACAACCTCGGATGTCTACACAAACACCACACCACGCAGACAGTATACAAAACAATTTCCTTCTGCAAAAAAAAAAACCCAACTTTCATACGATCATAGGAAGGTCACCAAAGCCTTTATCTTCGATATTATTTAAGTAAAAGGCAAATGAAAAGTAACACACTGCCTTCAATTTTGTGCGTTGTGTGTGTGAGTGTGTGTGAAAGCCCAACGTTCCCCCTGCAGACAGTGGAACGGAGAACAAGCGCAATGCGCACAATCCTTTTCTTTTGTTATTCTTGATTGTGTGTCTCGGTTATCCAAATAGTCAGAATCAGGAGAGTCGTCTCGCGTCGTTTAAAACGGAAATGAAAAAAACAATAGTAGCAACAACGGTAATGGCGCTCCACGTTTGCCGCTTCGTTTTCTTTCGCTTGCTGTGGCATCACAGCGCAGAAAGGCTTGTTTTCAGCCCTGTAACCGCCTTGGCAATATTAATAATAAAAAGAAGAACCAGAATAAGAGCTCACTGCTCTGAATTTTTAAAAAAGAAAGAAAAAAAGCCCACGTCAAACTTCTACGACGCCGCAAAAATGCGCATTTTCCATCTCTCTGCATACTCGAGCTTCACGTGTTGTCAATGCCTTCATTTTTGCTTACGGCTTGCAGCGGCCCATGTAACGCGGGAACAAACAGGCGTCCTTCACGCTATCCAGGTTCAACATCCACACGAGCAGCCGCTCCACACCGAGGCCAAAGCCGCCGTGCGGGGCCCCACCGAATCGGCGCTGGTCCGTGTACCAGTAGTAGGTGGAGGGATCGAGGCCTTCGCGCTTGTACGCCTCCATCAGCTCCTCGTAGTTGTGCATACGCATCGAGCCGCCCACGATCTCGCCAATGCCGGGGCCCAGAACATCCACCGACTCCGTCAACGTGTTGTCTTCAGGGTCGCGCTGCATGTAGAACGACTTCATCTGAGCAGGGAAGTGGGTCATGAGGACGAACTCGCCGAGCTTCGCCACCATCGCACGCTCCGGCTGGTCGGTGATGTCCTCACCAAACTCAAAGGGCTTGCCTGTCTCCGTGTTCAGGATGCCGTTCGCGTTACAGAACTTGATCGCGTCGGAGTAGCGCAGACGGCGGAAAGGGCGGTGCGGCGTGAACTTGTAGTTCGCCGGGTCGTGAAGGTTGCCGGCCGGGTTGATCAGCTGCTCGGGGTTCAACATGGCGATTAAGTCACCCGCGCGCTCGACGACGGTGCGGACCACCGTGCAGATCATGTCCTCCAGATGGTTCAACAGGTCCTCAAACGTGCACACGTCGTACTCCGCCTCCATGTGGGTGAACTCGCTCAAATGCCGCTTCGTCTTAGACTTTTCGGCGCGGTAGCTCGGCAGGATGCAGTACACGTTGCCCATCGACGCCGTCGCCGTCTCCAGGTACAGCTGCGAGGACTGCGTCAGGAAGGCCTTCTCGCCATAGTAGAGCACGTCGAAGAGGGTCGAGCCGCCCTCCACCTGCGTCTGCACGAGCGTCGGCGGCGTCACCTCGTAGTACTTGCGGGACCAGAAGTACTCGCGGAAGGCCCGCAGCAGCTCGTGGCGCACCTTCATCACCGAGGGCGCCACCGAGCCGCGCAGGACGATGTGGCGCTGGTCGTACAGCTTATCCACGGAGCTCTCGGCAGTGATGATCGTCTCAATCGCGCCGTCCGACGGGCCCACAACGGCGTACTCGTCGACGTGCAGCTCCATTGGCGGTTGCAGCTCCGACTTCGCCTTCGGCTCGTACTTGAGGGTGCCGCGGATCGCCACGCAGGACTCGCGGTGGAAGGGCTCCGTGGCGCCGTCGAACACGCACTGAATGAAACCCGACCCGTCGCGGAGCACCACGAAGGACATGCGGGACTGGTGACGCACGCGGTGGGCCCAGCCGATGATGTAAAGCGAGGTGCCCTCCTTGTGCGAGGGCAACTCCCCGATCGGGGAGCGGGGGAGGCCCTGCGCGACGACGCGGAAGTCGGCGTTCTGCGGGCACACCTTCACATCCTTCTTCGCAGCCGCCTCTGCCGCCTCCGCCGCCTCCTTCGCCTCCGACGCGGCCGGCGCCGCCGTCTCCGTCACGACGTTCTTGATCAGCTCCGGCACGAGCTTCTTGAGCGCCGCACGCACGTGCTCGACGTCGGCCCAGCGCAACGCGGCAACGCGGCGCATCTGGCCCAGCAGCATATTCTCATTCTTCTCCCACTTCGTCTTGAGTGTCCCTTTGTCCTCCGCAGCGAGGGCCGCAGCGACGGCGTTCTCCACCTCCGCCTCCGACACCTCCACGCCGACGCCGCACTCGGCTGACATGGCCGCGGCATCGACCTCGTCCGCATCGGAGGCGTTCACAAACTTGATGGCGGCGTCCACCTTCTGCGTGCTGTCCAGCTTGCCCTCGAGCACGAAGCTGGCGACGGGGTCGCGGTGGACCGGTTTCTTCACCTTCGTCCACACGCTGAAGAGCATGACCTTGTGGTCGCGCGGCGAGCTCTCGCCCACGTTGTGCTGAGCGAAGAACGCCAGCAGGTCCGCGACGCGCTCCTGCTTGGTGGACAGATCCTTGGCGCCCTTATCGTCCAGCCCGACGATCGACTTCAACTGCGCGACGGCAGCCGCACGCTCCTGCTCGCTCTCCATCCTTCTGGATTTACTCGATAAAAGAGGTTTATTGCTGTGATAAACAGAAGAGCTTCTCCGTGCAACGTGGAGAGCGTTGTGCGCGGTGGTGCTCGAGGAAAGAGGGTAGTGTAGGAGCGGTGCGCGGAGCCCAGGACGAACGCGGCCCACGGTCAAAGGCGGAAGCAAAGGAAAACGAAGCGAAGGAAAAGAGAGCAGGAAAGTGGAGACGGGAGACGAAGACGACAACGACGGCAGCACGGGCGGCAAGCGAGGCGATGCAAAGTACCTCGACGGCTCGCAGTGCTCCGCCGCGCTTGCATTGGCTGGAAGTCGCAGCAGTGAGTGCTGTGCGGAGGACAGCGAGGACAGCGAAGACAGCGAAGACAGCACAAAGTGGCAGGTAGGTGCACTGAACCGCCAACACGGTGCCGACACACGGGACTCTAAAGAGACGACCACGGAACCCAACCGAACCGCCGTACACTCCCTCCACGGCGCTGACGTCGTCACGTCATGAAGTGCAACGATGTTTCTTGGTACCGTGCAAGAAGCGTTGCTTGCGTACACAGCACAAGTCAGGCTCGCTCGTCGTTGTCGTCGTCTCCGCATCCACCCACCTCCGCCACTCGGGAACCTCCTTGAGCAGTTCACCGCTTCTGTGAGGCGCGCTAGCGCTGCACCGGCGCCACACATTGGCGTTGACTGCGGCTCGCTGCTGCTCTTTTTGATGAATCTAAGACTGAAATTTCATATAAGGAAGAGCAAACGCCTTCTCCAGTGCCTTTCGTTTTGCAATTCAATTTCCAACGTAATACGGAAAAAAGAGAACGCGTTCTTCGCTGTGATGAACAATTATCCTACAGAAAAATGAAACGACGAGCCAAGTGGCAGCAGTAAAAACCACAAAGAAAAGAAGGAAGTAAAGAAAAAAAGGTACGGCGGAAATGATGGAGGGATCGCATGAAAGCGTGCAGCATAGATGGTACCGAAGCATTGATCGCGATGCAATGTTAGTGCACCTGCAGAGCACCGCCGCTTAAGATACGTTCCAGGTTGAAAATGAGCAAGCTGGTGCGCAGTGAATATGAGGTAAACAAAGCGATCTTCATTTTCTTGAAAACTCGGAAGACATCAATCACGTAACCGAAGCCACTCGTTATCGCAGAAGCAGAAGCAGAAAGTAAACAAGTACAAAACGGCTCGCCACTCTTCTTTTTCTCTATCCTTTGCTTTGCGTGAGCTCGGTAAAACAATATGAACTGCAGAATCAAAAAAAAAGGGAGTATGTTCTACATCAGTTGGTTCCAGAAAGGATTTAAAAAAAGGTACAATTCAGCAGTATTTGTTGTCGTCGACGTTTGTGTGGGTGTGTGTTGCGTGTGTCTGTGATTCGACAGATGGGCGTTATCGGCTTCTCATTTCTTTTCACTTTTTCGATAGCAGCCGCCACCTCATCACATTACTTTTCTTGTTTTTAGACGGCGTACGAAGGATATGAATTCCACTCCAGTACGGTGGCACCGTTGAGCGCTGCCTCACACGTGCGTTCTTGTCCTTTGTGCTCACGACTGTAATGCTTTGCCACGATGCAGCCCATGACGACCGTCATGGCTCGCCGTTCTCCGCTCTCCCACGCCTCCAAGTCTACCCGGTTCTCCCACTCCCATAGCAACAAATCGGACAATTCACGTGCCAACGGAGGGGAGCAGGACGCCGATGCAGAGAGAAAGGAATGACTTTGCAGTCCATCGTACAGCAACAGTCCGTTTATGGGATCCAGCGTTGGCATCGGACTATTGGGGTTTCGATAAAGCTGAATAGAATAATGCTCTTTGCTGGCGGCCGCTTGTCGAATACGTTCATTTTCTTCGTGCCTGCAGAGAGTGCGATGCGACGCGCTCCACGCATCACACGCGTCGCGCCATGCCTGCTCTTCTTCTCCTCGTAGAAGAGCCCGAAGGTGTCGCTCCTCACGAATGAAATTGCAGCGAGCGGCGTAGTCCGCCCTCTCGCCATTCCTAAGCGTGGCGCCGCTGAGCAGAGTGGCCTTTTGCCACATATGGTGCACTCTTTTGGTTTCTGCTGTTGCTGACCTTCCCTTCAATGCCTGTCAAATGGCGACCAAGGAACACGTGGTCCGCGGTGGGGGGGGGGGAGGGGAAAGAAAGAAGATGAGAGACCTCCTGCGCCTCTGTTGCGGATACGTTGGTGCTGAGGTGATGTTTGTCAGGTAGATGGTGGAGAAGGAGAGAAGAGATGAAAGGAAAAGGGTGGGAGCCGCAGCGCTGCACTCTGTCCCCTTCTTGTTGAGCACAGGAACAGGAAAAGGTTCGTCGTTAAGCAGAAAGACACCGAAAAAGAAGATGGAGAACCAAAGGAAGACAAACTCAGCGTTGCTCGCCGAACTGCCATTCCTAGTTGCTTCGCCAAAACGTACCTTAGCGAGAAAAATACAAGTTACCGCCGCAATCAAAATTGTTCCTGGTACCAACAGCAGCAAGCGTTGCGAGGCCGCAGCGATAGGCAACCTCACATGTGCGCTACAAAACAGGGTAGTGATACAAATTTGCAACTGTTCATACCTCCTTTTTTTATTATGTGCGTGCGAAAGACAAGCACAACGACCCAGAAAGAGATAAAGCTCCATGCATGGCAACACGACCACGAAAAGAAAAGAAAAATCATAATAGTAAAAGGACAAGTGGTAAAACCTCCACATGTTAGCAAGAAGGAAGGCGAAAGAACTCCAAATGAAAAGGAAAGAAGACAAAAGTAAGGAGGGGGGAGGGCCAGCACCGCAACAACGGCAAAATAACAAACGATATCAAGGCGAGTATGCCTGCCACGGGACATGGCAGGAGAGACAACAGAGGCAACAAAGAACACCAAAATAAAAAAAAGAAACAACAAGAAACAGCAAGAAACAGCAAGAAAAAGAAAGCAATAGGAGGCGAATATGTAATGGAAGAATGGAAAAAAAAAAGAATGTGCGTTTCCTCTTCCCATTTTTTCCTTCTTTGCTCTGCCCACGAAAGCCAACTCCGTTGTGTACACCACAAAGCATTGCCGTCGGAACAGAAAGAAAAAATATGAAAGCGGCAGACAAAACAGAACTCGTTAACGTCGAAGAAAAACCGCCGTCAAAGGCCGCATATTTTTTCTTTTTGAAACTACTGCAAAAACGAGAAGCGCAAACACAATGAACCGATAAATCCAAAACAAAAAAAGCGGAGGCGTTGCGTTGCATTTGGTAAGCACAAATAAACAAAAAGAAAAAGAGAGGAGCAGGGGGAAAAACTCGAAAGGACGCGTTCACACAGAAGGAATCAGCAGCCATCTACAACGATGCACTCGTTACCAGGAGAAAGAGAGACGTACAAAGAAAAAAAAAGGAGGAGGGCTAAAACGACTTCGAAACGATCCCGGTCTTGTCGTTGCAAGTCCCTTTCACCTTCACACATCATTCTCTTTATAGATATATGCTGATTCCTTCCTAGTTCATCGGCGGCGGCGGAATCGATGAGAGCAGCTCACGCGTACGCTCACGCAGCGAAAGGTTGCTCATCGACATGGAAACACTCGGGTCCACAGAGCGCAGGTTGGCGCCGCTCGACAAGCTGTCGTCGAAAGAGGTGTTGCTAACGGCGGTCGTGATGGCCGCGTTGCAATTCGCTTCGGCAAGCCGTGCGCGTGCTTCCTTCAGCTCCTCCTTCAGTTTGGCGGCGCGGGCGCGGACAAGGAATGTCGCCTCCTGCACCGATCGCAGCTTCGCCCCCAGCTCTGCGCACTCCTTCTCCGTTGCCGAAGTGCGCTGCATGGCGCTCGCCTGCTCGAGCAGCAGCTGATTCAGCTTCCGCTCGAGGCTGACGACGGCTTGATGAGTTTCGGACGGGTGCGAGGACAGCGGGGTCGACTCGCTCGATCGTGGAGTGCCGGAGAGACTCGCGCGCGCACTGGGTGTGGTGGCCATCAAGTGTGGCGTGCCGGAAAGTGAGGCATCCTTCGCTGGTCCTTTGTTAAAGGAGAAGGAAGCTCGGTGCGCCACGGGAACTGGTGGGGTTGCATCATCGCGTGACGCCTTCTCTGGCGTAGCAGCCTCGGTGGGACTCTCCTTTGTCAGGGAGGAGACGGGCTGCACTGCTGGTGCTGCAGTGCTGGCGGTGCCCGACAACGACAACACACTCGCTGGGGCAGCAGAAGGCGGACGCACGCTACTCGAGGCGTCGGCGTTGCCTGCTGTGCTGCGACCGCGTAAGGCGTCTAGCTTCGTCACCAGCACTTCCAAATAGCGTTGCTGCTCTTGCATAAGCTCCTGCTCGACGGAGGTCTTCTTTCGCGCCGTCTCCAGGAGCTTGCGCTGCAGGTTCATCAGCAAGTACTCCTGCCGCTCCTCCAACACGTTCTCGACTTCGTTCTTTTCGTTGCGCATCTTTTTAATGCGCGATGTGAGGGCCTCCGCCTCGCTCTCCTCCTCCCGCAGCATCGCCTTGTAGTGCTGCACCTCCTTCTCTGCCCCGTCGAGGCGACGGAAGAGTTGGTTCGACATCTGCTCCTCTTTCATCTCCGCGTTCAGCTCGGCCCGCACCGACTCCTCCCGCAGCACTTCAATCTTGTCCTGCAAGTGGATTTCTTCGACACTGAGCGAGTACCCAGCGCTTTTGAGCGAGACGTACTCGCGCCGCAGCTCGTCGATGGACATGTCGTGCACCACCGCCAAGGCATCCGTGCGAGGCGTCGTGAGCGACTTCATCCTCAGAAAACAAAATAATAAAAACGAGAAGCGAAGCAAAAACAAACAGAAAAAGAAGTCGCACAAACAGAGATGTGCGGTTGCCGATGGCGTTCGTTCTTTATTTCCTTCCTACTGCGTTCTGCCTTTCTACTTGCCTGCCTGCGCACTTGTTGTCACAGTACACGCAAAGGTGCAGCTCGCTGCCACACAACAACTGAGCACGAACCACCAAAAACAAAGAGGATAAACAGAGAACAAGAAGGCTCGACACAAAGTTATACAGAAGAAAAAAAAAACGAACTTAACGATGCAGATTGCACCTTCCCACCCACATTCGCTGAAAACAATTCTGCGATTGTCCGCTGGTTTTGCGAATACCTGGACAATCGCGGTGAGCTTGACAGCGCAAGCCGTAACAAACGCCTCTTTGCTGTCCAATAGGCCGGTCACTTAAAACCTATATATCTACACAGCAACGGAAAAAACTCGCAGCCGGAAAAAGTTGTCTGTTGATTGACAACACAAAAAAATGCCCTATCGTCTCCTTTCGGTTTTTTTACAGCCTCGTCGTGGGTATTCGCACGACTTACCAAAAAAAGGAAAAATTGGAAAGCCAAAGTTAACGTCAATAATACATATCTATACTGACGCAGAGAATCGGGGTGAGAACGCTTGACGATTTGTACAGTACCAAGAGAGCAAAGCAAAGGAGAAGATCGCTGTTTTGTTATTACTGCGATCGAGGTGGTTAGAAGAAGAGGAGAGAAACGTTCGTAAACGTGTTTATAGGCAAGAGAAAGAGAGAGAACAAAGAAGCGCTAAACGGTACGATTACCGACTCCAACATATAAAACCGGAACAGGGAGATAAAGAAAACAGAGGAAAAAAAAAGAGACTAAAGGAAAAAGGGTCGGTTGTTAGTTGAAGACACAAAGCCTCCAGTCCGTGCCGTGAAGGAAAGGAGAAAGAAAAAAAGGAGAGGGTTTGGGGGTTGAAAGACGAAGCAGACACGAAATGATGATCAGTTCTTGGATCGGTGGTGGCAATAAAACAAGATAACAAAAATGACGGTCCTGATCCTCTGCAAGTAATGGCGGTAGTTCAATTTGTGTGAAGCGTTGGCGGCAGCGCGTATAGTAGTTGTGACGGCAAGCGTTTTACCATGTTCGAAGAACGGTGTGGACGAGACAAGAGGAAGTGGGAGAAGAGTTTCTGCAACGATGAAAGCACGTAATGCACCTTTTCAAAGCAGCAACTGCCTCGCTTGACCTTGAAAAACGTTCTGTTCGTAAGAGCGCTAAACAGCAAAAACGAAAAAGGCAACATATCCTTGTCATCCATTAAGCGGGATTTTTCGTCTCAAAGTGTTCGATTTTGTTTTTGCAGGAGTACTTCAGACATAACGCTTTGGAAAAAACAAACAGGAGAGAAAAGTCCAGCTGCGGTGTTCGTCGCAGGTGCGGATGCTGACAAACGGCAGTGTATTGCAAAACAGAATTAAAAAACAAAGCACCGCCGACGCTGCCGTTCGATCCCACGCCCGCCGCTCTACGAAGCAGCCCTGGGTCGTCTTATCCGTCACTAGAAACGCAACGTGGCTTGACGCATGCCTCCCGGCTGCGGATGCACCTGCGGAGACGCCACGCTGTGCATCACACGCGCGTGTGTCGTCTTTGCGCGTGCCGCAGCGTTCACCTCGGACCCCACCGCCGAAGCAGTGGGTCCTTGTCCCCGCCCTTGCGCTGACTTGCTGCGCGCCGACGCCTCTACATTCCTCTTCCTTGGCCCACCGCGACTGCTATTTCCACCACCACCACCACCCGCAGCGGACGACGACTGGAGGTGACTGCCCACCACAATGGACTTGCCGGCGCCAAAGCTGGCGCCCGAGGAGGACGACGGCGCTGGTGGCACGACATCCGCCAGGAAAGAAAATCGATCCAGCAGCTGCGCGACGCGTGCGACGTCGTCGTACGTCAGCGTTCTGCGGTTTCTGCGCGTGGCCTCCGCCGCCGCCGTGGCAACGAGATCGCGCGTCAGCAGCGCCACCGCCTCACACGCAGCCGCCGCGGCGTCCTTGGACACGATGGAGGAGCTGCCTTCGTACTTCAGGAGCTCCTTCACACGGCTGTGCGCAAAGGCGGTCGCGTAGTGGGACGCGGTGGCGCGGCCCTCAGCGGCATCACTGTCGACCTTGTACGTGTCATCCTCCTCCTCCTCGTGGACGTCGTCGTCCACACCGCTGTCTGCGCAGGCCACATCCTGCTCATCTGCCTGCACAGCAGCGGCACCTTCCGTTTTCTCGACACTACTGCTGTCTTCACTGTTCATCCGCTCACGAGACTCCTCCGCAGTTCCGTCATCCGTCACGTGCGCAGCGGAGCGCTCGCCGCTGTCACGCGCAGCCAGAACGTGCCCCGTCCGATCTTCCTCCGCCTTCTCGTTTGCCTCGTGGGTCGAATCACCTTCGTTTTTCACGCTATCCTGTTCATCTCCATCGGACTCTAGCAAGGAGGAGGCGGAGCGGGAGGCGTAGGCGGCGAGGCGCGGCATGAGGTAGGAAACGACCTCCTCTTCTCCTTCGCCTTGGTCAACGGGGTCGAAGGTGGCTTCCATAGTTTCATCGTACGTGGCCTCGTCGCCGCCTTGCTTCATGCGCGAGGAGGACATCGTAGCACGTGTTTCTTCTTCGCAGGGGGGGGGGTAGGTGCGAAGGGGTTGTGCGTGTGAAAGAAAACGATTGTGTATGACTTCTTCAATGTGTTGCTTAACCGATGCTCTATTTCGACTTCTACTCTTCTGATTGACTTCTACTTTCTTCCGTGAAACACAAAGGAAGTAAACAGATTAGCTGCCAGTAGTACGTTTAGATGTCACTGCCAGTGCTACCAACGAGGTCGGGTGCCTTCTATGGAGCCTTCGCAGGTTTTTCTTTTCCTTTCTTTAAGATTCAGCAGAAGAAAAACAACAAAAAGGAGCCCAACGTGAGCAATTGACGCTTAGCCTCTACGGTGATGACGTGAGTCACTGGCTTCTATGATTCGCTTACGTTCTCTGAAGTTCTACTTTGTTTTCCTTCTCGCCCCGATGAAGTGTGTGTATGTGTGCAGCGCTTTCTTTTGTACCGTCGCTAGAAACGGAGTCCGCAGTCGCTTCAGAAAAAAGAAGAAAACTGCAGTCCATGAGAAGGGGAGAGAAAGAGCGAGAAGAAGTCGATGCAGGTAGATGAACAGCAAAATCATCAGGTGATACTTTGCTTTTTACCTGTTGGAGAGGAAATGAGGAAAAGAAAGCTGGTCATCTTCCGCGCATTGGGATCACGCTCAACGTACACAACGACATCCACGCGACGCTACTTGAAAGAACTGAAAGATGCGCCGGCCGGGCGTCGCTCTACCCTTGAGCTTCAGTTGCCTCGTCGACAAGCGCCTTTGCATTTTGTTGGGCGTGAAGCACACAAAAAAAAAGGCAGCGAGAAGGGGAAGTAAACGATTCCCCCTGCGCTTCGCTGCTTTCCCTCCTCTCACTCTGCTTCTTCTCTATTCCAATTCCTTTCGCGTATAACTATGGCTCTTTGTCTGTGTTTATGTTTCTTTGGTAAAACAGCGACCTTTTACTTTCACCAGCGCACAACACGGAAAGCGACTTATCGTAGATGCAAGAAGAAACTCAACGGCAACGGCACCGCAGAGGTGTCTCGTAGGAGACTTACAGAAAAAAAGAAAAGAAAAGAAAGAACAGGAAATAGAAGACGAAAACACAAGACAGTAGCGGAGTACGCTTTTTATGGTGTGTGTGTGTGTGTTCGTATTTCCCTTCTTCCCCGGTCGCGTTGACGGACAGACAAGAGAGGCGATGCAGAGGTGCAACGCACAGATTAGAAGCACCGCGGAGAAAGAGCGATGGCAAACACGTAACGGCGGACGTCTAGGTTTCACTGAAAAGCAATTAGAAACAATGAAGGCGATCTCAGTAAGGAAGTAGAAAAGGTAAAGGATGGAGAAAGAAAAAAAAACCCACAAAGTTTCGCCTCACGCGTTGAGACGACAAACGGCAATAAAGACAAAGACGCGCCTTCCTCGTGTCATTACGGTAGCATACACTTGCTGCTTTCACGCGTGTTGAGCACTTAGCTATACCTTCCCCTCATTTTATCTCACAAACACCACCCTACTACAGCGCATACTTTGAAAAAAAAAACCTTTTATCGTGGCCGTTGGGTCCGGGGATGGCAGTCGTCCTTGCACTGTGTATCGCCGTCGCCATCGAAAAAACCACAACGGCGTGAGTTCCTCTGCGTACAACAAAGAGAAGAGGTGTCACGTTGCAAAACTCTTTTTTCTCTCTGTGCCAAAGTGAGGCGAGAAGAAGAAAGAAGATCACACAAGGGAAAGAAAACGCCCGCGTTCACCATCTGCTCAAAGCCATCCGTTCGCTGTATTCTCGCATGGAAAGTGACAGAAAAAAAAAGAAAAAGAAACTTCAAACGAGCGAACACGACTTTATTAAAACAAGAGAAAGAAAGAAGAAGAAAAAAGAGATGTGAGAAGCAGGACGGTCCCTTTTGAGAAGCAACAGCAAAAAAAAAGGAAGGATAAAAAGAGGGAATGCTCTCCTTCGGCTCCTTGGAACGGGTCCGCGACCTGAGCGCGTCGCTTCTCTTTGAAGAGGAACCAAAAAAAAAAACGATCGGCGAACCGCGCTGGTGGGAATGCGGGTCCGCAGATTCAACAAAAAGTTTTTCAGTCGTGTTCGGCGACTGGCTTTTTTTTCTTTCCTTCGACACACTTCTTACGAGCAGAATAAGGCGTAAATGGTTAGCATATAAAAATGTTTGTTTGTTTTTTACTATGAAACGTAGCGCGTGTACAACAACACTATTAAAAAAAGAAAGGGCCGACTTGAAACAACCGAGTAGTGCTTTAACATAGAATGATAATAAAAACCCCACGTTCCCGCATATCTATGGGAGCTTCACACATACTCAATGGTTTCCGCTTGCGTGTTTGCCCGTGCTTTGTCATTCTGCAAAGCTGACGAGAATTGAGGAGAGAGGGGGAAAAAAGGGTTCATCAAAAGCAGATAACAGAAGAACATCAACAACTAAATCGTTATAAGAGAAGAAGAGGACAAAGCGGCCTCCATAGACAGCGTCGCAACCACCCCTCCCTTTTGAAAACAAAAAGAAGGCGTCGCTACCCCAAAACATGCATGAAATCCGCTGGGAAAGCACGGATAAAGTGAAGCGGGTATGTTGATGAAGTCGTGTGAACGCCATAGACATATATCGAGTGGCTCCTCCCTAAAGAGATGATCCCAGCACAGTTCAGATATGCAGACATGGGCTTCGCCGAACCGCTGCAGAGAAGCCGCTGTAAAGCAAACGGAGAATTTCAAAACAAAAAGAGTCAGAGGATTCATTTGTCAAATTAAAAAAAAGACAAAGAACTTCTCTGTTCCGTGGAAGAAATCTACTTCAACACCGTCAAGCTCGTATGTACCTCATTTAGGAAAGGGCAAGTGACATCGTAGAGCTCGAGGCCCTCATCGGGGGGCGCAGAAGAAAAAAGAAGGAAGTAAACAAGACACAGGAGCAGTTAGCTCTCCTCCCCCACACCCTTCCTCAACCTCAATATTTGACTCGCAGCTGCTTCGAAAGTCCGCGTAGCTAACAAAGAGTGAGAGGGCATCGTGGAAAACAAATGCGCACAGCACTTTGCAACCGACTCAATTAAAGAGGAGGTGAACGAGATGACAAACAACAATAAAATATATATTGTCGTGAATGTTCGTCCTTTTCATCATCATCATCGTCATCATTATGGTGCCTTTTTTGTGGTGGTGAAGGTTGAAAATGTTACACCAACGCAGGCGTCCCGGCGCAGCGGAGTCTCACAAGCAGAATTTGTCTGAGCGATTTCGATGTTCAGCTCCTGCTGCTCGATCCTCTGTCAGCCATTCAGCGCTTTTCCCAGTGCGCTCACGATGCAAGAGCCAACGCCATGTGCATTCCCCTGTGCCGTCACCATTGGCTGGCGGTACAGCGCGAACCTGTTCCACAAAAGGGCAGTTTTTTTCTTCTTTCTTCTTTATTCGAGCGGCTTCGGCTTCGACGTGACCGGCACTTCGCTTCCGCGTTGATCGTTGAGCCAGGAGTGAACCTTCGGCACCGAGGCCGCGCTCGAGGTCTGCCGCGAGGTGGAGCCCAACGACGGTGGCACGTGCGGCTGCTGGCGGCGCAGCGAGGACGTTGTGAGCGGGGAGACGAGCGACAGCTTAAACGCGCGCTGGACGCCCTCCATCTCGGTGTCGCTGTCGGAGTCACGCGCGATCGTGCCGGGCAGCACCATGTTCGACGACTTCCCCGTCTCGACAACAAAGACGGGTGGACTCTCCGTCATCGCGGCATTCGGTTCTGCCACGTCGCCACCCACAGCGGCGCCGCAGCGGCAAAAGGTCATGGAGTCCGTCAACGGGCCGCCCACGCCCTCCGAGTCGCCGCACGAGATGTCATCGCTCGCCTCGCTGATGTCCTCAGCGAAGTTGGGGCTCGACGTCTGCGGCACGGCGTAGTCAGCACGCGACACGTACGGCGTCGCCCGGTCCGTCTTGCGGGGGCGGTGGCAGTTGGGGCACATCACGACCTTCTGCTGGGTCCATGGTAGGCGCCATAGGTTGACCGCGCCGTTGTTCGCCGTGCCGCTCGCACACGGGACCGTCATGTCGCCTGAGGCGAAACTGCTGTTGGCCGGACCAGCCGGCTTGTCGAAGAGGGAGTTGCGGTTGGGGCGAGAGGCGCTGCTGGCGAGGGTGGCGGTGTGACGGTGGTGGCGGTCGAGGTGGCCGTTGGCACCCGACAAGGACCCGGAGACGTGCAGCGACTTGGGGGAGTTCGGACCGGCGGTTGCCTTCGACTGGTTCGCGAAGCTCGCGTTCGTCTTGAAAGACGAGGGCACGGGATCGCAGTTGACCGTCATGGACACGCTGCGGCACAGCGCCTCACCTTCGTCTTCGGAGGAGGACTTGCGTTTAATCCGCGTAGAGGCGGAGGCCTTCGGGGCCGCTTGGGGGATCTTCTCCGAGTTCTCCAGGTCGGAGTGCAGCAGCGAGCTCTTCTTCTTGGAGCTGCTCGGCGTAAAAATCCTCTGCAAGACGCTCATTTTGGCTGCAGCAATAATCCTAGAAATGATATATAAAAAGGAAAAAAAAAACAGAAAAAGATCACGCGACAGCACTGCAGCGTCACTCAGAAAACAGGAGTCGAAAAGCGTACAACACAGAAGATTGTAGAACTGAAGGGAAAAGGAGTTTGGGAATAGCCTACCGGGAAACACAACACATCAGAGAAAAAAAAAATTACGAAGGAAACACAGTTCTCTGCTTTCGCGGCGGAAACAAATTTGAGGCCGTCACAGCTCTTTTATTTGTTTTCCTGCAGCGGAAGGAGAAAAAAAACGTCTGACAGGAAAAGCAGCAGCTGCAGTCGCCACTGCGCTCGATGAAGCGGCTGCTGATTTTGTACTGTTGAAGTCGTTCGCAAAAAAACAAAACGTTGAGCTCTGTGATAGCCTCCGCACAAGGAAGCCAAAAGCGGAGTTTTGGGTGTGAACAAAAAAAGCCACAAGACAACGAAAATACTAAAAGATCGTACGATACCGAGGTGTACGCTTCTTACAATTAAGCTTTGTATCTTCACTTCTGCTGCTCGTTTCTACGGGTTTCTTGATTTTCTTCGCGTGTGCGTGTGTGCGTATGCCTTTGAATCCCAGTCGTGGCGATGGTGGAAAGGGAAAGCAGAAGGCAAAACGATCAACGAGCGGTGATGTGTTTGCGCTACAACGTTCCTTGATACGGCACTTCAGTTTGATGCAGCGCCAAAGGAGGATACTGTGGTTGTGCGCAGCAGCACTTTCCGTCCAAAGAACTCCCAGGAAGAGAAAAAAAGAAAAGGAGAAAGAGGCGAAGCGACAGCAATAAAGACAGAGCCTACAACGTCACTAATTAACCAACAAGAACAAAAAAAAAACGCTGAAACTGCCACACAGTTAAATAATAATACGCTTAATAATATCAAAAGACTTTTGTATCACAGAAGAAGGAAATCCGGAGAAGAGGCGCTGGAAAGACGAAGGAGAGGAGAGAAAAACGGCAAAAACGAAGGTGCGAAGCGCAGAGCCTTTTCGTTGGGTCTTTCGTTCACGTTACTTCCGTACAATCTTTGTTACCGGAGCACGAAGAAAGATAAGGGAGAAGAAGAACAAAAAAATGAAAGGTAGCTTTACACGTGGTAAGGAGGAGTACACCTCCAGGGCAATTCTTTTTCCCAGTTTGTGAGAGGGTTCTTTTTGGTTAGAGCTGGAGCCGTCGTGAACCGTCTTTTTATTGCTTTTCTATTCCCTTTTTCTAAGGAAGAAGAAGGCGATTGGATGCAGATTAAATATATATATATACACATAGATAAAATAGAGAGGTGGGGAAAGAGAAATCGTAGGACGAGCAGTCGTATGTGTTAAAAGGAATCAGACATTACGGTCCTCATCGCAGTGGTCATGGAATCTTGTTCCCTCGCGCAAAGCATGCAGTTTTTTTGTTGTTGTTGAGAGCTGAGAAGTCCCTGCGACTCGTCAACGCGGTTGAAGTTTTCACCTTGCGAGAAGAAAAAAAAAAGAGGGCTTGCTATTCCGGTGCGTCTGTACGCGCATCTTACTTCACGTGGCGATGAAGACGCAAACGCTATGATACGCATGTGATGATTTTCTTTCTTGCTTTTTATGCTTACCAGCGGTAGCCGCCCTCTATACTGTATCAAACAACATACATTGCACTACAAAAAGTCCCGAACCAAAAGAAAAGGGGAGAGGAAGATCAGAGCAAGCAGAGAAGGTAATTAGAAGCTGCGCGAGGGCAGCGTTCTAAATACCACTGACGAGACCGTCATGATAACCCTCGCACGCTGCTCGCTATGACATAAAACTCTATGATCAGGTCTAACTACCACAGCAGCAAAAACAACGTCGACGTCGAAGCTGCCGTTAGTAGGTTCTTTTTTTCTCTTGTGGCCTGGAGGGGCAGGCGCTTCATTGAACGCAAAAGAGAAGAACGAGAGAGAGAGAGAGAGCGGCCGTACTATTTCCACCTCACGAAAGGGAAAATGCTTCCAACAAACACCGAGGAGCGGCCGGCATAGCATGGCCTGCCCCACTCGTACGCCTCAGGCAAACGCTCCCGCCACATCGCCACCACCACCACCAGACGCCCTTTCTCGTCCTTTCCCCCCCCCCCCCGCTGACTCAATAATCGTCCTCTTCCAACATGATCGCCAGGAACTCCTCCAGGTTGATCTCGCCGTCTTGGTCGACATCAAACTCGTCGATCATCGCCTGCAGCTCCTCGTCGCTCATGTTCTCGCCTAACTCGCGCGCCACGCGTCGCAGCGAGCGCAGCGATATCTTGCCCGTGTTATTCTCGTCAAACAACTGAAATGCTTTCACCATCTCCTGTCGCGGGTCGCGCTGCGCGAACTTGTCCGTCATGATGTCGGTGAAGCCCGGCAGGTCCATCAGGGGTTGATTGTTTTGGTCGCGGGCGGCGCAGTCCTGCATGAGCTGCAACACCTCCTCTCGCTTCGCGTCGAAGCCGAGGGCGCGCATGCTCACCTTCATCTCGTGGACGTCGATGAGGCCGTTCTTGTCGGAGTCGAAGAGCTCGAAGGCCTCACGGATCTCCTGCCGCTGCTCCTCCGTCAGCTGAAAACGCCGGCGTGCGGTGGGGGATGACGAGGCACCGGCGTTTGGCGCAGTGGTGCGCACCGGGCCCGATAAGCGGCTGCTCACGTTCATTGTCAGAAACCGCTGTTTTCTGAAAGGTGAAAAGTGCCAGTCTTTCGTTACCAATATATCCCAGAGAACCGGTGAGAAGAGAGAGTTCGTGTGATCTACGACGTAGAACTGGGGGAGAAAGACACAAATGCGTGGGCCCGAGAAGGAAGGTGGCTTGCGGTCACCTCCGTGCCTTCTTGCGGATTATAGCGTGATACCGGCGTGAAAGCTGCAGCTTTGTCGCACGATGCGGGAAGTGAGAAACAGAAAAGCAGAAACCGAGGCTTTGAGTACGAGTACTTTCTATGATCCTCTTGTCTCTCCCTCTCTCTATCGATTGAATTGTATGAGCAGTGGCGTGTTCGCGGGCCCGCGTAGAAACTAACGTTGCGTACAATGCTTCGAAACAAACAAACACCAGAAAGAAAAAAGGGATTGCAGTGTGGTAAAAAAAAAAGGACAAGATGGTGTTAAAGGCGCAGGACGCTACTGCATCGCGCAATCCTTCTCGACCGCATCGTACCCACTCACGAAAGAAAGTTCGTGTTGAGGAGACAGTAAGGTCCGCAAACCTCCCCGATCGCCGTGGTCTCCTCGTACATCGTACATGCAGAACGAGATGCACTATTTGAGGTGCGGCCCAAAAGCGGCAGCGTGCAAAAAACCCGCACGAGGAGTAAAATGTATGTTGGTTTCTCTCTCCCTTGGGCAAGAATAGCGGGGCATCGAATAGATTGAGGGCGTAGCTGATCCAGCATGAAAGCCAGCGCTTTGCAACCGACAGTGCTCACAAGCGCTTCACGCACAAGTCTGTACACAAGAGAAAAAAAATTGAAAAATGCGGTGAATTTGGAAACAAAAACTAATAAATCAACGATACTTCGCAGTGCAGTGCGCCGCCACGCACACACATACTCGACTGCTCAGCAGCGGCGTCACAAACTCACCCGAGCTATACTGATCTTCCTATATATAGAACGGACGCTCGCGAGCACCATGGCCAAAACCCATCTCGTTCGTCTTCCGATCTTCACTTGTACTTAGCATCAAAACCACCGCCCCTTCCGCCGGTCGTCCGCCGTGAACGGCTCTACCGTGACGGTGTAGCGGCACGTGTTGTCCTGCGCGTCTGCCAGGTCGGTCAGTGTAGCGTTGCGGATGTCGGCCCGGAAAAAGAGGGCGATCAAGAAGTCAAAGTACACGTCCTCCGACTTCAGCGTCTCGGCTCGCATCGTCCCTGCCATATCCACCATGTCGTACACCTTCAGCTGCCCGTTGTAGGGTCCGAGACCCAAATACTTGCACAAGTCGAATAGTGTCACGCCAAAGTGGAACGGCACAATCTCCACCTTCTCCTCTCCACTGGGCAGGTCGCGCCGGTGCACTTTGATGCGGCGCATCTGCTCGAGCAGGAGAAAAAACTTGCGCCGCGTCGGCTCCTGCACCCCAGCGAACTCGAGCACGCGGCCGGAGAGTTGGTCCATGTTCGCGGGGTCCAGGTAGGCTGAGCTCCACAAGTTCGGGTTCATGCCAATCAGTGAGGCGTCATCCACAGCGTACTCTTTCTTGAGGATCTCACCCACCGCCGGCTGCACATCGAGCATGAAGAGGATGTCGTCCAGGAGCTTTGTAGAGCCGTAGTTGATGCGCAGTTGGGGCAGCGGATGGGGCGGACGACGGTGGATCTCCTTCCACTTTTCGTAGTAGGCGCGACTAAACAACAAAAGTAGCTGATGCTCCTCCGGGGACAATAAGCCGGGGTCAAGGTACACCGGATCCATGTTGTGGTACATCACCTGGTCGCTCAGGGCGAAGTAGGGACACGACTGCAGCTTCTCCCGAATCGCTGGGTTGTCCCACAGGGTGCTGTTGTTGTCTAGCAAGCCAGAGCCACCTTGACGAGGCGGCAGGTAGTTCTGTGAGTCCACTCGACCGGTGTAGAGGTTGCCGTAGAAGGGCAGACCGCCGGTGGACGTGATGGGCGACTCGCCGGGATGGATGAAGGAGCGCTCTCCTTCCATGAGCAGCCGCCGCGTACCTTTGCGCAACATCGTGGACTAGAGAAGTGCTAAAGAAGAAAACAATTCGGCTTGCCGCGGCACAATGTACTTCAGTTGCACGAAGCGAACAAATCAGAAAAAAAAATTAAAAAGACAGTCGCCCACATCACGGAGAGCAGGCGCGTAGAGCAGGCCGGGGTGTAGAGGGAAGAGAAAAGCAGCGAAGAAAGAGCTTCAAGAAACGCGAGCAGGTAGACCATCTCTAAATGTATATGTCTATCACGTAATGGAGACAAGGCGACGAGGCCTGCGAGGCTAGAAGAAAGCAGCAGAGGTGCCGCGTGCTCCTTCGTTTCTCTTTTTCAATCGATGAGTTCCCCTTCTTTTTTGTAGTGTATCAGCGAAAAGTACTGTTAACGCGTCACGACGAGAGAGAAAAAAAAGCCCCGTTACACAAGAGTGACGTCAGACACGTCAGGAAACTGTTATATAAGAAACAATAAAAAGAATCCAAAACACAAAGGAGACAGCGAAAGATTTGAAGATCATGAAACACGCAGCACAAAACTTCAATGCGTATTTTGTCGTTGCGTGCTCAAAACGGTGGTGGAGAAGTCATTGTTAATTGCGCGGGTTGTTGTCGTTTCTATATAATGATACGAAACGGGAGAGGCGGCTCAAGCCATTCCAGTGTACAGGTACGCGTTTAACATACTAGTCAGACTCTGCCTCCTTGATGTACTGTGTCCGCAGCCTCGGTGCAAGTTCTGCGTCGACAGGAATCACGAGCTCCGCCCTGCACCCGTCGTCCGTTCTGTGAATTGCATGGCAGAGTCCCGTCGTCAAATCAACGCCCAGAGCCTGCGTCGCCTCATCAAAACAGCGTCGTGTGTCATCGCTCTTGTACAGCAGCAGAGACTGCACAGGTAAGATCGTGGGGCTGGTACCAAGCATGTACAACGACTTGCACTCCAGCACATCCTTCAGGTTCAGCTTACGGTGGTGCACGGAGCCCAGACCACACGCCTCGAGAACTCGGTACGTCGCCTTGAGCGTGATGCCGACCACAATATCCTCCTCTGCGCTGCACCACCACGTCCCGTCGCGGCGCTGCAGCAAATAATTGGAGCGGGAGCCCTCTGGCACAAGAAACCCGTCCGCCGCGCTGTGAACGAGGAGCACCTCAAAGAGGCCGTTTTCTTTCTGAAAGGCCTCCGCGCGGTTGCGCAGGGCAGTCTGCGCGACCTTGGCGTTCGGGTTGGCGCGGTGGGCATCGTAGAGAAACCCGAGTTTTGCGCCGTCGTGGTACATCGCCGCAGGGGGGTAGGACGACTTGGGCAGCATCAAGATGGCAGGAATAGGGGATGCCGCAGCGGCACCGTCCAGCAGCCACGACACGATCTTCACGTTCTGCTCCGTGACGCCGGTGTAGTACACACCGGGGGCGTCGATGTACAGCTGAAGACGATCCTGGAGCACTTGCAGCAGCTCTGCGGGGAAGACGTGGTCGGGGGCGACAAGGGCCAGGCTGTGCGCGAAGCGCTCCGCGTACAGCTGCCTGAAGAGGATGCGGCCGTCTCTCGAGCGCATAACGTCGTACACCAGTTTGTACTCCGGCTGCGCGCCTTCAACGGCGGAGTCGGCAGTTACAGCGTCGCTGAACTTTGACGTTTCCATCACCTGCGGAGACGCGGATAGGTCGCAAAAGGAGAGGTAGTAGTGGACAAAGTTGCAATGCTGCTCCGCTGCCACGAGGCGGCGCACAATCAACGGAATACGTTCCATGGCGCTGCAAACGCTCTGTGAGACAAAAACAAAAGGATAAAAAATAAATGAGTGGTGCAAGTTTGATACCGTACGTAGAGCGAGAAAGGGAAAAAGAAAAAAAGAAGAGTTAAGAAAAACGAAAAGGCGTTCGTTTTGTTCCTGTGAAAGCGACGAAAAAATATTCGCCGAGGGTGTGTACACAACGCTATGTCGGTAGCACGTGGGCAAAAACGTGCTGCGAGGAGAGAAAGGGAATAGTGCTTGATTTTCGGGTTTTGGTGTGTATTTTGTCGGCCTGGTTTGATGCTATGAGAAACGCTGCTTCAGGCAGGGGGAAGGGGGAAGGGGGAAGGAAATGTAAAAACAAGAACTATCATCACTTCACCAAATTATCGAGTCGTAGCAGCGGACAGAAATACGTCGGGCCAGCAGACGTTGCCGGGGCTCTCGAAGAGACACAAAAAGAATAATAATAATAAGACGACGTTTAACAGGTCTGTCGGAGTCTCGGTGTTACCACGTTTGATGAGCGACCACAACGTACACGTCCTGTGGTTTTTTGTTTGTTTGAGCTCGCGAGCAGTGAAGAAGAAAGCAGTTCCAGTTGCGGCAAGACGGCCGCTTTCGTCATGCGCTTCCTTCTCCTCCTCCTCATTTAAAAAAAACCAGAAAGAACATGTTGATCATGACTATTCCAATCGATCTTTGAGCGAGTAAAAAAAAAAAGCAGTGCTAATTCTGTTGCGTTCGCGGGTGCTCTACAACAAAAGAACTCCATAAAAACGCCGTTGATCTTTTCTCCCTTTAGAGGGAGGGGTGCCAGTAAAGAGGATTGTTTTTCCTTTCAGCTTACGACAAGCATCTTCAGATCGAAATGGCACAAGGAGCTGCGGCGGTAGTAATAAGGAGCTGAATTAATGCGAAACAAATCAAACGAAGGAACCTGCGTTCTCTTGCGAGAGCTTGTTGTTGATCCCTCATTTTTATTCTCCCTTTTCCCCAATCAATCAGCTTTCATCTTTTCGGGTGAGTTAGGTGAGGTGGCAGGTGTGCTGACCGCGCCCTTGCCCGCCTTCTTCTTTTCCTCCTCCAGGCCAGACTTCAAAAGCTCGCTGTCGCTCTCCGCCGTCAACGCCTGCAGGCGCCGCACGAGCTTCGAGCTGAACGTCTCCATGCTAAACTGCTGCAGAATGCGCGCACGGCCCTGCGTCCCAACCTTCTCCGCGTACGAGGCCTCACGGGCAAATTGCGCCATCTTGTCCGCAAAGGCCGCAGGCTCCGGCGCGGAGAGGAGCCCCCCGCAGGTCGACGGGTCCTCCCTCTCCGCGTCGCCGACGCTCTCGCACGGGCCGCCGTTCGCGATGGCCACCACCGGCTTGCCATACGCCATCGCCTCCACCGGGACGATGCCGAAGTGCTCATTTGACGGCGTGTACACCAGCGCCCGCATCGACGACAGAAGAATGGCCTTTTCATCGTCGCTGATGTTCCGCATGAAGCGAATCTGATCCGACGGAATCTTCAGCTCAGCAGCGTGCGCCTCCAACTCAGCGGCGTACTGCACGTTCTCTTGCAGACGTGGGTCGTAGCCGCCGGCGACAATAAGCAGCAGACGCCTGTGCGGGTGGGTGGTGTCCACTGTGCCGCTTTCGCCGGTGGACGCGGGGCTGAACTCGTCCGTCGCCAGCAAACGTGCAAACGCGGTCACCGCCAGCGTGAGATTTTTCTTGCGCTCGTAGCGGTTGATCGAGACAAAGGTGATAGACCCGTTCACGGCATCGCGCAACTCTTGCAGCGCCGGCGACTGCGCCAGCACCTCTGTCGTCACGTGGTGCACATCCATGTTCACCGGTGGGTAGAAAACATCCGTTGTCTCGTCGATCTTATCGGCCATCTCGGGAAACGTCCGTACCGTCGTCTGGCGTGAGAACTTCGAGTTGCACACGACGCTCGTGGCATGCTTGAGACTCCTTGCCTCCACCGCATCGAAGAAGCCGCGGTAGGCCTGGTGCCCGGGGATGCTATCCCTCAGCGTGCCGTCCTCGTTCCGATTCGGATCGCAGAGCTGATCGGGGAAGTGGCAGTAAAAGAGGATCGGCGTCTTGCCCGCACAGAAGGTTAGCACCGGCATCGCGGCCGCCACCTGGTCGACCACAAAACAATTCGTTTCAGGGAAAGCCCAGCAGGCGGTGAAGGCGGCAAAGGCCATACGAATGGTGGCACACAGCGCCTTGCCGCGGCCGAAGAAGCTTGCTGGCAGACCGCTGCCCCGCACGACGACGCGGACCGTGCCGTCGACCGTTTCCTTGAAGGCGCGGGACGGGTCGTGGTGGTTCGTGACGATGACCACCTCCACGGGTCGCACAGACTGATTCTTCATTAGACCCACGGCAGCGTCCACGACCAGCCGCTCCGCCCCGCCAATGCCGAGGTCGGGGTGGAGAAACACAATGTGGAGGGGCTCGCGAGGCAGCAGGTCCACGATTTGTGCCGTTTTGTCAGGTGAAGCCACCGAGTCATCAGCAGCGGTTGTGGCGGGGGCCTCGTCGTGTTGCGTCTCGCCTCTGTGCGCAGTTTGGTGTGCCTCGACGAGCCTCTCGCGACGGCGGATGTACATTTCGGTGGTGCGCATGCGCACAAACATGATGAAGTAGTTCACAATGCACGCCGCACCGAAGGCGTACACCATCCCAAGCAGCACGAAGCTCGTCATTAGAGGACGTTTCTCGATAGACGACGTCAAAGCAAGTACTAAGTTCGGTGGAGATAAAGAAAGGAATAACTCTTTGATAGATTTCACTGAAAACGATCACGATCACGTGTCTTCAAGAATATCGATGCTGCAGTCCAGGCGATAAAGAAAAGGTGAATGAAGTAACACGAGTAAAAAGACTCGAATAAACGGCGCACATCAAACCTGTTATTTAAAAGAAAAAATTTCAAAGCGAAAAAGTCGGCGAGGAAACCTGTGGTGGGGAAGGGGACAAAAAAGAGAAAGAAGAAGTGCAGAAGAGAACAGGGAGGTGGGCTGCATCTTGAACAAGGGAAGAATGGCATTGCAAAGATAGTAGATCTGCCGTCTCTACGGCAGCAGTCAGGAAAAACTCGTTAGTTAAGAAAGCAACGCAACTCCGACGTTGTTGTCACCGCTGGTAATCGAGGCTTCTGTTTGTATTTCGCTCATGTAAGCAACGCGATGGCGCCGTCTCCGCTGCGGCCGCTTCGTGGTGGTAGATGTACGAAGCGCATAGATGGGAGAGACGCACTTGGCTGCTCCTAAGACATCTTGCGGTGCTTCGCAACACTCCGTTTTCAACGCAGAACACGTCAGGGTGAATCACCCATTTTCCGTTCCTGCCTTCACCACGGCTTCTGGGCACCTTCGCCACTTTGGATTTAATGGTTTATTTATCCCCCGGCGCTCCGAGAACATAATGCATAACAGATCGACTTCTGGTCTGAGTTTTGCCGTGACACGTCTACGATTTTTCCCCGGTGCGAACGTTTCTGACTTGGCAAGGTTCGATGTATATATAACAGAAAGAAAAGATACTGAAAAAAAAAACATCATTGTCAATGAACTCAAGCGTGTGAGAGAGAGAGAGCGTGTGCATGTGTGAGTGCGTAATCCGTGCAGAGGACAAGCCCATCCTATCGGCAACCGCACCCAGGACAACTTGCAAAGGAACGAAGAGAGGAAAAGAGAAACGCGCACGAGTCAACCAGAGACAGCACAACGGGAGGAGGGGGGAGATACAAAAAAACAAAACAAAACAAAACACTGCGTGTATGAGAAAAAGAAGAGCAACACCTGTGAGCGAGGCTGCAAATACAACCCGATGATGTGGACAGAATCATCAGACGCCAAACGAACAACAAAAAAAGGTACGGATGACAATAATAATAATAATGAAACATCTTCTCTAAGTTTGAAGTGAGTGAAAACAACAACAACAACAACAACACAAAGAACAACAGAGGGAATAAGCCACCCACAGCCCACACAAAAGAAGAAGAAAAAACGAGAAAGAGGAGAGCATCGTGCTATCGACATCAGCGTCGTTCCTCCTTCGTCAATTACCGGAAGTCCACTCCTCTCTGCCCTCGGAGTGGTGATTCAGAGCAGACAACTGGAGGGAGCAGAAATAAATACATATATCAGATGGACAGCACATGGCAACACGAGGATGTGAAGATGTCGAAGTACAAGTGATGGTGAACGCCTTTCTTTTTCCCTTCCTTCCTCCCGCTCTGTACTACGCCTTCGACTTTATTTTTTTCCATTTTCTACAACAATTATCGAAGCAGTGTGCGCGGAAGCAACCAGCACGAATACGCAGAGTCCAACCTCAAACAGCAACTTAAAACACAACGGAAGCAAAAGAAAGAGACAGCAAAGAACAGTTCACTCAGCAACATCAACAGCAGGGACAAAGCTGCTACAAAAAGAAAGATGTGGTTAAAACAAGTGTACTCTATAAGAAATTAAAGAAAAAAAAACCGAGCTACATCACCGACTTCTACAAGGTGATGGAAGGAGGCAATAATCGGGGGGAAAAAGGCCAATTCGGGGACTGAGATGTCTGAAGCGCAGCAGCCATGAAAAACAAACGCGCGCAAACGCTTCCGTGAAACGCTTTGCCATGCGTCTCGAGTACAAAAACGAAAAGTGAGAACAAAAGAAGAACCAACGTAGTTGCGGAGGACAAAAACCATCTGTGAAGCACGCCGCTTCAACAGAAGGCAGACGTGACCACCGGCAGCTGCCAGTCTCCACTTACCAGAACCCGTTTCCGCCAGCGCGGTGGCGGCCGCGGAAGTACTCGTTGCTACCGCCGCTGTACGTCGAGGCAAACCCAAACCCGCCAGAGCGAGCGAACTTCTCACGATCCTGCTTCAGGTCGAACTCACGCCGCTTCGCGGGGTCCACCAACGTCGCATACGCCTCGCTGATAACCTTGAACTTATGCTCCGCGCGCTCGCGCTCCATTTCGTCCATGCCCATGCACTTATCCGGGTGCCAGCGCAGCGACAGCTCTCGATACTTCAACTTTATCTCCCGCTCCGTCGCGCTGCGTGACACGCCTAGTTGGTAGTAGAAATCCTTCTCCCGCTCCGCGTCCTTGGCCAGGTTCTGTTCGGCCCCGCGCAGCTCCCGTGCGAGTTCGCGGTCGGTGCTGTCGTACTCCATCGCCTTCTTATAGTCCCGCACCGCCGCGAAGTGGTCGCCGAGGTGCTCGTGACAGCGCGCACGGCGGGCGTACGCCTTGAAGAACTCCTTGTCGATGGCGAGGGTCTTGGTGCAGTCCTCCACGCCCTCGCGGTAGCGGCCGAGCTCCTTGTACGCCGCGGCGCGGTTGCAGTACAGCACCCTCAGGACCTGATCGTTGTCGGCGGCGGCCTGGATGGCGGCCGTGTAGTACTCCGCCGCGGGCCCGTAGTTCTTTTTGTTGAAGTTCATATTGCCGTTCTGCTTCCCGTCATCCACGGCATCGATCTTCTTCAGCAGTGCCGCACACTCGTCGTCGAGCTGCGCCGCGTCGATGAGGCATTTCTTCGCCCGCTCAAAGTGCTCAAACCCGGAAAGGTACAGGCACTCGCTCATGATGCGACTCGCCAGCGGGGTGCGGGCCGAGTGGGACAGCGCCTCCAGCACCTCCACGGCGCGCATGTAGTGCTTCTGCTTCCGCAACGACTCGGCGCTGCGGATGCGGAACGGCACGGCGTCGCTGTACTGGGCCACCAGCATGCGGTACTGCTCGTCCCCCTCCGCGGTACCGAAGCAGCGCTCGGCGTGGCGGAACGTTTCGAGGCTGGCCTTGTAGCGCGTCAGGTCCGTTTCGTTCTCCTCCGAGCGACGCTCCTTCGGCACGCTCAGCAGGATGTCTACGGAGCGCTGCAGATCGCCCATCGTGCACGCCGCGCGCGCCGCACGCGAGACCATTTTTGTATTTGTGGGTTCCAGCCGCACCACCTCAAGGCAGTCCGCTATGCAATCGTTGTACCGCTGCGCCATGTAAAACGCCGCGCTACGGTTGCCGTACAGAAACTTCAGGTTCGTCATTTTGTCGGCCGGCTGCATGGAGACGGCCTTGGTGTACAGCTCGAGTGCCGCCGTGTACTCGGCGTTCTCGTACTTCCGGTCCGCCTCTAACTTGTACTGACGGCTGGTGATGGTGGACGTCACCGCCGGCGCCGGCGCGGTGGACGCTTTCGCCACCTCTGCCGCCCTGCAAGACTCCAGCTCCTTCCTAACAGCTTTCTCTTTCGTTAGTATTTGCTCCCGCTCCGCCATCTCCGCCACCTCTGCCGCCGCCAGTTCTCTCACCACGGCCTGCGTAGCGGTGGCGGCCGTCGCGTTTGCCGCAGCTTCTGCCGCGGCGGCGCTGCCTCCAACGCCGGGGCGCTTCGCCCGCAACACGCGGCGGTCCATGAGAGATGCGCCGTCGCTGTCCGGCATGCCGCCCGCCGCCCGCAGCGCCATGATGCCGTCGCGCACGTTCTTCGGCAGCTCCATCGGAGTCGCGCTCGACATCGCAGCGGAACACCGGCGGCACACCAAGTACGACCCCTGGCTGCTCATCACGGCATCGAATGCCACCTTATCGCAGATAGCACATTTGAAGAACTTCTCCGCCACATACCTGGCGAAGTCCGCCACGGAAGCGCCGACGCTCCCGCTGCTGCCGCTGCTGCTGCCGCTGCCGTTCGGCAGAGCGGTGGTGGCCGACGGCGCGGAAAACGCCGTTGGTCGCGTTGCCCCGGTGGTGGCCGTCGTTGCCGTGGCGCCGGCCCCGCTGCCACCGCCTCCATTCAACGCCCGCGCCGGGCTTGGGTGCGCTGCGCCAACTCCCGCCGCGGTGGCGCCGCCGTTCGTGCGACGCGTGTACCCCGCAAATCCGTTCTCATCCTTCGGATCGACAAAGCGGCCGAAGCCACGCGAGGCCGGGCTGCTGTTGAGCTGCTTCTCCGCTACGCCTGCGCGTGCCCCGCTGACCTTGTTCACGTTCAGGTCGTTCGGCCCACCGGGCCCGGCGGCGTGTGCGCTGGTTGGTGAGCTCAGCACGGCTCCCGGTTGAGGGGACCCGCCGGCGCCGGCAGGGATGGGTGACGGGTTGATGCGGGGGTCGCTCATCGGCTCCTCCGAGATGAACGACGAGGAAGCTGAGGAGGAGAGCTGCTCCGCCTCGTTGTCAAAGGCAACACTCATCGCGTGTGTGCTATCTATATATATTGCGTCCTTCTCCCTCGTGTATACAAAGAAGGAGCTCCTCGAGAAATATATATCGGAGTACACAACCAAAATACGGCGATGCGTGCCTCTCCGCCTTCTTTTTTGTCGTACTCTGCACTTATCGTGTCTGCTATTACCAATCTTCAAATAAATAAAATAAAGGCGTTTCTAAGCGAAGGAGAACAGTAGAAGAAGAAAAAAATAGGTGTTCTTGCGTCCTTCTTTTTTTTCCTTTCAACGGCGTGCCGCTTTGCCTGGGGAGTTCACAGGCCGCGATGAGGAATAATAATACTATTAGCAATCAACTGGCAAAACGACAGTCACGCAAAGAAGACACTCAAGAAGACGTTAGCGATGGCCTGAGACCCGAGCACGGAATCAAAGACTTCACTTCACCAACTTAGGAACAGGAAGAAAAAAAAAATGAAGAGAGAGAGAATCAAAGGGAAAAGGGAAAAGAAAATCTATTTTTGCACGTTGTAGCGCGCAATCACAAGCTTCAACGGAGCAGACAGGCGTTGGCACGCGTAGACGCACACGTCACGGTGAGCTATTCATTGATGTGAGGAGGGTGTTGTAAAAAAAGAGGCGGAAGAATCGTAGAAGAGAAGGAGTAGCAGCATGGCGTGGTAGGTCGTCACAATTTGTGCGTAGGTGCTGCTCAGCGGACGGCTGAGGGGAGTCAACATGAGTAGTGCGAAGAGCAAGAAGGAAAAAACGCCCACCAGAGGGGCAGCGGTGGACAGAAACCATATATATACATTGCGACGCTGCTCTTTGGCTGAGAAGCGATTAAACAGTCTCAAGGAGACAATGAACATAGTTCTGCTTACCTTTACTGAGCTGAAGAAAAGAAGAAGTTTCTGAGCGCTGTTTCGGGCACCACAGACACGCTCACGTGACTTCGCAGCTGGTTCGTGTTCGCTTGTTTGATACGTAACGGAAGTGCCGCTTTATTGCACGTTTAACAAGAGATCAGAAATTTCAAATCGAGCAAAAACAAAAAGGCGTGCATTCCACACCAGACGTTGTAATCCGCCCTGCTGAATCCACAGCGCGCGCAATGCGGAGCAAGTATGAGCTTCCGCAACACGCATCATCAGTTTTTGGCGCCATTTTTTGAGTTGGGGGAGGGGGAGGGAGGGGTCCTCATGGGCGGGGCTTCTGCAGGTCTTTCAGTTTCTGAAGCTCTTGGCGAAGACGTTGATCGGACTTCTTGCCCTTGCACTCCTTGCACTTCCACCCGTGTGGACGCTGCACCATCTCCGGCGTGTTGAACCGGCCGCACACGACACACAACTTTGGCATGGCGGCCCCCGTCGTGGGCGATTTGGAGTCGGTGTCCGAGGCCGACTGCACGCTGCTCGCCGATGCGGTGCCGAAGCTGCCTTGTAGATCGGAGCCACCACCGATGGCGAACGCGCTCTCTGTGGCCGGGACGAGAAACTCAATTGGGATGGACATGAAGAGGGGGTAGCGGTAGCCTGCGGGGGAGAGAGTGAGGGGGCGAAATTGAAGCAGTACGAGATTCTCGCCGGTGTAGCGCACCGCTACCCCCTTCAGCTTGCCGCTGCATACTTGGTCCATCGCGTCGCACCAGTAGCTGTCGGTGAGGTGGCGGCGCAGGGAGGCGCTGTTCGCGAGAATAAGGTAGGACTCGCCTGGCGTCGCAAAGGACGAGTTGCGCACCGCGACCTTTTCAATTTGAAAGGACATCGTCGGGTGTGGCACTGAAGAACTGGGGAATAAAACAATAATAGAGAAGAAAGATGATGTGTGGCGGTGGTGGTGTAAAGGGGCGTGCCTAGGGACAGCTGTGGCGCGACACAACGCCTCTCGCTCTTTTTCTCTGTTTGAGGGGCGAGGTTGTACTCTTGGCAACAACGCAAATCAACGCAAAAACAGAAGTATTGGAGGACGACAGAGAATAGGTTCTTTCGCAGGAACGGAGGAAAGGGAAGCATAACCCTTTCACAAGGACGGTTCGAAGGAAAAAGAAAACGCTGCGCAGGCGGCTTCCTTCCCCCCAACGTACGCGCACAGCAGCATTCGCCGGAGACCCGACCACCCTGCCTGCAGTTGCGCCGTCGAAAAATGCTGTCAACTGTTCGCACCTAATCCAAAGAGCAGGCTTTTCGTGTGGGTACGTGTGTGTGTGTGTGTAGTGCAACTTTGGTCCCACGTTTGTTTCCCTCACTTCGCTGAGATGGATATGAGACATAAAGCCCCCCAAAACGCTGATAAAAGAGCGCAACACGACTGTAATGAACGCCAACGATGGAACCAACACACCGCATCAACACGGTTAGCCGAGACAAAAACTTCAGCGTATTTCTTTTTCTCTTGCAGCGTTCCACAGCACAGGTGGGGAGGCTTTCAGAGATCAGCGGGAAAACAACTGAAGGCCTTCTGGTTTTCCCTCTCCACGAACAAAAACAGCGTTCAACACTATTTTTAAAGAAAGAGTCAGTGGGTACGTACTCTTCTCGCCCAAATGTGCAGTTTGACTTTGGGGAGGGCCAACCCATGCCGCTTTTGAAGCACTCAGCCAGCCCCCATGAAGGCCTCGCTCTTAGATTTCGGTGGATGACGCCGACTCTGTCGGAGCGAAGTGCGTAAGCTTCTCCTTTGCCATAAACTCTAAAAGCGGACCGGAAAAGGGAAACGGTTGGACCAGGCGAACAATCGCCACCCAGAAGCCAGCCCTCCCCTCCGTGAACTGCTGCGGCACCGCTGAATCGTTCCACGTCGCCGCCATCACGTAAATCATATTTTTCACCGTCTCCTCCACCGCCTCCTGCACCAGCGATGCCTCATCTTGCGCGCCGTCGGCTGAAGCGCTGTCGGGCGGGTAGAAGCTGTACACCGCGTACAGCGTCCCGAGCACCTGCCGCCACACCGAGACCAGCATTTCCAGATCGCGCGTCAACGCTGCGGTGTAGCGCAGCAGCACCTTCGGCACTAAACTCAGCAGACGACACTTAACTTCCGTGGAAACAAACGACGTGGGTGCTGAAGCGCGACGTGCAGGCGACGTGCACGTTGAACTGCCTGTCCCCATCGCTGTTGCTGCCACCTCCTCCGCGTTGCTGCTCGATGACGGTGCGAGCAACGCGTTCACGATGCTGCCGACCATACCACGCTTTGAATTATCGTTGCCACCGCTATCGTCTCTGCCGGAAGCTGCCGCAGCACCACCGCCGTTGCTACTCGCCACCGCGCTAGTCCAGCGAAGGCCGGACTGCACCTTGGCTTTCGGCACACACAAACGCTCCGTCAAGGGGATTAAGATGTCCTTGTACACGGCCACCACCGCAGACGTGGGCAGGACCTTCGCCTCAGAGTCGAGGAGGGCGCGCTGCAGGCACAGCAATGCCTCGCTGCCGTCCCGAGCCTCCGGGCTGCACAGGGCCAACGCGCCTAAGCTTCGCAGCACAAAAAGCCACTGGCTGTACCACCCCTCCGCGTCGTTGACGGTAGCGTCAAACCCCTCCTCGCCTCTCTTCTCGCCGAAGGTTTTGCCAACGTGTTGGATGAGCACGTTTCGCCCGCTCAGACTCAAGATCTCCGCGACGCTGGCGCCACTCGGGAGGCTGGCCGCGGTGCCGTCCCTGCCGCGCCCGCCTCGGGCAACATTTCCATCCGCCGTGCCACGTGGCCATACGCTGAAGGATAGACAAAGTGACACGATGCTCTCCGTGTCCTCGACGACGTCGTATCCGCCCTGCTTCACCACGAAGAAGAGAATCGACAGAACGTGCCGCTGCACCGTCGTGTCCGTCGTGGCGGCGGCGTGGGTGGCGAAGGGGGCGAGCAGCACGAGGACTTCGCTGCCGGAGGCCCACGGAGCGATCTGCTCTTCGTGCTCTGTCTGCCTCGGCCGCAGCAGCACCGCCGCATCCTCGCCGTCGACGGCTTCTGCAGTGGCGGAAGTCTCTGCCTCGGCGCCCCTCACCACCACCGCTTGGTAGAGGAAGGACGAGACGTGCTGTGCCACCACCGCCGTGAAGACCACCGCCGGAGCACGCATCCAGCACGTCCACAGCTGCTCCAACGCCACCGCGCCGGCCGGGCCTCCCCAATGCGCCGCCATCAGCTGCACCGCGGCGCCGACGACTCGACTGCCGACGCTGAACCAGTAGCGCCGCACGTTGTCGCCAGCGCGCACGTCGGCGAGGAAGGCGCCCACCTCTGCGAGAAGGCGGCTGATGCGGGCGGTGAGAGGGGCGAGATGCTCCGGCTGCAGCACGTCCGGCGTGGAGGCGCCACCGACGACGGCGCAAATCAGTGCAAGTTCGTACGACGCGGCGTAGGCGGCGGCCTCGCTGATGCGGTCGGCGCGTACTCTGTCGTGCGTGTGGGCGCCGCTGTTTTTGCTGCTCTCTGCATCGCTGGAAGTCATGACAGGCGCGGCGCTGATGCTGCACGCCGCACAAAGGCTCATTACACAACGGCTGCCGTGCTCCGGGTCCGCGGCCACGACACGCAGCAGCGACAGCATCTGCCGCATGTCCGGGATGCAGCTGCGGATGCGCTGGTGGGCGGCCTGCAACTCACTCAACTCCGCCTCTGAAATCGGCGACGTCTCGTCACCGCCGAAGAAGGATGAAAACCACCCCCGCTCGCCGTTCTGCTTCTGCGCGGCTGCGGTGGACGTGAGAGGAGCAAAGACGTTCGCGCAGATGCCCGGGTCCTGCAGAAGAATGGCGAAGGAGCCGGCAGATTCCGCCGTGCCAACCTTACTGGTCTGCAACCCCTCGTTGGCTTTGGTCGCCGCCTCACCGTTCCCGCTGTCTGCCTTGACACGCGAATTCCGCTGCTGCGGGACCGCCCTCTCGCCGTAGTCTACCAATAGGCCCATGAGCTGCATGTCCAGTACGAGGCGCGCGAGCGGCAGCCAACTGTCCTTGAGGCTTCTGTGAACATCCACCAGCAGCGCAAACACCTCCATCAGGCACAGCATCCTGGGCACGCTGCGGTACAGACGGCGCACCTCCTCCTCTGCGTTCGATAGGCTCATGACGACGTGCCGCAGAAGCCCCAGGAGACACTGATCAGCGACGGCCGGCAAGCCGAACGCGTTCGCCGCACGCGCCAGCATCGAGACACCGCGCAGGCTCGACTGCAGGACGGACATCTCGACTGGCAGGCGTCGCTGCACATCGGCGACCGCCTCCGCCAACGACCTCCCGCGTGCCACCGACGCCTGCGTGACTTCGTCCACGACGGACTCCAGCATGCCGTCAAACACGAGCAGGCTGCGCTTCCACAGCGACTGAAAGAGAAATGGATCGAAGGTGCGCAAGACGGTGTTGCGGTCCGACAGAAGCACGCCGACGGGCTCGTGCGCGGACATGCTGGCCAGCGACTCTACCGCGCCGGCGTTCTTCTGCACCGTGGCGGCGCCGTCGGCCAACGCGATCTGTAAGAAGCTCGTGCACGGCCGCATCTCGAGCCGCCAGGTCGTGTCGTTGCCAAAGCCACGGTCCATCATATCCGCCATCACCACTTCGTGCTGCCGCACATCGTCGTACACGCGGCCCAGGTACTCGGCCGGGACATCTTTGCCGTCGTCGATGCCGCGGTTCATCTTGACGAAGTCGTCCTTCTTCATCTGGTGGGCCACCTTGCCAGAGTGCTGATCGGTGTTGAGCATGATGATCGCAAAGGACAGCACAAAGGCGCCCGACTCGCTGTGAAACGGGTTGACGCTCTCGTCCTTCTGCACCTCGCCGTTGGGGAGACGGGTGAGGTTCTGCTGATACCAGTGCTTCGCAAAGCTCTCCATCACGCGGTCAATCTTCTGCGACTCACCTGGCAGGCACAACAGATACACCATCTCGCGTATCGCCGTGAGCAGCGGTGTGTTGTGGAATTGGAACTGGTGAATGAACCCGGTCAGCTGCGCCTCAAAAAAGCGAACAGAGAAGAGGGCCGGTGCCGGCGCAGCAGACGCACCGTCGCTCGGGGAGCGGCTGGCTTCCTCGGCCTTGTCGCGTCCCTGATCGCCAATGTAGTCGCCCAGCACCCGCTTGTTCAGGACAATGCTGAGTCGGTAGAGGGCCTCGCCAATTTCACGCCCACCCGCCGGCTCCGCCACGATGAGCTGCGTACGGTGCGCCATCGACGCCTGCGCCTCCGTGCCGCGCGGCACCTGCACGGCGTGCTCCAGCAGAAAAGGGATGCCCTTCTTCATGGGCGAGTCCTCGAAGAGGGCGGCAAATTGAGTCAGCCTCTCCTTCTCCCTCATGGCCTGCTGCGTCAAATGGCGCAGCTCACTCGACGAGGGAGAGGAAGAAGAGCCACACGCTGCCGGGTGCTCTGCGCTGGACGTGGCCCCGGCATCGATGGCGCGGAGTGCGATGCCGGAGATCATGTTCGTCGCGGCATCAAGGGCGATGCGCTGCGTGCGCTGAAGGAGCGGCCCGGCTGATGCGCGACCGCCACCAGCGCCTCTGTTCCCGCTTCCACCGCTCCCTACACCGTGCGCTGCCCTGCTGAGACGCAGACCGCCGTTGCGCCCGCCTCTCTCGCAACCATCATCACCGCTCTCCTCGCCTCGACCGCCACGAGAGCTGTTGCCACGCCGCAGGCGATCGAGCGCGTCGTCGTCGCGGCCCATGGGGTAGGCGTTGTTCACCAGCACCTGACACAACTGCGGCAGCAACGACGAGTACCGCCACGAGAGATCGTAGTGGATAAAGCAGAAGCTACCGAAGCGCGGGTCGCTACAGAACTCCGCCAAGCTGTCGAGCAAGATGTCGCGCCGCTCCTGCTTCCGCTGCAGCTGCGTGCGAGAGAGGCGGGGAAAGGCGTTGCCTGAGACGGTGCTGGATGGGCTTGCCGGCGACACCCGGCCAACCGGGGAGCTCTGCCCCGTTGGCGAGCCCGCCGGGCCTCCTGCGCCGGCGTCGGACAACTCGTTCGTGAGCGTCTCCAGCGGGTTCAGGTGCAGCACGCGGATAAAATTGTAGATTTGCGGGATGAGGGACTCGGACGCGTCTTGCATGACCAGGTGCACCGTCCGCAGCACCTGCGCCAGCACGATCGACCGGCTGGTGCCGAGCCCGGCAATCAACAAGGAACGGCACAGTTGATTCTGCACGGTGTCGAGCAGCGGGGCGCACGCCGGGCTGCTGACGGAGCGGCGCAGCAGGAGCAGACAATCCTGTGCCAGGGCGAGTCCCTCCAGCTGCACCAGCGCGATGCTCCGCTCCGTCGGCGACTCTCGCTCCTCACCGCTGCTGGCACCGGCCGCCGACCCGTATGCCTCCGACCCCGTCACGGTCGACGCGGCCACCTCGTGGCCGTCGTTGACCCCGTCACGGTCGACGCGGCCACCTCGTGGCCGTCGTTGTCAAAGGAGGCGATCTCGCCGCTGATGAGCCGGCTGATGAACTGCAGTACGACCGTGCTGGCCGCCACCACCGCCTCCCGCTCCGCCGGCGCGGCGGGGAGGTACAACACCCGTCGAAAGAGCGTCATGACGATCGACCGCATGCTCTTCTCCACTGTACGCTTCAGCAGCTGACTCGCCTCAGGCAACGTGGCCAGGACCATCATGCGGCCAACCGCCCGCACGTGCACCTCGCCCGCTGCCATCACCGCCGCCGGGTGGTTCAGCGCCGCGACGTACACGTTGAAAATCCGCGAGAGGAGCACCTCGTGCGACCCGTTGTCGTGCACCTCCGCCCGAGTGTCCGAGGCAGCCTCAATGGCGGTGTGGACGCCGTAGATGGAGATGAAGCCGCAGGGGAGGTCGAGCATGTCGACCAGTGCTGTCAGCGCCACCCCCGTAACGACGGCCGGCGTGCTCGGACTGCAGCAGACCTTGGCGAAGGCGGAAAGAATAGTTACCTCACTCACCGCGTTATCAACGGTGGTACTGCCGAAGGGGCGCATCTGCGCGGGGGAGAAGGTGCTGCTCAGCGCACAGCCGGCGCCGTCGTCTGTCGCGACATTCGCAAAGGCCTTCGGAGACGAAGTGGGAGAGCCGTTGCTGCGCTGATAGGTGGGGGAAGAAGACGAGGTCGGCCCTGGGACGGGCACCGCGCCCGCAAAGAGGCGACGCTGCAGCTCACGCAGGCGCTGAAAAGCGACGTACTCGCCGCCCTCCGTCTCCTCAGCGTAGCTGCTCCTCCCCCGGTGGAGCCGGCTGCTGGTGCGCATGGCTAAGAGTGTGTTCTCAACGTGGATGAGCACCATCTGGCGGTCCGTCTCGCCGCTATCTGCCAACGTGGCGTGCATCATTACAGCGAGTAAAGCACACAAGAAACAAAAAACAAGGAAAGGGATACGATGAACAACTACACGATTCTTACTGTTTTCTTTTCTCTTCAGTGCACAAATCTCAGCACTGTCCGCACTCAGGTACGCTTTCCTTTCCAACTCTGATTGCGTCTGAGAGAATGCCCGGGGAAGCCTTTACCTTTCCTGCCCGAGACTCACCTCTCTCACGGGCCACCAACAACGACGAAAACACAAAACAGGCTTCCAACACACCACCAAAGCGAGTCGCACAAGAGTGACGTTGAAAGAAAAGCGAGATCAAAGGGGCTCATCAACCAGGCCAGTTTTTCAGTCGCGAATCGTTTCTTCGTCTTGAATGGGTAGTTTGTCACGGCAAGCCGCGAATGAAAAAGACGCTCGTGATTCAAAATCAAAAAGAAAGAGATAGAAAGAAGAAGCTCTTTGACAATGCAGCTCAAATGCGCAAAAGAAAAAAAAGGGAGTGCGTGATCCTATTGAATCCAATCAGAGTTGCTGAGTAGGGCAACGCAGTATGCAGCCTCAGTGCGACTACTTAACGTGCTTGTTAAGCTACCCGGCAACGACGAGATCAATGCTTCTCAGGATATTACAAGGAAGAAGAAACAAAAAACGGAAAAGGGGGAAAACCAGCAAATATAGACGGTTGGGCGAGAGAATAAATAACAGTGCTTCGGAGAACAGAGCCTTAATGAACACTTTAAGACGATGAAACCTTACAGGTCCAGCGTATCTCATTTCACGTCACTCGAAATGAAGCGTGCAGCACGGCGCAACCGCTGAAAGACGTCGGTACTCCCATTCAGAGGAGGCTTTCTCTGAACGCGCAATGCAGCTAACAGGCAGGTCTCTACTCAACTGTCTTGAGGCTGGGACGTAAGAGCTGCTTTCGGTTTCGATTTCTCGCTTAGTTTTGGTTGTTGTTGACGGTGGTGGCCGCTAAACTTTGCAGAACAAAGAAAACAATGAATGTAAAATAGAAAAACAACACGTACAGAAGCGAATCGACGCATCGAAGAAAAAAACACACAAAGGGGCACCGAATGCAACGCAAACACGGCCATGCTCATGGATATTCGCAAGTGAGAAGAATAGAAGGAGAAAAAACAAAGATCATTAAAACGCAGCTGCGACCCATGCACAAGCACACCCATGCTGTAACACAACAAACACGAAAGTGAAGAAATACATGAACCCAGAACACTTACAAGTCTATTCTAACAAAAGAAGAGACGTTGCCGAAGATTGGCAGAGGAGGAGCATCCGTCAGACGCGTTCTCATCTTGCGGCACACGTATTAGATTCCAGACGTACCGACAGCAGTGATGCGGCCAACGGCGATGCCACGCGGTGCCCAGTGCAACACGACGGCGTCGCCTGGGCCAACCACCTCAGGGCGAAAGAGAAAGCGGCATTGCATGGTGCACTCACGCCTCCCTTCCGGCACCGCGCCAGCCGCCGCATCACCAGATGTCGAGGCCACCGACACTACGTTCACGGCCTGTCGCGCGTTGCGGGTGTACATGATCGGCTCCATATGTGCGCCGATCGACTGTGACAGCACCTGCACCGTCGCCTCAAACGCCATCGCCACCCGCTCCGGCTGGCGCACGAGCACTTTGCCCTTGTGCGCCACGGTGACCGCCGCGGGCAGTCGGTCCAGCGCGAAGGTCGCCTCGTCGCCGACCTGCGCCGTGTTGACGTGCTCGCCCTCGACGTGGATGCCGCGGACGAGGACGGTGTAAAAGCGGCCATCGCTGCCGGGGCCGATATAGCACGAGCAGCCCACCTCGACCGGGCCGTGCGCGACGCGGCCGTGCACCACCGGCCCAACGTCGTCCACCTCGAAGGCACAGTCGAGGAGGACTTCAAAGGGCGGCTTGGAGGCGCAGGACGGTGGGCTCAGCGGTGGCGAGGGGGGTGTGTTTTGCAGATGGGAAAGGCAGGAGCGGAAGAGGTCCAGCCCGTCCCCGCCCGCCACCGACGAAACGCAGAACATCGGCACGCGCAGGCGCTCCGCCGTGGCGGGTGCGTCTTGTGTCGTCGGGGAGGCGAAGGAAGCGTAGGTGTTGCCGCCCCCCACCGCCGCCTCGCGGTGCCGCGGCAGCCAATCCCGACAGTACGCCGCGGCGGTCTGCTTCGACTCCACCTGCTCCGCCACACAGCCCACCTTCTCCAGAGCCACCGTCAGCTCCATCAGCAGCCCGTCCAGCTCGAACTCCTCCACGCAGTCGCACTTCGTGACGCCCAGCAGGAAGGGCGTGTTCATGGCGCAGCACACCTCGGCGTACAAGGAGACGTCCGAGACGTCGCTCGCGTCAGCCGCGACGCACACGCACACGTAGTCCGGCTTCCGGCTCATTAAGCCAAACAGCATTGTTTTGGTGATGTCGCCGCCGGCGTCTAGCAGAGTGATGGAGCGGGGAGAAGCGCAGGTGAAGGGCGGAGTCGGTGGAGCAGCTGCAGCCACAGGCAACGACGCGGGTGACCAACTTGGACGAAATCGACTCGGCACAGACACAGCGGGCGGTTGAGGCGGCTGCGGAGGTGGGGAACGGTAGCTGCCTCCCCGATACGTGGCGGCAGCAACCTGCGGCACCGTCCACACTCGTGCGGCAAGTGAACTTGTCCGGCCAGAATCGAGCTCGTGTTTGTGGTTGAAAAGGGACTGACGCGTGCCGCCGCAGCCGTCGTCCAGGTGGGCGGTGAGGAGGACGGCCATCAGGGTCGACTTGCCGCACCCGACCGCGCCACAGAAGGCGACACTCAAGTCATGGGCGCTACTCGACTGCCGTCGAGACACCATAATCTCTCCGCACAGCAGCTCCTCCTCCGCCGCCTCTCCTGTCATCTTGGCGGTTGCAGTGGACACCGCACAACACTGCAACAAGGTCGCCTCCAGCTGCAGCTGCGCCGCCATCCGCTCAATTGTCTGCACGGACTCGTCGAAATCGCGGCGTGTCAGCCCACGCGGCGTGCCATCGTCCGACACACCGAGTTCGTACAGGCACTGTCCTCTGCCCTCGGACACACGAAACTGCATTTGGGTGACGAGGTGCTGGAAGCGGGTCGCCGAGATGCCGGTGAGGCGCCACTTGTACTCCACGTCCCCCTCATCGTCTTCCGCCGTCAGCGACGCCGGACCGGCAGCGGTGGGTGAGGCTGCTTTGGCTGTCGACAAGCCACTGTGGAGGGGGGCAGACACAGCATCGCCTCCATCATTGCGGTGTGCTCTGTGTCCGAGATGCCGTTATCGGATGCTGGCTGCGGCAGGCAGACAGGAGACTTCGAGAGGTGTAGCTCCGAGTCCAGCAGCCCATTCCACGTCGGCGACCCCGCCGTGTGGAGGGCGATGTGGCCGCGCTGCAGTCGCCGGTCTTGACAAAAGGAGGCGGCGGCCCGCTCCGCAAGTACGCGATGCTGCGAGGAGCAACTGGCTGGTGCTCGTGGCGATGTCTGTCGGCCACGCAAAGTTTTTTGGGTATGCGGGTCGGCAGATGTGGTTGCAGTGAAGTCATAATCACTCGACCTATTCTCGTGGTGTTGTGCACGGTGTACGCCCCCATCTTGGGCAGTGGTGGGTGGGGCCTCCATCTTCTCCGTAGATGGAGAATCCAAAGAGGAAGTGTTCGGGCGGGACGGCTCCGCCGTCGTTGTCGCCGCTGCGGCGGCCGCCACGCCGTGCCGTTCCTCGGTCTCCGCACGTATTCGAAACACTTCCTTTTCTAGCATGATAGGAAAAGAAGAGGCAACGGGGGAGCTTACTGCAAAAAGGAAGAAATAAACAGAAATTACAGGCAGGGACGACTACGCTGAAATCTCACATGGCGTAGTCTCGGAGACGACATAAACGAGAAAAGAGGAATCAGAGAAAGGAAAAAAAAAGAGCTCAGCAAACAAAGAAAAAGTTCGATTACGACGCTGAAAAGAGCAGGTGTGACGCACAGAAGTGGTAGTAATAGTAGTAGTAATGAGAGAGGCCGGCGATGCGGTTGAAACCTAATTTTTAAACGAAAAGAGCCGTTGAAGCACTGGAGAAGATACGTGCTATTGTAGAAGCTGGAAGCGTGCCGACTTTTACGTTGTGGCAGAGTAATCAAAGCCGCAACTGAGCAGGTTGACCCGTCTTCTCTCTCTTTCTTTGAATTTCTCTCCGCTGTTATCCGGAACAAAAGTCAAAAAAAAAAAATGCCACCCGCAAGTGTGTGCACGTGAACCTGTATAACTGAGTCAACGCGTAGGCGCGTGTGCCTAAACAGCGGAGCACACTCGCTGCAAGTCCTTCTTTGTATCACCGTATACTATTTGAACCTTGGTTCCTTTTTTTCCCTCATGGAGAAAAGATCAAGAACAAAAGAAAAGGGTATAGGCACAGAGAAGAAGATAGAAGAGGTGAGAATCATGTCAACACTGCGTGTCACAACCCGACGTCGTGCACTGAAATGAGTGGGTAAGTACGCAGAACAGAAGAGAATATCGTTCCTTTTCTTGCTGTTTCGTCGAGAGCACAGAAACTTATACGTGTCAGCCCTCGTCGGCGCGCCCCGAAGCTGAAAAGACGTTGCTATTCAAACGCCAAAAAAGAAAACAGCCGTTCTTCAATGGATGTACGTGAACGTAAAAAGAAAGAAAACGCGTCCGTCGCCTCTTTCCTTTTCACTCTTGTCAGCATTGCAAAGCCGTGTCCTTTCCTTATTTGATTATGGAATGAATGCATAGGAGCGGGCAAACGCGAGTTTACCCAAATCACATGACAAATGATAGAAATAATATGAAAAGATAGCCGAACAAAAGAAGGCGCACCTCTACACCAATCGCGCACATCGTTGAAAAGAGGGAGGGAAAATGCGGCTCCAAACAGCAAGAGAAGCGTGCGAAAGCGCGTCTCTTCGTTTCAAGGCATCCCACTTTTCCGTTGTTTTCTCCCTCGGTCTTTCCTTAGATCTGGCTCGGGTACAAGTATACGCGGATGCGGCGGCCGATGGCGGAAGCCGGTACCGAGGCGCCGTTGAACTTCACACGCACCATACCGGCGTTACCGTGCGGGCGGGTCACGCGGCCCCACAGCGCGCGGGCGGTGCTGCGGCGGGCCGGCGCCTTGCTCCAGCGGACACAGCGCTTGACCTTCTTGCCGTGGTAGACGTAGCAGATGCGCTTGCCGACGTACCACTTGGCGTCCTCGCGGGTGTTCACGTTCTCAACGCGCACGAGAGCCGTCTTCTTCGTCTGTCCGTACAGGCCGCGTGTGTAGCCCGCCAGCGTGCCCTTCATGTACAGGCGGGGTGCCTTGCGGTTGCGGTTCACCCGGCTTGTCTTGGCGGACAGCTGGTGCAGCTTCTTGCTGCGCTGGGCGTGGACCTTCGAGGTTGTCATTCTGCAGAGATCCTATTGAACGGCTGCGGTGGTGAAGACGGTGGAGCACCGATGCGTGAGCGATGTGTGCGGTAAGAGAAAGGAAAAAAGAAGATGAGAGAGATATAGAGAAGGAAAGAGGAGTGAAAAAGAGAACAGTGTGTAGTCGCAGTACAAAGGAAGCGTTGGAAGGGTTGGAATAAAAGCTGCGCGGCCTGTTTAACATGCTGAACAACCAGGAAAAAGCACACCTCTCCTCTTTTTGAGAGTGAGTGTGTAGTAGCGACTCGCTGCCAGAAGTGACAGCGGAGCCCATGTCAGTGCATCATCCTTCTCTCCTTCTTCAGACAACGCGTTATTCTTTCTCTTGCGAGAAAACACAAACTGTCAAGGCGGTTTGCAAACAAAAGGGTTCCTTAAAATGAGAGCGCTTTCTTCTGTACTTTTTTTGAAATGCACCGGACGCATCTTTGCCTTTTAGCGTTTCGGCTCGTTGCGTGACCCTCTTCTTTTACTCCCCCCCCCCTCTGCAGCTCATCCCATGTTTGAGAGTTTGAAGGTGGAAAAGGATAACAGCCGTGCGACGGCGGTTCCGTTTTCCTTCGTCGACTTTGTGAAGTGAGTCTCCCGTTTCCAAACGCAGAGCAACATACAGAAAAAAAAAAGAAAAAAAGAGAGGAAGGGGGGCGAACCCACGTGCGAATTAAAAGTAATGCGCACGGAGCAATCACCCTGCATGCTACTCGGCCCCCGTCCACACAGATTATTTTTTTTTTTTGATTGAAAGAGAAGAACAGGAAGTACAATCAGGAGTACAGTCAACCTAACATGATAATACGTTTGTTTTTTCATCCACACACACACACACACACGCACATACACACACAGACACAAAGGAAAAAGGGGAGACGTCTACGCCGCTCCCCCATATTGACGATGAGCGCCGCCCCTGCTCTGTTCCCCTTCGGAGCTGGCAAACGCGCGCCGATCCAGCAACGGTGCAGCTTCGAATTCTCCGTTTGGTCCGAACTCGAGACCGTAGTCGGCCACACGCTGTCGCGCGTCACCGTTCGCGCGACGCTCGCGACGCGCGTCTAGCACGTTCTTCACCGTCATGCCAATCCCGAGAATTAAATAAAAGACGGCAGCGTTGAAGATGGCTCGTGCCTTCTGCTGCCGGTCCCACTTGTTGCTGACAGACGCGATGGCCATCGAGCTGATGCCAACGCGAAAACAGTAGCTAATGAAAACAGCGCAGACAGCATTGAGGTAGCAGAACACCATGCACGAGCGAGTTCCGAGACCCATTGCCGCACTTGAAAAAAGTTAGAACAAGGGAGAAAAAAAGGTGTGTAAAAAAGAAAGAAAGAAACAAAGAAACGTCCTAAGCTTACGATTAAATTAAGAAATGAAACAAACAAAGGGAAACCCCGACGGAAAGAGCCGGTCTGCGGAGGTGTCGAAGACGCGGAAGACCCTTACTGCGCGAAAGAGAAAGTGGCTACTAATACACAAACCCGCTGCAACAACCCCTTTTTGCTTTTCCGAGGTGGGAAAAGGAGGCGAAAGATGAACGTCTCCAATTAGTTTTTAGTGGAAAGTATGCCTACGATGCACTAGCAACGTGTGCCTTCTGTGCTGCAGTGATGCGGCTGCAAGTCAGTCCTACAAAAACCGAGACTCCTCAAGAAAGGGGGAGGGAGGGAGGAAGGGAGAAGAAGTGCAACGCGGATACAGCACAGCGGGTCAGCGGTGAAGAAGAAACAAAAGAACTACTACTTGAATAATGAGAGGAGAAGATAAAGGTTAAAGTGAATGAATGTAAGAGAGGTCCCCATGCAGGTGGTTGCGAGGGAGTGCATACAAAGATTGTAGAAGAGAGAACGGTGTGGCGGAGAACCGAAGGGAGCGTTGAATGCGACGTGTGCCCGATGACATCTACGCGTCTCGACGTTCGCCCTTCTTTGTAGAATTACACAGAATATGTGCATCTTTCACTCCTCTAGCACAGATGGGGAAAACGCTTTCCGTTGCAGAATGCACTGAGCCCGGTCTCTCACAACGGCTGCGGCAGCGTACCGTGGAAGCCGCAGTTTAGCACTCATCATCAATTTTTCTTTCTTTACTTTTGGTAAATAGCAGTTCATCTGCCCGTTTGCACAGTCCCAACATCGGTTTGTTTCTGTTTTTCTGGGGAGTCTCCTCCCTTTTTTCACGCGCGACTTTACGGCTGCTCCAATCCATGCAAATCAGCCCTATGAAACATAAGAAAGTGATGGCATGAGTATCCGGCCTCATGGTACTGTGAGAGCACTCAAAGAAAGCTGTACGTGAAAGATGAAGGTGAAGATGAGAAGCAGCGACAAATCAAAAAAAAAGAAAACGAGCATAAACGCATCTTTGGTCGTTTATGACAACAGCCCCTCAGTTGCCGCGACGGCGAATCTTCAATGGTACAGGCGACTTCCACTTCGCTTCTACCTCGGGGGAGCCTCGCCGGTCGCATAGCGCACTTGCTGACAGGCCACACAGTGAGCTCGCCTTCGCCTCCGCAGCTGCGTCAAGGCGCGGGGGCGGCTGCGGCGGCGGCGACAACAACGCCGCCTCCGTGTCGTCGATCCGGCGGGTACAGCGGCGCAGAAGCGGGGCACAGAAGGGAAGCGCCGCGACTCTCCCCCTGCAGAGCCGCGTGAGGCGTCGGCCACTCGAAAAGCCAGCCCGCACGCCGCGGCCGGCAAAACGAACGGCAACGCACACCAGCACCATCGTGCGGTCCACAAGGAGGATGAGCCCGAGGAGGGCGTAGTAAAAACCCGCCCTCCGTGTCGCGGCGGCGCGCTCGTTGAGGTCCCACCGGCGGCGCGCCGCCGCGACGGCGAAGGAAATTTGCTCGGTGCGCATCATCCACGCAAAGAGGAACGCCAGAGCGCCGTTCAGAAGGCAGAAAAGGGAGAGCGCCAGGCGCCATGCCCGCCACGACGACGGCGTGGGTGCGTGCAACAGCGGGGTTGTGGGGAAGGCCATGGGGGGCGCAGCTGTGCCGCGCAGAGGCGACAGCGGCGGCAGCGAAGACGATGCAACCTGGTGAAGCGGAGAGGACACGGGAGTCCGCGAGCCCACGATGGCGATGGGGCTTCGGACACAAGAAGCAGACCCGCATACGACATCCCCGCCTCTCCGTTCTTGGCCGCCGACGCTGTCGGCACTGGGGGCGACAAAGAAAGAGATTAGCGACTTTTCGGCCGACAGCCATCGGCCGAACGAATTAAGTTCCTGCACTGCAGGAGAGGCGGTAGGGAACGTGGAGGCGGGCCCCGGTGGGGGAGAGGCCTCCACATGAAACACACCTTGGGCGGTTGCTGAACTTGGTGTGCAACGTGAGACCACGGTGGGAGACGTAAGCCCCGGAAGCGACCTGTCCGGCTGGCGGCGATCCACTAACGGCGATTGAGCTAACGGAACGGCAGGCCTCAGCTGCGGCATCTGCACGCGAGAGCCGCGCGGACGCGCAGCGGAAGACGAACTGGTATACGGCGTGAAAGTAGCGAACAAGGAAGTACGAAATGGGAGCTCTTCTCTGTCATTTTCCTCCGACCCACACCCCTGCGGAGCAGCTGCAGCGTCCACGACGGTGCACGGGGATCCCGCCGCATCCAACATAAACATGCACGTGGTTGCAGTACACGATAAAGGTATCAAAGGTGGGGGAGAGTCCGAGCTGGGGAAGAAACAGGCAGCAACAGCGTCGTTGGAACTCGGTGACGCAAATATATATATATAGTTAAAGAAACAAGCGGAGGTGAAGAAAAGGATAGCAAAGCGAAGGAAGAGTCTGAAACTATTGTTGCTTTAAAAGCGAAGAGGTCAAGCAATAAAAACAAGGGGGAGCACAAACGGAAGTGTGTAAAAGGGTCTAAGGAAAAAGAAACGCGGAGGTCGTCGGTGATGCGGCGAAAAATTCAACGTTTGTACAGACGCAAGCAAGAAAAGAAACAATAACAAACAGAAAACAGAGCAAGCTCAAAAACAAGGGCATATTCCGTTCAGGGAAAAAAAAAAGAGGAAACCCAGAAAACTATATACACGGTCGGCGACGCTGGGAGCAAGAAAAGAGGGATCAAAAGGTGTGTGCAGTGCGCTTCAATGGGAACGGTGGTTTCACTGCTTTTCTTCGAGTGAGACGACTGCTGTAGAAAACGTACCTTCAGAAACAGAAATGACGTATTCAATACTCGTTGTTAAGTCAAACATACATCTAAGTGTATTAAGTGTACTAAAGAAACAAATCACACTTCCTCAAAAAAAAAAGCAAGTCAGTTCGGCAGAAAAAAAAGCTGAGATGGCACACAGGATGCTGATCCGTGAAGCTGTTCTCTATAAGCGAAGCATTCAGAGTCCGTCTTTCCCCTCCTCTCCTATTTCGTCTCCCCACCTTTTATCGTGATTTAAATGTCCTGCAGGTCGTTAAATAATAAGAACAGAAAGAAAATGTCAAAAAAGAGGGAGAAAAACAAATAAATAGTGGCAATAATTGGACGGTTTCCCGAAACACAGCGCTTTCCTTCCTTTCGACTACGTCAATATATATAAAGATAACACCGAGAAATCAACTGCTGACGAATGCGCTTGAAGGGGAAAAACAAAACCAGCGTGCACGGAAAAAAACGAAACAAGTCGCTAAACTCGACACGTGGATTTGGAGAGTGGAGGGGTGCAGTTCTGTGTGTGCTTGTCGTTGTCAAAGCTATAGGTAGGAGAGGGCCCAGGTTGTATGTGCGTAGGTTTGGACAGGTGAAAGGATCTCCTGCGCTTAGATTGAAGACTTTGTCTTTGCTTTCTTCTTCTAAGTTTGTTTGTTTTTGCCGCCTTGCATCTGCGGAATCAGCGGCGTTCGAGGAGGTGCTGCGGCTGGGAGGCAGGAACCAATGCAGTAGACGAGCTGACAGTGTAGCGGCGCGCACGCATACGTGTGTGCGCTCGTTTGCTGACGCCACGTTTCGCGCTCGTGAAGCACCAAATTACAGTGTGCGTTGCTTCGTCTTCTTTTTGGCGTCACTCCTTTGTAACTATTGATGGTTCCTGGGAGAGACAGAACACGAAAGTTCGCAAGCGAGCCGAAAAGTGGGGTTAAAAAGAAAACAAAAAGGATTAAGAGCAACAAGAGGAATGATGAACATGAAAAGCAAGTCGGCGACACAGCGAGGTCCACTTGCAGGACGAGAGAGCGTGCCGTCCTACGGAGAGGGGACCGAGATCATTCTCGCAAACGAAGGCGGGGAGGAAAAAAGAAAAAAGGAAATCAACCATCGTAGTGCGTAGCAACGTCATTGAGCGATCGGGACGAGAAGAAAACGAATACGTCAAATGGGCGGCGACGGCCCTTTGTTGTCCTAATCTTCTTCTTGTTCTCGTTTTGGTAGATACTGGAAGTGTGAAAACGATGCATCTAGATCTAAAAGCTGTACGCGTCATCTAATTCAAAGCAAGGGGGAAAACACACAGAAATAAATGAAAAATGCAGGACTGGGTAGCCGTTTTTCACTCGTAACGACAGCCCATCAACGCGCTCTCCAACGAAGCGACGCGCAGCAGCAAATCTGCGATGGGTCGGTCGAACCGAGCCTTCAAAAATGTGTCTTGGGTACTTGGTTCCTTCGAGGTGGAGACGGAATCCACTCCCTGCCAGTCCTTTTCGCGAGCTTTATAGTACGCTGTCCACGCGGAAACGCCTCCAGAGGAAAGCGCTGCGTCACCGCGTTCGTTGACAGGCACCTCATGGGAGCCGCTACCGTTATCAGCAGTGTCGTTCTTTGCCTCTTCCGTGGCAGAGACCGAAGAAGCTTCACGGCGGATGTTCAGCACCTGAATCCCTCCTCGGCCACCGGTACGAGAAGGTACGCTCGGCCACGCACAGCGCGGCGCGACCGCAGGCGGCGCCAAGGCACCGCGTTGCACAGCTTCGTTCTCTGCATCGAGAAGCGTGGGGATGCTGGGGAGCAGAGTGACGAGGGCTCGAGATGCTCTGTGGGTCTCGGTTGCCGTTGCAGCAGCAGGAAGCACAGAGACGCCGCCCACTCCAGTGACGTTGCGGGCAGAGGCGCACGAAGTCACGCGGGCGGCGACGCCTCTATCTTTCGGCAGGTAGTGCCCACAGGAGCACCTGCGCAACGGCACGACGAATCCTGCGCACGACGTATTGGCCGCAGGTGTTGCGGCGACCACCGCGCAGTCGCCAAACCGATCACTGTAAAAGTTGTTCCACTTTGCATACTCGGCCACGTTGCCGAGGACGACGTGCAGCCGCTGATCCTCCGCATGGGAAGGTTTGCTGCGGTGATGGTTGCCATTGCCCTCCGCAGCGGACGAAGCACACGGCGAAACGTCGGGGAGAGCTGTTATGGAGTAGACGTACTCTTGGGGCGTGCGTGCGTCCGGGGACGCCTTCTCCTGCAGCGTCAGAGCGTCGCGGTCGCGCAGCATCAGCGGACCTGTGCCGTAGCTGATCCCATTTACACAGAGACGCAGTTGAGAGCTGTCCCACGGCAGCGCTTCGAGAACGGGTGCGACATTTTTTGAAATGGACGTGTCGGCATTTGGGGTGTGGAGTCGAAGCTCTACCCGGCAGTTGTCCGCAACTAAAGCAGCGCGGTCCTCTCCGGGGGTGGTGGAAAGAATAAGTCCTGGAGCGTCCGTGTTGAAGCACGCCTCCACGTAAAACCGCATGGACCCGGTGGCGTAGATTCAGGTGGAAGAAAAATATATAGAATTCACGTCGGTGTCGCTTGCGCGCGTGTATGCGTGTGGATGGGCCTGCCGTTTCACGACGCAGGAGTATCTCGCAGGCAATACAACAAAGTATGTATATATCCACTCGTCTGTTTCGAGTCCAATGCAGTGGAAGATGAGCCAGAAAAGGAAAAAGAGAAGCGTGTGTGGCAAGCGTTGAAGACGGACTGCGCTATTGCTTTGGCCAAGAAGTGCAGCCTAACTGCGAGAAGAAAATCAGTCGCCGTTTCTTTGTTCTCAGCAACATCATCCGCACCGAAGGAAACAAGAGATGAAGTTCATCACGGAATCAACCTGCTTTCATTGTTTTACCGTAGAAACAACGGCGGGAGTTCTCCCTCGTCGACTGTGACGTCGACAGAGTTCCAGTTATGAACCCAATTTGGTGACTGCATCCCTCCAATGAAACCTGTCAACGATCTGCAAATAGAGAAACCGTTTATTCTTTCCTGTCTGTTAACCCCGCATCACGAAATGCGTGATATGTTTGAAAATTCGTAATGAAACGTACAAAGGGGGACATGATATATTTGTCAGCAGGCCCGACGACTATTTTACATCCAGCTCCTTTCTTGCGCATTCCACCATCTGGACCTCCGTTGAACCCGAGCGAGGAAAAATGCGGTAAAGGAGACAAAAAAAAGGTCTGATTGAAACAGGGAGCAACGCCAACGGACGTGACAGCATTGAAGATACTCAGCTGAACTGCGTCGCCGCTGTGCATCTGCGTGCGTACTCGCGTGCCATTTCACGCTGCAGTCCGCAAACATCGATTATGTACATGAAAGATAAGCAAGCGGGGGTTACAAACAAACGCGGCTAGTTGTACTAAACACGATGGAGACAAACAAAACAAAACGCACAGACGAAAAAGGAGGAGCGCGCGAAGGAATCGTCAGACGACGGAGTTGGACACATTAAAGGGGGGGGGAGGGGCGGCGCTCACTGCGTGGCGGAAAAGCCCCTGCGGCTGCTAGAGTCCCCGCTCAGGCCGCGCTCACTCACCCGAAGTTGCTCCAGGGATGACGCCACGTTGGGATTTCGATCAACGGCGTCGCTATCGTCGTGCAGCTCTTCCGAGGCGGCCACCATGGCGGGACTTGCGGTGGCCGCCCCGTATTGCGGCTCTTGTCCAACTCTCCGATTCCTTGGTAACGAGCTGCTGAAGGATGTCACGACAGCACCTGAGCCGACCGGTGAGGCGGAAGTGAACGAGGCGGGAGGTGTGGTCGGGCCACGCGCTTTCAGCGGCAAAGTCCCCGACTGTTGGTGGGCAGCAGCGGGGCGCGAGGACGGCGAGGACGACGCAGGCGACGCGGCCGGCTGCGTGGCCTGCGACTGCGCCGGCGTGCTATTCATACCTCGATTGCTCGCCGTGGACCACGCCGCTGCCGTGCGCGCGGGGGTGAGCATCACGCGGGTCGTGGAAGACTTGAAAGGGGCAAAGGGGCCGTACGGGCGGGCAAGGCCCAGCTTATCATCTTCCGGAATGTAAGCATTCGGCCGCTGCTCCGCTGTCGTCGCGATCGCCTGCGCGGCCTCCCTCGCCTCGGCTGCCTGCGCGGCCTGCCGGCGCTGCTGCCGTGCCGCCGCGTAGCGCTCGTCGACCTGCTTCCTACGCTCGTACTGCTCCTCCGCCTCCGCAAAAGGGGCATCGCCGGTCGCCATCCGCTGCTCCGCCTCCGCCACGACCGCCTCCAGCCGCTGCACCTCTTGCTGGAGCTGAATGCTGGAGGCCTGGAAGAGGGAGAGTTCCGAAATGGTCGCCATCATCTGCCGGCTCTTGCCGCGGATGTTGCTGTGGTACTTGTTCACCTGTTTCGCGAGGGCCAGGGTAACGTCCTTGCCGGACTCCGCCTGACCGCCGACCCGCTCCGCCAGCTCCGACACCTCCTCCAGAATAAGGTCTTTCTCGCGCAGCTTCGCGGTGATGGTCTGCATGCGACTTTCCAGCTCCTGGCAGCGGGCCTGCAGGCGGACATACTCCTCGGACGGCCCTCCCACCAGCGCCAGTGTCGCCGACGCGTTCACAGCGCTGTTTTGGTCCAACGTGGCTGCGGATGTCACGGCTGCCGCGGCGTCAGCGGGTGACGAAGGAGAAGAAGCGGCCACCGTCGGCACAGGAGCCGCGTTGCCCTCCTGCGACCCCGCCGCCTCCCTCCGTCCCACCGCCCGTACGGGTGTCGTGACCTCATCGGACACCACCGGCACGGCTGTGTTGCTCGCAATGGCCAGTGGGATGTGCTTCCACCGGTGTGGGTTCTTCGGGTCGGTGAGGTCCTCCTCCAACACCTGCGCCCGCCATTGCTCCGCCTCCATTTCGTCTTGCACGCGGGTCAGCTCAAGCTCCATCTGTGTCACTTTTGGCAGAGACTGCTGGCACGCCTCGATGTCGCGCAGCAAGTTCGCCAACTTCGCCTTTAAGAGCCGCACCTCCACTGCACTGGCGTTCGTCATCTTTGTGCCCTCCGCGATGGCCGACTCCTGCGCCGTCACCCGCGCCACCAGCAGCGCCGCCTCGTCGTTGCGGTCGATGAGTTGGATGCCGACCTGATTGCGCCCCTCGACCGCCGCCGCGTACGACCGCCGCAGATCCGTCATCGTGTCCTCCGTCGCGGCGATGTCCGCGTTCAGCCGACGCACCTGCGACTTCACCTCCCGCTCCCTGTCCGTGGCCTTCTCCAACTTCTTGCGCAGCCGGTTCTTCTCCAGCCGCAGATTGGCGCAAATCTGGGTGAGTTCGTGCGCCTGATACTTGGACTTCGTGATTTCTTGCTCCTTCAAGGTGGACTCCCGCTTCAGCACCGACAGCTCGCGCTCCAGCAGCTTCGTCTTCTCCGCGACTTGCGTCATGGCCTGAGTGATGGTTTGGATCTGCGTCGCCTTCTGCGCCCGCTCGCGCTTCACCTTTTGGAACATGTCCACAAGTTTGTTCAGCCGCTTCTCCAGCTCCGCACCACGGCGCCGCGCCTCCTTGACGTACATCTGGCGCATCTGCATCTCCTGTTGCGCCAGTGTGAGCCGGGTCGCCTCGCGGGCGCTGGCGCGGCTCAGCTCCTGACGCTTTGTCGCCAGCGCCTTCAGTTCGCGCTGCTTCACTTCGTCCTGCTTCACCTTGGCGGCGAGGGTGTCCTCCACCTCGCGTATCGCCATCAGCACACGATCGGCCTGTCCGACAAACTCCTTCGACTTCGCCTGCTCGGCCAGCAGCTTGCGCGTCCGCACCTCGATGTCTTTGCGGTAACTCTCGCATTCCTTTTTGACACCGGCGGTGGTGCGGTTCACCTGCTCCACCTCCCTCTCGACCAGCCGCACCTGTTCCTGCAGCAACTCCCACTCATGCCGCGCGTTGTCCTTGGCCTGCTCCAGCGAGGAGAACACCCGCATGTACTTTTCCTTTTCCCGCTCCATCCGGTCCACGCCGTCCATCTCCTGCTGCAGTGCGAACTTCGTGGTGAGGAGCAGCTGCTCCAGCTCGGCCACGCGCTCCTGCGTCGATTGCCGCGCCTCCAGTTCCACCTCCAGGGAGGTGTTCATGGTGGCGAGCGTCTTGCGCTTCGACTCCATCTCCGTGCGAATTGCCAGGACGCGCTTCTTCACCGCCTCGAAGTCACCGGTGCGGCTGTTGCGCTGAAACTCCAACGCGGCAATGCGCTGGGCGTGCGCGGCGATCTTCTCCTCCGTGCTCCCCAGTTCCCGCTCAGCACCTGAAAGGCTGCCCAGCACCAGATCCAGCTGCCGCTGCGCGCGCTCGGGGTCTTTTTGGACATTTTGCAGTTGCTGCCGTGCCTGCGCCAGCGTGGTGTCAAAGTTCGCTATCACGCTCCGATGCTGCGCCTCCTCCTGCGTCAGCCGAGCCAACTCCGCATCCGCCTGCTCCTGTTCCCCGGCCACCTCTTTAATGTGGTTGCTCATGTCCGCAATCTCGCTCTGCAGCGCCTCCATCTTCGGGCGCAGACGTGCCTCCTCCGCCGCCACGGCGTCCTCGCGATCGAGAATTAGGTGCTGCTTGCGCCGATCGTACTCCAGCACTTCGACTTGCAGAACGCTTTCGCGCTCAAGCGCAGCGGTCAAGTCACGCTCCTGCTCCATCAACGTGCGCTTGAGGCTTTGGATGATCTCGTCGTCCTTCTTGGCCGAGTCGCCGCAGGAGAGGACGTTTTGCCGCTCCGCCTCGAGGCGGCTCCGCAGCTGTCGCGCTCGCTTCAGCAGCGCATTGTCGCGCTTGTAAATAGCCAGGACGCGGGAGTGCAGCTCGGTGAACTTTTGCTTTAAATACTCCGCGCGCTCATCAGAAATTTGGCCCTCGTCGACGAGGGCGTTCAGCACCGCGAACGCGGTGGAGTGCGTGACGTCCGCCGCGTCATCGAAGGAGGACGTTGGGCCGGCGTTGCGCTGCGTCATGTGTGTGTGTGTGTTTGTGCGTGTGGAAAGAGGGAAAGAGGGAAAACGAACAGGGACAGACAAACTGAAGGATTTCTTGAGATTCTGTTCAACGTATATGTGTATTTGCCTCCTTTTGGGGGTGGCCAACTACGTAGACTCCCGCCCCGTTACCGACCGAAGCAGTGCTGGTGACGTCTGAAGGTACAAGGCGAGTCTCGAAGAAAAACCCGGCAGACTGACGTGCAGCAAGAATAGAAAAAAGAGGAGAGAAAAGAGTTCAACGAGAAGCGGCTGAAATGATGGAGGCAAAAACGAAGAGTTCCTTTCTCTTCTTCTTCAATACGGACGTGAAAAGCGCTGTTCGAAGAGTAAAGTGAGGGATAGAAACTATCAGCTTGCAAGTACTCACTCCCCAATTCGGACTGAAGTCAGCCTGCTGAGTTAAACAACAAAGAGGCCCATGTTTGCAAAAGCAGCGTGGATATCACGTTTACTTTTCTTATTCTTATTTTCTTTTCATAACATTCATTTCCTTGTGCCTCTTTTGAAAGTTCTTTTCTCTTCCCCTTTTAGAGAAGGTGCATTAGCCTTAACGTTGCGTATCTTAGTCATCTGCAAATCTTCGTTATGTTCTTGTCTGGCATTGAAGGTGATTCTCCTTCCGAACGGCGCTCACCACAGCCCATCTCGCGTCGCCAGTATACTCTCACATGCAGATGTTGTTGTTTTTTTGCTTAGAAAGGCTACTCGCTAGCGCCCGCGTTCTCACGTGCCCTCTTCCGCTCCTTCACCAGCGGAGGACGCTGCTTCGCCAAGGTGAGGGAGACGTAGTCCGGCAACCCTTTCCCTAGCACATAGGTGCCGCGTGCCCCAATGTAGTTCTCATTGAGATTTAAGTAAAACTTCGTGGCAGACGCCGTTGAAGGTCGAAGTCCAGACTCCGCGGAGGCGACGGGTGCGAGCGGGGGCCACTGCCGCACAACATCCGACACGGCAAGCGCACCGGCATCGTCTACGCCGACACTTCTCAACATAACAGCGCGGACTGAGGTACAACGCCGAAGGGCGCGCAGGACGTGCAAGGCACCGTCGTTCCCCAGCTGTGTGTTATAGCTGAGGTCCAGCACCTCCAAATTCGAGTTGGATGGCGACGACGAGGAGGAGGACGCACAAGAAGACGGTGAATCAGAGGGAAAGATAGTTGTGTTCCGCGCCGCCCCATCGCCCTTTGTCACTTCGACGGCGTCTGGCACGAGTGACACCGCCACGCGGCCATCCGCGCCGAGCCCGAGCAGGTTGCACAGCCGCACCACGTCTTCGGCACACAGGCGATTGCGTGACAGGTCAAGCATACGCAGCGTGTGCCGATGCGCCGCGATGCGAGAAAAGAAGAGATGCAGCCCAGTCGGTCCATCGCACCCAATTTGCAAGCGAAGGTGTCGAAGGGGGTTCGTCGTGTAGGAGAGGTCGAAGTACGCCGCCGCACGGACGCAGTGCGCAGCGGCAAAGCGACTCCGCACCACCTCAAGCACGTCCGACCGCGGCAATGCGTGCATAATGCGGTAGATGGGATCCTTCCGAAGCTCCTCTCGATTCGACAAGCTTGGCAGGGTCGCCTTCACCGCCTCCACGGCACGTTCCTGCTCCGCGACATCGGGAAACGCAATGTCCGGTAAGGACGTAGAGAGGGGCGGCGCCTCTGCCAGATCCTGGGTGGTTTGATTGAACGATGAGCTTGCCGAAGCTGGAGTTACGCCTTCAGCGTTTGCTGCGCCGCCATTTGCCTGGTCGCGTCGTCTAGCTTTTTGCTTTTTGCTCTTCTTGGAGCCGAACGTTGGCGGAGTGCTCATATCCGATGCCGCGTTGCTTCCGTGGACACTTTTACTTCTGCGAAAGGCGAAGGAGGAAGGAGAGAAAAGGCAGATGTGAAAGCGAGGGCACCAAACCCACGTAGAAGAGCTGACAGCGACGGCGAACGAGCCTTTTGGTCCGACAGGCAAGAGCGAACAACAACAGGAAAAAAAAAAAACAACCCGGCTCGTTTGCACGCTTGGTACGGTATCTGAGCGGGAACTCTAAGGTTCAGCTCGGGCGTCGGGAACCGGGCATTCGGAGTGTACACCGAACTCTCTCTCTCTTGTGGGGTTCTCACCAGCAGCCGTGAAGACGGAGCGGTGCACTTCGTCATCTGCTGCCAGGCGAACTCCTTCGTTACTGGTTTGACGCATCGAGAGAAGCTGACAGGAAACGACAACTCAGCAGACTTTTTAGTTTCAAAAAAAGAGACAGGCTGGTTTAGAGCCCGCTACGCAACAGAGACCAAAACATCGGCAGAAAGGGCGTCGTAGAGGTATCAACAACGACAAAAACAAGCAATGCTGTACCGCGAGAAAAAAGAAGAGAGAGGCAATGGACGTGCAATGCTAGCGTAGACGGAAGCGCTCAACGCAATGTATCGATTTGGCCGCACGCACTTGTAGAGACGATTCTGTCGTTTTACGTTGCCATCCGTTTGGGTTGGAAAGGACGCAGGCAAGACATGCTCTTTGTGATGCTGATCGAGAGAGACGCCGCCCGTCTACTTTGACCCGGCGTGGTAGGGGTGTACGGAGGAGGTCCGTCGCACGGACACCACCAAACTCAGCCGCTTCTCCGACAGCGCGGTGCTGCCACGTCCGCCCTCCCCAGTGATTTGCGGGGCGCCGTCTCCGCTCGTCGGCTCACCCCCTGCGCTGCCGTCGGGCCGCACCGTCGGATACTGATACCGCACATCCACCGCCCAGATATTCACCGAGCTGTCCAAATGCGAGGTGACGAAGCGCGTGCCGGTGCCGTTCCACGACAATTTCGTCACTTCCTCACAGGGCACCATGGCGGAGGCCAGCACCAGCAGCGTCGCACCAGACACGCCGCCACCGCCGCTACTGTTCCCGCTGGCAACGGCAGCGTTGCGGCCGCCGTGGCCGGGGTGCGGCAGCCCTGCTGCACTCATAAAGCGCGGACGACGGAACAGCACGATGCGCACGCAGTCGCCAAACACCATTGCCAGCGAAAGGAAGCTGCGGCCGGAGGAGGGCGCCCACGCCACCCGCCGGCACGGCGCCGCACCGTCGGACGGCGGTAGGTGAAACACCATCTCCCCGAGCCGAGTGCCCTCCTGGGTAACCGCGAGCACGTGCACGGACCCGCCCTGATCGCCGACGGCCAGCAGTGCGCCCGACTCATCCCAGCCGACGCCAACGATGTCGCGTGTTCGGTGACGCGTCGCCGTCGTGGGGGCCGCATGGGTTGCACCGAGGAGCCCCACGCCACCGCCGTTGTTTCGTGCCCCCTCCTGCCCACGAGACGCGCCAGCCGCACTACCACCGCTGGCCTCCTCATCCTCGGAAAGAGGAAACGTAACCGTTCGGCACAGCACCCACGAGCTGCCGTTGCCGTTGCCGCCGGGACCGGGATTGAATCGTCCCCCAGTCCCCGCAATACCACCAGAGTGTCCCCGTGCGGTGGTGGACGGCGCGGCCGCGGGTGTTGGCCCTCCCACCCCCGATGCGGCGCCGCGCGACCACAACTCCACCCGGCCCCGGCTGCACGCACACGCAACGGTGAAGTGGTTCGAGATGGCGCAGCTGGTGCTCTCTGTCGTGCGTATGCAGTCATCGAGCGCCCAGTGGCCGTGGGAATAGTGGTAGATGCGGATGCCGTGACCCGGGCATAGGCCGGCCAGGTAAATGCCCTGCTGCCACGGTGCCCACGACAGCTCCGTGCAGGCGCAGGGCACCTCGTCAATCAAGATCGACATGGTTGCGGGGTCCCACTCGAGCAGCCTCTCATCAATCGGCGGCGCCTGGTCGCCACCAAAGAGGTCGTCGTCGGCGGCTCGCAGCGCACCCATGTTCTCAATCACGGGCATCAGCTGTGTCCAGGTCACCAAGATTTCGTTCTTGGAGGTCGAGATGCCCAGGAGTTTACAGTGATTGTTGTGCTCCATAGACAGGATGGTCGCATCGTGGGCGGTGAGGTGGAAGATGGGAGTCATAAAGGACACACCAGAGCTGCCAGCGCGAAAGGCACCTGCGGTGGCCGCCATCATCTCGGCACTCGCCCCGTACAGCGCACGCCACTCCGCCGCAGCAGCAGAGTCCGTGTGAGCGGGAGAAAGGCCATCACTGCCACCTGCACCGTTGCTGCTGTTGCAACTGCGGCTGCTGCCTGTCGGACCAGAGCGGGCGATACTGGCCCCTCCCGCCTCAGCGTGTGCCGTGGCGGAGGACAGAGCGTTGGGGACGGGCAACGGGTGCGCGCCGCCGCCACCACCCTTCGGAAACCCACTCGGAATAAATACCGACGCGTACTGGCTCATGCCGTCGGCGCCTGCGTTGGTGGTCGCAAACGATTGCGCTTCGCCTGACAGCGTCGACGCTGTCTCTTGAAGGGGAGATGGCGACTGCATCGGCGTGCGGGAGTGTGCAAATGTGTGTATGCGTACGTGTAGGGGTGCGATAAAAGCAAGAGCAGGAGAAAAATGGAAAGGTAATAAACGGAAAGAGACCACCACGACAAAAACACAATAATAATAATAACGTAGATGTTGAGAACTTGGTGGTGCCACTAGCCGGATCAGAAATAAATAAATAAAAAGCCCGAGCACTCAACCTCTCTTTGCTGAGCTCGTACGCGGATTCATGTGATGCTGTGTAAGAAACGAGTGACCGGACGTGGGCGAGTCCGTCTCGCTGTCCAGTAAAACGGCTTAACACCGTCCAAACGAGGAACCAAACGTCAACCAATAGTTGATAAAGAGAAAGAGAGAAGAGCATCAGGAGGGAAAAAAAGAGAAGTGGAGCGAGACCAAAGATCAGGTTGTCACAATGTCGCCGCATGTGATCAGCCGTCCGCATTCATGCATCAATCCAATGAGTGACAGAGTGGCCGCTGTTGCTAGGGGGGGGGAACGCCGTTTGTTTGTCCTTTTTCGTGCGTGGCTGCGTGCGGAAGAGGGGGGGGGTCAGATCAGAAGTGATCTCACCTTCGTTGGAGACACCACAAAAAAAAAAGGTTGACCTTTTGCGACAAACCAACAACACAGTTGAAAGAACGGAAGAAAAAGTCCACAAAAGAGGAAAATGCTAAAATCTTCTTCTTTCTTCTTCTTCACTAACGAAAGCCTTTTCGCTTTGGTGCAAGCCTTGAAACCTCGCAGACTCTGACGCTTTGCTTTCCTGTGTTTTGTTTTGCTTTTGGGTTGTTGTTGTTGTTTTGATTGTTATGCCGTGATGCTCATTTTCAGAAGTTATTTTTTTTTCTTCCTGTTTGGTTGGCTCGATTGTTTCTAGCGCGATGACCAAACGGAAGAGAAAATATGAAGAAGGGAGAAAAAGAAAGCATTTTACGGAAGAAGAAAAGATATCAATAGAAAGTGAAACTGATATGGACCATAATGAACACAGAACAGAAGAAAAAAAAGAAAAGAAAACATCTCTGTTGTATTGATTTTAACATGTCTACCGATACATAAAAGTGTGGCGCGGTACCTTGTTCACCTTGAGCGAAGGAGTAATAAAAAGCAGAAGGGAGGAGAAAACATGCTGCAGAAGTAGACAGCAAAAAAAAAAAGAAGGGGATACCCCCCGAGCTAACGAGCAGAGAAGTCCCAGCGAAAATACTTTTGATAAGTAGTGATGTAGGTGGCTTCCATTAAACTCAGCTAACAGTGTATGACTTGCTACGAGGTTTGCTTGTTTGTTGTACCGCTAGCTGGTCTGCGACGGCCAAATCAAAACTACAAAATGAGAACGGTAGATGCAATGACCAGTAATCCACTAAAAAAAAATGCATTACCGTGTTCTGCTGAGTGGATCCTTCGCTATCTGTGTCTCGCAGCGCTGTACGAATAATCTCATTTTCTGCTATCTCTTTTATACCTCTCATTCGTACATATAAAAAAAAACTATAGTGAACCACACAACATAAAGGAAGAAAACGATTGCTGAACAACCAGGTATAACGGACAGGCATGACAGGGAGAAAAGAAAGAAGCATCCGCTGCCACATCCGCAGCGGTCCGATAATTACATACATGCCTCGGTTATAACAGCTCTCAGCATTTCGTGTTCTGCGTAGAAGTACACACACTTTCGCTGGACCTCAGTTTTTGGGGGAGAGAGCTTCTCGCACTGAAGAAGCCATTCTCAATTGATCACCTTCTCGTTTCAGCCCACAAGTCCAAGGAGAAAAAAGGAGAGAAAAAAATCGCATATAACTGTATGACGAGTGTAGGAGTGCGTGCGTGTGTGTGTGTGTGTGTATGGGTGTGGGTGTGCGTCGCGACACTGTAGCAGCATTTCGAATCGTAGTAGAAACACAATATTTGAAAAAAAAAAACGTTAACTGACCAGGGAAAGGAGGCTGATCCAGCATGGGTGTAAACGCATTCTAAGGCAGTAGAGGGAAAAGAAATATATAGAAAGGGCAAAGTAACAGTGCACAACACGACGTCTGAAACTCCAAAAAAAAAGTAGCTTAAAAGCGTCAGGATCTCGGAATTATTAACGGTGACAATACGAATACATACCAAAGAATAACCTACACCCTACAAATCATCACCTACCAACAGGTCAAACCTTTACATGTGAATTACATAAATTTATCTTTCTTGGTTTTACAACACACTGTAAATATCAATAGTTAAATACATGCAAAGAAAACAAACTATTCAACAGACTCTACGAAGTGGGTAGCCCGCCTTACGCTTCCCCGCTGGGTGGGCGGGGAGTTCAGGGTTGGGCGGGTGGGAAAAACTAAAAGATGGAAGAACTGCTGAATTCTAGCAGTTGAGAAAGAGAATACAAGAAAAGGGGAAAAGAGAGAGGTAGGATGAATAATTCTTCAGGCTAGGTCATTCTATTCGCAAGCTCCAAAAAAAAGAAGAGTACATTCTATTCGCAAGCTCCAAAAAAAAGAAGAGTAATAACCACAGCAATTTGCTCAGGCTCAACAAGTGAATTGCATGGGGAAAAAGAAACGCGTTATTTAACAAGCACACAACGCACGCACTTCAAAAGGAAAGCCAACACTGACAAAATCAAAGATGAAAGAAAAGTACAGCTTGAAGTTGTACATCAGGTTATTATTAATATATTTATATATATATATATATATATATAGAATCAACCCTGTGGGCACTGCACAGTGAGGTACAAATGCAAAATAAAATGGAAAAAAGAGCCTTTCCCGTAATATCAGTGCTCCGGCCCTAATTGACGGAGGCCCGAAACAAACAAAAAAGAAGCCAAAAAAAAAAAGAGGAGTGAGAAAACCAAAGTGCAAATAAGTAAACATTGTGAAGAGAGACAGAAGGAAAGTGAAGTCCACAAAAAAGTTTTGTGGGGGAAAAAAAGCGCAATAAAAGGAAAAACTCCCCTCAACGCTGACGTGGCTTTGAGAGAAAACAAACGTTGAAACAAGGGTCAAGCGTAACGCGGCACCTTCCCTGCTGTACAACGAGTAGGTATATTTATATACAAATCCATAAAAGGAAACAAAACCGCAGAAGTGAAAGAGCGAAGACACGAAGAGAGAATGAACGCAAGAAAGAAAAAAAAGGAGAACAAGAAGAAGAAGACCACAGCAAAACGAAACGGAAAAAGAACAGGTTTTCGTACACGTAACGGACACGTGCTCGTTTCGCCACTACCCCCGTGATGTACAAGAGCGGCGAGGCACTCGTTTGACAAGAGGGAGGAAGAGGAGTGGAGAGGAAGTATACATTCGACCAAAGAAAGATTTGATAGCTGCCTAGTGAGGCATGAGAAGGGAGGTTTTTCTTGTATTTGTTGAAGGCGATGATAACAGAAAACAAAAAGTAAGTAAGACAGTGAGATGACAAAAACAAGCTATTCGAGTGTTCAGCTGTCTCGCCTTTGTTCAGATTCGACCCCCAGTGCACCTCGCAGCACCCTCAGTGGGAGAAAAAGGGAGGGGAGGGGAAATCGTGGAAAAAGGAAAGACCATATATTGGCGGCTATCGAACGAGATTCAAGTAAAAACAGCAAGGGGAAAGGAGCACGACAACGCACTGAAGGTTGTTCCCACGGAAAAAGAAACCCACCAGAAAAGAAAACGTATTTTGTGTGTGTATTTTTGCATGCCCTTCCTGCACTCAGCCCTCCGGTGGTGTTGAGAGTTATTAACAGTTTCTTCGGCGGTTTTTCACCGCGCTCGTGAGAAGAACTCTCTCTGAAGTTGAATCAAGGAACATCGGAGAAGGAGAAGGCGGAAAAAGTAGCAGTTACTGGTTCCATTAAAGTCGGAAATAGTTAAAACAAAAAAAAAAACAAACGGAAGGAAAGAAGGAAAGATCCCAGCAGTATCACTGCAATACGCGGTAGACAACGTCGCCAGATGGCAGGGTGTTGAACACAACTTTGGCAGATGGAAGATAGAGAGCTAAGGAGGACATAAATGAAACAAAAGCGAAAAGGAAAGCACACACGCAAGTAAAAAAGAAAAGAAGCTTACACTTCTTCTTGTTGGGAAATCAAGTGCTGATGCACATGAAGGTCACGGAAGAAAAGAAAATCAATCGTCACGTAAAGCAAGCGCGGAAATGAAGAAGGAAAAAGAGAGAAAGAAAATGGGGAAAGTCAATATATATATATACATTGCGCGGACCTCGAAAGAGAAATGCTTTCCGCTGGCGTGCGTCAATTTGAGCGGGATTGGTCAACGGAAGCTCATCGATTCATTTTCGTGGACAACATTCAGAAAAAAAAAGGACAACCGCATTCCTGCAATACTATCGATACACCGTGCTGATTCGGAAAAACGACGAGAAAAGAAGAAGAGCGATGCTGTTGGCTCCCTGCGCACGCACGTTCCTCTAACGAGAAAAGCGGGTGTGCTCTCACGAGCACCCACAGGAGTTCAACAGGACAAATGGCAGATTCAGCGTAGATGCCAGCACGGGCCAAAGCGAATTAAAACTGCCCATCCGGAAAAAGCTGTGAGTCGACTGGACGCTTCTTCCAATGACCAGTAACATGAAAAACAGTAGTGGGTTGAAAAATATATAATAATAAAAATAATAACAGTAGTAAGGCTGATAGAAATAGAAGGAAAATAGGTGACCGCTGGTAGAAAAGGGAGAACTGTTAGGAAAAACTCACTTTTTCGACTTCCCAGCCTCTGGCCCAAGAGAGACAAACACGACAGTTATGTTGTCGCGTGAACCTCGCATCAGCGCCTCGCAGACGAGCTTTTCAGCGACAGTGTTGGCATCTGCGCCACTTTCCATGTGCTGCGCGCACAACTGCACGGCGTCCTCATACGTCATCGTGTCCCACAGTCCGTCGCATGCGATGATCAAAAAGGCATCCTCTGGCGTCAGGTGCACCTCGCACGTATCGGCGTCCGCGATGAGGCCGGATGGCTTGCTGAGGGTGTACGTGTCTAGTTTAAAGCACGCGTCGCCGATGGCACGCGACACCGCCAAGCTGCACAAGCGCGGATTGAGAGAGGGGTGGCCGACCCGGTTGTTAAAGATGCACCCGCCGGCTTCCGTCACCCGCGTCGCTTCGGCAGCGTTGCAGCTAGGATTATGCTTCACCGTCAACGGCACCGGCTTTCCGGCACGTGCAAGCACAACTTCGCAGTCACCCACGTTGCCGACGGTGAGCAAGTCGCCTTGAATGACCGCCGCCGCGCACACGCACCCGGCCGAACTCCGTGCGTCGTCGCTGAGGGTCAGAAAGTCGCGTTCGACCTGCGCAAAAGCGTCAGATATGGCCCTCGCTGGCTTCGCTTTGAGATCGGCGTGCTGCAGAACCGCGTCGTGCAGGTGATCCCGCACGTACACGGCACACTGGCGGCCGCCGTGTCCGTCATAGACGCCAAAGAAGGCGACGTCGGGCTTTACGAACGCAATGTGCTCGTCCTCCATGGTCGATCGGATGCCCTGATCACTCACAGCGCCGAAGTCTCGCACCCACTGTCGGCGCCGGTCCGTCAACGACGGCGAAAAGCTGCTGCCAAAGATGCAGCTCGTCAAGTGTGATGGGAGGAGGCGGGTGGGAAAAGAGGTGTGGTGCAGGGGCGTGCGCGCCGCGTACGTCTCCGACGGCATCCGCTCTCCCAACACCCCGGGCTGGTGCTGCGCCTCGGTGGTCAGGTCGAAAGAGTCCGTCTTGAGGAATTTGGAGGGGTACAAGGCGGTATTGGAACACAGAACAGGCCGACGTTGGCAAACCGCAGGTCCGTCCAAAGCTCTGATGGCGGCAAAACCAGACATGCTTCTCTCTCAGCGCTCAACAACGAGAAAAAAAAAGAAAACGTGTGAAAAACGGAACGAACGAAAGGAAGAGAAGTCTTCGCCAACTACAAGGATTGTATTCTTCGTTTCCTCTTCAACCTTACCTTCTTGTCTATATACAGAGAAAGAGAAAAAAGCTATTTAGTGTAGTTAAAAGTTTTCGAAACGGAGAGGAGAAACGAGAGCGAAAGCAACGTTTACGTTGATATGCGCTGTTTTATTTAAAGAAAAAAAAAGAAGGGAAAACGCACCACCTGATGTTTATCTTTTAAGAACCGACACGTTCGCTCTACAGGTATGTGCGACCAATGGAAAACCCAGGAAAAAAAAGAAGAGCTGAAGAGGAGGATATGTATATGTAAAGCGTTTGTTCCTAGCTCTCCTCAATGCGTGTCCTTTTCGTCGTGGTGTTTTCTCTCTTGGTGGTGGATCGGAGAGGAAAGGGAGCGAGCAGACTCAAACACCAAAAGCGGAAGAACTCGGCGGTGAAGCTGGCTGATCGTTATTCTACAGCAGCAAGAGAGAGAAAAGTCAGGTTGAGTGTAACGTTAGCTTTGTATTCTGAATACCCGCCTGTTACATTCCTGGAAGGCGACAACAGCCAATAAAGCATTTCAAAGCAGCGCAATGAGTTGCAAAAGATGAGAAGAGGTAAGAGTACGGAAAGAGGACGGTAGAGGGAAGAAGGTTGTTGTGCGTGTGTGTGTGTGTGTGTGTGTGTGTGTGTGTGAGTAGGCTGCACGTCAGTTCACTATCACAACTTGTTCCTCCGACGCGCGACCAACACATATACATAGACATATACACACAGAAGCATATGCGCAGCGCAGTTGACGCTTCGCTCTGCTTTCCTTCTGCGCCAAAAACGCAGCGGACAACGGAAATGACGTTGCGTTCAGAGCAGCTGACACACCGTCGACGTCAACACGGCAGTTGGCCCTTCCGCTGAGCACGAGTTGTCATGAACGACCACCAAAAGGAAAAAGGTCAATACATGAAGTGCGATCAGCTGTACTTGGGCCACAAGTGTGCCATAATCTGCACGGACAATGCGCCCACATGCGACTCGTATCGCACGCCCGCTGTGGCGTTCCTGCGCTCTCGCTATCCTGAAATGGCAAGACGGCATCAATTTTTTTTGTCTCTGTTTTACAAAAAAAAAGTCAATCTAGCAACAAAGAAGCGCATTCCGAAAGGGATCCCGAAGAAAAAGAAAAGCCAGGAAACAAAGACCAAAAAAAATGTAAGAGTAATAGACAAGGAGAAAACAAACAATTTTCCATACATACAAGCACACAACGATTCGACTGACGCAAAAACAAACGCAACAAACAGGAATATATAGATAGGTAGATAAATAAATATATATGTATATATAGATATATAGATATATCACATCCACAGCCGGTAACATAGAAACAGCGTTAGGGTAAGAAGTGAGGCTACCGCGAACAACAGGTGAGGATCAGCGGTGATGCACATACCTGAAAACCGAGCAACAGGAATTAAGCGAAACGCTCCTCTCTTTTTCTTTTTCTTGTCTCCCAAGCGCCAACGAAAACGCTTCGAAAACAAGAAAACGAAAAAAAAAGGGAGTGCGGACGTGAACGCACACAAGGGACGTGTACACAACAGCAAACAAACAGCAGGAGTCTTCACTCTTCTTAGCGGAGTCCATTTGCAACAACAGCACGCTTAAAACGCACACGAGTTCATGGAGAACACGAAGCAAAGAAAACAAACAGGCAGCTCACCAGAAATCCTCAAATAATGCCGACTTAACGCCTCACATGAGTTGTGGGACCCAACGTTGTTCTCTTCTTTTCCCTTTCCTTTTATGCAGCTGCTTCCATGAAAAATAGAGTTGTTCGCTTTTCCCTTCCCTCCCCCCTTTTTTTTAGAGCCCGCATAGCACCCTATACGCAATAAGTCGCTCACCATGAGACCTTCCTCTCGTCGTTGGCTCAGTAAAACAGAAGCCGCGATTTAGTTCCTCTTTCTTTTCGATCGCCGCTCCTTCTCTTAACAGACAGTTGCTGCTTCGGGACGCAGAAAGAAAAAAAGAAAGAGCTCTACAAGCGCGGATAACTACGAAAAGAAACTTCCTGAGCAGACATTCGAACCGCTTCACGACAAAGCGGCAACACCAATAAGAAAAAAAGGTGTATTATAATAGGAAGAGTAATAACTACAGTAATCGGCAGCAGACAACATTCAATAAATACGTGGTGCTTACGACGGTGATAAGACAAGACAAAAAAAAAACAGATGTAACCGTATGGAAAAAGAAAAGCCACGTGGTACAGCGAGAAAAACAAAAAAGAATCCAAGCACGAAACACCGCAGTTGTGGTCAAGAAATCACGTTGAACGTGCAACATTCGAGGACGGAAGAAAAAGAAAAAAACAAGAGAAGAATCTCTGTGTCTCAAACGTGAGCTGCGAGGTTGGTAGTTCTTCTTGCTGTGGTGTCGATGCTGCTCTTTTTCTTCTCATTTTCTACGGCTCCTCCGAGAGGTTGCGCGTTGATGTGGACACGGCGGCCTCTGGCACAAACTCGCGGGTGCTCTGCAGGCCCTCACGCCGCGTCAGGTGCACCAACATCGCCGTCACATTATCGGTGCTACCTTTTGCCAGGGCAGCCTGTGCAAGCTCCTCGGCAATGCACTGCGCCGTCATGCCCTCCTGAAAGCGGCGGTAGCAGAAGTCTACGACCTCCTCGTACGTCATGACATCCCACAAGCCGTCGCACCCAATCACGAGGAACTCGTCGTCGTCCGTCAGCTTCGTGACAGTCGTGTCGGGTACCGCAATCACACCCGACGCCTTTCCGTCCGTGTACCGGGCCAGCTTGAAGCCGGCATCGCCGATGGCGCGAGTAACGGCGAGACTGACCACTGCGGGGTTGTAGTTGGGGTGTCCTACGCGGTTATGGCAGACTTTCCCACCCACGCCGCGTACGCGCTCCTCCTCGCTCGGGTTGCTCGCGATGGTGTGGCGCACGGTCAGCACGACGGGCTTGCCATCGCGTGCGAGCACGGCCTCGCAGTCGCCGACGTTGCCCACGACGAGCTTGTCGTCTATAATAAGCGCTACCGCACACACACTGCCTGATTCATTTGTTTCCCTCTCCGAGAGAGCTAAGAAGGCGTTGTCGGCCTCGACGATGCCGTCCACGATGGCTTTCCGTGGGTTTGTTTTTAGCTCGGGGTTGCTGAAGATAAAGCCGTGCAGGTGGTCGCGCAGATACTCGGCGCACTGCGTCCCGCCATGACCGTCGTAGACCCCAAAGAAGGGGATGCCCTCGGCCAGCATCGTGTGCTGGTCCTCCATTGTTCTGCGTGTGCCCTGCTCAGCCGTCACGCCGTGGTCGACGACAACGAAGGCCGTCTTGCGTGTGCTACTGGGGCGTGCGAGGAGAGCCGCTGTGGAGTTCTGTAGCGACGGTGTCGCACTGGATGTGGTGGGGATCGACTTGGCGGAGGAGGGCTCGCTGCACGCGCCGTCGTCACATCCGGCGGTGGGTGCCAGCGGTGCGTTGGCTGGTTTCGGCGGACGCTCGCGCGCGTTCTTGTCCGTCGCGTCAACGCCGCTAGGGAGTGAGTAAGGGTGCCGCCCAGCCGATGGGTTGAGCGTCGTCGGGCTGCTCTTGCTGACGGGCACCGTTGGGGGCTTCTTTTTTGCCTGTGGCATTGAAACCTTCTTCTTCAGACTGCCGCCTGCCGTCGTCTCCTGCGTCATCTTGGCTGACCTCGGTGCGTCCGTCTTCACAGACGACTCTTCCTTTTTCGCCTTCATTTCTTCTGCCGTGTATTTTCTTTTTGTATTTGGTGCAGTAAGGGTCTCCAATAATAGTTGCTTTTTGCCTTCTCGGGGTTTCTGCTCCTGTCGATCGTGCTTTCGGCTGCAAGAGAAAAGGAAGTAGAGCGGTAGATTGTCCTGCTCTGTCGACCGAGTTGTATTGCCTGGTTCTGTGTGATGCGACTCCGCGGGCGAAGCGACCAGGGTAGAGATACGAAACCCTGTCGTTGCGAGGTAGAATGGAGTCAAACAGATGTGCAGAAAGGGAGAAAACGAAGGTGGGGGCTAAAGTCGCCAACGCAACAAATATATAAATAAATGTTTATTACACGCCGAACAGATCCTTGAAAAGGAAAAGAACGCCGCCGTGTAGACTGAAGTTGTGGTAAGAACAACTTAATAGCTTTAATATGTATATATATTCAGGTGGAGTGTCAAGCATTGCGGGGAGAAGGAGAGAGAGAAAGAGCAGAATCAACTAAAGTCAACGCAAAACGCCACCGGAGACAACAGTGTAAAGTTGCCTTGGTTCATCCACCGCGCCGTACCCCCGCCGGCTTGCTGCCGTCAAAGCATCTTTGATGTCTACAAGAAAGACAAATGAGCCAACGCGTACGCGAGAGAACGGGAGAGAGAGAGAGAGAACGTACGAAGCTCACCATTTTATGTCTTTTATTGGAGCCGCGGTTGGCACACACTACTCCTACACCTTAACGTCGCTAATGCGTGTAGCAAGTGATTGCGCTAGTTACGTTTTAGGTTGTGGTGGTGGTGGTGAAGTGGTTTTAAGGAGGAAGCAACGGAACGTCCCCTCAAGACAGAGAGGAGAAGAAACGAGAAGCATATAAGCACGCTAGCCACGTTGACGCAAAACAGCAATGAATAAAACAAAAAATACGCCCTCATGTGTACACAACAGCATGCTGGCCGAAATCAAGTTCAAAAGCAACAAAAACACACACGAGAGAAACACACTTTTAACAAAAGGAGCAGATAAGTGAAAGGGTGCTTGAGAAAAAAAAGGCTTTCCTTTTTCGTTTTCATGGAAATGCTTGAATCCTACCACCGAAGTGCTCTCCTTGTCTTCCGTGCTACCTGATGCCATTCCACTCGGCTACAGGCGCGAAAGAATAACGCTCGTGCACAGCTCCACACACGAACTCGACGGCATGCTGCAGTGCAGATCCATCTCCTCCCAGCAGCTGTTGAGAAACACGCTGGTGGCCCCTTCCTCCAGTGCGCTAGGGATGCTACACAGCAAATCTACCAGCGCACGGGTCGAGCACGCCCGCAGCAAAACGGAGCGGTTTCCCAGGATCGCAATGCACTTGAGGGCGTAGGTGTGCAGTACATAACACCACTCCGCGAAAATGCGGTGCTGCACCACGACGGGCGTCTGCGGGGTCAAGTAGAGCAGGCGAGACGCGATGGGGTAGCAGGCGCAGCGAAACACGTCACAAAAGTGCAGGCCTTCGTACACCGTGAACGCGTCGCGGGGGTTGGCGGCGGCCGAGGCAGCCGCAGTGACGTCGCGCGTCACGACGCCGTCTCGTTTCTCGCGCGAAGTCGGTGACTGCGGTGGCGGTGGTGATACTGGTGGCGACGACGGTGATTCGGTTTGTGTTGTCGTTGCTGCTGCGTCTGCGCACGCGCTTGAAGTTCCGCCGATGCCGTTCTCAGCACTAAGCTGCAGCTCCACGCACAGTTGCCTCGCGTGCCTCATCTCGTCAAGGCAGCGCTTCATGTAGACGTCGAGGTCACCGCACACCACGTTGGTGTCCAGCTCGCCCAAATCAAAGGAGGCAATGAATTCGAGCAGCACGCACGCATACGGAATGAGCAGCAGCGTCTCTATCGCAGAGCCATTCGAAGCCTTGAAGAAAACACGAGAGGGAGAACTAACGAAGCCAGAGGGTGAGGGAGGGGAAGAGGCGGGAGAGGCGGGGGAGGCGGGGGAAACAGCGGTGACGTCTGCTGCACTGGCGCCTCCAACGGCCGCGTCGATCTTCATCAGCTCGACTTCGTGGGTCTCCTTCGCGACGTGGTCGTGTGCGGTGGACATGACAGACTTCAAAAGCCCCACCGCCCGTGCGTCGCGCGTGACGACAAAGTAGAAGCTGACGCCGAGAAGCACGTGGCGCAGCGCGCCGGTCACCGCCAGGCACACCGCGCGGTCGCTTTCGTAGACGCTGAGGAGTTGGTGCAGCTGCCCCATCAACCCGCGCGTGAGGCAGTCGTATATGGTCGAGCGGAGCTGCACCACCATCGCGCTCGCCGCCTCCACCGAGGTGGCTGAGAGGTCCACCTGCACCGGCAGGTTCTGCGCGGCCGGCGTCTGGTGCAGCTCCGTCCACCCCGCCGTCCGTTTGAAGTGCACCACGTCCACCACGCCGGCCTGCTGGAGCTCGTGCACGAGGCCGACCAGGAAAGGGTTGTTGTGGCGCGCCTCGGTCGGGATCAACTGGTACAGGCGCTCCGCGTAGTTTTGCGCTTCGCCAGCGGAGGGGGCTGGCAGCGGCGCCAGCTGCTCCAGAGCATCGATGGTCACGAGGGACGGCGCGGCCCAGACCAAGTCGAAGCAAACGCGCAGCACCTCGTCCACGTAATCGTTGCGCATCATCTGCAAGGATATCTTCGTCGTCTCAACCAGCTCGACCAACGCCTTGCAGGCGAGTGTGAGAAGATGGGTGTGGTGCTTGCAGGCAAGCAGCATCCCTTTCAAGGCAAAGTACACGAGGAGGCGGTAGTCGAAGCGGTCGAACTCGGAGTTGCCGGCCATCGGCGGCGACGTCACATCGACGCCCTCCGGCACGTGGGTGAAGAGCGTCGTGAGCATCGGCCGCACCATGCCGCTGAAGAGCGAGCTCTGCACCTCGTCGTCGAAGAGCCCGGCGTACTGTGCCAGCAATGCCCAGATGGACGACAGGGCATGCGCACGCACCCGCACAGAGCTGTGCACGACAACGATTGGCACCATTCCTTCAAAGAGAGACATCCACAGGTGGTAGTTCGTCTTGGTGGTGAAGGTGGTCGGCTTCTGCAGCGGTGCGTCGTAGGTTAGGGGTTCTGCGGCGAGTGTGACGCGGGGGAGGTGTTTGCCAAGCATGCGCGCCGCAGCGAGCTCCTGCTCGACGGTGTGGAAACGCACCGCCCACCGCGCCACCGTGTCGGCCGCCCGAACGTCGGACGGCGGGGCCTCGAGACCGTACTGCAGCCAATGCCCACACACAATAAGGTACGAGATGGCCCGCAGCGGCATGCTTTCGTCCACGCCGGAGCAGGCGAAGGTGGTGAGGCAGAAAATTAAGTCGCTGAAGCAGTCCTTGAGGTGGGCAATGTGTTTGGCCATGATGCCCTCGCAGATTGCCCACGCTTCCGGCGCGACGTCTGGGATGGCGGCGGCGTGGCTCAGACACGAGAAGACAACATTCCACCCACTCGCTAGATGCGCCGCGCGGAAGTCGATCAACTCCGACAAGATCATCATCACTTTCTGCCGGCAGCTCACGTTCTGGTTCGACATCAAGATCGACTCGAAAGGCTTCAGCACCTCCTTCTGGAAGGAATAGTTGAGCAGCTCCTCGCGCATCAAATACGTGAGTGCGATGAGGCGCAGACCGTCCAAGGAGGAGAGGGCGATCTCTGTGCTGCTGCCGCAACCTGCCAAGGTGAACACCTCGCTCGCATGCGTCCACAGCTCGCGCCACTGCAATCGGCTCGAAAAGGAGGCGCAAATGCCCACAAAGTCAAACAGTCGCGTGAGGGAAAAGGTGCGGCCGTACTGCAGCTCCATCTCGCACACTTTCACCAAGCCGTTCGTCATCTCCAGCTGCACCCGCGACGGGTACTGCGTGGCGTCGAAGAGGTGGTCGAGCCACAGGTCGACGTGACTCGTGGAGGTGGCGCGCAGGCCGGACAGGATGCTCTTGCGGTTCTCTCGCGAGGCGCGATCGACGATGGAGGACGGGACGTCATTCAGGGCGCCGAACCACAGGTCTGCGTACTGGCGTTCTTTGGGGGCTACGGAAATGGGAGAGCCGTTGTTGTTGTTCGGCGCCGTCGCCTTGCCGGGTGGAGGAGGGGACGGCGAGGTTACCGGCTCCGTAGGCCTTGCTGGGGCGATGAGACCCGTCTCGCGCGACGCAAGCGCAGACCCGTGCAGGCGCCGCGCCTGCCGCCGCCACATCCCCTCCACGCCATTCGCGAGAGCGTCCACCAGGGACATCGCCTTGTACGCGGCCTGCCACCCTCGCGCGTTGAAGGAAACCCCGCAGTACACAAACAGGTTCAGAAATGTCGAAAGAAGATTCAGGCGTGTGAAGGGCAACGTGCTCTGCACCGTGACCCGTGCACTCGGCAGCGCAGACACCACCACGACGGAACTGAGGTGCGTCATCTCGAACGCGTGCTCCAGCAGCTGCTCCGTGTGCGAGACGTTCCCAAACGAGCAGCACACACGGACGGTGTTGTGTAGACCTGTGAGCATGGCACTGAAGTAGCTGGCGCTCTTGGTGTCTTCCATGAAGGCGGCGACGGCGTCGTACTCTGAGCCGGGGGCCTTTTCACTGCTGGTGTTCGGCGACGAAAAGGCCTGCGGCCGCACGTACTTCTCGGAGTCCTCGAGCAGCTGTTGCAGTGACAGTAGCACAACGTGGCACACCACGTCCACCGTCACCTCCCACATCGGCAGTGCATTTTCGATGCTCGTCGCGGTGACGAACATCGCGTGATGTACCGCGTCGTTGGTCGACGCCTCCTGCAGCGCATCCATGACCGCCTTGAGCGTCGTGCGCAGCTCGCGCTGGTACATTTCTTCGCGCTTGCGCTGCGACGAGTTGAAAAGTCCGTAGCCTGCCGCATCTATCGGCAGCAGCACCTTGTCCGTGATGGCGGTGGCAATCGGAGCGAGGTGCCGCAGCAGTGGAATGGAGTCTAGGAGGCTTGTCGTTACCTTGATGTCGCCGCGCTTCCCGCTGTCCGATGGCTTCTTCGACGACAGCTGCGTGAAGCATTTGGGCGAAGGTCGCAGCACGATCTCATCCGCGCTGATGCGGTCGTAGATGCCGCCGAGGATGGCGGGGTCGACGTCGTTGCCCTCGTCGATGCCTTTGTTGTTCTGCAGGAATCCCTCCTTCGTCATTTTGTTTTTGATGTGCGGGCTGTGTGCATCGGTGTTGAGCATGCATATCGAAAACGACAGAATGAAGGCGGTGTCGGCGGACCCGAAGACGCCGTGGTTCTGGCGGCAGAACTGCGCCGCGAAGAGCTCCATGGTCCGATCCACCACCTGCGCCTCGCCAAGCAGCTTAAACCCGCCGAGGAAGAGACGCAGAGCCGCGTCAAGGGTCATGTCGGTGAAGTCGTGTTGCGCAATCCACTCCTCAAAAACCACGCGCGTCGGGGGTTTGAGGAAGCTCTTGGAAAAGTAGTCGCCCAAAATCATTTTGTCTATGTAGTCTTCGTTTCGCTTCAGGAACACGGCGACCCGCCTTGCCGGCAGACGCATCGCGTCATCCACGTCGCTGACGACAGGCGCGGCGGCCGCGGTGGCTGTTGTAGTCGCGGCACCATTCTCCGCCGCCGCAGGTGCGTTTGTCGACACGGGCGGGTCTGTCGCGGCAGTGGGCTCTTCTGCCACCGTTGGCGGCACCGCACCGTTCTCCCCTGCATTGGACTGCATCTCATCTGTTCTCGCCTCCGACCTCGCATCCCCTGTCGTCTCCCGCGACGCATTTTCATCTTCGAGCCTTGCAGCGGCGGCGGCCACGACCTCCGCCTCCACTTGCGCAGTATTCTCCGCCTCGTCGCTCGTCGCCTGCAGCTCTGGGGTGGCGGGGGTGGGCGTCACCATCGCTGCGGGCGCGGCGAGCTCCGTATCATCCAACATCAACACGGAGCTCTTCAAGTACCCTATGGCCGCATCGGGAGTCGCTTTCTCGTTGAAAAGGTAGAGGAACTTGCGAAAGGCATCCTTGTAGCGGCGCACCTGCAAAAAAGTTTCCGTGTTAGCGCCAGGGCCGCCACCAGCTCCCCCGTCTGGCCCGACCACCTGCTGTGATGCGTCGCTGCGTCGCAGTCCGTCCTCGCCGCCGTCGCGGGCGCCGTGGCCGTCGGTGATGTCCGTCAGCGTGGCCTCAAGGGCGCCAGGGTGGGCGTGCGCGGTGATAGTGGTTGTGGACGACGCTGCGGAGCCGTGGCTGTCCTCCTCCTGATCGCACTCAAAGCGCTCAATCCACTGAATATTCGAGTCGGAGACCTGCAGGAGACTAACGAGCGCCTTGCGACGCAGCGACTCCGGCACGTCGTACTCCAGTCGTACCGTGAGCACCCGTTTCAGCTCCGCGGCGAGGTTGACGTTGAAGATGTTCTGCGCGGGCGGCATGGCCAGCGCGCCGAGGTAATGGATCATCATTTCGTAGATGCTCTGCGAGTGCGTGTTGCAGTCGTAGTTGAGGAAGAGACCCAAAAGCAGTTGCGGCTCCTCAATGTAGGAGTTGAAGGCGTCCAAGACGAGCATCTTGTGCTCAAGCGCGGTAAATGAAGATTCCAGCACGCGGAAGTACACGTGGCGGAAGACGGTGCTGGTTTCGTTCACCATCTGCGGACCGAAGCGCAAACAGCATAGCAGGAGGAGATTGACGGAGAGTCGGAAGACATCCAAGTCATCCGAGACGGAGGTGCGCACCGCCGCAGGGACGACGAGCTGCCGCAGCAGCGGGACAATTTCCGTGCTCTTGCGAAACCGCGGCCCACCGTTCACCACGACATACAGGATGAAGCTGAGCGACGTCGCTAGCGTGTTTGTGTTCATGTACTGCGCCGGGAAGCTCGCCGTCAAGGCTGCGCCGTCGGCGTCGTCCTCAGCACCGACCTTGCCGGCCAGCCCCACGGCACCACTCGTCTTGGCACTGGCTGCTGCGTCGCGGTGGGCCCCGCCGGACCGTACCGCATTCACCCCACTCAACGCACCGTCGCTGCTACTCGTGTCCGCCACCGCAGCAGCAGCAACGCCACCGCCAGACGTGGACGTGATGCCCGGGAGGGGCGTGAGGCGCGCCACGTTTCCGCACAACGCCAGCAGCAGTCGCATATCCCGCACCCCACGCAGCACTCGCGGTGCTGCCAACGGCGGAACCGTAATGGTGCTCGTCTCGTCCAGACTCATGAAGCGCTGCACCTCCATCAGTGGGGACGTGGCGGTGGTGGCCAGAAAGGAGGCATTTGCCGACAGAGACGCGGCCGTGTCGACCCTGTTGTGCGACGCCAACGAATCCGCAAAGCCGTTCACGCCGTCTCGCCCTGTGCGGGCAGCTGCTGCGGACAGTGACGTGAGAGGGGTGGCAGCGACGGAAGTGGGGGCAGAGCTGGAAGCCGTCGATAGATCTTGCGTTTGCTGCTCTTGCCGTTGCTTGGGTTGCGAGGGGTCCTGCGGAAGGTTGTTCGGCTGCTTGCTCCTCGCCTTCTCTCTGCCGGCGCCGCTTTGATCATTTGCCTCGAACTCCACGTATTTCGACAGCGCGCGAGTAATGCCGTGAACCGCCTTCTGTGCTTCATCGACAAAGATGGACGATAGGCCTTGGGGGCGGCTGCACCACGCAAGAAGAAGCCGAAAGACGCGCACGAGTCGCCCACCGTGCACGGAGAGCTGTTGCGAGAGCAGCGTGTTTGCCTGCACATCCGCGCAGGTGCAGCGGCTCAGCCGAGGCACCGCACACGCCATAAGCGACGCAATCGTCACAAAACAAAGCCGGTCGTTGGACTCCTTGGCCTGCGCAGCATCCACCGTGGTCAGTACGGCATCCACAAGCTGATCGCGCATGTTTACTTTCGGCTTATCCTCCTCGGCGGGTTGGGGGCTGGCGCTGGACACGGTGGAGCGGGCTTCGCTACCCGCCTCACGGGAAGTCCCGGCTTGTCCTGAAGCCGCAACATGCTTTTTGCCACCGAGCAACTTTGAAAAGAACACCTGTGCGCCGGTCATGGTGGATTCAGGGATGGCAAAGACAGGTACCGGTGCGATCAGCTCCTGTGGAATAACCCCGCTCGTCAAAACGACAGCGGCCAATTCCAGCGACGCCGTCAGCATCCGCGGTGAGTTACGATTCGTGCCCCCGTTCTCGCCGATGATAGCCATCCGACACGCGTACGCGAGCTTGCTCATCTCGTCTTCATCACACAAATGCTGCTGGATGGGATTGTAAGACGTACTTGATGACGTCTCCGCGGATGCGCTGGGTAGCGGGGATGCCGACATGGCACGCGTCTTCTCCGGTGTATTGGCCGTCGCCGTCGCCGCCACAGTGGAAGGAAGAGTTGTGTTGACTTGGGCAGGTAGCGGGTCATGCCCTTTTGCCGGCTTCTCCGCAGCAGGGGTTGTCGTCCCGGCGTCGGAAGGAAGGGCAGTGGACGCATCTCGCGGAGGTGGGGTTGCCGGCGCGGGCGCACGTACGTTCCCTGACGTTTTCGACGGAGTCGTCTGTCCTGGGACGCGTTGCGGCTGCTTCGTCTCCTGCACCCGCCGTTTCAGCGCCTTGATGACCGACGAGAGCATCGTGCGCTCACGCGTGCCGCTCTTCATCTCAGCCAAGAGACGTGTACCCGCGTCGAGCACTTCGTCAATTCCCTTCTCCATGTTTTCCCTTCAGTGCCGCAGCAACAAAAGAGGAAAGAAGTAAAAAGAGAAAAAAAGAGACGGCAGACGTGAGGGCTGTCAATGCAAACACAAAGCCGAAGCAGGCTGAAAAGGCAACAGCGGAAAAGGGACAAAATTGAGCGTCGGGAAAAATGTGTGCTTGTGTTGTGTATAAAACAAGGAAGCAATGCTGAGAATAAACGCCTTCGATTCTCTCCTCTTCTTCTTTCTCCAACGTGCTCAGATCCTCGTTTGTGTGAAATCAATATGGGATGCGGAAGCAGTTCGCCTTTTCTTGTCCTTCTTTGACATTCAGAGCACGAGCGAAAAGAGGCGGAAGCCCAAGAAGACTATGTTGTGCTTCTGCGGCTTCTTCTTTTGATCTCTATCGCGGCAAAAAAGAAAGCTGTGTTGTATGTTATGCGGCTAAGCATGCGCCGACGCACGCAGAAGGAACAGCGTTTTCCCTTTCTTTTTTCTCCTCCCCAGCGCCGTTCCTTTTGCTAGTTGGTTGGCCGTGTTCTTCCTCTTCCTATACGTAGTAGTAGTAGTAGTACAAATGCTATGTCAATTCAAAACTACGCACCTGAAGTCGGGGGGAGAGAAGAACAAGGAGTCAAGAAAGGTTTCAGAAACCAGCGAGAGAGAGAGAGACCAGGATATGAAAAAGAAAAGAAGACGGTTTTGCACAGGGGAAAACAAGGAATTGAACGCGAGACAGAAAAGTGAGACAAAGCGCAGTTTCAAAGGTTTTGCGAGACACAATTGAGGAGAATTTACCTTTCTTATCTGCTTGCCTCTTGGTCATCCGTACGTTGAGGAGGGGTAAAGCTATGGCCACGCATTTGTAAGTCCCACAAAACGTTGGGTTTTTGTTGTTGTTGTTGTTGCACATCTTCTTTGCATGGACGACGGATACAGTATATATGTCACTCAGGACGACCTCAACAAAAACCCGCATCACTTTTTAGTCGGTGTTGTGTTGGTCGCTTTTCAGATTCTATCGCCTCACCATGAGGAAGGAGCACGTCGCGTCAAACGAACCCGCGAACCAAAAAAAAAGAGTACCACCGTTTGTGAGGTACGCCGAGCCGCAGCTAGTCGTCTTGCAAAAGTGTTGCCGTACAGCATTTTAAAAAGTATATAAGCAATAGTAATAACAGTGATAATAACTACAGAGGAATCAACTACGCTTCTTTAAAAACGAAAAAGAAAAAACAACAATGACGGGAATACAACAGCAAAGGCATCTGCAGCCTCTAGCGCACTGCTACAGAACGGGAGCACAGGTTAAAAAACAGTGTGCACACGATCACCGTAGTCTCGCACTATCACTACTGCGTCACTGACACTCCTACTTGTGAGGAAGAGCAGTAGCGCAAATCTTCGAGACACATACAAACTACAATTTCGAAAAGAGAAGATTAAGATGCTGTTCAGCAGGGACTCATATTCTTTTCTGCACGTAGAGTTCCGCATTTTTACACGAGGACAAAAAAGGAAAAGAAAGAAGAAGCCGAAGCAGTGGGAAAAGAAAACCAGAGAACGCAGCATATGACGCGTCTGCGTAAAAAGAACGAGTACTCATGAAAGAGGCTAGTTATCTGGAACGTTGTGGTCACTGCATCATCGGCTTCAGATCATCGCGGAAGGAGTCGAGGGAATTCGCCGAGTTGCCCATCGTGTCCTTCGACTTGGACAGGGCAGCCATTGAGCGCTTGAGCAGACGGCGCATATCGCTATTGAGGTCCTCGGCTTTATTAAGCTTCTCTCGCCAATTGCGCTCTGCGTCATCGAACTCAGCGTCCTTATTGCGCAATGCGGCCTCGGCGTCGCGAACTTGTGCCTCGGCGTCCATGACTTGTGCCATGAGGCCATCCTTATCAACACCGGGTTCGGTCATGGAGTTTTGCAGTTGCTTGAGTTGGTCGAGCTCCTTCTGAAGGCGGAACACCTCCGCGTCGGAATCTGCGCGCAGGCGCAGCGCGCTCTCCTCACTCTCGCGGGCATCCTGCACCATCGCAGTCATCTCCTCCAGGCGCTCCAACGCGTCGGACACCTCCTTGCTCTTGTCCTCCAACTTCCCGTCCGCCTCGCGCATTTGGGTGTCATGCTCATCGATCATGCCTTCGATGTCATCCCGAAGCGCGTTGTTCTCCGCGTTCTTCGCCCGTACGGCCTCCTCTGCATCGGCGAGCGCCTTGCGCGACCGCGCCAGCTCGCCCTGCAGGCCGTCGTGCAGCGTATTGTCTTTGTCCGTCTGATCACGCAAGCGGTTGATCTGATCTTGCAAGACATTGACTTGCTTCTCATGCTCGTCGTTCTCGCCGCGGCGCGCTTCTTGCAGTTCAAAGAGCTCCTGTTCGCGGGCTGCAAGGCGTTGCAGCAATTCCTTCTCATCCTCGCGGTTTTGGTTTTTAGCGAAGTCGTCCAGATCCTTGATCACTTGGTTGTACTGATCGGTCTTCTCCTCTAACTCCTCAAGCAGGTCTTGGATACGGTTGTTCAGCGCGTCGAGGTCGAGCGTCATGCTCTCCACCTCCCTCTCTTTCTCAGCCGCCTTGTCCTCCGCAGCGCGGAGGTCCTGATTCGCGTCGTTCAGATCCTTCTGTGCGTTCACCAACTCCGTCTCGGCGATCTCCTTCTCCCTCTGCAGATGCGCCACTTCGTCTTGAAGAGCGTCGATCGCGTCGTCGTGAGAGCGAGCATCCTCCAGCGCTTGTCGAAGCTGCGCCAGTTCGTCCTCCTTCGCCTCCAGCTGATTCCGAGCATCTTTCTCAGAGTCCTGAGCCGCAGCCACCAAATCCGCAAACGCCTCCATCTTTTCGACCCCCTCCGCATTGGCCATATCGGCATCTCCGTAGAGTTTGCACGCCTCATCAAGCTTGTCCGTCAGCAACTCAAGCTCGCGCTGCAAACGTTCGATTTCCCCGCGTGCCTCTTCAAGATCATTCTTCTGACGCTCGTCTTCTGCCGCAAAAACGTCGCGGAGTTCATCCAGTTTGGTGTTCTTTTCGTCCGCATCGTCGCGAGCTGCCTGCTCAGCCTCACGGGCGTCCTCTAACTCCTTCAACAATTTTTCCAGCTGGTCCAGCACAGCCTCGCTAGCCACTCCATCAGCTTCGATCGGCTCCATCGCATCGCGGATCCGCTCGCCAAGAACATCCATGTCGTGCGTCATCTGAGCGTTCTGTTCACGTTGCTCCTTGAGCTCCTCCAGCGTCGCAACGTACAGTGGCTCGTCCGCGATCTGCTGCGGGTCCACGGCGCGTGCTACCGCATCCTCAGTCGACAGCGGCTTCTCATCGGTCGGCAGCGACTCGTCGGCATCGCGAGCCGCAAGCGCATCGTTGCGCTTCGCGCGGAACGCAGCCACCTCATCGGCGAGCTTCGCCGCCTCCGTCCTCTTCTTCTCCAGCTCATCTGCAAGACGCGCGGCCTCCTCCTCCTTCGCAGCACGGGCCTCCTCCAACTGCGCTATCGTTTCCTCGGCGGCATCCAATCCTTCCTTTGGTCTGTCCCGATTCGCATACAGCGTCCACATGTTGGGGTAGTGGTAGTCATCCAGCATCTTCGTGACAGCTTCGCCACTCAGGTCGCTGTTGTGCGTGACGTCCACACTCGCGTGAAGGCTGCCAAGCTCAAACGCAACTCCCGTCACGTCCTCACGACCAACACGGCACGCAGCGCTCACATCAGTCACGAATGCGTCGTGCAGCGCATGCGGCTTCTTCAGCAGAACACCCCAGTCATCGCCCTCGAACACCTTCTTGTGGCTTGTCGTCGACTGCGGCTTCGTCTTATCGCTGTTGTTTGCACGGCAGTCATGCTGCTTCAGCTCGTCCACCAAGTCATCCTTCTCCTTTCCAACGGCACACAGGGCAGCATTTTCCCCCTCCAGTGCCTTCATCTGCGTCAAGACATCAAGGAGCTCAGCTTCCACGGCAGCGCAACTATCGTCGGCCGCCTCCTTTTCGCGCTCAGCAGCGTCGCGAGCATCCTGTAGCTCTTCCAGCGTCGCAACGTACAGCGGCTCGTCCGCGATCTGCTGCGGGTCCACGGCGCGTGCTACCGCATCCTCAGTCGACAGCGGCTTCTCATCGGTCGGCAGCGACTCGTCGGCATCGCGAGCCGCAAGCGCATCGTTGCGCTTCGCGCGGAACGCAGCCACCTCTTCTTTCATGGGCTCGGCCAGTTGCGCTGCCTGAAGGTCGTTCTGAAGCTCATGGAAGTGTTGCTGTTGCGATGCAAGTTGTTCTGTCAGTTCCCCCACTTGATTAGCCTGCTCATCGGCCAAGTTTTGCATGCTCTTGTACTCATCTTCAGTGACGCAATACAAAGGCTCTTGGGCCAAGAGATCCGGGTTGACTGCCGAGCTCTCAGACTGTTCGCATGCAAGTGATGGCTCATGAATCTCCAACCCCCCATGCGTTTCGCGGGCCACAAACGCGGCGATGCGTCTCGTCCTGAATTCCTTCAACTCCGCCGCCTGCTGAGCATTCAATTCTTTGAGAGCCTTGCAGCAGGCTTCAGAAGCTTTCAGCTGCATCAGAACGTCAAGCAGTTCGCTCTCGAGTGCGCTGGAACTGTCGGCTGCAGCTTGATCTTTGGCGGCTAGCGCCTCTTCTAGATCCTTTTGGTGCTCCGCACACCGCATCGACTCGTCTTCGTATTGCTTCAAACGCTCAAACATCTCTTCCGCCTTTGCCTTTTCTTGCTCGAATGCTTCCTGCGCCTCATCCGCGGCATCACGCTGGCGAGTGTACTCATCCATCGTTACTGCGTATTCAGGGTTTCCAGCGTTCTCAGCAGGAGGCTGTAGATTGCGGCGGAAACGGGCTTGCTCAGCACGTTGTCGTTGAAGGCGGTTTTCTTCCAACTCTTTCTCCTGCTGGTCGGCAAGGTCCTTCAGTTTCGCGATAATGTCACGAAGCCGTGCAACCTCGTTGTTCAGAGACTCTTGATCTTTTTGCGCCGCAGTAACCTGTTTCTTTAGCTCTTCAGTGGCTTTGTCCAGGGTATACTGCAAAGATCTGTTCTCATTGTTGATCTTGTCCAGAAGCATCAAAAGGTCTCCAATCTCACTCTCGTAAGCGTCTTTGTCGTTGCTGAAAGACATATCGGGCATGTTTTCAACAAACTCGCTGAAATAGAGACCCTCGTGCTTACCTTCAGGGATGCCAAGCGCGCGTTCGATTTCCTCTATTGCGTGATCTAGTCCCGCTTTTTCACCGAGAGGGTTCTGATGCAGGTGCTGCAGAGAAGGGAAGCAGTAGTTTGCAACGCGCTCGTCAATTATCTTGAGAGAAACGTTCAGCGGGTGACTAACTGAGAATTCAACACCGAGATTGCGGTCATCGCATTTGAGTGCAGTTGTCGTGACGCAGTAAATAGGAACGCCGCACGCAAACGCAATTTCGGCAGTGACAACAGCCTTTGTTTCCTCCGGTTTATGATGTAACAGGAGTTTCCCATCATCCCAAGGAAAGTCATACGAGTGGTTGGTTGACACCAAAGCCGCATTTTCGTCCAATGTGCAGCGCCAGTCGAGCGCTTCTAGTTCCTTAATTCTGTCCTGAAGTTTGGAAATTTCCTCCGATCGAGCTACCCCACGACTAGCCAAAGGAACGTTATCCAGTTGCTTCACTTTGCTTTCTAGGTCGTGAATCTGTTCTTGCATCTCGCTGAACTTGTTTAGAGCTTCCTCCACAGATCCATTGGCATGAGCCAATTCCTTCGCCATTTGGGAGCGATGCTGGGCAGAAAGGCTTTCCATGGCTTCGTATTCTTCAGATGAAAGCAATGCCATAGATAAAGAGTACACAACGACTTCCTTGAGAACAGAGCTGCGTAAGATAGTCAACGTGTTAGTTGAAGGTGTAAACGCTTTGACCTTAAGTTGAGCAGGAGAAGCAGAGATCAACTTTTTCAGATCTTCCTCCAAGGAGCGATAATGACGGCGATGCTTGCCAATCTCGGCCAAACACTCACTCAAGTCCTGCGCGGTACGCTCCTTTTCGGCCTTGGACTCACCCATGGACTCCTTGTCCATTTGATCACGAATGGACAGTAAACGCTCCTGGCACTTGCGGGCCTCTTCTTTTGATGCTCCTACTTCCGACTCTACCTTTTCAGAGAACGCTTTGTCAACCGACGCGCCCGACCACTCTTTAACGGTGCAAAGGTGATCATCTGAGGAAGTGACCTGTCCCACAGACCAACACCACTTCTTTTTGGAATCGAGGTACTCAAACGAGACCACTGCTCCGTCCATAGTTTCACTGGCCATCTCAAAGCAAGGACGGTCAATGGCTGGATGTGTATGTGCGTATGTGAACACGCTTGTAGTTTGGATGGTACTATGTTGTCAGTGAATGATGAAAAAGTGTATACGCGGTACGAAAGAGAAATAATAATAATAATAATAATAATAATAATAATAAACGTCTCGCTGCGCGACTACAAGACTCAACCACCTTTGTTATAGCGATAAACGTGTGATAAAAACCAGGTGCAGAGCAGCTTTCAGTACAAACAATTCCGATTTACTCACGCACGAAAAGAAAAAGAGATAAGAAACCTCTACGCTGTGTGCTTTCGTGCTGCTTTATTTTTCGTACTTTGAGAGTACCTTCAACGTCTCGATCGTGTTCACAAACTGCCGCTAGAAATCAAAACAGACTCTAAAGCAAACCAATTGAAACCTCTTAAATCCTGTCCTATGTTCTCCTCAAAACGACACGTGATGAGAAGCAGAAGAGGGGAAAAGAGAAACAAGAAAATGATCAAAAATAAAGAAGAAGAAAAAGAGATCAAAAGAAGAACTATGTTGTAAGAATAAAAAAAAAAATACTGAGCCTCACGGTCAAATTCCTAAAGCTAAATGACAAGGGAAAAGAAAACTCTCTTTCAACAAGAGACAAACCGAGACTTCAATCAGCCGTCAAGAGAAAAAGGGAGAGAGGAAGGTTTGAGAAAGCAACGGAACACTGGCAGCACAGCACCTGAGCTTAAACAGGTGACCCTAACAGAAAACGAGGAAAACGGTACGTTTGACAAAAATTGTGCAAGTACAAAATATGCAGCTGAAAAAAAAAAAGGCAAATGCAAAGAACAGAATAAGATGAAGACAAAAGAGAAGAGCAGGAAAGTATTTGTCATATCCAAAACCACTTTTGATCATTCGAAGAAACATCTCACAACTTTCATTTGAGAGAAAGGCACTAAATTTGCACTTGCAGAAGATACCGAGAGCATCACGGCCTACAAGCTACAGTAGACGGCGGCAGTCGCTCCACAGCGTCATTGCGAAAGACAAGGAGACGTCTTGAGTTTCTGGTGCTATGTTAATCTCCGCTACAACAGAGTATAGAAGACGTAGCAACAAAAGAAACTGTGGCCGCTGAGACGACCTCAACAAGCATTCTGAAAAGGTACGGTACAACGGTGCTAATAGGACACATTCCAGCCGCAACCGCCAGCGTCCGTTTAATAACACACACACACACACACAGACCAGAAAACCATTTCTTAGGTGTATCCAGTGCCTTTTGAGAATAAAAGGCGCCTACAGCAAGAAACGTCCTTGCATAAACAAACGGAAACAAAGAAAGACTAATCTAAGGGGCACATATGTGAGTCATGAGACCTTCCCAAAGAAGCACTTTGTTTGGGACGATAGGAGTAATTTCTTGGGTTACCTTTGCTCTAAAGACAAGACCTGTACCAGTTGTTCTTCTTTTCAAACAATGCTTGTCACTGGCACATAATCCGTATCCGTCGAGAGGCGCTCATGAAGCACACGTAAGAATCGCCGTCATAAAACGCCTCATTTCAGCGTGATGAGGAGAGAACTCACCACAGCAGCAGTAATTAAAATAAAGAGCTTGATACTTGCTGAGACGCAGTTCTCAGAGCACGTGTTAGCCTCCCTCCCCTTACATTTATTAAAACCAGTGAAAAGAGAAGTTAATCAGTATTTCACTTTCGCTGTTGCTGTTTATACCGTGTGATTTCTTTCCCCGGGAGAAAAGAAGTCGCCTCAGGGAACGCGTTTCGAAAACGATGAGCTCTGGTGCTGGATTTAGTGTTCATTAACTTTGATTGGAGTCATTTTGGTAAGAGCACATAAGACAAGACCATCGAAATCTATCGGAAGAAAAGATCACAACGTTGCATGCTGACTCGAATTCGCTACTGCGACGGCGAGTTGCTGAGAGGCATTAATCCATATGTCATGGAGTTCAAATACTGTAAACCTGTTGGAGCGGGAATACGTAGAGCTGTATCTACTGCAGTTTCTGTTGCATAGTGTGACTTGAACTGCCGCTGTCTGAGGCTCAAAAGCTACGATGAACACGATGGGGCCAGCTAGCGTCCAATGCGCTCAGATCCCATTGCGAAAGAAAAAAAAATAAACTGTGCCCACTAGAGCGGGTGGAAGCTTCCACAGACAAGGAAGAAACTTCACGTGCACGTTGGCCAACGCATTCACTGGATCATGTTGCGTGTCCTCGAAGCAACAACAAAAACGGAATTCTTTGGTTCTGTTTATGGCACAAGTTCGCGGTACGTCACCCAATCATCTCAGCTCCATCAAAAGCAGTTGAGATATTCCCAAGGCAGTACACAAAGGAGCTTTCCCTGCCATGTGAGAGTATCAATTAGAACCAAGAAACGTTCCTCATCTTTTGCTGCTCTCTTTTGTTGGTGGAGATTGCAGTACAACAGTTTTCATCCTTGTTCTCCATCTTCCCGCAACTGCTGCATAGTGAATGTCGTGAGAGAACCTGAGACGCGGCCGTAGTGCATCCTGATTCACCTTTTCTTGCCTCGTTTTTAATGCGCACACTCAGAACCGTCGACTGTGTCATTCAGCCAACAGAACCTGCAAAGAAGAGATGAAACAGTTTGAGGTCCTCTTTGAACTTCTTAGGCGTGAAAAAAAAAGGGAAAGCAAGAAGAAAAAAATTCTGATGCTGTTTTGTTCGACTCCTACTTTGTTGGGGACTCCGCGAACCACGGAAAGGAGTACTACTGATGAGCGCACTCAGATTCTATTCACATCGCTGCAAACAAAGAGAAAGATATGTTCCGCCGCTGAGGAGCACAAATGCCTCTCTGCTGTGCAGCTCACGGCATCTTTAAGTGATGCTCAACGAGGTTGGAAAGACGAGTTGCACAACACGCAGCCCTTATTCCGTACTTCTCGTTGAAGTTTCTTTGGAACAGAATCGCAGTAAAAGCCGGATGTGTAGCGGCGCACGGTCTCCTACAAATCGACGCTGAGGGCAACTCACCTTGCATCAAGAAAGAAAAACGAACCTACACAGTGGTGTTAGTTTGGGGTCGCGGATAGTTGAAAAGAGACGATACGGTTGGGACGACGGGGGGGGGGGGGGTATGTTAAAACACGAAGCGCAGAACTAATCATTCGAAAGTTGGCATGGAACTTTGAAGTGTTTTTTTTTTTCGACGCGTAGACAGCAGGTGTTTTTTTTCTGTAATCTTCATTCACAAGTGCAGGCCCTCCCAATTGCGCTTTTCTCTGTGTCAATCGACGGTTGGAAGAAGTACGAAGTTGGCCAAACTGACCGGATCATGTTCTTTATTCCAAAGAGGAATTATGGCGCTCAAAAACGGGAATTTGAAGCCTGTTCATACGTCTTTTTTCATTATTCGTGCAACACCGGAAAATGAGAAGTAGATGGCTTTTTTCATACAAGGGCTCTTCGATTGCTCCTTTCGGCGATGCGTTTCACAAACCAATGTACGCCATGCAAAACCGCCGGAGGTCTTGCTGTAGTTGCTGCACCAACGCAGTCAGCGGTATCTCAGCGAACACACACCGGTTCATACTGTGAAACGAAGCTTACGCGGAGAAAATGAAAGTCACTCAGGCACATTGTGCGCCACCTAATAGTGACTAAATGCAGACCAAAGAAACTTTGCAGAAGGCCACCCGGAGAGCGGCATCAACTCACGTTTCTTTTCGAATGTGTCTGTTCTGCTCCGGGGACACTGTTGTTCATGAACTCACTTCCTTTCTCAGAGCAATATCGCCGCCGCTCCCTCTACATTGCGAACAAGAAGACAGGAGATAATTGAAAGGGTATTCTCTGTCTGCTTCCGTGAGTCATTTTATGCCTGTGCCTTTTTAAGAAACCTCGTCTCTTACTTTTTCCCCTGATACTCCACGGACGACTCTGCTGTGTGCATGGTGGAACTCTATCCATGAACGCTGTATTGATTTTCCCTTTGAAGCTGACCGCAAAGAACGTCGTTTGTAACAAAGAACGGTTGAGTCTATCAACGATTGATCGAGACGCAAAAAAAAACTTTTCCCGTATTCTGTACGGTGTTTCCTCGGTGTAGAGAGAATTCCTTCTCTGGCGACTGATGAAATACGGAACTTGTTACTGCACCATAGGCAGTAGTTTCGTTCTGCATGGTGTGAGCGCAGATCTGGCTGATGTATCTTTTCTGTTTAAAGACGTACCGTTCAACTATTACTTATTTGTGTTAAAGAACTGTTTTCTCTCCTCTATTGTTTGGAGGGTATGACCCCAATAGTCTGTTTCTTTGGATTGGGATGTGTGTTTTGAATTTTCCGCTGTCTGTGACGGAGAGATTGTGCTGTGAATTTAACCGCAGCTGCCTCACAGGTGAGCGCACGATATTGTGTTTGCGCTATATGCCAGACAGTTTCAAAGGAAACTTCTAACTATCAATCACATCTTGTGTCTTTTTCTCTTTGTGCTAACTGACCTGTTTTCCGCGAGTTAAGTTTTTTTTTTCCAAGGCCACTTTTTGTGTATTTTTCTCCGTCAATTGAAGGCAAAAGACCACTTCCTTCGGCTACCTTCTCACCGCTGACAACTTTATCGTCGTACTTACTGTTCTCCCTACTCATGTTGGCACATTTTGACTGCACTGGTAGCACTTTCGCTACTGGTGGTGTTCCTCCAGGATAGAAGAGGAATACTCTGTTACCTCACTAGTGTGATTGTGTCATTTCCTTATTTATTTTGCTGTCTTCGTGTGCACCGCAATGGTGTCCGCCTTGGTACCATCATAAATCCTTCGTACTGCTCCAAGCGTCAAGGCGGCTGGAGCCGAGCGACCCGCGCGTTTTATTTCCTCTCTTATTGAGCCTTGTTTCTGTCACGCAATAACGATGTTGCCTTTCTTACCTTTAGCTGGGTGTGAAGCGTCAAACAGTTGAGCAAGCACGTTACGGAATAAGTAAATGCTGTTCCTTGCTATTTTGGAGTGAATCACTCGCTATTGTTGTGGAGTATTATCTTCTCAGATGCGCTAGAATGCTGTTCTGCCCTGTGAAGAAAAAATGATGATTTTCCTCCTCATGTAGAGCCAAGCTGCTCGAGAGCTTTACTTTTTATACATAATTGAAGCTACAGTTTGCGTAGCACTCCTTTCGACGTTCGAGTTCACATATTTTCTCTATCCACGTTTTTTTTTTCGGTTTTTTTGGGGAATGACTTTAATGACATTGGCAGGTTGCGGCTGTTACTAAATTTCGTCAACTTAGCATAGCAAAACAACTTTTCCTCTCGGTAGTTTTGGGGTTTCAAAGCAAGGAGGAATTACTGATCAGCGTAGAAGCATGTTTTCTGAGCTACTGTTCTTTGAGAACCATTGCCTGATGACTCGATAAACGCATGGCAGTCTATGTGGATGTGCCACAACTGGCAGTCATTAAGCGTTATTAATATATGAATGCAAATCAGGACGTTTTTTTTTTGCTTACATTCAATAACCAGTTCGACAGGGACACAGCCATAAACGTATGATCGTTAAAAAACAAAAGAAAAACAGAAGAACACATTGCTTCGGCTGAGTGTTTGGCTAGCTTTCTCGAAGCTTTTTGCCCCCAAAAAGCCTTTCGGTGTCCCAGAATGAGAAGGTAGGTTGTAAATGTTGCGGTTGAGAGATTCGCCAAAGCTGAGTTGAGAAGAAAGTCGATTAGCGTTATTGTTATTGTCATTGTTGTTGTTATTATTAATATTATATTTTTTGCTCTGAATGTTACCGCTGTTACTATCGACTCTGATTTGTTCCATTAATTCCGCTTTCTTTCCTTCCTTTCTTTCCGCAAGTGTATTACTTTTTTTTTCTTCTTCACCAAATACTGCTCTGGATTTTCCGTCCTGCTCAACTATAATTCCACTATTCTTTTACACACCTTTTCGCCTCTTTCTCGTTGATTTTGTGAGGAGGAACGTGCAACAGCGTGAGAGCACTCAGCAGTGCTTCTGTACAACACAGGAAAGCAAAACGAAGCCTTTTTTTTGTCTGCCAGGCTGAGTTCGCTTTCGCCTTCCATAAAGACCAACTACTTTCATTTCATCTTTTTCCACCTGCACCGCAAAGCTATCTAGTTTTATTTTGGAAGTTGTCAAATACAGTTCGTTTCCTCACTTTCTTCATCATCGTCTTCCACCATGTCCCGTGCAAGTGACAGGGACTCCTTTCAGACGTTGAAGGCACAGTTGGCAGAGAAGGAATTCAAACTCAGTGAGCTTGAGAACCGTGTCAAAGACCTTTTCAATGAGGCGAACGAACTTGATGAGAAGCTCCGAATTTCGAATCGCAATGCTCGTGTTTTGGAGGAAGAGAACAGCAATTACCACATGAAACTCAAGTCAATTGAGAAAGATGAGGACATCTCTAAACTTGTGCCATCGCAGAAGGAGGCGATTAAACTCGTTAAAGAAAACGAGGACTTGCGCGCCCGCCTTGCTGATGCTGAAGAGCACTTGAAGGCAGAAGCTGTTCAGATCCGCGAAAGTGACTCTGGTGCCGACAAGCAAATCCGTGCCCTCAGCAGCGAGTGCGAACGGATGCGAAAAGAGAGGCAGCGGGAGGTGAAAGAACTTGAAAACACGCGTTTCCAGTGCGCGGAGTTGCAGAAGAGACTCGATGACGAGCACGAAACGCTCAAAACTGCAAGGGACCTCTGGGATCAGGAGCGAGAACGTTACCATCAAAAAATTGATGAGCTGCTTGAACATAATAAAAGCACTGTTCGATCCACGACTCCCCGCACACACTTGCCAAAAGGCACAACCAGCGACGAGCCGTTGGAGCAGGTTTTGCTGAAGGAGGACGTTGCACAACTGGAACAAAAATTGAAAGACGTCCAGGAAAGGTTGTGGGGGAAAGAAAAGGAATGGATTCGTACGGAAAACGAACTGCGCAAGAAATTTCAGTCGCTTCAACTGGTAAACGGCTCGGAAGGGCGCAATGACAAGGCTCTTTTTCAGGCAATGAAGGATCAAATTAGGGCACTGCAGGACGAGATCAAAGCTTTGCGCAACGATAGACTGGCTTCGCGTTCCGCCGTTCTGGGAGCTGCTGCTGCTTCCGCTGCTGCCAGCAAGAACCCCGCTTCCACAGTCGCGCAGCCGCTTCAAGGTAGTGGTGTGGCGAACTGGGCTGCCCGCTACGATGCTGCTTGCAAAGAGAAAGAGGCGATTCAGGACCAACTTGACGCTGCCAAGGCTACCATTCTCGCGCTGCAGCACATGGCAGACGACAAGACCATCTCCTGCAAGGAACTGGAGGTTCAAATCGCGGCGCTTCGGAAGAAGGAGGCAAATGGCACGCGTCGTGCTATTGCAGGCGGGGCAGCTTCGACTCGCTCAGTCGGTGAGCAGAGCTTCAACAGCCGCGCTTCCACTTCGTCAAACGCCGTTGACGCTGCGAGCACAATTTCACAGCTGAAGCAGCGCATCCGTGTTCTGGAGAACGAGCTGACGAACTTAAAAAACGATCATGAACAGAAGGAAACCATCAGCAGCGTGCGCACGAAAGAGTACCAGATGCAGGTGGACGAGTTACTCCGCGAGAACGCGGCCCTGAGGAACGAAAACGGAGATACCTGTGGTACTGCCGAGAGCGCTTCACCTGTTGACTCGATGGATGGCGTTATTCGCCTCACGAAAGACAAGCGCGAATCCGTCGAGGAGGTCATGCGTCTGCTTGAGTTTTCGTGGGACAGCGACGAAGAGGCAAAGCGTCAGCTGCGCCGGGCCAAGTACCAAAGCGCGTCGATGGCGGGTCAGGATGCCGCCAAGGATGACGAGATCCGTCGTCTGCAAAAGACTGCGGACGATTTAGAGAATCAGCTGCAAGACATGGAGAAGAAAGGTAACGATGTTGATGAACTGAAGGACGCAGTGAGCGACTTGCGCAAGCAACTCCGCGGCTTGCAGGCGGAAAACGATAAGCTGCGCAAGAAGAACGGCGACTTGGAGAAGAGCCGCAACGATGCCGCCAAAGGCCTAGCTGCGAAGGAAGAAGACGCAAACCGCCGCAACAAAGAGCTTCAGAAGGAAGTCGAGGACTTGAAGCGACGGCTGGCGGACGCTCGGAAACCTTCTAGCAGGTCGGGTTCTCCCGCTGTGAGTCCGCGCACTCCGCGCACTCCGCGTATTGCCGCGCGTCGCCGCACCCCAGAGGTTCCTGCGATGTCTCAATTGTCGGTGCGCTCGACCGAAGAGCAGCGTCGCAGCGCCGTCCCGGAGGGTGCCCACCTCGCCTTCACCGTTGTCGAGCTTGCGGATGTGCTACGCAACGGACGACCCATAACCGAACCCGGTTATGTGGTCATTAAATTGAAGTCTATCAAGGAGAAGTACAAGACTTCCGTCAAAGGATTGTCCTCCGTTATCCGCTTTGACGAAACGTTTGTCTTCTATCTCGCGCAACCCGATCAGGACGTCATCACTGTGCACGTTTTTTACCAAACCAAGAACGGCTCTCGCGAGTACCACATTGGTGACGCTTGTTTTTCCATGGCCACGCTTTACCGCGGGGTGCCTCGTCAGCGCATAGCTCCCGTGGTTCAGAATCCCGGCACGAAGGATGCGCGCCGCGCTGGCCAGATTGAGGTCAACCTCCAAACTGACGACTTTGGCAAAACTATGGAGCCGACAGAGGATGAGATGGAGGACGAAAGGGCCCGCTTCGACGAACTCGTGAACAAATATGAGCACAACGCGCCAGAGAAGCTTCACGCGGCTGACGTTTACATGGCGTCTGAGCAATTGTAGAGAAAACGAGTATTAAATAGCTCCTTTTTCGCTTTACGTCTGCGAAAAGCGGCGCCGAACGCTCCCATTTCTTTTAGAAGTTCTTGCTCTCATAGCTCCACCGGTTTCTCACGCATTTTCTTTTTCTTTCCGGCGTTTAGAGCGTTCGTGGAGGAGTAGAAGTTTTTTTTTCCGTGCGTGTGTCCGCGTTTGGGATACGTCTTTGATGATTATGGCTACCGGCGTACTTGCTTCATCCAAGTTGAAGCAATTAGAAAGTGTGAGTTTTGTCTCTTTTGCTTCAGCGTTTACAACGTAGATTTTCATCGTTTTTTTTCTTTCTTCACTGTGATTCCGCGGAAAACCCATTATGTGGAGGTGGCTTTCAACGTTGTTATCGCGGGGAGGTTTTCTTTATACCTATCTGTAGTAATTAATCCTTTTTTGTTGGTTTACCGTACTTTCGTGTTTTGTCATTTGAATGCGGCGCTCTTTCTTCCTTTTTTTTTACCCCCTTTTCATAGTCCGGGCAAACAGACGTGGGTTTGCCGTTGATCGTGTCTGTTTTTTTTTTCTTGCTTTCCCTCTCGATTGAACGACGCACGTCTCGTGATAAGTTGGCTCGCCTTTTTCTCTGAGTCAATAAAAAAAAGCAGAAGACATAGAACCGCTTTTCCACTCCTCCTTTTGGGCCCACCTCTTTCTTCTACGCTTTATTATTATTACTTTTTGTGTGTGGTTCGTATCCTGTCAAAGAAGTTTTCCTTCTTGACCTAGCGGATGTTGCATGTGTAGTTTCCACGCTTCAGGTGCGTTGGGTGAAGAGACGCAAAAAAGGCACATGGAAGGGACCTGAAACCGAAGAGAGAGAAGAGCAGTAGATTAGAGATTGGCTGCGTGGTCCTGTTGATGCGGCGATTTGTTTTTCCCCCTGTTTGAGAGACTGCTGCATATTTTTCCCGGTCATGTTCACAAGTTGTTCTTTTTATTTCGCGAGCTTAGCTTTTCCATTGACTAAAGGCCTTTATCTTCTGATGCTTTGTGCGTTTTTATTCTTGTCTACCACCAATGGAGCAAGCGCTCCTTATTGTTATTATTATTGTTGTTCTGTGGTTTAGTATCGCGAGTAACAACAAACCAAAACATCCCAGATACTTGCGGGGCGAATGCAACACGGCGGCTTTCCGATTTCCCTTAAAGAAAGAAGTTAGGAGATGCCGTGTGAACGGCAAAGGAACTGCGAGCCCAATGTGCGGTGTTCTCATTACGCACTACCTGGAGGCTTACGCAACAAAGCAAAGGAGCAACAACAAGAAAGAGACCCGCTTACAAGGAAAAGCAAACGTAAGTTTCGATTCCGACTTCACCCACTTCGCACATTCGCAACAGTAATGATCATTTTTTTCCTGCCTGTTTCACTGCACCTTTTTGCCCTCGTTTTCTCCGTGCGTGTTTTGTGCTTTATGCTAGAGGTTCAACGCATCACTGTTGACCTTCTCCTTCCCTCCCTCTTTTGTTGGCTTCGTAAGGGCCCAGGACAAATCCAATCTAACAAACGCTCCCTCCTCTTTCTCTCTCATTTTTTTTTCATGTTGGTGACAGTGGCCACGGACACCCGCAAACATACCTGCCGCGGAAAGGAAGAACCGCTACAGAGAACCACTTTCAGATACTTCAGCTGAATGGGAGCACAAGAACAAAATGAACCCATTCACCGACAAAATCGTGGCCTACCGCATTCCCGATGAAGGGGCTGAGGAGAGGTACGGGCTCTGTATACGGCGCGAAAGTGACATGCTTCGCGTGATGGTGATGCAGAGGGAAGATAATCGAGAGGTGCCGCTGCAGTCCGTGCTGAGGAAGCTGGCGGATGAGGATGCAATAATGAAGTCACTAGAGGAACGTTTGAACTCACTCCAAGCAAAACTAGCAAAAGAGGGTAACACTGGCGGACAATCGTCGAATTATCGTCTCCAGGAGACGATGTTGCAGTGGGCCACACGCCGTCTAGAAGGAGTCGACGCAGAGGAATGGCGACGGCTTGCCCAGGAGCGTCATCCGTCGGCGGTGGTGAAAGCCGTGGGCTGTGCCGCCGCCTCCATTGCAACGGACGCTAAACTAGTGTCCTCTGCGTGGACAGACGCCCAGAGCCTGTTTAGCAAAGGCAGAGAGCTGACGGCGGAGCTGCGCTGCGCAGGAGAGCATCGTATGAGCAAAGCCCTCTACAACTCGCTGGTGGGATACATCTCCGACTCCTCGCTGTCGTACGCGCTGGTGGCCCAAGCGTCGCCGTCGCTGAGTATGTTGCACAAGTGGATCACCGCCTTAGTGGACTACCAGCGCGCGCGCTACATGGAAGACGGCGAGGCAGAACAGCAGCAGCAACTCATCAGGTATGAAAACAGCCTGCGGGCGGCGAGGGGGCGTCGCGGCTCGCTGATGGAGCAGGCGGATCTGATTAACGGAGGTAATTGCTATATTCGAACCCAGGCAGTCCGCAGTGTGCCGATGGATTGTGTCCTGCACCCCATGGCCGCTGAGAAGGTGACCACGCGACAGTACTTGTTAAAAGAGCCTGCACCGATGGAGATGCTGGACGATGTAATGCGCCGCCCCCTCACAAGCGTGCGAAGCGCACGCAGCAGCCGTCAGGAAGACAGCTTCCCTCGCAGGGACGTTCTCTCTGCACGCTCCGTGGACGCCCCGGGCTTGCGTGGCAATCGCACCAACGCCGGCGTCAAGGTTCCCCCGATATCCATTCCGAAGGTGGAGTCGGCGGGGGCCGGAATGTGGTCGGGTGGCGGCGTTGTGCGGAGTCAGCGGTCGTTGGAGAAGGAGGGGAACGGCAACGGTGCAGTTTCCAAGGTGAACCCGCCACACGTCGGTACCCGTGCCGCGACAGAGGCGGCCGACCGTGGCGTAAACGGAGTGCATCCCGACGGGGCAGCGTCGCCGTCGTCGTCACCCTCCTCTTCCTCCACGGCGCCGTCGCCACGTCCTCTGTCGATGCGTGTGGAGGTGAAGCAGCTGGACGAGCCTGATAGTAGTCAACGCCGCATGTTGTCTGCCAGGCACGGGGGAACGGAACCGATGCAGGTGCTGACCGACGTGAGAAACAACTTTAGAAGCGTACAAGCCGTCTTACTCGCCTGCTTGGAGGACTACCAAAAGCTCGAGGACAAGTACGCCAGTACCGTAGAGCACAGCAAGCAACTTCTGCATACGCTTGAGAGCCGCGACCATGTGATCGCACACCTCCAGCAAGAGCTCACCGCGGTCACCGGCGTGCAAGCTGCATCGAAAACAATGCCAGTGCAGCCTCGCGACGGCTGCGGCAGCGATGCTGTGAGGCACCGCAACTTGGACGAATTATTCAACAGTGGGTTGGCGACACCGCACGCGGTCAATGCGGAAAGTTTTGGAGACGAGGATTCATTTGAGCGGCACTTTGAACAGCTGCTCTATGACACGCTGGAGTTTCTCCAAGGAGCCGAGTCCACTCCTTCTACCTATGAAGACGAGTCGAATCGCGGTTAACAGCGCGGCGTATTTCCAGGAAAAAGGCGTTTTCGTTTGAATACCCGTATGGCTTGTTGATGCTCTGTTGCATTGCCGGTGCGGAGAAGAGAGTAACACCGACCATTCCCTTCCTTTTGGGGTAATAGCGCAGCGGCTAGAAAGTTGTACTTTCATCTTCCACAGAACAATACACGAAGGCAGCTCCTGTTTTCTTTTGGTCTGTTTTGGATGGTCTCCGTTCATATTTAGAGATTAAAAAAAAGCGTGTTGCCTCCAACCTTTCCGCCTTTTCATGCATACACCGTACGAACGCGTTCTGCTCCATCTCTTTCGTATCCTTCCTGATAAAAGGACACCGACTCGTATGCTTGGGGAACATAGAACCAGTATCATTGTTCGATTTTTTCTTATTCTTTTTTAACTCAAATTGTTTGTGTATTATTAGCTGTACTTTTCTGTCGCCGTCACCACCCTCGGTGCACACTGGACTTTTGCTATGTTCCTCCCTTTCTGTCTACAAGCATCTCCACCGCGTTGTACTTATTCTATATGTGATTGCACGCACAAAGTAGGTCTGTCGTCGGAATTCTCTTTTTTCTTTCGGGTTTTCTCTCGCCGTCTTTCGTCTTGTCTCTCGCATGCAAGATGGATCTTTTTTCGCCTTTTTCTGCCCGCTTCCTTTCGTGGAAGATGCGAGCATCTACGCCTCTTCATCTCTTTCCCTTTTTTTTGTGAGCCTGCGAGGGGAATGGAAGGGACGGAAAAAATGAGTTGAATGTGATTGGCAGCGGAGAGATTGGCGGATCTCGGTCATTTAGGGTAATGCTCTAAACTATCTTCTCCTTTTCTATTACCTCCTGAATCCTGGTTCTTCCGTATTCTGGTTTGCCTGGCACAGTTGTTTTCAGCATCGAGAGAAACTCCGGTTTTTCGCTGAAATCCACCCGCCCACCCCCGGTCCCTCCCACGACAGGGACCCATGGGATCCTTAAAAAGA